CTGTTACGTTTCTTATTTCCCTCTCAGCATGATTCTTTTTGGCTTCATCTCGTTATATAACCGTGCCATAAAGCACCGCGTGATTCCCCCGACAGCATTTTGACATGAAACAAACACCATGTTCACCAACAAAACTCATCGAGTCGAAAGTCTCATGTACATAGAACAATCTAGTAGATACCATCTTCTTTTTTTTTCCCTATCCTACCCTATCAGCAAGCTTATAACAATAGCACCGACCAACCTCCTCTGTCCGACACAACAACCAAGTTACAACAGCTAGCCCCTCTTAGTTAGCCTTCTTCTTATTTCCCTTCGCCTTCCCCTCCCCTTTAGCCGCAAACGACTCATCCTCCTGCGCATCCTTCCTCTCCGCATACCACTGCCCCGCCTGCAACACCAAAACCCCAACCAAAACCAGCGCCAAAATCGTATTACTCGCACTAAGCACCTTGAGACTATCCTCACGCCCCAGAATCTGCGCCGCCTCCTCGGGGTTCGCCGCAAGTTCCGCGCCGTAAAGGCCGCCACTCGCCAGTCTCAGCCCCTTGACGATATTCGCAATGTACACCGTGATGCCGCAGGCGTAGAGGACCAGCGACGCGCCGTCGAAGAGCATGTTCGATTCAGAGGGGCGCCATAGCTTCATGATGAGCCCCGCGAGGCCGAGGAAGATGACGATGTGCAGCATCCGGGGGATGAGCGGTGGGGAGGCATGGAGTAGGCGGAGGTGGTTTTCGAGGGAGTCGTAGGCGGTTGAGACTGTTGGCGAGGTGGACCAGAGGATTGGGTAGTCGTAGGGGAAGAGGGAGAAGATTATGCCGAGGAAGAAGCTTGTTGCTGTTTTGGGTATAACATTGTTAGCAGGGTAGGCAGGACTGGGTTCTGGGGGGAGGTGGGTTTGGTAATTGAGGCTTTCGGGTTGGTTGGCTGGGATGGGGGTCTAAGGCGCTCGCGTGTCTGGTCCGGGGACTGGAGGGTACGTACGGCAGACGATTAGGAAGGTCGCGAAGGACCCGTAGCGGAGAGTCATGGTGATGGGTTGTGGAGAGACTTCTCTGGAGGGGAAAGAGGGGAGAGGGGAGAGGCGACCGCGCAAAAGGAGGAGGTTGAGGGCAAATGCGGAGGGGAATGCGAAGTGGAAAGTTGTCGCCTTCAGGGCTGACGCCAAGCCCCGTCCGTGCCTTCTCGGCGACTAATACGACAGACTACCCGAGGCTTATGGAGGTGGAATTGGATGAGTATCTTCGAGGTCAAAGGCTGTGGATATTACATTTGCTGTGTATTTTCCAGCTAGCTCAAGATGTAGTCATGATAGTTCACTAAATATAACAAATGTGGTATCTCCGCTGAATCCCAATCGCAATGCATAAATCAATTCGACATGAGGTAAACAAATCAACCATATTATCTTTGATATCGTGGAAGTAGTTCGTCCCCATTTGCAGCCCCTCCAACAAGGTGCTGATCATCCTCATCGTCGTGGAAAACAGGTGCACTTGGTCCGTCGTCCGCGCGCTCAGTACGGGGAGCGTCCGGGTCATCTGGCGCACTGGCTTCCATCAGCAATCGCTGCCGCTCCATTTCCTGTTTATCTTCTCCTGGCGGTTGCGAGGGTCCAAGGACAGGCGTAGAGCTGCTTCCTGGAACTACTGTCTGCACAGACTCGGCCGACACCAACGCCGGGGACATCCCGTTCATACCATTCACGCCCGGCGATGGGACATGGTGGTAATCATCAAGGTTATCCTCTTCCGGGATTACAGGAGCGGTAGGCATTGCTGTATCCGCAGCCGACGAAGGCCCGGCTTCCGAGACGCCTGGTGGTTGGCTGGGCAGAAGAGTCTGTTCAGCCTGCCGTAACCGCGCCTTCTCGTCCATCGGTTCATCCGATGGTGGGCTAGGCAGTGCTCCTCCGCACACTGGATAGTTGTTATCCACTTGTGGCTGTTCCGGGTAATCTGACCATTGGATATGATCTTGCCCATATCCAACAGGATCGGGCATAGGGTACTCCGAGTCCGGCCCGGGCACATGGTCTTGGTAGTCGGGTGCCCAGAATTCTTCCCCATCTGTAGCAGTAGTAGCTGGGTTTTCGGCAGATTGTTGGGTGTCTGATCCCTCCCCAGTAGATGAAGTGCGGCGACCTTCACTTTTTCGTCTTTGCGTATCTCGTGTCCCAATTACCACTTCAAAGGCCACAGCAACGACTCCTTTTTCACGGCGGATCTGGTCGGTATCCAAAATATTACCTCCCCAGTTGGCTGTGATCGCACTCCCATTCGTGTCAGTTGGATCTACTATTTTTCCATTTGAGGAAAAGTTGCCGCCAGAAGAAACAAGGTTGAAGCGTGGTCGAAAGCGTTCCGGCGATGTCAGCTTGCCGCGAAGATCGACGACAACCTCAACATAATATCTGAAGTTGATCATACCGCCCGGTGTCCGAGTAATAGTGGGAAACGCGTCTTCTGGAATGCGAATTGAGGTCTTGATGTCAGCTGTCAAAGTCGAGGGATCAACAATCAATGGCGCAAATGTTTGAGTCAAATCTTTTCGGAACACGCTGCTGGCGCGAGAAGTACCAATGGTAAGTCCGCCCAGGCCTGTCCGGGAACGGGGATAATAATCCTCGTAAACCGGCTTTTTACCCTCAGTCGTAGATCCCACTGGGATGGCGGGGTGAAGGTCGATACGGCCTTGGCGATAGAGGGTTATTATGATTCCATGCGCACTGCGCACCTGCTTAGAGTGATTAATGGTAATTTTTATCGGCAGTGTATCGCCAGGCAGCACGCCAGCGCGCAGAACTTCAGTCTTGGCGGTAATTATTTTCTTGTCAGACACAGAAGGGGTGACGCTCCGGGCTTCACTATTTCGAACACCGCTACTCACGGTTGACCCGGGATCTGTCACAATCTGAAAACTCTGGCTGCTGTTGCTGAGCCGACTAGATGAGCTGACGTTGCTGGGTGCCGGGCTGAGAGGAGGCCGATTCTCCGGGGCAGCAGACCCCCCGGTTGGCGATGGCTCCAATGACCCTGATTCAGGTGCGTCGGAACCGGCCGTTTTGGTTTTTGCTTTCGATTTGGAACGCTTTGAAACAGGCTCAAGGGTGACTACCCGAGCCTTGGGTGGCGGAAAACCCGCGATATCAATACTTTCTAGTAAATTAACGCGCCTTCGGCATGTGACGGTGGGATTTATAGTTGTAGGTTTCGTTAAGGTGGACGTAAGCATATAGGAGATGGTGCCTCTCTCGAACTACGTGTCATATTGTGTTAGTGGTAATGGTCAGAGCTGAAATCTGAAGGGGGAAGACAAACGCTGATGCTGCTGGGTAGTGCATATGGCGGGAAAGACATCTCAAACCGGAACTTGTAGATTCCTTCCTTAAGACGACCTTCCCCGCAGAGAACCACCTCGTCTTCAAACAATGTTGCGACCCCATTGCCCAAGTACTCGGCGCCTCGGCGCCCGCGCCCAGGGCCGAGGGGCCCAATATCCGGAGGTGTCTCACCGACCGGGACATTGTTCTTGAAGACCTTGACGATTCCAAGCAAAGAGATAACCAAATGTGTAATGCGAACAGGGCGAACGACTGTGAGAACAACAGTTCCCTTGATAACGTCGCCGGGGAAATATGAGCGCCAAGGGTCGTCTGGTTCGATATAGTAATCGGTTACGCCGCGATTCCGTTGGCCGAGCTGCGAGCGAAATTTTGATAGAAACGAAGAGCGACCCCGACCGAGCGGCGAAGAAGATTGGGTGGGGACGGGATTGACGGACATGACATATGAACACCTCGCCCTGTCCATCAAAGGGCGAAGAGCCTCACAATATCACAGAAAGAGGTATGAGGTGAGAGAAACGGAAAGCTCTGGGGTTGTTGGTATGGGCCGGGATGTATGCGAACAGCACGCGGTTGAATCAAGCCAAATGACGGAAGACCGATGCAGGTACTTAGACAAGAGCTCTACAAAGCAAGGGGGCTCCGATGTCAAGAAACAAGAGCGCAGAAGGGAGGAACAATCGAGGGTAATGCAGGTCGAAATTCTCCGTTCCAACAATCCACCGACAGTTGGACCTAATCTGGCCGTCGGGCGCAAAACCTGTAGTCCAACCACAATTAAAGCACTGCGGCGCGAGATTGTGCTTCGAGACCGTCCACTGCGCGGCCCAGGCCAGACTCGCCCAAGTAGCGGATGGGTAATCGACAGACAATTGTTTCACACACTGGCCAGCGAAAGAGGGGGGCGGAGGAATGTACAGGGCGAAGAGAAGATGAAGGCGGGAAGGTGTCAGGGAATCAGGAGTCGAGACGACAGGTCGGCATCATTTCACGCGAGGTTCCGACCGAGAAAGATTGACAGTATCAAGTACGCGTCCCCTTTCGAAGCTCGATGAGATGTTTCTATCGTAAATCGGCGTCGAGGGAGAGAAGCCGCGGCGAGATGTGTCGAGGAGAGGGGTGAACGGAGATGAAGTGTTCGGAAAGGGACGGAGAAGCGTGTCGAACACAGTCGATTCGGGAGGGAGGGAAGGTGGAGGTCGAAGGGCTGCGAGGAAGGGAGGCAGCAGAGTAAAGAAGTAAAATACAAAGGAGACAAGACGCGAGGAAGAAGGGAGCAGGCCGGGGGTAGCAGAGAGGGAGAGGGAGCGAGAGAGAGGGAGAAGAGTTCGCGATAAGCAGGCGGAGAAGGGGAAAGGCCAACGGAATTCGCGTGGTGGCAGTCAAGCTTCTCTTGGGTCCAACGTAGTTCGGGGCTCGGCGCCTCCACTTCTCTCTCTCCTCAACTGTCGAGATTCATGACAGCGATCAGCGGCTTGGGATTCTGGTACGCTTTATTTGTCTTTGATTCGGTTTGCTCCTTATCACCTGGGACAGAGCACCGGGGATTATCCCAGCATTTAGGTAATCACACGCGACAGCCTCTGAAACGACAACGACCAGTCCAGCCCTCGCTAGTCCGCAATACTAGACTCGCATCTTGACTCGTGTAGGCAGCGAGTTATATTAACAATTCGCGCAATCCCTCCCCCTCCACATATTCGTCCCCATAGCACTCCCTTTGCACTGCCTGTATTATCTCGCGATCTCCGCCAGTTATTTTCCTCACGTACTCCTCCAGCACGTAGATATTGTCCGTCCACATCTGCGCCCGCTGGCGGTACTCGTCAATCTCCTCCCTCATCTGCCCAATCCCCTTCCCCTCCCCGGTAGTCTCAGCCGACTTCCGTTCAGCGAGCAGGCGATTTCTCTCCAGCTCCAGACCCTTCTTCTTTTCCAACAGCGCCTCCCATTCCGCCTCACCACGCTTCCCAAGCGCCGCAACCTCTTTGTCCCTCTTCTTCTTGCGCACGGCCAAATCCGCTTCGGCTCGCTTGCAGTTGGCTTGGACCCGCTCCACATCCTTTCGGAGCTGAGTCAACTGCCTCTCCCGTTCCTTCTTCTCATCCCCACCAAAACACCAGTACCAATTGCCGCTGCCGATCTTCTCCACGCGGATCTTGCCCTCATCAGTGAGCTCTTGGATGTATTCTTTCACTTGTATCCCATTGATCGAGGCCACGGAGGGGAGCACGTGTTCGAGATCTTTGAGTGTGTGGCAGGTGCGTGTGGAGCGGATGTGGGAGAGAATCAAGCCTTGCTTGGCGGTCTTGGAGAGTTTGGGGGGCTATATATAGTTCATGATTATATTAGGACTAGGTATGCGGTTTTTAGATGTTTGTCAAAACGAGACGTACCATTGTGATGGATTTGTGCGATCGCTGATGAAAGTGAGTATTATTAAGGGTTTTTGAGCAGCTGAAGGGCAAAGCACGAAAAATGATTGCCTAAGTTCAGGTCGTAGTATTCTAGATTGAAGGTATAAGAGAATCGACTAGATTATCTATCATAGATGACTTTGAGCTGATGGAGGGAAGCGTTGGAAGACGCTGCGTGGTGGTGTTGACAAGAAGACTTGGCAATAGGAGGCAGCCAGAATCATGAGCACAACTGCTGCAGCCATGCTTTTGTGCGTGATGGGATGACACAGAGGTTTCATATCTACAACTTAAGAGTTCAACACTGATGACCGCCAATTACATTATGTCCCCCTCCAGCAGGGTTAAATAATGCCGTTCTCGAGCAATGACTATGCTGGCTTTCCAAAGTCTCTGCACCTTCAGACGTTATGGCGGACTTGACCTGTTAACCAGTCACCAGCCTAGGTCTTTCCTATCAACCAGAAGTAGATACATCCAAAGAAAATGCAGGAAAGAGAGCGGTTGGCGCGCAAAGTCGGAAATCTACGCTGGGGCGTCCAATTTCACTGGCTAATTTGAAACCAGCTAAAGCCCCTCAGCAACATACATACGATGAAATCTTTCGGACGGCTCGAAATTCCATCACCGAACCTTAACACATCGGATGTGCCAGCACTAGCTTCGAGGCCGACGCATTCCTTACCTAAGATAACTCCCGGGAAAGTGGATGTGGTATCCGAGAAGCGATAGTCAGATTTCAGTCCCAAGTTTTCCGTAGGGACCTCGGGATAAGGCAATGGCGGTGGCCGTCTAACGTCGGGGAAAAATCGCCGCGCGTAGCCTAGGCCGCTCGACGACCCTATGCTCAGCTGCCATGCAGGTATCCCGCGACAGAGTCAGTACAGACTGTTATAGCAGCCGTGCTTCGAATAACCGTTACATTCACTGTATGGAGATCGCTCATGAGCCTCGCCGTCCAGCTTCAGGCTCCGTATCGATATCAGTAGTAGAAGCCCGGCGGGTCAATCTCCGCTTCTTAGACCGTTTCTTCCGTTTCACAACACTATCCAGATCTTCACCAGAGCTCGCATAGATGCTGCTGCGCCGACTATTCGCCCGTTTGCGTCCCATCCTCCGCCCAAGTTTCGAGGTCGGCTCGTCCGCGGGCAAATCATCCCCTTCAACCAGCGCCAAGTCACCAGTGTCACCTAGCGACTCCTTGGCCAATTCCTCAAGGAGCACGCCCATGAACATCAATGACTTCCCGTTCATGCTATACTGGTTGGCTCGCCCATTCGGCCCAAGTGCCTGGTCGTAATAGTCCGCGGTGTAGGCGTGGATGGACTCCAGGAGCTCGGAGCTGGGAAGCGGCTGGTCAGCCGGCAGATTCTCGTGCGCGAAATATCGGTCCGTCTCCTCGTAGCGGACTGGCATGCCCTCTCGACGGAACAGAACCTCCTCTGGAGGGAGGGCCCGGCTACTGGATGATGCTGTGTCGCGGTATTTAGAGGCGTACGGAGTGGCGGGTATAAACCCGTGCGCATTCACGCGACCTTCCCAATATCAGTACGAATGTTTGTAAAGACCAATTCGTAGAGCTACTAACCAGCGACAGCATCGTAAACATTTGCCCGCCGCTTCCGCTGCCTTTCAGCGGGACGTTCTTCTTGGTCTTTATGGGTGATGCTTTCGTCCAAGAATTGCGATCTGTGGGACGACATTATCTTAGTGTTATCTTGGAAATCCACGCATTAAGCTATCTTCCATTGTGAAGGTCAAGTCGTCACTCCGCTCTTCGCGGGTAAAGAGATTGAAGCTCAAGCTTTCGATCTGAGATTAGATAGGAAATCGGGCCACGTGATGTATTATATTATGTAATACAGAGCAGTTCCTGGTTAGGAAAGGCGTATTGCAGGCCTACGATCCAAGTGAACAACGCTTCAGCTATTCCCACTATTTCAATGGTTTCCTCAATGAAATAAATGAAATAAATGAAATAAATTGGGTCATAATTCTCATTAGACGACGAAACTAACCCAGATTAGCCTGAACCACGGTCGGATAGTCGGACAGATTGCGGACACTTTGGTGCTCGAGCAGATCGGAGACGATTCTCCCCGCCGCTTACCAATGATGCTTATTATCAAGCATGGGGGCCATTCATCACATCACATGGGAGTTTCAACTTGTTCAACTTGACATTCCAAAGTATAAAAGAAACCAGAATAATCACCATGTCACACAAAACCTGCAAGCTTAGAAGCTCTACTATACTCCTCTCTACTGATACTACCTTGGTATAACCGATTCCCACCACCATCACAGCTCAATTCCAAATGTCTCTCAAATATCTCATAACCGGCGCAACTGGTGGCCTCGGTGAGCAGGTCCTCAATTACTTCGTGGACAATGTCGACCGCTCCCAATTCGCCGCGGCATCCTCCTCGGACAGAAACAGAGCTCGCTTTGAAGACCGCGGAATCGCGTTCCGGCATATCAACTACGAGGACGAGGAATCGCTCAATTCGGGGTTACACGGTGTTGAGAATTTGCTTTTCGTGAGCACGAATGTTTTCGATAATGAGCGACGTGATAAACAGCATCGGGGGCTCATAAATGGTGCCAAGCGGGCGGGCGTAAAGCATGTCTGGTATACATCGCTTGCGTTTGGTGGCTTCTCGGATAATTCCAAAGCTGCTGTTCAGCAAGTCCATCTCATCACGGAGAAACTCCTTAAAGAGTATGTATTCTTTCCCAAGACAAACCTTACCTTACTAACCATTGCAGATCCGGTCTCACCTACACTGCCATCCGAGAAGGCGTGTACGCAGAAGCCTTCCCTGTCTTCATTAACTGGTATCCAAACACTACAGCCGTCCAGCTCCCCGCAGACGGAGAGATAGCCTGGACTCGACGCACAGAGCTCGGCGAAGCAACCGCCCGAATCATGATCCGCGGCGGGTACGAGAACCAAACCGTACTGTTTACTTCAGAAGAGACGATTACCACAAAGCAGCTAGTGGATATACTCAATGAGACGACTTCTCGGCAGGTGAAATTCGAGATTGTCTCGTCTGAGGAGTATGTTCGTGTGAACGGTGCGAATGATCAGGGTGGGAAGCCACAGGCGTTCTTTGAAATGGTTGCGACGTGGTGGGAGGATATCGCAAAGGGGGAGCTTCGGACGACAGATGGGTTAATGCGAGATGTTCTTGGGAGAGAGCCGACGAGGCCCAGGGATGCTATCAAGCAGCTGTTGGCCGAGAATAGGGATTATACCTGGCACCAGAACTATGCGCGATCATAATACCTGCCGAGTTTAATAGGCGTTGTCATGGACTAAACAATAATGAACTAGATCTTCATAATCTCCAAGGGTTTGTTCGCGGGCACTTCAGCTCGTAAGCAACCATTTATCCTATTCCACCGCATTATAACGGTCTAGACCGACCATGGTTCTCCAGTCGGCTGTATGAGAAGTGACAGCTGGGGCGTGCGGGGGATCCAAGGCAAAGCAGTCGGACCTCGGCCGGCAGACCACCACATCTGGAGCTTAAATATACTTGACCCCTCAAATGCATCAACCACAATTCTCAAGCATATCTACAAATCATACAGCGAATACACATACACAATGCCGCAATCAAATACCTACGTCCTAGGAGTGGGCATGACCCAGTTCCTCAAACCGCGCCGGACTAGAGAGTACCCAGAACTCGGGTATGAGGCCGGAGTGAAGGCCATGCAGGATGCAAGGATAACTTACGATGATGTTGAAGCCGGTATCGCTTGCTACTGCTATGGTGATACCACCAGTGGACAGCGCATTTTCTACCAGTTTGGACAGACATCCATCCCAATATACAACACAAATAACGCCTGCGCAACCGGTTCCGCCGGCCTGCATCTGGCCCGGACGTTGGTGAAAAACGGAGGCGCCCACTGCGTTTTAGTCTTGGGCTTTGAGCAGATGCGTCCAGGGTCGATTCGCTCAGTATGGGACGACCGCCCAAGCTCAGTTGGGCCGTCTACGGCGCTGATGGAGAAAACGCATGGGAAGCATAAGAGCCCGAGGAATGCGCAGTACTTTGCAAATGCAGGCGTCGAGTACATGAAAAAGTATGCAACCTTTCCCAGTCCTCCTGGAATATACCTGGCAACACATGCTAACAGCAGCCTAGGTACGGCGCAAAAGCAGAAGACCTCGCCGAGATTGCCCGTATCTCGCACGAGCACTCCCAGCGTAACCCCTACTCCCAATTCCGAACCGCGTATACTCTGCAAGAGGTCCTAGACTCCGGCGTCATTCACGCCCCGATCACGAAGCTTCAATGCAGTCCAACCAGTGACGGCGCCGCCGCAGCCGTAGTCGTTTCACAGGAGTTCCTCGACGCCCGTCCACACCTGAAGTCCCAAGCAATCCTAATTGCAGGCCAGAAACTCCTCACCGACGATCCCTCCGTCTACTCAGGAAGCGCCATTGACCTCGTTGGCTGGGGAATGACGAAGCGCGCAGTGACCCAGGCCATGGCCGAAGCAGGCGTCACGTCAAAGGACATCTCAGTCTGCGAACTGCACGACTGTTTCTCTGCGAACGAGCTCATTCTCCTCGACTGTCTTGGTTTCTCGGAACCCGGTAAAGCCCACGAGCTCGTCCGCCGTGGCGATATCACGTACGGCGGCAAGGGACCTGTAATTAACCCCTCTGGTGGACTAATCTCAAAGGGCCACCCTCTAGGAGCCACGGGTCTAGCGCAGTGTGCAGAACTGACGTGGCAGCTGCGCGGGTGGGCTAATAACCGGCTTGTAGAGAATACCTCGGTCGCGCTGCAGCATAACCTGGGTCTTGGAGGTGCGGTCGTGGTGACGGTGTATAAGCGGGCGGATGGAGGCACCAATCCGAAGCTGTCTGAAGCGGAGGTTGTTGCTGCATCTGGGGTTGGGTATAACCCTGCCACTGAGGCGCGTTACGTCAAGCCTGCCGATGCAGAAAGGGTTCGGAGTCGCGTCAAGTCGGATTATCCGTTGGAGGATACGGTGCAGAAGCTCTCTGCGAGGATCTAGTGGATGGACCAATTGTTATGTAACTCGTCTGTTGTCAATAACAATTCACTTGACACTCCCACAATGGTATCCTTATTGCAGTGGAGATATATATATCGCGAGGCGACATATTAAATCGATACACGGCTTACACATGAAGCATGTCTTGTATAAAGAATTAAAATACATAATACGACTTCAGAAGATGTCCCAACAGACAACAACCAACACAATTAATTAATGGTTGTTTGGTAAGAAGATGGTCGTCGGTCGGATGTTGCGTAGTGGTGTGGGAAAAAAAATTAATAAAAAAGAAACGACCAAGACGCGACTCGAACGCGCAATCTTTGCTGATTTCCTAACCGGAAAGCAACGCCTTACCATTAGGCCACTCGGCCGGTTGATATGCTGATCGATTATCTTCCGATTTATGAGCTAGTGATAGAAAATGTTGTCTTTGTATAGGACAGTACTATATGGATTTTCAAGAAAACTTGCTCTTTGACTTATCAATTTAACTTATATATCACCTGTAACTTGATGGCCTGCCAAATATCTTTAGAAGTCGATATCTACAGGGGGAACTACTATGTTACCCTCTGCCACAAGCACAGCAGTTCCTGAGATATGAATATCCACCAGACCGGATCCCGCATCCTTCTGCACAGTCAACTTCATCAGACACCGCCGACCTTTCTTCAAGCCCTGGGCCACTTGTATCTCTGCTTTCCCACAATATGCGACACTTATAATACCATTCTTGAATAGTAGTGCGGCCAGCGGACCTGCCGCGGATCCGGTGGCCGGGTCCTCATTCCCCATACCTGGACTCATGAACCGGGCTTCCAATTTCAAGACACTCTCTTCGTCATTGGCCAGCGTGAATGCGTATATACCACTGTTGTAGCTGTTGGTCTTTGCCAGTTCCCGACTCAATGCTTCTAGATTCGAGAAGTCGATGCGATCTAGAACCTGTTTATCCCGGACGGGAACAAGAAGATGCCGTGCAGCAGAGGTAGTCACCACCTGAGGTTCGGATAGAGTCTTTTGACCATATTCAAAGCCGATTTCCGAGGGATTTATACCCAGAGCGTCAGCGAGGGTCGATTTGTTTGGGTGCTTATCCAGGAACTGAGGGCGACCCTGACGCATGGTAATGTTGATCTGGGTTTGGGGTGACCCAGACACTTCGACTGGGAGTACATCGTCGCCTAACTCTTGGTTGTATACGTTGGGCTCCGAGCCATTCCCTCGTTGTAGCTGCTGGGAATTGATAATATGCCACCAAGCACCGAGAGAATTATGGCCCGCTCCAAAGACCTCCCCACCGTTAGGGAGGAACGAGCGAAGTCGGTAGGTAGAGTCGGGTTTTGTAGGAGGGCATATGAACGTTGTTTCTGAGAGATTAAATTGGCGAGCAATTAATTGCATTTGGGTTGTAGTGAGTGAGTGGGTCGTATTGGCGACGACTGCGAGAGGGTTGCCTTTGTAGGGCACGGTCGAGAAGACATCGACGATGGAGTAGGAGCAGCTCATTTTGAGATACTAGTTTTGTTCTTTAGAACAGTTACTCGCTCTGTACTTATACTGCTCTATTACAGGACTGTCGTATTGCTGATAAATCTGGATTCCCTGGAATACGACATGCTGAGAAATCCTCGTATTCAAGGTCGATAATATTCCATCCACCTACTCTAAATCGGGACAACCGAAGACCACTTGGGAATGGAATATTCAAGGCATGACTGGAGTGGAAATCTTTGTAATGTTCGCCCTGAGTAATAGATACTAAGCATACTGGCTGTTCCTGCCATAAAGTCGAAGTGCAGAGCAGGCACTCGCTCCTTCCGAGTAGTATCGAGCCATGATAGTTGTAGGAAAGCCGTTAACAGCAGAGCTTATCTTCATTCATACAATAATGGCTGCTTTGTATTCCCCATCTGGAGGGAGGTCTTCCAGACAATCACAGAAAGAATCAATCCAAACGACATCGTGGCAGTTGGGTGCTATCGGCTCGGAGAGAGCGACGATGGATTTGAATGTCCGCCGACTATTGCAGTTGGCGTGAAGCACGATTCGGAGAGGGGTTGGAAGGACGTAAGGGAAGGAATTGTTGAACTGTTTGATGAGAGCAGATTGGTGACGGTGGGTGTGAAGATTCACAAGGAGAAGCTGTGGGGGCAGTGGGAACCGTGAGATTGATTGCTTTACTGGCTGGTGGCGTAGAATAACATGAGACTGAATGCCATTTTAATTCTTGTCCAAAAATTAGCTGAAAGCATGAGTAGCAACAGGTTAGTGTTTATCCATTTTATTATTGCCGGACATCTTCCAACCCCCATATTTGCTTCTCTCTAGTTTTGTCTGGGCAATATTGGCCTAGTAGACGCGAGCACACGCAACATAATAATGGCTTTGCTGTAGAGCCAAGGGCGTTGTGGGGAATCGGAAAGCACATCGGTAACTATGCGAAGAACAGCCGTATTCCTTTCCAGACCATCTTAGCAGTTGATGATCAATTCTATCATTATTGCTAATTAGCCAGTACCCATCTCTTCTTGTTTTCACCAAGCATGGTCCTACATGGTGATACTTCACACGCTTACGGCGGCTGGCGGCTTAGGATTCCGCTATTCCTCATATACTTTCCGATACGGAAACGCGCGGAAGCCAATGCATTAGGCATTTTCGTAAAGAAAGGCCTGAAGTTTAAACAACCCTCGTCTTGCTCGTCTGGCCTGTCCATGGATGCGTACCCTTGCGCTTCCGTCGATCGCAGAGCGGAGTGCGGAACTGAGGGCCGCGTTACAGTTAATTTGCCATTTGGGGCTGAGTTTGAATATGGACAGTGTAGATATAAGCTCCGGCTAATGCATCGGTAGAGTTAAAGCTCAAAATTAGGTGTGGCCATGTGGCGGCCAGCGAGGACCCAACTGCCGACAGACTGGCCCGGACAAGACAGGACAAGACCAATTGACTGACGTCGATCAACTCAAAAGCCACATCCCCGTCCAATATAGACCGTTTCCAATGAAGATGGGCGGGTTCCCAGGTCGGGACCATGGTTCACGGAACCGAATTGGCCATGTCCGCCCCCGCGTCCAACTCCGCGTTCTCCATCTTGACTCTGGGGTTGGCCACTAGACGCATCCCTAGTAGATATTGGCCTGTGTAGCTTGAACCCTGGGTGCGCAAGACTCTGAACTCTGTGATTTGCACTTTTAAGCTCTATTGTGCTTTCGTATCCCACAGCGATCACCGTCAGGCTATCTTGGCGATCTTTCTTGGACGACGCAGCGGCGGAATACTTACCGACTCCAATGCCGGACGAATTTGGGCGATGCTGTATGGTCATTGTGACTGCAGCTCAGTGGTTCCCCCAGATCTTCATGACGGAATAGGGGGTGCTGCGACGAGCTCCGATGCCTGAAGAGCGTCTATAAAACCCCCCCGTCTTTCAACCAAGTATGAACCATACAATCTGCTAGCAGATGAAATCCTTCATATCCTACAATCATGGCATCCAACGAAGTTTCTGAGAAATATGACCTCCAAAACACCATCACAAACGCCACCACCCCATCCCCCCCTTCAGAGCCGACCCCAGGCCAGTCCTCCCACCTAGACTATGCCAACTCAGCAGGTCTCACGCACACAATCACCGCAGAGTCTCGCCTCCCTGCCTTTGGCGGAGCCTTCCAGCCGGGTCTCTATCGCCCGCAGAAGAAGGCAGCCAACCCTGCACCCCTCGGTCTCTGTGCCTTTGGCCTCACTGTTTTCCTCTTGGGGTGTGTCGAGATGAAGACTCGGGACATCACCCAGCCTATCTTTCTTGTTGCACCTGCATTTGCATACGGGGGGTTGGTCCAGCTACTGGCTGGCATGTGGTGAGTTCAATAAACATTGCATTGTCATCCAGGTCTAATGAATACAGGGAAATGGCTGTAGGAAACTCGTTCGGCGCGACTGTCCTCTCCTCGTACGGTGGATTCTGGATCTCATTCGGGATCATCCTAACGCCAGGTGGTTTCGGAATCAAGGAAAATCTTGTGGAGGCGAGCGCTGGGACGCCTGATATGTTCTACGACTGTCTGGGGTTGTATTTACTCGTTCGTCAACCACCTCCATTCGGAATCCTTCTTCCTCCTACCTTACACTAACGTTTAAACGTACAGGCCTGGTTCATCTTCACCATCGTAATGACCCTATGCACCCTCAAATCGACCCTCGCGTTTTTCACCCTCTTCCTCTTCGCCGATCTTGCTCTCCTCTTGCTAGGAATCGGATACCTCCTCCGAGACGCCCAGGGCACGCCCAACAGCCCCCTGTGCCAATCCGGCGGCTTCTTTTCAATCATGTGTGGTTTCCTGTGCTGGTATAATGCCTTTGCCGGTCTGGCGGACCGCAGCAATACCTATTTGATTCCCCCGGTTGTGCATTTCCCTTGGTCGGAGCAGGGGCGCAGGTCTCGTGGTGGGGATGTTGAGGCGGCGTAGGTCAGAAGTTTGTGGTGGCAGGTTTTGGTGGTGTTGATGTACTTGAAACATATGATTTCGTGGATTCTTATTCTATAAGTAATTTACTTCATTCTATTCATTGAATAGACCCACTGTTCCCACGGGACGATATTTCTAATACGGACTACATAATAGAACTAGTTTCAAAGTCCAGGGTTATAGTTAAATTGTTCTCATTTTATGGACTATAGAAATATGAATGGAATTCATTAATTAACCTCAGACAAGGACAAAAATACATGTAAAACCAGACCGGCAATGCATCAAACCAGATCAAGCCAAGTCAGACCACATGACATGAATATAGAAGAAACGAGCGTTAGAACCACATAATCTACGCTGACAAGCAGCAAACACCAATCAAAGAAAGGTTAAAAGAAATTAAAGAACCACGCCTACAGAGCAAAGGCAAGTAGAGCAGCAACACCAGCAAGGGCCGTGAAGACACCAGCAGAGGGAGCAAGCTTTCCAGCAGCACCGGTGAAGGCAACGGGGCCGTGGGAAGAAGAGGGGGTGGCCGAGGACGACGAGGCGGCGTTCTGCTCGGGCGAGGCGCCGGTGGGGCGCGCGTGGAACAGCAGGCTAGAAGATGAAGCAGGGGTGCTGCTAGCCTGGATGACGACGGAGCCGTGCGCGGCGCCATCGGGCACGTACACGGGGATCACGGTGTAGGCGCCGGCGGTGCCCATGGTGATTTCGGATTCGGCGGGCGCGTGGTAGGCCCCCGAGGTGGGCGAGGGCGCAGACGCCTCAGAGCCGTACGCAGCGGGGGTGGGGATTGGGGCAGCCTGGGTGGCCATGTCGCTGTGGACGTTGGGGTTCGGGGTTGGCTCGGGGGCATAGGCCTGGGAGCCTTGCGCAACCGGGGTAGAGACGGGGGCCGGCTGGCTGGCCATGTTGCTGTGGATATTGGGGTTCTGGATGGCCTGGCTGGGGTACTGGTTCTGAGCAGCCTGGCTGGAGGTGGGAGTCTGGGCAGCGTCGAACTCGGGGTCCTCCTCGGCAAGAGCAGTCTCGGTGGCCATCGCTGTGTGCGTACGGGTCATGGTCACAGTGTGGGTGACCTCGGAGGCCTGGCAGGCTGCGTCGTTGGCGGCGTGGGAGTCCTGGCCGGGGTAGCTCATTTCGTTGTTGGTGATTGCAGGGGATTGCTGAACGTCCTCATCCTCACCATCCTCACTAGCAGCGCTAGCGGAAGGGGCGAAGGCGCGCTTTTGGTGCCACGGCCAGGAGTAGTCGATGTCCACACTGTGGTCATCCTTGTAAGATCCCTTGAAGTCGTTGCTGGCGCTGTTCTTGATGGGGATGACGGCCACGTTTCCAATGTCCTTGCCATGAGGACCCTCGTGGATGCTTCCGGGGGCGTCACGGGCTTCCTTCATGCCGGTGTGGTAGCCGCCAGCAGGGCGGTTTGCACCGTGGTAAGGAGGGTTGGGATGACCGGGGTATGGGTACCACCAGTAAGGCCAACCCGGGTGGCCCTTCAACGAGTGGTCGTCTTTGATGTCCTGAGTCGTCTCAGACTCGGCCTCATTCTCGATACCGATAGTGGCCTTGTTGCCAGTGTCATCACCTGTAGGGCCTTCATGGATGTCACCGCGCTTCCAGGGACGTCCCCACCCGGGAGGAGGAGCATAGTAAGGCCAGCCGGGGTAGCCCTTCACTGAGTGGTCATCCTTGATATGCTGCGTCGTCTCAAACTCGGCTTCATTCTTGATACCGATATTGGCCGCGTTGCCAGTGTCATCGCCGGTAGGGCCCTCATTAATATCGCCGCGCTTCCACCACGGCCAGCCGGGGTAACCCTTCAATGAGTGGTCGTCCTTGATGTGCTGGTTCGTCTCAGACTCGGCCTCATTTTCGATACCGATAGTGGCCTTGTTGCCAGTGTCATCACCCGTAGGGCCTTCATGGATGTCACCGCGCTTCCAGGGACGTCCCCACCCGGGAGGAGGAGCATAGTAAGGCCAGCCGGGGTAGCCCTTCACTGAGTGGTCATCCTTGATCTGCTGGGTCGTCTCAGACTCGGCTTCATTCTCGATACCGATGGTGGCCTTGTTGCCAGTGTCATCGCCGGTAGGGCCCTCGTTGATATCACCTCGCTTCCAGGGATGTCCCCAAGTGGGAGGAGGAGCATAGTAAGGCCAGCCGGGGTAGCCCTTCCACGAGTGATCATCCTTGATGTCCTGGTTGGCAGTGTTGGAAGCAGAGTTCTCATGGCCAACAGAGGCAGCGTTGCCGGTGTCATCGCCATGGGGGCCCTTGTAGATACCACCCTGGGCGTGCGCAGTGGCCGCCAGCACGGCGAGAGGAATGCCGCCGTTCAAGCCCTTCATTTTTGAAAAGTCTTTTTTTTTTTTCCAAGTAGTTTTGGTTGCGGTGTTGAATGAAAGAGGGACTTTGGGGTGGGAACACAACAAGACACAACAAGTACAGAGAGCTAAGCAAGAAACACCTCTGAATCAAATCCAAAAGCTCTCAGCGAGCCAGTGGTCGGCCGCACCTTTTAACAGGAGCTTATCCAGGATATCCAGGAGGTATACGCGACGGCATTCGCGATGGCATGTTGGCTCCTGGGCAACATTGCTGAGTCGGCATGCGATCGCCGGGACGGCGCCGCGGCGAGAATGTGGTTAAGAATGGGTGGCGCTCTTTCTACACTGAAATTCGGATATTCACCATACAAGAGGGCAATGAGGTGCGGAGGGAACGCATTCCAGCGTCGTCAGTGCCGGAGGGGTGACCCCTGCAGGGTCTTCAAAACACGTCCTTTGTGACCGGCGATGGGATTAGCATCAACGCTGATCTGCAGTCAGGCAGGTTTCTGGCATGAAGAACAAAGAATCTACTGAGGTCACCAGGGCTACTAATACTGGAGTCTAATGTAATTACTTAGTGATGTATCCTGTCATAGACATTCCCCCCCTATCGTCGCCATTGCTAGAGACGCAACGGGGGTGAACTTCCTGTCAAGGAGTTTCTCTCCAGAGCCGATCAGTCCGCAGACCGAAGGCAACGCGTCGCCGTGAAGGCTGGACGACGGTCGTGGCAGGCTCTGTTAGCTTTTTTCGATGTATGGGAGAGAAAAGAGAAGAAGAGGAAGCGCCGCAGAATTTTCTGTATTTATTTGCGTGCGGCACGTGACTGACCCACAGCCAAGGCACCCAGGCAGTAAGGCACTGACATTCAGGCACCCAGTACGGATAGTTACAAGTTAGGGAGTCTGTTACATATACAAGAAAGAAAGACGCAGGCTAATGGACCTGCTCCGACCGGTGATTCCCGCTCCAAACGCCCCCGCCGACTGCTGCTGTGATCCCCAGCGCAATCGCCACCATGCATCCCACCACCACGACCGCGATGACAATCTTGACGGCGATGCGCTGCTTCTTGCTCAGCCCGCTCAGACAGTCGAACCGCCGCTTCTTCTGCGCCCAGAGCTTCGAATCGCGGTTCGTCGTGCTCATATTCCGCGTCTCGTCGTCGCTTAGCCGCTTCCATGGCGGGCGCGACCCGTTCTCCAGGTCATCGATGGGGCTGGCGATGCCGAAGCTGCGGGTGCGTTTCCGCTGCGAGGTGAAGCGGGCGATGGCTGAGGCCGCGGAGGGTGTTGTTGCATGGCGGTAGAAGGGGGAGTAGGGCTTTGCGCCGATAGAGGGGTCGTAGTCGGGGACTGGAGCTGGGAAGGGCTCTGAGTGGGAGTGTGGTTGCAGCGGTTCGAGTTCTGGTTGTTGTGGTGGATGAGGAGAGGCGAGCGGGTCTTCAGGCGTGTCCTTTTCGGGGATGGGAGAGACGGCGGCGCGGCGAGGGTGTTTTGGTGTATCCAGCTCGCCTTCTGAGGTGTATGAGAGCTGTGGAGAGGGTGGGAGGGAGTTGTATAGCGGCTTCTCCTCGGGGCCTGATGTGAGAGTCGCCATGTTGCAGTTGACCAGGATCAACAGGGTGATCTCCAGATGAGAGCTGTTGTTGTGTTGTAACACAAGAATGGATGACGGAGGCAGCTCCTTAAGCAATTGCAGGCCTTTACGCTTGCATTTTGGCTGTTGGCAGGGCAATTATCCGTGCACTGCTGTCACTGTCTCAGCCGGTATTCGACAACTCAAACTCGTGTTTGTTTTCGAGAAGCCTCTGCATTCTTTGCGGCAGCCTGGAATTAAAGAACAGGCTGGACACAGGGGTCAGGGGGAGTGGGTTCGCATCCCTTGTTTCTTAATTAAATGCGTTACAGGAATGCTGCAAATAGAAGAGTTTGCCACGAGCAAGGGTCCGGGGCCGGCCATAGCTTGTGCCTGGCAGTTTGACTGGAGGAAATTGCCACTTGCCAGTCCATAACGGTGTTAAATACTGGAGTGTTAAAGTAGTGGGCGTAGTGGATATAGTGCCTGCTAGTCTGCCCCCTTAACCCTATAAGTGAAGCCGCACGCAACAAGCCAGCCCACAGTCCACATAAGAGCAACCCACCTATCCATAACACTACACCGTGTACACGTAGGCGACAGTATCTGTCATTCAGCCACTCAGTCCCCATCGTCGCCCCAGAACTCCCGTAAATCCTCGACCCGCCAAGCCGTCGCCCAGCCCGTCTCGCGCTCGATCCTCGTCAGTGTCTCCACTATCGCTGCGTGCTCTGAATGATGCGACATGACCTTCCCCGCGATCCAGAGCGGTTGCAGTGCGTTGGTCCAGCAGCCGCTGTATAATTAGCATCGAAAAAGAAAGACAGGCTAGTGATACATACTGGTGTGCATTCGAGGCCGAGATGGCGCAGATCTGGCGCGCGTGCCAGAGCACCGATTTCTGTTCTTCTTAGTACCAGCCTGTAGTTATAGCTTGGATAGGAATGGGAATACCGGTCGTCGCGCAAGAGAAAGCGTCTTCGGCTTGCGCTGTAGCAGTAATAAAGCGCAAGTATGGTACAGCTGGTTCCCGGATACTGTCCCACATCAACATCATGCACCAATTAAACCCAAAAACTAAAGAAAGTTAAATAAAGTAACGTACTGGCAGCCCCATTCGCATACAGAACAGTCGGAAACGGCCTCTCAGCACCCCAGTCCGCCGACGTCGTCGTCGAAACGCTAAAAATCGACTTCATCTGGCTCGGCCGGTTCTCGTACCACTGCTCAACAGATTCAAATAATCGGCTCCAGCGGCTCACATACGACTCGCTACTATCGTCAGGACTACCAGGGTACGATGCAGAGGAAGATGGTCCCTGGCCGCGCCGGAAGAGCACGCCCAGTGTCTGTGCGCAGAGAAAAACGGTGTGGTTTGCGTAGGTGTCGTGGTTGGATGCGAGGAAGAGGCGCGTTGCGTCGGCGGGGGTCATGTCGTTGGGGATCCAGTGGTAGATTGGGATAATTGTTTCTTCTTCGGAGATGAGGCCGCCGCAGACGTCTGTCTTATTAGTCCCGTCCTGAGAGAGGGATAGGGAGAAGGGGGGGAGTACCCATGCGTGCAAAGCACCAGAATAGAGCCTGTTCCTCTTTACCGGAGAATCCGTTGATCTCGGCGGCTTGGATGAGAAATGCGCAGCCGTCTAGGTGGCGGCGCCATTCTTTAGGGTTGCCTGTTCCAGTATTAACATTTGATATATTCATCCATATTTAAGGGAATGGTACAGCTTAGCATCTCCAGCACACAGAGAATCACGCAAGAGGCAATAACAGGAGTCGTCTTGCTTTCCAGCTCCGGCAGCAGGAGATGGATAGCCTCCTGGTACAGAGAAAGACTCTCGGACTGTGACTTTTCGTTCTGCTTGCGCTCCATCTGCCGCGCTGAAAGGGCGAGGATGGAGTAGCGCAGATGCGGCGCCGATTTGGACATCTGGGGGAATGTCGACGCAAAGTGGCGGTGGTTGTCGAACATGTCCAGCTGTTTTGTCAGCCTTTCATATAAGTATAGCTCAAGGCATGTCTTACCCAAAGACAAATCTCGTTCAGATAGTTCTGCCACAGGATGTTCTCCCTGTCTGGCGATAGTTCGAACCGTCCGGGTCGCGCCCGCGACTCGCTCCGTCGACGATCGGGGACAGAGCCAAGAGCAGATGTAGGTGAGCCTGGTCGGCTGGGGATATCTGGCCGTGCTGTCCAGAGCTGTCGGTTGCGTAGGGCTGTGTGGAGGGCCTCGTACGCTGAGCCGGGCAGGAAGACGTCGTTGGCTGGGTTATCGAGATCGGAGAAGACGCTGGAGTCGAAGAGCGGCGGCGTCATGCCCGAGTATGAGTTGAAGTTGCGCAGTGCCGTGAGCTCGTCGACCATGAATTCTGGAGAGGAGATATAGGGCTGGCTGATGTCGTTGGTGAATTGCGCCGAGTTGGACGGAGACGTCACCATATGGCCTGGGCTGAAGGTCTCATCCTGTCTGCGAGTAGGGTTTGGCATATCAGGAGTCGGAGATGGTGATAGAGCTACCGCTTGGTCTCTAGGTGAAGCAGCAGGTTCAGCATCCCTAACAGGCGTCTTCTCCCCCGGATCCAACCCGTCATCGTCGTTCTTGTCCTTCCGACGCGACGGTTCAACAGTCAAAATCTATACAGTGATATAGTGAACGACTGCCAGCAACTCTCTGAATATTTAATACACACCTTGAACTTCCCATGCCGGCGTAACGGACGACCAACAGCCTGGTTCATTGACGGATGCTCCGGCTCCAGCACCTTGATATTGGCATCGCGGAAAGCACCGACCTGCCGCCACTGGCAGCGGTCGCCTCGCCGTTTACACCCCGAGCAGGTCGGTTTTATCTCGTCGCCTGTTCGTCAGCATATAATTTACAAGTCTAAGACGCGAAACGAACATTTCCGACGACGCCGGCTGCAGTTCACACAGCCCGTGCGTGTACGCTTGCGGGGGGGAACAGGGACTGGACGCGGAGAGGTCTCGGCCTCGGGATTCATATTGGAATATAGATAGACAAGACACTTGCACTCGTAACATGGACAATATAGGAAAACAGAGTAATGTACAGCAGGGACAATTGCTTAAGAGGGGAAGCAAAGGCGGCGGATTGCCCGATTGGGAAGCGTTAAGCGCAGTGGAGTCGGGCAAAGTCCGGGGATGGCAAATTCGCAGTAAATGCAATAATTGCCAATTAGCCATTTAGCAGGATTTATTGCATGGATTGACTGGATTGAATGAATGGTTCACTCCACATGCTGAACCTCCGCGTCCTTCTCCTGCAGTCGGTGCTCGGTGTCGCCCGCCACGCCCATCGACGCGTCCCAGTGCAGCCGCACCTTCTCGCCCGTGAACAGCCGGTCGATCTGCTCCAGGGTGAGATTGCGCGTCTCCGGGTAGAGGAAGAAGATGATCGGGAGGAAGCAGAAGTTGAAGATGGCGAAGTAGATGTACGTGCGGTATCCGATGTTGCTGATGCTGACCGGGGTGATTTCCACCACCAGGAAGGTAAAAATCCCTAAACCGTAGAATTAGCAAGGATTAAGCCAAGGAAATAAACAAGATAGAGATTTATAAAAACATACAGTTTGTTGCTGTCGCCAAAGCAGCAGTGCGAGTTCGGATGGCCAGAGGCGCATATTCCGCCGGGACTGCTGTGGTTAGCCTGGAGAATGGAATCGCGAAGGGAAGACATACGCAGCCATGGGACTGCCAGCAATCCAACACCAAAGAAGAAGTTGAACAGGAACAGCATCACTGTGGCCACAATACCCGCTGCGTGCCCGCCGTCGTAGACCGTCCCTGCCAGTATAGCCATGCAGGCACACTGTCCGCCCGCAGCGAAGAGCATGAGTTTGCGACGGCCGAGTCTGCTAATAAGCATTTATTCATTTACGGAGAATAAGGTACTTACCGATCAATCGCCCATACTGGAACAAATGTAGAAAAAAAGTAGGCGACGCCGTTGAAACCAGCCACCAGCAGAGCCAAGTTATGGGTCATTCCCACCGATTGCTCGAAGATCACGGTATTGTACTGTCTTGTTAGATGAATCAATGGAAATTCGAAGGGGAACATACATAGGTAATCAGGTTAATCCCCGATAGCTGCTGCATCATCTGTCCCCCCATGGCCAGGAGAGTGCGGTGTCGGAACCGCTGAGGCCCATCCTTCAGCAGCATCTTGAAAGAGCCCTTCTCAGCAGCCTGGCGCTCTTCGGCCATGGTGTGAGTAATCTCCGTCATTTCCAGGTTGATCACCGCGTCGTCCTGGCCGATATCGCGGGCATTGGGCTGGACGGCCCACAGGACTTGACGGGCGTCGTTATGGCGGTCGTGGGCGATGAGCTGTTCATTAGTCCTGTTCTGAACACCAGCAATGGGCTCTCATGGTACTCACCCAGCGAGGAGATTCTGGTAAGACCAGCACACCGAAGAAGGTGACAACGGCGAAGAGGATCTGCAGGGCGAGAGGGAAGCGGAACTGGGCATCGTTGTTGACATAGCTCATGCCGTAGTCTATCCAGTTAGCATGGCAATAGCAAGTGGATCGTTGATACATACCAACCCAGTAGGCCGTCATGACGCCAAAGATATTGATCACCAGTTCGATAGCAAGCTAGGCTGTTAGTATGGAAGACAAGAAAGTAAAGGCAGACTCACTCCTTTTCCTCGGCTGGAGGCTTTGCTCAGTTCGGAGTGCCAGACAGCTGCATTCGTTAGCTGAGAAGTAAACAGAAGAAAGAAACATACGGATAGTACTAGTGTTCAGACCATTGCCTACACCGGCAACAATGCGTCCGACAATCATCTGAGGAATACCAAAGGCAGTGGCCTGGAGAATCGCTCCGATGGAGAGAATAATACAGCCAGCCATGATACACCACCGACGACCCAGGCGCTCACCAACCAGCAGCGACGCGATAGCACCAAAGAAACAGCCCTAGACTTGTAAGCAGCAGCGTAATTGGTTGGGTTCCTGCACGCACAATCTCGTAGATAGCAACCCTAACCAGTCAGCCAGGCTCCAGCAGTAGTAATAGGGGAGCTTACACTGTTCCCTGCAGGGAGGAGTTTCCATGGCCTCCCTCAGTCGTATCAATCTCAGGGAATGTCCGGACAAAGGCATCGCCGGTCAACAGACCTGCCATGACACCCTGGTCATATCCGAATCTGTGCTGTCAGTGACATCCTCCAAGGATAGGGGATATACCCACAGCAAGAAGCCACTGCCGGCCGTGGCCGTGATGGCCAAAGAGAGCGGCCGTCCAACAAGAAAAGTCATATCGTTATCGGTACTAGCTCGGAAATAAATGACCCTAAGAAATGGAGTCGTCTAGCCCGGGCAGATGAGCTTTATAAACGAATCCGGGAGAAAGTCGGGAGCCGTCATCGGGACATCGACCCACGGGGTGACGGCGTGGCGCCGGGGTTAAAGCTTTAGCGGAAGGATTCTGGGGTTGCAACTCAGGAACGGCTGGCGCAAAGATAAACTAAAAAGGGCGCAGTAAGATGCTTGTTCCTGGCCGGATCTCGGTCTGTATCAGGATAGATGTACAGCCCCCCCTGTCGAACAACTACACCTCAAACACGTAAACAGCCTATTCCGCCCACGTTTATTCTGTAGACAACTGCATACGCAGTCTGTTCCTCCTGTAAACGATCGGCCAACGTGTGTTTCAAGTCGCATGTTCTCTGGGCCAAGTGGAGCTCTCCGGACAACCCCCGGGCCCCCAGATCCCCAGCATTACCAGATTAGGAAATCTTAGACGCTTCACACAAGCCCTACTGGCCCACTTCCCCTGACAAGAAATGTTAAGCACATCGGGATGCCGTGGCAGCTGTCCATGCATAGCAAGCCTGCTCCATCGGCATAAATCGATATGCATTATCTCCTAGTTAGGCTATCCTACGCATTCACGCAGTAGACAGCACATACACCCCCATAATTCACATCCTATAAATCCCACACCCCTCACCTCCCCCTCAATCCGTTATCCATCTCGAAAGTAAAAAGATACAGCCAAAATGTCCCCCATCGCTGTCCCCGGAACGCCCTCCGAAACCCCCACCCCGGCCAACGGAGCCATCCCAGCACCCGTCGCAAACCCTCTCTTCTCCCTCTCAAACCGCACAGTCGCCATCACCGGCGGTGGCCGCGGCCTGGGAATCGTCCTAACCAGCGCCGTCCTCGAAGCCGGCGCCGATGTCGCCTGCCTCGACCTTCTCCCGGCCCCCAGCGCCGAAGAATGGGTCGGTGTCCAGAAACTGGCTGCCTCGCGCGGCCTGCAGGCATCATACATCCAGTGCGACATCACAGATGAAGAGTCCACAAAGACGGCGCTGGAGAAGATTGCCGCGGTGGGAAAGGAGCGCGGAATGCCACTCAGGGGCGCGATTACCTGTGCTGGCATCCAGCAGATGGTTCCGGCTTTGGAGTACCCGGTTGATTTGTGGAGGAAAATGTTGGATGTCAAGTATGTCTCTCTCTGTGCTCTCTCTTATCTGCTTTTTACATTCGATGGTTTGTCTTGTTTTGTCTGTGGCTAATGGTTCCAGCGTCGTTGGAACGTTTATCCCCGCTAAGCACTGTGCGCGTATATTCAAGGAACAGGGGACCGGGGGGAGCATTGTGATGATTGCGTCGATGTCTGGGCAGATTGCCAACCGGGTATGTTTTGTATCATATGAATTTCTCGGGTAGAGGAACTAATGACAGCAGGGGCTAACATGCACCGCATACAACTCATCCAAGGCCGCCGTGCATCAGATGTGCCGCTCCGTAGCCCAGGAATGGGGCCAGTACGGTATCCGCGTCAACACATTGTCTGCCGGGGTATGTCTTAATCTTGAGTTGTAGTACGAATGCTAACGTTGTCTAGTACATCCGCACGGCCATGACAGACGCTCTTCTGGTAGCCAAGCCCGAGGTCGAAGAGACCTGGATGCGCGGCGCCCTGCTCAACAGACTCGGTGTCCCCGATGACTTCAAGGCGCCAACGGTATACATGCTCGCCGATGGGAGCGGGTTTATGACCGGGGCTGATCTGCGGGTTGATGGCGGACACTGTGCTTCAGCATGAGATGACGAAATGTTAATGAATAGATTAGATTAATAGACATAGACTGCAAGTCACTAGCTCAGCCGCACGATCACAAGAGCAGCTCGTATTTAGTAGTTTATTTCTCTCGCTAAAGTTAAATCGCGACTGGTGCGCAGAGCCGGACACGATGTTATTCGAGATACGGTGGGGCTTCAGCTGCAGCTCGTGTCTTCTTCTTGGCCTGATCGCCAGCGAATGAGCCTCGCGCCAGCAGATTTGGGTTTTCATGAATACGAACGTCGAGCGGCCACTTCTGCGCCTCAACGGCCCGAAATGGCTGAGATTAAATAGAGGGCCTTCGCCGTGATCGTGGCTCAGCCCTCAATTTGCAAGACAATCCCAGCATCAACAGAATGAAAGTCATCAAGCAAGAAGAGGGCTCCACCCCCCTCTGGGAGATGTCTACAGGCCCAGGTCATGGCCACGACGACCGCAGCTACGACTATGAGAACGCCCCCGCGATGGAGCAGTCACGGCCCTTCCTCGATACCTCCAGGTTGTGGGGAAAGGAGGAAGATGACGGCGCATCAGCCGGTCCTGGAAAGCTCTACGTTATCAGCCCCTTGACATACCTCATCGGGTACATGTCCATGATCGTCGTCATGGGTATAGCCTGTGCCATCCTCGCGCGGACGTACCCGGGTGCACTGCAGTATACTGCTATTGTGGCTGTCATCATGGTACATCCATAACTCATCGACCCTTCCAAAGGATAGAAGAAACTAACAATCTAACAGGGAGTAACCGGCATGTTCTGTACATTCGGACTAGACCTGCTCCTCCCAAGATCCAAATCCCAGAGCGACCCCACGCCATCAGCAGCATCGTATATCCTAGTCATCGCCAGGACCGTCATCTGGCTAGCTGTCTCTGTTGCCATGCTGGTAACCGGTGCCATGGCAGATGATTCAGACGATCGCGAGAAATCGAAATTTGCGAAACGACGCGGGCGTGGTGGGGGTGGTGGGGGTGGGAGGGGGAATAAACCGCCGCCGCCGCTGAGGAATTTGGCGATTGCTTGTGGGTGTATGGGGATTGTTGTGTTGTAGGTTCTCTTTTTTTTTTTTTTTTTTTGTCGACCGATTGTTTCGATTGAAGATTTGGGCTAATGAGGATAGTTTGACTACGCTTGTATACTGGTATCCGGTAGTGGTGGCGAGATATCGCAAATACTCGAAAGAACAGACGAGAGACATGTACGAAGGGTTAATTTTGACGGAGGGGAGTAAAGATAGTGTGAGGGCATTGTTTCGTGATATCAAGAATGCAAGAACGTATTAGTTTCTGCTTATGCAGTATGTGCAACTGTCTATGAATGTATCGGATCCATTTCAGCCATTCACCCAGACGAATCTAGTATGACAGCTTCAGTGGCCTAGATGCAGTGAAGCTCTCCTCCATCGTGAGTGTGGCAGTTCTGCAATCGTTAGTCGCGCCCTCAACGTTGATAGACTGTACTCACTTCGGGGATATCTTCCTCGTCATCATCATGTTCGTGGTCATGGTCTTCCTCATCACCAACACATCCAACCCCAGGAACAGCAACATCATACGCATACACCTCTAGCGCGAAATACTGCAGCGTCTCCGAGTCATGCACAGCCTCAGTGCGGTTTCCCTCTGCCAGCTCCAGCACCTCACTATATCCATCTGCGTAGTGCTCGATGAGACCCTGTCCGAAAGCCGGCAGGTGGTAGAGCCGGTGAAGCAGGTCACCAGCCCAGAACGTGTTTGTCTCGGATCCTGAAACGGTATACCCCTGGGAGCACATGGTGCTCAAGGACCGGCGGGTAGTGTAGCTGAGTTCACAGATGACTGTCTCGGAGGTAGCATTCTCGCCGCGCCAGTGGCCGGCCCAGTCTTCATTGATCAATGTTAGCATTCGACTAATTAAGCGGGTTGTGAAAGCGTACCCTCAAGATCACAGTTGCCATCGGGGTTGTCACAGCGGAAGAGGACAGACTCTGGGTTCCCGTTGATGATGATGTCGTAGGCGCCGATGGGGGTGATGGCGGGCCTGTCACCGAAGTACTTGCGGTAGATGGTGCTCTCGTTGCCCCATTGCAGGATGTGGTCTTTGGCGTGCTGCACGAGGGTGACGGTCTCCTGCAGCGCGGTGGCGAGTTGGCGCTGCTCGGTCGCGTTGCAGCTTTCGTGGATGGGGAAGGGAGACTCGATAGGGTCCTCCAGGGGTACAGGGGACTGTGTCGGCAGCGCCGCAATGGGGGCGCAAAGGGCCAGAGCTAGGGCAAGGGGCCACATTGTAAAAATACGAACGATGCTTCTTTTTTTCTTTTTCTTTTTTTAGATTGGCCGTTTCCTGTCAGTCTGCAAGGGTATGCAAGGTCTACAGGATCGTCCTATTGACAGTATTTATACCTGTTTCCGCATCTTGAGTACCTTCGAGATCACCAAGAGATGTCCAAGAAACGGGAACTCTTGGAAGGCTTGGGTTCTGTGTATCTCCCGATATCTTCTGTATGTTTACTAGAGCTTCGCTTGTATCCCACGCTTTGCCAAGCAGCCAAGGCCACGAGGGGACCCTGGGGACAACAGGCTAAACTGCATCGACGGCGTGATCCGGGCTTGTTCTCCACCACGGAGAGGTTGGATCGGGAGCGGCAACAGCTGTTGGCACTTGGCAAGATATCTGTTCTTGGCGGAGCGCTTGGCAGGTGTACCTTGGTAGTTAGTGAGGATGTGAAATGCGACAGTCTCAGTGGGAGGTCCCGGTGATGGTCAGATTTTTTTTGTATTCCTTCATCTCGCGATTCAGGTAGTGTTGCGATACCTTGTGGACAGAGGAGTTAAATACCTTCGGTCCGTGCTTGGTGATATCAAATCACTCCTTCGCAGTTCACGCCCACCCCGTCAAATTCTGCTCGTGACTCTCCTTGCGTCCGATCGGTATAGTTCGCGTGATGAAGATCGTGGTTCCCGTCCTTGCCCTTGCTGGGCTCGTCCGTGCTGTCTCCATTACGGGGTGCCACCAGCACGGCAGCGATGTGTACTGTATCACCGAAAGTGGTGAAGAGGTCCAGGTGGCGCTGGACAATCCCCCGGCAGAGCTTCCTTCTGAATATACCGACTGCCATACTCATGGGGACAAATCGTAAGCGCTCTGCGTTCACCCCTAAGTGTTCACCTGTCAAGCATTGCTAACCGACGCAGGTACTGTGTCGATCCAAATGGCGAAGACGTCGAAGTCTTGGGAGAAGTAACCAGCTCGGGCACCAACAGCGAAGATTCCAATTCCCAATCTAATGAAGAAAGCTCGGGCGGAGAGAACTGTCACTTCCATGCCGGCGTGGAGTATGTACCCATCCTCGTTCAATTATGTGGTGAGATGCTAATCATGTAGACACTGTGTTGGTGCAGGAGAATCGGAGAGTGACTCTAGTTCCTCTGAGAGCTCAGAGGGCCAGAATTGCCACTTCCATGCTGGCGTGGAGTATGTATCCGTCCTTCCCGAGTATGTGGTCAGGTGCTAATCATGCAGACACTGTGTCGGTGCAGGAGAATCGGAGAGTGGCGGTAGCAGCTCGAGCTGCGGTATCCGGAGCCGCGACTACGACATGCCTCTGCGCATTGGGACACTCTTCGTCATCCTCGTCACCAGCTCCATTGGTGTCTTCCTCCCCATGGCCCTGGCGAAGCTGCCGTCCGCGAGAATCAACGTCTGGGTGTCGACCATCATCAAGCAGTTCGGCACCGGTGTCATCCTCTCGACTGCATTCGTCCATGTAAGTCATCAGTCAAGATCCAGGAAGCCTGTGATGCTAATCAAACCAGCTCTACACGCACGCAGACCTCATGTTCAGCAACGAGTGTCTCGGCGAGCTGGAGTACGAAGCCACCACCTCCGCCGTCGTGATGGCCGGTATCTTCCTCTCCTTCCTGACCGAGTACATCGGCCACCGGTACATCCTCGCCCGCAGCGCCCGCTCAGGAGATTCCTCCCCCCAGCAGGTCGACAACGGCTCGTCCAAGTCCGCCGCCGAACAAGCACCAGCCCAACCGGCCCACCAACACAGCGCCCTCGCAGGCCTCGGCCACCACCACGGCGGCGACCCAACAAACCCCAACACCAAGCTCTCCGTGCTCGTCATGGAAGCCGGAGTCATCTTCCACAGTATCCTCATCGGCATCACGCTCGTCGTGGCCGGCGACTCCTTCTACAAGACCCTCCTCGTCGTGATCGTCTTCCACCAGTTCTTCGAGGGTCTCGCGCTAGGCGCACGCATCGCCCTCCTTCCAGGCCGCACGTTCCCCATGAAGGCAATCATGGGCGCCGCATTTGCGCTGGTCACCCCCGTCGGTATGGCGATTGGCATGGGCGTGATTCACTCGTTCAACGGGCAGGACCGCCACACGCTGATTGCGCTGGGCACGCTCGATGCGCTGTCTGCAGGCATCCTGGTGTGGGTTGGTCTGGTGGATATGTGGGCGCGCGACTGGGTGATTGAGGGTGGTGATATGTTTGCGGCGCCGCTGCGGCATGTTGCGGCGGGCGGCATCTCGTTGATTGCCGGGATGGTTCTGATGGGTGTGTTGGGTAAGTGGGCTTGATTGCTTGCTTCGTGTAAATAGATGGGGACGGGATTCGCAGGTCGAACAGAGCGAGATACGCGTCGGAATGCGGTGGTGGTCTGTGCGTCTGCCCTGCAGCGACCGTAGATTAACACATACTCTTTAACTTATTACTATTGACATTAGACATATTATATTTTGAACTGGACTTATCTGTAACAGAATTAATCAGTGTAAGGGGCACGGTACAAAACTGTATCTATTAGCATACCCCAAGATGCCGGGTTTAATGAAGTCAAGTACAGAATAATCTGAAGCAAATATGTCTATAGTAGTAGAGCACAAATATATATCCAATACCGATAATATCATCATCACCAGAAACACCATCAAGAGCGCCAAATTGCGCCCGAACAGAAAGGCAAAGTAGAATAAAACTTTCAATAGAGCCAACATGTCTTCAATTACTTCAAGATGTGGAATATAGCCCGGTAGAAGTCAATTTGGAGTTTTGACTAGTTTCTTGGATCAGCCTATGTAGCATGAAAAGCAAGCCGATCACCAATCATGGCTTACGGTCTCTGGGCCATTCAGATCTCCGTCTCTTTACCATCTCCACCTCTTCATCAACATAAGCCAGTTTTTAATATTCCTTCATTTTCGGCGGCTTAGTTTCCAGTTGTTCGGCAGCCAGAGTTCGCGTTTGTGCCCTTGGAACAGTAACCTTTGGGGTCCATTTTCGTCCCTGTGATGATGATTTGCGCCGTTGAATGTATTGTAAGTGGTCTGTCGCCAGTTGCAAGCCGCAAGAACTCACGGTCTGGATTCTCAGCAGTTCATTCCAAATCCATAACGGCGGGCCCCCTTTTACTGAATGGCGGACCCGCAAACCCTGTGCTTGTCAAAGCTGGGTCCAATTGGGGCTCTGTCAGTTTCTGAGTCGCCGACGCTGCAGGGGTAGAGGCCTCAGCCGCCGTTGGTGCCCACGGGCCTTTTCTGATTTCCTTGTCAACCGGGGAAGATACACCAGATATGTGGTGTCCTGTATGTGATGGACGCGGAGTACCTTAGGATATGGATAGCTACCAGTGTCAACTGCTGTAATGCCCGGCAAACACATGCTGCACTGGAGTCGACGACGCATCAACGCCTCATTCAAGTTCATATAAACCAAACTTCAGCGATCATCCGAGCTAAAGTATAGCACCTGGGTGATTCGGAAATGAACGAGCGTCAATCCATCGACAAGGCCCACAATGTCAGATTCTTGAATTGAGGCCGGTCCCCTCCTGGGTGCTGAATTCTTCACTCTTACCATACCACTAAACCACCACCTCGCCATAACCCACCTAACATGTCCGACTCGGACACAAGCGATGCCAGCCCGTTTGGCTGGGCCCTCCGCGTCAATGGCTCCTGCCTCGACGTCGAGGAGGACTGCGGCATGACCATCGAGCCGTACCGAGTCTGCTGTCCCGGGGGTTCGTACTGCCCACACGCCTACAACGTCGCCTGCTGCCCATCGGGTTCAAACTGCACGGAAGCGCTGGAGGCCAAACCACACTGCGCCAACGAGACATGGGACCTGTATATCAACGGCGGTTATTTTTGCTGCGAACACGGCACGATCGGGTATGCCACGGACACGGATTCAAACGGGTGCGGGGATGCAGATTATGAGCTGCAGGTTGGCGAGTCGGCTTTGCCGATTATCCAGACGGGGACGGGTAAGTGCACCATCTAGTTCCTCAACTTGCTGGAAAAAAAACTAACCTGTTTATAGTCACAACAAGTACCCCGTCACCAACATCAACCCCGTCAACGACAGCAACCGACGACAGCTCATCCTCAACACCAACATCGACATCGAACAGTTCCAGCTCGAGCTCAGATCCAAACACGGGCGCGATAGCCGGCGGCGTGGTCGGCGGCGTGTGCGGTGCAGCAATCATCGCAGTCCTGGTCTGGCTTTTGATCCGCACGCGGCGGCGGCAGCAGACGCAAGACGCAATGAACCAGGCTGAGTACTTCAACAAGGCTGGGCTGATGCCGCCTGAGTCGGTGCAGACTTCGCCGCTGCCCGTGGAGATGGATGCGCATCGGTTTGCAGAGCTCGGGGACCATCGGACGGTTGCTGAGTTGCCTGGGTATTATGGGAGATAAAAATAAGTTTCTGTCAGTCATTACATGCTTGCATTTATTCTCTTTGTTAGCAGCGGGTGGTGATTTTTATTTTATGTTATTTAACTATATTATACTATTTATACTCACGGCATGGCAGCTTTTCTTATGTGGATATAATGTGAATATTTATTCAAACAGTCCAATGAATCATAACTGGTTATAATAAGAGGCCATTAATCCACGAATCGAGTGCAATGTAAGTAAATACTACCTGAGTGGGGGAATGATCCCCACTACAACAACACCAAACCATCACCATCACCATCACCACAACCATCCCCAACTCAACGAAATACACAAAAACTCTAAAATGACTATTTCGCTCCGCCCCGCCGTGCCCTCCGACGCACCCACCCTGGCCGACATCAACATCAAAGCCTTCACCGACCAAGGCTTCATGAGAAACACATTCCCAGGGGTCCCTGACGCCGTGATCTACGAGCTCAAGCGGGCGCGGTACCTCAAGAAAATCGCACACCCGCAGACGCACGTTATCGTCGCCGAGGACGACGCGTCGGGTGCTGTTGTGGGCTGTGCGCGATGGATTTTCCCTGCCGCTGCTGATGCTGAGGGGAAAGTGAAGGGGGCGGGGGATTTGGTGGATGAGGACTCGGCGGCGGCGGCGAAGGGGGCGGAAGACGCGCTGCCTGAGGGGACGAATCGGGGGATATATACGGGGTTTTTTGAGATTCTGAAGGACAAGGGGAAGGCTTATCTACGGGATGATGATGTTGGTATGTTTCTTTCTTTCTTTCTTTCTTTCTTTTTTTTTTTTTTTTTTTTTCAGTTTGGTTTGAGAGCTGATGGTTGATGGGCAGTCCTGGAATTCATCGCCACGCTCCCGCAGCACCAACGACAGGGCGTCGGCAAGGCACTCCTCCGCTGGGGAATCGAGCGGGCGGAGGCCGAGAACAGGCGGATCTACCTGGAGGCCACGACGGAGGGATTCCCCGTGTACGAGAAGAGTGGGTGGCGGGCGCTGGAGCAGGTGAACATTGACTATGCGCAATGGGGAGGGCAGGGCGAGCAGGTTCTGACGCTGATGCTGCGAGATCCTTGATCCGGCTCCTTGCCTGGCGTGGGTGATTGATTCGTAAGTGAGTCAGCTGCAGTGGTCACGGCGTGATGCTGAATGCTGCCAATGGAGTCGACTGTCCGGCACAACCTGCCAAATCGAGCTTAACGTGAGGCCGACGATCGAGCGTGGGGAGGGAGAGGGGAGTTGGAGAGGACGTTGTACAGACTCCGCGTGCGACTGCCTGCTCTGGTTAGGGTGTTGCGGCTGCTGGTTATTTAGAGACGGTCCCCGCACGTAATTATTACTGTATACACTCATAAGTTCGTAACTGATAACATATCATGGACATCCACATCCTCCCGCTGTCCAGGCCGGACATTCCCGCCGCTGTAGAATGCATCCAGACCGTCTTCGCCGACGACCCTTTCTTCCGCTACATGTTCGACCAGTCCGCTGTATGTCATACCAAGACCCAAATAAATTTAATCCCATTCTTAAAGTGTTTCAGTACAATCCCTCCCGCAACGCCGCCTCCCTCTCCGCCCACTTCCTGCACGGCCTCAGCATCAACGCCCCCATCTACGTCGCCAAAACAACCCTATCCCCAACCGACAAAGCCCCCAGTATAGTCGGAATCTGCTGGTGGCTCCCGCCATCCTCCTCGACGCCCTCACCCCTCTCCGCCCTCCTCCAAGACTGGCTCCTCTCGTTCCGCCAACTCCTCGCCAACATCCGCTACGCCGGCCGTGGCGGACTGCGCTTAAATCGCTACCGCCAGTGGAAGGCGCTGCAGAGGACGACGCACGACAAGGTCTGGCGCGACCCGCGCGGGTACTACTTTTGCAATGTGATCGCGGTGCGGGCTGAGATGCGCGGGAAGGGCGTTGGGCGGCGGTTGGTGGAGGTTGTCACGGAGAGGGCGGATGAAGAGGGCATGCCCTGTTATCTGGAGAGTTCGAAGGGGATGCCGAATCTGAGGATCTACGAGAAGCTGGGGTTTGAGATGGCGAGGGAGATTGAGTGTGTGGATGGGAAGGATGTTTGTACGGTGAGTCGAGTCGGCCCTCTCTTCCTCTTAGATCCATTACACGTTTGATGCTGCGGCTTGATACTGATTATTTAGCTGTATTGTATGACCCGAAGTCCGACCAAGAGTGATGTTAATTAGACTAATGTTAATCCGTAACCAACGTCTTCTTGGCTTAATTATACATTAACAGTAACAGTCAGCCCATGCTTCACCATTTTCCTCCAAGACTGTTTCCTCCTCTTGTTAATCCCCGGTTTCCCAAAGAGAATCTAAGCAACGGAGCCAAGAGCAACACAGGGAAGGGCAGCGCCAATAAGGTCGCCGTTCTAAAGTCACCATTAGCATAAATCGTCCACAAGGGGCAGGGAGAACATACGGCCTCAGCACCGCTGGTGTCGCAGCAAGCAATGTTCTGCTGGCACTCCTTGTTGAGGATGTCCTGGACACCGATCAAAGCTGCAATACATGTCAGTAACCCTTGTAGTATAGGAGCTGGACAAAAAGAATACTCACCGGCAACATCGATCTTGGAGCAGCCCGTGAAGGCACCAATGCCCTGGGCGCCAGAGCCCTGGCCAAGAAGACCGCTGAGGAGGCCAGAGGCAACACCCTTCTGGATGGTCGTGGTGTCACCAACGTAGTCGACATCGTTACAGCAAGAGAGCTGAGCCTTGTCACCACACTTGGAGCTGGCCTCCTTGACGGTGATATCGTTGGAGGAGGGCCCGTTAGCGCTGGCGGCAGCGAAGAGGGAGAAGATAGCAGTAGCGGCAGTAAGCTTCATTTTGATGGTTGGATTTAAGACTTGGGAAAGACTTGAGAGTGAGAATGGGATAGCAGAGTGTGTGAGAAGAAGGAGGAAAACGGGGGGATAACGACGCGAATAAATGCCTGTCCTGGGTGGGCCATTCCAACCACCTGGCTGCAACTGTTGCATACCGGAGAGTAGGATCGCGAGGTTTGTTTAATTGCTGTTTTGGGTTGAGACCTCGTTGCTGCAGGGTATCCCTTGGGGGCGCGCGCTCCTTGCATTCCCAGGTGGCTGGCCGCACGCGGATCCAGGAATGTGGTGGAGTCTACTCTCGCGCGAAGGGATGAGCCCGTGTACTCTGTAAGGATGGCAACTCATTAGAATGGAGTCGAAGCTTGTTTCCATGAGGGATGACGAGGCGAATGGGCCTTTATTGTTGCTGTGCGTCTTGATATTGCTTCAAAATGCGGCTACTTGCGGAGGGCTCGGACCCTGATCAGCTCGTTGCCCACGGTCTGGACCAGATTAAGCTGTAGATTTTACTCATTGATCGGCCGTCCTGGATGTTTGGTGACGACGCCTGTGCCCCTTTCATCGGAGAGCTTTCGATGAAAATTAGGGCAAGCCTCGGCGGACTTGGTACAGCAGCATCGGTGAGGCCTCATCACCAGAGTAACGAACAAAGTACGAGCATCAATAAATGAGATTCCTACTAGACGGAACAGACGGGACTAGTCAGGCACAGCCGGGAAGTAGCACCAGCGAGTTCCAAGCAACCCTAGTTGCCACCCGGGCTTCCGTTCTCGTCGACATCTAACAATAGAAGTGCAGTGACAGTATCACATTCAGACTACCTCTCCCCCTTGGACGCCAGCGTGGCCATGCGGTCAAAGCTCGCGTCCAACACCTCGACAACATCCCCCCCAAGGGTCCGCCACGTACAAACAAACAACACCCTTCATGGGGTGCGTCCCAATCCTCCTCCCCCCAGCTCCCACAATCCTCTCTGCAAGAGCATCAGGCTCCAAATCCGTCACGTAGACATGGAAGAACCCACCCGCCCCGGTAGTACTCAAACCCGCCTTCCTGTTGCGGGACGAATGTCTTGGGGTGAATGAACTCGAAGATCTCAAAGCCCACCCCGTTGCCGGTCGACATGTAAGCCATGTTGACCTCTTGCAGGGAGGCTGGGTAGATGCTGAAGATTGGGTCTGTGGGCCGCTCACTCCTTGCAATGTGGTGGATTTGGTTTCCAACGAGCTCGAAGCCGAAGACTTTGCTGTACCAGGCTACGGCGGCCTTGCAGTCTGCCACGGAAACGGCGACGTGGTTGAAGACGCGGTTGGGGGTTTGGGTCTGGACTCGATAAGAGAGAGTTACATAGACTTGTAGAGGCACTTACTTGTGTCATTTTCAATGCTTCTGCTGTAGTTATTATTGAATATGAAATACGCCGTACTTGTACTTAAAGTACTATTCAACTACGGGTATATGCTTTCCCAGAGATACTCCGACCCAGAATTATAACCCCGTTCATCTGATAAGCAGTAATTCACAAGAAATGCCTTCTCTTTTATCCGGAAATTCTGGAGATACTCGATACTCGTTACTGTGTTATGCGGATTAGGTTATATTCCACGGCTTAGTCCAGGTCAGGTTCTAGACTACACCGTCAAAGAACAGTAATATGTAACATCACGGAAAGCCAAATATAGTATTCCGAAGATATCTACTTCATACATGATTCTCCATCCTCGACGTTTCGACACTTCGACGCTTGCATCGCCGAGGCCCTTGTAAGCAATCAAGCCCACTTCCCAATCAGCGCCATGATACCAGCACCCAGTAAAGTGCAGAAAACCATGAAAAGCAGCTTCGATCTCTGCTTCGTCCGACAAGGATCAAACAGGAAGTCTCGCGCCAGCAGCTCCACAAGACCACTGTAGATTAGGATCCCTGCCGAGACGGCGTTCAACACGCCCTGGATGATAAGGGAGACCTTGGAGCCGGGGGTATATGTATTCCGAACACCCAGGCCGATAGCAATAGATATAGGCGTGGTAAGGCCGTATGCAGCGCATAGAACCCACGGTAGCCAGGTGTGTTTGCCGAATGGGATGGCGGACATGCGCGCGCCGATTCCAAGACCTTCAAAGGACTGGTGGAAGACGAGCACTGGGTATAGTGTTGAGAACTCGGAGCCTGTCACGCCGAGATTCAGCCCGATTATGACCGAGTGGAAGATGATTCCGAATTCAAGGAGGAGGAATGCGGCGATCTGTTGGCGGAAAGTCCGTTCTGCTAGAGTGGAAGACCCGTCGGGGTTCCACGTTTCAGTGCGTCTTTCCTCCTTGTTACTGGGTATATCTAGGTTGTGTTCCTGGATAAAGACGTTTGTGGCTTCTTCATCCTTGTGCACGCCATACTTGTGCTCGACGTAGACTTCTGCCGCGAGATCCAGGAGGAAGATTATCACCACCGAGGCCAGCACGATGGCTGCGCACCACGAGTACTCGCCCCAGTACCCTGATTCGCCGACGCAGGTTTTAGGACCGATGCGCTTGTAGGCTGGGTCTAGGAGATGCACGAATGCAGTGGCCACAATAACACCTGTGCCGAAGTACCGCGCGAATAAATACACGCCGAGTGGGATTTTCCAACTTGGGAAGCGCTTGGCCAGGACTGGGAAGACTGTAAAGGCCGAGGACACAAACAGGATCACGAAGATGGAGGATATACGAGCGCCGATGTGGCCGTTGTAGTCATTCTCGGATAGGGCAAAGTAGCAGAGGACGTCTTCCTTGCTGGCCGTGCTGAGATTGACATTCTCCGGGTTGAAAGACATTTCCTGGCTTTTACATGAGAAGACTACGCTACAATAATAGGCCTTATACTCTTGCTCTTGAGGACCTTGGGATATCGCGGACAGTTGATGGCCCGAAACTCGCTGCCTAGCAGTCTGAAATTGGTATGGGTCTTCATTTTGCTAAATTAGACTACAGTACGTAGTAGTATGCCCCATACACAGTCCATAGGGCTGAAGGAAAGTGCTTGATGGTTTTGTCTGTCTCTTGATTGGTTTATATGAGCCCGTCTGGATAACGCCTGGGGACCTGGAGGGTTAGTGTCTCCATAGATATCCCCGAGTGCGTTACAATTCCGACCTCGCCTCGGAGTTATATCACTGTGGTGTGCAGATTGAAGATAAGCTCATAAAGGCTTTGACCAATTGGTGATAGGTAGGTGTAGTTTCACTGCTGCCTGTTCGCTTACCCTTCGTAGGGCTGAAGCTTGAGCCACAAGCGAGATGAAGCTTTTCAGAGATCCACTGCGTTATTTTCTAGACTACGCCTAACTATCTAGTCCTACTGACGTAGTCTAGTCTGACTTATGCCCCGCTACTTTCTCGTTGCCGGTTTCCGATTCGAAGCCTGATATCCATTTCTGCGAATGAAAGCTCCTGCAATCAAGGTTATGAGATCATCTCGCTCGTTTCCTCGAGGTTTCTATGCGACGTCTCCGGTAGCAGGAAAACAGCCCACAACAGCCCTAGAAAGGCGACCACAAAGAAGAACCAGAATGTGCCTTTTGGCTGCAGGGCACTCTCTAACATCATACTCGGGACAGCCTTATTCGTGAGCCCCACCATATATTAGCAAGGGAAGAGAGGTAGAGTCATACCTTGATAAGGGCAAATCTGTTGGCATAATGAATGCACATCAAGAGACTCGTACCAAGCGTGCGGACCGGCGAGGGAAGCATCTCTGCATTAATCAGATACTGTATGGAGTTCCACCCAAAGGCATAGCCTATGCCTGTCACGTAGATCGAAACAACCGCAGCGATTGCCGCCCTGTGAACGGCCCCGGACTGGGCGTCCGCTCCATGAAGAGAGGAGACAGTGATGTATACTGCGACATAGAGCAGGGCGAGCAGCTGCAGTGTAATTCCAGACAGGAGTGTGCGTTTTCTCCCAACTCGATCGACGAAGAATATAGCGCAAACTATCCCGGCTGCAAGTTTGACAATCCCGAATATTGCCGTAGTTAAGAGGGTTTCTGACTTGCCGGTCACACTAAGCAGAGAGAAGAACTTGGGCGTATAGGCTTCCAAGTGTGAGATTTACATCCATTGAGGTCATAGAGATGGAGAACCTACTGGTAATGGCGTTTGTGCCAGACCACTGGCTGAGCAGCTGTGCAGTGACCAAGAATAGCAACCGTGAGCGATTGGCGGCCTGTGCAAAAAGCAACTTCCATGGCTCCAACCTGAACCATTGCTGATTCGTAGCCTGGCTGGTAGCTGCTTGGTCTTGCAATATCCGGAGCTCCTCCGCGATCCTGGGACTGTCAGGGGGAAGTCGCCGCAAACGAGCCACAGCGTCGATAGCCTTTCCCGTGCAGCCATTGTTGACCAAATATCTGGGGCTTTCGACGCAGCCGAGAGAGGCCAAGAGTAGAACACCGGCCATCATGATCTGGCTACTTTGTGGAAGGATCCATTGTGTGTTGTTCTTATCGGATAGGTGAATTGAAGCGCCATAGCCAGCGAAATACTAACGCGTATTTTAACATTATTAGCAAGAAAAAGTGTATATTGGCGTGAAGAGAGACTCACCCCTATGACAACACCGACATATTCAGAGGAGCCATATATGCAGACCAGCAATCCTCGACAGGAGGAAGGGGCCACTTCAGCAAGATATATGGGACCGACGATACTCGCCTGGCCGATCCCCATGCCGGCAAGAAGACGGCCAGCAAGGAGCTGACCCAAGCTGCCTTTCGAGGTAATGGCAACTATCACGCCGGTGATCCAGAGCAAGCATATCTGTCGCAGTGTCCAGAGTGGTCCGATCCAGTCGCTCGAAAAGAAGGCCAGCAGTGCCCCAGGCAGACTGCCGAGCTGGACCATGGAGGTGATATTCGACAAGCGGTTTGCTCTGTCTGTGGCACTCAGATTATTGCTGTCAAGCTGGTAATCGCTGATGAACGAGGGCAGATTCACGGTCGTGGCAATTAGAGCTTCGTCTAGCCCTTTGGCTGAACCGAGAAGCCCGAAGCCCACGGCAGCGCAGATAAGATATCTAGTACCAAGAGCCATGTTGCAGAGACTCGTGGGAAGCAACTTTATTCATATTACGGAGGTATTTTGGCGAGTGTTTCTATTGTAGGAATACGTATATCATTTCTCATGAACCCCCATCCGCGCGAGAGCTTGTTAGGATTCGAATATCCACCAAGTCCGTGAACAATGTCTCACCATAGCGCAACTAAGCACAACTCGCAATCAGGATCAGCCCTAAATGTGGCCCCGGACCGGTGGGGACTGTGAGGGAGGATTATAAATGGCCAGCCCTACCTACGCCGCGTCAGGGGCAGCAGGCAGCAGCAATCAGGGTAGGGGCCTTTAGACTGGAGGATCCACACGGATGCTGTAAACTACTGCCAGCTATCTAAGGCTGATAAACCACTGTTTCTTCAAAGCCATGTTATGGCAGAAAGACTTGGAATGCTGTATGTTAAGTATAAAAGTGCGCGACGGCTGTATCAAGAGGCTTATAGTCACTACAACGTATAATAAGTAAGCTTATTAAGGCCATTTAAGACTTGTTTAAATAGATCCCGCTAAATCAGTGTGACGTATGAGATATTGCAACTCGGATAAGTTTTTTCCTGTTGCTTGTAGATGTATTTTCCGTCGAGCTGTTGATATTAAATAAGAATTAATATTTGTCCTTGAACATTTTAACTCCTAAAATTGATTCAGATCAATGACACCAAAAGATACATTAAAATGTCTACTAAGAAAGTCGGATTCATCGGTCTCGGCGCGATGGGCCTGGGAATGGCCTCATGTCTCGTCAAGGCTGAATTCTCAGTAACTGGGTTGGACATCAATCTTTAAGATGCGCTAATTTATAATGTAGACAAATGTATTGCCCACTAAAGTAATAACTGTTCACAAAGACACCAGTAAAAACATCTATATTACTTGTATACAGATATATACTATCCTGACCACATTGTCAGAATGTATTGGCAACCCCACTGGTTGCCCTTGTCGGCTGTTTTGACGACACTCATCAGTTGTTGGAGGGAAAGGGCGTAATAGAATATGGCAAGGTGGCCGAGTGGTTAAGGCGCAGCCCTTAAGTAGTTTTACTTAGAAATGCTGTGGAGAAATCCTCGCGAGTTCGAACCTCGTCCTTGCCAATTTTTTTTGAATTATCACATCAATTAATTTTTTTAATTATCACATCAGCATGATTTGTAATGCACCAGTAACTATCTAAATCACTATTATATGACCAAGACGTAACATATTCATCAATTCTCGACTGAAGTCATGTATTTGATAGCATGTTAGAAATGCGGGAATACATGATCCTAGCCCTCCCACCTCAACATCGGCCAACTTCGATCGATAGCCCTCATATTGACCAGCAAACTACATCTTTGGTTGTCGTTAAAGGTGTTGTCTGCTTCCAACATGCCACGGCACATTCATTTATCGAATTCGATCAACCTCTTGGCAATTGGAAGTCTCTCCTGGTGGTAAGCATCCCTTGGCTAGCCTTGGGTGAATGGGTGTGGACGGCGTCTCCAGCAAGGAATATTCGGTCATACTGCGACAATTCCTTGTAGTATCTGTGACCAACCTGCCCAGGTACTTTTTGGGACCGTCACCGCTGGAATTACGCGACTGGTTCCCGAAGAGAATGGCAGAGAAGCCGACGTATCTACCGATTTCCAGGAAGGTTTTGGGCTGCTCCTCGGTGATGAGGCGGGTCACGACGCTGCCTTTCTCTGAGTATTTTGGGTGGGCTTGAATGAACCCGAGCAGTTCTTGTTCTCGCCCGTCATTGCACTTTGACGTGGATTTGTTTGAAAATATACGGCCAGAAAGGTATTTGCATACATAGATATCCTCTTCGGGTCTGTAGGGGATGTTTTCGGTGAGAGATGTGTTGAGGGATAATGCTCGACTAGGTAGAGACGCAATCAACAATGACTTTAATATATGACGTTTTATGCCTATTTAACAAGAGACTGTCTGCCATACGTAGTAACCACCGGATGTCCATCTCTTGAGAAATCGGTCACAGCAGTAATGAATAAATTACGACCCACCGATCAGAGGTTCTGACGGGGCAATTAGGCCAAAAAGAGCGTATTTAAACGTCCTGGGTTCGCGCGTTCATGTCAAAGGTTGGGAGGCGAATAGGTGTCGTATTGCCGGCCCAAAGCCCAGCACACCCGGCGTAGTCTGCGAAGTAATCAGTATAAGGCGCTCGATACATCTCGACAAACACATGGGAGCACTGACAAGAGAGAAAGGAAACGACCAGTCCCATCGAGTACCCAGCCTTGAGAAGCGCATCATTACCAACCATATTGCCACAGGCAATGCATAACAAGCAAACGGACAGGCAGACAAGATCCACGAACAGAACCCAGGAAGTACGCATCGCCCCGATGGAGAAGATGACAGTGACTATAAACCAGGCGAAAAGAAACATTGCCAAAGCCTGGTGAAACTCGTCACGCAGCTCTCCTGTTGCTGGATCCGTGTACGCGGCCATTATTCCTGATCCTGGGAGGAAAATCATGGCATATGAGAAGTTAAAGGCAGCGTATGAGGAAAACAAAGTCGCGGGAAACTGCGGCATACATTAGCATTGTTATATCTGTAGGTATTGTTAGGGATCTACTTGCGGTATTCCCATTGAAAAATTCGAGGACGCCAGCGATAAATTGGCACACGCCGCCGAAGAACATGAGCACCCCAATAAGAATATTAGGAGTGGTAATGGAACGGGCGTTGAGGTCGAAGACCGCGATCAGAAAAATGCCTATACATGGTGGGTCAGTCTTAAGCGGACAGTGTAATATAGGCTATATACCAGTTGCAAAAGACAGCAGTCCTAGAGGTAAAGGGCTGGCAATAGCCTGGGGGGCCCGGCCTCCCGATGGATCTCCCTCTGCATCTGCTGGGGGCTGTTGCTCAACGTGATCGGAGCTGTGCTTCATGGTTTCTGATATTGAGGGTGGAAAATGAAGAATGTAAGAGGCCTGCGTCGCTCTGGGGTTCGCTTTATACGCAATATCGAGCCAGCATAGATTAGCTCACCCCAGATTCCGTCAATCTGGCGCTACCCCACGGGGATTGGAGAGGTGGCTTGCCGATTTCTGCACAGACTGGATCGGCCAGAGCGGTTATTCTGCATTCCTCGGGCCGGAGACCGGGCCTAGTGTCATTTTGGTCAGATTGGTCAGATTTGCCCCCGCAGACCTGATACCCCGGATCTGCTCGCCTCGTTCTCTTCTCATCTCCTGCCCAAGAATCCCAACACAGTGAATATGAGCAATCTCGATGCTGCGCCAGGCTCTTCGGGTGCCAGGCGGAAAAGGAGCCGTATTGCCTGCGATTTCTGCCATTCACGTAAAGTGCGATGTGACCTGACGGTGACTGGTGCGCCTTGTACAAATTGTCGCCTGGACAAGCAGAGCTGTTTCGTGAGAGAGTCACGCAGCAAGTGAGCCAGTTGAACCTATGCGACCGACTGCCCAAACGTGGCTGATTTCTTAGTTGTTATAGGCGCCACAAAAAACAAGCATCAAGAAATAACAGTGACTCGCAGCGCAGGTCTTGTAACCCCGTCCCACAAGACCCGCTGGCCATAGCCTTGCGGTCTAGTGCTGGATTGGCAGAGGCCAGAGAGGATACTGATACTGGGGGCCTGCAATTCAATGTCCCATTCACCCGTCTTTCCTCCCCAGATCAGCGCTTGCCGACCGGGGCAGAGAGTCTGCCGGCTCTTCGATCGATGCTGGGAGACACGCCCCCGTCCGCAGACCTAGCCGCTGCGGACAAAAGTGTTATATTCTCCTATTACGAATTCCTGCAGTTGAAGGGCCTGTGTAAATTACCGCCTGCGGATGTCAGATACCTGGAGCTCAAGGGCTGCTTTCGTGTCCCGACCGGGGCTCATCTGGACAACTTCCTACGCCAGTATTTTCTCCACGCCCACCCCTGCATGCCAGTTGTCGACGAGACAGGGTTCTGGTCTTCCTATGAGCAGCACGGTCTTGGTGGTAGTCCCAAGGTTTCGCTATTGCTTTTCCAAGCCATGCTTTTCACAGCGTCTGCAGTATGTCCGCTGTATAGCCTATTAATTGTGCGTGCGCTGACCTGGTCTACAGTTTATGCCCCTGGGTTCTCTGAGGGCCTGTGGATTCAGCGACCGTAATGAAGCCCGTGAAAGCCTTCACCAGCGTGCTGCGGTAAGATAGAAACGTTAAAAAATGTAGTTTGGATATAACTGCTAAACTTGCCATAGCTGCTCTATCATCTGAAAGCGGAAACAGACCATACCACCATCGCCCAAGCAGCTCTATTACTATCCTTTCAGTCCTCTGCTATTGATGTCTACAGTAACACTTCGTTTTTGTCAACTGCCATCCAAGCCGCCCGTGCCAGCCAAGCCTGCCTCTACAAGACGCTCCCCGGCTTAACGACAGAACAGCGGCGGTACAAAAAGCGACTCTGGTGGTGCTGCGTCGTGCGCGATCGGACTATTGCGCTGGGTGTACGCCGACCACTACAGATCACTCCGGAAAGCTTCAATCCCCGTGAAGATCCTCTGGCGGAGGAGGACCTGGAATGTGAGATGGAAAGGTCGAGAGTGTATGATTTGGATATCAAGCGGTGTCTCATCAAGCTCTTCGTTGTCCACTGCGATCTCTCAGCCGCGCTTACATCCACGGTCATGACCATCTGTCCACCAAATAGTGTTCCCATACCATTATCTCCAACATACGAAGACCTGTTCCGGTTGTTCACGGCCGCAGAGGGCTGTAGGCATGAACTCAAGGCCTGGTTCGATACAGCAGAGACACAGCTCAGGCATGCTTCACGGACCTGTCTTCAACGCACCAGCTTCGTAATGCTGTACGTGGATCTACAGTGGATCTACTACTTGTAAGTGATCGAACGCATTCAGTCAAGCTAAGCTCACTTTGCGTAGCACTGCCCAGATGGCGCTGAGCCATTCCATAATCTTTGCGTCCAGCACAACCAGCCACGCTCTCCGACCTGACTGGATCACGCGGCTGGACATCAGCAAGAGTGATTTGATGACTTCATTTATAGGCCTTAAGAACGTATTTAAGAGGCTGGTCGCTTCCAACCTCGCTGGCCATCTTCCGATTAGCGCGTAAGCTCTGCCCCCAAATTCATAGAACCAATGCCTGATCAATTGTAGATCGGCATATACAGCAGTGCCTCTGTTGCTAATATCGCTCGATGTCCAACTGTCCTCGTCCGAGGGCCAGAAAGGCAAACGCATGCGCGAGCTTTCATATTGCGCTGAAGCAATGCGACAATACGCTTGTCGGTTTCAATTCGCGCAGTTTGTCTCTGGTATAGTCTGTAAAGTCCTTCAGCTGCTGGATGCCACATCCAGTCCTGCTGCAATGTCTCGCGGTAACATCCTTGAGGAGGGCATGTTCGAGGGCGAAAACCGACCGCAAACCTGGTGTGAACTATACATAGAGAATCCACAGCTCTATTTCACGCTTCTGTTCTCTTTAGACCACTCCTTGTCATGGGGGAAGGTGCCAACATCTCACGAACTCCCGGACTGGTCACTTCGTCGGCGCTCTTCTAGATCGCCGCAACAACTGAACAGGTCATCGCTAAGTTTGACCCCAGGCCTGAGGCAAGAGGTCAGCGAGCTGTCTCCAGCCATTATCGACCTGGGCGACAATATGGCCTCGAGCTGGATGTCGAACGATCAGTGGGAGAACCTCCTTTCCACCCGCGTATATTGCGAGGACTCTCCGGGTTTGGGCATTGAACAGGCGACGTCCCCGGTTGCACTAGGTACATCTACTGTTATTCCCGACCAGCCGGAAACATTGCCTGGTCCCAGCCGGGATGATGCTCAAGAGTGCGAGTCTATCTCAGACACCCTCTCGTTCATGCTTCAGTATTCTTGCCCTGCCATTGGGTAATGATTAGGTAGAAATTAAATATACAGAGCAGGTAGAAGTTGGTCTTTTCAACGCCACCGTAGCCAGTAAACCCGCCGATAGCCGCAGGTGAACCCGCCCGATGTTACAGCCCGAGCTCAAGCACGCATCTGTTGCCTCGGCTCGGCTCAGACTCGGGTGATCTCGCTTTACTTAAAGCTTAGCGACCAGTAGAACAATCCCAGCAGACCCAAAGCGTGCCGTGAGCAGTATGACATCCTCAACCAAGGCGACCGAGCGTCTCGCCGAAATCCAGAACCATCTCAATCCGCCTCCAAACAAGCAACCGGCGAGCGCAATCGAGCCCGTGTACATCATCAGTGCTGCACGGACTCCAACTGCGCGATTCGGCAGCTCCTTCGCCAATATCCCTGCCCCGCAGCTTGGAGCATACGCCATCAAAGAAGCGCTCCGGAAATCAAACGTCCCCCCGAGCAGAATCACAAATGTCTACATGGGGAATGTCCTGCAGGCCGGCGTGGGCCAGTCACCTGCCCGCCAGGCTGCAATTGCCGCTGGTCTCCCTGTGGTGGTCGACGCTGTCACAGTGAATAAGGTCTGCGCATCGGGGCTGAAAGCAGTCGCGCTTGCTGCTCATGATATCCAGCTGGGCCTGGCAGATGCTCAGATAGCGGGGGGCATGGAGAATATGTCGCGTGCTCCGTACTATCTGCCGAGGGATTCGGGCGGGCGTCGAGGCACTGGGACTGGGGATCTCAAATTACAGGATGGCCTGGTAACGGATGGGCTGTGGGACGTGTATAACCAGATCCACATGGGAGCGTGCGCAGAACTTACAGCGGCGAAACTCGGTATCTCGCGAGCAACGCAGGATGAGTATGCCGTTCAGAGCTTTCTGCGCGCACAGCAGGCGTGGGCCGAGGGGAAGTTCAAGGACGAAGTGGTTCCGGTTGTCGTGACGGACAAGACCAGTAGTCGCACGATTGATCGCGATGAGGGATATGACAGGCTTCGGAGAGACAAAGTCGCAGGACTAAAGCCTGCGTTTACCAAGGCTGCTGATGGGACTGTTACGGCCGCCAACTCGTCGTCTCTTAATGATGGTGCGAGCGCGCTGGTTCTGGGGAACCGGGCCATCGCCCAGCAGTATGGGAAGGGGAGCCGAGTTCTCTCCAGATTTGTTGCTTCAGCAGATGCCGCGCTGGATCCTGTTGATTTCCCCATTGCTCCGGCAAAGGCTATAGAGCTTGCTTTGGCCCGGGCAGGAATCCAAAAGGAAGATGTGGCAGTATGGGAACTGAATGAAGCCTTCGCAGCAGTTATCAAAGCAAACGCACAGGTAGGGTAAACCCGGTGAGCCCCGCGAACGCGGGCTATGATGAATTGTGCTAATGTGACTTCAGATACTCGGTCTTGAGGGTGCAAATATAAATCCCCTTGGGGGCGCGATATCTCTGGGCCATGCACTCGGCAGTTCTGGGTCGAGGATTCTCACCACCTTGGCTCATCAGCTACAACCGGGCGAATATGGAGTTGCAGCCGTCTGCAACGGCGGTGGTGCGGCAACTGCAGTTGTTATACAGAGGGTAGAGCATGTCTAGCTTGATGCAATTGTGAACAGAAATAGAAGCACTTTGCGTACTCGAATAAATTCAACGAGTTGAGCTTTGTGCTATACTACTAAATGCCGGGAACTGATCCTATTTACAAGACACCCTTTGGACTGCGTTTCCCTCGCTGGCCGGCCTGGAATCTCTCCCTTCCTCGTTGTAGATCCCCGCTTGGAATTCGCTCTTCCACAATAACGCGACACTCTCGATCATTTGCCTCCAACAGGTCCTTGATCGCAGGCTGCTTCATCAACCGCTTTGTTGCTAGCAAGGACCCCGTCGGGGACCGGGCAAGCGCGCTTGCGATCTCCCCAACCTGCTCCAAGAAACCCTCAGCCGGGAGAATCTTGCTAACAAGGCCCAACTCCCTTGCTTCTGGAGCGAGGATCCGCTCCCCAGTGAGACATAGCAGAGCCGCCCTCTGGTGGCCCATTAACCGTAGGAAGCTGACACTCGAAGCAGCCTCCGGGACCATGCCCCATTTCACAAACGGGGTGAAGAAATAAGCATCCGGGACGGAATAGACGAGATCGAACAGCGCGAGACTGGTAGCCCCGTACCCAACCGCTGGCCCATTCACCGCAGCAATGAGGATCTTCTCGGTGAGGATAAGGGCTTTGTTCAGTTGGTGGAAGTCTGCGCCGGGTGCAAACGACAGTTGCTCGTCGCTGGACAGGTCCATCCCTGTACAGAAGAAGCGGCCTTGCCCAGTCAAGATGACTATGCTAACGCTATCATTCTCGTCGGCCCAGCGGATGGCTCTGAGCGTTTCGACAACCAGCTGAGGGTGTAAGGAGTTTCCCGACTGTGGACGGTTGAGCTTTATCCAAAGTACGCCGTCGCGCGGACCTTCGAGCTGAATCAGGGTCGTCTCTGGTGTCGCTGGCATAGTTGCGGGGTGTAGCAGCTGCGGCGGTTATGGTTACAACCATAATGGGCAGATGGTACATGTTGAGAAGAGCAAGAAGGTTGCTGTTGACCACGAACGCAGCCGCCAACCTCGGGCCCGGCACCACCGGGCATTCATGCCCTGCCGAGCCCTGGAGGCCGGTAACAATGCATGGATGCTGCCGATCTCGGGCCCGATTAACCTCGCCCCGGATTCCGACTCTGGGGAGGCATGGGTTACTCCAGCAGATATAACAAATCGTGTTTCGGACGTCAGGTGCAATTATGGTCCAATCGAAGATGGAGCACTTCAGGAACAACGAACTGCAACGGCCAGATGCGTTTAATTTTGCCCTCGATGTTGTAGATGTCTGGGCTGCGAAATCGCCTCCCCTGGAGGCCATGCTCTGGGTATCCTCCGATGGCCTTTCTCACAAGTCCCTGAGTTATCGCTATTTTTCGCGTCAATCCCATCGGATTGCTCTACTCCTGGAACAGCTCGGTGTCCAGCCCGGTGACACAATGCTGATGGTTCTTCCGCGGCTCCCAGCATGGTACGTCGGGTCTCCGACTGTTCAACGCCTGTCTATTGACCGTTTGTCTTTTCCTTTGCGCACAGGTGGGAGGTCGCCACGGCAGGGCTTCGAAGCGGGATTGTAATTGCTCCCGCGACGACCCTGTTAACTGCGGCAGACATTGAGTATCGCTGCCACAAGAGCAAAGCAAAGGCCTTCGTCGGTGATGCTACCAGTGTCGCAAAGGCTCTCCAGATTCACCACAGGTGTCCCTCCCTTCAGGTTGTTATTCAGGTTGATGGCAAGACGGACCCAGACAAAGGAGTGACCGGCCTGGGCGAGGCTCTGCAGGCTATCGAGCCTGGAGCAGTATATACAACAAGCAGGCTCGGCTGGAATTCCCCAGCAATTCTCTACTTTACATCAGGCACCTCGGGGCTACCAAAAATGGTTCGCCATAATCAGGTATCTTATCCACTAGGTGTGTATTTGCCACTGCTCGCTACTGCATCACCGAGCTGACTTTCTCTCGCAGCCCATCTTATTACCGGGAAATACTGGCTGAAGCTGTCACCCGGCGACCTATGCTGGAATTATACTGAGCAAGGTACGTGCGTCACACGGTGCTGCCCAAATAGGCCCTACTAAAACAACGTCGGTGGCCAGGATGGGGAAAGGCCGCGTACTCCTTTTTCGGGGCCTGGAATTGCGGCGCCAGTTTATTCATCTGGGACGACCGGCAAGCTTTCAATCCAACCTCGCTTCTTGACATCCTCCATCGTTTCCCAATAACGAGCCTCTGTGCTCCTCCCCTAGCATGGCGGCAGCTCGTCAAACCCCGGTGTCAGGAGTACTACCACAAGCATCGATCGCGCGCGCTTAGAGGGTGTACTTCTGCAGGAGAGGCATTGGACCAGGCAGTAATCAGTCAGTGGCGGGACCTCACCGGTCTGGTTATCCGTGAAGGGTACGGTCAAACGGAGGCGATCTTGATGTGTGGTAACTACGGTGATTTCCCGATCAAACCCGGGTCCATGGGAAAGCCTCTGCCTGGGATTCCTCTTCATGTCATTCAACCTGACGGGGAAGAAACTGCGGCAGACGTGGAAGGGGAACTGGCTCTTCTTCTTTCTGACGGCGAACGGGCTGCGAAATTCTTTGGCATTTTTGATGGCTACGTCGACGATAGTGGTAAGGCGACACGCCACGAACGAGTGAGCAACAACAACGGAACAGTCCAACGCTGGTATATGACAGGGGACAAGGCGAGAAGAGACAAGGACGGTTATCTTTGGTTTGTTGGTCGTGCAGATGATGTGATTAATTCCTCGGGCTATCGAATTGGTATGCTGGGCAAAGCCTTTATATACGATTGGATCTAACCACTCTGAACTAGGTCCATTCGAAGTCGAGTCTACCTTGCGAAGGCATCCAGCTGTCGCAGAGTGCGCTGTTATATCATCACCGGACATGGCGCGCGGTGAAGTTGTCAAGGCTATTATTGTCCTTACCCGAGAGTATTCGTCTGCGCCCGCAGATGCTCTCGTCAAAGAGCTTCAGGCCTTTTGCAAAACGAGCTCGGCGCCGTATAAGTATCCCCGCAAGATCGATTTTGTGCAGGCCGAAACATTACCCAGAACCGTCAGCGGCAAGATCAAGAGGGCGCAGCTCCGAAAGCAGGAATGGGGTGATGTAAAGGCGAGGATTGCGCATAAGCTATAGTGTACTTGGACGTGTATTGATTCTCAATATTTTAGAGATCTAGTTGCGAGCTCGATAGTAATGTGGAATTTCAAGGATGGGTATATAAAACTTGCATCTGTTGACTCGGCTGATTCGCGCACACTCTCTCCGTCGTGAATCCCGGCTCCTGTTCGTCCTACCATATGGAGTACATACTTTACATACGCGACCATTTAACATCTTATTGACTTATCTTGCCTAGGCTGGAATGGGAACCATTTATTTCATATCTGCAGCCTCAGAACAACAGGATAAGCAATTGTCAATTACCAACACCCTGTCAAGCGGACTAACTACAGTGATAACTCTCTGCCAATGTAGGATCCCTTCCTTGAATATAACGCGCCTTCAACGGATACGGACAGAGGATACGATCATATCTCTTGCCAGAGCTACTACTGAAGCTCACCGGAAGCGTATCAGGAGCAGTTCCGTTCTCAACCCATTCCACCAAGGCATCTAGGACTGTATATGGATGGCCGCCCGGTCCCCCAGTGCAGTGATCCACGCCAGGAGCAAGGAACAGGCGGTAAAACTCACGAACGTCGGGATCCATTGATTCCACGCTGTTGTAGTACAGCTCTGAGCCTTGGGGTGGGATAATCGGATCGGCCTAGACGATTAGCGTTTGGCTGCTGGATTACTTAGGGGACTCACCAGGCCATGGAAGGTCAGAATTTTACCGCCACTTTCTTTGAATTGCGAGAGATCAGGGTCAGTCGTGTCAATCATGCTGGCAAACTCTTGTCCCCCAGCGTGGAAAATCTCTTCGTATTGCTGATGGGAGATGTTTTTGAGATCAAAACGAGGGTTCTTCTCAACAAACAATGTCATCCATTCTCTTCCAAGATACTGCGGTGCCCCAACACACACATCGCCAGTGCAATTGGTAGCAGCGAGCGCTATAGTCGATTTGTCTGACAGGACTGCTCCCTTGTGAGGCCCATACCATAGGAAGTCGCCGGTCGTAGTTCGCGGCCCTGACCAGGTCGCATTCGCCACTGCTGCTGCACCCTGCGTGATCTGCATCGTGGTGTTTGTCGAGGGACAGTTGAATGAGGTACCCACAACGCTAAAGGGATCAAAATCGCACGCATCGACGTCTGAAATCAGGCCGTCAAAAACACCATCAATACCATCGCAGGCTGACACCGCTGCTTCTGTGATAGCGTCTAACTCGCAGCCCTGGGGATAGTCTCCAGCCAGGTTCATGACCAGCTGCGGCCAATACATAGCCGTGAAGAAAGCGTTCCAGTTAATGGCTGGAGCAGCAGAGGCGATGCCGTCGTATAAAGTAGGATACCGCTGTGCAAGCATCATTCCCTGGCGGCCTCCCTGGGAGCAGCCATTCCAATATGATTTCCGAGGTGGTCTGCCGTAAAAGTCTGTAATGAGGGCACTGCCGATTACTGCCTGGTCATGTAATGAGCGAGATGCCAGGTTCTGCAGATTATAGAGGTTGACATTGCCGGGGCTGAGAAGCGCCCAGCCACTGGCTGATGTATCAGCACCAACATTCAATCCCGCGTCGGTCGTGACTCCGGCATAGCCAGAGGCGATAGCAAGCGCCAAACCGCTGTAAGACTGGCTGTTTGGCCCTCCGGCCACCCACCCTCCTCCGCCAATCCCTTGCATGCGCTCGTTCCAGGTGTCGGTTGGCAACCACGCTGTCACTGTGACGTTGTCCCCCTGGCCCGGGTGCGTGTATGAGACGGTGACATTGCAAAAGCTCAAGTCAATAACATCGGCCCCAGGGGTATTGGCTGCATCTGGTATGTGGGAGGTGAAATTGGTGATCAAATCTGCCCCGATCGATGTGACCTCCACACCCAAGGCTGTTGGAGGATTGAAGTTTGCAGGGTAGCAGAGAGAAGATAAGTCGTGAGTGTTGAAGTTCATCGTGGGGCTTTAGCTACAATAGAGAGCAATGATTTGATTGATATGTTAGCCGGCATGACGTTTGGGCACATATATACAGGTGCATAATCTTGGCTAGATTTTAGAATCCCCCACGCGCTCAACAGTAGGTCAACCAAGGTAGTTCGTCTCGACCTCGCCTCGGTAAGTTACAAGACCATGAGAATCACGGATATAATCTGGGCCATCGGTTCCAGCTCTCAGCTAACGGCTGTCTCGGCTAGTTCGGCCGGTTCGGTTTGCCGGTTAACGGTCGGCACCAGCGCTGTTTATCATAGTACTAAACCAGCTATCCAGTTCTAACACTCGTTTCCTGTTAGTCGTTGCCTGAAGGTATTAATTCAGACAACTTTGATTTTATGAGAATAAGGGGGACATCGGTGAGGTGGCTCAAGCACAATAGCATCCTGCAATTCCATGACCTCCACATATATACTCATTTCAGGATGCCCTTTCATCAACATTTCCAGGATTGTGGCCTTCACTCATTCTGCCGAGGCACAGCAGTCCTGTCCTCCCGCCAGTACCATATTCCTGCCCATGTAGCACCAGACCGACGAAAAACTGGCCAGCTATAACCGCTAGGGCAGCAATGAGGGCTTCGCGCGTCTTGATGTAGCCTAGGCGACGCTAATAAATTAATTTAAGTAAGCCACTCTTAATAAATTAATATTTAAACGCTATTAGATTAAATTAATATTAGAACCTATACAGGGCGTATAAGGAGGCAGTAAGCCAGTAACTACTAATATAGGCTGCCTGAGACATAGAACTAGATCCATGTAATCTCTGTTGCGGGCCTTGCGGCTGAGGATAGCTGGTTAGCCAACCTTCCATGTGCATAGCTGAGTTTAGCTTTTTCTTACTATACCCGATTTCCTGATGTTTGGAACCCGAACCGAATCGAATTTCCGCCTATAAAGCCTGGCAAATTTCCGCAAGTTTCTTTTGCCAACCAGCGCTCTACAATGTCGGCCCCGACTCTGATATTTGCACCTGGGGCGTGGTATCCGCCTACAGTATTCGATTCGATCATTGCCAAGCTGCCTGAGTACCGCTGCCGTACTGTTGCATTTCCCTCCATCCAATCGGCGACTCGGATTTCAGACCTCCAACCGGATATTGACGCTGTGCGGCGTATAGTTGATCAAGAAGCCGAGGAAGATCACGACATAATTGTCATTTTGCATAGTTGGGCGGGTTTACCGGTATCCAGCGCACTGGAAGGATTGAGCAAATCCGAGCGCCAGACAAAAGGACGCAAGGGTGGCATTGTGAAGCTATTATTTATTGCAGCATTTATTCCCATCCTCGGTGAAAGTCTTATTGGTGCATTTGGCGGAACGCCTCCATCGTGGTATATACGGGATGTAAGTTGCATTGCGGTCTAATAAGGATCCCTTTTGATTGAAGTGTTTTCGGTTACTGAGTAATTATATAGGAATCTAATGGTACCGTGACTGCCCACGACCCTCATGGGTTGTTCTTCCATGATGTGCCCAACGGAGCAGAGTGGGCCAAAGCACTTGCGCCTCATGCATGGGCAACAAAGATTGCACCTGCTGCTGGGGTCGCATATATGACCATTCCGTGTGCTTATCTTCTCTGCAAGAACGACCGTGCGATTCCTTTCGCGGTTCAACAGAGACTGGTAGATCGGGCGCGCGAGGGAGGGGCCCAATTCGAAGCCGAAGTAATTGAAACTGGGCATACGCCCTGGCTAGCGGCACCAGATCAGTTTGTAGCTTACATCAAAAAGCATGCAATGCCACGTGTGTGATCCGACTTTCCTGACTATGTTGTCTTAATGGAAGGGAATTCGGGATTCCATTGTGTACCCGAATACCCGGCCCGAGTATGTGATTGTGCCCCAACTTCGTCATATAGAAATAGTTCAAGGAAAGCGTTTGAGAGAATCGTAGCCTATGCATTGATAGCCTATGCTCCTACAATATATTTTAAGGCCTGGAATCCCCATCAACATAACACTATACCTGATTTTAATTTCATTTCAACATGCAGGAGCCAGTCTACAACCCCAGGTTGGACGCAATATCTAATTGAACAACTGGTCTCCCACAAAGCTAACCTGATGCTAGCCGCCCGAAGCCCTCCCTTGAGATTGTCTACTCATACCGACTGGTCGGCATCCCGAACAAAAGCATCGTTACCTTGCGGGTCGAGTTCCCACCCAACGGTTCAACTCCTCCTCACCGACACGGAGGCGCCTCAGTAGGAGCATTTGTCCTCAAGGGGAATCTACTGAACAAAATGAACGACGACCCGATGAAGCTGATCAATGAAGGCGGGTCTTGGTTTGAGGCTCCGGGATGCCATCATCGCATCAGTGATAACGCCAGTGAAAATGAACCGGCGACGTTGATTGCGACCCTGGTGACAGACACTGATAAGTTTGAGAAGGATGGAATGGCTGCTCTTATTCAGATTGACGCGGAATATAAATGAATTGGTGTTGGTTGGGTATATGTAGCTAGGAAAGAAAGCTAAAATGCTCCTGAACAGCCTCACGGCTTCCTGTTTTCAGGTCTTCAATGAATGGGTATATTAACGAAGATAAGGCTCCTTGTGTAGCTTAAGGCGATATTGTCGATGAATACAACTCTTGTCAAGGAACCCAGCCAACAAATAGAACCCTAGGTACGAAGCCACAACCAGTGGGTGTTCCCTCGTGCATTGCCCGGGCTATTTATATTCACCGACCTCCAGGTATATCACTTGCCGAATAACAACTAACAGGTTACCATGGCATATCTGCTGGTCACCTTCACATTTACCGAAGCTCGCTGCGTCGGGACTGTTGAATAATCGAAAAATCCGGGGTCGCCACAATTGGCCCGAACTGCGCCCAAAGCTTGATTTTGGCTTGGAAATTGGCTGGATCATCCACTCATCAAGACCGAGAGGAATATAAATTGAATCATCGACCTCGGGTTACTCCATAATTCTCCCTCTCCAATGCGCCAAAATACCTTCATCCGCAGCGCACAGCGTACAGCTCTCGCAAAATGTCTTCATCCACTCAGCCGATGCCAGTAGTTGCCTGCGGCAGAATACCCGCAATGGGGAAATCAATCTCCCAGCATCTGCTGCCTGAATATGAAGGTTCTTGATGTACATTGCTGAAATAAACAAATTATGGTGCTAATGCTCCTCAGTCATCCACTTTATCCTGTCATATGAGACTGCAGAGGCTGAGCTCCCGCATCTGCTTGCAGGTCGCGATCCTCAGTCTCGGAGCCCTAATGAGATTGGATCCCACGATTACAGCCGGTCCCCTGGCGCGGTAATCTTCGGTCGCGGCTATGACCCTCAGCAGGTTGAAGAGCTTAAGAATAAATGCGCGGGTGTTGCCAAAGAACCTGTTGCTTGGGTGAGGGGGAACCCAGCGGACTTGCCTGCCGGGGCCGCTGGGCCTGACTATGCTCAGAACATCGCGGCGGATATGAAGAAGGTGCTTATGAGATGGAGGGACGGAGGAGGAAAAGATGAGGATATTTTAGTGTACTAGTTGCTTTGTCGGGGAGAAGTTAGGGCTACTGGATTCAAGAATCAAAAATCTGATTTGAAGGTTCAGGCGAATTCAATTCTACCATGACTGGAATTCATATACCTTTCAATGAGCAGAATTAACAGATATACTTTGGATAATCTTGCTTGCTCCTGTGGCAGATCCTTGCAGAAGGGCAAAATATTAAACAGCACTAGTTACTAGAACAGCTGCAGATTGTACGTATTCCTTGAGGATCCTAAGTCAGGAGCCCAAAAAGCTGACTCTGCGCGGCTAGATTTCCTAACACAAAGCCATTCAAGGACAAGCTTTCTATCACCAACTTCCGCTCTCACCAGCGATATATAGTTGTTGGTACCGATGCCTTCGGTGTGGGGAGCAGATACTGTAGAGTTCCAGTGGGATTAAGCCCACGCCCCGACAATAGACATGCAGAAGGCTCCAAAGAACACGAGAAGGCAGGCACACACTCTCCTTTTTCCACGAAGGATGCGCCAGCTCTCATCGCTGAGAAAGTCCTCCGACATCAGCTCTACGAGGGACGCGAATACCAAAAGCCCGGCGGAAATGGCATTCATGATGCCAACCACTAGCAGACCTACTTCTGAATCAGGACTGTAGAGGGTATGAGTTGCAAGCCCAATAGCTTGGCCGATCGGAGTACTGTATACATGTCAATATATCGAATCCAGGAGAATAGATATCGGTCCACGTACGTGCAGCCATATGCTAATGACATGAACCAGGGCTGGAGTTGCCTTTCCGACCAGGGCAGTGCGGCAATGCGGGAGCCTAGCGCAAGCCCTTCGAATGTTTCTGTGGTGGATTCGGTTAAATGTCTATAGCAGGTAGCGGGGAGAGAAGCAGTGTAAACTTACGATGGAAAACAATGGCAATCAACAGGACCACAAACTCCTTTCCAATGGATACACTGAGTGACATGCCGATAAAAACACTGTGAAACAGAATACCCATTTCAAGCAGATAAACCTGCATCGTTTCTTTCTTTTGCTTTTGCTCTGGAGATAGCTGGAAATGGTCCCCGTGGTCCTCTAGATCTCGCTGGTTTGTCCCGTTTGCCTTTTCCTGGTGGATTTGCATCTCAGGCGCAGATGAGACTCGGACCATGTCTTCATTGCCTTCACTCATGTTGTTCATGGTCCTGCTGATACTAGAAGACCTTCCAACCAGGGGCCCCATATCCCGAAGATGAGGCCGCAAGTCTGACCCAGGCAATTGCGAGATTTGTGCGCCACCGTCGGCGACCAAGTCAGGCCGATCAATCTGCGTCCCCGCGTTTTGCTCATCAATACGCGGCGAGTGTCGCTGGAAGGATGAATTGTTCCCACCATGACAGATACTTTGACCTGGACTGAATACCATCTCGATCACGGTGATGAAGAACACGCCAGCCAATGCGATGGCGCCCGGCATAGCTGGGTAGTCACTTGTCCAAAAGCTGGACAGACACGGATTATTCAGTGACTCAAAGGCAGTCGGAAGAAGATGAACAAATGCAGTGGCAATCAGCACACCAGTTCCAAAGTGGCGGACAAAGAAGAGAAAAGACCCGGGGATACGCAGTCGTGTGAACCTAGTTGCGAGCAAAGGGAATGCACATGCAATTGTTGATGTTCCCAGGATGATGAACAAGGCAGCAACATGCAGACCTAGGTCATAGGAATCGCTGCGGACACCACCAGATGCACAGCTTGATCGTTTAACTGGCTCGTAATAGTCCTGATCAATAAGGGTGACTGGTGGTGGCGTCGGAGACAAATGTTTTCTCAAACTGTCATGGGAGATTAGTGCTGAAACACAGAGCACCGAGAGCAGCCATAGAGCCAAGTCCTTGATTTTTTGAATATCGGGTTTGATGTTTTGGGGAGCGAGGCGTCCTGTTCAAGTCTAAGCATTGAATTGTCAAAGTATTGGTTAACAGATTTAGCTGTTCATACCTAAAGACGCCTCGCATCCCCCGTTGGGGACCTTTCTGGGAATCGGTTCCTTCTGCGGATGATTCTTCCAATCATATCCTTCCCACGATGCTTTTTCGCTCTTTTCGTCCTTTTTCTCGCGTGCATTTGAGATACCATTCAGGTCTTGGCGGGTCGTCAAGTCAGGGGCAAGAGTGGGCGGGTTCTGATTCCACTCATCATGCAGCAGGGTGTCGTCAGTTCGCGAAGGGCAATTCATTTTGTCGAGAATACCGGGTGAGAAGTGTTGACCTGAAGATTAAGGCTGGAAATTTCGAATATATTTATATTCCACAAGGCAACGACAATCTGGGGACTTGGCATTACGTGGAACTTGCTCAGGCTTGTTGATGTGGACCCTGAGTTGCTGTCATGGTTCGATCTGCGCTGTTCCGAGGCCGATCAACGTGGATTCTCTTCTGAGCTTTCGATTTCTGGTATTGGCGAGAGTTTTGCTATTTTAGGTGCAATTGGAAAGCACATTTTCAAAAGGTCAAAACTAGAGTGATGGTAGTAAGGTCTTCTAGCTGCTTTAGTATAGTTTCAGGTATAACATCTGGCCTCTTACACGCTTCACTGCTATATATAAAGCATGCAGAATATATATTGAATTGTGTATATGGAAAGGCTGTTTGTATGTACCAGACTTCCAGTATTTATATATAATAGACATGCTTGATTAGATGTAGCAGATATTGTTGCTCTTGAGGGAATATACTTAGCTTAAGGAGGAGCTTACTAGCTTTTGGAACATTCTTTTCTCATATTCGTGATTTGATTAGTGGAATAACAACAGACGCTGTTCTTACGTGATCGTGCGTCCCCGCGCTTTCTGCTGACTGCCTCTTCTGCTTCGAGTCTTCTGTGTCCAGGCCTGTTCCCTTTGAGAACCCGCGACTGGAGCTTCTCGAAATGGCCAAATACACCATCTTCAGCCTTCCACGAGAAACTCACCAACTCATTATCGACTACCTCGACCCCCCTGACAATCTCCACCTGCGAGCAGTATGCCAATCCTTCCGCGAACTCATCCCCGCACTTTGCATCCAGCAGCTCTTGCAAGTTGAAGTCTCGGATTTCGGCCTGGCCAAAGGCCTATACACGTGCCGAGACTGCATGAGGCTACGCCCAAGGGAAAAGTTTGCAGACAACATGGTCAGGAAGAAGAAAGCGAAAGCCGGCGCGGAAGCAGGGAACCGATTTTGCGTGGAATGCGGCACAAGCCCAAGCCCAAATCCTCTTCTTCCTGGGCCATCGCGCTATACTCGAGGCTGTCACGTCGTCATCTTGGGAGAACATCATGTCGTCTGTTATTCTTGCGGGAGATTTGGTCTTGCGGCAGGGGAGAGAGGCGTTTACATCGATGAATGCCGTGATTGTCAGCTAGAGGAGAGGTTCTTGGAGCAGTGGGATGAAGCGCACAAGGCACGACAGAAGCAGGCTGGACGCCCGACGAGAAGAACTAAAGACTGTGGGATAAGCCTTGTAGTGTGAGCATATTGTTAACCTAGCACCCCCATTGGGAGTTGCCCTAACCTGTATCACTTCCATCCGCTTGACATCTTCTTGCAGTGCATATACCACCCGCCTATCTAGAGCTCTGTTATAGACCCCATAATACAATTTCCAATTATTTAGATGACTCCAGGGACATCGAAGTGAAGAGGGGCCTCATAAGAGGTCTAGTGGTTTAAGCAAGTATTCAAAGACATCGTTACAGGGTAGACAAGAAAATTATACCTTTTTAGTTGAGTTGGCAGACTCAAAATCCAAATCCATTGTGAAATCCCCACGAAACGTCCAGATCCAGGTCGCTCAAATTGCACCACGCTCCGAGACTGTCGATTGACTCAAATGAAGGGAAGATCTGAGTGTCATTGACGAGAGCGTCGACATCCGGGACAGAGCTGCCAAGTTCTTCACCATCCGACAGACTTGGTACTTTGCTAGATTTGGGTGTCTCACTCTTACTCGCCGTCCCGGTCTCAAGGTCCAGCACACGGCGCGCAATGGTCTGGATCTCGGCCACATTCCTAGCGGCCCTCGGCCACACCTCGCCCATCGCCTTAAGACACCCGATAGCCATCCGAAGCTGGCCCCTTGCAATCGCCAGGTCCTCTTTCTGGAGCAGGTATTTGCACGCCGATAGCAGTGCCAGTGTTCCGCCGCTGATCATGCATGTAATGAATGGGGTATGATGGAACTGGCGCGTCGGCAAGGCTAATAGTCGGACCTGAGCCTCGACAGATTGAAGAACGCGTACAGTGTGTATATTCGCAATGTCTAATACCGGGGTGTCTGATGGGGGCTCCCGGGCGCAGCTGGAGACATCCTCCACAGGGTTGAACTTGAGGTCGGAAAAAGGCCGGTGGATGGCGATTGTTGCTCTGGTGCAAGGTTGCATGTTAAGAAGGTTGGTTCCATATATCAAGGTGCGGAGGTTGCTTACATGTTGGTGAGGCCGTGTGCCTGAAACATTAATTCGTCGATTTCTCCGGACTTCGATATGATCGCCTTGCGATTTCTCGGTAATAGCAGCCGCCATCCGTCCAGGAAGGAGTCCGCAGCCTGCAGGACATGGGTTGGGTCTTGCTTGCCGGCGCTCTTCGGGGCTGTGGACATTGCCAGGGCCATGCATCGTATGGCGCCAATAAGGTACGCAAATGAGGAGAATGTGGTACTGTCCGAGGCGAATTCGCGACAGTCAAACTCGTTTAAAGATTTGGGCTCGGGGATCTCCTGTGACCAAATAAGCTGTCTGATCTGACACAGGGATGGTAGAAGGGCCTGTATTCAGTACTTACGCCCGACTCAAACTCGTGCTCTTCGCAGGGCAACTCAGCAGTGATGTCAATATCCCACAAATCGGACTTGTTAGTCCCCAGGGTCCCTGCATAATATGCATCGATGATATACACCATCCACCACGTCCTTCTCCAGCTTTCCCGGAGAACAAGATCATCGCCTCCGTGCAGCACCGCAAATTCCTGGAGATACATTTGGAGATCAGTCGCGAGTCGGACCGTCATGTCCATTTCCCGCTTGGCATCGGCTTCGTGGCCGTGCCAGAACAGAACCATGGAATACAACAGGCGACATTGAACCATTATTGGATCCGTAGGTGCTGCTTCTGCGAAACAGGCCACAACGTAGTCGTTCAATGAGAGTGACCATCTCCGCGAGCTCATGATCCATCCGATCAGCCGTAAGATGGCAAGCAGCGGCCGGAGTCTGGGCTGTGTGCTCGGATCGTGGTAGAGCCGCGTGAGCTGTTTCTGGGGAAGGATGAACGGATGTAATCGGTGGAATTTCGTGTAATATGCATTGATCAACGTATCACTCGCTATGTTATCCATATGCACTGGAGCTGCTGCGGGCGACGCAATATCAGCGGCCTCATCCCCCGTACTGATGGCATGAAGTATACCACCGCTGCCGGGAGAGTCCGCCTCAGTCGACCGCGACATCCAGTGACCCTGCCAGATCCCCGGCGATGGTTGGAGATTCGAGTCTCCACCTACCGCAGCAGAGCATTTGCGCCTCTCCGCTAGAGCTGCGCGGCTCAGCCCGCCGCGGCGTGATTTTGCATATTCGCAGTCACTCGCGGTCTCCGCGCACCGGCTGCAACACGGTCGCTTCCCATCACACTTCAGATGACGTGAGCGACAGGGCAGACATGCCAGGGACGAGCGCGACACCCGGCCCTTTCGCTCTGGTGTTGTATTCATGGGATTCATGAGGATGCGTGGAGTTGGGATGTGATATCATGGCGGGCGCCGTTTATGAGTGCGGGTACTCGGGAACCTGCAGAGATTCGCCGGGTATCCGGGTACCTGCAAAACCCGGATACCCTCAAGGCGTTTCTTGATATCGCCACCTCACACGGTAAACCGTCGAGAACTCCGAAGGACGATAGTCGATAGAATCAACATATTTAAGATGGCCTCACAATGCTGGTTCTCTCACTGCAGCAGTTCAGCATCCACCCTTCCATCACCACAGCCCTAATACCTAGTGCAAGCCTTCACCACAATGGCCAACAAAATCGTCATAATTGGCACCGGATTCGCCGGTGTCTGGAGCGCCCTCTCCGCGCGACGTCTGATCGACCAGGCCAACAAGGCCAGCGAGTTTGAGATCCTGGTTGTCGCTCCGGAGCCCGTGCTGGTCATGCGTCCACGCCTGTACGAGTCTAATGCCTCCAGCTTGGTCCAGAACCTTGACCCCCTCTTCCATGCCGCAGGCGTCAAGTTCATACCCGGTACCGTTCAGAAGATCAACTGCGATGCGCAGACCATCGACGTGCAGCCAATGTCCGGCACCGCATTGAGCATCACCTACGACCGCGTAATCCTGGCCGCAGGCAGCTCCGTCATCCGCCCCGAGAGCATCCCCGGCCTGCAGCAACACGCCTTCGATATTGACTCTTTGGCCTCCGCTATCAAGCTCGAAACCCATTTGGAAGGCCTGGCATCCCGTCAGGCCAGCCGCTCTCGCAACACCGTTGTCGTATGCGGCGCCGGCTTCACGGGGATCGAGCTGGCCGCCGAACTCCCCAAGCGCTTGCAACACATCATCGCCCACCCTCGCATCGTTCTCGTTGGCAGGGAACCTGAGCTGGGTTCCAGTTTAGGCTCCGGGCCTCGCCCCACCATCACCACCGCGCTGAATGCTCTGGGCGTCGAAACCAAACTAGGCTCGGGCATCGCCGCTGTTGACCCCGAAGGCGTCATACTGGCTTCAGGCGAACGCATCCAAGCCAACACCGTCGTCTGGACCGCCGGAGTCAGGGCCACCCCATTAACGCAGCAAATCCCGGGCCCAAGAGATGCCTTCTCCCGTCTGCTTGTCGACCCATATTTGCGGGTTCCCTCCGCGAAGGGCGTCTTGGCCTCGGGCGACGCCGCGGGTGCTCTCGCCGACGGCAAGAGTAACTATGCGTTTATGTCGTGCCAGCATGCGATACAGCTCGGCCGGGTGTCCGGATATAATGCTGCTGCGGAACTTCTGGATCAGCCGCTTATGGAATACTCGCAGCCCACGTATAATTGCTGTCTGGACCTGGGACCGTGGGGGGCGCTCGTGGCAGGCGGCTGGGATGAGAAGAAGGTTAAGATTTCAGGCGACCTGGCAAAGCAGGTTAAGATGTATATCAACCAGGAGTTGATTTATCCGCCTGCTGATGTAAAGGATGCGCTGGCGTTGGCCGGTCCGGTGCAGCCTGATTCCGATCAGTTGTTTGAGCAGTTGATTCAGGTGGTGGGGTAGATGGATTGGATAGAGCATTTGTAGTTGTTAGAGGGGATGTTTATGTGATGCGATAGAACTTTAGACAGAATAGAATCGCTTTACGAACACTACTAGAGCAAATATTCATCTGTGAGAGTCGCTTCTATTCCATCCTCCACCAAAATCTGATACTGACTACCGGAGATCCAGTATTATAGTCGACTGATTCAGCGCCGCCATATGAACAGGATCAAACGGACCAGAAACCGTCTTCTTGCATTCACCATTGGTGCTCTTCCCCTCGAACCGCTCACGCAGAAAATGCAGCCAGTCAGGAGAACTTGCCGAGATAATATCTCCGTGATCGATGCCCGGATACAGGTTCAGGTGTGCCTCGTTCCCGAATCCACAGGTGTGATACCGTGGTTGTCTAGGACGTCCATGTCATGACCACCCTGAACCAGTAGGCGGACTGATTCCACATCGCGAACAGCGAGATGTAGGGGTGTCTGACCTAGGGAGTTCCTGTCCATACAAATTGACGAGCGTAGGAGAAATGAAGCCACCTCGCTTGGTGGTTTCAGGAGAACAGCTTCGTGTAGAGGCGTCAAGCCACCAAATCCTTACCGCCGGTTAATGGATGTATAGACTGCGAAGTGTTCAATAACATACCTGGGCTGGCCTTTGCAAGTAAAGCAAGATACTCGATGAAAAAAGGGTCTGGAGTGAATTCCTGGGAAGTCCAGTTCGGTGAACAGGGCAAAGGCCATTCCTCGCAAACAGGCGACTCGACAAGGCCCGGGTCAAAGCCATATTCAAGAATCGCTTCGAGCAAATCGAGATGTGGGCCTTCGCCAATCCACTTGGCGCATCGGACCAGAAATCTGTGAACCAGATATTAGTCTGAGTACATTCGGCCTGCCGTGAACAAACCGTTGGTCTAGATCTTCAAGGGTCATGCCGAGTTCGCAGGCAAAGAATTTCAGGAGTTCAATACGGTCATCTGCACTTCCACGTCCAGACGGGGTGTAGCGAAGGAGCTCCTTTTCAATGGTTAGATAGTTAGGGCAAAGGACACTGTTACTGACTCCGTACCTGAACATAGTTGTGTCCACCTGGATGTATATGCTGATTCAACGATGGATCACATCTTTTGAGCTCCCGAAATTTCCCCTGAACCTCAGAGACAGACAAAAACAGTCCTTGGAAGCGCGCAAGTGCCTCGAAGCCGGGCGAGGTGTATTTTACCACTCTTTCGGTGCTGAGCGCTGGTCTGAGTGAATACATTCCGGCTCCTGCAATGAATTCAACGCCAGCTTTTACCATGAACGGAATGCCGTATCTGGAGAGGGCGAATTGTAGGCTCCAGCGGTAACGGGTTGCTGTGCACTTTGGATTGCTGCACTTGCTAGATGTAGTCGGTGCGGTATACTCGAAGACCCCGAAACGGGTTGTGCTGCGCCGTAATGAATGGCATGAGCAGTGGCAGTGCCTAACAGTACAGTCTGTCTTCCGCGGCCGTCGCGACGGTTCGAGATATACACAGGCTGTACGCGGCGAAGGGGGCTCAGTAATGTTAAGCTGAGTTCCAGACATAGAACTACGTCTCTGCTCGCTTGCGATCATGGCAGAGGAGACGAGATGGGGTATATCTTGAACCAGCAGGCGAGTCTCAAGCCCTATCGCACTACACAAATATCAAGCGTCAGCCAACTTCCGTGTCGGGCGTGAGGAGACGTACCAATTCAAAGACTGCATAACATAGTCAAGATTTTGCTCAATACCTCTAAGCTCGTCCTTGATGCGGTCGCTATGTCGAACAACCAGTAGTCTTCTGTCACTCGAACTGGATAACCTTTCACTCACTCGCTGGAGGGCAATATCGACGCTACTGTACTCTCGTTGACAACTATCAACGGCAAGATTGACCATTGTAGACGCCTGGATAGACTCAAGGAATAGTAGCATATGTCGCAGGATCTCAAGACGCCGAATAAGAGACTCAAGTTCATCTCCAGCCTCACTCTTGATGTACTGACGAGCATCTTGCAGTCGTTTGATGCCGTCGCGAACCTGAAGCGCAAAGGAGGCTACCCCGATGATCAACCCAGCAGTCTCAGCCATATTACCGTGAAATCCTTTATTTGATGAGTGAATGAGAGGGTCGTGGAGAGGATTATGAGCAGTCGACGAGGGGCGCAAGGATAACCGCCAGCGTGCGAGCCTTGCCAGCCTTGCCAACAACACAGCCTCGTTGGATAACCAATGAACTAGGAGAACTATATACACCATTATGCATGAGCTTACGGTATGAAGGACAGTCCAGACTCCTGCGGCGCAATGAGCTACCGATTACGATTCCTTCTCAAACACTTCCAGCCTTGAAAGTGTCGTCCGGTTTAATCCTAACATGGGTAAGTTACTTGCCTGACATGCCTCGGGGGCTTTCCCAGTGGCCGAGCTATTACCTGGTATTATAGGGCGTCTAATAACAAGCGAATTCTAAGAATGCGCTGAGAAATCCAGCTTGTCATTGAGTGGGAGGCACTGGTAGGCAAACCTGCGAGAATGCGGCGCTGTGCAGCCACTAAGCGCCGAGATTACCAGGGGTACATTTCAGGTGCTGTAGTCCAGTAATCTGAAGGTCGTCGACAGTGGCTTGCAAGGCAGAGAGGTTTGATGTTGGCTCGCTGTCAGCCAATGCATTTCTGGTGGTGTTGGGTCGAATTAACCCTTAAAGATGCCCAGGGCCCATTGCAATATGGTATGCGGATTCTGTCTACAAGCTTGCCAAAATGCCAAAACTATCGCAGCAGAAACAACACTTTATTCCTTGGTTCCTCCTGAAAAGGTTTGCTCCGGCAGACCAGCCACCAGCGAGGCCGGCTGCTTCTTCCCAAACCAGAGCACGCCGTCGCGACCTTCTTCTCAACAAGATTGACCTGGAGAGCTCTATTCTGACCCAGCGACCAGTATCGATGGAGTTCACTCTCGTCGACATGTACCGAGACCCTGGATTTGATGACAACCCCTACCACCTGGAGGAAAAGCTATCGAAGCTTGAAGGAGAAGCGAGTGAAATCATCAACAAAGTCGTTACTACATTTGCGAAATCACCGGTACTCGAGCTCAAGAGGCCTGAAGTGGATACTCTTCGCAAGTTCCTCTTCCTGATGAAGTATCGAAGCAGGGGGTTCTTCGAGCGGTATAATCACGATGATGCCCAGGACTACGACGCTGACGACCGGCCAAGAATGCTGCAATACATGGCAAACAAAGGGTTTACCAAACCTCGTGATGTGTGGTTTGATAATCTCAACCATATGTTGGATCTCAAAATGGACGCCGCGAAGACCTGGGGACGTACCCTCCGTGCCCAGATCTATCCCGACGACGCCTTGATGTTTGAGCTGCATCTCCTGCATAGCTATATGTCGTTCTGTCAACCTCAGAATACCGAGGAAGAGTTTCTTCTCACTGAAAATTCGTTTGGTATATTCGAAGGTCCTTCAACAGTGCGTAATGAGGTTATGCCCGGCAAGCAAAAGACATCCCCAGTCGTTTACACCGAGTATCATAATTTCGCCCCGATATCCCCTCGACTCTTGATTGTCCTACGAAGTGGAGTGCTGCCAACCCCTGGCGATAATAGCGAGTCTGCAGAAATCCGCAGCCAGCTTGCAGCGGCACTGCGATCTGACCATCTTGACCCAGACGAAGCAGGATCCATACTAGAAGACCTCCCCGTTCGGCCGTGCAAGGTATTGTATGACCAGGGTGTTGTTGACTCTCCGGCGTCATTCAGAAAAAATGATAGATTCCTCTTCCTGTGCTTCAAGCTCTCGTCTGCACATATGACTGCCATTAGCAATATATTCCTCGAGGAGGCGCACTCCACTTCCTCGATCATCTATCACTCGCCCGTGGCGCTTCGAGCAGCGGTGGAGAACTATTTCAAAGACAACGACCGGCGCCTGAAACAAGTGGTTGACATTCCTGGCGATAGACGGCGCTCGTATTTTGGCACGCTAGAGAAAATACTGCGTGACCTCGGTGGCTCAGCCAGATGCAAGGTACACCCATTCGATCTCTCAAAGGCGCGGATACGGGCTCACATGGCCTTGAATGTTGGCCTTATCGTCGGAGTACAATTGATGGAACGCCAGAAGCCAGATAAGTCATTACCACGGGCATATACCCTGTTGAAGGACGGTATATCAATGTAAAGTTTCTCAAATACTATCCATGGCTAACATTGTTTAGGAGCAACCATGGAAACATTTTGGTACGACATCGACCAGGCGAGCCGGCTGATGATGCTCAAGACCAAGCTCGACGGTGCACTGAGGAGATCCGGACTATCAGACCAGGAGAAATTTGCATTTCAAGCCCAGAGAAATGCATTTTTCAGCTCGTTTCCGGTCGAGAGGCTGTGGCTGTACTTCAAGATTATGCGGAATATGCGTCGGTGTGATATCGATGATCTTGTAACTAATCCGCCTGAACTCGAGCTTCGAGGAGTGGAAGATATGTTTGCTGAAGGTACGGATGATCTACTTAAGAATCGCCCAGGCAGGCTAATGACGTAGATATCTCGATGTTCCCTCAAATGAAAGGGCAGATTGCGCGGAAGATGTATCTTGAGACACTGTATTCAATACACTAATAGATGGGGACTTCGCTCACTCAAGCACATTGTCAGATTAATCCAGACAGGAGACTGATCACAGCACCTTGGACCAGCCGCATCGTATTAAACGTCAAATCCATCGGGCGAGAAGTTGGTTAATGAACCCGGAAGCATCTGGCATAATTTATTGCGACCAGGAAGTCTCTCCACGTAGTTCAAGGCCCGGACCGTTGCGTGGCGTCTATAGCAAACGAACCACCTTGCTTGATTGGCAATGGCTGCTCTCTATAGGAAACCGCCATCAGGATAGTGGCCGGCTGGCCAATCCAGGGCGCTGGACAAAACGCTACTTGGAAATTCGGTCCTTTCGCGGTCGCTTCACCAATGATATTTCTCGTCTGGTTGCTAGTATTAGCGCTAATAATAAGAAGCACGAGTCTGAGGTCTCTGGCAGGTGTAGTGTTATTATTCTATTAGGTCTGCTTACATATCCAGTATATCGTATTCTTTATGGTGGGTAACCTTGTTAGTGGCAAGACAGGCCATGAAAAGGATATTTAACCTCCAGTGATAGCATTGCCTGCACTGTGAATAGGGCACGCACTGTCCATTCACATGGCTAGCAAAGAGAAGATCCTATCGCAATTTCAATTTAGCACCGCGGGGAACATGCGGGGGTTGCACTCCTGCGGCTGCTGTTGGCCTGTGAAGACCTGCTCTCGCTGTTCGACATGGGTTTGCTGTCTTACATCTGATACCTGATCCGAGTCTGTATCCTTTTGGAGTATAACTCATGGACAGCTACGCCACATGTAGTTAATGTCCATCCTTCAGCTGAACAACACACTAACTCTTTTACCACAGATGAAACTGTCTAACTTCGTTCTAGTCTAGCGATGTACCGGCATAATCCGCATAACCTGCCTGTTCCGCGGATAAAGAGCAGTATGGACGTCATCTATGAAGCGGCAGTCAACCAACATTGAAGACGGTGAACCACGTTCACCGCAGTCCAGACTGGGAAACTGCCTCTAGTTCCTGAACGGATAGAGTAAGAGTTTAATGCTGGAACAAGGCACCTTTTAGAAAATACCAATTCAAGGTCCTTGCAGTAGATGCTTAACTACGTGTACAAGGACATTGCCCATGGCAGTGTTGTGTTCGCCAGACTTCCTTCACCGGGATCTTGGCTTTACGCCATGGAATGTTTTACAGGAAATTATTAGTCGCATAGTGCGCCAAATCAGCACCGTGGATGAGGCAAGAGAATGAAACCCTGAACCACAATGACATAATGCAGCAGCCACCACCGCAGGCTGCTCCGAGATTGGCCGGGGTTGGAGAGCACTCAGCCAATAGCAAGCCACAGATTGCATATTCTGGGGACTTGCGGGGGACAGCGGTTCGACTCATTTTCGTCGCCGGCTTGGTGTCCTCCGGCTCAGATCGGCACGGTCGGTCTCCAGACTGACTGCGCTGGGGGACTGTGAGAAATCCGGAGTATACTCGGAGCAGTTCTGATCGGACTTGTCCGCCGAGAACTCGGTGGCCGATGCATTGCCCGTGTCTGGTATGGTGCATACTGCGCCGGCTGTGGCGCTGCAGTTAGGGTTTCTCTGGTCGGCGTCATGCCACTTTATGCTGCAGGACGCAGAGTAGTCTACGGTGTCTCTGATATTCTCGAGTAGTTACGTTCTGACTCGCCCGAGATCGCCATCCCATCACAACTTCAGACCGGCGGTTGCATGCAGCCGGTGGACCACGGCCCACAAATTGGTGGGTTTTCGGGTGGCCTGCAATGGGTAAACCCGGGCTGTGACGAGGGGCGCATTCCTCGCGGTGCTTTGGTTTTTCATGGAAAATGTGTTCATTTTGCAGAATTTTCTGTTTGCACGGCGGAGTTGTGGCGGAATCCGTCGGGTCTGCTGGCGTTGATGGAGCCAAGATGCTTCCGCCTGCCTGCTCAGACGGTTGATATCCGGATTCATCTGAGGAATCACAGGCCAGGGCATCATCGGTGCGGCAAAGAACGATCTGCGCCAGATCCACACGCCGGGACTTCTTCTTGGGGAATGGATGGGCGGCCGTTGTCAAATATATCGATCTCTGCCCGCAATCACTGTTCTTCATACAACGTACTGTCTGCCTCTGCTTTTTTTTTTTTTTTTCCCTTCACTATCAACATGCCTCACGTCAACGGAGACTCTGTAGAGCCCAAGGCTCAGGCTCCCCCGGCTACTCTGCCCGCTGATGCCGAGGGCAACATCATCGAGGTGCCCTCCACCCGCAGCGCCGTCAGCGACGTCCAGATGCAGTCGCTCAGTCTGAACCCGTCCATGAAGGACCGCCGGGCCTCGCGCAACTCGTTTGGCGTCTCTCTCCCGATCCCCCGGACTTCGCGGCAGGGCTCGCGACTCTCCTCAGTGACAACCGCCAGGGACCACGTGCGGGACATTGTGGCCTCCGGGATCCAGGACAAGCACGAGGAGAAGGTCAAGGCCGTCAAGAACATGGCCTTTTGCTTTGACATTGACGGTGTGCTGGCACACGGAAACATTGGTCTCCAGCAGGCCAAGGATACCCTGCGCATCCTGAACGGTGACAACGAGCTCGGTATGTCCCTGCAGATTTGACTCGCCTTGCGTATTCCTTGCTAATTCATTAGGCATCCAATTCCCCTACATCCTCCTCACCAACGGCGGTGGAAAGACCGAAGAAGCTCGCTGCGCACAGCTCACAGAGGTCCTGGGCCACCCCATCTCCACCAACCAGTTCATCCAGTCGCACACCCCCATGCAGGCCCTGTCGGAGTACTACGAGAACGTGCTGGTCTGCGGTGGCGAGGGCTTCAACATCCGCAAGGTCGCCGAGAGCTACGGCTTCAAGAACGTCGTGCACCCCAAGGACATTCTCGCCTGGGACCCGACAATCTCGCTGTGCCGCAACTTCACCGAGGAAGAAAAGGCACAGGCCCAGCCCCGCGACTTCTCCAACTTCAAATTCGACGCCATCCTCGTCCTCGCCGAGTCGTACGACATGTCGACCGACTTCCAGATCATCCTCGACCTGCTGCTCAGCGCAAACGGCAAGCTCATGTCCTGGGCCAAGGACCCGGCCAGCAAGAACGCCATCGCCCGCCACATCCCCATCTACTTCTCGCAGGGCGACTTGCTCTCCCCAACGGAGCACAAGGGCGCTGCCCGTCTGCACCTTGGTGCATTCCGCGTTGCCCTCGAAGCTCAGTACAAGGCCCTCACCGGGCTGGACCTCGACCGTCTGGTGTACGGCAAGCCCGAGCGCGCTACCTACATCTGCGCCGACGAGGTCTTCAAGGACTGGATGGAGGAGATCCACAACCAGCGCACCCTGCCCGAGAACATCTACATGATCGGCGACAACCCGATGTCCGATATCATTGGCGGCAACATGTACGGCTGGAACACTTGTCTGGTCCGCACCGGTGTCTTCCGCGGCGAGGGCAACGACGCCAACAACCCCGCCAACTTTGGTGTCTTTGACCACGTCTTGGATGCGGTTAAGGCTGCTATCCGTAAGGAGCTGGGCGATGACTTTAAGTTTGAATGGGATCCCAAAAACCACCACTCTCCTACTGCGGCTGTTGAATAAGCTGCTACCATAACGTCACGATTTTCCATTTCTTTTATATTTCTCATCTCACTGTTGACCGGTTGCATGTTAAAAGACTGATGTTCAAAGACTGCCATGCTTGTTTTGTTTCATTTTGTTTTTATTTTCCTTCTTGGTCTGGTTGGGCTTACGATGTTTGGATAACATGCCCACTTTGATAGAACGCTAGATTTTGTCACTTTGACATTGATAGAATTTACGGATACCCCTTAGACATGGGCCGAGATGCTCACGTTGTTCTATCTCAATGCAAGCTTGTGCAGATCTATATTTATTCCCGTGCTAAGCATTGGCAATGCTTGTTGTGTAGTTGCCGCCGTGGCAGACTTGGCTAAAGACCCTGCTTGACCCATTATCGGAATAACCAGAAGCACCCCCCCCCCTCCATTCTGCGACGCATTATTGTTCATGATTCCAGGCTAGGTATTCAAGCTCATTCAGCAGGTGCGCTCGGACGAACACTATACGACTCGGACCTGAAAACAAGACTTCCATCTTGTCGCATGCGCTCCGGATCAACATATACTTGCAGACCCATATTCCGCTTCCCAAGATGGTGAACCCGGAAAATCAAATAAATATCGGCATTGGCCTGGCCAACTTGCTGTGAATGCATTCTTCCCATCTATATATAGCGTTAGCAAACTGCGCTCAAAGCAGAACATGGAGTATTGAATACATACACGCCTATACTGCGCCCGACTCATAAAAAAAGCGCTATCACACTCCCCCGTAGTAGTCTTGACTTCGACGTAATACGTTGGATGCGTTCCAGCCCATTCCCTATTCAAATACCCGGCATCCACCAGGATGGAAGTCAAAGAGGAGCTGGTATCGGGGTATACGATATCGGCAGTCTCGACGCCGTTCCAGGGACGCATATCCTGATAGTCTGGATGGACGGAGACGTGTTTCCGGATGGTACTTTGCCAGTTGGCGCGGGTGAAGTTTGGGAGGTTTTGGGCTAGTAGGAGCTCGAATACCTGTGTTGAGGGGCATGTGTTGTTAGTAGGGTAGGGTATCTCTCTGGAGATAAGGTACGTCGAAAGGGATGGACTAACAAATAGCTCTCCAGCGGCACCGATCTTGATGTCATGCTCTAGTTGTTTCTGGGATCGGGATCCAAATGCGCTCTCGTGCGCGACGTCTGCAATGCTTGTGGCGTGGTTTGGATGGTCTTGCAGGAATTCAGGAAGGGTATGCTGACGGGCTGTGGAAGTAACGTTCTCCAGCAAGCGAACGTACGGAGGCTATTCCTGGAATATAGCTATTGGTCTTGGTTCAGGTGTGCGAGCAAATCGAATAGATGAGGGGAGCCGAGCACGCGGTGACACACCACCGTCGTGAGGAACTGTCGGTGTTTCCTCGGGGGACCTGCCATCTGATGCGGAACTTGATGGGGTGTAGACTCGCGTCTCAGAGTCAGACTTGGCAGTCACGGTCTCATCGTAGGAATCGTCTTTCTCGTCTGGCCGTTGGTATGGCGGTTGCGGACTATCCTCGGGTATGCCAACAATGCCACAGCCGTCTAATACCTGGTCAATGAGAGCCTCTGACGAGAGGAAAACGAGTGGAAATGTGATTTGTGCCTCGGCTGCCCGAACCCCAAAATGATGCTGCAGTGCTCTTGGAAGATGCAGTGAGTAGCAGCGCTGTCGCTCTTCGGGGGTTCTGGGGATGTATATTTGCAGTCTATCATCGACCTCCTCTATATGCACCAAACCGCTATTGCTCTGTACTTCGGCTCTTACATCGTCCAGCTGCAGAAGTAATGTCCGTTTGAACCCATCACTCTCATACAGTGTTGAATTCAGTAGTCTGAGCAGAGTGTCGACAGGTTCGTCGCCGTTGTAATGCAGGATACACCTATAGGCCCAGTTAACATCCGGAGAACCACCAACACCACCAGACATACCGATAAATAGCTCGTGCCCTGCGCCGAAACTTCCGTGTGAGATGCGAGGAATTCTCGTGGGATGGCTGATCCACAAAAGTCTGCTCCTGGACGGCGACTGACATGTATCGATGATCGAGGCCAAGAGACCCCAGCAGCGGGCGATATCGGTGACATTCCTCGAGAGAGAAATCCAAAATGGGGACTTTGCCTTGAAATAATTGGGCGTACTCAATACGGTCTGCAATGAAAAACGTATTAGCAGCCCCTAAAAGCCGGACTTCGCTGTCTGGGCTCCGAACAGGGAGGAACTCAAGGTCATATAGGCCTCGAACCTCCTCCGCGCTTGGAATCAAAGCATTAAGCTGTGCGAGGATCTCTTGGATATGCGCAAGATCGACTGGATGGCGTGAAATGACATCTTTGAGCTCCTCTACGTAGTTGGTCGCATTTGGAGCAGGAATACCGAGAGTGTCGCAGAAGAAGTCCTCGAGTCCTGGATATTCGCTTTTGAGGCCATACTTGGTTCCGAGTTTTGCTGCGTCCGTCCACACGCAGGACTCTGGCAGGACCCATTCCTGCGTTTCTCCTATAAATAGCAAAGAATTGGACGTAAATTCGGCTCTGGTGCCGGATTAGCTCGATCAGATCATTCTTAAGACTTTCCCTTACAGAACGAGATCACAATCCTCAGGCGTGTGCACCTGCTCAGATAGAGCTCTGTAAACCCCTGGGATATTGTCCTTTCCCACATCTGGGTTGTCTTTATGCCACTGAAGCTCGTCAATATAAGTCTGAAGACTTGCATCGGGAAGAAGAAGTGTATCTCTGAATAATCCCACGGCATATGGGTTGTCCGCATATTCAGTATACGTTGCGAGAGGGACGGTTCTCTGAAGGCAGGGATGCCCATTCCAGACGCATTCTTCGAGCTCCACAACTTCTATAGCCCTGTCCGAGGTTCTAGGTACATGGACAGCCCGGAACCCATCGTAGAATATCACTCTAGTAATGCGCAGTTAGGACAATGTGACAGCCGTAGAGAAGAGGTACTCACTCGAGCAATTCATCCATATCGGGAAACCGTATGCATAGCTCTTTGTATATTCCAAAGTATGCATTCTTTGTGTCCTTGCCACTAATGTGTTTGCTCAGCAGTAATGCCAACAAGTCGGAGAAAAAGATAATCTCAGGCTCCAAGGTAACGCCCAGCTTTGCTAGGAATCCCCACCCGCGTACATCATCTGTAGCTAAAGCGGCAGGAATAACCAGAAATTTATCAAAGTCAGTATCCAAAGCAGCCATAGAACACAGCTGGGTGAGCTCTCGGGATGGGAAGTACGTGTCCTCCAGATCCTGAGTGTAATCATTCCGGCAAGGAACGCTCATAGAACTCAACTCTTGGATAACACCCGGCGTGAGGTCCTGGCTGTAGGCCTTGATGGGTGTCTTCAACATCCCCAACAACGTCATAGGGTAGTGATCAGCAAGATGCTGAGAGAGATGTGACATATGATCCCGCCTGTGATGTTTTAATCTCGGGACTCGTCGCACCTGAGCGACCTCTTCAAGCCACTGTTTCCATGTGCGCCGGTGGACTATGGTTCCGGCGGGCACTGCATCAATATAATCCTTGTGAAGGATGTGCATGTAATATGGAGGTGCGTAGTTGATGCTAGTGGACCCCGTCCTGAGCTCGTCACAAATCGCTCTTGTGCCGTATTCGCCCATCGTCTCAAAATAGAGGTCGTCGGTAATGATATCGACGCCCAGAGTGACAAAGGCACGATAAATGCGGTTCTCGTGCTCGTTCATGATGAATATGCGTTTATCTAGGCCATCATCGCGCTCCATTGTTTGAAACAGATAGCGCAAATGGCCGACTGAGTTATGAAGCGTAACGCCATCATGGCGGTGATTGTACCTTTTCAAGATGGACTTGACCACCTTATCAGCTTTGCAGTGCTCCACACCTAGCGTTTCAATGAGCTCCTGTCTATAGGGGCACTCCAAAACACTAGGTTGCACTATTCGCAGATCGCTCAAGTCATCCGGGATAGCATTGCCGTTTTTGTTGGTTGGGAAGTATACATGGTGTGATTTGGGCGAGACGAGACCATTTTGTACAGTTGGGACGAGCGGCAGCCTTTTGATGCGCTTGATTATGCTACGACTGCGACCCTCCTTCTTCAATGCCCGTAGTAGTAACTTGGCAACCTCCGTATGCCAAAGGCGGGGCATGTCTGGGTGTAAAAGCCTCGGAGCCTGGCCATCTAAATACGGCTCCAACCGATCCAGGACTTCGTCGTAAGTTAGGTTAGAAACTCCTAGCTTTTTAAGACGAGTGGAATCCCGATTCCAATTGTAGCCGCCCGAGAGGTATAGCTCTGGCGCGATATCATCGAAGAGGGGAGCCCCGGTAGGAAGGCGATGAAAGGGTAAAAGGTGGCGTAGCTCATCTGGATAATCCAATCCACCTTCGCGGGACAGAAGCACCTTTGATTTTTTCAGCTTGTCGAAGATCATTTCCCGGAGATTCGACCAGAAGGGGTCATATATATACTGTCCTGGAAGGTATTGTAACCAATCGAATCGAAGTTCTGAGTCTGCAGTGGACATTTCAAGGGATGCCTGAACAAAGAGGTTGCATATACCCTGACGAATGGCCTCGTTTCTGGGGCACAAATGGACTCCCAGTCGATTTGCCTGGGTAATAAAGTCGGATTGGATGAGGAACTATACACATCAGCGTTTTGTATGCACTGTGGGAGCGGACGCACATACATTGAACCCCTCGCGGCGCATTGGCAGGAAGGAGTAGACGTATTGTGGTTGTATAAGGGGGCAGGAGTCTTCATCGACCGGAAAGGCCAGAATAACTTCTGCCTCGTCACTCCCTGGCCTGCTCGGATGCTGTGGCAGACCAGTAAGTGTGGTCTTCTTAAACAGATAAAGATTGCAGTGCTCGTTATCAGCCATCTGCTTGACCAGCCTGACTCGGTGTCCAGATGATTCCTCTAGACGTTTGTAAACAGTCTTCGAACCGCGTGGAACAACGTCCAGCGTGAGGTTGCGTAGCTGGTGGAGAAAAAGAAGAAGTGTATCCGGTATATCCTCAAATTCCCTTGCTCGAGCCTCAAAGTCTGTTGGGCTTTTCAAATGTAGCGTTATTCTGGTCTTCACGGCAGCTGGAAGGGGTTCATGGGACTCATTATACGGCGTAATCATTCCCATGCCACCATCCTCCCGAGTGTGCCTGAAAAAGAAACAAAAGGGACCCGACTGGACTGTCACCTTTGGTGCAATTTTGAAGACAGACTTGAGCCCAATGCCCTTGTGGCCGATATATCCACTTGTTTGTTTCTTGCTGCTTCTATGGATGCTGCATATAGCACGAACATCACTTTCCGTAAAGCCATCCTCGTTGCTGTCAACAGTTATGCGGTCTTCGTAGAGGGTAAAGTGAAGAAAGGGCTCTTTCTTGTCTTTGAGCGCTCGCGTATACCGGTTATCCTCAGCATTCTGGATCAGCTCGTAGATGAACCGCGTATCTTTGTCGTAGAGATCTTGGGCGACATGAACGATAGATCCACCGGCTATCGACTGTAGATTTCTCAGTGCCCTCTTTGCTTCCTGCGGTAGTCCACGCTCGGCTTCAGGGCTTAGGCCGCCGTTTGTCACACGGATGTCGTCCACAATTTCCTGGGCATCCTCGACTGATAAACGGGTCATGGTGTAGATAGATTAGTATGCTGAGTCTTGTTTGTTAGGCCACCTGGGGTGTTAATTTCTGATATTCATCTACGAACTTCAACTGTATGTGCAAGTTATCAACCCTTTCGCAACCCACATTCCTTGGAGGGAGGGGGCCAAATATGCGGCGCAGACAACATGCAGGTCAATCACAAATAAGAAGCAGGCTGACAACCAACTAAGCGCTGACCACGGGGGCTGTCTCACTACGACATAATCATTGGACATGGTGAATTTCTGATGAGGATCTGCCGTTTACACGGCGCCAAAAGCACAACGCTAGGATTTATACCAGAAGGGTGCATGCATTCCGAACACTTCATCTGCACCAGTCGTTCAGGATTTATACATATATAGTAACATAAATGGAGTATACAATTGGTCCCTCCCTGCACCCCTTTTTTCCCGACCCGTGGCATTGGATAGGCGTGCTGACAATGTCCCCAATACAGGTCAACTGAACGGCGAGAATCAACTCCCCTAACAACAAATTCACTGCAACAAAGATACCCCAGACACGATTACGGGGAGCATCATAAAAGAAATCATACGCCGGTCAGAGAATTGCCTCCGCAAACCCCCAAACACCATCAAATCAAGTTGCAGAATCCACCACCCTTCGAGTTATAAGCCAAAGATTCCGAGTAGATATTGAGAGAACTGAATTTGATAAGCGAAGTCGGACCCAACCATTTTAGAAAGACAATGTTCCAGGTCTTTGAGGGTTAACCGTATACCCAGGTTATAATACACGTTGTTAGATTATTAATATTGGAGACTTTAAATCTTCTAATTGTTTGAACTTAGTTGAAAGTATGTTATATCCTAGATGTCCTAATCTAGGTAGATATGACAATTAACTGAATGTCCGCAGGACCTCATCGCGGTGCTTGTCGAGATAATCCCCAAACCTGGTCAAAGTAATTGAATATTTCGCCAGCTGCTTAAAATCAACCTGATACCCGACTTCATTTGCCCATAACTGCGCGCGCACTCTGGGATTTTTCACCACGATTTCTCTCGCTTCTTCCTCGCTGTAGAAATCAAGACCTATTTCCTTCCCAGAAACCCGGCTCATCTCCTTCGCGATCTCAGAGATTGTAAGACATTCGACACCCAAGTCTATTTCATGTCTATTAAACGCCAGAGGATCCATAATTGCGGCGCCCGCGAACTTCCCCACGTCATCAGGGTCGAGTACCGTCATAGCAGTGGAGGGCTTATACGCCGTACGAAAAACACCCCGTGCAACCAAGTCCGGAAACATAAAGTCCGCAGTTGGACGGTGGTAGTTATTCATAAGAAACGCTGGCCGCAGAATCGTCCAATATGCAACGCCTGACTCTCGCACCATGGTCTCAATCCGAGCTTTGTTCTCCCAGTACCAGGCCGAGGGATATCCGGGCCCCCAGTTCGGGAACGACTCGTGCTTGTCTGTCATTGTAACGCTTGGATAAACAAGATGGGTGACTGTTCCAGAAGCTCTGGCGGCGTCGATGATGTTCTTTGCATGGATCACCTCGCGTTCTGGCTCAGAGAGGATGGGCGATACATTAAGGAAGACAGCTGTGGCGCCGTCAATTGCAGCTTTGATGGATGATGTATTGTCGAAGTCGCCTTGGAAGAGGTGTGCCCCCTGGCGCTGGAGTTCGAGGGCGGATTCAGACGATGAGTTGCGCACAAGGATATGGACTTTGATGCCGTTCTTCAAGAGTTCTCGTGCTGTACCGCCGCCTTGATGGCCGGTGGCTCCGGTGACTAGTGCAACAGTTTCAGACATTGAGTTGGTGTGGATTATTGAGAGACAAGATGATCAGGTAGTCAAGAGTACGGGGCTTGAGGTCCTTAAGTAGTTGTGATTGATGACAGAAAGGGTAAGCAGTTCGAGGATATGGAGATGCAAAGAATCCATGCTCTTCCGATGTATAGAACTGTATAGAACTGTATCTGCGGGGCGAGGACTATTCCCAAAACGGAATGCACCTCGAGGGAAAGTCTTAGCTAATCCATATCCACCAATCAGAGTCAAGCAAATGATTTAATTTATGGATGACAAACTGAATGATTATAAAGCAGCAAGATATTTATGCTCCTCAGATGTAATTCCATTTATGCAGACTAACATGGCCTACCGCGGTAGACCGAGCAGAGCATGCCTGGAATGCCGAGTCAAGCGAAGAAAGGTATTAGCCATGTTGTTGGTGGGATACCTGGCTAACTGATGTAGTGCGATCTATCAAAACCAGCATGTCGGCAATGCGTCAGGGCAGGTTCCAGATGCAGCGGTTACAGAGCTCAGAGCTCTCTCAGCATCAGAGACCAGACGGCAGATACCATAGACAGAGCTCGAGTCCTTTCTGGCAGCAGCAGTACAGCCAGCCAAAGCCTGACCTCTAAGGAAAGTGGTCACGACCCGTGGATAAGAATCACGATCTCACCGCAAGATCAGGCCCTGCATTTCTTCTCCTACCATTATCTTATGAATGGGTCTGGTCGAGCCCTAAGTCACCCTGACTGCCTCTCGGTGCTATACACGGGGGCGAAGGAACGGGGGTACCTGGCGAACCTCGTCGACGCTGTTGGACTGGGAAGTCTGGCGCAGCTGAGGAATGCATCTGATCTAACTCACACTGCCGGTGTCGCATATGCCAGCGCTCTTCGTCATATACGAGCGGCACTTGCGGACCCTGTCGAGGCTGCATCGGACCAGATGCTAGTCGCCATCACGTTGTTGGTACTGTACGAGGTAAGCTGCTTGATTCCCAAGTCTGATACGGTAATAACGTAATCAGACTGTGACATGCACCGGCGGTGATGTGAGCTCGTGGGATAGACATGCGGATGGTGTTCTGGCGTTGGTGCAGCTCCGAGGAGTCAGCCAGCTGCAGAACAGAGTTGGTCGAAGTATTTTCTTCCATCTACGCACCAGTATTGTGAGTATCTAGAGTTCAATTTGCTGGCTTATCTAACACTAGCAGCTCATCGATTGTCTCCAACGGAGGCTGCGGGTACCAGCTACATTGACGAACTGGATGAGCGAGGCTCGGATTCTTGAAACAGCACAAGAAAGACCTGCGGGCAGTTTGGCAGATATAATTGTCGAAGCATGCTCTCTTCTCGCATCTAACGAGAACAAGGCGAATCCATCGAGCTACATTCTAGCATTCCTGGCCGTTGACGAGAAGCTAGAATCCTGGGCTAATACTCTTCCAGCCGAATACAAGTACACAATCTCAACTCCGGATAATGCAGGACGACAAGACATCTACCCCGACATCGACATGCTCTATACCTGGAACCTGCAGCGATGCGCGCGCATTATCCTTCGCCAGACACTCGAGACGCTAGCACCACACCACGACCTGCTACAGGTCTCGGACGCTATTATCCAGGAGAATTCATCAGACATATGTTACAGTATCTCATACGCCTTGCACTTCTGCGATAAACCAGGCCAATCTGGTCAGATGAGAGCGGCCTGCATTGTGCCTCTGTTATGGCCTCTGTACATTGCAGGAACAGCGCGTACTACCGTCAACACAGTGCGTGATTGGGTGTTGCTGCAGATGAAAACTATCCAAGAGGTTACTGGGATTCAACGAGCGAGGGTTATGGCTTTGGATATTCAGCGGAGCTGTTGATCATAATGAAAGTCCCTCGAGACAGAACAAACTGGAGCTCAGTGATAGGGATGGTATTAGGATTGAGCCGACGCGAGGCTGGTCTGATAGGTATGCGGAGTCTTTTGTGACTGGGGTGAATGTGTTTACATCGAAACCGGCGATTTCCAGTCCTTGAGAGAAGTAAACTCCAAAATCCTACGAACAGCTATCACAGCGATTGGTGCCCTCGCTACCAACCTACAAACCGTTATCCTGCACACAGGAGAAAAAGGCTACGGAGTCCAATTCACAGACCAGATCAAGATCCAGCCTCCGCTTCGAGAATCCCTTCCTCGCACGACAACCAGAGTGCCTGGAATGTTTTGGCGGATGAGCACGGGCTGAAGAAAGAATCGGTTGAAGCGTACAACTGGGAGTTTGCGGAGTTTACGCTGGTGGACTTGACTCTGATAGAGAGTATGCTCTGGATGCTGCGCGGTCTATTGGGTTGACGGAGTCGATTGATACAGTACAGAGCTACCGGACTACGTTTGTGTGTAGCTCCCTTCAGCCTTTCATTGTATATCATTGTATATCCTTGTTAATTGAGTTGACTTGGACAAAGTTCATGTGAAGACACAAGTAACAACCGAATAATTTCTTTAATGTATTCTTTAACTCAGCATCAACACCATCCCTTTATCCTCAACAATCGCCCTCCAATAACTTGTCGTGCGATTCCTCGCCGACGGACCCGCATTCCAAACCTCCTCCACAACATCCATCCCAGTGCGCAACGCCTCAATCCCATAAACCTCCATATGGTCATGCCACCGCCGAAACCGCTCCTGCAGCGCCCCATCAAACGCCTCACTGGCCGCCACAAACGCGGGCCAATACAGCGGGGCCGCGAGAATATTCGTCTCGAACTTGATCCTCTCCATTGCCTCTATACTCTCGAGGACGGATTTGACGTACGGCTGCAGGAAGCGGTGGCTTAGCAGGCGGATGTGCTGCGCGAAGTAGATGATCAGGGCATTGTGGAAGGCGATTGTCTGTTGGTGGATGATCTGGGAGTTTATGTTTGTCTGCACGGTGTCGTCGAGTATTATGTCGCCGCGCCATTCCATGATTGTATTCTCGAGCTCGTCGCATTCGGCGACAAGGTGGTCTGGGATTAGGAGGCCTTGGCTTGGGCTTTGCGAGTCGTGGAGTTTGTTGATGAGTTCTATAACCTGGGTTAGGAGGAATAGCAGGTCGTATGGTATCCCGTATACGGTTTCGTAGCTTGTGATATGGGAATTATCTCGCGGACTAGATTGTATATTGAATGAATGTCTTCGGAGGAGGTCGCGGCGGAAGATATCCTGCGAACTGTTGGGATCTGCTCCTGATATTGTAGGGGAAAGGAAAGGATGGTTCTTTAGCCGACCTCGTGGACAGGTGCTTTCGTATATTGTTCGAAGATAGAGGTACTGCCGGTGCAGGCCTTGAGCCTTGCTTGAGTATCTGGTTTTCCAGCTCTGGGCGTGGTTGATGAAGCGCAGTGCGCCGTCGAGATGTAGACCGCAAGTGTCGATATCACCCGATATAACCTGTTAATTAGAGACAGACATTACGTGATGTATTGCAGACTTACATTAATTGTCACCATGGACAGCATGGTCGCTAAAAAGTCCTTGTATTTAGGTAGTGGCCGAGAGTAAAGGTCAGTATCCATAGCATCTTTCAACAACTCGATTGCCTTGCATCGGAACTCCTCTGCTGTGGCTTTCCACTGGATAGCTTCGTCTCGTCGGAGCTGAGATTTGCGGTAGTTGAACAGACAGAACGCACTGATTGACAGGAGAGTACTTAAGAGTGCCTTGCGAATTGTCGACGTTGATCCTGTCAAACTGAGCTCGCCAGCAGCTTGTAGCCCTTTTGGCAGATGGATTGTCTTCCACATGCTCTTTTCATTGTCCACTACGCAGAAAAGTTGAACTACCCTGTTGGCGTAGTGGTTGATAAGGAAGCGCTCCGTAGACGAAAGATAGAGAGGTTCCGGACATAAATTGGGAGATGGAACTGATAGAGAATCATCATGGGCATGTAGTAGCTGTGGAATATCGTCAGTGTGTCCAGGAGTATCTAACGTCTCATGGGAAACCTCTCCAAACAGTTCTGGTGCAGTAGGCGGCAACACACGGTCCTCACCCACTGAATATGGACTCGAGACCCAGAGAGGCGGCGGCGTAGAATGGTCTGCGTATGTGACAATGCGGCCGTCATGCGAATGCTCGTCGCTCGAAGGCTCGACAGAGGTGCTGCTGGTTCTCCCAAAAACACCAAACCCAGAAATAAAAAGCGAAAGATCCGTCCGATCAGCCTGTTTACAAGGGGACTCCAATGCGTCAAGCCTTGTTAGAATCTCCTCCACCTTGGAGAAGGGAATGCGAGTGCGATGGGGACCTGCCGGTGTCAACTCAGAACAGAAAATATGATTCAATGACATACTCAGTGCCACTCGACTTCGCTGCGACTGTGGTATTTGGAGAGAAATATCGGAGTCAGCTTCCTCGTTGATGACCCACCGCAATCGCACATTGTAGCCTTCACATTCGCGGCCACTGCGTCGGCATTGGCGGCAGGATGGTCTGGCCTCGTCACATTTTACTTTGCGGGCTCGACAGGTCCAGCAGCCACTGTACGTCTTGTGATGTCTGCGCTGGGCGTTTGACATGGAGGCGAGGATAGTATGAAATGGAGTGGAAAGGGAAAACATGAGCGAGCAGGAAACAAACTCGCACTTATAAGACTGCGGGGTGAGTTGGAGTTGGAGATGTTGCCCTAATCCGGTCATGATTCCCCTCGCTTAGTCTTGCCTGACTCGACGAAGTAGATCCAACATAAATGCCATTGCATGCATTTGCATATAATACAATGTTCAGTATATAAGTATATTCAACATTTGAATACCATTGTGTGCATTTACAAGGTGATATCTCCTTGCAACCGCTACATCATGTCGACCCTCACAACCACCACCGTCGCCGACCTTTCCACAGGCAAGAAAGACGAGAAAGAAGTCAAACAAGAAACCGCCGTGACAGACAGATTTGCAACAGGCGGCTACCCCTTCCCCGGCCTCCCAACTTTCGACGACCTCTACAAAAAACGACGATGGCAATTGGAGCACATGGCCGGGGCCTTCCGAGTATTCGCCCGAAAGGGCTTTACAGAGGGAACAGCAGGGCACATTAGTGTCCGTGATCCTGTGCAGCCAGATACATTCTGGATAAATCCGTACGTTGTCCATCCGCTGATGAGTATGGTGGGTATCTAACGGAATAGGCTCGGAGTCCACTTCGCCATTCTCAAAGCAAGCGACATGGTCCAGGTCAATGAAAAAGGCCAGGTCATCGGCGGAAATAAAGTAGCTGTTAATTCAGCTGGATTCCAGATCCATAGTGCGGTTCACAGGGCTCGTCCGGATGTACATGCCGCCTGTCACACGCATTCGCCGGCGGGAAAGGCGTGGTCGACGTTCGGTCGGCCATTGGATATTATCAGCCAGGATGCCTGTATATTCTGGGGTATTCAGACAGTCTATAAGGACTTTGGTGGAGTTGTGCTGGAGCAGGATGAGGGAGAGAGGATTGCTAAGGCGTTGGGTGATAGTAAGAAAGTGGTTATTTTGCAGAACCACGGCCTGCTTACAACCGGAGCTACTGTCGATGAGGCGGCTTATCTGTTTACACTACTGGAGCGATCGTGCGAAGTGCAGCTGATGGTGGAAAGTGCTGGGTTGCCAAAGAAGATTGTGGGTGACAGCGAGGCCGAGTACACGGCCAAAGTTAACGCTGACCCGGTAAGCCCCCTTTAACTATTTATTGCTGTTTATTGCTGATTAAGACTATAGGAAACCCTCTATATAGAGTTCCAACCGGACTTTGAGTACGAAATTTGGAAGTCCGAGGGGGAATTGAGAAGGCCCCCTGATGTGTAGAAGGCTATCATATAATTACTCGTGCTTCATCTTTGAGAATCTAAACAATACTACAAAATATGCCAAGTAAATCTACGTTTTCATTTTCTTTTTACTGATGCTGCTGTGAAGTCTGTTCGACCTTAGATTATGCACGGGCGTGGAAACTCCTGTCCTGGTAATCGAGAGCGATATATTGGTTGCATGGAGTCAAATGGAGAATGCAGTCCAGAACAGTCTACAGATAGTCAACAGGGATAGTACATACCATATTTCAATTAGATTTATGTGAAAGAAACCTCGAGCCGAATCTCAATAGCGCAGATGTAGTATACGCTCAGGATTACTGAATCAGTCAAACAACGCCTATCGGTGGGCTGAAGTTCGGACTCTATTTCCATTCTAAGGGAATACTCTTACTCAATTGATTCTGGTTCGTTCAGCTGCTGCAGGTCCCATAGATGCTGAAATGATAAATATCACATCGAGTTGTTCAAATGTTGCTCGAATGCTCTCTCACCATATCGTGTCTATCAAACCAACAAATTGCCAACCATACTATCTCATAGAAGACAGCAAAATGATCGAAGCAAAGTCCAACACAACACCCTCCTATTCCAAGGACAGCACGTCCGTCAGCAACCAAGAAGTCGAAGACCTCGGGCATGAACTCCCCATTCCCGCCTTCGACCCAGCAATCCACCTGAACTTCCAGCCCCCAGCCAAACGGTACACATTCACAGAACTCGGACTCCCCGTCCCAAAAGGCGTCCCAGACCTCTGCTACACAGAGCCCTTCCAGCTCTTCTCCGAAGAAGGGATCCGCATGCTCCGCCGAGAAATCTTCCGCCGCTCATTCCTCGACAAGTACATGCGATCCTGGGAACGAGCACCCTGCATCATCACCGGATTCTCCCTATACGATGATGTACCCTCCCCCCTCCCCCCCTCCCCCTCGTAAGCTGTGATGAATAAAATACTGATGATTCAGGACGCCACATTCCTAAAACAAGCAATGACACACCCCGTCACCCAAGCAGCCGTCAACTTCGCCTTCGGCGCCGCACTCCAATTCCAAAACGGGATCAACGATATGGGATACGTTAACGTGCAGCTCGGGGCCGAAGGTATGAAAGGCGTCTACAAGCTCGGCGAAACGCCCTCGAAGCCCCTTCCAGCTGGCGAGCAGATGGGTGTCTCGCAGTACGACGGCGTCCCTATCGACGGGTGGCATAGGGACCAGACGCCCGTTGTGCTTGTTCTGATGCTGAGTGATACGTCTACCATGGCAGGTGGGGAGACAGCCGTGCGCATGGGCGATGGGAAGGTTATTAATGCTGCTGGGGCGGGGATGGGTGCCGGTGTGATGATGGCCGGTGCGTATCTGGAACATGCGGCGCTGAGGGCGAGTAACTGTCTGGAGCGGGTCAGTATGGTGAATAGCTACAACTTTGCGGATCCGGAAGCGGATGATACGGGGACCTCGTTGGGCAGTGTGCATTATACCCATGACAGCCATGCCATGATCCGGAATCTTTTTATGGAGCAGAAGTTGACGAGACTGCGGGATCGGTGTGATATTGCGCTGCGAAGGGTCAGGGAGAGGAGGTGCAGGGGGGAGGATCCGGATACAGAGGAGGTTGAGGGGTGGATTAGAGATCAGATTCACTTTTTGAAGCATACGGGCTGGGAGACTTTTCATCGTATTCCGGACTATGTACATAAGAAGAGGCCGGAGGGTGTGTTGGAGGGTTATCTTGCGTAGTGTATAGTGATGTACTGCGATCCAGAATGTGACGTATTATCAAAATATCTTCATGCACAAACAGCTCTAAGTAAATTCCAAGCAAAGCGTCAAGAATACAAGACTGAAAACTAAATCTTCTGGTACTATTCTATTCTACCCAACTGACTGACGCTTCATTCTCGCTTTCTATTTCCCTTTTGACAGCTCATCTAGTCAGGAAATCTCAAGCGAGACCTACTCCAACATACACCATCACCAATGACAGCTCTGAGCACTAACAAGCTATAAGAAGCACTCTCCATACACCTTCGATCCAATTTATACTAACAACTTATAAGTCTATATACCAAACCAAGCATGTACGACCTCGTCATAATCGGCGCCGGCCTCAGCGGCCTACAAGCAGCCTACACGGCAAAACAAGCCGGACTCTCCGTCGCAGTTCTAGAAGCAAGGAACCGCGTCGGCGGCAAAGTCTGGACGGTCCCCTTATCTTCAGGGCGCGGATTCGCAGACCTCGGCGCCGCCTGGGTGAATGACTCCCTGCAGCCGCTGGTGTGGTCGTATGTGCAGCGATTCGGGCTAAAGACAACGACTCAGCCGATTGAGGGGACTGCGATTATGCAGATGGAGGATGGCCGGATGGAGTTTCCTTTTGGGATTGTTCCTGAGGTAAACTCTGCACAATCCAAGGGTTTGGCGGTAACTGATAATGATAGTTTCCCGAGGAGGAGAAGCAGAACCTCATCAAGATCCGCGATCATATTGAGGAGAAGTCCAAGAGAAAGGAGGCTCCGCGGGCGGAGGATGACCAGGTATCGCTTGATCAGTACGTGAGGAACCTCGGAGCGAACGAGACGACGGCCAAGATGGTCAATATCTGGACAAGGGCCATGCATGGAATGGAGTCCACCGAGGAGTCGGCAGCATATTTCATCGACTACTGTCGCAGCAACCACGGCCTGCTCGCTGTCCGGGCAGACGATAGGAGTGGCGGTAATTATATGCGGTTGCATGGTGGTAAGTATAAAACAATCATAGTTTTAATACCTACCTACCTATGGATACTAATCTGGTACAGGAACGATGGAAATCGCCGGCCAAATGGCAGCCCTAATCGGCAAAGAAAACATCCACCTCAACACCCCCGTCATCTCCATCGACGACCAAACCAGCAAAGTCATAATAACAGCAAAATCTGGAACTGAATTCCACGCCAGGAAATGCATCGTCTCCATCCCCAGCACCATGTACCGTGAGCTGAAATTCACTCCTCCCCTCCCACCTCCAGTCCAGGAGATCACCAACGCCACCAGACTAGGCCACTACAACAAAGCCATCGTCTGCTACAATAGACCCTGGTGGAGGGAACTAGGCTATAACGGTTTCTTCTTCAGCTATAAAGGTCCCGTCTCGATTGCCCGAGACTCCAGCATCCCTGAAAAGGGTCTATACGCACTAACATGCTTCGTAAACGGCCGCGCAGGCGAGGAATGGAGCAAGCTGGACGTTCATGCTCGTCGACGCGCAGTTCTACAGCAGCTAGCAGCCGTATATAATGTCGACAACGACTCTGAGCTCTGGCGCCCGATTGAATTTTTCGACCAGATCTGGCAGCATGAGGAGTTTAGCCGTGGCGCTCTAGCCCCTATCCCAGCCCTGGGTCATTATACCAGATTCGCAGATGTTTATGGGAAACCTGTTGGGAATTTGCACTTTGTGGGGACGGAGTACTCGGACCATTGGAAGGGATATATGGAGGGGGCGTTGACGAGTGGGGATAGGGGGGCTAAGGAGGTTGTTGAGGTATTGGGCCGGAAGAGGGCTAATCTGTGATAGCAAATTAGGGACATCAATATCTTGAAGTGAATCATCTATTCTGGGTTCCTCTACTAATGTCTAGAAGGTATTCTGAAGCAAGCATAAGAGAATGGAAGAGAACCGCAAGAGCGAATAGGATTTGTTTATTTTCAATTACAGAAAAGGAGTGACAACACAACAGTGCTAATGGCTATACACATCGCCTTCTACAAACGTCGAACTCGTCAAGGAGCATCTAGTTAAACTCCTTAACCCAGAGGTTCACAGCCTTGTAGGTGCTGCTGTGAGCACCGTACCAGTAGACGGTCTTGACCTTGGCATCGCCATAGCCCTCGATGGCGAAGTAGTCCTTACCCGCATGGGTGAAGTAGCCCTCGTCGTTGCGGCCAAAGTCGATAGTGCTGGCGCCCTCGGGGGTGTTGCCGGAGTGAGGGACGGTGAGTTCGACAGGGAGAACAGTCTTCTCGACGACGTAGAGGTTCTGGAAGGCCGTGGGGACGGCGTTCTTGCGGGTGAACGAGACGGCGCCGGTGTCGGGGGTGGCGCTGACTGTTTTTTGTTAGCTGGCCTGTTTGAAGTTGTTCTTGGTAGCACTTACAGATGGCGATCTCGGTCTTGTTGGTGACGTCTCCGCCGACGTAGAGGTATTCTGTACTTGTTAGATGGATTCATTAATGGGTAGCGGTGACATACGGCCGTCGGTCACGACAGTGCTGCCGCCATCAGCGACGAGGGTGAATGACTTGGGGAGGGTGGCGGCAACAGCGGCGCTGGCAAAGGCAGCGATGGTAGCGAGAGAGAACTTCATTTTGATAGATGGATTTTGAAAGATGGTGAAGATGGTAGATGGCGACGTTGGGTTGGCGGTATTTATGCCGAGCACGTCAGGGCAGACGTTGACGTCGGTTTAAGACACGCACCGTTAGTCTGCAGCAGGCTCGATTGTCATTCGTCTTGTTTGGGCGATCTCTCGCTGGCCCTGGAATGGCGTCGACTGCTCCACATCTGTTCTTCTTTAGTATCTGCCCCGAGCCCAAGCCTGATCCGGTCCACCTCATCCGATCGATTGATTGCTGAGGGCGATGACGTTATTGTAGCGCTTTGAGAGATGGAGGTGTGTTGAAGAAAGAAAGAAAAAAAAATAGAGACAAAAAGAGAGAGAGAGAGAGAGAGGTGTAGCTGGAGCCGGACGGTCCGGATCTGGACAGAGCCCTAAGTTGTCTCAAGAATTGGCCAACGGCCAATATACAGGTAGCGGTGTAGATCGTTCATTTGGAAGAGCCAGCGTATACCAAAATAACTGAGACACCGGACTATCCTCGGAGATCACCTCCGGCTCAAGCAACCAGGATTCTACTGGAGCAAAAACAAAACTACTTCTGCCCTCACACGGGATTGAACCGTGGACCTCTCCATTACGAGTGGAGCGCTACTACGACTGAGCTATAAGGGCTTTTGTGCACACCCAGCGACCTACTACGTTTTATCGGCTGCTGATAAAGGCTCACTATAAGTATGCATATATTGCCCCTGCAGTATAAGTATCGGATGCCGCCCCTTTGTTCCCTCATTTGGTGTTATTTCTCCACTACAAACTAGCAAGATGAAGGCAAGGACATTGTTGCACCGTCCACCATCCATCTTTGGCATCTCTCGCGTCGCTACAATCTCTCGGTCACGGTTCAAGCTACGGCAATTCCCACAATACACAAGCAAACCACCACGCACTCATTTCTCAACGGAAATCCCCGATATCCCAGAACGCCACGCTTATCAACCACCCACAATACAGCCGACCAGATCGAGCGGCTCATGCAAACAGACGGCTTCCGCAAATGGGGGTTTGTCATCTACCGGTGCACATACGCCAACGACTCAGACTGGGACGCATTTATGGCGCGCATCTACGGCGCTGTTAAGGAATATCTTGAGTACTCCAACGGCATGGACATATTAGACTCCTTTGCGCCCACGGTTGTCCAGGACTGGGCAGCCTTCGAGGGCGCGACGACGGCTGTAGTTCGAGAGCACTTCGTCAACACTTGGGTGTTGGGTGTATTTCCAGAGGAGAATCCGGATTTAGACATAGATATTCCACGTAATGCAGAATCAGGGAGGTATCGTTTCTTTATCATGGTGGACGAGGAGAGTCTGCGGCCTGTTCTGGAGGTTGAAGAGGACAGTATTAATCATCCGGGCTTTGTTCGGCTAGTGCAGGCGGATTGGGGATCTAAAAGGTCCAACATTGTTGATGAAGAAAAGGAAGAGGAGGAATTTGCGCCTGTACCGGGATGGGACGAGTGCGAACCCCTGGAAGGCTGTGTCCTGCAGGACGTGGGCTGGATGAACATACTATACGACCATGTCGAGGCAATGGGGTATCCGAATATTAGGATGTATTGGGGGACTGGGAGGACCATTACTGTCGGCCGCCCAAGATTGTGTGGATCTTCTTGGTCTCTTCTACGGTCTGATAATGCAAGCTCCGTACTCCCGTCTAAGAATCCGAAGGTACGTGACCGTTCGCTCAGCACGATGCAGCCGGACTTCTTCCCACGAGGCCGTTGTCAAGGCTGCACCCCCTGAAGCAGGATACGTTGTTCCTGCAGATTTGTGACAGGTCAGAATCATGGAGGTGGAATAGTCGGTGGATCGAGTCTCGAAGGAGTAATATTCGGTCTTAACCCGACCCAGGAGAGTCGGAGCAGAAACAGCAAATCTCTAGCCCAGTGGCACGGACGCCCAGACTGACAGCTCGTGCGAAATTCTCATCACGACGGCCCTCATTTTCTCCTAGTAATGGAGTTTCCCGGGACAGCAGGTGGAAATGAAGGAGCTGGAACCCGGCGTCGGACTGGGGTGCTGTGAAATGATACATCGCCACCTGCGGCTCTCGCTGAGGAAGCTGGCGAGCTCGAGGGGCGCGATCTGCAGTTCCGGGCCTTATTTTCATTTAACTTGGCCAATGTCTGTGGTGGCAGTTGAGTCACCGCTGTTATCCAGTCAGTCAGTCCAGTCGTGGTCCCAGCGGAATTAAGGCCGGAGTCTATCAAACCCAAATATTCCCCACAACTGAAGGTGGTGATCTGGAAGATTCCTGGCACCAATAGTCCAGGAAGAAGGACTGATCGGTGCCTGGTCTTCAGGGTATGACCTTACGCAGGGGGTTGACCGGATTCCGCCAGTCATTCCATTGATATCTGAGCAAGCCAAAGCCACGCAACCCACCATACTTGAGTCATATGTTCATATTTACACAATTTTATTATCTGGTAAATCCTTCACCTACGACAATTCTGAAGAGGTCGAACAAAGAACAAAGAAGGTTGGTGGTGATATACGCGCCCGGCTCCATTCCGGGATTAGCATGCGGCGCAGCGTCCTCGTTGGCAAGGAAACCCAGCTCGCTATTCGAGCTCCAAGGTTCGACTAGCTTGTCGCAGGATTCACTAGTGGATTGGCTGCATGTTTCGTCCACGTTCAACGTCTTTCCAGCTTCCAGTCTCTTGAGAACGCTTACAATGAGGCCTGTCGTCTTGCAGCTGAAAATAATGATCAGCAAGGTAGGAAATACCAAAGAATTGTGATTTTCGGTAGATTAATACGAGTCTATTATTACGTACAAAACGATGAACATCCTGTTACCCATTTGTGCGGATTAAACGTGCCTGGGTAGCCCTAATTTTGCTGCTAAATGAGCTTACCAAACCTGCCGAAAAAGTTCAAGATTAGCCAATGCCGAGTCTCCAAGTACTTTCAGCTTACCTTTGGCTGTATTCATTCCAGGCAATCTGGAGGCTGGTGTAGTTCGACTGGCAGAAATAGGCAAAGAACTCCACCACATATTCATCCAGGAGATCAACGATCCCATAAGGCTTGAGGCGATCCTCAAGAGAGCAGGCAATTTCGAACACCACGAGGCTAAGTTCTCTTTTCAAGGCCTTTGAGCTTCCTCGGGCTGCCGCCTCTATGTGAACTTGCATCGTTGGTGCGATCCCATTCCGAAATTCCGTGGCCAAGTCCCTCCGCAGGGCACGGCTAACCTCTGGAAAGGGTAAGTCCTCAGGCACGTCTGGGTGATGGGCTGCTTGGTCCATGGCGAACGAGTTCGGATGGCAGTACGAGTTCAAAGATTAGAGAATTCTTCGAGACTGGTGGTTTGAATTTGCAGTTGGTGGTGTCAAGCCCCCTTTTATACTCGTCTGGAGGCAGCCATCCTAAAAAGTACGATTGGTATCTGCATGTCCAAGCGCATTGTGAGCGCTGGAGGATAGCAGGCCATGAGCTAGACCAGTATATAGTACTTCGTGACAGACACAAGTACGAGTAAGAGGTATCTTTGGCCGGGAATCATCCTTTAGCCCGGCGTTAATTTCTGCAGCAAAGGCTCAAATGCTGAAGAGGCGTCGTCTGGGCCCGGTTCCTGCTCGGACAGCCCTGGGATGATCCCTGCTTGGCCCCATGGAGACTTCCCACGATCAGCTCTTAGACCGCCAGCTCCACATCCCAGTCACGAAACACTCGCATTGGTGGGTGGCGGAAATGAAGAAACCTTCTTTCCATGGAGCCTACTCCGGAGTATACTTTCTTGTTTCTTACGGGTTTATACATCGCTTGCAAGCGTCTAATCTCTGGAAGGTCAGTCATCAGTCTCCACCAACGCGCATTCTACCGTCCAATAGCTATCAGACTCTGTGGTCAATGTCGACCCGGGTCGACATTGACCATTGATAGACAAGGTCTAGAATCTGCTGGAAACTGATGTTGATTGTGCATTACTGAAGCAACTAAGCGAATTGTCACTATACCGCCCCCTCGCCCTCCCATCGTCTTCCACGGTCGACACGGGCTTTCACAAGTTCAGTGACAGCACTGTTGAGATGGGTCCAACTAGGCTTCGTGTGGCCCTTGATTCCCAATATCGCAAGGCTAAAAACATACTGCACAGGCAGCTGCGAATGCTGTTCAAACAAAAGCCACAATCTCTTGAGACTCTCAGCCTCCGGTTCTGGCAGCAGAGTGTCTGTCTCCAACACATGAAAGCGTTGTGTCCGCCGTTCGTTCAGCCATGCGATCCGCTGCTGGTAATGGCTCTGACGCACTGGGTTGAGGCCGTGGTAGAGCACATCGACTGCCCCCTCGCCCCATGAATGAAGATATGCCATCCAGATAATTGAATCTCTCACAATCTCCATCTTGCGCCTTTGTCGTCTAGGCTCAGAGTCCCTCTCCATCGAATCGATTGTTTGGCGGATCGCCTCTTTGCCGCGCCTCGACCGGATGATAGAGTTGGTTACATACATGGCCAGGCTGAGCTCAAGGGGCCAGAAGGCACGAGCCTGCTGTGAGAAGTCACTGTCACCCATCCTCGAGATACTGCCTGACTGGAACGTATCGTGTAGAAAGCTCGGCTTGCACCGATCAATGAGCGTCAACGCCTCCCAGAGTGGCTTCACCTCGCCGCAATCTTCCTCTCTGTCCAGGACGGCAGCCCACTCACACAAGAACATCCCAAGTTCATGCTGCGTTGAAAACTTCCTATTTCCCGTATCCGTCACTATTTGGAGCTCCACGATCTTGCAAGGCCAGAACCGCTCGTCTCCTTTCTGCGAAATCCAGTAGAACTCCGTGCACTTGTCGTCCTCTGTTTCGACTCCTCCTTCTATGTACTCGACAGGCCATACTGTGAACTCTTCCTGAATAATCCCATGGACACGCTTTCTATCTTGGGGCCGATGCACATGAACCGACACGCTGGCCAAGTCGAGCACTTCTGCTTCGATTCCGCCCGTCTGCTCGTACCGAATGCCCCGTACCATCTCGCGCACTTTCAACTGACCTTCCAATTTGGTGGTTGGGATGTTAAAGCAGTTTATCTTGTGTAGGATCTGTGCTTTCTTGAGAGCGTTGCCACATGTAGCAGCCACCTCGAGGCAACGGTTTCTTGAAGGATGCTCGCGGGAACGATAGGAGAGTATAAACTCGTTCACAAAGCCTATTTCATCGTTGGTGCTCATATTGCTGGTCTTTTTGTATCAAATTTCAACAGATGATAAGGATGATAAGGATGAAAAGTGGTGTACTCCACTGTCTTGTTTGTGGATGAGACGGTTGTCGTTTAATATATACCCTGTTCCTCTCGCTGCCCATCCATCTTCACGCACAACAGCATCGTTTCCAAACGTTAGTTGGGTTTGAAATTTCGACAAGGATGAACGTGTCCAACTCCTCTGCCCCATCTCATTTGCCCTACCTCGATGTTGCGGTCAGAAATCCCTGCCCTCGGGCTGTCATGGATGAGGGTGGGAAAGCAAGAACATTGGACATTACGCGAACACTCAACCACGTCTTAACCAACTGACTCGTGTAGAGGCTGACTGCTGGTAGCGCATGCAGTTGACATTCCCATTGCATACATGAGTGGTGGATTCGCGCGGGGCGCTGCACACGATCGGTATTTGATATCACGACAACCAATCGACCACATCCACCTGGCCCTGGACTGGAATTCTTGCTTGCATTCGATCTGCAGACTGGTGGAGGCCCGACCCCCACGGCACGGATCGATGCGCTCTTATCGGGCGGGCTGAACCCATGAACCACCCGAAACTACTAGCTGCATACTCTGGTTACTATTCTGTTGGTAAAGCACATTAGGCGATTCGCTGTTTCAACGCCTTCTTGCGCAGTCTAGATGCCCTTTGCAGTCCAACACCGCCCATCACGAACTATGGTTCGCCAATTCCAGGTATTGCTGGTTAGGCAGAAAGCTACCAAAGCCCCGATATAGACCGCTCTTTCTGTCTATATCAACTCAGGGCCTCGCAGTCCGGCGGTCATGTTCCCAGCCCACCCTCCTTGGTATGATCCCTGCTTGTTGACCGATGAGACCCTCATCTTCAAACACCGCTTATAAGCAGGAAGTTGAAGCAGAGCGGCCTAATAATAGGGTAAGCTGTTCGAGCGCGCAGATCAACAGTAACCCTTTGAAGCCATCAAGAAACACCGAGAGGAAATTCCCAGACCAGTGCCTCGTTGTTTTTTTCCTACTTCACCGACAATATCCGCCTCCAAATTCTGCTGCATATGGCCCCTGCTAGATCCTGACCAAAGAGAATTACACCACTCCCTCCATAGGTGATGATATCGAGCTGTTGGTTGGACAAGTTAGGGTTCGTTGGTCTGAATGGTTGTCGCAGTGCTTAACACTTTGAGGCCTGAACAGAATTTGGGCGACACCGCCAGTTACTGACCGTCTATACTCAACGTTCCAGCGAGATATCTGTCTTACGGAAACGGCTGTATGGTTTGCAGTGTATGGGAGATATCCAGCTTAGGTTTATCAAGCATTGCATTCTTGACCGATGTGATGATAATATTGCTCTGTGGGCGCGTCTCTAATACTTCCTTAGGTGTCGAAATATCCACTAGAATGTTGGGATGGATACTGTTAATGTAGACAGGTAGGGAGGTTGCTTCCGATTTTCACATGTGGTCAATTTCTACCCGGGTAGAAATTGACCATTGATCGACAAGGCCTGTGGTGTTGTTTTGAAGAGACGATAACGAGGTGGTATTTGAATATAATAAGGGTTTAATATTGTGGGCGTATAAAGCAATATAGGAGAACCCTAAATGGTGTTCCTCCCAGTTCGATATATAACCAATTCGGGCTTATTAAAAAAGTGGAATAATGCGATCCGAACATAAAAGGCGAGTTGTCATTTGTCGGTCTTTCTACTGGTTGATATTCCAACAACTAGCACGTTACCCGGAGAAAGCTCGGCCAGGCATTTTTTCCTGCATTCCGAATAATGGAAGTAATATGAGGGTTTAAATGGGGTATTGGATAAGGTCCCGGGGTGTTATATATATATATATATATCAGTGGTAACCCTTATCTCATTCCTTTCAAACCCTATCAAATTAAATATTCTCAAAAGTTTCCTCAGAAACTACCATTCAATTTATGTAAATACCCAGAGAGGCAGTACAAATAAATGTTACTTTGCCATCATGTTACTTTGCAAGACTGGTTGCTGCCGTTAGCAAGTGGAGCAGGTGGAGGAGAAGACGAAGACTTGGCTTTTGACGATGTCGGTGATCCCACGAACCCCGCTGTTTGACATTTGGTTTCAGATGAGACCAGCATCTCAGGGTCATCAAGTGTTCCAGTTTGAGTATTGGGTGTTCATATTCATTGGACCCTAATCAGACACTCGAACCAGTGGGCGAGCACATCTGGACCGGTGGACCAGCACTGAGAACGCACAATCCTCCGTTCCTGTCCGTCCCTGAATATTAATAAGATAAACTGCTCCCCGAATATTAATAGAACATTAATAGAATTCATAAATGGATCGCTTAGAATCGGCCGACAATTCGGCGGATTCCTCGCCCCACGAGCACGTGAATCTGAGCTGGCAAGATGCGGCGTTTTCCGATTGGATTTACGGTCGGGTACAGCTGATGAGTTTGAGAGTTTTCATTCATTTCATTTCTTTTCTTTTTCATTGAGATTGAGGTTGAGAATGTGACTGAAGAGGTGGAAAATGGTATACTAGTCGCTCGCTAACATCGTCGCATCATAATACAAGAAAGGAAAGAAAAAAAAAAGAAAGAAAAGGATCCAGTCCATGCGACTAAAAGTCAAGTGTAAAAAGCCAGTCCAACGCCGAACCATTACTCCGTATACTCCGATCAATGTAGTGCCGTCTAGTAGTTGTAGTGCGAGGAGTCGTCTGCGGTCACTATACACTGTCAGTTCTATCCAACCAACCCAGTTGTACAAAGTACGTACTTGCAGACTCGACGTCCCGCGGCATGGGAGTCTGCGACTCGCGATAGTTGAAGCCCAGATTCTTAAGCCGCACCGATCGCATGTAGACCTCCTGGTCGCGCGAAAATCCGCGGTAGGCGTTGTGCTCTGCGGGGCTGTACTGGCGGAAGAGGGCGGCGGCGACAGTCACGCAGAAGAGACAGGCGACGATGACGATGACGATGACAGCGGAGTTGCTGAGGCCCATTTTATATGGTTATTGGGTCGAGGTCTATGTTCTGGTGTATTTGAATGGCGAATTTGGTGGCCGCTGCAGCGGTGCCCTAAGGCATAATTCGAACGAGAGTAGGTATACGAGTGCGAGCAGCAAAAGGGAACAGCAAGAGAGCCAGAAGAGACGGAAGAGCAGAAGAGCAGAAGAGACAAAAGAGAGAGGGCAGGCTTAAAGGTTAAGGTTGGCTGAATTGAATTTGGGTCTTCCAATCATCCACGCGGCCTTTTTTTTGGCTGCCAGTGAAGGCGTCGAGGCCAATCCAGGGCTCGTCACAGTGGCTCCGCGTGGACGCCCAGCACTGGCCCAGCACTGGCGCCGCTCTGGCTTGCATAACCGATCGGCGGATTCAGCGTCATCTTGTTCATTTTCTCTGCTCGCTGCTGCGTTCGCGCTGATTACGTCGGTGATCTGCCATCCCGGGTGGGCCGCGAGCTGCGTCATCAGCTCTGGCAGTTGCATCCTCGCAGCCCAATCGCATCTGCGACGGCCGTTCAAGCTCGGAGGCACAGTTCACCATGTTTCACTTTTGTCTTCACATGAGGCTGTGCTCCGGCATTCCGGCAGCGATCGGTCCAGGTGCTGACAGGCAGAACAAGGAACAAGTAACAACGCTTCTGGGCGTGGATTAGTGTTGGAATGCAATGCCCTGATTGGCTGGTCTATCCGATGTTTCAGATTTAGGCAGACGAATATCTTTGTCTCACTATCACACTACTATGTAGCTAAGATATCCACCCGAGTGCCGACCATACCAGATCTTACGCCAGTGCATCGATGATCGCGGTGTAGGCCTCCTTGGGCTGGTAGCTGCTGTCGAAAAGCAAGGGGGTGAGCTCCGACCGCCACGAGTCCTGCGCGTGTTAACTCTATAATTCTGGGTGTATCGCCATGCGTGGTGGTGTCCTACCTTGTCCGACACGCCCCAGACGGTGATGCCCACGCATTTCTCCTCGTCCAAGCAGGCATTCAGCAACTGCTCATTAGCATCTGTATTATCTGCCAAAGGTAGTTACTCACGTTCAGGTAGTCGGCGGATGCAGCGCCCGCAATGTCGAGCTCGGTGATGGCCACTTCAGCCACCCCGGTGCCAGCGAGAGCGGCCAGAGCTGTGCAGGGGGTCAGTATTAAGTATCATAAACCTGGATAGGGGGTACTTATGCTGGAGCTTCAGAGCTCGACCAGTGGCTCGCACTAGACCTGTTAATAACCAACCATCTACCGTCCAGCAAGACCTACCTATAATGACCCTGGGAGCCTAGAACAATCAGCACAATCCAGAGCAGTATCAGTCTTCAGTTCACATACCTATTCCATCAATCGGAACCCCAGCCTCCAGCCACTTGGACACATTGTCGACCATCGCCTGCGTCTTGGCGTAGCTCGCCGAGTCCAGGCTGCGCTCTTAGCATCCAGATCTGACACAAAACAGACCAGACTCACTTGTAATCGTTGATATAAAGCTTGGCATCGGGGTCCGCGGCACGCGCAGCCTCAAAGGCAATCTTGACAAAGTCCTCGCCGAGAACGTTGTAGAAGACGCTGTCGCGGAACGTGCCGTCTTCGTCGAAGATTTCGTTCACCACGTCCTGCAAATTAGTTCATATCTACTAAAAGGAGAAAGAGAGAGAGAGATACCCAGTGGAAGATCTTGCCCTTGTAGCGGCCCACAACCTCGTTGATGTGGTTCTCGATGACTTGCTGCAGCTCGGCCTTGTCGCTGATGGCCGATACCCACGATGGGAGCTGCGAGTGCCAGACTGCTACAGTTAGCGAGAATACAGTATATAAGGAGTAATAATAACGCACCAAGCGTGTGTCCACGGATCAACTTGTTATTCTCAGTCGCATAGTCGACCTATCTGATCAGCACCACTACCGCCACCAACACCAAATAGAACATACCAAGAAATCCGCACCGCTCCAGCTAAAACTGCCCTGGCTTGCTGTAAACAGTCAGAAGTATTCCTTGTTGGAACGGTTGACTGACGCTCAATCGAATCCCACTTCATGCTATTCTCCGGCGTCAGCGCCCCGAACTGCGCATTGAGCACGGCCTCGTTCTCGGCGTTCTGCAGCAGGGCCTGGTCGGAGCAGGTCCCGAAGTAGGATTTGCCCGCCGCGACAAAGGCATCGTTCAGACTTGTTGACTGGCGAGGCAGAACGGCCGCCGAGGCGATCGTGGCGAAGAGGGCGCCGGATGCGAGGGGTTTGAGGTAGACCATGATAACAAAACTCAATAGGCGAATATGTAACGAAAGTGTAAACGAAGGTGTAAACGAAGATGGAGCGAATATGTGAGCGAGAGGATCGATTTAAACCAGAGCTGTCTATACAGGCGGAGGAAGCACCGAGGCGCCGGGCGTTTTAGGCTAATTGGGGATTTCCGCTTTGGGCGCGGACTGAAGCCATCCAGATGGATTCAGGGCCGATCGGCAGTGTATTTGCGGAGAACTGGCAGTGGCTGTTTCAGCCAAGAGTGGGCAATTCATGGCAATTTATGGCAATTTCATGGCAACCGCATCTGATACGGAGGACACTATAGGGCAGTTCTGGAATTCTTCAGCAGATTAGCCTTTACGATTTTCTGCCGATCGATATGTTTATCCTCTGGCCAGAACATCGAGATACAGTTAATGGATTAATGAATTAATTGATTGATTGATTGAATGATTAGGCTGTTGTCGATGGGAGCCAAGTGTCTGAGATTGATGAAGTGCCCTAATAACAGCTAACAGCTAACAGCTAAACAGTAAACGTCTCCTTAACAAGCCCCCCCTCCCTCTCCAGAAATCCAGCAAACGTCGTCAGAGGAATCCCCCAAGCCCGGACCTCGTCCATATCCACAAAGTCCGACATATCGCGCGCCAGCAGCTGCCCAGCAAGGAACGGATTGGTGGTAGTCTGCGCATCAATCTCCTCCTGCGTCATGTATTCCACCTTCAACTCGCGCCCTGTCGATTCAGATAGAGTATTCAAGAGCTCCTGAAGTCCCAGAATCTCCGATGCGATCCCAACTTCCTGTTTATGAAATCGCTCCGGCTCCAAAAACGCCGCGGCCCCAAAGCGCCCGATATCATTCGGATCAACCGTCGGAATGACAGTCTCTGGCGTAAACGCCGAAGTAATAACCCCCTTTTCCACCAGCCCCGGATACATACGGTAAACAAACGGAGCAAGGTAATTGGTCATGAAATTCCCTGGCCTGAGAATGGTATAATACTCAAACCCAGCGGTACGGACAGCCTCCTCAACGGTTCGTTTACTCAGCAGCATTCCCGCAATAGGACCTTGTTTAGTCGCATTCCAGTACTTCCGTTTCTCGAGATCCTGGATCAAGCCGCTGGAGTAGATGGCGTGCTGCACGCCTGCTTCTTTCGCGATGGACAGGATCCGCTTCGCTTGGGTGAGTTCCTGGGTTGGGTCGGTGAGGTTGGGCATCAGGTTGAGGAAGAGGCCTGTGCAGCCGGCCATTGCGGTGCGGAGGGAGGAGGCGTCGTCGAAGGAGCCTGGGAAGATGGTGACTCCTGCGGCTTTAAGGGCGAGGGCGCGTTTTGAGGAAGGGTCGCGGGCGATGGCGTGGGCTTTTATGTTGTTGGATAGCAGGTGCGGGATTAGGGCGCCGCCCTGGGTGCCTGTTGCGCCGCAGACGAAGATGGACATGTTGTAGTGGTTATTGAGCTGTAGTAGTAGAGGAGAGTAGAGTAGTAGTAGTAGTAGTTGTTGTAGATGGTTGGATGGTGCTGCTATTGATGGATGAGAGTAGTAGTAGTTGTTGTTGTAGATGGAGTTGTTGTTGTAGATGGTTGGAGGTTTATATAGCATCACGCACTGATAGAAGAGTAGCGGACTTCCACTGTCGCACTATACAGCGGAATTCCCTTAAGGATTGACCAGTTATATCATGGTATTAGATGCAGTATCCAGTTATTATACCATCTTATGAACCGACTAGTGGAATTCCGCAGCCCCACTTCTCAACAACTTCAGCTCTCCAGAGTAAGCACGTTCAGACACGAGCTGTCAAGCAAAATGAGCTCTCGCGATATCCCTCCACCCCGTCGCAAGTCTTGCGAGGCATGTAGAGCAGCCAAGCGCCGCTGCAGTCTGGCTCTGCCGACCTGTTTTCGATGCTCGCAGCGGGGCCTCGCCTGCGTCTATCCGGGGCTGCCACCCGACCAGATTCCGGAGCTGCTAGCTCTGCTGGACCAACCTGAGAGGCCGAAAGAGTTTAGCTTTGATGCTCCAGTGCTTGATCTGCCTGTAGAAACAGCCCAGCCCTCGCCACTGCAATACCAGCCCCAGGGCAATGCTGCGGCTGTCTATTTCCACGAGCAGCAAGGAATGACGCATGTACGGACCAGCAATCCCGTTCTTCTGTCTGCTTTGATGTCCTCACGGTTTGAATACCCGGTCAATACCCTGAAGGATGTACCGCGGATGATGGTCGTGGAGAACCAGACCCCTTGGTCCCATCCTGAGTTGTACCGCGACGGAATGCCCAAAGTCATGCAGGGTATGTCTACGTCTCCATAGCCCTGATAATACACTAACAGGATCAGACGCCTACGCCTGCTGTGCTCTGTATATCACCAAGAACCGCATCAATGGCCCCATGATAACCTCGCACATCCACTCTCGACACCAAGAGCTCGCTCTCTCCCCCTTACCAACCTCACCAACAGACTTGCTTTCACACGTCCACGCCCTCATCCTCTACCAGATCATGCACCTCTTCGACGCAGACATCAACGCCGCCGACACCTCCGCCACCATCGACATCCTCTCCATCTCTGCTCTCGAATCCGCCACCTCCCTCCTCTTCAACAGCACCCACTTCCCACACACGCAGCAACCCCCTGCAACGCTCCCCCCAAGCACAACGCATTTCTGGAAACTCTGGGTCCTCGAAGAATCCGCCCGCCGCAGCATCATCGTCGCCCTATTCCTCATCCAAGTCCTGCGCGTCTTCCGCGGCGACACCGACATCCGCTGCGACGGCAAACTCGGCGTGCTGCACTCGTGGTTTTTCTCCGCACATTTATGGAGTGCCTCCTCGGTCTACGAGTTTGCCACAGCCTGGACAGAGAAAAGACATTTCATCGTGCATAATGCAAACTTTAATCAGGTATTGCAGGAAGCGCAGCCGAACGATGTGGATGTTCTAGGCAAGATGTTGCTTGTTACGAGTCGGGGGGTGGATGTTATCCGGGACTGGTTTTTTAGGAGGGGGGCGATTTTGTAGCATTCGTGCATCAAGACGGGGTTATGGCTATTTTATATCATCTGGGTTGGGACGGAAATACTGTTTAAGGAAGGTACAATTAACGCCGGTTTGTTCAGAATAGGAAGGAGTGTGGTTGTACTTGCCATTCTAGTTAGTAGGCTACCGGATATTTAGGAAAGAGCAATGGAAAACTTGCACCTTCCTTTCCGGGAATAACGAAGACTCCATTTCGGAAGGTGCGATCCAGGCCGAATATGTAGTCATTTCAAGTGGCTGACTGAGCAAGGCCTTGTATGTGATTTTGTAGCTGAGAAGACAAAAGAGACTGCAGTGCAACGTCTGTTCATGACTAGCACCGTCTTATATTCTTATCCCCCTTACAGAGCGAACCATCTCGCATATCATTCCTGACCGTCTGACCTATCAGTCGGAGACCGCACTCCTCGGAACGAGGGAGCCAGTGACTTGGTTCTGCATCTTCCTGGATATTTAATAATGAGCAATGTATTCGGAACGTGCCCCATCCCGAGCATGGCTGGCGATGCGGTGTAGACATGACATTACCACTGACAAGTCATTTGAAGGGTTGCTCTCCTATTGCATCCTCCCTTGCCCTTGCATTACAGAGTTTTCAGGCTCGCATATCGATCTCGATTTTAAAACCTTGTACCCTCCGGGACTCCATCGCAACTCCTTTCCTGACACGGATACTCAAAATGGCAGCAGAAGACAAGAGCCAGGAATCACTCGAAGAGACGCCTTCTATTGAGCTGGGTACCACGACTACCGTCGATGGACTCCAGCGAGGACTAGGCAATCGCCAGATCCAGCTTATCGCTGCTGGCGGTGCTATTGGAACAAGCCTTTTTATTACAATCGGAGGTGCCCTGGCAAAAGGCGGCCCTGCTAGTCTCTTGATTGCCTTTATACTGTATAGCGGTGTTCTATCTCTCGTCAACAACTCGATTGCTGAGATGAGCACCTTCATGCCAGTCCCAGGAGGCTTCATCCGCCTTGCTGGCCACTGGGTTGACGACGCCCTGGGATTCCTAGCGGGGTGGAACTTTTTCTTCTACCAGGCCTTTGCTATTCCGTTTGAGATTACGGCCATTAATATGTCTATGACCTTTTGGACGGACGAGGTGACGAAGCCGGGCCCTACGGCTGCTATTTGCGCTGCCGTCGTTGTTTGCTACGCGTGAGTGGTCGAACCTTTTTTTTTTTTTTATATATTGGCTTTACTTTGTTTACTGTATACTGACTTTTATGTTAGGGTTCTCAACGTCCTGGCCGTGCACGTATACGGGGAATCTGAGTTCTGGCTATCAGGGGGGAAAATAATCCTGATACTTCTTGTCTTCGCATTTACCTTTGTCACTATGGTGGGAGGCAACCCCCAGGGCGATGCATACGGCTTCCGAAATTGGCAGAGCCCTGGAGCGTTCGCGGAATTCTACACTACAGGGTCACTGGGTCGATTCGAGGGTTTTCTGGCATGTCTTTGGAGTGCCTCATTCATCGTGATTGGGCCAGAATATATCTCCATCGTGGCATCTGAGGCAAAGTACCCGAGTGTTTATATCAAGTCCGCATTTAAAACAGTGTATTTCAGGCTGTGTCTCTTTTTTATACTCGGGGCGCTGGCCGTTGGAATTGTCATTCCCTATAACCACCCGGTATTGGTGGACAGTTACCTGGGATCTGGAGGCAGTGGCACCGCATCTGCATCGCCCTATGTTATTGCCATGACCGACCTTGGAATTGGCGTACTGCCCCATGTTGTCAATGCCTTGATCATGACGTCCATGCTGTCCGCAGGAAATACGTATACCTACTGCGCCACTCGGACCCTCCACGGTCTGGCGCTGGACGGCCACGCGCCTAAGCTTCTGCGCCGTTGTACTGAAAGCGGCGTTCCCATATACGCCTTTTGCGTGGTGATGGTCTTCCCCCTGTTATCCTTCCTCCAGGTAAACAGTGGCTCCGCACAGGTAATCACCTGGCTCGTCAGCATAATCACAGGAGGGATAATGGTCAACTATCTGATCATGTCGAGCACTTTTCTCCAGTACCACCGGGCATGCAAAATACAGGGGTTCGACCGGAAGTCATTACCCTACTACGGCTACTTCCAGCCTTACGGTGCCTGGATTTCAATATTTGTCCAGGGAATTGTATTCCTCTTCGCCGGATACCGGTCTGTATCGCCCTGCGACCCGACTGGGTTTGTTACTAGCTACCTAATGCAGATGGTAGCGCCGGTGCTGTTCTTCGGGTGGAAGTTCTTCAAGAGGACGAAATGTGTCAAACCGCAGCATGTCGATCTTATTTGGGAGAGGCCGTTGGTGGATGCTTATGAGAGTTCCTGCACTGAACCCCCGTCGACATTTTGGAGGGAGATGGGCCAGCTTGTAGGGTTGCGGAGACGTACCCTGTCTGAGGAGTATAGCTGAGATTGGTAATTGATAAGAGTTAGTGTAAATGCTTACTCCTATAAACGTGATACAGCCCGTTATACACCGTATATAAAGCAGCGGTAGATCTGACGCCTGTGGAGATGCAGACCCACAGATCTAGACCTCGCTCGGAATTGCTTGCTCGCTCGTGTTTTCTAGGAATAGCATGGGCTGGTCCCTGCGCCGGAATGGCCAGCTAAGTCACTGAATAAAGTGCATAAAGGCGCCATATACCCGGTAGTATTAGTTTTAATTTATTTTGTACTCGAGGGAGTGCACTCATGTTAAAGTCTTGTCAACTCACCTTTACCATTGTCGTGGAGTTTTACGTCGCTGTCTTCACTATCATCAGATAGAGCACTCAGTCCATCTAGCTAGTATTTGAGGGCAGGGAGCTTCTGAAAGAGGAACCAACGCAGCATACCTCTGTATTTATTACTCCTAGGCTGTGGTGGTAGCAGGAAGAGAGGAATGTTGCTCAATCGTACTGCGACTGGCGGGTCGCATCGGTATTCTCCAGATATATGAGGTGATCCACCTTTAGGACGGGGTTTTATTCAATATCATCTCTGCAGCGCGACCAAAGGGCTCGTTTGGCGCGACACTTTGCTTCCAGACTGGTCTCTGGATTGGATCAGGCGGGGACTGGATCTTGGCGTAAGAACAATTGGAACAAGTGATTGGCGAGGCCAGAATGAGTGAACATGAGTCATTCTCGCTCATCCTCTCTCATCCTGCAGATCGCTGCATCGGGCTAGTGTATTATATTGCTTTACCGTATCTTACACTACAGATAATGAAGCCTGTTGCCAAACTGGCAGGCTGACAGGCTGACAACTGGGAGTGACAGCTTGTTCTCTGAGTATATTGTAGTTTATGTGGAGGAGTGCGGGGAAGATACACTCATTTCAGATCATGTCGACTCATCATGGCCAACAATGATGGCTAGTGGTTGTATATAAGCATTTGCCGTTGTAAAGTAGAGTAGACGCAATCAAAACCAGACAAAGTTTTGGATAGGACATTCCTGAATATGCTTGAATTGGATCAAGTACCAGCTACCATGGTACGTTAAATTCCAATCTTATCTGTTGAGGATGAAGAAACAGCCCGTGCCGACTTCGCGCTGTGGCGCTTAGAGATGAAGAAATAGGAAGACTCTCTAAGATTGTTTTGGGCCGACATCATCTGACTCACCCAGCCAATAATGCCTGTTTTATGACTCTTTTGCTTGTTTATCTGACTGACTAACTGCACATGGAGCCGTAGTATACTTCAACCCGCGGCGTAAGGCTGTAACATACAGGTAATGCTCAATACAGGCACAGCCCCGCCATCCCCGCTAGTCCTGATCGGGTCCCCTCAGCCCATCCAGGCTCTCAGGCTTCAAAAGGACCCTTCGATCTCCCTCGCCTTCTCTTTCTTCCTCATCCCATCATCGCAAAGGCACCAATCGCCTCCTCTTTTCCTTTTTAAACCGCCCGCGCAACCGGGTCGCCGTAAGACCCGGCTTATATTATCTCGCAATGGCTGCCGCCGGAGTTTCCGCAGCATCAACCGTCCGACAGGCAAGATCACTCTTGTTGGTTGGCAGGCAGGCATCGCCAGTCTAACCAGTACCTCGACATCTCCCCCGATTCCTTCTTTAGCGACGCCGATTTCCTTCTTACCTCTGCTTCTTCGTCATCATCTTCGTCCACGCCTGCTTTCTTCCCTGATCTGTCAGCGGCCTTCCCCCCCGTTGATACGCACGCACCACAGCTCTTCTATGACCCGCTTATCCACCCCCCGTCGATGTTCCCTGGGGACCCCTCGTCATCAAGCTTCGATCAATTCCACGATCTCTCGACGACGACCGGCTACCCGACAAGCAATATAACAGCGGCAGACGATATCGACTGGACGGCCCTGGGCTGCTTGCCCGGTTCTGGAAACGGACTGAGCGAGCATCCCGCCAATAGTCTCGAGAGTCAGAGTCAGGGTTTCTCCAGCGTTGACTCTCCTGGTACGCTTTAATCCTTCTCAGACCGGAACAGGAACTAATTAAGAAACCAGACCCCCCGTTCGATCACAACCACAACCAAAACCAACCCAAAATAACCACCACAGCACCTTCCACCCATACCACAACCTCAACATCAAGCCACTCAAGCAAAATGCCCTCGGTATCCTCAACCCTCCCCACCCCATCTCCCGCCTCCCGCGAGTCCTCACCAAAGGACAACCCCTCGCGCATCTCAAAGCGCCAACTCAACACCATGGCCGCAAGACGCTACCGCCAGCGCCGCCTCGACCGGATGACTCAGCTCGAGGAGGAACTGGAGGCCGTCAAGCGCGAACGCGACGAGTTGAAGATGCGTGTTTCGAAACTTGAGGGCGAAACGGAGGCACTCAGGAGTATGGCCAAGGAGAAGAGTTAGCGGGTTTGTTGTTGTTAGTTATGATATGGCAATAGAATTGTTGCGGTGGCCTTGAAATATATTCTGCAATATGTAGACACCTCACGCATCAAGCCAAGGTTAATCTCGTTCAATAGGGGAAAGAGCTTTCCATCTTTTCCCCCGGGTCGCTCTTTCCTTGTGCATTTACACCCAAGTAGGAAGGTCCGATGGAGTCTCCCCAAATTAAGAAGGCCCCATCTATTTCGGAATGGGAAAGAACGATGGAGTCCCCGCCAGTCGCGCTTTCCTTAAATCAAGTGCGCACTGAGAGAACGACTAGGAAGGAGCGATAGGCCAGTTCTAGAAAAATTAACAAGGTGCCGTAATCCCGACTACAGAAAAAAGCGACGGGTATTCAGTCAATTCATTGTACAATTTGGCAATTATCTCGAATATGCAGCACAATATGCAGTAGGTATATACAGAACAACTCGCCGAATCAAACTATAGCAGAGAGCATACAATCCCAAATGATCTATAACCAAAACTCCTTCAGCAGGTCCCGCTTCTTCTTCTTCTCTCGGCGGAACGGGTTCCAATTCGGTCGTGCGGGTACCTCGTAGCCAAAAATAGTCGGCCGTTTCCGCCGATCCCAAGGCCACGTCCAGGAGGATGTCTTGCTTGAGAAGGGCCAAGACCATTGTTTCCACGGCGCCCATGTCTTTGATGATGGGGCGACGTCTGTGCGGAAACTCTGGATGAGGCGATCGAATTGGAGCTCGCGGACTTCGAAGGCGCGCTTTTGCTTCTCGGCCCGCCAGGCTTGTTGCTCGGTGGGGTCGAGACACCAGACTACGACATCCCCGCGACGGCGCCAGTCGTCGTGCCAGGCGGTATTGTGTGTGCGCCAGCACTCGCCGTAGGAAGAGGTTCGGAGGGAGCTTTTGAGTGTTGGTTCGAGTTGAGCAAAGAAGATGAGGTAGTCTGGCCATTCGTGTGGTGGGAAGAGCTGGGTGGGTGGTCGTTGGGAGTTCGGAGGTGTCAAGTAAGACGGTCGTCGCGGGATTTGTCGGAAACCGCCGACCATATTGTCGCGGAGGAATTGGTAGGGGTTTTCATAAAACTGGTCCGCTTCGTCGAGGTAACTCGCCTTTTCATCCTCTGTTAGGTTAACGGGGGGTTCACAGGACAGGGCCCAAGCATGGATTGTCGGCTCTACTAGGTGTGAGCGCCAGGGGGTGCTATGGCAAGGCATTAGAAAGCCTGCAGTAATTCCACCATAGCTTAATGCGCTTCCAGGACCGGGCTCGGAGGCTGCATTTGCAATTCCGTGTGCCTGGTGTTGTTCTCTGAGGTACGATAGAACTGATATAACCCCAGTGGCGTGGAAGAGTGTGGTATACGCCGCAATGACGACGTTCACCAAGAGCAGAAAAACGAGTGTGAGACGTCGTGGAGTATACTCGCGGTCCGTGGTTTGCAACGCGGGGAGAAAGAAATCCACCAACGGCGAGGCGCTAAGAATGTGGAGCGCCGGCAGCAGGGGGTATATAAATCGAACTTCTTTGTGAGTGATGATAGAGAGAATAGCAGGCATTTCCAAGGAGACAGACGCAAGCTGGAACAGAACCGAAGCTTTGTCCTCTGCGATTGATGGCGTTTTCTTCAGGGTCCGATATAAGCCGACGACCGTGAATGGCAGCGCGGTTGTGAGGAGAAGAGGGTATCCCTGCGAGGCGTAGTAACTCCAGTCATTCTTCCCGTAGAATACCGCCAGAGACTGGGCGACATTGAAGTATAGGAATCTTAGTGGTGGAAACGTCCAGAAACCATAGAAGAACCGGTCAGCGACGGAAGACAGGGCGAGAACCGACGACCTATATTGTCAGATATGAAGGTGAAGCGCTGGGAAGACGCTTACCCGCAGACAAAAGCCTCTCGCGCAAGGACCAGCCTCTGCGTCCAGGTGCTTCGGAGCAAGGCACCAACAGCCAAGCTTATCCAGATAATAACATTCGTCGGCCGCAGGATACAAGCAAACGCGGCTAGTAGAAGGCATAGCCGTAACCTGTCGAGTCAGCGACAGTCCGTCGATCACATGAAAGTCATACCTGGAGATGCTAACGGCTTGAGTGTCCTTGTTGGTCGCGGATCCGGAACCTTTGGCCCATTGCCACGGCCACTGGTACAGGGCGACAATTGTGATAGTAGACTCAAGGCAGTTGGACAGAGTCCTGGTAGAGCAAAACCACTGCCACGGACTGACGACCGTCAACGCAAGCTATAGCCGGTCAGCTCCGGTAACCATAAAATCCAAAGTCCGCAAGAAAATACCGTCGCCCAAGACTCATGACTCCCCTTCCCATAAATATACCGAGCTAGCTTCCAAGTGTAGAAATCCCCGACGGCAGCGATAACGGCCTGCGTTATACCTGGGGCGGTGATGAGGAGGTCGGCGCGGGATGCGGGGGAGAGGCTGAGAGTTCGCGCAACGACGTCGACGGCGGAATACACTGCAGCGAAAATAAGCGGATGTAGTGAAGACCTCAGCTGGTGTTCCCATTCCTGTGAATCGACCGGTCAGCACCAGCCGTGAATATGCGACCTGTGAAATGTTTTGGTGGGGCACTGACCCAAGTTATCCAGGGGCCCTGATCCCCGCCAAACGCAACTTTCCACGCGGGCTCCAGCGACTGGAAGAACTCATCGGGCTGGAAGAATGTACGGACGGTCAGGGCGTTGACGAGGCGGAAGGCGATGAGGAGGAGGAAGATGTTCGAGGATGGGGATGTCGAAGAGGACGAGGACGGGGACGGGGACGGGGACGCGTCGTGAGATGGTGGCCTCGGGCGCGGAGGCAGCACGGCGTCAGAAGACGACGGTGAAGTCGCCCGGTTGGATCGACGAGTGGCCATGGCTGGTTACCCCGGATTTGGCGATGCAGAGGAACAGGAAGAGCCGACAACAAGCGAGGAGGGTTGGCAATGGACGGGCAGTGAGTGGCAGCGGAGGCCGCAGTGGAGGCCCACAGCGTCATCGACGGGTCGACCTGCGCTTAACGGCCAGCGGGCGCGTATACCTGCACTTAGCGGTACGAAGTTGCACTCTGTCCCTTATAAGGCGCGCACAATTGATTTCAATTCCTCCTTTCTGTCTTCTCTTCATCTCTCCTCTGCATTTGTTCAGTCTCCTTGATCTCCTAGCTGTTTTATCTGTCTCATCCCCTCTGTTCATCATGGCGTCCAACGGTACCAACGGTGCATCTGCATACCACGCCTCGTCCACCACTCAGGCTATCCAGGCCGAAAAGGACTTTGCTGCGCACAACTACCACCCGCTCCCCGTCGTCTTCGCCCGTGCCCAGGGGACTTCTGTCTGGGACCCCGAGGGCCGCCACTACCTCGACTTCCTCTCCGCATACTCCGCAGTCAACCAGGGCCATTGCCACCCCAAGCTGATCGCTGCGCTCGTCGACCAGGCCTCGCGTCTGACGCTCAGCTCGCGCGCGTTCTATAACGATGTCTTCCCCAAGTTCGCCGAGATGGTCACCCAGTACTTCGGGTTCGACATGGTTCTCCCCATGAACACCGGTGCGGAGGCGGTCGAGACCGGCCTCAAGATCGCCCGCAAGTGGGGTTACAAGGTCAAGGGCATCCCCGAGAACCAGGCGGTGATCCTCAGTGCAGAGAACAACTTCCACGGCCGGACGGTAAGTAAATTTCAATTTTAGCCGCTGGGGTGTTGCGACTGACTTTTCTAGATGGCTGCTATCTCGCTGTCCTCCGACCCCGAGTCGCGCGAGAACTACGGGCCGTACGTCCCCGGCATCGGGTGCACGATTCCCGGCACGGACAAGCCAATTGCGTACAATGACAAGGATGCTCTGCGCGAGGCCTTTGAGAAGGTCGGTCCCACTCTCGCTGCCTTCCTCCTCGAGCCTATTCAGGGTGAAGCCGGAATTATTGTTCCGGACGACGATTACCTGCAGCTGGCCAGAGAGCTGTGCGACAAACACAACGTCCTGTTGATCTGCGACGAGATCCAAACTGGTATCGCGCGGACGGGCAAGCTGCTCTGCCACGAGTGGAGTGGCATTAAGCCCGACATGGTCCTGCTGGGCAAGGCAATCTCCGGTGGCATGTACCCTGTCTCCTGCGTGCTGGGCAGCAAGGATGTTATGCTTACTGTTGAGCCCGGCACCCACGGATCAACCTACGGTGGCAACCCTCTCGCCTGCGCAGTCGCGATCCGCGCCTTGGAAATCGTCAAGGAGGAGAACATGGTCGAGCGGGCTGAGAAGCTTGGTCAGATCTTCCGCAGCGGGCTGGAGGCCATCCAGAGCCCCATAATCGAGACTGTCCGAGGAAAGGGACTGCTGAATGCGATTGTCATTGACGAGTCCAAGACCAACGGTCACTCCGCATGGGACCTCTGCATGCTGATGAAGGAGAAGGGTCTCTTGGCTAAACCCACCCACCAAAACATCATCCGCCTCGCGCCCCCTCTCGTCATCACTGAGGACGAAATCGCCAAGTCGCTCGAAATCATCAAGGCGGCCGTCACTGAACTGCCCAACCTGACAGGTGCATCGGAAGACCAGGTCGTCCCTCCCGCGGAGAAGAAGGTCAAGATTACCGTTGAAAACTAGACGGTGGCTTATCCGTAACGCTCGGTAGTAGACAGAGAAGAGAGACCCCACGCCCGTAAACCCGCAAGGCAGGCCTCTTGCCAGCCGTCGGTAAGGTATCCTCAAGGCATCCCGACCGGGTATCGTGAGAGGCTGCTCAGCTGGGCAACAGCGAATCCTCTCCGATATCTCGACGTTCTCCAGTCTCGAGAGGCGTTGACCATCATATCATTGTACTGCTAGCCAGGAAAAGTTTGTTATAGCTGGTGCGGCATGAATTACGACAAAATAGCGTTCAATGTGAATTTGTTAATTTCGATGTGAATATTGTAGACGAGTCTGATTTATACCTGAACCCTGCCCTGCGCTGCCCCGCGTGGCAGAAAATCCCTCAAATACCGCATAGAAATAACACGCCTGCCAAGGCTGCGGAAATAGCTATTAATTATGCCTTGTATACAGTTAAAACGTCAAGAACCACTTTTGGCCTATTAGTGGAGTCATTAGAGTTTGGAAACCCCGACCACAGCAACGATATTTCAACGTCTCCCGCCGAGTACTGCTGGCATCAACGGCTGGTGTGCACTACTTTTATATCCCCAAGTCAAAATCCTAGTCTTCAGCAAACCGACTCTTCCTTCGCAGCGTCCCCCCCAAAGACGAGATACTTTTACTCTGCTACAGAAGATGCATGATGTATGCCACAGTCGCAATCCGGCAGCGGACCCCGGTGTCAAACTCCTGTTCAGTGCGGCTCATGGGTTACATACAACATGGAGAATGTAGACACATCACTCCAGGAGCTGAGTGCAAGGACGGCATTGCTCGATACTACAGGATTTGCCCCCAGCAGACTCCATTTCCTCATCCCACCAAGCCATAAACATCTCCAACCGGCCCATCCGCTCCTTCGCCAACCGCTTCCCTGTTTTTGTCTTGGACCATTAGCCATTGAAAAGCCAGATGTCGCCGCAGTCTCACCTTTATTGTATGAACTGTTTTGACCAATCGGTCTGTAATATGCTGCCTCGTCGCCTGCAGCCCACACTGGGGCGCCTTTGCGCCGCCAAAGGCAAATGTCCGCCCTATTCCAATTGCGCCGATGGCATCAAGCCTGTCTGCATCTTGCACGATGGCTATCTCCGGATGCCGTGCTAGAGCGCTCTTCAGCCCTTCAGGATGCTTGGTCTCGGACCAATATGAGACATTACGCGCAGTCGTCTGTATTTTCAAACTGGTTTCATCCGGTACTCCATGCCTCAGGAGCATTCGTGCAAGATGGCCCTCAGCCCTCTGGCTGTCCTTGTACTTGCGGTCGTCGACGTCGTGGACAAGCCTGGGTTTGGTCTGTGAGCCCGCGGTTAAGCATATGATGAGGGAGGGAGGAGTGCTCACGCGCTCAAGAAGACGATCATTGGGCTGTAGTGATCTGGTCCAGCCTCTGCGCGTTCCGACGCCAGGATGCGGCGTGATAATGTCAAGACGCGGAGGGCGTGGCTGAAGTCGTGGGATGAGTCGTATCTCGCCATGTGATCGCTGACGGACTCTGCAACCGATGCCAGTAGGCTTTGATCTGCTCGCGGTAGATTGGAGAAGTCATCGGAGAGAGATTCCTGGAGTATGTTCCAGATTGCAAGTCTTGAAGTGGGGATGGTCATTGGGAATGGGCTGGGGGCAGTTTCGTGGTGTTGCAGTGTGGCCGTCAACATAACGCCAGAGAGAACAAATAAGTCAAGAGAGTAATCCGTTCAGATTGCTCTTGTTCAAACGGATGCTGGATCTCGGAGCCTACGCGCCATAATGTAATGGTCGAATGTTTTCACCCTCGGGTTGTATTCTGAAACTGCCACGAAAGCCCCCTTGTTTCTTGGTACAGTATGTGTCACCTTGTGTGTTTCTTTCGATATTTGATGGTATAAACTATAAACTACCTGACCTAGGCAGTGTCTCGACAACGGTCAATACTAGGTATGTTTGAGAGGCCCGTGCTACTTGCAAAGAACCCTAACTGGTCACACAGCACGCCAGCCTTATGACTTGATATATTCATTCCACTCCCTCACGGCCTGCAGCGGAGCATGCCGTCGGTAACCGACATGGGCATGTGTCTCCGGCAATTCCCCAATCCCCACTCCCACACTCGCTGATGTGGGCTGGAATACGCCTTTCAACCCGGCATTCCTCAGCAACGGCTGTGCAACCACCCCTATTCCGTGGCTCAGCTCGCCTTGGTCTTTGGCTGCACATGGCTCCTCCCAGTAGGTGGTAGTCGGGCTATCCTGCCCAAAATAGGCATGCCGCAGCGACAACTTCTCTTCGTCGAGCTTGCCGTACGTACTCGAGACGCTCTGAATAGATATCTCGCCTGGTGACGTGGACAGCCCCTCGCCTTGCCAGCCAGAATGTGTCAGTGCCTGTGCGGCATTGAAGGTGGATGTATTAGAGGGCTTTGATGCTTCCGAGGGTTGGCTCGTCGAACTCGACGTTATTAAGACGTGATTTACTCGAGATGAACGCGTGGATGCTGTACTCGGCAAGTGCATCATGCTAGGGGTCGAGACATGGCAGCTAGTAGAAAGATCAACGAGCCATTACACAGCGGGGCGGTGGTTATGTCTAAAACCAGACCTTGTTGGATAGGTACAGCTGCTGCTGTTGCCCATTTTGCTAAATCTGAAAGCCTGGCACCGCTGGTCTCATGCACTATGAAGATCAATTCCAGTCAATGAGTTCGTGATCCTCAGATATCCCCGCAGCTACCCCATAATACGGTGGCTTCGTTGCAACCTGTTCTGTCATTATCCACTCTAACATCCCCCTCCGTTGCACAAGGTATCTAGCATGTAGGACATCGTTATCCGGTGACCATTGCGTAAGAGTCGAAATAACAACCCCCATGCTTCATTGAATGAGACTACGCCGGGGGGTAACATAGAGAATGAAGACCGCAATAATATTCTTGCCGCACATCGTGTGTGCAACCATTGAGATGAATGAGTGGAATGGCATACGCTGAAAGCAAGGCCTCCGCTGACCCTTGTACGCCGAGTTCAGCATGCTCGGGCAGAATAGGCTGGCGATCGATACTGGAGAATCTTCCTTTATAATGCTCGACCATCAGCTTCATGCTCTGGCGAGCTCATCTATACTTCGTTTATTCGAATTGCAGAAATCAACATGACCAACAAATCCAAGCCAGCCACCCAGCACAAGGACCCCTTTACAGTCCTTGATGCATCCCTGTCGCTGCCATCATCGGATAGTAAACTATGGTGGGATGCCATAGCCCCTGTTATATCCCGACATCTCATCCACACTGGCTACGGAGTCGAATCCCAGTACGAAAACATCCTTCTCATCCAATACGCCCTCATTCCCTTCTTAGGCCCTTTCCCTAACAAAACCGGGTCAAATCTCACCTGGCTTTCATGCATCGCCGGTGACAGTTGCCCGCTAGACATCAGCGTCAACTATCAAGCCTTGAAAAGCACCTTCCGGATCACAATCGAGCCCATAGGGCCGTACGCAGGAACGGGTGCAGACCGGATGAATGAAATCGCCCCAAGACAGCTCCTTCACCGTCTAGGCTACATCCAGCCCGGGCTTGACTTGACCTGGTACGACCGGCTCGAGGAAGCAATGCTTATCAAGAACAACCTCGCACGGGAGAAATGGGATGCGCTTTCCGCGTTCCATTCAAAAACCCAGACCCTGATCGGCTTGGACCTGCACGAGTCATCAGTCACTGTGAAGGCTTACTTCTTCCCTCACTTGAAGGCCGCAGCCACGGGCGAGGACTGGGCGGATATCATGTTCAACGCTATACGCAAGATCGATACTTCGGCCAGCTTCAACCGCGAACTAGCAAGGATCGAGGCGTACATTCGCTCGATCAGGCCGCGGCTGTTAGCTGAAAAGCCTAACGTAGCAATTGACTGCAAGAGCCCAGCTGATTCGCGGGTCAAGGTCTACGCGGCGGTGGATATGTCGTCTCTACAGGACGTGTACGATTTCTGGACCTTGGGGGGTCAGTTGGAGGGCGAGCACATTGAAAGGGGATTCGATATTGTGAAGGAGATGTGGAATTTGCTGTACAGCAAACTTCTCCCCAATAATGTACCCAGGAAGGCCATGACGGTGCACTGCAACTGGGAGTTCTCGCCTAGTAAGCCTGATCCTGTGCCAAAGGCGTACTTCCTCCTCACGGATGATTATGACATACACGTAATCAAGGCTATAACCACTCTGTTCCGTGCCCTGGGGTGGAAGCAACATGTACGCACTCATGAAGCTCTGGCAAAAGAGATGGAGTAAGTATGCCTACCTTTACTTATACACAGAAAGAGCTAACATAGTGTAGCCTCATGCATGACCCTGAAGCAAGCACCCAGGTGTATAGCTGGCTTTCGTTTGCATATTCCAAGTCCGCTGGCCCGTATATCACGGTTTATACTAAACCACGTGTTGGCGATAAGCCTGTCTAGATGCTTATTTGAATACCAGTACCCTCGTGGAGGTGCTGGCCCATACCTGGGCGAACATAAGTAACACGGCGGTAACTGGTAGCCTGCGGGTTCTTTCTGTTCTTTCTCTTCCAAAGCGTGTATATTTAGCATGGGTGTGTTGGCTTAATCTACCTTCAAACACCTTGGCCTTGCTATATGAGGATATAAACTGAGTTGAGAAACATGAATCCAGCGCCTTCTATCCACTCTCGAATGGACGGCAATTTGATAGTATTCTTTGAATCACGTCGCTCTAGTTATTGCTTTGCAAGTCCTGAAAAATGATGGAGACCCTTAATTCAACATACTCCAGCCAAGATAATACCTTCATAACCCTCTCAAGCATGGCGTTTCCCGGAAAATGAATCCGCTGGCTCAGCGTCCCACAGACGGTCCTATTGAAGATTCAATAATGCCCCTTGCTGTGATACAAAGTCGGTGTTGATACTACATTCTCCGCTCAAGGTAAGGGATAATACTAAGACACCGTATGACGCTCCAAAAGGTTTCCTTTAACCCTTTAGGCTATCGACAAAGCGGTTGTAGGGAGGAGGGGGCGGGGGTGGGGGTGGGGGGGTTTGCTGGAAAGGGTTTCGCGGATCTTTTGATATCATGGTTCTGTTCTGAGTTAAACTTTTGCCCTCGTGTAACTGGGCTGACTCTTCTAAGCCTGCGATTATTATCTGGTTGCAATGGGTCAATGTAGCATTGTCAGATAATCGGTGTTCTTCATATGTTGTTGTGTAACACGGAGACGCCCGGAGACAGGATAGGTCACATATTGCTCTCCGCACTCAGGATGTTTGTACAACAATGCCGTTGACGAATAGGGATGAAGATTCTGAGTGAGAACGTTCAGGTTAACGTCATTGGACTCCTCACTCATGCATATCACTAAAACAGCCAAAAAGGATGAAGGATAGGAGCTATCTGAGGACGGAATACCCTCCGCTCTACCGGAGGACACGTGAAGATTGGCGAATGATATACATTGCCCTAACATTCCACACGGTCAGTTTCGGAGTGTTGTCTTCCTCCTGAATAACTATAATGCCTCTCAGGTAACCTTTAGTAAACTGTTTGCGGTGACGTTGGATGACTGATTGTATTTTTATTGGTGATATTATGCACCTCCACACTCCTGCTTAACGTGTTGCTGTCAAGTTGACTTCTGTCCCCTGCCCAGGAAGGTACAGTGTTGTTAAAACCGTTCAGCTTAAAGTATTATGATAGAAACGAGACCAAGATGCTAGAACAATTGAAATCAGCTTTCCAAGCCCTGTATCCTCCAGCCTCATGAATCTGTAGTTTTGGAGTCCTATAGTTGACTGATGATTTTCCTGATTTCATCCGCATGGCTCCTGTCCCACGGGGCATCCACCTCGACTGCACGAATGAGCTTCTCGTACTCCGGAGAACGAGGCGTGATGCTCACTTCAAATGGTTTCGGATGGCTGAGAATAGCAGGTATGAAAGCCTCTTCAAGAGCTACCTCTTCTTGCCCATCGTCCTTTTTCGTGATGTTGAAACAGGCCAGAATACGGGCAATGGTAAGATACACCTTCAAATCCCCCATCACCTGCCCTGGACAGGCACGGCGTCCGAAACCAAAGACAATCGAATATGGATCTGCCTCTGGGGGTTGGCCTTCGGAGGGTAGGAAACGCTCGGGCTTGAATTCCATGGGATTATTGTATACGTCTGGGTCATGCGCATATGCCCTGGGAAAGCCTCTATTTAGAAATGCGTCATATCACTTCGGAGGTTTAAACCAACCAGATATTAGGTATAAACACGGATCCTTTAGGAAGGTAATATCCTTCGTACGTATCATCCTTGATGGACATATGTGGTGATGCTGTGGGAAGGGCAGGGTGCCAGCGTAATGCCTCCTTCACAACGGCGTTGGTGTATGGGAGGCTATCGCGGTCGTCATATCCAGGGAGACGAGATGTTCCAATGACCTGGTCAATCTCGGCCTGGGCCTTTCTTTGTACTTCTGGATGTCGGCTCATTGCAAGTATGAAGCTCAACATGGTTGATACAGTCTGTTTATTAGATCAAAGATCATCGCTTTTGGCGCAACGACGTACTGTATCTGATCCTCCCAGATAGAATTCCAAACCAGACCATCTCAAAACAGTCTCCTCTTCCTCGGTGGGATTTCCCTGGCAAGTCTGCAACCGGTTTGACAAGTAACAGGGGATATAGCTTCCTTGAGCCACTCTGTTTTTCACAAATATATATGGCACGTTTAGAAAGAATGCCGCGTATTTCCGGAACTCCCTGGCGGTGCGAACGAACTTGGCACCTGGAAACCAGGCAGGCACGTACTTCACTGTATATCCATTAGCTGACCTCCCATAATGATTCCAGGGCCTATACAAATCGGGAGATAGTCAACCAGCCAGGTCCCTGGAAGCATCGCCTGGCAAATCTGGTCAACCGCTTTCTCTGCAAGTTCCACCAGAGGGTCGTTCCCCCGCGGCTCTACATTATAGCCGTATGTCATCTTCAAGATGACCGCACAAGACTCCCTGTTGGGATATTAGTATAGCATTGCTCTAGCATAACATGTGGTTGGGTTACCTTTTGAGATGTTTCCGAAAATCAGCCGGGTTTTCAAGAATCCTAAGCAGCAGACGACGGATCTCGATATCCATCATGACCGTAAAACGAGAGAAGGCCCTTTTAGTCCCGATCTCTTGATGCAGCGCCTTGCGCATTTTATTATAGTGAGCCGTGTTGGCCGGCGTGGCCATGGTCTTATCCCACCCTGTCCTACGTCGCGTTAGCATCTTCTCCTTCAAGACGATTTTTGTCGCCATACATTTCCATAAATGGTTGCTCTGGACGAGCAGAGTACGTTGCAGATCTCTTCTTCAGTATTTCGATAGCACATCGAGCATCATTCAATATAATGATCGGCTGGCCAAAAACAGTGATGGAGCTGATGGGGCCTATCATCGTGAGCATACACAATAAAAAATTCTCTTCGATTGGAAATACCGTAGAGCTTCTTGTGCTTTAGCCAGTGGTGCCATTGTGGTATACCCTGCCAGGGCATTTCATCCAGGTTCCCGATAATCGGTTTGGGCCGGGGACCTGGTGGAAGAGGCAGTCGGGATGACTTTCGGTTCAGCCATATATGAATCAGATATAACCCGGCGACGACAAGAAGCAGTTGAGGTAGCATGTCTTATATATTTGCTCTCTGGCATCAGTTTCGAAAAACAAAGGAAGATAGTAAAGACGACGGTGGTACACTTGAGTAGACTCAACAATACGGTGAGCCCGATATCATATTCTTGGGTAAACCGGTTCAGACATCTTTAACTTGGTAGATTTTTGGTAGCAACCAAGTGATTGCCAGGTGTCGGTGGTTAGGGCTAGTCGGGACAGAAAGAATGCGCCAATGCAACATCATCTTAACATTACAGTATGACAGGTTCCACAACAGAATTGACAGGATTGGCATGATTGACACGAATGACATGATGCAGCTCCATGTGCGACATGAGCCCAAACACGGGCGCTTACACATTGCTTCTTTCGCCTTCCTTATACGGCGTGGCTTGCCTCTGTACCACCTCCCGCAAACGTTGCTCCCTTACGCAGTGACGAGTCCATTGCAAGCATGATGCCGCTGAATCTTTCCGCGTTATTATTCGTACAACTATCCATGGCATCGGCCCACTGAGAGAGAATAAAAATTTCGGTTTCTCCCACAGCTTGATACGGAATCATCTGTTTGATTTGCCAACCTAACCATGCCTCCGTCCGCTTTATATGACGATCCCACACTCTACAAGGCCTACGAAGGCCTTTCATTAGGTGACCAAGTCCATGTGCTCCACCCAGAATGGACTGTTATGAAAGACATGGTCGGTAACGTTCAAGGCCTCAACGTATTGGACTTGGGATGTGGTTTCGGGTCGTTCTGTAGATGGGCCAGCGAGCAGGGTGCTGCGCGTGTGCAGGGAGTTGACAACTCAGAGAAGATGTTGAACAAGGCACAGGAGATCAATGGCGGGCCTGGCATTACCTATGAGCGCGCAGACCTAGGCCACATCGTTCTCCCGCAAGAAAGCTTCGACGTCGCATTCAGCTCCCTGACCTTCCACTACATCGAGCATCTAGGAGCCCTTGTCAAGCAGATTCATGGCAGCCTAAGACCCGGCGGCCGCCTCGTATTCTCAGTTCAGCATCCGATTTGGACGGCACCAGACGGCGCAACGTGGCAAGAAACCAGCGATGGCGAGACGTTCTGGCCTCTCCGGACATACGCTGAGGAAGGACCTCGGATCAGCAAGTGGATTGCGAATGGGGTGCAAATCCACCACAGGACAATCAACACGTTTTTCTCCATCCTCCGCAACACCGAGTTTCAGATAGTGGACGCTGCGGAATGGATGATGGAACCTGGCTCACTCCCATCCGGCCATCAGGACTACGGCAAAGAAGCGCATCGACCTTTCTGGTTCATCATCAGCGCGAAGAAGAAGTGATTAATGACACGACAGGGTTAGGAACTGCTCTATGCTCTTGGAAATATCTGGGTGTTACACTATCCAATTTCAATCAGACAGGCTGTTGAAAAGCTCATTTCGAACAGTGCGGTTGGACCTCTTCATAGTAGACAATAGAAGCTCAGCCTTACATCCCGTAGATTCCAATAACCTCCGGGCTTTGAAGCCGAAGGCTGGCTTGACTTTTCGTGAAGACCACCGAATGACACTCGAGCATCCCGTGTCAGTGGAAGCGCAGTACTTTGTCATCTCTGAGAAGTCAGTTACCCATTCTCTGCTGGGGCCTTATCCGATCCCAGACTCGTACCCCGGGCCGCATACCCTGCGTGGCGAGAGCTGGTTTCTCCGCAACGGACTTGATACAGTCTTGGAGCTGATTCAGCACAACACAAATATGCTTGCCATCGGCGGCCAAAACTGTTAGTTACAACTGTTCCTCCACTACCAGCGTGGCGATAGTACTAACGTGATCGGCAGCGTTACCTGTGGAGATTGCGAAGAGAGCAGCGGAGGCATACTCCATCAACCCGGACCCTGACCAACACTCTAAGCAGGAGGGTAAATCAGAAGAGACCCTTTGTTCCAAGAAACGTCACGGATCTGCCGAAGATCTTCCTTATGGTGATAGAAGATTTGATTCTGCCGTGGCCCCGTGGGCGCTGGACCAGACCGAAGATCTATATAAGTCTCTGCGAGAGATCACAAGGGTAGTGAATCTCTTAGCACCGAACGCTCGCATCGTGCTCACACAGGGTACGCCTGATAATGAAATCGTCAATCTGGTAAACGAAGTCTGTGCTCCATTGAGCGCTCGCAGCCCGAGCATCAACCACCAGGGCTACTTACTCGCGCAGTTCGTTTGGAACGACCGTACCATTAAGCCAAAAAGGTGTCAAGCCAGACCCTAGTTAGATCACTCGGTTGGTACGTTATCTCAAGGTGGGTTACCGGTTACCGGCTGAGCCACCAGGAATGGGACACCCTCTTCCACCAGTCCGTGAACGAGCGCGCTTCACGCATCGGAACAGGTGGCGCGTACCACCCCGAGTTTCGCAAAGCGGGGGAGAGGGGGGGCTGACTTGTCCCCCTGGCATGGAATGCGCGACGAGGTCATCTCGGTGAACGGGAGCGCGGACTACCGGCACGACTACTGATTACTGATACTTCCGGCTGTTCCTGGTCTGGGAGCCGGGCATAACACTGTCGATGGCGTGACGACGAGGAATATCCTGGATGGTTTGGTTGGGTGGGTGGAGGATTGAGAGGGATGCCTGGGTGTATCCAAAGGGCCAGGTGCACTCCGTACGTCGTGCACAGCTCCTTTCACTGGGTTGACTAGACACAACCAAGGCTGGGGACCACCGTTCATCCCAGGCTTCTGAAATCCTACTCCCTAGAGTGGATTTCCCGCTAGATGGTTCATTTCCTCCTAGTAAGTAGTTCCCCGGTTGACAGCAGCAGTCAAGGAGTGCTCGTGCAGTAGACGACATCGTCCAAGCTCCCCCAGGATGTGGGTTTACCCCGGTCTTCCCCGGACTGTCGGGCGTGCGGAGGTTGATATATGAGGGTTAGTGTGTTTAGCAGCTCACGGGGGACTAACGACTGGTGCGCATCTCCGGGCGCCACCTTTGAATCCGAGCTTGATCCTCATGGCAGTTGGCCGTCCTATTCGGGGTGGAAATGGGAGGGAAGAGTATAAGACCAGACTCACTCGCTCGCTGCTGTAGCTCCTGTTCCAATGACAACACATACGGTTTCATTCTCTCTACTCCTTCTTTTGACCATCGTATTGACAAAGGCATCATCGCCATGGCAGGCAACGACCATGATACTCTAGAACCAGGCCCAACTGCCAACGCCAAACCCCACGCCGACGAGATTGAATTCACCGACCCACCACCCCAGTCCACCGCCAACGACGACGAGGACCCCGCAGACTTCGTCGTCGACCTACTGCTGATTGCCAACGTCCTTGCGCTGTCTCTCGCCGTCACCGCCGGCGCCTGGTCGCAGCAGGTGCCCGCCGCGTCCATCGCGTTCATCGTCCAGCGATTCCCCGAAGGCGCCGGGAGTAGCGCGTGGATCGCCGCCGCGTCGTCCGTCGTGGCGGCCGTCGTCTCCTCGTTCATCGGCGACATGTCGGACATCTTCGGGCGGCGCATGTTCCTCCTCGTTGGCTGCGCCTGCGGCTTTGCTGGCATGCTGGTCGCCGGCACCGCGGACAGGACGACCACCATCATCGGGGGCCAGGTGCTGAATGGACTTGCGACGGCAACCAACCTGCTCGCCTCCCCGCTGGTGCAGGAGATTGTGCCGAAAAGGCACCGCGCGAATGCGATGGCGTGCGCGACCTTGATGAGCTCGGTTGCGTTCATCGGCGGGCCCTTCATACAGGGGGCATGCATGCAACAGCGGGTCGGGGGTGAGTTGGATGGCTGGCGCGTGGGCTTCTACATCGGCGCGGGAATCTGGGCGCTCACGGGGGTGTCCCTCCTGGCCTTTTACCGTCCCATGCCGCGTCCCAACCCCGGCGGGCTCTCGGTTGCGCGCCGCATTCGGGAGCTGGACTGGCCCGGCATCTTGCTCGTCTCCGCGGGCGTGACACTCTTCCTTGTCGGGCTGCAGTACGGCGACAACCCGCACCCCTGGACCTCGCCCATCGTCCTCGGCCCCCTCGTCTCCGGCGGCGTCCTCTGCAGCCTCTTCTGCCTCTGGGAATGGAAGGGCACAGCCACGGGCATCATCCCGCACGCGCTCTTCCACGACAAGAACTACGCCATCGCCATCTGCGTGCGCGCCCTCGGCGGAATGGGCCTCATCGGCGGGCAGGCGTATCTCCCGCAAGTCGCCGTGAACGTCTTCGGCACAGGCGGGCTCGAGACATCGGTCTGGCAACTCCCACTTTCTATCAGTTCCGTCGCCGGCGCGTTCCTCGGCGCGGTACTAATCAAGTTATTCCGCGAGGCGCGCTGGATCATCCCCGGGCTGCTCCTCTCCATAGTCCTGGGCGCGGGCCTGATGCTCCTCATCGAGCCGGGCGTCAGCTTCGCAGCCTGGTTCTTCGGTTCGATACTCATGGGCTTACCCATAGGCGCCGAAGCCATCCTCCTCAGCGTGCTGTCGGGGTTTTTCGTTCCGAACGAGCTCATCGCCACGGGCGTCTGCGTCACCAACACCGCGACGCTCGTCGGCGGCGCAGTCGCCGTCATCATCTACGGGACCGTCTTCAACAGCAAGATCAAGACTCTCCTCCCTAACCGCGTGTCCACGGATGTGCTAGAAGCCGGCCTACCGCAGTCCAGCCTCGTCAGCTTCCTGCAGGTCTACCTCGCTGGGCCCCAGGCCGCCGCCGGTCTCGCCGACATCCCCGGCGTGACACCGCGCGTCCTGGATGCTGCGCAGGGCGCTGCGCGCGGCGCCTACGCGGATAGCTACCACTATATCTGGTACGTGCTGATTGCGTTGAGCGGGGCGTGTACGCTGCTAGCGCTGCGGTTCGGGTCCACCAGGCACCACTTGACGGATGAGGTGACGGCGCCGATTCGGAGGCGGGATGGTCCACGTCGTGAGGGTGTGGAGGAGAAGGCGTAGACGGTGTAGGAGCGGTGGCGGGCGGTTCTGTACTGGTTGTTAGTGGCTGGTTGCTGGTTGCTGTGGGACAGACGCTATACCGGGTCGGGTCGGGGCAGGGGACTGTGGACGGGACCGTTAGTGGTGCCTACAGGTGCCGGGTATTGTCTTGTGCTAGGCCGAACTTCCTCTTCATCTATCGATATCTGTGGACTCTGGGAGCCTGGGGGGGCACCGGAAGCACTCGTCTGTGGAGTCAAGTGACTCGAACTCGGCACAGTAACATTAGCTTAGGTCATTAGCTGTTTAGAAACCAAGTGGTTCTGCCTCAGTCCCCTTTGGAGGTGCCCGAGTCTCCCGCTGTGACACCAGTAGTCACACAGAGGCTCTATACTAATACATTCCTGGCAGTGATGAAAAATGAGAATATCTAAAGGTGTACAAGCATAGCTATGCATGTGCCACATATCAATGCAAAGTTCTGTGACACGGTCATAAAAAGCTGATCAGTTCTCCGCGCCTTAATCAATTACAATTGCAACTATCCCTTACAGAACAGTGACCTTGCTCCTCTGCAAGCCATAAGGTGGCGCTCATGCTCAGTCACATTGCAAACAAGTTGCAGTCTCATAGACTTAGACTTAGAGACTAATTATGAGATGATGGTTTCACAGGACTTTGCATTGATATGTGGTACACTGTATGTGTATAGCTATGCTTGTACACCTTTAGATATTCTCATTTTTCATCACCATCAGGAATATATTAGTATAGAGTCTCTATGTGATTACTGGTTCTAATTACTATAATGAGACTAATCGAGCTGTTGCCTCTGGTCTTACTATTATTTTTATAGTGGCTTCTAGGGTTGATAAAAGACACATGCAAGGGGGTTGCATTTAGGGAATTCCATAAAGATTACTAACAAAGTAAGTCCAGGGTAATAATAAGATATAAATATAGACTACTTTCCTAGATTAAAGGTAGTTTAATCTACTCTCTATATAATAATTTATTAGTATCTCACTTTTAAACCTAGAATAAACGGGCAAGGATGAGAATTAGCTCTTTTAATCTGCTCTTATTGCACAAAACAGCATGATGCCTTTGTGGTTCTCACGTTCCCGGCGTCTGTCCTGCCGTTGCTTTGCCACCCGCGTTCTGGCCCTTGAATAGCTTGTACCAAGAAAAGCTAAATATATAATATAACAAACACAGCTTGACATACTTGGGGGGGTGGGTGTACTTCTATATCTAATAATCATGTCTGGTATGTGATCCTTTCGTTGCCTAAAGCTAGTGATATAATATGCCAAGCTGCAAAATATAGATGCATGGTTCATTATTCTTACTTTGTTAGGGAAGAGTATTAACTTTACCAAGCCCTAGAGCTTAGGTTGCGCTACCCCAAACGACGATGCGGAGTTGACGAGATCCGGGACACAAATTGCGTGCTCCACCAGATCAACAATGGACGTAGGCAATAAGAAGACTTCTCTTCTTGTAATATCTTATCCGATCACGATGCCTACGCATGATAGCCAAGATCAGAATGACTTCCGGCTAACAGTCCCTCCATGTCGCCAATGTCGGGCGCGCAAGGTGCGTTGTGACCGGCGCCGGCCAGCCTGTGCTAGATGCGTCAAGCTTGCGCTGTGTTGCTCTTTCAGCCGCGCCGAAGGTCCAAGAAGCTGGTCGCAGGAGCACGCGCTGGAAGGGTCTGGGTCTGCGGAGGGGGAGTTGACCCAGGCTGGCACCAGGCGGAAACGAACGCGATCCGCTTGCAGGCCATGCCGCCTGGTCAAGGCCAAGTGCACTGGTGGGATACCGTGCAATCGCTGCCAAACTCGGGCCATGGTCTGCGAAAGAGGGGGCGTCCAGAATGCAAGCTATACTGGGCCCTCTGCAGACCGAGCAGGAGCAGGCGGGCACCACGGCATGCAAGCTAGCAATCCCGAGCACCACAGTGGTACTGCACTCGGTAGCAGACAGAGGCCTGGCACCTCATCAAGTGCAGATAGCCGTGAACAACGAAGTTTCCTTTCTGGTGGTCTTGGATCGAGGTCGGCGGTCGGCATGGAGAGGGCCTATCTCGAGCTGTACTTTGAACGCACGAATCCAGCAAAGTGTGTCTTTCTTGATCGATCACTCGTCATGACGGACTGGGCCGATGGTAGAATTGACATAGCTCTCCTTAAAGCTCTCTGCGCCTGTGGCTATCGCCTCAACCCGGGCCCCGATGACTACCAGGTTTCAACCGGACTCACACCCGGAGACCACCGTGACGACAGCGTGGCCCTTCAGTGGATTCGCGAGGCACAGGAATCCGTCCTGCAACGCATCGGGACGCCGTCGCTACAGATACTGCAAGCGCTGGTCCTCATAATAAGATTCAACATCGATGCGGCCGACTCCATTGTAGCCTGGAACCTGATGCCGCTAGCTGCGCGACTCATGTTTACAATGCGGCTCAATTACGAGTCTCCCGAATCCCATCCGGTAATACAGGAGATACGGAGGCGCCTTGTATGGGCCATCTACCTCATCGACTGCATTCTCTGTGGTGGCGTTCAGGATCTTGTTGTATGCCCGGTCGAGCGTCTTGAAATTAGACTACCCTGCGAAGACCACACATTTGAGAAGGGTGCACCGTCTCGAGCTCAATTCTTAGGCGAGCCACTATCAGAAAGGGCAGAAGACATGTCTCCTGCAGCATACTTGGTCATGCTTTACAGCGTCCGTGATCGCATCTTACGGTGAGTAGCTGACTATTGCAGTTTGCGGACCACTTTTTTTCATTTATGATAACGATGCGTATGTGCTAGGCTCACGAAGCAAATCCGGAGGAATGGCAGCAACCCCATAGAACACCTCGACGAGATTGATGCATTGCAGCAGGAGCTTGATCGTCTCCACGGCTCTTTCCCGCCATATCTACAGTACCGCCCGGAGACCGTGCGATGCAAGGCATTTTCCAAAGATGCCCCAGAATGGGTCGTTCTCCAGTCGGTGTGGCTCCAGGGCTATATTGATCTGCATAAATTCCTCGTCCCGGGGCTCCAGGAGTCGTTGAGTATTAAGATCCTACAGAACGTACCGCCTGACCATGTGAAACGGGCCCACCAGATTTGTCTAGAAAGGGCGTCGCAGCTATGCGGCATATGGTCTGAGATGCATGTTTCGGTGCCAAATCGTGTACTCGACGAACCTATTGTGATTATCAGCATCTTCCAGGTCACCCGCATTTCGCGGCAACTGCTCTATCAACTGCCGCGCGAGGGCCCGGACGGAGTTCATTCTATGCAATGTAAGCTGCGAAAGGCAGTGGCCATGGTTTCTGCCCGCCAACCGTGGAGGACGCTTCAACCTCGCCTCGTTCTGTGCTTATCTGAAGCGCGAAATATAGTGGAAAGCTTGACCGTTGAGCAGTATGACTTGCAGCTCGCCTCACCGTCAACAATCGATACTGAACATGCCAACTCAACGGAATGGGAAGCCCAGGAGCAGCAGCCCAGCAACCCGCATCTCCCTTCCAAGGCGACATTCATACCCGACTTTCCATCTAACATCCCAGTAAACGGTCGAGGTTCTGGTCTGTCCAGCGAATCGTCACCCATCGCCGGGCTGGACCGACCTAACGGGAATGTAGCCGCCAACGCAAATACTGCTCGGTTGTCGCCTATCCAGGAGATTCCAATGGCCGTTGATCACAATGACCCGACAGCAGCTTGGCAGCTCTCAAACTCCGATGACAGCGCATTTTGGTCCAGGCAACTCGTCTTCTCCAATACAGAGTCGGCCGAGTGGCTTCTCCACGACCGTTCACCATCCGGGGCCGGACTTGCGCAAGAGTGGCAACAACTAGACTGCTATGATGAACTGACCGGGCTGCAACGGGACCTGGGTCTTGACTCTATATGAACGAACGAAGAAAGGCGGGGTAACGGAAATGCACTGCGCTGGATGTATTAGATCTTAAATGCCATAGATATGTTCTGCACGGAGTCCGGTGTACACTTTGAAACCCGTCGATAATCGATTATAACTGATTGAGCATGTCTGAAGGAGAACACTGACATTTGGACCTGATCTCTTGAGGCGGAAGATGGCCAAATTAGGGCATTTTCAACATCATCCAATACCTTTTCTCGACTCAGAGAACCCTGTAGTGTATCGTGCTAGCGGCGAACAGGCATGACGTTACAGAAATTACGCTCTACCTGTTCCAGAAAGGCGAGTCAAACGAAGGAGTTTCTGCAAGCCTGCTTGCAGCTCATGGCATATGAACTGGGGTATAATAATCTGGGTCTCGCCGGAACGACATCCGCCCGGAACTCGCGTCGCCGGATACTGGATTCTGGGCTTGGTCGGCTTAGATCCATAAGTCCTCATCACTACCTGTCCTGTCTTCGACTGACAGTGTTTGGATGGGAAGACTGTCCCTTGCTTCAGAAAAACACACCATGAGCAAGCCCACGACAAAGCCCAGGTCCCCTCGACCGAACTTCCTCATCATCGTGGCGGATGATCTGGGATACAGCGATATTGGCCCGTTTGGGTCGGAGATTGCTACCCCGAATCTCGATAGGTTGGCGCGCGAGGGCGTGCGCTTGACGAACTTCCACACAGCGTCGGCATGCTCGCCGACACGATCAATGCTCTTGTCGGGCACGGACAGCCACATCGCTGGTCTGGGCCAGATGGAGGAACAGATTCGACAGCGCCCGGAGATTTACAAGGATAAACCGGGATACGAGGGCTATCTCAACTGGAGAGTTGCCGCGCTCTCGGAAGTACTCCAGGATGCTGGATACCATACCGTGATGTCAGGAAAATGGTAGGTGGAGCTAATATGCCTCTATCATACATTCCACTATATTATAAACTAACAAGCTCTGTAGGCACTTGGGGCTGCGCACAGATCTGGCCCCTTGCTCACGGGGCTTCGCGAGGAACTTCTCTTTCCTTCCTGGTGCGGGCAATCACTTCAACTACGAGCCACAGTTGGATTCCGACGGCCCCCTGCTGCCATTTATATGGACTGACGGGTTTTGGATGGAAGGCGAGGAGCACATCGACCGGAAAACGCAACTCCCTGCCGATTTCTATTCGACCACGTCCTTCACGGATCGTCTGCTGGATTATCTGGCAGAGCACGAGTCCGACCCGACGTGCAGCGAGCAGCCCTTCTTCGCCTATCTTCCATTCACGGCTCCTCATTGGCCGTTGCAAGCTCCCAAGGAAACAAGAGAGAAGTACAAGGGTCGCTATGATGAAGGCCCCACTGCCCTCAGGGAGAACCGACTGCGGCGCATGGCTGAGCTCGGCATTATATCCGCAGACGTGAAGCCCGCGCCCGTTGTCGGGCTCAAGGGGCGAGAATGGGAGGACCTCGACGCCAGCGAGCGGGCGATTTCGGCCCGCAAGATGGAAACGTACGCGGCAATGGTGGATGAAATCGACAAGGGCATCGGCCGCATTCTCGACCATCTCCAAGCAAGCGGCAGGCTCGACAACACCATGATCCTGTTCATGTCTGATAATGGCGCCGAGGGCAAGCTGCTTGAAGCCATTCCAATGATGGGCAGTAGCACCAATCTCGGCCAGATTGTGAACAGGTTCTACAACAACAGTCTTGACAATATCGGGAACTTTGACTCCTTTACGTGGTACGGGCCTCGGTGGGCCTGTGCGGCCACGGCACCCAGCAGAGGGTTCAAGACATGGATCACGGAGGGGGGTATTCGCTGCCCCTGTATCGTTCGCTACCCGTCCTCCCTGAAAGCTCCGCCGGCGGCCATCAGCAACGCATTTACCACAGTCATGGACATCTTCCCCACGGTTCTGGACCTAGCAGGTGTCCCCCATCCACCGTCCCAGTTCCGGGGCAGAGTGGTGGCGCCGATTCGAGGTAAGTCATGGCTAAGTCACCTGCGTTCTGAGGCCGTTGTCACGGACAAGGTCGGCGTCGGCCAGCAACCTACAATAGTATTGCCGGGCGAGATCCACGACCCCAGCACAACGTTCACGGGTTGGGAGCTCTTTGGCTCTTGCGCCATCCGGCGTGGGGATTGGAAGGCTGCACACCAGCCACCACCGAGGGGCAAAGGTGATTGGGAACTGTACAACGTGGGGAAAGACCCTGGAGAGCTGGAAGACCTGGCTGAGACTAAGCCGGAGATCTTGAAGGGCTTGATAACGGACTGGGAACAGTATTATGCAGAAACGGGCATGTTTGACACCAAGACAGAGTTCAACGTCATTAAGGGATAGAGAAGTTGCCTCGTCATGCTCGTCTTCGTTATTAGTTGGCTGTCCTTTACAGTGCGATTCCACATCTAGATACTATGTTGAGGGTATGACAGAAATTTACAAGTAGAATGTGAGCACCAGTGATCCCTTGTATCACAGGTATAACAACAAGGGCATATACATACTTCTTCCAGCTTTGGCTTCCTCTCTGCCCCTTTTCTTCAAGTCCTACCATTAGAACCAAACAAGTTACTCTATAAGTTTTCATCATGGCGGGAGGGGCTGGTCAATGCCAGTTAACTTTTGAGAGATAAACTTTGTAACTTCCTACTCGACCCTTCTCATCGTGACAATATATATATACACGCGTCATTAAGTAACTTTCATACTCTCAGGCGGGCCCAGTGCCGAGTCCCGATAGCCCCCCATGTCCAACACAACCTTCTGCAGAACCACTCCAGGTTCAAGGAGCCAGATTGACAGCTCATGCGCGCCCGTCTCAACCACACTAGGGAGCTCGACGACCGATGTCCAGCTATTTTCGATCACCGCTCGCTGCCAGGCTTGTTCTTCCTTGTACGGCGGCACAGTGGACACGGGGCGGACGGTAACGGGCACCGCGCCATCGAATGAATAGGCAAATTTGATCCACCGCGTGGGGTCATGGTTATGCGAGGCACCGAGACTAATGACCAGCTTTGCACTGGACGATGCGGTCGTGGTGTATAGGGAGTATCGCAACGCCGGCCCGGTGTTGGGATACTGCGTCCCCATGGTTACTGGCCAGGGCTTGACGGCAGATAGGGTGCGTCCGTAATGCGGGATCTCGACGTACGAGACGCTGTTTTTTGTCTCGGCGCTGGTATAGTGGCTTGCTTCGATGGAGATGGCCCCATTCGACTCGACAAACCCGGTGAAGTTGGTAGGGACGATGGTTTTGTTGACGGGGAGTACCAGCGTGGCGGTAAATCCATCGCTCGTCTGTACTTCCAGTTCGGTGTATGACAAACCGGGATCCGCAGAAGCCCAATCAACAGTGATGACGCTACGCACGTCAGACCTATCACCAGCTGCTGATACTGACCCGTTTGCTTTTGAAATTGTGACATAGGAAGTGTTGGAAGAAATGGAGTACGACACTGTGGTGTTTTTCCGAGCGAATATATCAATATACCGAGACTCTGACGGCGGCATATAAGGGTCCACGGAGAGAAGGCGCAATGTTTTCTGCTCTGGATAGGATGCTGCACTCCCTTGTACAGCGATTCCGATACCCCCAGCACCCTGTGGAGCTGTTACATAGCTCAAAGACGGCATGACGTTAGTGTTGTCCACTGGGTCGTCCCATGAACTGTAGCCAATGTGAACCTGATCCATCACCGGCCTCCATTTGCCTCCTTTGACACCGTGATATCGCTCCGTGACTGCAGAATCTTCAGCAAATAAATCCTGCACTTCCTGGGCAACGTGGTTTGCGCTGATCCGGCCCTGCTGATGGTATAGTTTGTTGAATGCAGTCTTCGTGTAAAGGTCCACAACGATCTTTCCGGCCAGTACTGGGTGCAAAACCATTTCGAAAAAGGGAGTTCGAGTTGCCTGGTCAAGCGAATCGTAAACGCTTTGAGCCTGAGCCAGTAGACTCTCCCATTGGGCCAGATTGACCTCTGCTTCATCGTAATAGATCGTGCTGAATGCAAAGGGCAGCTGGCTGAGGAGTTCGTATTTGCGGCGGGCAACAAGGGTTCCATAATGATTGAGAATATCGGCAGTGTCATCAGCAATACGCTGGTTGAATTCCCGGGCAGCCCAGCGCTTCAGCCACTTTGTGGTGGAATCCGGGCTCATAAAGCCGTCCATGTCGTACGCCATATCCATGAAGTGAGTCAATGGCACCTCGAGTCCCTTGATGTCTCCGACATTCGCAATCCATATCTGCCTAGCACTTTTCTGGTAGGCTAAATGCATCTGCTCCCATGTTTTGACTAGCTGAATTGTGTTGATCCATTTGTAGCTCCGTGGGCTGCCCACGTAGTCAAAATGGTAGTACACCCCTGCGCCTGCTAATCGAGAAGTCTCGTTCGCAATGGGCACACGAATAAGATTACCCGAATTGTCGTCGGTCCAAAGAAGGGTAACAGATTCTGGAACCTCCATCCCCGCCGCGTAGTAATCACTGACCTCCTTCATGCGTGTTGTCAGTAACATTTTGGGTGACAGTAATAAAGTTGACTAACCTTGTATAGCACCCACGTCTGAGGAATACTAGCGGGGTCACTGGCATTAAATGAATCTACCAGTAGTTTCTGCTGCGCCTGAATTAACTCTTCAAGATCGGCTGCTGTCAAGGTGGGCGATGCGGCATCCCCTTCGCCGCGCATTCCCATGGTCCACATTGTGTCCCATTCCCTCGCCCTGTCAATTCCCTCCTGGAAGAAGGACTCGATATTTGCCTGGTTCTCATTCCAATTCCACTCTCCGTCCAGATAGGCCTTTTGCTCCTGCTCGGACCGGCCCATCGGCTCGTGGTGGCTCGTGCCCATGATGACCCCGTAATCATGCGCCAGCTGCCCATTGCGGACATCGTCGACGTAGAACATCTTGCCCCACATGGCCGGCCAGAGATAATTGCCCTTGAGACGGAGGCAGAGCTCGAACACGTGCTGGTAGAAGGCGCTATTAAACTTGGTCCCAAAGTTTTCGCTGACCCAGCCCGATAGCGCCGGCGACTCGTCGTTGATGAAGAACCCGCGATATTTGACGGACGGGGATTTCTGGGACGTGCCCTCCGGCGAGACCCAGATGCTGGCCTTCGTCTTCACGGGGACATCCGCCCACCAGTACCACGGCGAAACTCCCATCTGCTCAGATATGTCGTACAAGCCATAGATTGTTCCCCGCCGGTCACTCCCAGCTACGACAAGGGCCCACGGAACATTGGCAAAGGGGTTCTCGACGACCCGGGAGACGTATGATTCCCATTCGCCCTCAATTGTAGATACGTCGAGCTTCCCGTTGGACACAAGCTGGTCGATGAGAACAGACTGACCAACCGTTCCGGTAATGATGACTGCATTTCCTGGTGATTGTGGGACATTGGTATCGAGGACACGCACGGTTCCATTAACACCGAGCACGCGGCCAAAGTCACTGGCCAAATCATGTGCGGCCCGGGGGACCCCAGCAGGCTCATTCTGCGCTACCCATATAGCTGGCGCAGCCGTGTTACTCGCAAGCTGGTATTCACTACTACCAGAGGTGAATAGAAGGTAGGGTTCGGCTGTCGTGAGCACGGCAACGAGAAGAGAAATAGGGCAAATCAGCTTCATAGCGGTTGGGAGATAAAGGATGGCACACTGGCATGTTTTTTGTTTTTTGATTTCATTAGAAACAAAGGGTCCATATGTACTCTGAACGCCACTATACAGACGTGGGGGTTTAACCTGCGGCTTTAATCTGCGTAATATCAATAGTGATTTAGCCTGAAGTAATATCTTGGAATACTGTGCTTCAACACAAATCTCCACCAAAGAATTACTCACATCCAATAGCCGGTTTGCCGTCGTCGGCAAGACATACAGACACCGACGCATCTAGCACTACATTTGTGTTATGCACCGCTATATGCAGGCACCAAGCAACTCTGCCTGAGGCAAACTGAGGCCGGCTCGCGTTGCAGAGACACACCTCGCCGCTGGTTCCCCTGACGGTCAGCCAGTGATTAGTTCTGTTTGGTATAAGACCTACATTCCACCAACTACGTATCACGTCTCTATAATCCCTTCAGAGTCGCTACATTAGTATAGCGCGCTCATAGTTTGCTACCCTCGGGAAATCATATCAATTGTAAAAGAACCTTTAAGGCATATATTAAAAAACTTCGCAACTCAAGATGTTAATCTTTCTGGCTCAACCTATAGCCTCATGTTAAATTAATAGCCGTTGTCCTCTGTCATCTGCAGCAGATAAATCCAGATGTTCATTCCCTTTGAGATGCACCCAGATATATTTGGACGAGGCCAGGGTCTGTCACACGGATGCGGGACCAGTCTGGGCGCCATTCAGCAATAATAAATTTTCCACCAAGTGTGTTTCCCACGTTACTTTCGGGCTACCGTTTTAGGTAACTTGCTTTTTTTAAGGTATGTATTCGGCCCTTTAAGGCCTTGGCAATGTAATCTATAATAGCCTGTATAATAACCTCCTAGGTTACCAGCCAAGATAGACTTCCAAGAATCCGACAGTTACAGGTAAAAGGATGTGGTTACAGTCAAATAAGATTGCATTCTTAGGCACAAGTCTAGGTTGTAGAAGTAAAGAAAGGAGGAATTAGAAAGAGAGACGGTCAGGAATAGCAAAGATAGACCTCAGATACTCAGCAGCGCTGGCGGGCGGTGATAATGATATAGTGCAGCAGGCAACTATCCCTAAAGTGGTAAACACAGGTCCTTGCTTTACTAAATTAATTGAAATTCTCCAACTCCTCGGCTGCCAGAATCAGTCTCCTAACCCTAAGTGCGGGCGTGGTGGTCCCAGGTGCAGGTATATCCATCTCTTTTGATTCTCAAACCTCACACAAGTCGCGTCTGCGTGCGATCGCTCTTTGTGGTTGTTGACGTCTCCTCAACCGGCTCAATATCAGCGATATTCGCCGACTGAAACTTCCGAGCAGGGACATTCGCCTCGAATAGCCTGTTAACTTCCTCCAACGAGCGGCCCCGACAGTCGGGAACAAAAAAGAACGCAAAGATGACCGACAAGACAGCAAAACTGCCGTATACGAACCCAACTTTGGACTGGAGGTTCGCGTATCCTGCGTTCAGGAGGTATGGCAGGGTGAATGAAACGACGAAGCTAGAAGTAGGTCAGTGACTTGGACGTGTGAGCGTGGTTTGGAAGCTGTAAGTATGTACATACGTTGTGGCAACATTGACGAGAGCGCCACATCGATATGTCACGTCGCGGAGCCGCGCACTGGGGAGCTCGGTCGACAGAGTGTGGACGAGTGGTGCCCACCCAAAGGTAAAAGAAGTCCCGTACAGAACCATCATGGCTACAATGGCCGATCTGACCTCGTACGATGCGTTGGACACGGTTCCGAGCCCACCCATCGTCATGAGTGCTGCGGCTTGGACGATGCCGCCACTTACCAGCATCCTCGGGCGACCTACTGTGTCAACAATGCACATGGAGCCGAGGGAGACGAAAAAATTGATCACGGCGCTGATCATGGACATCTTGAACTGGTTGATCGTCCCTAGGCTCTTGATAAAGATAGCGCCGTACTTGGAGGTAAACACCTGGCCCGTGGCCTGGAGGAAGAAATTCACGGCGAAGACAATGAGGGTGCGGCGCAGGTTTGTCCCTGCGAATATTTCCTGGAGTGAACCCTTTTGGGCATCGCGCTCGAGCTGGAAGCCAAGGATGGTGTCCTGTAGCTCTTCGTCGATTTCTTCAGGTGTGAAGCGCTTCGTTCGAAGGCGAGTCAATTCAATGAGAGCCTCTTCGTGGCGGTCCTTTGAGACTAGCCAGCGCGGAGACTCTGGGATGAACCAAATACTGCAGATAATGAAGCTTGGGATGATATAGAATAACCCGAACGGGATCAGGAATTGGGAATTGTCTTTCCGATACTGCGTCGCATAGCAAACCGCGTTGACCACAAGGCCGCCAATCTGGGGGGTAAAGAATGTTTGCGTCAGGTTCCACACAGTGATATTGTAAGGAGAAAGGCGCATTCATACCGTTGGGGAAAGCTGGTAAGTTCCTACGACAAATCCTCTCGCAGTTTTGGGGGTGATCTCTGCCTGGAACACAGGCACAACGGACAGCTCCATTCCCATAAACAGGTCTTGAATGGTAATGTCAGCAATCGGAGACCTGGAATAGCGAGGCGAGTGGTGAAAGACGACAACTTACAGTTGAGCACCCTGCCCACCATAATCTGGCTAGAGCTCCTCGATGTGATGGTGATGGTAGCCGTTACGAGGGCCCAGCAGCTCATCGAGAACATGCACCATCGGCGGCCGTAACGCTCACTCACCATGCTACCTATATACACACCTAGGGGAATAGAATATTAGACGAGTTTATGCGGGATCGACTCCGTACTTACCCACAAAGAGCCCAATGAAGCCAAAGGAATTAAACATGGACAGCCATGTCGTGGGGAGAACGTAGGCCTTGGTTTTGGGATCCCATTTGCCAAATTGCCGCTCAAAGGCATCCATGGATTGGATCCCAGAGAAACCTTGGTTGTCGAACCCGTAAGCCATCTGAGAGATGCATATTGTGAGAACGGAACGGGCAAGTGTAGAGTTGAAGACGCCAAGAGGCTTGAATAACTGCCGGAACATTGTGAGCAGATGGATGAGAGTCTACTCTGGGAGTGAAATAAGGTGACTTATTATACGCAGTTCTATACATTCTGCTGGTACTACCTGATTATCCAAATAAGACGCAATATCACCTTGTCTATGGCGAAAGATATTCCTGAATCACGAATACCAGGATTCACAGGAGGGGATTTTCAATATATCTTCCGGTTCCTCGGCGGCATCCGACGGATCTCGCTGTCGGATGCTGGAGCAGTGGCACTTGTACGGACCGAACATGCCGCAAGACGGCAAGCGAGAGTGATGGGAGCTGCGGCTGACCCGGCTGCGCGTGCGGTTTCTGAGTATTCCATAATCCCATCATTAGATGATTACGGTGATCAGTGATTTGGAATGATATCCTACTATTGGGGACCCTCCTGGTGCATGGGTCTACGACTTTACTAGTTTTGATGGACAAAAAAAATAAACTCATGCATTCGTGAATAGAATTAGGCCTTGGCCATGGTGAACTCAAAAGGATAATCGAACATGCCTGTCTCCGCATAGTATGCCTCCCAGCACTCCAGGAGCTCCTTGACCTTAAGCGGCTGCTCCAGGGCAAGATCCTTTTGCTCGGACGGGTCAGCTTCCAGGTTATACAATTCCCACCGACACTTCCCTCGAGGCGGATGCATCCACACAGCTTTCCACGGTCCCTTACGAATAGCCCGCAGTCCAACCAGCTCCCAGCCATGGACATGGTAATTTTCATCGTGCACTGACGATGCCGTATAGTCTGGTGACTTCAGATGCTGCACCCAGGATTTCCCCTTTATTGGCGCGATCTCTCGTCCATGAAACGTGCCTTCTGGTGCGGGCACACCGGCTAATTCGAGGACGGTAGGGAGAATATCCATGACGGTGGTGAACTTGTGCGTGATGGCGTCAGGTCGTGGTGAGTTAAAGCTGGCACCGGGAAGCTTCACGATACACGGACAACGGATGCCACCTTCAGTCGGCCAGCATTTCCAGCCTCGTGACGGTGCCGTGGCTGCTGATGCCCAGCGAGGTCCATACCAGATGAACGAGTCCCTTTCGCCAATATTCTCTAGGCTGTTGTCATAGTACACGTCAATAACATTTTTCATTGTCATCTCATTCCCCATGAGGTGCACGGCTTCCATCATCATCCCCTCGGCACCGTTGTCGGACATGAAGAGGATAAAGGTGTTGTCCAGCTCTCCAGTGGACTCAAGGTAGTCACAGACCTCGCCCACACCTTGGTCGATCATCTCCACCATGGCCGCATATACCTCCATCTTCCGCGAAGACTCTTTTCTTTCCATCTCAGACAGATCATCCCAGTCTCGCTCAATGCCATATCCCTCGGGCTTTGCCGGGACCACGTCTTTCGGGACGAGACCAAGCTCAATGAGACGCTTCACGCGGCGCTCTGCTAGTTTTGTCGGTCCGTCGTCGTACCAGCCTCTGTACCTTTGGCACCTTTCCTTAGGTGCCTGGAGGGGCCAGTGCGGAGCAAGGTAGGCAAGGTAGCCCAGGAAGGGCTTTTCTTTTTCGTCTGGAGTGCGGTCCTTGAGGAAGTCAAGAAACCGATTGGTTGTATACGTCGTAGAATAAAAATCAGAAGGAATATCTTTCTTTCGATCAAGATATTCATTGCCTTCCATCCAAAGCCGGCCTCGCCAGGGGAGCTTGAACCTCGGGTCGTCCAGCTGTGGCTCATAGTTGAAGTGGTTACCAGCCCCCGAAAGGAAAGTGAACACCTTGTCAAATCCACGTGCTGCTGGAGTATGCTCCTTTTTCATCCCAAGATGCCTAGGCGAGCAGAGGGTTGTTAGCATGGTCTTGAACAAAAGAAAAAAGAGAAAAAAAGAGCCCACCATTTGCCACTCATGATGTTGTGATACCCTGCATCCTTCAGAATCTCAGGAAGAGCAGCCACGCGAAAGTTCAGGTACCCTTCATAGCCTGGGCGGTTCTCAAATGCTTCTGGCATTTGTCTCATGTGCTCTGCGAGCTGCTCCAGACCAGCGATATGATGGTCCGTCCCCGACATCAGCATGGATCTCGTTGGTGAGCAAGCTGGGGCAGTGTGAAAGTCGGTCATTCGGATGCCATTATTTGCGAGCTTTTGAAGGTTTGGGGTATGTATTTCTCCCCCATAAGGTGAAGTATCACTGAACCCAAGGTCATCCGCGACAATGATTAAAAAATTGGGCTGGCGCTGCGGGGGAGACATGGCTGTTGTGTTTTGGAGTTGTAGACATGCGACAATGAAGACACGGAATGCGAAAAGAAATCAAAATAGCTAATCTATTCTCTTGTCTTGCAGCAACAGGGATAAATGGCAGCTGACGCACTGCAAATAAAGAGCACCGAGAGCCGGCCAGGCATCGGCTGTCGTTCCGAAGGTCCACCAGTAGTGGTCTGTTACAAGTACCATTGGGCCGAGAAAAGGTATATGGTTCTCATTCCTAGCATGCTGGTACTTAGTAGTCAAGAGCAAAGTCTAAAAACATCATCTGTTCAGAGGCGCAAACAAGGACAATCACATTGCCACAGACAGCTGTGAGTCGAGGCCTGTATTCGCTAGGCAGCCAAAGGATATTCCGACCCTTGTAAGTGATCCATCTTCTTCTAACAAATAACCCAGGACTTTCGAGTTCCAGTGTGTCACCCGATCGATTCAGCTTGAGAGCACCAAGATTTGTAATGAGAGATTGTTCATCCGCAGAGAAAGAAATATTTGCTATTCCAGGGATGTCTTTGAGCTCACACAAGCACTCTCCAGTCGACGTGCTCCAGAGTCGTAGAGAGCTGTCAAGTGAAGCAGACCTGGAATAGACCAGTCGCCGAACGGTTCACCAGATGAAGAGGCCATGAGAGTGCCATCATGTGTAAACTCAACATTTTCAACATGATTCGCATGGCCCGTGAGTGCTTGCAAGTCTCCTGAAGAGAGGTTACAGAGATAGACTACCTTGTCGTCAGTCACTGCGAGTTTTGTAGAGTCAGATGAGAAAATAGGCTGGCGTATGAAATGTGTACATAAAGGAATGGTCTGCAAACACTGGCCACTGGATATATCCCAGATCTGGATGATCTGTCCGACCTGTGAGACCACTTTAGCCACATCAGGCGAGAGAGTGGCATTTCAATCTCTCCTGTGCAACCTTTCAGTGTCAGCAGGCATTGCCCAGTTGATTTATCCCGGATTGTCATTGTCTTGTGGTCGATTGACAAAACCTGACTGTCAGAAGGGGAATCTAGGCACTGTCCAGTTGATAGATCCCATAATGTTTGCTTTTGTACATTGTGATGATAAAAGTAAATTCAAATAAAAATGAAAAACAAAAAACAAAACATACAACAGCTGGGATTCGCATGTGGTCACCCACCATACTACTAACCAGCCGGCGTGTGGCTTAAGTACGGCTGAGCGGACGGGAAGCCCTGTTTTCCACACCCTGTGGTCGTATGTACTAGACACAGTTCAAGAGTGGAATGTATAGGCTAATATATAGCCTATGAAGGAGGTTGCACAACTATATTATATTGACATTAATTGTCTGATGTCAAAAATAGCCTGCATATGCTGACTGAGCCGGGGTATTCGAGGAATATATAAGCTGCATGCACCGCTGCCCAACACCTAATATCAACAGACCACAATCTTATAATATTGCAATACAAAATGGCATCTCCGTTCCCCATCGACAACCTCCCCTACGGCGTCATTTCGACCGCCGACAACCCAGCCCCGCGCTGTGCAACAGCCTTGGACGACACCGCCATTGACCTCAGTGCAATAGAGCAAGATGGCCACTTCAAGTCCGTTCCTGGATTCGAAGCAGAGATATTCTCCCAGGTATGTTATCTGAGAGTGGTAACAAGTAACTAACGTGATAGACGACACTTAATGTTTTTGCAGCCCTCCCCAAGTCCTCCCACAGCCAGATTAGGGCTCTCCTAACCACTCTGCTGTCCAATGCAGACTCTCGCACCAAATATGCAATTTCACTGGACAAAGTGACCAACCATTTTCCGATGGAAACGAAGAACTTTTCCGACTTTTACTGCTCCCTCGAGCATACCCAAAACGTACCCCTCCCCCTCTGCCTATAATATCAAGCTAAGGAAGACTTCCCCCCAGTGCAGCAAAATAATGAACATCTCCACGCCCTCAAACTGGTTCATAATCCCCAGCGTCTACAACGGCCGCACCTCCAGTCTCCGCATCTCCGGCACGCCCATCCGTCGCCCGAACGGCGTCTTCAGCACCAACAACAATAACAAACCCGCCTTCCAACCCTCCGCCCGGTTCGACTTCGAGCTCGAAATCGGCCTCTTCCTCTCCCGTCCCCTACCACCAGGTTCCATCCTCGACATCGCCGACGCCCCGGGGTATATCTTCGGCATGGTGCTGCTGAATGACTGGTCCGCGCGGGATATCCAGGGGTTCGAGATGGTGCCCCTAGGTCCGTTCCATGGGAAGGGGGCCGGGACGACGATCTCCCCGTGGATTGTGACGAGTGAGGCGTTGGGTGCGTGTACGGCTGCCAGTGCGAAAGTGCAGGATCCCCCGCCGTTGAGGCATTTGGCTTGGAGGGGACACAAAGAAGAGGAGACGTGGGATGTTGAGTTGACGGCTACGGTTAGGAGTATGTTATATTTTGCATTCTATGTTAAAGGGATAGGGATTGTGCTAATGCGGAATAGGGAATGGAAGGTCGTATATCGTCACGGAGACGAACTTGAAGGAGCTCTACTGGACGCCGTATCAGCAGCTGGCGCATCTTGCGAGTGCAGGCGAGGGACTGAGTGCCGGGGATATATTCGGGACTGGGACTGTGACGAGCGCGGTTTGTTCAATCCTCTCTTTCTAGCTGTAAAGTGATATTAACGATGCCAGCGTATGAATACCAACGGGGAGAATATGGGTATAGCATGTCTGCTGGAACGCCATTTGCCCGAGAACAAACTGGCCACTCTGACTGGAAACGGTATTGGCTTTCTTGAGGATGGGGATGAGGTTGTTATCGAAGGCTGGTGTGTGAATCGGCATACTGGAAAGAGATTTGGGTTTGGGGAGTGTAGTGGTGTCGTTCTTCCTGCTTTGGCTGTTGATACTTAGTTTCCTGCATGAGAAATAGGCTATCTATTGATACATCGTTGCCCCCGTCTTTACTGCCCTCAGGATTCCAGCGTCCTGCAGTTCCTGAACCAGATTCGCCAGCATCAGATCACACCCCCGAGCAGCAACAAAGCTCAGCGTCACCGGCATATACTCAGTCTTCAACGAAACAGTCGAGTTATACGGAACCTCGCCAACAGGAACCACAAGGTCCGGCGCACCAGCCATCGTAGCAATGCGGCTATCCTTGAACCCCATCGGCGGCTTAGTAGGTGCATCAGTATACACATTCCGGTACTGCGTCTTTCCCGTCGAGTATGGGTAGATGTATATCCCCTCTGAGCAGGTTTCGTTATGGGCGCGTCCGTACCCGGCTGTTTCCCACCAGTTCTTGAATATGGTTTTGTTCTGTACGGCTTCAGTATAGGCAGCGTCGCCGCCGTTATCCTGGCCCCATTGCCAGCGGACGAGAGGGTCGGGGTTTATAAATGGTCGACGGCCGTCGTGTTTTTCGGCGTAGTCGGCGAAGAATGGCTTGGCGAGGTGTTTATATTGATAGACGGACGTAAGGACAGCATATGTCTGGTAGTTTAGTCTATGAGAACCCTCTTCACTGGAATGAATACTCACCGTATTCAGTAGATCCGTCACATTCCCCGGCGCACCCTCTGGATATGTCTCCTCCCACTTCAACTGCGTATCAACAGCCTCCCTCTGCACACCTAGGAACTTCTCTAATTTTCGAACAACGCCCTCAAGAAGCCTCCCAGCATCCGTGGTCACATCCGGAAACACCGCACGCGAATAAAACAACCGTCTCGGGTACACCCTGTTGTCAGCCAACAAACCCCGATACCAGGCACGCATAACAGCGGACCAAATACGGGCATCCCGCGCAAACACTCCAACCGAGTCCAGCGGTCCACTAAGCGGTAAGATCCCATCTGTCTTCAGGACCCCCTGTGAAGGTCTGTTCGCATACAGACCCGTAAACCCGGCAGGACTGCGCATGGACCCGCTCGTGTCGCTCCCAACGGCAATATCAAGCCAGTCGTACGAGGCTATACCAGCCGCAGGACCAGAAGAGGACCCGCCTGGTACTTGATAGCCGTCTCCCTATCTTGTCAGCATACTTCAACCCCAACCATATACACGAGGGGGATAGGGGTAGGTGTACAAACCCGAGGATTAAAAGGACAGTGAAAATCAACCCAGTCCGCCGTGGGATTGTCACCGTTCGCGAACTGCACTGTACCCATTTTACCGACGACCACGGCGCCGGCGTCTATGAGGCGCTGAACCGCAGAACCGGTTCTGTTCTGCGGCGGGTAGAAGTCGTAGAAGGCGCGGTTGCCGCCGCTGGTGCGTAGACCTTTTAGGTGGAAGATGTCTTTGAGACCGAGGCGGAGCTGTATTATACTATATTAGACAGTTCTTTGTTCATACCAGGACTGATAGGTAGAGGATGACTTACCCCCGCGAGTGGCTTGTCGGGTGTGGGTGTATAGTACAGGCGAGACGGTACGGCAACGCTCTTGGTCATGGCTCCCTGGTTCGGTAAGAGATGAACTACAATAAGGTGTTGGTTTTACCTGTGTCGTTGCTGGTAATGGCTTAAATCCACCGTTTCCATCACTGATGGCTGCCTCTGTAAATGCGAGTTGGTGGTCGGGGTATAACCGGAAGGCCTGATAGAGCGAGCCCGTGGTGGACATGAAGTAGGGCCCTTGGGGGATATCATCGCTGAGACCAGCCCTAACAGCCGATCCGTAAGGATTATAGTTCGATGAAGCCATTACGACCTTGGTGTTCTGAGACTTGAATGAACTGGAGATATGCCCTTGGCCGTGTCCGATATAATCCACAAATAATCCTGTTTCGTTGTCAGGATACCCAAGTTAATGATGGAAATAAGCAATACCTTCCAGGAACCCCCGTTGAAAAACATCATCCCGAGAAAAGTTCGCAATTGTCTGATCCAAGTCGTCGTTGGCAAATTCATCCACCGTCGACCGGATCACCGTGATAGGGAGGAGATCTGGGTCAGTCAAGTTGAAAGATGGCAAAGGAGAGATCCTTGACACAGGGGCTCCTCCAACATAGTAATTGATCCCGTCCACAATAGCCAGCTTGCCATTGTCTATAATCATAGCCTGAGAGAGCGCAACCAAGCCGGCAACCAACACCAGAAGGCGAGTACTGCGATTGAAAAGGCAACTGACACTCATACTGTCAGTTGAGTTGCTGCCCTTGGTACTGCAGGTCAGCCTTATGACTGATAAATAATCTGATAAATGCCAGGGCTGTTAAAGACCCACGAGTGCCCGGGCAGAATGAGCACCCTGCGCAGCACAACGCTCCACCTTACAATATACTGACGGCTTGGGCCGACGAAAATGTGTCGGGATTACGCGATTGCGATGATTCTAACCCCCACGCTGTCACGCAAGGTTGTCGATCCATTTGCTGTGATTGTCGAGGTGTGTTGGTGGAACTTGATATCAGCTTTCTCCTACCATGGCTACTCCCGAGAGCTATTTTACTCCCGACAGCCATTTCAACTCAACGATTCAAGGAACTGTATTTTAGAGCCCTCCATGGGGAACGTCATAATGCACAAGTCTGTCTTGCATTGACAGTGGAATTGGCGTGCGCAGGAAGCGCCGATCAATGAGGACCGTGGGCGAGATAGAGGGGCAGTGATGATCGTGAGAGGATTTTTATCTAATAGCATTATTTGTTTCACTGATTGATTAAGATAGGGACGTCTAAAGGAATTGCAAGTGAGGTGGCCGTCTATCATGCCGGGTATACTCTCATATTGCCTATTCTATACTGTTTCAGCTTCAATCCAGCTATCCAGTTACAGCTTTATCCACCTCCCCATCCACTTCTCATTCAACTCCTTCGCCTCATCCACCAGCCCAAGCTCCAGGAGCAGCTGCACAGACCCACGCACAGAAGAATGCAGCGACGAGCTCACCCACGCATGCGTTGGCGCCGTATGCTCCCCAATGAAGATCGTGTTATGCTCCGTGTTATGATAAGCCGGGATATAGAGCTTATGCTGCTCAACATCCGGCCGACACCACGCCGTCGCGGTATGCTCATCCTGCAACCAGCAAAGCCGCTCATAGTCGCCCGTGTACAGCTCCCTCGCCTGCTCCCCGTGCAGAGACACAATGGAATCAAGAACCGTCTGCACGTGCTCCTCGTCGGAGAAACTCACGAAGCGGTCGCTCCAGTCCCCACCGCGGTAGTGCATTATCAGGCCCGGGCGAGACTCGTTGAGCCCGTAGACGGGGTAGTATAGGGCGCCGACGGGGTCGCTGGGGGGTTTGGAGTAGCCGCCGAAGATGGGGCGGGGGCCCTTTTCCCAGAAGCGTTCGCGGAAGAGCAGGGCGACTTTGCAGGCGGATGCGAAGCGCAGGCCGGCTTCGCTGGTGGCGCGGGAGAGAACGGAGGAGAATTTGGGGAGGTCCATGAAGCGGGTCTGGGTGAATGGGACGGCCATGATGGTGTAGTCGTAGTCTTTGGACTCGTAGGTGCGGTTCGTGACGCTGGGATACCATGAGAGACGGGTGCGTGTGGTGTTGTTAGGGCCTGGTACGGTCTCTAGCTTGCGGATCTGGCGGTTGAGGGTGAGTCTGTTCCTGACATGGGGGAGGAAGGCATCAGAGAGACGATTGAAGCCTCCGTCGATGCACAGCCAGTTTGTCTCTCCGAGGGCTTCTTTGGTGCCATCCAGGCCCAGGTTGGAGTTGTGGTGCAGCTCGTCCCAGAAAACGTCGTAGTCGGAGGATGTCCAGATCTCGTCGGTGACGTTCTCGCTAGCTTTGAAGACGTGGCGCATCATGGCCTGCTCGCTCCAGTCGTCTAGGCCCTCGTCCATGGCGGTTTTGTGGGCTCGCCAGACGTCCTTTTGCAGGGACTTGAGAGTGGTTTCGTTCTTGAGGATGAGGTCCATCCGGTTCTCGGTGTTGTGATACTCTGCGGTATCGATATCAGAAGCCTCACTCAGGCTTGAGTCTGCCTCAATCTCAGCGCGAGTGGGAATACGCCCATCGGGGTGTCGAAGCGTGTCCTGGGCAATCAATTCGTTGGGATGGTGCTGGATCCAGGGGATGAAGTCGACCTTCCACTTGGAGTCGTTCTTGTTCATGTCGTTGAGGGTGTGGGCCAGCTGGAAAGTCAACTCGTGGTCGGTGTATTTGAGTGTCTCGTTGTTGTCCTTGTAGGTCACAGAGTGTGGAAGTCTCATAGGGCCCATCTCAGCCCATTCATCTGTGTCCGCCATATATCGCGTCCGGAAGCGACCTCCAACGCGCTCACTAGCTTCGATGATTTCCCAGTTATGGATACCAACGCTATCCAGCATCAGCCCGGTTGCAAGGCCAGAAACACCTGCGCCGACAATGGCAATCTTTGCGTGCTTGGACGAGTTTCCGGATGCAACACCACCAGTGGAATCTGTCTTCTTCTTGATGGCAGCTACTCCGTCGAACCAGGCTCCCAGCGCGTCAAAGTCTTTCAGCAGGGGATTGTCCAGATCGGCAACGGATCGCTTCTTTGCCTTTCGGGTCAGATGCACGGGCTCGCTTTTACCCAGGATAGTAGACTGCGCTCCGTATACGTAGATACAGTTGCTTGCCTGTGCATCCTCGGGAACTGCCCAAGCAAGTCGCTGCGGAGGCTGTCCGCGGACATTGAAACTGGCAATAGTATGCTGGGTGGAGTTAGGGTTCGAACAGGGGGCATACACAGCCCTGATGGCACTCGGCGGACTGTCAAGCCAGTTCAAGTGGACATTTGCCAGTTCACCCGGATGGACTGATTTCGAGGTCGACACTTGAACTATGCCTTGGTCCTGCGGTCTGCTGAGCACTGAGTTTGCCTGGCCCAGCAGCAGGGCTGCGCTGACAATGGCCTTGAACCCCATGGCTAACTTGCCTGCGGACTTTTTTTTACGAGGACTACCCTGATTTATAGCTCTCGGCGCCGATCTACAGGTGCAATTTCTGCGGCGGTCCTCGCTGTTTTTTGGGGACCCTGCAGGCTGCAGAAGTCGTGCGTGATCGTCATACTCTGCTGTCAACTGATCGATATTCTGCTGCAACGCACTGCAGCGAGCTTTTGACATCCAACGGTGTCAACTATTATGTAGGTCTATTTGACAGGCTTATTTAACATCCAAAATATTACGTATAACAATATACAAGACATAAGGCATACTTATCCTGCATCAACACAGGTTTCCCACACGGTGCCATTCCATTTCCTCTTTAGGCAGTGATGCTCAGAAGTCGGATTGACAACCCCACGCCAGAGTACCTTCTTGGCTCATCAAGCACTCAAGCGGCAGTCTAAGCTCATCTGGGCACCACACATGCATAAATAAAGGTTCCTTCTGGACTTCTTCTACATGCCTGGTCTTTTCCATGTTTAACCCACAAATTGGTGTCTTGGGGCATGAGCCTGCTGGTTAGGGAAGGCCACTCGCACCTTCCCTGTTGATTCAGATATAAATAGCCCAGTCGAGGAAGGAACGACATGCGGACTAGGAAGGAGACTTCTCTGACAAAGAATACAGTCGTCTATGGTAACTCCTTTATGTCCCGTGCCCGACTGCCAGACGCGTGTCCGCCACGTTGATGATGAGCCTCAACCACGGTGATGACTGCACATGTCCAAATTTCCAATGATAATGACCCATAGAATAGTAATTCTGCCTATTGAGTTCATATTTGGTTCTCTTGTGCAACAAGACGGGCATATCCCAACCAGCTCGAGAACAAAGACTGGGCAGTGGTGCCAAGGCACTTCAAAGAGAACTCATGTTTGGTAGAAATACTCCTATTGATCCCCGAATCCGTCGTGGATAGCTTCTAGTGGCGTCGCAGGGGTCCTTATCATTGTTTTGTGCATGTAGCGGGTTGTAGATATCGTGGTTTAAGATGCTGCCATTACCACCCGTAGTTTCATCTTTAGTATATTCCCGTGTTAACACTCGAATCTGTCTATACAGTAACCTGGATTTTCGGTAAAATGGAACTACCGCTTAATCAACAGCCTGCTACGCCGCCGCCGCCGGGCTTCAAGACCAACTTTGTCGATCCTCCTTCACAACAGCCAGCGATTATAGCGATGTCTGCTGTCTTCATATCCCTTATGCTGCTGGCAGTGTCAGTGCGAGCCTACACGCGGACGCTCATCTTGAAGTCCTGGGGTTGGGATGATAGTAAGTATTTGCATTCCTATCTAGTTGCAAGACTAATCTTCTACAGCAACGTGCATTTTTGCAGTCGTGAGTAAACGTCAGACTAGAATGAACAAATCTAACACGAATAGATCGGATCACTCGCAAACTTGGGCAGCTTCATGAAACGTAAGACACCAGCCCTAACCATATACCCCGCTGACAAAAAAAGTCCTCGACTTAGGACTCGGCCTGCACATGTGGGATATCCCAGTGACGGTATTCATGAGCGATTCCAACGGCCGGGTACGTCTCTGAACTAGCCCTCGAAAAAATACATATTAATGTGAACAATCCAGTTCCTCGCAGCAGGCATCACATACCCCTGGACCGTGGGCTTCACCAAGATCTCCATTCTCCTTTTGTACAAGCGTCTCTTTCCCGTCGCGAAAATGAAAATCGCCATCTGGGTCGGCATCGCCGTAATCGGTACACTATATGGAGCATTCATCATCATGTCCGCCGTCAACATCGGGATATGCGTGACCGTGGGACCGGACATCAGCCCGTTCTGCGACTTTGTCCATACGGGGTCCGTGATCTGGCAAACTGCTACTAATGTAGTTACAGACTTTTATCTGGTGATTTTGCCTATCCCGCAGGTTTTGAAGTTGAAGCTGTCCAGGAAGAAGAAGGTCGGGCTTTGTTTGACCTTTGCCAGTGGACTTGGGTACGACCCTCCTCTCCCTTGTTATTTTATATGGTTGACCTGGAAATACGATAGTGCCTGCGCCGCAAGTATCGCCCGCCTCATCATCAGCGTCAAGAACCTATACGGCGGGTGGGACGTGATGTGGGTATCCGGTGAACTGGCTCTATACTCGTAAGCCTACACCCACAACACACAAGCAGTAAACCGATAAACTGAACTAAACTGCCAGAATCGCCGAAGTCAATATCGGCATTATCGTCGCCTGCGTCTTTACCTTCCCCGTCTTCTTCACTAAACTCCTCGAATCTAAAGTCTGTGGCAAGCTCAGGTCTTCGCTTGGTCTCTCGGGACAGGGCTCCGGATCGTCTTCTGTTCTACCAATTCGGGAGAGACATACAATTAGGGCTGTGGGGCCTGGAGTGTCTGGGAAAGGAGATTTGGATAAGCGGCATATTTTCTATGAGAGGGAGGTTGAGTGGAGTGTGCATTCTGGGCAGTCGACGCTGGTGTCGAGGTTGACGGAGAATGATCTTAAGAGGGAAGTGGTTTAAGATATATTGTATATTTATCTTGAATGTTAGATAGAGGCTTTTGATTTCTTGTTTATTCTTGGTTGGCGTTCCTCTATAGAAGAATACTCGGATGGATATCGACTGGAACTGCCCCATGAGGGAAACCCAGGAAGGAGACTGTACATTCAGCAATAGTCACACCCATAAGCGGGGAATTTACATAGAGCGAGCTCCGTAGAGTCAAACTAAGAGGGCCAAGTATTCATCCACATGGCAAGAGTTACGTGCAAGAGGCACCAAGACACAGCTCCGTATATCGCCTGATCTCTTCTTGCCCAAATCCAAGGATACGAGCCAGGTCTACTTCCCCACTTTCATACTCGAGTAGTTCTGCCGCAGTTTACCCGGACAGCTGCTAACATGGGACTAGGAGGTGACTCAATATACAGGCCGGTCCCACAAACAACCCAAGTTGGAGTAAATCGGCACTCCCCACATTCGATCTTGGCCCGGGGAATGCAGGGTTCCCCAGATCAACCCTCCATCTCTGCAGAATCGATCTGGGGTTTCAGGAAATACCAACAGCTTAGGGGGAGGTGATATGTGAGACAGGTTCATTAAGATAGAGGTATACACATGACAACAGCCTCTTTCTATGGTATGGCAATGGTCGGGTCTCCAGATCACTCAACCAGTAGTGCCTCGGTACAGAACGCAACGAGCACTTGCCAAGGTGCACTGTTAATTTGAATATGCCGTCGTCCCCGCAAATAAATCGACGTTGTAGCGTCGGCACTGTAATGTGGACATCCGATGTGGGACGGAAGGCTTCGGCTGAATGGCGGTGGTTACTGCGTGGCTTTTCTTTAAATCCGGGAATCCCGCAGTAGAAGTTGGTTCGTAGACTGGTTGTTTAATAGAGATTTATTTTGTGGCAATTCTTGACCATGCGGTTGAATTCAACAGTGATAGCCCTAACAGCCCTGACCTCAGGCTGTCTCGGGCTGGCCATCAAGAACCATGAAGACCATCCCATCTACAAAGATCCCTCATACTCCGTCGACGACCGCGTCCAAGACCTCCTGCACCGCATGACAATCGAAGAAAAGGCCGGACAGCTCTTCCACGCCCGTCTATCCGAAGGGCCGCTCGACGATGCAGGCGAGGGAAACAGCACAGACACGATGATCGGGAAGCACATGACGCACTTTAACCTCGCCAGCGACATCACAAATGCCACTGCCACTGCCGAATTTGTGAACCGGGTCCAGAAACGGGCGTTGCGGACCAGGCTCGGGATTCCGGTTACCCTGTCCTCTGATCCTAGGCATGCATTCACGGACAATGTGGGCACGGGGTTCCAGGCTGGTGTGTTTTCACAGTGGCCTGAGAGTCTGGGTCTTGCAGCCTTGAGGGATCCTCAGCTTGTGAGAGAGTTTGCGGAAATTGCAAGAGAGGAGTACCTGGCTGTTGGTCTTCGCGCTGCGCTGCACCCGCAGGTCGATATATCCACAGAACCTCGCTGGGCCAGGATCAGCGGGACCTGGGGCGAGAACAGCACATTAACCAGCGAGCTCATCACCGAGTATATCAAGGGATTCCAGGGGAACGACGGTAAACTGGGCCACAACTCCGTCAAGACGGTCACGAAGCATTTCCCCGGCGGTGGACCGATGGAGAACGGCGAAGACTCGCACTTTGTATACGGCAAGAACCAGACATATCCTGGCGACAACTTCGACGAGCACTTGATCCCTTTCAAGGCAGCGCTCGCAGCCGGTGCAACGGAGATCATGCCGTACTATTCCCGCCCCATTGGCACAAACTACGAACCCATCGGGTTCTCCTTCAACAGGGAAATCGTCACCGACCTTCTCCGGGGAGAGCTAGGATTCGAGGGCATCGTGGTCACAGACTGGGGGCTCGTCACGGACGGCTATATCGGGACGCAGTATATGCCTGCGCGTGCGTGGGGGGTCGAATCCCTCAGCGAGCTGGAGCGTACAGCCAAGATCCTCGACGCAGGCTGTGACCAGTTCGGCGGCGAGGAGAGACCTGAGCTGGTCGTGCAGCTTGTGAATGAAGGCATCATATCGGAAGAGCGCATCGACGTCTCCGTAGCCAGACTACTGAGGGAAAAGTTCATTCTCGGACTGTTCGATAACCCCTTCGTCGACGTCGCAGCCGCCAACAAGATCGTTGGTCAGGAGGACTTCGTCCAGAGAGGAAGAGACGCGCAGAGACGGTCATATACCCTCTTGACAAACAAGGAGAGTGTCCTCCCCCTATCAGAACCCTCTCGCTCTACCAAGTTCTATATCGAGGGCTTCGACCGCGCATTCATGACCGAGCGCAACTATACCGTCGTCTCCAGCCCCAATCAAGCTGACTTTGCACTCCTCCGGTATAACGCTCCATACGAACCACGCAATGGCTCCTTCGAAGCCAGCTTCCACGCGGGCTCGCTCGCATTCAACGCGACTGAAAAGGCGCGCCAGGCTAAGATCTTCTCTGCCGTGCCTACGATTGTCGATATCGCTCTGGATCGGCCGGCTGTGATTCCCGAGATTGTGGAGCAGGCGCAGGCTGTGCTGGCGAATTATGGGAGTGATAGCGAGGCATTCCTGGATGTGGTCTTTGGTCGGAGTAGTCCTGAGGGTAAGATTCCGTTTGATTTGCCCAGGTCGATGGAGGAGGTTGAAGGGCAGGCGGAGGATGTGCCCTTTGATACGCTGAATCCGGTCTTTAAATATGGGCATGGATTGAGTTATGGAAGTTATTGAGCTTCATTTATACAGTTAGCAATTGACTTGTATACAGCACAATGCAGATATCTCATTGTTTAAACGTTATGCCATGGAAATATGTATATGAACATGCAGGTTCATTGTCCCATGAGACTGGACACCCACCCCTATAACCCGAAGCCAGCAAGCCAGTCCAAGCGCCGGATCCCTAACCAGGAATACGGAGAATAGTCTCGTCTGATACGTCTCAATAATAATATTGTGGCTGACAGCCATCGCACGACGGGACGGAAATTACAGGTCCATAAGCCGCAGCCGCAGCCTCCCAGCTCCACTTCACGCATCCCTTAGTGAAAATTCAAAATCGACAACTTGATTCTGTACCCGTTGGATCGTTGTCGAGGGACTCTGCTGGGCAGTATTTATTGCAGTCCTTGGCAAAGGGGGGGGAGACCTTGGTTTGGGTCATGAAGCCAATACAAAAGTACAATGTCTGACACTGGTTGAAGTATAACAGTACGATATAATTCCAATCATTAGCCAATTCATATTATGTCCGCTCAATCTTGGCCGCCTCTAGAATAGCCGAATGGTCCAGCTCATGCGTGGTGCCAGCCTGCAAGATAACATCTCGCACCCACTCCCCCCTCGGCCTCATCACAGACCTAAACGGCTTGGGCAGTGTCACAAAGCCCTCAGTACAGTCCATGTCATGAACATTGTGTCTGGAACCCGTAGCCTCGTCAACAACCCCAGCCTCGACATCAAACGCCCACAGCATGCGCGCCATCTGGATGAAGAGCTGGTTGCGCGCGATGAGACGCCCCGTACAGATTCTGCGCCCGAATCCAAATCCAATATGCGGCAGGTCTTTCAAGGCTGTGGTGTTGAACCCGCAGATGTCGATGTGCTCTTTGTCGCTGGGCTCGGCGAGCCACCGGTCGGGGATGAAGCTGTTGACGTCCTCGCCGAAGACTTCCTCGTCGCGGGTTATGGCAAAGGCATTGGGCAGGACGGTCGAGTTGGCCGGGATATGATAGCCCATGTACTCGTCGTCGACTTTGGTGGCGTGTGGTACGCCTTGTACGACGACCGGGCGCCAGCGGAGAGTTTCGCTCGCTGTGCTGTTAGTATTATATCTATTTTGTATAGAAAGTGGGCGTACCAATTGCATCAATATAGGCCAGCTTGGGACGGTCCTCGAAGCTAGGCAGACGGTCTTTCCCAACGACCTCGTCCAGCAGCTGCTGCGCCTTCTTGACCCATCGTGAGCCCGAAGTAATCCAAGCAACGATGAACCAGTCCAGCGCAACAGTCGACGTATCCAAGCCCGCATCAGCCAGAATCCCCAGATCAAAGGCAAGCTCTACCTCCGGCATATCCACCGCCTCGGGCGAGTCCTTCATATGCTTGGTGAAGTTCCACCGCCGATTTCGCAGCCCCTTCTTCAAGTTCCCAACATGCAGCTGTCTTTCCAGCTCAAACAGCTCCTCTGCCTCCCTCTTCCACGGCGCCAGAAACCTAGGAAGATAATTCAGCGACGGGAACGAGTCGACTATATATGCGCCGACCTGTCCCGTACGCGCAAACTCCGCCTGCACGCGCTTCCCATCTAACAGCTCCTGCTCATACCCCGTTTGCAGCCGGTACCCATAGTTCAAGCAGTAGATCGTACTAGCCATGGCCCGCTCAAAGTGGTGGTGAAAGTCCACGCCCTTCTCGCCGTACTTATCCCACTCGCCCAGCACATCCCACAGCAGCTGCTGGGACTCGAGGTCCTGCAGAGGCCGGTAGTTGCTTGCAGCGCGCAGGGTCAGCAGCGGGGCCTCCATCTTCTGATGCAGCCGATACTGGTCGTTGTACTGGCGCAGCAGCATGTGCATGCCCCTAGTGACGAGCTCGCCGGCCATGACCATGCGCGGGCGGTCCGAGTAGCGTGCGCTGCGCCGGTTGAGGAGGTCGTGTGCGGCCTTGTATGTGGAGAGGATGACGAGTGGCTGTCCGCCCATGCTGAGGTGCATAACGGGGCCATATTTCTTGCTCCAGTGGTAGAGTTCCAGCCACTGCAGACTCTTGGGGAGCTGGTGGATGTTTCCGATGAGGGGAGCGGGTTTGGGGCCGGGGGGCAGTGGGAGGGAGGGTTGTTTGAGCAGTGAGAGGACCAAGCGGGCAATCACAAAGGCGCTGAGGGCACCGAGAAGATAGGTCGCAATTCCGGCCATTGTTGCAGGTGAGAACTGCTGCAATTGGGATTGCATGCAGGACAGGGACGGGGGGAGTTGGACCAGATGGCTAATTTAAGTACGCAGCTGCTGTGCTGGGACGAACGGTGGATGGGGGTGGCTTCATGCAGCAGAAGCCAATAGCTGCGGAGAACTATTTAATCAGAATGTTCATTGGGCTTGTTGAGATCGAGTCGAGACTCGTTAGGGCTCCTTCGAGCAGAACCATCCCAGACCTGTCTCTGACAGTGGAGTTGACAGGGGTTCGAGCTGAAGCCACGTCCGCTACAGACTCTTGCCTAACGCGTGAAGAGACGAGCAACTGCATTACCGTGTGATGAGACCTTGTGCACGGAGCATTTGGGGCTGTCTTGCTGTCTCCCCGGCAGGCTAATGTATGCTAATGCCTGCAAGTGGGGGCCACGGTTGGCGCACAGCGGAGGAATAATCCATTTTGCTTTTGCTGGAACGGCAAATACGACGCCGTCCGAGCACACGCGGATGCATGGGCGTTGACGAGTCTTATTCGTGCATCGTTGGGATCTGATCTTGCTTTGTGAGCTCGCGATGCCTTGCTTTCGTCACAATCCGGAAGGATTTCACGGACACCTGTCAATTGCTTTTTGGGGATTTTCTTGGCTCTCTCGTCGCACAGAACCTTTGGTACTTTTGTACTGCTTACTTCACTTTGATCAAGTTAATGTCATGGTTGGCTTACTGTCTGGGTCCGATGGGAAGCGCCTGGGCCTTCGCTAAGATCCTTCGCCAGATAGACCCACGTCAAGGCTACGCTTTAGTGCCGAAGCGATTGTCAAACCGATGATAATTACGGAGACAAGCTTGACTAACAGGGCGTTCCGCTTCCTTGGGAGTTTTGCATCGGATAGTTACAGTGGCGTCTTAGGGTTTGGGGATGAGACGAGTCACTGCATCAACGTCGCAAATTATCAGCCAATACCAAGTCCCGTATCATAATACACTGTCTCCTATTACCACTGCACAGGTCCAATTTGCACCATTGCTTCATGCGTTGGGGCAACGGTCCGTGTGGGGGCTGTCAGATGCTGTCAGTGTCATATGCGGCGGATTCCGAATTGACCCATACGATTATCATAATAGAATCCAAAAGTAGAAGCAAAATAAAAAGAAATTGGAAGGATCTTCAACGGCGACCGGTCCGCCTTCGAGCGCCATCCTGACCAGCCTGCCGTCGAGGCCTGCAGCCTGGCCCCTGTCCGTGGGGGAAATACCGTACTGCGTACATATAGCCAAGGTCCCAGGTCCAAGGGCCTGGTTCTAGTTCTGTTCCTCTACCTTTGTGTGCCTTCATAACAGGAAACAATCATTCCCAGCAAGGATACAATGCGGTTAGTAGTGTGGTCTGCATATGCGGTGGCAGCTTTTGCTGCTGCCGTCGGAGCACAGACGATGCCTGACTGTGCGGTATGAGCCCCAATTCTGACCCTACTGCCTCTAACATGAGCTAGGCCGACTGTCTTGTAAAGGGTCTGGAGGACTCAACATGCTCGCCTACAGACTCTGAGTGTATCTGTGCCGACGCGGTGTTGATGGAGAACGTCCAGGCCTGCTCAATGCTGGCCTGCACCGTCGTTGAAGGACTCAGTATGTCAATTCCTTCTATTCAGTGTATTAACCACTCAGCTAACTGACTGCAGAGGCTTCTAATGCCACGGCCACGCTCTGCCACTGGCCCGTCCATGACAAGAGACTCGTCGCCCCTATCGCTACAGCCGTTACTGGAGTCATAGCCCTGGCGTTTATTCTCGTCAGAGTGAGCGACTGCGTTTCGAAGAATGAATACAAGTGGGCTGATCTGTGTGCTGTTCTTGCATTTGTGAGTACATACTGCCGTCTACAATGAAAATAACTAACCGGTTAGATCTTTTCCCTACCTATGGACATTTTCGAATTTTTCAGTGCGTTCCCACCACCCTTGAGTTAAGATGTACTAACAGATCAGTGATGGGCTCTGGTATGGGAAGGGATGTTTGGACGTTGACACCGACACAGATCACCAACACAGCCAAGGTGAGCGTCGACCACAAAGCGGGCTTGAATATAGATTAATATAGGCTGATTCTCACAGTATACTTGGGTCACCCAAGTATGGTATATCCCAGCCATCATCCTAACCAAGGTGGCCATTGTGTCCTTCTTCATGCAAATCTTCCCAGGACCCCGGTTTCGACTGCTATGCCAGGGCACTATCATCCACTGCTTCCTGTTCATGATATCAACGTTTATTACAGAGATTCTGTCCTGCATCCCGGTAGAGGACGCCTGGACGAACTGGAGAGGCGAGTCGAATGCAATATGCTACGATAACAGCGCCTTCTGGTGGGCTCATTCGGTAAGACTGTCCAAGATATACAGACGACGTCTCGCTAACCCTGCAGGCTATCAACATCGCCACGGACCTATGGGTCCTCGGACTCCCAATCCCAATGCTCTGGGGTCTCCAGCTCAAGCTAAAGAAGAAGATCTATCTAGTTCTCATGTTCAGCGTCGGCATCGTGTACGTATCCCCGTCACCCTTTCTAGTCTACGCTGACACCCCTAGTATCACCGTCATCAGCATCGTCCGGTTCTCTGGTCTGCTGAAATACTCCACGACAACAAACATTACCTGTGAGACTTCCCATTTTATCTACTAGACCAAGCTAACGGAATAGACAACAACGTCATGGTAGCAACATACAGCGTCATCGAGTGCAACGTGTCGATTATGTGCTGCTGCATGCCCGCCCTCCTGTCCACCCTCCGCCGCGGCTTTCCCACCGTATTCGGCAGCACCGGTCCTTCTCCCAGCTACAACAGTGCCCCGTTCTCTGGCAGCAACGGCATCCATAAGGAGGTCACGCATAAGGTCACTTATATGCCGCGTGACGGGACCTCGGATGATGCTATTGAGCTGGTGGATCGGGATGGCCGTGAGGGGGAGACTGAAACACATGTCGAGGGAAATGGCACTGATACTGGGAGGAGTAAGTGGTAGATACTCAGGGGTAAAAATATATTTCCTTGAACTCTTTCGGTATATATATTTTCTAATAATTAATTGTTATATCATTCTTTATCCATTTCTGTCAAAAGTATAATACCGTCATTCATTTGCATAACCCTACCCTAGAAATACTACCACTGATACCCCCTACTCCCCGTCGTCGAGCCCTCATACTGATATCTCTCCTCAACCTCATAATACTTGTTAAACCCAACCCCTTCACACACCTCCTCATACCCCAGCACAACCGGCGGTCCACCGACCAAGAAGCTGTCTTTAATCCCCTCCAGCGCCTCCCTCACACTCCTCAACTTCGCAGCCACAAGCGTCCACGGATACGCAACAGCACTATACCCAATCTCCCCCAGCTCCTTGGCCGAAACATTCTCCGTCTTGCCTCCCTCGATGATATTCCCGAAGACAGGGAAATCCAGGTCCGTACGCAGCCTCGCCATGGTCTCTTTATCAGGCAGTGCTTCAACAAAGACACAGTCCACGCCGATGGCAATAGCCTCACGAGCCCGCGTCAGTGCCTCGTCGTATCCGTGGATGAACGAGTCTGTCCGTGCCAGGATCCAGATGTCTAGCCCTTCGTTTCGGGCGTCGACTGCTGCGCGCCACCGTGCGTATGCTTCGGACCGGCTTACCACGGACTTACCTTTTGTATGCCCGCATCCTACTTTGTTAGTTCGTAGTATACTCTCAGCGTTATTATAACAAGGAAAACAAACGTTTAGGCCAGGTCTGGTCTTCAATCATAACCCCCGCTGCACCTGCGTGTGCGAACCTAAACAAACAACATTAGATATCTAACCATGTTATATTAGATAGGAGTACAAACCCCTGCACAGTCCTCCTAACATTCATCGGCCCTCCATACCCCGTATCCCCATCCGCCAGAACAGGCACATCAACAGCACGCACAACCTCCTGGATCCGGGCCGCGACTTCCTGGAAGGCAATGTACCCTGTGTCGGGCAGGGCGAGCGAACTCGCCATTGCGTACCCGGCCAGAAACACAACTGGGAAGCCGGCGTCCTGACACAGTTTCGAGGTCAGGGCATCGTAGCTGCATACATGGGCGAGGATCTTGGTTGGGTCGGTGTGCGCGTCTAGGACCATCGTGCGTAGACGGGAGGCTTGTAGGCTGGGGAGACGGCCGCGGGTGTTTGGGAATGAAGGGGAGTTGTTTGATGGAGGGGGGAAGGAGAAGGGGTAGGGGGTGCGGTTGACGATTGATTTGGACATGGTTGATATGGATGATACAGAAATTGATTGGGGGATTGCAGTAGTAGATTCAAACGAGGTGATTGAATGGCTTTATATATAATTCTCTCTCCGATATACATAGAGACAGGAAGCTCCGACTTCGGCGATGTAGTAAAGATATCCTGATATAGTTGCCGATACTTCGGGTACAAGCGGCATCTACACCTGCATTCAGCCTTGGCTTAATCTAGTGTTGCAATATCTGTACCGGCTAATTCGCCATATCTACATCATCAACGAGTGGCAAATTCCACAGAAAATCCAGCGAGTCCAGCTCCAGGCCTAGAGAAACACCCTCCCCGTGCCCACCACTATTGCTCGAAAATGGCGCGATATTAGGATCAAACGGACGTGCCCACCAGTCTTCACTAGAGATCTGATCCAAGCCTGCGTACTGCGTCCAGTTAATACTCCCTGCATCCGATGACAGCCCTAGCGAGTCGTCCTGCTGCCTTTGGTTTACAGATGGAGTAGGCTGATATGCAGTGACAGATGCAGTCGTCCCGGCATTGTTCATTGAGCCACCAGGGAGAACGAAATTGGCTCGAAACCGCGCCACATGTTTCTCCAGGAGCGTCGCATATCGCAGGGAAAAGTCCATATCGTCCGTGCCGGAGGACCGCAAGGCCACTATACACCGATCCAACGTATCCAGTGAGACTTGCAGGTCCGCATGGCGCGCACCCAGACTAATCGCCTTTAAAAGGAATATGGAAGAGGAGGTGATGCAGACTAGTGTCCTCAAGGGGGCGTAGCGCAGTCGGCCCTCTGAGGCCATTGACGTGGCTATCTCGAGTACGCTGCGGCTGCTGCTTACGAGGTCTTGGATGAATGCATGGTCTTGAGGGGGGATACAGGAGTCCACGCCCTCTAGGGAGTCGTTCAGCTGGGTGGTGGATCGGGCGACGGCTCGCTCGACGACGGCTTGAATTGAGAGGGCATTGGTGCAGGCCTTGAGGTAGTGGAATTCAATGAGGATTACGGAGCTCAAGGCTGGAGGGAGGTCTGCATTTATTAGCATATACAGCATATAAATTATATAAGAGGAGATTACCGGATGCTGCGAACTGCTCGTGCCACTTGTCCAGCGACGGGGAAAAGTGCTGCAGCAAGATCACATACTGGCCAGAGTGCAGCTGCTGCTTGGTATAAGGCATGGACTGGAAGAACATGGCCGACGCAGTCTTCATCAGCCGCGTCAGGTCCGCCCAGAGCTTCATGCAGGCAGACCACTGGGGGTCTTGTGTAGATTCTGGGGAAGCCTGCATGGCTTGCATGTTATCTGGAAGAAGCGACGAGCATCCCATCTTGACAGCCATCTGCGTGACATACACATACAGCAGTCTAGCAGCACGATTATACCGCGCACTCAGCTTCGGATCGCTCGATCCTACTCCGTCAAATATCCCCAACTCATAAGCGAGACTAGTCGCCGCTCCCAGAAGCATCCAGGACATACGCTCAGAACGGCGCGCAGGCTCAAAGACATCCTCGCGCCACCGGATGAGAGGGACGTCTCCGTTGGTGTGCAGTCGATTGCGTCGGTCGTAAGCAGGCGAGATGAGCTCGCCGTCCCACCCTTCTGTGTCCGGGGGAAAGTGGACGGAACGCGGATGCCAGTCAGATATCAGAATGAGGCTCTCGATTGAACCGACAATGCGCGTCTTTGCAGTCGAGTGCTTTTCCTGGCCGAACATTACGCGCCGGATCAGGAGCTCGCAGTACTGCCATAGCCGCTGGTGGATGAAGTGGCTGCGAGATACGCCCCCGGCGCCGGGGAGGATGAAATATCGCGAGGATATGGTGAGCAGTGTGCAGCACAACATGGGCTCTTCCACAATCAGACGGGCGTGATTATCATGATCGCGATAGTCGTCTGTTAACACTGGGGATAGAGGCGCCAAGTATCGATATAACCTACACCATTAGACATACCCCAATCCTATTAATGGACACATACAAGTCAAGATACGTAACGGCCTCCTGGGCAGTAAACCAACCCTGCCGAACAAACCGACATTTGTCCCAGAGATCTAGCACTTCATCACTCGGCTGGGACAGAGCAGACACAGCGACCTGGCCACTCTCCGATACGATGTTTGTGGCTGAATCCGCCTGTGCTGGCACACCCCCCTGAGGCACCTGGGCAGCATCAAAAAGTACATTCAACGCATCACTCGGACGTGTAAAGATCGTCGACATGACTGGGTCAGTCAGCGGCGACTCGTCGGAGCCATCTTGGCCCTGCAGGTTGGTCTCTGTTGCCGAACCACGGCTCCGCTCGGACTGCACAGCATCTCTTTCGGAATCCTCCTGTCGCGGGGTTGACGACATATCATTCGATACTGTGGCACTCTGTCTCGTCCATTTCGGTGCTTCGCGACGCTTCCCCGTGCGTTCTTGCTTCTGGAACAGGCACTCGCGGTGCTCGCGGCGGCATTTGGCACATGGTGGCTCGGATCCTAACACGCAGCGGACTTTCCGGGCGCGACAGCTCAGGCAGGCAACGTAGCCCCGTCGGTAGCTGTTTTGAGGCATGTCGGTGGTAGTAGTGGTGGGTGCAGGGGAGGAAGTCTGGGGAAGACGCGGATATTAACGGCGAGCGGGGATCAGCTGTAATTGCTGGACTGTGATTCGTTGGTCTAGTCTGTTTCTGGCTGATACAATTATCGAGCTGTTAGAGTCTTTTAAGCCTGTTATGATAACAAGAAGTTGGTACATCGTGCATCTACATGGCAAGTTATCGGGATGATCGGTGTAGAGTATATTATCTACCAGCTAATACTACTTTCTTTAACACCATTATATACTTCTCTTCTCCCTCTCTTCGGCTTCGTCAGCTGTCGAAACACTGCGTTTCCAAACTCGGTATACAGCGGCATCACTCCCCCTGCGTCGAGTAATGCCTCCTCGATCTCCGACTGCTCGTATGAAAAGACCTTGTCAATGCCTTCAATCCGGATAGTCTTGCTGTCTTTGTCGATTGTGACTACCGAGCCTTCGTGTACATTGGAATAGAAGTCCTCGTCCTGGAGCTTAACGTTGAACAAGCCCATATTCAACTGGTTCCGCTCGTCTACTTCATTAGCAGCACACCCTATAAAACAGAAAGAGAGACATACAGATAAAGGCAAATCCTTTCGCAATAACAGCTTGGATATTCGATCCCAGCAGTGCCCTCACGGCGTCCTCTCGCGACGACCCGCTGCCGAATCCGTGCTCGGCCACGCTGTACAGTCAGTATAATTCATCTAACAAGAAAAGAAGAGGATATACATGATCTGTGCCCCATTGGCAGCCTTCTCGCGGAATTCAGGACGGAAGTATTGGAAGCAGTGACTCCCAAGGTCGGCATTATCGACACCAGGCATAAACTCTGCCGGAATGATAGCATCGCTGTCCTGTTAGTATCTGCCCTCTATATTCCAGGTTAAACATACGTATCGACATTCTCTGCAAACCGCTGCACCGTCGACCGGACTATCCTTGACTTCCTTGTATCACTAATCCCATCCAGCATGCTCGCCACTGCCCCAGCGCAATCCCCAAGTTCAGGCTCTGGCTCGTGGATCTCCGGTGTGATTCTCACAGAGCTTGAAGCCTTCCAAGTACTGACAAGCTTCGCAAACTTCTTCTTGTCCAGACGATCCAACAACCACCGTGGATCTGTAACCTGCATAGCAAAACTCGATGCCGCAACAGCTGCTGCGCAGGTGATATTCCCAAAACTGCCTTTGCCCATGCGGTTCCTGAAATTGCGGTTCTGAGACGACAGCCAGACTTCGCCTTCGCCCGCCACGTCGACGTCGTTGATGCCCACGCAGTATGAACATCCCGGCGCCCCAATCTCGAATCCAGCCTGTCGGTAGATATCGAGAAGGCCGTGGCGTTCCAGGTTCTTGATAATTGTTAGACTACCCGGTGTGACGCGGCGTTTGCCGTGAGATACTGGGCGGAGTCCACTGCGCAGACCGGCTTCAAGGACGAGAGCGCCGACAATGAGGTCTTCTTCTGTAGTTGTACAGGCACCGATAAAGCAGCCGTCTAGCTTCATTCCTGTCCTTTCAGCCACCGGCACAATATCATCCGGGTTCGGATACAGAGCCATTGTGAGTCCGACCTGCGAGAGGTCAATCGTCCTCTCCTCTGCGTATCTCGCCCCGGGGTCTGCTCGGAAATACAACCCTCCCTCGCGATGATGAGGGTGCGGTCGACGGGCAATCCAGTCCGCAGTGACCTCGTCCGCCTCGAAACAGGCACCCATGCCCCCGAATTCGGTATTCATGTTGGCGATTGCAAACCGCGCGTCCATGGACAGCTCTTTCAGCCCGGGACCGCCGTACTCAACGGCTCGCTGGAAGGTAATTGTATTGCGCTTGAATAGACCCAGAATATGTAGGATGACATCCTTCCCTCCCACGCCGAACGGCAGACTACCAACGAAGTTGATCCGGCACACTTCAGGGACCCTGAACCACGTCTCCCCGGTGACCATGGGCATGACTACATCTGCAGCGCCGAATCCAACAGCGAAAGACCCCATGCTCCCTGCAGAGCATGTATGGGAGTCACTCCCCACAACAATACGGCCCGGCTGGGCCCGGTCTCGCGTGAAATCCGTGTGCATGATGCTGGTGTTCGCGGGCAGGAAATCGACTATCTTGGCCTCGTCGCGGAACCGCTCGGCCTTGCTGATGAGGCCCTGCTGGCGAGGCTGGTGGTTTGTTCGTGGATCGACGGTGTGGTCGACGGCTAGCCAGAGCCTGTCGTTGCGGTAAGGTCGTGGTCTGCCCATCTGGTCGTAGGTCTTTTCCATCCCGGCCCAGAGAAGCTCTGAGGTTATGGTCCAGTCGACCTTGACGCAGATCATTTCGCCGGGGGTTACGTTTGGTTGGGAGAGTCCGACTCCGGCGTGTGTCATGATCTTTTCTATAATGCCCATCGGGCGACGTTTTAGAGATGGGACTGGACTGGATGGGGCGTGTACTGTCCTGCCCGCTGCGATGTCTGCTGAGTTTGCAGCTTCCAGGTACATTTCCAGATTCGATAGCAGCTTTCCCATGAACTGGTCTGGTGTTGCTGTGCCGCCTAGGTCTGGTGTCCGCATATCAGACCCGATCAGCTCTATAGGATCGAGGGTCTGCCTGATCGCCTTGGAGAGCGCGTCTGCCTCGGCACCCAGCCCTAAGCCGGTATCCAGCATCAGGCACACAGCCTGTACAATACCGAGTGGATTCCTTAACTCCCTCTTCATCTTCAGGTCCAATGGCTCAAATACCCCAGGCCCCTTTACCTTGCCAGGTAAGCCTGATACAGCCGCAGACGCAAGCACATCAGACCCAACAATCCCCCCAGCCTGGTCCGACAAGATATCCCCAAACAGGTTCTCCGTAAGCACAATCCCATTCAAACCCGTCGGCTTCCTGGCAAGAACCGCAGCGGCGTTATCAACAAGAACATGATCCAACGACACAGTTGGAAACTCCGTCTCAAACACCTCACTCACAACACTCCTCCACAACCTCCCCGTCGCCATGACATTTGCCTTATCCACCGAATGAACCATCTTGGGCGGGTTAAACTGTAGCGCATACCGCCCAGCTATCCTTGCAAGCCGCTCAATATCACCGCGCGAATACTCCGTCGTATCATATGCATTCCGCCCATTGCCCCCTTCCTGCCTTGCACCGTAGTACACACCACCCGTAAGATCCCGAAAGAAAACAATATCCAGATCCTTGACTGCGTCTGGTTTGTAGATGCCAGAACACGCACTCGTCTCTGCCTCTGCGACTGCCGAACTGGGGAACTGCACTGGCCGGATATTTGCATACACCTCTAATTCCTGGCGGAGGCTCAAGAGGGCTTTCTCAGGCGCGAGTCCGTATGTAGGGTCGTTGCATGCGCAGACTAGAACTGCGTCTGCTTGTTTTGCGGCGCTGAGTGTTGCGTTTGGTAAAGCGCTGCTGTGTCCAGATGCTAGGGCGGCACCGCCGAAGGGGTATTGCTTTGTTTGGAAGGATAGATGTGTTCGAGTCTTTTGGATTGCGCGTAGGAGGTTCTCTGCATGTTTTGCTAGCTGGGGTCCGATTCCGTCGCCGGGGAGGATGGCGATGGTTAGGGTTCTTTGGTCGGGCATGGTGATGTCTGGTCTGGTTAAGGGGATTCAGATGCACACGGGGGGCTTTGAATTGAAGAGGACATCTTGAGTACCGACATCGGCATGCTTTTTGGTTTCTTATTGTATATTCTTCTGTGATATTGAGCTTCGGCCCGTTTGTATCCGCGTCTGTCCGGGTGCATACCTCCATTCAGATCTTGCTGCTAGCCAATTAGACAATATATTATTAAATAGCATACAGTGTATTATTGGTTTAACTACGTCATGTCAACTGTGCTCATTTCAACTTGTAGTATTGTCTTGGATATACATTAACTATACTTATTTTATGCTATGCTGCTTAGTTAAGACGTCGCCCCCAAATTCACAATTGCCCCTCATTCCCGATCGAACACACATATATGTATATACATATTCATACACATCTTAATTTTATAATGACTACAGACTTCCCCCTCTTCCCGTCCCTCCCCCCCGAACTCCAAGACCACATCTGGCACCTGGCCGTGCGCCCCCTGCCAGGCAACCACCACATCCACTCCTTCTACCTGGCAGACCACTACGTCAACAAAGCCACCGTCGGCCAGAAATACCAAGCCGACTTTCTCCACTTCACCGCCGGCAGACACGGATGGAGCCTAGGAGTGCCCCGCGAGGGCAACCGCTCCGCCTACGCCCTAGACATCGGTCTCTGGCACGCCTGTCGGCAGAGCAGAAAGGCCTTACTAAACCACTTCCGGAGTAATAAATACTGGGCTGCACCAATAGACGAGTTCCAGCCATCCCCATCAGCAGAGATAGACGTCTACAACGACAAGCCAAGCTCAAGCTCAATCTCAATCTCGCCAAACACACATACAGGCGTGTACATCGACAGCAACAAGAAAAGGCAATATATCACCATCTTCCCACGGACTGATCTCGTGCACATCCTGGACCCCGTCGACCACTACTGGTTCCACCAGTACGCGGGGGATTATGTGCCGCTGTTTGACGCGCCGGCGCGCGGGTGGGGAGCTGGACAGGGTGGGCCGGGGTTTGTAGGGAGAAATGTTGCGGTGGATTTTGAGCCGAGTTGGGCGGAGAAGATTCCGGGGCCGGTGGCGGATATGATTGATGTGTTGTATACGGAGGCGGTGCGGACGGTGTGGTTTGTTGATTCTCGGTTAAAGCGAAAAATACAACATGGGAGTGCAGGATCTACTCCTGGAATGGTGTTTTATGGGTGGGGGTATAGGCTTGTGGAGGTGAAGAGGGAGCAGCTGTGGTTGTGGGAGATGGACACGCCTGGAAAGACGGCGTTTGACCTGTTCGACCGGTTTGAGAGCGATACGAATGGGCGGCTGGAGGTTGACGACCCGGACCGACTGGGGGTGTTGGCTATCCTATCATAGTCATAATATATATACAGTATCTATAGAGAGTATAGATAGACCGGGTATCATCGGAACCGGCCCGGCGTCGGATCGGGGAAGATCGCTAGTCTGGGGTATACCCACAATCAATTTAATATCAATTCATATCAATTCATATCAATTCAAAGTCTTCTTCACAATGGCCTCCAACGCCCACCAGGTCTTCCTGCAGGCCTACGACATCTTCTTCCGCCACTACCACAACAAGCCCTACACGCTCTTCCACCCCGACCTGTTCCGCCGCAAGATCGACCAGCGCCAGGTCCCCCAGTACCTGCAGTTCGCCTTCATCGCCACCGCCGTGCGCTTCTCCTCGCAGCTGCAATGGAAGCAGCGCAAGCAGAAGACCATCGACGGGTACGCCCAGGGCTCGTGGGAGATGATCATGTCGTCGCCGGACGGGCTGGGCGATGGGTCCGATGTTTCTGTTATCCAGGCTCTGGCACTGCTGGCTATTATTGATGCAACTGGTATGTCTATTCACGTAAGTTAGACGAAGTATTAAATATTAACTATTAACTACAGCCGGTCGACGACGCGCCGCCTGGGTCAAGATTGGCATGGCCGTGCGCATCAGCCAGGACCTGCAGATGATGCTAGAGCCAGACGAGAGTCTTCCTGCTGCAGAACGCGAGGAACGACGCGGGATATTCTGGTCGCTGTTTCTCGTCGACCGGTTTATCTGCTGCTCCTTTCGACGTCCACCGGCGATTAAAGTCGCGGACTGCCGGCTGAAGCTCCCCGTTGACACACCCATTCAAGGCCCTCAGTCAGCACTCACGATAGTAGAGCTGCTAGACGCAAAGACGCGCTCAAGACCAGACAAAGTCGTCGGACTATCTGGCCTCAGCGTAGGGTTCACAGCCCTGCTTGGCCGCACGATCGACTACATGATGAACAGCGAAGCAACCACTGTCGAACCATGGCACCCTGACTCCGACCACACCAGCATCTACACCAGTCTTGAATCGTTAAAAGAAATGGCCGACACATACGCTCCGTCCCAGGACCAAGGCCAGAGCATCCAGCTCCCTCAAACCGACCGCACATCCCACTTCGTCCTCTCTCTGACCCTCTACCACCTCACCCACTGCATCCTCAGCCACCCATTCCTACTCGGCATGAAACGAAACGCATACCAAAACGAGGCCACCCCAACGCCCTGGTTCGAAGAACAGCACGCTTCATGCTGGGGCCACGCCCAGGCCCTGACGATGCTGGTCGTCGACGCAAAGGCAGCCGGGTACATGCTCGCGCCGTCATTCTATAGCTACTGCGCCCTTGTCGCAGGGACAGTCCACGCCATCCTCCTGCACGGCGAAGATAAACCGGCCAGTGAGCGGGCAGCAAACTATCTCCGCGCGTCGCTGGACTACTTTTCCGAGATCGAGGAGATGTGGCATAATTCGTTTATCATGGTATACCACCACCCACTTTTGTAACATAGAAACATGCTGATGTTATATAGGCTGACGCCCTGCGCTTCTTCACGAACCGCTGCGTCCGGTATAGCGCTATTCTGCTAGGACCAGCTGAGAGGTTCGCCCAACTCACAGAGACAGATATCACCGTCCTTCGCGCGGTGCTGGATTACTGGACCATGATGGACCCGCGCAATCCCGTTTCGGAACTCAGCTTGTTGAACATCGACTGTTTTGCGCGTGATTCGGATAATAAAAGAGAGAATGCGCCTTCCCTTACACCCGACGACACGACAGAGGGCTCGGAGACGTCCAAGGAGAATAGTTGTAATGATACTGTCGACCCAAGCCGTGTTCTGCGGGATTTTCCGCTGTCGATGTCGTCGCCTTTGGCTGAGTCTGGGGACGAGGCTGGGACGGAGTTTTCGAGGTGGGATTGGGATAATGAGTTGGATTCTTGATGTTATGGAACATATACAGTATATACAGTGCAAGTAGTAGACAGGAAAGAACCCTATTGGAACGGTTAATCAGAGTGGGGCAGCAATCCCACCTCTTCAGTCTTTCCTTCTGCCTCAATTACCAGATAACTATTTATATCCCTCTCCCCAGTTCTCCAGGTATACAGCAATGACAACCACAATGTCAAAAACAACCCTCCCAACAAAATGCAACCCCCTCGCCCCCCATCTCACAGAAACCGTCCACGACTACCTAGACAAAACCTGGTCCTTCTCCAGCGAGGCCTACAAGTCCGCGTTTTTCGCAATGGACTTCCCCCGCCTCCTCGCCCTAATCTGTCCCGAGGGCCCGGCAGATAGACTCGAAAGCGCGGCGCTGTTTGTCTGTTTAACGGGGCTTTTGGACGGTACGACCCAGACCAACCTGTCAACCAGGAATCTAGTTATCCACTAATCGGGGAATTGGTATTGACAAACGCAGATGCATTCAGCCAGATATCCATCCCTGCTTCGCGGGTAATAGGTGCGAAACTGCTACACATAATGCAGGGGACTGCGAGTGCAGATTCATCAAGTCCATTAGAGACGATCCTGATGAAGATTATCAACGATATGAAGGCCCAGAATAAGGAACTTGCGAGCGATGTCCTTAAAGGTGCAATTGCGCTGTTCCATGCGCAGACCAGTAAGGCGCGGCTGGGCGTTACTCAGCTTGATGAGTATTTTGAGTTTAGATTTAGGGATTTCGGTGGGGAGTATGTTATTACATCTATCTGATTTCTACATGGGAGAGATGGAGGGTGGCTGACTTGTGGTCTAGATTTTTCACGGCGTTGATTCGCTTCGTGAATAACATTGTTCTCACAAGTTCCGAGATGGAGACTTTCCAGTCTCTGGAAAGGGCTGCTGTCAGGCATGTGATTATTGCGAATGATATCTTGTCCTGGGAGAAGGAGCTTAAAGAGGCCGCGGAGGGTAACCAGGACGGCGCGGAGCTTTGCTCGGTTATTCCTATCCTGGCTAGGAATCTAGGGATCGGATTTGACGGTGCGAAGAGGGTGCTTTGGGTGACGGCGAGAGAGCTAGAGGGTAAGATGGATGTGTTGACTGAGGGTTTGGAGCTTTCTCCTTCAGGGGAGAGGTATGTCGAGGCCTTGAAATATATGGCCAGTGGTAATGAGGAGTGGTCTCGCACGACAAGCCGGTATAAGGTATATTAATATGCGGGTATTTCCTGTTAACTAGGACAGCTTATCTACTGTACTAAAACACGAACGCCTTTCCTTCCCTCCCGCGCAAAAGGGAGAAATAGATCATGGGCGAGTGTTGCATCCTCACGCGTCGTTTCGTACAACTCCAGATCTAGACGGCGGACGACATTCGGGAGAGCCAGGAGGATCTCGGATCGTGCGAGGCTGCTGATTGTTAGAGGGAATTTATAGAACAGTTAGGTAACAGACGTACTTCATCCCAACGCACTGTCGCGACCCCTTGTTGAACGACACCATATACTTCTCCAGGTGCTTACGCTTTTCCGGGTCTAGCCATCGCTCGGGGATGAACTCGCGCGAGTCGGGGAAGTTGTTCTCGTTGTGGTGGAGTAGGGCAGTGCTCATGCCGACGGGTGTCTAGTGTTGTCAATTACTATATCGTATATAGTGTCAGAACATACTCCTGCTGGGATGGACCATTCTTGGAACTGGAGGTTGCGGTCTGGAGCGATGCGCTGTAATCGAGAGCTGGCGCCGTATGAAAGTCTACCTTGTTAGCAATTCCACATAGAGGCGGTTACGTGGCTACCGTACCTAAGTCCTTCGAGCATGACGGATGTCTACAACTGTTAGCGCCGCTTGATTCAGACGAAGCAACTCACCAGATACGGCATCTGCTCAAACTCTAGAAGAGTTGCAGTCTTCGTCGGATCCAACCGATTCAACTCCTCCCGTAGCTTCTGGATCTTCTCTGGCTTCTCAAGCAGATAGTACATTGTCCAAGTCAGCATCTTTGCGACCGTTTCTGTGCCCGCGCCTATCACAACTTGTACCTCCTGGGCCAGTCTTTCTGGATCCTTGTCCTCTGCCGGGAGATTGCTATTAAGGACGTCGTGGAAGAAAGTCGGCTGGCTGAACCGGCTCTTCGCCTCTTCGTAGTCCGGCGCACTCTGCTCATTCATAATCGCCCGGACAATTTTATTACACCGTGCCTGGAACTGGAAGACCAGGTTCATGCCCGGATACGCACGCGAAAGCAACCACCGCGGCGTAGCTGCAAGCACCACTCCCAACCACGGAAACGCCTTCATATACACGCCGTTTTTCGGGCTGCCGGCCATGGTCGCGCTCCATTCGGGGATGAAATCGGGCTCGTCGAGATAATGGAATCCCGCGCCCATGGTGTAATCGGAGACAACGTCGGTCGTGAAGCAGGTAAATGCATCCTGCAGGTTAATCGGCGTTCCTGTATTCTTGTACGCGCTGATACGATCGATGAGCTTGTTCACGAGGCCTTGTATAAGTGGTTCTTGCTTCCGAACGCGAGTGAGTGAAAAGTAAGGGTTCATGTTCGAGCGCAGCATCCGGTGGTGGTAGTGGTCGACTGTCGAAATTGTACTGCGACTAACGCCGAACTGCGTTGTGAAATATGCATACTTGTTTCGTGGGCTGTCGCGGGAGTACAGGACTTCGTAGTACTCTGGGTCATTGATATGCAGTTCATGTGGGCTAATCCGGACAATGGGGCCTGCTTGGTTAGAGGTATCGTTGGGTTGCGATGCTGAGCTTACCATATTTCTCGTGCATTTTGGCAATCTCAAATGTGTATTGTCCCCATCGAAATGCATCATGGTATGTTTCATACCACAGCGTCGCGGCTGCGATCTTGGGCCCTGGGAACTTGGCCAAAGGGGAAAGCCACAGTCGGTAAATGACCAGGCCCAGCACGTAGCTTGCCCAAACAATGACAAGCGCCGCAAGATAAAGCATGACTCGGAAACGTAATAGTCGTACAGCTGTCACTGAATTGAAGTCCCAACAGGCTCTCTCTGTCCACGTTGGACGGACATCGTCCGTTGAGGCCACCCAACCTCATATATGCCGCAACGACTCCAACTGATTTCCAATCTATTTCTTCTTGCTGGCCTGTTTTCTATCAAATGTGAAGCAGCCCCGCACCCTAGCTTCTAGCTGCTGTCTAGTCTCGCGGCAACGGGAACGACGGACCGCACTGTCTGGCCTGATCCACAACGATTCGCAGAAGACGCTGCTAGCTGCATTGTGTCAAACGGCGAGGCTTTCCGCGGCCGGCCGAGGAACAGCCGTTTCCGTTCCCTGGAGGGTGAATGGTGGATTGTGGACTTTCATTTGTGGACAGGGGGCACTAATGCCTGCAGGTTGACCGGTGATTTAATCCTTCGTCTTGCAGGGGTGGTTCGCCGCTGAATATAAGCGATCGGCGACCTCCACGCTTCGCTTGTGACTGTTCACCATCTCCAGTTTCGATTGCTATCTGACTGAGATCTATCGAATTCATCGTTGATCGTTGATCTGTCAAAATGGCCCACTCGTCGGATACGCAGCGGCCGATAGTTCCAGAGGCAAGTTGTCGTCCAAATGCATGAAACGAAATACTCTCGATAACACGCGTGGTCCACCTAGACAGATGCAGATCTGTATGATGACGGCGACTTTGCGAGCGTGTACGTCATTCGTAGTATCTTGGTATTTGAGTTGATGTTGGGCTGACGGCACAACGATAGGACTGCCGGGAGCTCCACGGCGTCGCTTGCGTCGAGCATCATAAATTACCAGTAGGCTTGCCCTGGTAATTGCACGCATATCATTAACCCTGCTCGCAGATACGAGGTCTGATAGGCGACTCGAGGAGATGATTTATATTGACTGTGATCAGAATGGACGACGCTACCACGCATATCGACAGGGAGAGTACATGTTTGTATGGAGACCAATTCACGGGGCTTTGCCTGCGGCTAACACGCATATTCCAGCCAAATGACGAGCGCGAACAACAGCGACTAGATCTCGTATGTCGCACATTGCTCATCACCGTACGCTCGCTAACATCTGGCCAGCACACCCACATCTGCAACATGGCGCTGGGCGGCGCCCTATACCGAGCACCCATCAAGTCGAGTTCAAAGAATATCCTTGACCTAGGGACGGGAACCGGATCGTGGGCAATTGACATGGCCGAGTATGACTTACATCTCTTCCAGGAGTTCTTGCTAACTTGAGCTACGGTAGCCTCTTTCCCGAAGCCGTTGTGACTGGAAAGCTATCCACTCTCAACAGTCTAGGTTTTTGATTGTTGATTATTTGATTACAGGGACGGACTTGAGCCCAATTCAGCCGAAATGGCGAGTCCTGGCGGCCTTGAAAGTTCTGGGACCACTGCTGACGAGGAATTAGGATACCCCCAAACTGCCGATTCGAAATCGATGACTTCGAATCGCAGTGGAACTTCTCGCACCAGTTCGACTTCATCCACATGCGAGGCATAGAAGGATCGGTCAAAGACTTCGACCAACTGTTCACACAAGCTCTCAACAACCTCACCCCCGGCGGATGGTTTGAAATCTGCGATTTCACCGTAGGAGTCTTCTCCGACGACGACTCTGCCGAAAAGGCGATCAATATGCAGCGATGGCGCGAACTCTTGATCGAGGCGAGCACCAAATTCGGGAAGCAGCTCAGTGTGGCGAAGAACTATAAGCAGTGGATGGCTGACGCTGGGTTCAGCAACGTCCAGGAGGATATCCGCAAAGTGCCATTCTCTCCATGGGCAAAGGACCCGAAGCTCAAGGAACTAGGGAGATACCAGCAGACGAATATGCTGGAGGTGCTTGAAGCGTATTCATTGGCGTTGATGACCCGCTTCCTAGGGTGGACAGTGGAGGATGTTAATATACTACTAGGCGAAGTGCGAAAGGAGCTGCTGGACCGGAGATTGCACATCTATTCCCGACTGTATGTAGTGTACGGACAGAAGTTATGAACAATTGATTGATCAGGCATTGGATGATAGCATCTCAGTGTATTATTGCGGTGTTGTCGTTATCTTCGGCTGCTTCCGAGATCGGGATGGATGACGCAATAACACAGCAGTTAGCAATAACGGCGGACTCTCGCCGAGAGGAGAGTCTAGACATCGGGTAGCGAAGTCAGAGCAGCTCAAGCTAGGAAAAACTAGAGGCGGCGAAAAGTGTCGGGCTGCGATTAGTGTAGAAAGTGGAGGATGGGCTTCCGCGTGGTGTGAGAAGTTCGAAGTCGGTTTTCAAGGCAGAAAAAAGGCCGCCACTGACTTGCGGGACTGTTTTTTCGTCCGCTCTCAACATTCCCAATTCATCCCTCCTCATTCCTCCTCATCCCTACCTATGTCTCTCCTGCACCATCTCTGAGATTATTCCCTTGTTTAATACCTATTTCTGTTAATTATCCGTCTGTGTTGCCATCGCACATCCCGGGCTCCGCGTCGCGAACCACCATGGGTCTCTCCAAGACCAACAGGATCGTCATCCTGTTGGTGATAGACACAGCGTTCTTCCTTCTAGAACTGATCGCTGGTTCGTACCTCTAATTGTTTACGACTCTATGCTGTACTGACGCCGTCGCTACTAGGTTATTCTGTCCACTCCCTTGCCCTCGTTGCCGATTCCTTTCATATGGTACGCCCTGCCGAGACGCTGCTCATTTGTTTCATATCTGACTTTCTCTAGCTTAACGATGTTATTTCCCTACTCGTTGGATTATGGGCCGTCAAAGTCGCCAACCGCGAAACCTCCTCGAAAATGTACACTTATGGAGTGAGTGATATCCCTTGCCCCGCCCTTGTTGGAATCCGGTCTGACTGTGTAACAGTGGCAACGAGCAGAGACCCTCGGTGCGCTGGTCAACGGCGTTTTTCTAGTCGCCCTGTGTTTATCCATTTTCCTCGAAGCGATACAAAGACTTGTCGAGCCGCAGGAGGTGAAGAGTCCGCAGTTCGTCTGCATTGTGGGCTGCGCCGGACTATTGTCGAATATCATCGGTCTGGTTTTGTTCCACGATCATTCACACGGCGGCCATGGACACGCCCATGGACACGCCCATGATGAAGAAGACGCTGCCGAGCAAGGACACAACCATGAACACCTTGACGAATCGGAGTCCGCGGAGCAAGGTGCAGCTGTACGTGTCCATCCGCGAAGCGTCTATCATCTGCACATCATACTGACTAGTCTTTACAGGGCGCAATCACTGAACCAACCGCTGCCTATTCCCGTCGTCGAACCCTGGGCAGCCAACACCGCATCTCACGCGGATACAGCAACCCTAGCCGTGGGTTCGAAGATATCGGTGGACACCCAGCAACCATGAGACAAGACATCATTAGCGCCGCGAGCCGCAACCAGTTTCCGGACGAGGATGATAGCTATGAATCAGATACTTTAGTGGAGAACGGTGCGGCAGACGGCTTTGGTCCCAACGAACGATCTACGCTGCTGGGACATCGAGATCGCGCATCCAACTACACCGACGAGAACACTCCTGTTAAACGCCAACCCTCAAACAATGACCCCCACAAGGACCACAACCACGCCCAGCCTAAACCGAAGGAGCAGAAGCACGGCCATGACCTCAACATGCGGGGAGTCTTCCTCCACGTTATGGGCGACGCCTTGGGCAACATTGGTGTTATAGTTTCTGCTCTCGTCATCTGGCTGACCGATTACTCTTGGAGGTTTTACGTCGATCCTGGCATTTCCCTCGTCATCACAGTGATCATTCTGGCCTCGGCAATTCCCCTCTGCAAGGCTGCATCTCGAATCCTCTTACAGGCTGTGCCACATGGTGTGAGCATCGACCACATCAAGGAAGACGTCGAAAGACTCCCCGGAGTTATCGGCTCACACCACCTCCACGTATGGCAGCTAAGCGATACGAAGACCGTTGCTTCAATCCATATCCAAGTGGACACCGAAATTAAGGGCGAGGGATCCGAGCGATATATGCACCTCGCCAAGCAAGTCCGACAATGCCTCCATGCGTACGGCATCCATTCATCTACCATCCAGCCCGAGTTCCCCCAAAGCAGTGATACAGAGGACAACCAAGTAGCAGGCTCATCCCACTCACAATCGGGACCTAGTCGCACTCCTAGTGTACGGGATGGCGATCCCCAAGCCTGCTTGTTGGAGTGTGGCGAGGAATGCGGCGGCAAGCACTGTTGCCCAACGAAGCCCACTTAATCGCCTTTGTTTTTATTTCCTTTCCTATTTATATACCTGGTTCATTGATATGCGTTTCCTAAAAGCCCATGTTACAGACTTGTATTGTTTATACCCCTTCGCCTTAGATAGTGGACCTTTGAGGCCTAATAATACACTCGATACGTACTTCGGATATATTCAGATATATATTTTCTCACCTACCACAAGTAGCTGTGCCTTGTTAGAAGTCTGCGGGCGTCGGTTATTGCTGGATACAACCAAAATCATAGATAATGCAATATTACTTTCTTGCAAATATCACTCGTCGTAATTTCACCAGGAGTTGAATGCCGGAGTTGTACGTAGTATGGCGATCCACGTGACGGGACCAGGCCTGTCGATCGCGGAGGGTCTCAGCTCATCAACATCCCTTTACCGCATAAGCAACTTCACGCATTCGAAATTACACCATCCAGGATGCTAACGCCCATATAGCACCCACTCCTGCGCATACTGCTGGGAAGCAACTCTACAAGTTCCTATCTGATCTCGAAATTGTTGGGTCAATTCACCCAATCGCCCCCAACCAACCTCCGCGGAGCAATGCAGCGACGCCGTTAATCTCCCACCACCAAGGTTGAGATTCGACTATGAGTTATTCCTACCTCCCTACGGCCGCCAGTGCTTACCAGCCCGCCCGTCGAGACACGTCCTCCCCGTCTGGGGCTTTGAAGACCGTACAAGATGCGTTGTCCGCAGCTGGTCGAACGGCATCGAGCCACCTGAGCCAGTTCAATAGCGTCGCTGCGGTGAAGGCATTGGCGTTGAAGACCGCCAAGGCTGTCTTTACAATTCCGAATGCTTTGATCGTGCTTTGGATCTGTACGTTGTGGTGGGGAGAGCGGACCGTCTTCCGCGACAGTGTCGAGTCGTGTGTCTGGAGCGACTGGGAGAAATGGGTAAGTTTCGTCTGGTTGCATAGCCTATATCGAGGATATAATTGACATTTGTGCTATTAGCCTAGCAATGCGAAACCACATCATGTCGCCTTCATCGCGGATCCTCAACTTGTCGATCCGCACACGTATCCTGATCGCCGATGGCCGTTATCCAAGTTAACGATCAAATTCACAGACCAGTACATGCGCCGCTCCTTTTCGTCAATACAGCGTACTCTCGACCCTGACTCGGTGTTGTTTTTGGGTGACCTCTTCGACGGCGGAAGGGAATGGTCGACGCCTCATAGCCAAAGCCCTGAGGAACGTTGGAGGAAGTACGACGATGATTACTGGAAGAAGGAATTCCATCGCTTCGTTAAAATATTCTTAAACCCATGGACAACCCAAGAAACACACTCAACGAGTCCCCGAGGCCGGAGATTGATCGCCAGTTTGCCAGGAAATCACGATTTGGGTTTTGGCTCGGGTGTTCAAATACCCGTTCGAGACCGCTTTCAGAACTTCTTTGGTAATGGGAACCGTGTCGATGTTATTGGGAACCACTCGTTTGTGTCCGTGGACACTCTGTCATTGAGCGCAATGGATCAGCCTGATCCTGAGACTGGAAGTACAGGCGGAGGAAACGGAGACGGCGAACGGCCAAACCAGAAAATTTGGCAGCAGCCGGAAGATTTCCTGAATGCGATGAAAGTGCACCGAGGTCGAGCGGAAATGGATGAACTACGTTTCTTGGGGAAGCCGAGAGACGGCCGCTTGTTTAAATACGAAGTTTTGGAGCCCACGAAACCTGCGGTATCTAGGGAGGAAGACCCTGAGATCATTGGGTTTCCCGCCATCCTTCTAACGCATGTGCCGTTGTACCGTAATCCGGCGACACCATGTGGTCCGTTGAGGGAGCGGTATCCTCCTTCTGCAGAGGGACTAGAAGAGGACGACCCCAACTCCATCAAGATTAGCAGCGGGTATCAGTACCAGAACGTACTGACCAAGACCATCTCCAACGACATCGTATCCAAGGTTGGCCCGAACCTAGTTCATGTGTACTCTGGCGATGACCATGACTACTGCGAAATTACACATCGCGAGTTCAGTGGCTCCCCCAAGGAGATAACGGTCAAGAGTACATCCTGGGCCATGGGCGTCCGGAAACCGGGCTTTGTCCTCACCAGTCTCTGGAACCCCATCGACCCCGTCACAGGGAAGTCACTCGGGTCCTCAAGTTCGGGACCTACCATACAAAACCACCTCTGTCTCCTCCCCGACCAATTATCCATATTCATCCACTACGGCATCGTTCTCGCCTTCACCACTGCTGTTCTCATCGTGCGAGCCGTCATCCTCGCCCTGCGCGCAACCCCATCCCCAGCCGCAGAACCCATCCTCCCTCTTGCCGAAACCCGCGAACCCCGGTCCCGCCGCCGCGCCATCTCCCGTACGTCGTCCTCTAATATCCCAGCCACCTCCTTCATCAAGCCAGGCGGGCTAGCCAATCGCGCGGGGTATTTTGCCCGCTACAGCCCGCCGCAGTTTCACAACGACGCATACCCCGGCGAGGAAACGGGGTATGGGGACGGAGACGGAGATGCCTCTAAGTGGCGGCCGAGCAACTCGGAGCGGCGACGGCACGGGGGCGACTCACTCTTTGGACGGGTGCGCTGGCATTTTGGAAGTTCGGTGAAGTGGGTTGCAAAGGTGTCGCTGGCCTGGTATTTCTTTTTGATCTTGATGTGGTGATATATTTGGTTGGTGTAGATAGATAGGCTTGGTTTACTTGGGCATATATGAGCTGTATTTGCATGGGTGGGAGTTCTACATGTTCTACATACTTGTTCTACCAAATTTATTTCGGGTTCAATGCAATTCTGTATACAGGGTTATGCGATTGAGTTATAACATCGCTTCCACTGGCAAATAACAACCAACAATGTTCGAGAAGCCACGCGGCCAACAATCCAGACAACACCTTGACAAAGCCATTGTAATTGCGACTTCGAAGTAACCATGGATGATTGGGCTCTGGCACGTTCCAGGAACAGGAGTTCAGCCTCCAGAATTCCTCAAACAGAACGTGAGCAAAGCGAATTCCAAACTCATGCTCATCAAATTAAGGCTGAGCTGAAAAGGCGAGGGAGAAAGGAGAGCGAACAACAACTAGCGCTGCAGATCCGATGCAAAGATATCCTTGCTTCATGCTTGTTTGTGGTTCTATTTGCAGAATGCCTACCGCGTGTTCTTGCATTCCTTTATTGCAGAGAATTTTCTCGAAGCGGAATGCAGCCTGGACTGTGTATTATCGGGGTGCCTGGGTTCCAATTCCCTCATGTTTTGAGATTGACTGAGAATAACAGCAGCGTAATTGAATTTATTTGATGGAGGCAATGTGAAAGTAATTAGTTTGATTGGTGGTTGTGGTGAGATCTCATCGGGATGACCGCATGCGGCCTCACTCCCTCTCCCTCCCTCCCTCCCCCCCTCTCACTCTTCCTCTTCCATCCCCAGTGTCAATCGCATTTCGACTCGCTCGTGCCACCCAAGTCCAGATCTCCGCAGTCGGCTTCCATAATCCTTGGTGTTACTGCGTGACCTGCTACCATCCCACTCCGGGCATTCGATGTACTTTTGTGGTTTCGCTCACTTGTCATTCACTGAGCCTGAATAGGCTTATGATCCCATCCGGTCTAGCAGTGTAGCGAAGATAGGGGAATTTCCGGTTGCTATGCACTCATCCTATAACCCCCCTGTCGCGTTCCAGAAAAGTCTCGTCCCACGGTCGACATCACCCTAAACCATGTCTCAGCCCATGCGGCTACAAGCAAGGGAAGGAATGTGTCTCGTTCAACAATCTCCGCAATGCCACGCATGGGGCGAGAATATCGATCTCTCTCATGCACTGAGTGGGCCGCTGGGAAATTACTGCCTGTCGTGCGTTGGCTGGCAGCTGGCATGTGTCTCACCGATTGCAGATGGTGGTTGCTGCTTTCGGCCATGGGGCCTTCCCCGGCCATACGCCAAACTCTGGCCCTGCCGGACATAGCGAAGATCTGGGCATTTCCTCCGCATTCTCATATCATCTCCAGAAATACAAAAGCTCCAATGTGCCCTCTGGGGCCGGGGATTGTCGATCTCTTTTCTCCCTCTCTTGCTCTGTCCGTCCAGCCTCACAATTGTATTGTTTAATATAGCATTCTTCGTTCAAGATGGGCTTCATGATTAGGAAGCCTGATGATGCAGCGGGCTCGGCTGCTCCTGCTATTATGATCGGCCTGTTTGTGGCCTTTGGTGGTGTCTTGTATGGGTAGGTATCCAATTCAGTCGCTGTGTAGCGATGATGAAGCTGACCGCAATAGCTATGACACTGGCACCATCAGCGGCATTCTAGCTATGAAATACTGGCGAGAAACTTTCTCGACCGGCTATGTGAATCCTGCAGATGACATCCCCGATGTCACCTCTTCGCAGTCCTCAATGATTGTGTCCCTGCTGTCCGCCGGTACCTTCTTCGGTGCCCTCACTGCGGCACCAGTCGCCGATTACTTTGGCCGTCGCATCGCCATGGTCATCGACTGTGTTGTGTTCTGCTTTGGTGTGGTCCTGCAGACTGTGGCCACTGCTATCCCATTGTTCGTTGCTGGTCGCTTTTTCGCCGGATTCGGAGTTGGATTGTTGTCCGCAACCGTCCCCCTGTACCAGTCCGAGACGGCTCCTAAATGGATTCGCGGTACCATTGTCGGTGCTTATCAGCTTGCAATCACAATCGGCCTGCTGCTCGCGGCCATTGTCAATAACTCTACCAAAGACCGCGATGACACTGGCTCCTACAGGATTCCCGTTGCCGTCCAATTCGCCTGGGCAATTATCTTGGTTGTTGGAATGATTATCCTCCCGGAGACACCCCGTTTCTTGATTAAGCAGGACAGACATGAGGATGCCACCAAGGCACTTGCTCGTCTCCGCCGCCTCGATATAAATGACCCTGCACTTGTTGCCGAGATTGCAGAGATTCAGGCCAACCATGAGTTTGAGCTTAGCGTCGGCACCGCTAGTTACCTCGAGATTCTCCGTGGGTCTATCGGTAAACGTCTTGCCACAGGATGTGCTGTCCAAGCGTTGCAGCAGCTGGCCGGAGTCAACTTCATCTGTATGCATTCTTTTACCTGATGTTCTATAATATACACTAACAGCTTTTAGTTTATTACGGCACCAAGTTCTTCCAGCACTCTGGAATCAACAACAGTTTCATCATCACCTTGATTACAAACATCGTCAATGTTGTATCAACCTTTCCTGGTCTCTGGATGGTCGAGAAATGGGGTCGTCGCCCACTCCTGCTGTTTGGAGCTGTCGGGATGTGTGTCAGTCAATTCATTGTGGCGATTGTGGGCATGACCACCGACTCTGGTGTTGCGAACAAGGTTCTAATTGCCTTTGTCTGCATTTACATCTTCTTCTTTGCCTCGTCCTGGGGCCCAGTGGCGTGGGTTGTCACTGGTGAACTTTTCCCACTCAAGGCGCGTGCAAAGTGTCTTTCCATCACAACCGCCGCGAACTGGCTTTTGAACTGGGCCATTGCCTACGCAACGCCGTACATGGTCGACGCTGGTCCTGGAAACGCCAACCTCCAATCCAAGGTATTCTTCATCTGGGGCGGTTTCTGCCTCATTGCCGGTATCTTTGTCTGGACTTGCATCTACGAGACCAAGGGCCTCACTCTGGAGCAAGTCGACGAGCTGTACGCCAAGGTTCCCGTTGCGTGGCGCTCCAGAGGTTTCGTGCCTTCTGTCAACTACACAGAGGTGCGCGATGTTGCCTCTGAACGCACAGGCAGCGGCTTGGCTGAACTAGAGGCAGACGTTCAGGCGAAACAAGCCCCTGAGCATGTGGAGAAGGCATAGATTTTAGATTGACTAGGGTTTTTCATTAGTTGGTTTTCGTAATACCTGGATATAGAGCGGACTGTATATCTTAGAGCGGGTCTGAATGTTACTTTTATTTCATCATTTGCGCCACTGACATAGTATGGATGCGGAAATACATCCACAATCCCTGGCCAGTTGCCTCAGGCAGGAACTGTAGGCCAATAATCGCGGGGGACGCGCATGACTTCAAGCTGCCCGCTTTCACGTGCGGTCTATATCGGGGAGGGATCGCCCTAGACCGGTTTCCCTCGAGCTTCGGATCTCCTTGACACTGCACTTCCTCTTTCATTCTCTTCATTCTCTTCTTTCGCTTTGCCTGGATATACGTATTTAATTGTTGTCTGTTATTAGCGTTGCTCTGATCTCAACACCCGTCACTACGCTGCACCTCATCGTCTTGATCCTGATATACCAAGACATGATACACCTGCCCGTCCCATAACTACTCTCTAACCATGTTAATATCGCCGGATCCTACTGAAAATGCAACAACTACCACAATCGAGTCCTTTTACAGGACACCCAAACTCCCCCTCCGAAAAGCAGAATACCAGAAAGAAAGCTCGACAATGCCGGATACCGAGGTCGTCGAACTGCGAACTGCAACAGCCGATACGATGAAACCGTCGGTTCTTAGGTTAGAGAATCTGGATAGAGTGCCTAACGACGCCGACGATGACGAGATCTCCGCTGTCACTGATGGCCTTCTCAGCAGTAGAGGGCCTTCACCGACCCGTCTACCACCTCCGCAGTCGACCGCTTTCAGTCTTCCTCGGCATCCCCTGTTTCCGCCGCTTCCGATATATGATCACCCTCCTTCGACTCTTGAGACTTTGCGGTATCTGGTCCTTCGGTCGATATCATTCGTTTTATCCCTATCGTTTCTCTTGATTATAATTCTCGGTGCTTTCTTCCGCAATATTTGGCTTTCTTTAGTCTCGATAGGCCACCATTTCCAAGGAAAGGGAAAGCCACAACAGCGGATATTTCACGCAGAAGAGCAAGCACGGAGGTTGGAAAGGACAACTTCATCGAGGAAGTGGAAACTTCGACAGGAGAAGAAGGAGGTTGACGAAGAGGTTCCGGATGATTGCCCACCCTTGGAAGGCGGGAAAGACCCAATTATCGGTGATGTCGGTTATTATGCGAGGAGAGTTGGGTTGGATGTGGAGACATTCAAAGTGCAAACAGAAGACGGATTCATCCTCACTCTTTGGCATCTTTACAATCCTCAAGAGTATAATCCTCTCCCGGCCAGTGAGAGAGGGCCGCGGGGTCCGGATGTCTTTAGCAGGGGAAGGAATTCGCAGTCGTCCGGCAGTGTTCGCCGCAAGTACCCGATTCTCTTAATGCACGGATTGCTGCAGAACTCCGGGGCATATTGTGCGAATGACGATGACAGCCTCGCTTTCTTTCTTTGCAAGTCTGGGTATGATGTCTGGCTCGGGAATAATCGCTGCGGTCTTCAGCCAGAACATACGACGATGTTGCAGGACGATCCCCGCATGTGGAGCTGGACGATTCAACACATGGGTGTCTTTGATATTACTGCTTTGACATCGCGTGTATTGTTCCAGACTGGGTACGAAAAGCTGGGGCTTGTATGTCACTCACAAGGAACAGCCCAAACCTTCGTAGCGTTGGCGAAAAGCCACCGCCCGGAGCTGGGGAAGCATATCTCGGTATTCTGTGCTCTGGCACCGGCTGTATATGCTGGGCCGCTTGTTGAGCGCATTTATTTCCGATTCATGCGACAGATCTCGCCTGCAGTGTTTCGGTTAATTTTTGGCATCCATTCCTTCATCCCATTCATGCTCACGGTCCAACGATGGCTCCATTCTCGGATATTCGGAAAGCTGAGCTATGTAGTCTTTACTTATCTTTTCGACTGGTCAGACGCCCGGTGGGACTGTGGACTTCGGGACCGCCTGTTCCAGTTTGCACCTGTCTATGTTAGCAGCGAGACCATCCGGTGGTGGCTTGGAGCGGATGGGTTTTCAACACATGAATGCATTCTCGCCACCAGGGATTCGTGCTTAATCGAGGTTGACGAGGACCGCTGTATCCAACGAGGCACCGAACACGAGACTTCCCGAAGTGACACCGCCTGGTATGGCCCCAACACCCCGCCGTTTGCGCTATGGGTTGGCGGCTCAGATCAGTTGGTGGATGGCCGGAAATTGCTGCAGCGCTTCCGGAATGGCCGGGAGCCCCACGTGCAGTTGGCTCATGCGAAGGTGATTGAAGAATACGAGCATCTCGACGTGCTGTGGGCGATGGACATGATTGAGCAGGTTGGCTGCGAGGTTCGGCAAGTGCTGTGGGACACGATGCCTGCGGATGCGCGGACGTCGAGTGTGATACCGCGGGGAGTTGAGTAATATACCCATACCTAGCATGATCCATGTATATACTGTAGACTTTTTAATTATGACGATATGACCTGAAGTTATTTGTAACTTCTAAGTAATTACCCGCCATTGCCGCTGCAACGATCTCTTCTCTTCAACCCGCCAACGTACCGCGACTAAGGCTGGGGATTTTGGACATGGTGTTGAAAGTAGTTAATTTTACTAGAAGATTGAATGTGTCATGGTGTTCTGCAAGGCTTCACCATCAAGTCAATGCCAATAGGGCTATACGGATCTCCATGCCCATCCATGGTTCACTCCACTGCCCGAGGATGATCCTTGGTTGCATGTGCCAGCCTGACAGGAACCAGTCGAATAAGCGTTCCTTGTTTACGATTGTAAGCATTCCTTGTTCCCGGTCGTCGATGGCCAGTATTAGATCAGTTCAGTGTTACGGTGTAGGTACACCGTACATCTACTGAAGTTGCTCTATCATATGAATCAAGCCCTAAGCGACGTATTAATTAGTCCGCCGGAATAACCTGCACACCACCAAGCCCCAGCGCCCGGACGAGACAGCTGTTTACGGTAAACCGTGCGAAGGATATATTATCTGACAGGTAGGCAGCCTTATTTTTGCTCTCCAAGCCAAGACAGAATAAAGTAGAATCAGAAAGAAATGGATAATGACCACCAGCATAACGCTGTGTACGGTGCACTTCCTCGGCTGGCCTGTGCATGGGGCTAAGCTTCGCATCGTCTTCTCACCGCAACCCAACCAGACGGAGCTTTATACGGTAGGCATTGCGACAATACGATGAGGAAGCCTGCCTTGACTCGCTCGGTGGTCCCCCGTCTGTCCTCTGTGGGTCTGACGGGGGGTTGACTGTTGAGCCTGGGGTGCTGGGAGCAGTGCCAGCCGGGGAGCCGGATGGCTACGTCACCGCGGGCGGGGAAGGGATATATAGATTAAAATCGAGATGGGCGTCGTCGACAAGAACAGTGCGCCGATAAGCTTGTGATGGGGATGGAAAGTAGGGCTGGTGAGGGGTGGAAGGAGTCTGTCTGTATGGTGTGGGTGTGGGTGTGGGGGGGATTTCAACGGTGTAATTCCACGAGACGTGTGACGGGGTTCGACCAGGATTCTGGGATGGTGGATTTTTAATGTTCACGCTGCAAATCAGCAGCAGCAGCGGTGTTTGTGGCTTGAAAATTGGGCGGAGAATCTGGGGGGATGAGGATCGGCTGCCGGGAATGCTGACGATTCGGCAAACGAGAGGCCAATAATTGCCATTACTCAGGCAAATTCTTCCTCACTGGATCCCTGTTCCCCAGCTGCTCCTCGGCTGTCTTTCCTGCCGCCAAGGGCGAGCTCGCTGACTCGCGGTGGATGTGTCTTGCAGCTGCTCTTGTGGTCTGCGTATCAGCGCCCTGCTTGTACGCCCCGCTTGGGCTGGGGGACCCATGGTCGACACGATCACCACGAAGCCTTTTTTTTTTAAAAAAAAAAAAACTTCTGTTTGTTGATCATGGGACCTGGAGGGGATGCGGGCCTGGCGTTATTTTGCGATTGTCAGGGGAGGGTCAGGTACAAAATGGGGCATGTCGCCCTGGGGGATCATCTCTGCCAGCTCTCACCTCTCGCCCTCCCAAGACTCTCCAGGCTCTCCAGAGTCAGGGTCAAGAAGAGTTCCTCGCCATGGCCGTCCTCTTCGTCCAGCTGCTGCTGTTCCTGCTGCCCTTCGTCGCAGCCCTGCCCTCCGCCCCCGTCAAGAAGGCCGGGCCTGTCCCCCCGAACGAAGACCCCTGGTATATCCCCCCCGATGGCTGGGAGTCAGAGGCCCCCGGTGCCATCCTGCGACACCGGCCTCCCCCTTCTCCCATCGCAGCATTCGGCCTGGCTGAGTCGAACCTCGAGTCGACGCACCAGATCCTCTACCGCACGACCGACTCCTTTGGCGAGCCCATCACCACCGTGACCACCGTGATGATCCCCCACAACGCGGACTTCACCAAGGTCGTCTCCTACCAGGTCGCCCAGGACTCTGCAGACCGTACCTGCTCGCCGTCCTTTGGCCTCCAGCAGTTCGCCGACGCCGGCGAGGCCCTGGCCCTGATCATGCCCCAGGCTGAGTACCTGTTCATGAGCGCCGCCCTCAATAAGGGCTACGTCGTCATCGTCCCCGACCACCTAGGCCCCAAGTCAGCCTTCCTCGCAAACACCCTCACCGGCCAGGCCGTCCTCGACAACGTCCGCGCAGCCCTCGCCTCAACCGACTTCACGGGCGTCTCCTCCACCGCCACCGTCGTCCTCTGGGGCTACTCCGGCGGCAGTCTGGCCAGCGGCTTTGCAGCCGAGCTCCAACCAATCTACGCACCAGAGCTCAAAATCGCTGGCGCAGCCCTCGGCGGCACAGTGCCCAAAATCGGACCTGTAATCGAACTCAGCAACAAGGGCCTGTTTGCCGGCCTGATCCCCGCGGGTGTTCAGGGCCTCGCAAACGAGTATCCCTCCGCCGCCAAACTCATCGCCGAGAACATCCTGCCCGAGAAATGGGCCGAGTTCAACAAGACCCAGAACCTCTGTCTTGCAGGGAACATCATCGAGTACCTCAACCAAGACGTGTACAGCTACATGAAGAACCCGGACTTATTCGAGACCAAGCCCGCGCAGGACCTCATGAACGCCAACGCAATGGGCCAGCACGCGCCCGAGATCCCGCTCATGATCTACAAGTCTGCCAACGACGAGGTGAGCCCCGTCGAGGACACGGACGAGCTTTATGACAGCTACTGCGCGAGCGGGGTGAATGTGGAGTATACGCGCGACTTGCTGTCCGAGCACGCTATTCTGACTATTACGGGGTCGGGGGATGCGTTCCTGTGGATTGTGGACCGGCTTAACGGTGTGCCTGTGAAGAAGGGGTGTTCGAAGAAGACGCAGCTTACCGCGTTGCAGGATCCGAAGGTGTTTGCGGCGCTGGGCACGAATCTTGTGCAGTTCTTGCTCAACTTCTTGTCTTTGCCTGTTGGGCCGCCGGGGAGGTAATGGCTATCTGTAGTTGGTGGATTGGAGGCTCTTAGTATAATGTTATTAGTGGGTTATTACCTGCGGTATATACTGCATACCTAATATATACTCGAACTTTCTATTACCTATGAAACTAGTGGTATTTGCTGCTGACGTATGTGCGTAACATAATTGATACCACCTTATGTCGGCTGTGCTGGTAGAGGCGTCACTTGTATTGAGCATGACAGACTAGTTCATTATCGAATATAAAATACTTGGCAATTAGCTATTCCTAATTGCTTTATGTCAACATATATATACGCAGCGTACTTTCATACCAACTTATGTCGGCTAGTGCTGCTGGAAGTGTCCATGTGTATAGGCATATACATAGAGAATAACTGGAATGCCTTCAAGAGCCCCATATAGAAAAAGCAGTCCCATTCTGCTCGGTAATATCGAATCCTGGAGCCAAAGAACTGGTAGCCTGATACCAATGTATTCTGATTGTGAGTATGTCCTAGAGCCAAAGGCACATCTTCACATCTTCAGTGTAAAACTGCAGCTCTTTCTTTGTTGTAAAGTATTGGTACCCAATAATGCCTTGGTTGATGTCGATTTTATAGTATCAGATTGTGAGTTGTGAAAGGAGTGACTACAACAGTGTATTCACAATGTACCTTGCCATTCGTTACTGCTGTATAACAAGTGAAGCATCAAAGAAGCTATATAAACATTTCTCGTAGTTATACGAAAGTAATTCAACATTCATCTGCTCCTACTCCTAACCACCATGTCCAGTCGACCACCATCCCCAGACCCCAGGCCAGGACTACTCAGACTCCCCCCAGAGATTGTCTGTATGTTGACCAACTTCATCGACGATATCAGGACATTTACCAATGTCTCCTCGTCCAACAAATACTTATACAATTCCCTCAAACTCACACACCCACAGACAATCCTCCGTCTAGCAGCAGGCTCAGGTCCAGCCCTATTCCAACCCCACCCAACCTTCCTCGTCACTATCACAGCCCGCTCAGCCAGCGCCTGGGCCCTCACGCAACCGAACCGCGACGAAATCCTCTGCAAAGCATTCAGCGGGGACATCGACACCCTCTACGAGTTCTGTCTCACCCACGGCACACTCACCCTAGCCCAAATCCGCAAAACATACAAGCAGCGCTTCTCCATAATCAACCGCCTCTCTGCGTCCGTCCAGCAGCTAGGCTGGAAATGGGAGCTACACCCAGGCTACTTTGAAAACACCGACTACAAGCCCGCTAGACGGAAGAAGAGATACGACGCCATGAAGCCGCAAACCCTTTGGATCGAAACCGCTCTCCCCGTATTCCAGATCATCATCTACGGCGAGCTGTTCGCACAGAGCATGGATGCCTTCCTAGCGGATCCTGAGGGCAAATCCCTACCGCGATTCAGCAAGAACACTCGCATGGAATACCTCCGCACGCTTCCTAGTAGCAGGGGAGGCTGGTACTACGATTTCGTGCATCTACTAGAATGGGTTGCCGTTAAGCCCGGATGGGAAATGAAATGGACGAGGGCGATACGCCATTATCTGGATCCCGAGTGTGTCCAGGATACATGTATCCCGGGTAATGCATCGCTTGGTTCTCATCAGCATGCGCCGCGGGATCCCGCGAAGGCGAGGCTGCTGATGAGTGCGCTCGAGATGCAGGGGTTGGATGGGATGGGGTTTATTCTGTATAAGCGGCCTGAGAGGTTGTCGGGGCAGTATCTGGATGGTGCGCTGAGGATCAATGAGCAGGTTTCAAGGCTTAGCCCGTCTACGTGTGAGGCTTTTGAGGTGCCTGATGTGCGGCGCGAGTTGGCTAGTGTGTGGAAGGAATTTCATGCGTAATGCATGGGTTTGGTGTGCCCTGTTGGAGTATTGGTTGGTAGAGCGGGCGTGTATACAAAAAAATGTTATAAAGATTTAATGTGTCCATATATTGCAGAGGTTTAGCTTGTAGCCCTAGTAGTAGTTGTATAGATTTACATGACACATATTGTTCCGGACAAAGTCTGCAGCATCAAGGGGTGTATGGTGGTGGAAGATCCTCCTCAGTCTCACTGTCACTGTCACTGCCACTGCTCTCCATCTCAGAGTCCTCCATTCCCTCCATCCATTTCTCAGGAACCTCGTTCTTCTTCCCCTTCGACCCGTCTCCGCTCTTCACCGGCATATCCATCATCTAAACCACATTAGCACTTTTCTCCAAACAACCAACCCCAGAAAGACAGAAGAAACATACCTTCCCATTAACAACAACATTCTCCATCCCCCGGAAACACCCAACAAGCACCCCGTCCTTCCAAACCCCATTCCTCAACACCATCCCCCGAAAGTCCGTATTCACAATCACACAGTCCTTCACATCGCACTCCTTCAACTTCGTCTTTCGCAGACGACTCCCCACAACATTACTCTTCTCAATCGACCCCCTGTACACGGCACTGCTGCTCACAACGCTGTCCTTGGCTTTACACCGTGACAGCGCACTCCCATCCGCGACGGTGCTGTTCGACACTGACACCCGCCGGAGAGATGAGACATCATCGAGAGTGCTCCTTGAAACATCCGTGCGGTGTGCTGAGGGGATATTTGTCAGTGTGCTATGGGCGATTTTACATCGCCGGAGGGAGGTATTGCTCAGCGTTGATGTGGTGATTTTGCACCGTTTCAGGTGGATGCCTGTGCTTGGTGAGGTTGAAGTTGAAAAGTTGGAGCTGGATCTAGATCTGGATCTAGAGCTGGGACCGGGCTCTGGAGCATCCTCGATGTTGTTTTTGATGGTGTTGTTCTTGGCGATTGTGACGGATTTTATAGAGCACCGGGTTATAGAGTCGGTGTGGTCGAGGTTCGAGAGCGTGGAATGGATAATCTCAGAGCGGGAAAGGGAGGGAGAGGAATTTGGAAAGGTCGATGAGATGATAGTGCTCTGCTTGCCCATTTTGTCTTTGTTTCCTTATTGCTTTAGTTAAGCAGTGTACATGAAGGACGGTTTGTTGGGGTTGAAGCTGACGGGGGCAGTTATATAGGTAGAATGCTGCTGCCTACTTAAATATCTCTACCTGGTTGTTGAACGGTGTAAGGTTGGGTGTCGGTAAATGAAATAATTGGATAAGAGCATATTGAATGACATTAAAAAAGTATGTCATGGGGTAGATTTGAGGGCCTGTTCGTATTCACGCTTTGGACATTACCAAGGAACTATATATCTTGTAGTGCTTGGCTATACAGATCCACTTAGTCGCATAAGGCCACATAAGTTTGTAAGCACAGTTATACTATAACTAACCCATTTCCAATTCACTGAATTATAATTTATGAAAGAAGATCACTGAAATCATCTTTTCAAGTCGTCTCACTTCACACTCAGTCTGCTCGTTGAGATCACGTGACAATAGGGCAGAATAGTTATCCCGCCCCGAGAAAAACGCAGCCACGTGACCGGCAATCGAGCTGATATCACTATCACCGATCACCGATTTCAAGTCGCGACCGACAACGAAGAATCCCGCAGCCCAAACAGACACCATGGCCGACGCTCCAAACATCCAGTACGCTCTGTCGACTCTCAATATGTGGCAAGAAAATAAGCTGACAATTGCAGGGCCCTCCTCCAGAAGCCTCGCTCGGAGTGCACGTAAGTCAAGCTCATCGCGACTCCTTTGCAGCGGACAGGAACCAAGCTAATGATATTTTTTTTGCAGGGAATATGAAATCGCTCAGATTGTACGTTACCGCTACCCTATTTTGCTTCGCTGCCTCGCTACTTCGCTACTTTGTTACTGGATGGATAGAATTGGTGTTACTTGATTGGATTGGGATCGCTAATGGCAACCCGTTGTGTAGGAGGAATATGAACTGAGCAATGGCCCTCTGTCGCTGCTCCAGACCGCTGTGCGGACCAACACCCAGGTCCTGATCAGTCTGCGATCGAACCGGAAATTGTGCGTTATCCGAGTCTTCTATTTGCTGGGACATGGAAGCTTACGGTTGGATTTACAGGCTTGCTCGCGTGAAGGCGTTTGATCGCCATAGTAACATGTAAGCCCGGCTGCTCTGTCGTTGATTTTAGATGAGGATTAGAAACTAACTTTTGAATAGGGTTCTCGAGAACGTCGTATGTCAACACTAGACTTTGACCCGAAAAAGGTCCCCGCTAATGACAAACAGAAAGAGATGTGGTCCGAGCCTCAGAAGGGTGGCAAGGGACGACCGGTGAACAAGGACCGATTTATTAGCAAGATGTAATTTTCCCCGCAGAAATAGTGTCCTTCTCTGTACTAACGGTCCGCTAGGTTCCTCCGAGGTGACAGCGTCATCCTCGTCCTGCTCAGTTAAAGCCCTCGATTTCGGATCTAGCAGTGTGGATTATTGGATTGGCATCTCTCCCGGCTCGGAGTTCGGTTCTGACTTTGGCTCTTCGTTGATTGAAAAAGGAATACCCGTGTGGTCGAAAAAGTAATGGGAAGGAAATGGTGCCTTCTACCTGCGGATTGGACCCGGCCTTCGACTCCGCTGTCTGTGGTCGTCGGTGCGACAGCCCTGGTACCGGAATGAGGTAGCGGATGGAACTCCCCTCCGGAATCGAGCAGTTGAAGTGTGAGAACGCGGCTTTCTCGTACGACTATACAGCCACTAGGTAGCAATTCGAACCCTGAACACTTCACCCAGCCTTTACACAATGCGCGGTAAATGTAGATTTTGGACAAGCGAGAATTGCGAGGCACTGTAAGCGTTCTCTCCCATCTAGCACTCAGGCAACCTTATCCAAGTCTAGGGCTGGTATCTAGGTTTTTCTGGGGATCTCGCAAGCTCACACCACCTGAACTGTTCTTAAGGACGTTCTTTTCTCTCGTTAATTTCCCCGTTGAAATCTTCCAAAACCTGTGTCCACGACGCAAAGGAATGCCAAGATGCCCTACTCACATCTGCCCCCAGAACTTATTCTTCACATTGCCTCTTTCTTGATCGCTGACTATGATGCTGAGCTGTGCTGGGCCAGTTACCCCGAATCGCTTCCCTGCCTCGCATGGCTCAACGCCTGGATTCAAACGTCAAAATTTCACGCGAAGCTCCTAACCCCTCAGTTGTACGACCGTTGCTTGCGCTTTTCTCCAAAGAGTAAAACGGAGGAGGCGAGGGCAAAGCCATGGCAGGAGGGCAGCTGGTTTACCCCGGTAGTAAGGCCTTGTCCCTTTAACGATAGATTGCACCAAGCTGCGGGACACTGGAAATCAGATATCCTAGTCAGCTATCTACTAAGTAGGGTACACCAGGGGCTTTGGCCCCTGGGTGAGACCGAGGAGATATGCTTGTTAACTCTCATGGTGAAGGCCGGGAATGTCGCCATGCTGGAGACATTGATTGAGTTGGGGGACCTTCGAGGCAGATTACCGGAGCTCGGCCATCTTGAGACAGTGACACCACTCTACGTGGCGATCTTGAGGGATGATCTAGCCGCCATGCGGGTTCTTCTGGATGCGGGCGCGGATGTCAAGCATACGAACGTGTATGGCCAGTTGCCGCTTCATGTTGCCGCGGAGAACGGCAAGTCAATAGAGTTCGTGGACCTGCTTATACAGGCGGGGGCGGATATCTGGGCCACATCAAACAACTGGAGACGGGCATACCCAGTAGAAAGTGCGCTATATGCATTCAATAAGCACCCGGATGTCGCCCGACGGCTTCTAGGCGCAATGCTTGAGACCGAAGACCGGGCAGCAGACCCAGACTGGAAAGACCAGGTATTGCATACTGCCGTCTTGTACAACCAGTGCGGTTCTGCCGACATCGTCCAGACTCTGCTTGATAACGGCGCAGATGTATTCTCTCGGTCCGCACATGGCAAAACACCCATCGAGTTGCTTCCTTCAAGTGACAGACACTCCTTGTGTTTGGACCTCAGCTGCTGGGCACACAATGAACCGCGTAATATCGCAACCATTCTGTTCCAGACCGACCCTCACCTGTGGCCATTGGAACACATTAATCGGCAGCTATGGGAATGCCTGCGGGGCGTTGACTGCGTCGAACCGGGCCAAATCGTGCTGTTCCGCCTTCTTATTCAGAGCGGGGAGTCCGCTCTGGATGTCGTTGGCCCTGAAGGGTTCAAGGCACTGCACTACCTGTGCCACTCGGCCTTGCTCTCTCATCCATACAGTCAATTCCAAACACACGAACCTGTTAGCATCTTTCGAATGGTGTCCATCCTATTGGATAACGGAGCCAGTGTCGTGACGCGCAGCGACAGCGGGCAAAGCCCCCTTTACTTCGCAGCCCAGTTTCCATGCCCCTACTTGCTCACACTGTTCCTAGAGAAAAGACCCAACTGCCTCATTGAGGATAACGCTTTGCATCCCAAGAGGAACAGCCATCCCTACCAAACCGTGCCGCTCTTCGCTGCCGTTCGAATGGGTGACCTAGAACGAGTTAAGATACTCCTGGATCACGGCGCCGATATCTCCATTAGTGATGAATACGGCTCCAACGCCCTATGCTACGCTCTATCCATGCGGCCGATATGCAAAAGTATCATCGAGGTCCTAATTGAAGCTATACTTGCCGTACCCGAGCACCGTCGAACATGGGGAATTTCCCTGAACTGTGCTATCGAGACCAGAAACCGTGAAGCAATCGATATGCTCCTTGAGGCCAGAGCTTCCCCATCGAATAATAGTATTGGATGGACGGCCTTACGATACGCCGCGATAAGCCGTGATGCAAAGACCCTCGGAATCCTGATTCAACGCTGGGGCCGAACTCTCGTGCTGTCCGATGATTGCAGGAGCGGAGTTTTGGTTTGTACTGTGCTGCGCGGGGGAAGGTCTAATTCAAGGTCTTTTACGAGAGACCCGGAGCTCCTCAAGATAGCGAAGAGTGTGGTTGATTATGGGGCTGTGGTTCATCAACACTGTTGTGCCTGTGTGTCTTGGAAAGAGGAATTTGGCATTGAATGTGATATGGTTCGATAGCGGAAACCACCACCTGTGGGGTATTCAGGGTTCATAGCGTGTGATTCGGCTGCATCAATGTCAATTTTTCGAGATCAAATCGCAGTATCTGCAATAATACTTGCCAACTGATAGATACCAGCGAAATTAGGGCTCGGCTTAGACGGTTGATATCAGCCATCCATAATCGACTGAACTGCTATTTCAGACCCCAATCAAACAAATAACAACAACACATCGTTTCAAATATAATGCAGGCAGGAGTACAAGTTTGATATTGTTGTGGAAGGAGCGAAGGGCCGTAAGATCATCCTGCCTTATTAGAATTCTGTGAAGAGCAACCATCTGTGACCAGCAGTTTACTTCTCATTTCTATGGCGGCCCCTGAGACTTTAAGCTCCGTATATAGGTCTGATACTTAAGTATTGAATGTCACTTAGTGCTACTATATGACATAAAAAGGGCTGTGCCTCAAATGGCCTATGTACGCATAATTATCAGATCTATATACAGTGTTTATAAACATATCAACCTACACTACCTCACCGCGAAACAACAGTCTCTTCTGGCATCGGTTCCCTCGAATAAGGCGGTGGTGGCGGTGCATTCCCATCTCCTCCAGGTTTGATAGCTCCATCGATAGCTCCATCCCTATTAGTACCACCACCAGTACCACCACCTTCATTCAAAACTCTTTGACCGACTTTACCCCGTACCGCCATGAAAAAGATTACAAGGATAACCAACGCCCCAATGACACACCCAATAGCAATGCCTACTTTGGCGCTTTGTGGCAGGCCCTTTCCACCGTCGTTAACGGAATCTCCCTCGGAAGATACCGGTGATGTCGAGGGGGAGACTATTGACGGTTCGCAGGATGTGATTTCCAGTTCCCTAGAACTGGTGAGGTACCGGTGTTCATTGTTGAAGTCTTCGTATAGCTTGTTCAGGGCATCGGTGCAGGGGTAGGGAATTGAGGAGGTGATGCTGAGACTGTAAATATCACTAAGTACCGGTACGTCGACGCTAGAGTTGGTTAGAGGAAACCGCATAGATTTATGAGATGGGAGGGGCGGCAAACTAGTTAATTTGGCCGTGGATGTCCATTCGCCGTGCATTTTGGAGAGAGGGAAGGCGTATATCCGAGGATATGTCGGTTTGAATGAAGAATGGAGCTCTAGCCTCGACGAGGTTTGGGAGATTGATACTGTATTCACGATATTAGAGACACATAGAAGAAAACGAAAGGGCCAGCGCACCTTGATATAGATCCCATGGCCAGAAACGAACCTGCCACCGTGTCCAAGGCAGGAAGATCAATCTCTAGAGGTTCATTCCGGACAACAAGGTCGAATCCCTCGCCCCAAGGTGTTGTTTCGCCGACACCAATGCTACTCAGGCGCGGCATTGAGATACTAGAATTCAGTCAGTATGTGTCTAAACCCGGTCAGGGATAACTAACTTGGTTATACTACCGTTGATGCCGATATACGTAGCAGATTCAAGGACCGGCAAATCAACAAACGTCTGACTATCCAGCAGAATCTGACGACGGCGACCGGTCGCGTATCCTGCGCCCTCCATCTTACAGTCGATATTGCTGCAGACGTGCAGAGACTCGGAGATATTCCTCAACGAACCCAGCTTCACACTATACCACATCAGCCGCCATCACCGACCTTTAAAAACGCAATATTACCCACCTAGACCAAGGCCCCTCAAGCCTGACCGAACTGGCATTCAGCAGTGCACCAGCATCGAGCTCCCCTCCAGCCGACGAGCTGAGGAACAGCGAACCTATCCGTTGGACACTTGGGAGTCGCACCTGGGGCGTCTCATAGAGCTTAACAGAGCCATTCACGTTCAAAACATCGAGCATCTCAAACGAGGTCATGTTGTGCGAGAACCACACAGGATCCATCCGGATCCGCCCTGTGTACTCCGTAACCTCGTTGAGCGTAAACGGGCCTGTGTAGTTCATCCCGATCACGATCTGGCCGGTGATGCTCGTGCATCCGGTGAGGTGGTCGAGATCCGCCTGGCTGAGGACATCGAGGCGCTTTTCTTCGGGATTTGGCGCATCGTCGGTGACGTTCGTGATGCAGTTCTGTGCTATGGTGCCTTGCTCGCAGTAAGTAGCAGTATGATACTGATAGGTAAATACATACTGATTGGAAGGCAGAGCGTGGCAAAGACTCGCCGTTGAAAGAGGCTGGACTTCATGCTTTCTTGTGTAACGCGAGCGGAGCATCAAGCGGCCAAGATAAGCGGGGCCAGGCTCGTTATAAAATAAAAAGTAAACGGGGTTAAATTGTTCAATCGAGGCTTAGACTGAGACATGGCGACTCGGCTTCTGATTCAAGGCAGTGAGGCTTAGACAAACCACGCGGGGCGTTGGGCAATCACGGATTCCACTATACAGCGTCCAGGCCAAGAGTCGAGGGGGCGAAGCTAGCCAACAGGGCAACTGGGTAGTATTAAATTATATATTTGGTTCGAGTATTCAATGTTAGATTGTCTGTTCTCTGTAGGTGGGTAGCCCTACTAAATTACCAGGCCCCTGTGAACCCTCCCTGCTGATAGAATACATACTCGGGTGTTTGTATATATGATTAACTTATTATCTTGCTAATATATGTAGACACTCTTCTAACAAACATGGAAGCCAGCCAGTGATATAGGTCTAGATACTAATGGTAAAGTGATGTACATTGATCCAGCAGACCTGGACATCTAGGGCTCACTATCGTGCAGTACACGGTTCTGCTCATAATCACTAACGACACAGCCATGGCTGCATGTCAGTTCAACTCTGGATACTTCTGTCGAAGAAGACTTTAGGTTGTTCTCTTTGCACTCCCGTTCACGCCGGCCGCCTTGATCCTCTTGACGTCCGCAAAAGCATTGGCGCAGGATCTCACGCTATCAGAAATGAGGTCTATTTATGTTGTCAGTCTAGTCCCCTCTAAAAAATAGGGAATAAGCGAAATCAAACAATACTTACAAACCGGAATAACAATCCAAAAGGCATTCAAGAAGACAAAATACCCATAGAAGTAGTAATTCTCCGGTCTGGAATACTCAATCCCATAGACCAAGAAGTCAAACGCACAGATCCCGTAGTACAGGATATTGCCGTAAAGCTGGCCCAGGGAGATGATAATCTGCAAGGGGTGGCGGAAGGCATTATCTGTGACGATGAAGTATGCAAGAACCAAGGATAACGGACCCCAGCCCCAGGCGGTAACGGACTCCATGATCACCATGAAGCCGTCGGACGTGAGATAGCGCGAGTCAGATAGGGAGTATTCCTTCCAGAGCTGGGCGAGGATGTGCTGGGAGCCCTGGAGGGTGGTGAAGTTGGAGGCGTAGTAGCCCTCGAGGACGAAGTGGATGGGGCAGCCTGTGCTTGTTAGTACTCCGCATTGAGTGTAGAGATAGGAGATGTACATAGTGAAGCCCAGAGAACCTTGGAAAGGTCAGCGATGGAGATGTTAGGGTTTGATTTGGTAGCGAGGGTTTTGGCTGTTGCGAGCACGACTACAGCAGTGGCAGCAAAGGTCGAGACTAGGGCCAGAGTGCTCCATTCATTGGGGACGTAGTTGGGGATGTCGATGCCGAGAGGGTGGTAGGAGTGGGGATGGGCCATGGCGAATGAGGAGTGGAGAGTTGCAAATGAGTAAATACTATGCTGCTCAGGAACGAAGTTATATACTCGGACTGACCATGACCGTCGATGGTCGTACGATTCGGAAAAGGATCGCGCTCGGGTTCCGCGGACAATTAGGGCCATGTCAGATACAGTCGGAACTTGCCGACCCGATAGATTTATATTCAGCCTCGTCAGCTAACTCCAGCAGAACATTATTTACGGATAAGCGTCTCTGCAAAATCCGTTCGTGCAATGGGAGAAGCTCTATTCAATGAACACTGACATCTGGCTATTCTTGTTGTATTATGGGGCCTACTAAAGTAGTGTCATGCAACACCGACCAACCGCGGCGTCGAAATGCCATTAATTCCCCCCACATGTTCCCGAGCAGCAGTTTTGAATAGAATCTAATACTAAGATCTCACCGAGTCATCGTCCGTGGGGTGTTGACAGAGAAGGTTGAGGGATTCCCAAAGCGGCAGGCCGGTAAGGGCCGTCACGTGTCGGGCCGTCGTCGGGGCGCTCAACCGTGGGGGCTTCCACTTAAAGATGCTGCGACGCACTGCGGACTTCCCTCGACAATGCTGCTCCGTCTCTCCTCCCGCCTGCCTCTCCGTCCCCTGCAGACTCCCGCCCTCCGTCCTCGCCTTGCCCAATTCCTCGCTGCGCCCTACTGCACGCACCACACTCACGACCCCAAGATGCCTGACCCCAGCGACCCCCAGGCCGTCACCCGGTACCTCGAGCAATCCCACGAGAAGATCTTCGAGAGCAACCGCGCTTGGGTCGCCTCAAAGAAAAATGCCGATCCCCAGTTCTTCGACAAGCTTGCTGCTGGCCAGTCCCCTGAGTACCTGTACGTTCGCATCCATAACACATAGCAAGAAGAGAGAGAGAGAGAGAGAGAGAGAGCGCCATCTGACTCATTCCTACAACCAGGTACATTGGCTGCGCCGACAGCCGTGTCCCCGCGAACGAAATCATGGGCCTCGACGCCGGCGAGGTCTTTGTCCACCGCAACATCGCCAACATCGTCCCCACCATCGACCTTTCCTCCATGTCCGTGATCAACTACGCCGTGCGCCACCTGAAGGTCAAGCACATTGTCGTCTGCGGCCACTATAACTGCGGCGGTGTCAAGGCTGCCTTGACGCCGACAGACCTGGGTATCCTTAACCCGTGGCTGCGAAACATCCGTGACGTCTACCGGCTGCACGAGAAGGAGCTCGACGCTATTGAGGACAAGGAGGCGCGATTCAACCGCTTGGTTGAGTTGAACGTTATGGAGTCGTGTCGGAGTATTATCAAGACTGCTGCCGTCCAGCAGAGCTACGAGGCGAACCATTACCCCATTGTCCACGGATGGGTCTTTAACCTCAAGGATGGACTGCTCCGGGATCTGAAGTTTGACTTTGAGGGCACTCTAGCGGATATCCAGAAGATCTACAACCTCACCAAGGAGTAAATACGGGTTCTGAGATTTCGAAGTGGTGTTCGGGTTACGGAGTAGCAGGCGGGGTTACAAGTTTCAATAAGAGGGTGTTGATGTCTTGCCTAGTCGAAGTTCAATCTATCTTCTATATATCTATGGGGGGGTGCCATGGAGAAAAGCACTGTAACAATGTACAACAATTTTTTCAGTCTCACCCCTCATCGGAAGTCAAGCCCAGTTTACCGCGGACATGCAAAACATTATCGTGCTCGGAGCCTAACGGGTCGGAGTCAGGTCTTCAACCCGGAAAACAATCTCTCTGGACAGTTCTGGGTACGATAACCAACAAATCCCGTCAAAGGATCTGCGTGCGTGGAGGGTTTTAGCCTTGTCAAATTGTCCTGGGCGATGACGATAGTCCCAACAACATTGGCTGGTCCCACATACAACCGGCCGTCTATCCCGCCAATCATACCTTTAACTGCCTTCTTTGGTTAAGCTTATTTTGGGGTTCGCCCCACCGGGAGTATAAGGCAAAACATGATTCTTCGATGTGCCTCCTCAGGCCCTCATCAATTTCCTCGATGCTTAACTCTCAGTTAATCATATAGCGATTTTATAGATAATAAATCAATAACTTCCGGGAGTGTCAATTGTAAGGACCTGTCGGAGCAAAAGCGACAGAGGTAAGCCAGATTGTTGGTAAGCTCACACCGAGCCTTGAGAGTACCCGGAAAACGGGATTGGGCCATAACCTGGGGATATTGCACCAGAAGTGAGGCAAGATAAGCAGGAAAACAAGCCCAGAAAATGTGCGTTGATACGTCCTACGCTGTACAACCTACTGGGCGGCGAATCAGGTATAGCATATTAACCAGAGTATGGAAGTATGCATGGGCAGTATTCTTTCCTCCGAGTATCAATTCCATGGCAAGTTCGCATGCATTTATACCCCCCGAGCCATACTTTAGACGAACAATCTGCTGTCTTGTTTATTTCCTGATTGTGGTGAAGTGGTGTCACAATGGAAGGTGCGATGGGACGAATCTCAATTTGTATGGATATGGAAGGAACGACCAGGTGAATTGCACTTCCCTTGCACAGGTTGAAGGTGTTCTCACGTTTAGGAAGGTGCGATGGATGTGTTGGCTCCCCGGGAAGGAGCGATAGGTCCGTTGTGCCTGCCACAGCTGCAGAATCTTAAGTACCTGTTAGGCTGGACACGCCTATAACGGCGTTTAGTATAGTAAGGTCAGAGCTTGTCTTAACCCAGAAATTCTGTATTTGAGTTATCAAAATACTCACCTAGAAAGCGTTTTACACCACCAGGCTGGTCACTCATACCTGGGCGACTCCAGATAAGTCAGGGAGTTCTCTCAGTAACATAGAAGATTAAAAAGTGCTCGATATTCAGCAAGGAATTACGTTAACAATCCATGCTTGTTGGACAGCAATCTACTCGGCTACCCGCGGATTTGCTCGATTGATCTTTCTCTCGCTGGTCAGCTTCAAGTCAGCCAAAATGCATGGCGATCCAAGTATGAAGAAGCCCTTGGTCAAACGAGTCGGATACAGAGTATATTCCTCCTATTTTTCAGTATGAGACACCTGGACTGACCCATCACAATTAGATGGTGGAGTACTAAGCTTACGGCCGGGCATTTTGTGCTGCAGAGCTGTATCTTGTTCTGAGCCCGACGAGTCACACTTGTCTTCGCTATTTCACTGGATTATTCTAATCGTGAAGCCAATGTTATGGAGTAAGCATGCATCGGTGGCATTTGTCATTGTATTTCCTTTACCTTGATGTCCAATGTCAGGGAGAACACTGGAGGACGTCTAGTTCTGTTGAGGATACGATAACGGTATTGTTACTAGGTGAAGGTGCTCACAGAGTCTGGACTGCTCACCTTGACAGCTTTAGCGCTGTACTCTGAGTTTTGGTGGTGCAATTCGATCCAACATATGCCTCGTGCTGGCTACTTTAAACCACTAAGATAGTGGTATTAACTCCCGGCACAATGTGTCCAGTAATACCGCATCAGGTCTCATCGTGGTATAGAAAAGAGTCCTGTATTGGACGGAGCTTCGCTTTCACTGTGCGCTGGGTTATAAGACGGTGTAACTGCGTTCGATCACCTGGCAGACTTGAACACGCCAGACCTAAGCACCAGAGAAGTATAAATACCACAACGCTGCTCAGTCAAGAGCTCAGCATACTGCTCAATACCAAGCCCATCAAAGTAATAATTTACTTCTTGATATCCAAGAAAAACCCCTCAAAATGAAGTTCACCTCCCTCATCCTAACCCTCATGGCCGCCGCAGCCGTAACAGCCGCACCCTCCCCCGAACTCGAAGTCAGGGATACCTGCGGTCCCGGATACGGCGGTGACCAGAGACGCACGAACAGTCCTTGCAATGCCTCGAACGGGGATAGGCATTTCTGCGGCTGTGACAGGACCGGTGTGGTATGTTATCAGCTGGCCAGTCTACTTGGCATTCGTGGTCATATCTAGCTTCAATGTTAATATTTTGCTGCTAATGAGTACTGCTGTGACAGGTCGAATGCCGGGGTGGTCGGTGGACAGAGATTCGCGATTGCGGACGTGGGACTTGCCATGGTGGGAATGATGGTGGTGCAGTATGCTAGATGGCAAAGAAGCTAAGACTGGTGACGGTTCGGAAGATTCAACATCGACCAATTAATTCTGGGTTATTGAATTTGTAAGTATGAACAAAGATGCTATATGTGCCTGATGACTTTTGAGATGGCTACATGCCCTGTAGTGCTGCCGTCTACTCGTAACTGGCCTGGTTATCGAAATAGTAATATGCTGGATTAAGGTCATTATATATGGGTAAATTAAAAATAAAGTTACAAGTCTACTGACCATCAGCGATTCTAATAATTGTCTTCCCTAACCCGCCCCGATTGCTATAAACGACCTCGCATGCCTTCCGTACCTCTTCAATATCTCTTATATTAACAGTAGTCCCAACAACCTGCTTCAGCTTCCCCTCTTCAGCATATCCCCTCAATGTATCCAGATCCTCCCCACTAGGTTCTAAAAACATATACGAGTAACTGACCCCATAACGACTTGCACGGAACTTGCGGACCGAGTCCATCAAGTTCAACGCAATCCTAGGAATTATTGGGACTGTAGGATGATGCGGCAGTCTCATCACCGCTGAATCCTGCAGCTGACTCCCAGACGGGGTCGTCGATATGGATATAATACACCCTGTTCCTTTTCGCATTAGGCACAGATATTCCATGGCGAGACCGGCTGTGTCGAATAGGAAGTCAACAGAGCCATGCTCAATGACATCCCTTGGGTCGGACTTTTTATAGTCGATAACTTGTTGACGTTAGATCTAGATCCAAAGTTGGTTAGCGGGGCTAACGCACTTTCATCGACTGTCCCCTCCCCTAGAAGCTCAGGGACTTTGGGCACTTTTGCGGTAGAGACAGTTGTTATCACCTTTCCTGCGTGGAAACACTTCTTTGCTAGTTGGCAAGCAAAAGAGCCAGTCCCGCCCACTGACGTCGTCTTGTTAGTGGACATATGGAAGTAAGAGGGGGTGGTGACATACAGCCAGCAGGCACAAAGACAGTCTTCCCCGATAGATCACCGTGATATTTGTTCAGAGCTTGGAGCGCAGTCGAAGCGGCCAGTGGAATGGCAGCCGCGTCCTCGAATGACAGCGACGGTGGTTTCAGAGCGATGAGGCGCTCCGGGCATACAGCGTATTCACTCCATGAGCCTTTATATGCAGTCAGTAAAGTGGTAATGGAATAACGGATCCGTAGATCAAGTACCTCTATGCGACTCTGGTAATCTAACATAAATAGCATCGCCGGCTTTGAATCGTGTCACGCCTGTGCCGGTCTCTTCAACAATCCCAGCTGCGTCGTAGCCGATTTTGTATGGGAAGCTGGACCATCGGTGTTAAAATAATTTCCAGAAGCAATGAGAATTTTACCCACGAATCTTTAAGTGCGATCTTGAAAACCCCCTCAGCTTTCTTCAGATCTACAGGGTTGACACTGGCGGCATGGACCTTGATCAGGACATCCTGGGGGTCCTTGATCTCGGGCCGAGACACGTCGAGAAGCTGGTACTCGGATGGAGCCGTATGAGAGGTAATTCCAACGGACAGCATATTGATGGCATCTAGTCCAAGAAGATGAAGAAGATGAATAGACAAGGGATGAGAATGTCGACATTATGATTTTATAGTCACGTCATGTGACCCATCTCAGCGGCCGAGGTTGGGCCCTAAACTGGAAACTATTTTATGTTATTTGGCCTTTAATCTCTTAATCTTTTACGGAGTAATCTTGTTAACCTTTTTAGCTGCGGGCGGGCCAATTGTCGACCCGAGCCGGTGCAACTATCTCTCCGCTCTCTGTAGATCCGCATTTCTAATCGTGGGGAGACAAGCTTTTTACGTGACAGAAATAGCCTGCCGTTGATGTATGAGAGATATGGACATACTAGGGGCAGTGCAATTCCAACATACTTAGCATTTACATTTCTGAAGTGTAAGCAGCATTCTACAGTTCCCAGATATCCAGAGCCGGAGCAACTAACCAGCCCCCTAGCGATAGCGCTTTGATCTCAGTAACGAGCCAGGAGGTTTCCTCAGAGGAAGGACAGAGCCGTGAAGCTATATCGCCTAGCTTCTGTACTTCTGCAAGGATATTATAGCTTGTGAGGAGAGTCTCACCCATGATATGTCTTGGCTGTAAGATATGCGCGTCAATGCTGGGACAAAGATCAACCATAGTCCGCATGACGATTCCAGCGTAATACAGGCATATAATGGCGACGATGTTATGTTGCGACGCGGCTCGTTGGTTTGGGAAGTAGGGTGTTACGAGGTCGTCTTGTTGCAGTGTTGCAGTGATAAGGTACCATATCTGGCACGCGTGGTATAGCGCAACTTTGGCGGAAGTTGTTGTGGACCAGCAGGTCAGGTCGTTGAATTTTTGCTGCTGGAATGCAGCTGTGGATACTTCTGGTCCTGTTGAAGGGATTTTAAATAAATTCATGTTCGAGTGGATGCGGATGTAGGCTAGGTGGTAGAGGAGCCAGGCTGATAGGTTCTCGCGGTCGTATAGAGAGATCGGATTCAGCATGCTTTTCACAGACTCCCAATCCGGGGATCGCAATGTATGTTGGTCGTGCAACGGCGTCGTTCCCAGGGGCAGGTGAAGTCCGTAAAGCATCAATTCGTGGATCGGAGCAGAAAGAGGCGTGAGAGTGAGAGCGCCAGTTCCACCCCCGTGAAGGTGCCAGAAGAGCTCTGTGTACATTGGATGAAAGGCCGCCTCCTGGCGTGCAGTTAATAGTCTCTCGCGCCAGTCTGGCCCAACATATAGCCAGAGCTCCTGGTTACAGGGAATCTTCAGGCACAGCTCTTCGCATGAAACCTGGGGCGATGTGTTTAGTAGAATGCTTGCGATGGCCTCCCACCGCAAAAAAGCGAATGCCATCCGTCGTTTCCTCTCCATTTTTATCCATCTTGCCAGGCTCTCCTCCTCGTCGTGTTGGCTGTCAGGTGTCTCGTTGAAGAGATTGACTCGGCGTGCGTGGGATGCCAGCACGGCCCTTGCCTGGTGGATATACCTGGGTGTCCGGGCATGGCCCAAGTGTAGCGATGCAATTGCGAGTAGAAGAAGGGCTTCGAATATTTGATCCAGCTTGACCTCGTGCTCTGGACATGCTAGGCACGCGCTGACAACAGCCGCCTTTAACGAATGCAGCATGGACATGCCATATGCCTTGGCCCGGGAAGTCCCAGCGTAGATGGCTCCGATGGAAGTCATTGTGAGGTACAGCAAGGGCTCAACTGCATCATAGTCAAGGCCCTGTCGCCACAATATAGGCCACATATGATGAAACTCGTCGAAAAAGCAGGTAACAAATGAATGTAAAACATGGCTTGCGCTCTTTGGCGCGTCCAAGCCACCGAAAGAAGAGTCGAAGAGCTGGGAGAGGGCTCGCCTCTTCCGGCAGCGGAAAACAACGTCATTCATAGGGAACTGCTGAAAGTCGTGTACTGCTTCTTGCACGATTCCGTGGACAACTTCTGGGGGTTTTCGTTTCGTCGTTGTTGGTGGTATGATGTTGGCCGAGTATGCTATACTGCTTGTCGGGCTGGGCACGTAACCATTCGACAGATCCACCCCAATCCCAGGTGCCATAGATATGTCGCTAACATGTGTGAATGACGTTCCGGTCCAATCGATCTCGTTCAATTTTCCTGTTGTGTTAATTTGAGGCACCGACCACAACAATGGCGTCGCACTGGCTTCAGGCAGCGGCACGGTTAACGGCGAGAAATTTACCGCTGGCTGCGCTGCTTGCGATAACAAATTAGGGACACCGGTAGCCGGTTCGACAGCTGAAATGGGACTCAGCATCGTTGAAATCAAGCTCTCGTTTGACGACAAAGACGCAGTCGTCACAGAAGCAGACGCAGCCGCTGCCGCATCAGATCGAGGCTTGCTATCAGAACGAGACTTGTTAGCAGCACTGCGCTTCGGAAAGTCGCGGACACTGGGACGGGTCGACTTCATGCGATACGCGCAGGCCTTGCCAGCCTTGAGACAGTTGCGACACGGATTGCCGTTGTCACAGCGGATCTTCCCCCGGCGGCACTCGTCGCAGGCCCGGATAGACCGCTGTCGAACGCTATTACCCCCATCGGTCTCGCCGTGAATCTGCTTGTGACGGCGTAGCACATCGCTTCGTGAGAACTGCAGGTTGCAGACGTCGCACGAGTGCCAGCGCGTGCGGTCGTGGGTCTTTCGATGTCTGTTGTAAGCACTATAGCTAGCGTATTGGCGAGAGCACTGGCTGCAAGAGAGCGACTCCATGCTGGCAGGCTGCCCAGCTCGAGATGTTAATTGAGGTGAAGCCTCGAAGGAGTGCAGGAGTGGAGGAATAGGAGTGTTCTGGGGACTGGGCGTGAGGGACTGGATCGCCAAGCTGGTGGCGCTGGCAGGTTGGGGGCCATTTGGCGACTCAGTCTTGCAGGGATCTGAGACAAAGAGCGGATGATCTTACTTGCTGGCAGCAAGGATCGACGCTGCCAATGCCCACTTAGCCTTCTGCAAACTGCTGAACGCTTGAATTGGAGTGGTGTTGGTATACGGCGTGGCCGAGAAGCACAACGCTGCTTTCCAGGTATATACATTAGAGTCCAGCTATTTTATCTCATTCCAATCCTCTTTATTCCTCGCCATATTCAGTGCCGTCACGGCTCAGCCACAGGAATCGTCGCATAGTAGGCCATCGCCTTGCGATTGGCCTCTGCACTCATCGGCTTGCCCTCCTCCGACATCTCGCTCATGAGCTTGAAATAATTAACATAAAACGCCGGTGAGTATGTACTGAAGATCTTGGCCGTCCCCGGTCCGATGTTCGAGAAGGTGTGCGGGCTGCGAGTTGGGACGACGACATAGTCGCCTGGATGGGCGTCGACAGGGTCCTTGCCAGGGATATGGAACCTCACCACGCCCTCCATGACGAGGAACGACTCGTCGTGCATTTCATGCCAGTGCGGGGGCGGCCCACGTGTGCCTTCTGGGATTATAATCTCTGCAGCACTGAAGCGCATGTCTGCAGCAGTCAATCAGCTACTATACGACCTTAGGGACGGATGGGCTACCTGTGTTCGAGCCATCTTCCATTATTCGCAGCTTCAGGTGTCCCAGAGTAAGGACATCGCCTCCTTTTACTGGGACAAAGCTGACAGGGCGATCGGGGACCTCCACAAGTGGTTTCTTCTGCTCAGACGACATGGTGTGGTGCGGTTTCTTATATTCCGGATTTCCAGTTGATGATTGTTCGATGTTGACCTTGAGATAGACGTGTCCGTGAGGCTTTTTAAAGAAACCAAAATACTTTTGGACTTCTTCTGGGGCTTATCGTTGTATGATTCCTTCTGTCATCTCGCTGGGTCTCTCGCCCGTGGGATCCGCAGGCCATCGGGTAAAGTGGTACGCTCCTGTGCCTCCTCACTCCTTCAGAAAAGTTCACAAGCAGCAGAACGAGATACCCCGCCGGCAATACACGCCAAAACAGCGGGATTATGCTCTGCTTACTGCCATGTGGATCGAATTTGCATCGCCGTTCTATCCGATCAGCCGGTGGTTCTGCACAAACCCTGAGAAGTGGACATGATGGATAAGCATGGGCCTGTGAGATGCAACCGTCTCAACGATCCTGGGGACAAAGAGCTGTATCAGCTGCTCAATACGATACTGCTGATACTCCTTTTCGTGAATATTCTGATACTCCTTTGTCAATATTCTAATACTCCTTTTGGTGAATATTGCCGAGTTCTGCTAATATAGTGAGCCGCGTTTCCCATATTAGCGTTTCTTCACACCCCTGCAGTTGTCTATCGTTTTTCTTTTTTCTGTTAACTCTCTTTCCTACTTTCACGTTTGAGAAATGGCGATTGCGCACTCAACAGACAAAATCATTATCATCGGTGCTGGTCCTGGTGGGCTGGTCCTTGCCCACTGTCTACGAAAACATGGCATTCCATACGAGATCTTCGAGCGCGAGAAAGCCAGTCAACCGAGAAAGCAGGGATGGGCGGTTGCATTAATTGAGTATGTACTTCATCCTATCCTAACCGTTTCAGATATTGACTACGATAGATCGCTTCCTGACCTAGAGGCATCCCTCCCAGCAGAGGTCTTCCAGCGACTTCCCACCGCCAGTGTCAATCGCAACATGGACAGCAACGACATATTCAGCATTATTGATGGAAAGACAGGAAATGTGACTGCTGCGGTCGGAGGTGAGGACTACCCCAGTTCTCGCTGCTTGCTGCGCGTCAACCGTCAAGCCTTCCGCCAGGTGCTATGCGAGGGCATCAAAGTCCAGAACGACAAAGAGCTCGACTATTACGAAGAGTTTGAAGATGGCGTTCTTGTACATTTCAAAGACGGCACTTCAACCACTGGCTCTCTTCTCGTTGGTGCTGATGGCGCTCACAGCGCCGGTACGTCCTTCCTATCTATATCCATCCCACCACATACTGACAAGTTTCATAGTTCGGAAACAGCTCTACAAATCCGCAAAACTCTCGCAAAGCAGCTTCTTCCCCCTCGCAGCAGAAATCCGTCTAAGCAAAGAGCAATACGAACCTCTGCACAAAATCGGCTCTGCGGGACTCTTCTCCTACGGGAAGAACCTCCGCTACCTCATCGGCCTGCTCAGCGTCTCCGAAGACCGCTCTTCAGCTCTCTACTACTGGGCCTGCTGTATCCGCAGCGACACTCCCGAGAAGGAATGGGAGTGGGTGCGCAACGCTACCAGCGAACAGCTCCACGAGCGCTGCGCCAACGAGACGAGGGACTTCGCGCCTTATCTCACGGATATCATCCGTCTGACCAAGCCTGAGACTATGGTGCAGCCCCCAGTGCGGTTTTTTGAGTTTACGCTTCCCGAGGAGCCGTCGGGGTCGGAGAGGGTTACGTTGTTGGGTGATGCGGCTCATGTTATGGTTCCGTTTTACCTTGCTGGGGCGAATACCGCTGTGCGGGATGCTTGTGATCTGGCGCGGTGTATTGTTGGGAATCCTGGGGATTCGAGTAGTTTGATTCGTGAGTATGAGGATCGGATGCTTACCAGGGGGCGGCAGATGGTGTTGCGTAGTCGCAAGGCTGGTCAGGATCCGACGCTGGATAATATTGTGGTTAGGGCTAATGAGGAGGGGTCGGGGATTCTTTGGTAGTGGTGACACTGCGTTATTTAGTTTAATGTTCGTCTTGTTGTATTCAAATCGTTTAATAGAAATATTACCAGTAAGCTGATGTTCTTTAATGCCTTGATGATAACTTCTACGTAAAAGATCATTGTATGCAGCAACACTGCAAGCCACCGTACAGTCAATAATACCATCCGGTATCAATATTCTAGTCCTAGCATGTTTCTCTCTATTTTAGACGTGCCGAGAACAAACTACTCCATTGACCACCCATAGGCTCGGCACAGTATCCGTGCTTACGACGAGATGTGTGGCATAGGAAGAGTCCTTTACCACCGGCAACTGTAAGCCTCCTGACTTCCGCGGGTCTCAAATCCCTCCGAGGCTGAATCAATGTCCGGATAGCCATCTGTGAGTTGGTAGGATGTGCATGATGATGCTGATGCATCCTTTCTCAGTAACCGTCGGCTAAAGTGGCACAGCCAGCCTCTTCTTCTTTCTCGGTAATCATGCATAACTGAAGGAGCGGTATTTGTAATGACAAGTCTGAAGCCGTATAAAAGATTATCTTATACCGATCTTGATCATAACCTGACACTAGCAAGATCAGCCAACATGTCGTCAACATCGAGCCCCCAGGCCAAGATTGATACCCACCACCACTTCATTCCAGATTTCTACAGAAAAGGTACAACCCAATTTCGTTCAGTTCCCTACTTTATCTTCAAAATAATAACTTTCTAGCGGTCGAAAATGCCGGCGGAGACCCCTCCGGCTTCCCAACACCACAATGGACCCCCTCGTCCGATCAAGCAGCCATGCAGACAAACGGGATAAGAACATCCATCCTATCCATAACATCTCCAGGCCCCGTAATCGCCGGCAGCGACGCAGCCGCACGCACTTTAGCCCGTCAAGCCAACGAATACGCCGCGTCCCTGCGCGACAAGCACCCAGCCCAATACGGCTTCTTCGCTGCCATGCCCAACCTCCTCGACACGCAGGGCTCGCTCGCGGAAATCAAATACGCCTTCGACGTCCTCAACGCCGACGGCGTCACCCTTTTTACTAGATACGGCGAGAAGAATCAGTACCTCGGACATCCCGAGTATATCCCCATCTGGGAGGAGCTGGATGCGCGCCGGGCAGTTGTCTTCATCCACCCGACTCACCCTATCGATCCGCATAGGGTGAACCACCTTTTCGCGCAGTCGACTGTGGACTATCCGCATGAGACGACTCGGGCGGCGGTGGATTTGATCTCGACGGGTACGAAGCGGAGGTTTTCGAAGTGTAAGGTGATTCTATCTCATGCCGGTGGGACGCTGCCCTGGCTTATTTCGAGGGTTACGCCCTCGCTACGCGAGGTGGAGGTTCCCGAGGGGATCAAGTCTTATGAAGAGTGGATGGAGGATTTTAGGTCTTTTTATTTTGATCTTGCGTTGTCGAGCTCGCCGTTGATTTTGGCTGCGCTTTTGGCTGCTGTCCAGCATGATCGGATTCTCTATGGTATGTTCGATGCCGTTTCTTTGGGGGTTTTGCTAATAGTTGGATTGTTTAGGGTCTGACTCGCCGTATGCACCGGCGGATAAGATTGCTCGCTTCAAGGTTGATCTGGATGATTATCCATTGGATGCAGGGCTCAGGGACAAGATTTACTTCAAGAATGCGCTGGCTATATTGCCCCGATTGGCCCAGTATTCTGCATCTCAGTCTTAAGAAGGGTGATAATTCGAAACATATAGCAAATAATGCAGTCAACATTTGTGATTACTATTCATCAATTGTATTGGCTATCTTGCCGAAGTCTTGGGCGTCATCAGCGAGGCGAGAATGTCCGATGTGATGTATCCACGATGAAGTGGCCTTGCTTGGTGGCTGAGATTGTCTCAGATCGATTGGCATTCAATGCTCAGCTAGTCAGCTCAATGCCCCAATTGGACGGTATAAATAAGCCTGCAGTTCAGTTCTAACCAGAAGATGCCCTATGCTGCGCTCGCCAGCTCTATAAATAAGGCTGAGGCCCCTCGAGAGATATCATCGCACGTCTTTCCTCTTCCCAGTAGTTATCTCTATCGAAAATCATGAGACCTAGCATTTTCCTGCCCTTTTATTTACTGGGCTCCCTCCCCAGGGTCATTGCCGTACAGCTTGTAAGTATCAGTGACTGACCAACACCATAACTCAATGTTGACTTTGCAGGAAATAACAGAAGTCCGGTATACGAATGGAAGCGAACCACGGGTCGCCACAGTCGATTTGCCCTATATCGATTCTTCTCTCCTCCCCAAGGACCAACCATGTCCGGATCTTCCCTTTTTGTAAGTGCGCCGAGAAACTGCCCTGAGAATGAGGGCTGATGGGCCATCACTCAGCATTCGCGAGGCGAGGCTATTGACAGACGAGCTCACTGTTCCAACAAAATGCTGGATATTCACGTACGTCAACCTAAACCTTTTGTTTCTTGCAAGGCATACTGAGATGTTCAGCGAACAATGTCACCAGTCGTTGGCGCCCATCACCAATGATGACCCGTATGTGTATTTGAGTAATGCTTCCGGGCGTACCGTTCGATGTTATAAGGAGTAGATATTTTAATTGGGTATATATTATATCAAATAAATATCAAAATCCAATGTCTCCCGTTTAGTCACCCGCAGGACCGGATCTGGTAATCCAAATAATCGCGGGGCGGATCACGTCACTCCAACACTCTTCCCAACTTCCAGGCATCTCTTCCAACTCTCCAAAATGGGTGCCGTTACTATTAAATCTCTAGACCACTTAGTCCTCACCGTCCGCTCCATCCCAGACACCGTAACCTTCTATACGACCCACCTGGGCATGAAGCATGAAGTCTTCGCATCGGCGTTGAACCCCACTATATCCAGGTACGAACCACATTAGCTTTTTTGTCCCGTTAATCTAATTTGTGAATTAGACACGCTCTCCTCTTCGGATCCCAGAAAATCAATCTCCACGAGTCAGGCAAGGAATTCGAGCCCAAGGCACAGAATGTCCAGCCCGGGAGTGGGGATTTGTGCTTTCTAAGCGACGAGAGTGTCGAGCGGGTTTTGGAGTACTTCAACAGTGCAAATATTGAGGTCTGTACCGTATATCGTACCATGGGTAGGGATTTATGTGAGCAGGAGTCATCTAACTAGGAATCAATATAGGTCCTTGAGGGTGGAAAGGTCGTTGAGAGGACCGGGGCACGTGGGAAGATTAGGAGTGTCTATGTGCGAGATCCAGATGGGAATCTAATTGAGTGAGTTTCCTTCTTCCTGGTGAGACTGTATTGGGTAGTTGCTGAGGCTTTCTCTAGGGTGTCTAATTATGTATGATGGGCGTCTGTGTCTGACTGCAGTAGCTGTGTATGAAAGCACTATTAATGGCTTGAGCGGGTTGTCTTGAAGATAGCAAAGTAGGCAGATTTTGCTATAATGGTCATATTTATTGCACAGTTACTATCAATTACCATTACTTTAGCTACGCAGATATGACACAGCACGGCCTTATGTATAGTTCCAAAGTCACTCAAAATTCGATTGTCATTAACATCTCAGTTAGTTAGGGCTATCTCGCGCTATCGACATAAGTACACGTACATTCAAGGATGAGGATTAGGACATCTGCCGGGAGACTTTCGAGGGTTGTAGTGTCCGACATTGTGAATAATTTATAGAGCTGAGTTAGCGGAGAGGGAAGAGCTTACGAGGTGAGTGAGATATCAATGGAAATATTTATATGATGACCATGGCTTCAAGGCTCGAAATGGTATTAGTCCTTTTACTCTGAGAAATCTTGATGGCATATGCCCTTTGTAATGATTTCAAGATGCCAGGCTGAAAGGCAAGAAGTGTAATAGGTCAAGGAAAGTGATGCGTGAAATGTTAGATAACACAAAGGACGACTTCACTGTTGTTACATGCACCACACATTGTGAGCTCTGCCATGAATTGTCTCAGATGTGTTGTGAATGAAAATAAGACCTTGTATAAAATAAACAACTATCTCCCAGTTGTGAACCACAGGCCGGACCTTACTACTACTTGTTTTAGTTCTCAGACATACTAAAATTGCGAATAAAATGGCATCTCTTCTGAGCCTTCCGCCAGAGCTTCTATATGCCATCATGAAAGAGGTAGCTCCTGACTGGGAAGATCGTGCCTGGCTTTTGGGACTGCGATTGACCAACCGTACGTATTACCTTGGTTCTGATAGAGAGCAAACGCATATAGGCTAACTGTTCTTAGGAAAATTCGATGACTTAGTGATCAGGCAGCTTCTTCATGATGTTCGAGCAGACGATGTCAAATTGCTGGGAATGGGACAATGTTACCCACCAATGGATTCAGCATTGGCCACAGCTACGAAGCTTCTTTCCACTTTAGTCTATGACTGGCAACATGGGCATAGATGCAAAATCCCGCACGCTCTAGTCAACACTGTGTGTCATACAGTTGACAAGGCGGTTGATTTCTTCTGCGGTCCAAGTACCTGTGGCGGGCTGGAGAATCTAGAAGAACTGAAAAAGATTTATACTGATGCCATGGTATCCGTTCTCGTTGGTGTGAAACAGCCAATGGCCATTATGGACGCTCTTGCTGGTGAAAACGATCGACAAGATCTGGATGGGGAAGAATGGCGTCGCGCTGCACTAATGACGGCTGCATATCTAGGTCGACTAGAAGATATGGAAGCACTGCTACAGACTGGAGACCTGGACTTCAACGCGGATTCTGAGGATAAATGGCTCTGTCCACCCCTTATGGCTGCCGCTCTGGGTGGCAGAGTGGACGTTATTCGGTTTCTTGCGGGACGAGGAGTCGATATGAAAGCCAAAACGAGGGAGAATGGAAATACGGCATTGCATTATGCCTCATTCGCAGGCAAAATTGACGCAGTGAAATTTCTTTTGGATAATGGGGCCGACGCTGAAGTAAAGAATAATAGAAGCGACACGCCACTTGCCTGGGCTTCCAACACCGGGCATGCCGATGTTGTTTCCCTACTCCAGTCCATAAAGAAAGTGGATGTCAGTCATGGCGATTGTGGGCGAAATTGTCCGCTAGTTCATGCTGTCCGCAGGGGGCATATGGATGTCGTCAGGATATTGTTCAGGACCAAACATGTTGACGGAAAAACTGCTGCTGACCATGGTGATGAGGATGGCGATGAGGATGACGATGAGTCCAGCGATGAGGATAGCGATGAGGAGGACATCGCGTATTTAGACAGCGATTATGAGGACAGCGGTTATGAGTATACTGATGATGAGGATAATGATCTCAATCATGACATTTACCACGGTTTTGCTCTTGCCCTCGACGGACATGATAAACTTATAGCGCTCTTATGTGTCACTGCATATAATGGAAAAGAAGAAATGTTCCAGCTTCTCCTTTCTCTTATATTGGTCGACAAGGACGACATGTGTGTACCTCTTGAGGCAGCAATCAAGGGCAAGAAAATCGGAATTGTACGAACGATCATGGAAACATTTCCTCGCATCCCAAAAACCTTCCAAGCCGCCCTGGGCCGGTCAGTTCTGATGGCCGCGGTGCAAGATGGAAGTGAAGAGATGGTCCGATATTTCTTGACCTTTGACGAGATGCCCATCAACGAGCCCAGCTTGCGCGGTCGAACACCATTGCACCGTGCCGTTGAATCTGGCGATGCTGGGAAAGTTTCGGCTCTCCTTGCAGAGCGCCATATCAATGTCAATGGTCCCTGTAGTACGAAACGAGGCGGTGCTACACCACTCCACTGCGCGATTGGCATGGCGCACCCGAGCCCAGACATTCTGCGTGCATTACTTGACCACCCGCGGATTAACGCTAACTGTCGGAACAACCTCGACACCACACCCCTTGCATTCGCAGTGTGCCGGGGAAATATCCCATTAGTAAAGACCCTCCTCGCGCGCAACGACGTGGAGCGGGAACCCGTCGACATTGACGGACATACACCGTTAGTTCTTGCTGCCTGGTTGGGGAATCTCTCTCTTCTGGAGATATTTCTCGGTATCCCATGGTGCAACATATGGCACAGAAACGGAAACGGAAAGACGGCGCTGGCCCTGGCAGCCGAGGAGGGCCATGTCGAAGTCGTGAAAAGGCTGCTAGATCCAAGACTTGGGGCAACTGGCTATATTTTGGATGATGCTGTAACAGCTGTAAACTTGGGAGAGCCGGAGCCATGGTATTATGATGGAGATGGTTGGGTTCGCAGGGGAAACTCTGCACTTGGAGCGGCACCAGGCCGTAGAGAGGAGATGGTGAAATTGATACTCGACGCTTATAACTAATTGGGCATGCATCCAGTTTTGAAAGTATGTGATACAGAATGAAGATGCTGTTTGTTGTTAGATGCTAGAAGGCAGACTCTTACTGCGAGATATATTACTTACTGAGGTTTCGATAGTTTAGTAGCTTGTGTTCCAATTGCATGTGCGACTGAGGTTTTTCTGTTGATAATAACACATCGCCTCACTTTATCATGTTTCTCCCCAAAAGTCCTTCATTCCCATTCAGATCTCCCTGCGTACAATCTCACACTCGCCTTCTCAACCTCACCTTCTCATGAATCCAATAAAACGCGAAAACGAAGAACCCATCCAAAAGGACGCCACGAAAAGAGTCAAGACAAAACATGATGAACTTTTCGAGCCTTTCTGGCTAATACCAGAACACCTCCTCCCTTTCCGCGTACATCTAAGCTCCATCAGTGAAAGCGACATTAAAATCACTTCTCCCCCTGAGATGCCGCGTTGGTACTCGAGCGAAGAGCGGACCGCAAAGATCGGAATGGCACTGAGAAAAGTGCTCCCCGCTTCGGGGGAGAGCACGACGAGCTCGGGGCTATACGACTCTGCCTATGTTTGTGTTACCCTGTTTGGGCGTTACAAAATTGTTGACTCAAAGGGCACGCTACTCCTTCCTGGGGAATATCTCGCAGATCCGGCCTACGATACCCAAGTGAAGTTGCTGCAGCTTGTCTTGTGTATTGTCAAAGGATTCCTTGAGGATATCAGGGCGAATACCTCTAAATTTGTGGCTATGCTATACCACTATTGCGCGGACAGAAGGGCATGGGAGGTAAAGTTGGTCAAGAAGCTGGTGCGAGAGGGTCTTGTTGTCATGACCACCGAAGACATCAAGCGCATTGAGGATTGGCGGCACCAAGCAGATAGAATCCCACCCGGTAACGACATATATGACTGGTATCGTGAAGATCTGACAATTCTTGAAAATCTTCAAAAGCCTCTCCACGGTATAACCCGGTCAATCGAAGACGATGGGAACCTTCCACCATTTATCACAGATGTAATTACTGCTGTTCACCGTCTGAAACAGAAGCTTAAAACACTCGAGGATTCCCAGCTGCCAGAGCAGCTACTTATCGAATTCGACGACGATGGTAACAATGATGGCGCCATTCACAACGAAGAGAAGCCTCAGTTCATCCCGCCGCCAGATCCCGACGCTGCCGAAAGCTTCTACCACTGGTGTCTAGAAAGACATGGTCGTTGGGCACGGAAAGGCGCATTCAACAGTTCAACATGTCACGAAGTCTACCAATTAGCCCGTCTAGATGATGTGAAATGTAAAGACCCCAAGAGCCTGCCGAGGGGGAATCACGGCCTCATTTCTGAGCTTACAGGCCACACTGAGCTGAACCTCCACAGAAACCCATGGGGCTTGCCCGCTCACAGTTTATACGATGCTATGAAGGGCTTGCATGTCGATGATCAGTACTATACCGTGCCGGTACGCGAGTTCCTACTTGACCTTGAGCCGTGGTACTTCCGCCAGCCTAGGGAAATCAAGGAGCGATTGCAGACTATGGATATTCTTGGGTGGTCACTTGGGGCGAATCTCTCTAGTAGACGAAACAAACTTCTTGGTCTGCCGGTTGGTGGAAGTATGGAGTGATCTTTTGCGTATTAGTGCATTTTCCCACGGCCGCTTTGGCAAGTACAACACCGTGTTTTGTGTCTGTAAGACCTTTCAAATAAAGGATTTAATTAACATGTCTAGCACGAACCTAGAGTGTTCTGCTTACCAACCTCCAACACCTCGTATCGGGATCTCACCTTAACAATCGACCCTCAGAATCCTATACTTAAACCTCATCATCCCATCAATATCATCAACTTCAATTAAGCCCAGTATTTGTACAAGCCCCATGAAAATCGCAATCGCCGGCGCCGGCGATCTCTCGCACTACTTCTACGAAGAACTCCCTTGTCACGGCCACGAAACAATCGCCCTAACGCGGTCCCCCAAGCCCTTCTTGTCTGCTCTTTCCATAGAACAGCGTATCACAGATTACTCCGTCCCCGATCTCGTCAGGAACCTAGCAGACTGCGATGCAGTCATTTCCACCATCTTCGCGCCAGGCCCGAATTATGTCGCGGTGCATCTCGCTCTCCTGGAAGCGTGCAAGCTCTCGCCAAGATGCAAGAAGATGATACCCTCGGAGTTTGCGGGGAATGTGGAAGAGTTTCTGCGTGACGAGCCGTCGTTCATGGCCGAGGGGCGGGACCCCGTTCGGAGGGCTCTGAGGGCCCAGAGTGATGTGAAGTGGACTCTTATTGTGAATGGGTGGTTTGCGGAGTATCTTGTACCAGCGGGTCAGCGGTATTTTGCGGATTTGGGGGGTGCGGCGTGGCCGATGGATGTTGTTAACAGAGTGTTTACGATGTATGGAGACGGGGAGAGGTCGGTTACTTTGACTTCTGCGAGGGACGTGGCGAGAGCGATGGCGAGATTGGTGGAGGCTGGGGCGAATGAGTGGGAAGAGTATACGCATCTTTCTGGGGAGACGGTGACGTGGGCTGGTCTGTACGAGATCTTGAAGAGAAGGGATGGGGGGTGGGAGGTTGTAAAGAAGAGTTATGCGGATGCTGTGAGAGAAGTTGAGGAGGCGGAGATGGTGGGAAGTGCTCAGCTGCAGCTGATGGGGTATACAGAAATCAACCGGGCCAATCTTGACAAGGCGAAGAAGCACAAGGAACTGTACTTCCAGGGATTGCATTTTCGTGGGATTGAAGAGATCATGGGAGCAGCCGAATCCAGGCCAGACTCTGTCATATAGTTCAGATGGGCAGCAACTAGAGCTTGTTGCTGACTCTCCTAGGTAGAATATAAAGACACTCTGCTTCTGCTAATACTGATCCATTCTGGTCCTTGATGTCTCCCTTCAGCTTCCACTTCCTGTTGTCCTTGACCTCGGTAATCCTCCCCGACACCACCACAGTACTGGGTGTCAGGACAGGTCCAACAAACTTCGTGTTCAAATAGGCCGTGACAGGCCCATCTTGGCCAGGCTCTCCACCACCCAAGCTCAGGCTCAATATGAGCCCCGTGAACTCATCAAGCAGAGTCGCAACGATCCCACCATGCAGAATACCCGGAAAGCCGTCTAAATCTGTGCCGAGGGTGCAGAAAACGCGAATCTCTGTTGTCGGTATCGCTTTTGGGGCAAATGGCTTGCTCCCTGGTGCCGGGCGGCGGTACTGCATGAGGCATTCTGCAATTGTGGAGGGGGTTTTGATTGTTGCTGAGAAGAGTCTATCCTCGGTTGTTGTGGATTTGTAGACGCGGGACGGCAGTGGCGAAGTGATGAAGTCGTCGTCGCGGAGCAACTGCGCAACCCAGGGGATGCCTTGGAAGTGGGAGAGGCTTTCTTCCATTTTCTCTGGTTTTAGAGGTTGATATGGTGAGATGGTCAAGCTACGAGCGGTTATCGTCGCCGTTTCGCGATCCTTGGACCTCACGTGCGGGCCGAGGCCGAAGCTCCCCGGATTCCCCACGATCTTCACTCTTTACTCTTTAATATTCGAAATTGGCAGATCTGTTTATCTCGTCTTCTATCTAAAGCATCATCTATCCAGCTCTTCGTTTCTTTATTCGTCAATAGCTGAACTCCTGCCCAACTAGCTTCTCGCTCAGCTTCCACAACTTCTCGGCTTCCACCTTGTCTGTGGCCCATGGCTTCACAGTGTCCGTCCAAGGATCGGCTATATGACAGTCCTGCAAATACGCCCCGTTGTTCTCTGCCGATGAAATGTTAGCATGGTATTCGGGCTCTGGAGCCTGGCATCTCACCTTGCAGGGCGGGCTCAAAAGCAGCATAAACAGTCGTCGCTGCTCCTTCCTGGTCCGTCTTCAGCCGGAGTTCCCGCCAGCCTTCCTCGTTCCCCAGAGATCTGTCAAGAGCATCTATAGTACCCATCAGCAACTTGCCATACATGGGGATCAGGTCAAACACGTACTTAAGGCAGCAATATCTGTGTCCAAATCCTCCAAGCCCGATGAGAGAGAAGTGCTGAAAATGACTCCAGGATGCAGACTATAGGCCAACAAGCCCTTGGGTCCCAACTTCTCCGCCAGTGAAACGGCCATCAGGATGTTGGCTGTCTTCGACTGGCCATACGCAGACCATTTATTATAAGTCTCTCCTTCCTGCCGACTTTGTTAGACAAACAAACAGTATGGGGCGCGAGATCCTTACACGAAAGTTATAATCTGCCCACCGAATTGGACCCAGTCGGTGACCGTCACTGCTAACATTGACCACGCGTGGAGAGCGAGACGCCAGAATCTTATCTATAATCAAATTCGTAAACAGAAAATGACCCAGATGGTTCGTCGCAAACTGATTCTCGAAGCCGTCAGGGCTCAGCGCAAACTTCGTAGCCATGATTCCTGCATTATTAACGAGCACGTCGATGTGCGGTACATCATCCCAGCTTTTGACCTCTGCAGCAGCCTCGCGCACCGCAGCCAGCGAGCCTAAATCAAGCTGCAATAAACGGACTTGAACCTGCGGTTGCTTTTGCGAAATTGCATCTGCGGTTTTCTGAAGCTTGCTGGTGTTCCGTCCGGCTAGGATGATCAGGGCAGGTTGTGCCCGTGCGATTGCCTCCACGAATGTCGCCCCTATACTGGTTGGTGATGGGCCGGTGGTCAAAACCACTTTGCCTTTGATCTCTGCGGGGAAATGGCCCGCGAGCTCCTCGGCCGTCGTGGTTTCGTTATAAGAGGGAGCCATTTGGAAATGATATGCGTAGCAGTTGCAATGTAGAACTCTGCTTGACTGGGCCCTAGGGGTTTTTAATAATAATATGTCACCTTAACCCGCGATTGAGGTTGGTACGAGCATTCACAGTAGACGCAATTCATTAGGTGTCGCGCTGGGCGCTATTTATTTAGTTCGGCGTTGTTGGAGTTGGAGAAATGACACCATCGCAGCTGATGTGCTGACAGTAAAAGCGTAACAGCGCCTATCTCCGAGCCTGCCCGCAACGGATTAATCCATCTAGAATATTTAACCCCGACCTTTGCTCCGCTCTACTTTTGTTTAAGTAAATGTTTTAGGAAATATAAGGATTCCAGTTCAAGGTACTAAGTGCCTAGGTACCTATCCAAACAAACGCCCAATTCGTCACTCATCGCACGAGATCTCTATAAAAGCAAGGGCACTTTCCACTATGGTGTCCATGATCGCTAAACATACAGCAAAAAATTGCATCCTCGCTTCTAATCACTCCATTACTCATAACTCAGTCCAAGCGATCAACGCCGATCAAACCTCTCCAATGACACTCTTCAAAATCTCTGGCACAATGGCGCCCGCGTCGCCCTCGAAAAACCAATCATTCGATGTAAGCTTCCCTTTCGCCAAATCATTTGGATCCATGTTCACCAATGCAACCCTCGCTCCTTTTGACCTCGCCTTATCAACATAGCCTGCGGCCGGCCAAACCCTCGAACTCGTCCCAATGACCAGCATCAGATCGATCTTCCCCTGCGACATCCAATCATCCACGAAATCCAACGTATGTGACGGCAGAGCTTCCCCAAACCAGACGACGCCCGGCCGTAATAGACCTTCTTTGCACTCTGGGCATTGCGGGAGCACATCAAGAGGTAATGGCTCAAGTGGGATGCGCTCGTCAGAGATGTCTAGCTCTGTTTCTCCATGTTGTCCCTCTTCCTGACCTCTTCCCATGGCCTGATATAGCGACTGTGACGCCTCCTCGCCTGTTTTATCATCCGACGAGGGAACCGGTTCGGGAAAGTTTCTCGGTATCGCAAGTGCAGGGACAATCGGATCCGTAAAATCGTTCTCGCGAGAATACTTGCAGTAGAAGGAGGTGCATTTAACCGTAAACAGATTCCCATGGAGGAGATGAAGTTGCTCGAGGGGGTGACTTGCTCGCTGTGAAAGGCCTATAAACACCACATAACCCATCAGCAACTCCACAGCTTAACACCCATGCCGTATAAAACAGATCAGACAAAAAATAGAAAGCAGTCACAAACGCACCATCAACATTCTGACTCAATGTGACAAACTCCCTGTTCTTCCTCGCCAGCTCCGCCAGCGCATAGTGTGCACGATTCGGTTGCGCCTTGAGCGCCATATGTCTCCTATAGCTGTAGAACTGCCACACCAGGTCCGGGTTCGCCTCGAAGGCCTCTGGTGTGGCTAGCTCTGTTGCGTCGTGCGAGCGCCAGAGCCCACCGGCGCCGCGGAATGTTGGGAGGCCCGATGAGGCGGAGATGCCGGCTCCTAGGAGCGCCATTATCCGCTTGCTCCCCTTGAGGTATTCTTGGAATGATTTGACGTCGGTAGACACCATGGTGGGTGAGTACTGCGGGGGTGGTGAGGAGGTGGTACTTTAAGGCGCGTGGTGGGTGGTGTTGGTCTTGAGGGGCGTTCAGGAATTTTATAGATTGTGAACTTCGTGTGAGATCAGTAGAGTATGAGTCTTGATCCTAAGGGATTTTTTGAGTCACTAAAAGTGGGGGGTTGTAAGTATAGATGGACGATCGAGACGCGTGAAACCAGTTCACTTTGGGAGCTATGACGCGGGGTCTGCGGAGTTGGTGCAGATCGCTGATGCCTGAGGTCTCAACGAAGTATATTAACAGTCAACCTTGAATATCACTTTAAGTATTGGTTCAACTCATTTTTATGGTTCTTGGCGTTTTTATGGCATTTATACAATATTATAGTAAGTTGATAGCTCTGTGGGTATAGTTGAAATTGTTATGTGTTTGGATTTATTCGGCAAAGCAACTATATATATTCGAGAACACCAACCAAGTATAATTAAAACGATAACCAAAAATCAAAACCTAACAAGAAATAAAACACCAGATTTAAAAAATGTTCTTAAGTAAAGACAATCATTTCAATCAATTGGTACTAAGGTCGTTATCTCCTATTACATCTATTCCTAATGTTGTTCTTCCTTAGGAAGAGGAATTCCCACCGCAGACTCTGCATAGTCTCGGTTCTGCGCGTTCATGCTCGAGATGTACGAGGTTACATACTCCGGTACTCCTTCAATTTTGTTCGAGGAGCTCGGTACCGGTTGCCCGAATGTCTCCCATACGGGTACGACCCCGGTCCAAACGCGGTCTGTGACTTCTGCATTATCCGTATCCTTTCTCTCATCCGAAACACCACCGTCGCGAATCTTTCCGCTACCATCGACAACTTTAACCTTGAGAATAACGGTAGAGGACATCTCAGCATTGTCGGGTGGAACCCGAGAGTGCTTCCAACGATCCGAAAGCACCGAATTGGTGATAAGCTCCATGGCCCAAAGCTTCTCAGCTTCATCAGTGACAAGTTTCGCATAGCCATGGAGAATGGCAGAGCGATAGTTGTAACTATGAGAGTTTGGCGTGAGAGATAAGATCAATCCGTCCACTTTGCTAGCAGCCACACAGATTGGCAGTCCATCGCCATCGGATGCCCGTGCCAAGTTCATGATCCGTGAACTGACATAGCCATGAAGGTAGCAGTCCAAAGGCTCACCGATGCCGGCTGAGGGGTAGTCGAAGGATGCCATCTGCCCAATCATTGGCAAGATCGCGGGAAATGGGTCAGAGGGGCCCGGGTTGAAAGATACATGGAGGACCTGGCTGGAGTTTATGATGGAATGGATCGCACCGAGGTCATAGGTAGCTTTGGTGGTGTTAGCAAATATAGAACATAATCCCTTCCATACACCGATGCGGTCGAACCTCTGTGCTTGTACCGGTTGGCGGTGTTTGACTCCTTCTTGGGATAAACGAGTGTCTTCCCCATTTTCGGTGTTTATTGGTAATAGGCACTCTGGGAAACACACTTGAGTGTTACAAGGCGGCTTTTATATCCAGAACAAAGAGGGCAAGTTATTTGAATTGAGTCACGGATTATTTACCCATATGGCGTAACTGATACGCCCTTTGATGGATTAGTTGTTCCATGATTCAAGTGATGTCCTCCACTTATCTCGTATCTTCGGTGCTGAGCAACAATCCTATAGGTTCCCTAGAGCGACAATCCTTGTGATCTCGACATTGCCTATGGAAGAAGGCCCATCCGAGCTGCAAGCCAGGATTCTGGATGCTTGATAATTGGAGGACCGGAGTATGAACCCTGGACAATGATTGCAACAGATCAACAGTGATTGGCGGATAGCGCCGACAGAGGATCATCATGGCCTGAGGCATGAGTCAAGCTCCTTTCGGAGGCGGTCAGCGAGGCCGCAGCAGTATGCGATAACCATTCTGGCGTGAGCATCCGATAACACTCCGAAGCTTAACCAGAACATTCAGCATGGCGACATGCAGATCCGCTGTGCGCCAGTGGCCTCGATACCTTCGACGTCCAAACCCGGTGGGTATCCTTCCACGGTTAGGCCAGCCGAGGGTTCAAACTCAACCTACCGTTCGCCGCGGATATGCTTCGATCTCGGCCGCAGAGCTTAAGTTTGGACAGCCGTTACACGAGACACATCCGCATTTGCTGAGTCCCGGAGAGTGTATGTGCCTGGGATATTTCCTTCTTTAGGCCTCCAGTGATCAAGAAGTTGACATCGCACAGTGACGCCCGGAATCAGCGCCCTCGAGTACGCCCAGCGTCGTTCACGACTCGCAAACAAACTCCCGAAACATGCAGTTGCTGTCCTGGCGGCCGCGGAAGTGACCTACCGAGCTTCGGGGATCTTCAACGAGTATCGTCAGGACTCGAACTTCTTCTATCTTACCGGTTAGCACATACTGCGCGCAAAACTGGGAGCAATTGACTGATCGATTTAGGCTTTAACGAGCCGAACGCCCTAGCTGTCATTGGTAATGCCTTCGTGGATATTAGGTGACCGTCAGTAGCTGATCGAATATAGTGAACGATGGTTCGGGCGACAACCACCTCTTCCACCTGTATAACCGCGAAAAAGATGCAAGGGCTGAGCTGTGGGATGGTGCTCGCTCAGGCACACAGGCTGCGATAGACGTATTTAATGCCGACGAAGTAAGGATTGCCCAGGTTTCTATGCTTTCAAAACTGTTTTGGTATTAATACGTTGCGTGCAGTCAGGCGATATCGAAAGTATTGGCGAAATCCTCCCCAAACTCCTCTCCGACGCGACAGAGATCTACACGGATATCCCAGCCTTCAACCCAGGACGGTCATCTTTACACCGCTATCTGTACGGTCCAAGCGGTGCATCTGAGAAGCTAAAGAAACTTGTTGATCACCGCAAGGTTAAACCGCTACGTCCGATTATGAATGAGATGAGGGCCTTCAAAAGTGAGGAAGAGGTTGTCCAGCTGCGACTAGTTGGCCAGGCATCTGGGAGGGCATTCACCGAGGCCATGAGGCATACATTTACAAAAGAAAAGGATTTGACGTCTTTTTTGGAATATAACTTCAAGGTCAATGGCTGTGACAACAGTGCCTTCGTTCCCGTCGTTGCTGGTGGTTCGGTACGTATAGGTTTCTTATCGGGGGTCACGTATACTGACAGAGACAGAACGCTCTAAGTATCCATTATACGAAAAATGATGATGTTCTAAGGTAAGTATGATCGGCACGGAAGATTTCCGAATCAACTGACTGGATGTTAGGGATGGAGATATGGTGTTGGTTGACGGAGGCGGTGTATGGTTCCTTGATGGAGACCCGAAAATCTTAAGCTAATTGCATGCAGGAAATGGGGACGTATATCTCCGATATCACTAGGACGTGGCCAGTCAGCGGCAAGTTCTCGGATCCCCAGCGCGACCTTTATAACGCGGTGTTGAACGTGCACCGCAGCTGCGTCTCCCTTTGCAGAGAGAGTGCAGGACTGTCGCTTGACCGCTTACACGGCATTGCCGAAAATGGTCTGAAGGACCAACTGCGGCAGATAGGATTCGATATTTCGGGAGACGTAAGTTCTTGTTGCATGGTCTACCTTGTTGGTTGGCGCTGACCGCGATTTCAGCATGACCTGAGAACGCTTTTCCCTCATCACCTGGGACACTACATTGGACTGGATGTTCACGATTGTGCCGGGTACCCCAGGACTTATGATCTTAAGGCTGGTCAATGTATCACCATAGAACCGTGAGTATCAGCTAGTTATACCTTGGTATCCGTGCTTATTCCATTCCCAGTGGCATCTACGTTCCAGATGATGACCGATGGCCGGCCAAGTTCCGAGGCATCGGTATCCGCATCGAGGACAGTGTATGCGTCGGAGACGACAATCCTATTATATTGACAACTGAGGCAGTGAAAGAGGTATGTTCCTTCTCTCTTGAGTGGTGGTTTTTATTGTCGAGGATGGTTGGAAAAGTGCTAAGGCGGTGTATTTTCTAGGTGGACGATATCGAGGCACTGCGTGATTAGGATATAAAGGGATGGGGAGATTATTAGACATATACCCATTGCATACTTGTACGATAGGAGGACAAGCGTTGTATGTTTACTTTGTTGGGGTAGTTAGTAGTTGGCCGTGAGACGATCATTGTAGCATTGCGTCGGAGTCGACGTGCAAGGATAATTGTGCTTCCCAAGAATCAGAGTAAAGATGAAGAACAAGAATAATCGGCCCAAACTGGATCTCCAACCGCAAGAATCCAGCAAGTTTGCAGGCGGATTCATCGCGGTCGCGGTGCTGAAAGAATGGACGCGGTGGTTGTCTGGTGCACATCCCGCAGCCAAAACAAACGAACGGGCTCCACCAGCCTTTGCCTGACACGCCATTAGTTTAGTTCGGCCTCCTCAATCCTGCAATCGCTCATCATAACTCCTCTGTTCCACCACACTCGCCTCCTGCACCTTGGATCTGGCAGTTTATTGCTTGCCTCTTGCTCGAGGCTCTGCCTTCCTCACCGACGCTCTCTGACTTCTGTTTTCCTGCTATCGCGTGTACAATGGCACTTTTCTGAGCGACTGTTTTCTTACTCTTCGAGACGTGTCGCCTTGTCGCGTGCTCTGCCTCCCCTCGTTGACGAGCATTTCGACGCTCAGCTCCTTTCTCCCTAAAGTGCCTTCGTGTATTGTTACCTTATGGCAGCAGTATTCATACCCCCTTCGCGCGAGACCTCCCTGAACATGTCGACTCGCCGGCCGCTTGCAGACGTGCCGAATGCCACCAACTCCCCTCACAGAGCAGGCCTCGTGCCTGCCAAACGTCCCCGGTCGACAAATGCACCGATTGACATCCCTTACGGCCAGCCTCCTCCGAAGAAACAAGTGGTAGACGAAACCGGGGCTGAAGCTCAATCCACAAGTCAGACCAAGCTCTCCACCGTCCAGGGCACGGACTCGAAGCTATTTACCCGCAGGTCCAACAATACTCAGCCAAGTGCCTTTGAAAAGAAGCTGGTAGCTGCCAGAGACAGGGACCGGCAACCCCAGTCGAAAGGTGCAAAGCAGGAGAAGCCGCCCGCGGAAAATATTTCGATCAGACAATGGCAGCGACATTACAGAAAGGCCTTTCCTCACTTTGTCTTTTACTTTGATGCCATACCAATTGATGTCCGCAGCAAATGTTCGAGGCAGGTCATAGCTCTGGGAGCGGTACGTATTTAACGCAACCAAATTCTGGTCTCTAGTCCTTTTGGTTGGCAAGGGGGCCTTTCCAGATTTACGCTTGCTCCCAACTTATTTGACCTTGTTGATTGCTTGCTGACAACATCTGCAGCGCGAAGAAAAGTTTTTCTCTCGCCTAGTTACCCATGTCGTTACCTCCCGCCCAATCCCTCCTGAGATTGAGAGACGAGCGCACACGGAAAACACCCACGAGACGGCGCCAGAACTAATGGGGGATGGCATGTTGGAAACAATCAACCCAGCGGAACTTGAGATGCATCTTCACCTAGCTACGTGCCCTGGACGTGAACGGAACCACGATGTCTTACACCGGGCACGGGAAATGGGAATGAAGATATGGGCTATTGAGAAGCTGCAACGGATGATTGCTACTATCAACGACACAGACATCGCCAATTCGAACAATGTCTCACGAAACGCCGTCGGTGGTACCCAAACCAAATCTCGAGGGAAGGACGATTTGTCACAGGTTCTTCAGAATGAGCTCAATGGACCCTCAGACCGCAGCCACTTGTCCGTACTGAAGGATCTGGTCCTATTCAAGGGACCTTTCATTTATATCCATGACATGGACGAAAAAACACGACCTGTTATGGTTCGAGAATATCCCAAAGTCGCCAAGAGGCAGGATGGTATATGGCCACAATTCAGAAGTGCACCACTAGGGAAATGCCCCTTTATTGAGGATGTCCCATCTAAACGCGACGCAGAGAGGCAACGTGTTCGCCAAGAGAAGGAAAAGAAGGAATTTATCAAGCCTCCGGTGCCCCAGCTGAAAGATACCGTTGTTAAGAACCAAAACGAAGACGAGCAATTGCCTGTCAAAAAGGAGACGAGCCCTCTCGAAGGAGACGAGCCCACACCTCCGCCGTGTGTGAAACAAGAGGAAGCTCTGGATGCTAATCAAGAACCTCCGCTGTCCCCCAAGAAGAGCTCAGAGAGCTTCGTTCCACCTCACCTCAAACGAAAAGGTCCATTCTATCATGGCCGGGAACCGGCAGCTTCCGGCGTGCAGCCTTCGAATATCACCTCAGCGATTCGCTCCCAGATGGTGTCATCAACAGCTGCTGCGCCAGGGGGTGCGAAGGCTGGTTTAAGCAAGGAAGTCCACGAATTGAAACGCAAAGTTCTCGAAAAGAGTCACGTTGGATTCTCGGCTACTGCCACACAACCTTATCGACCTCAGGAGGCATCTGCCAACGTAAACACAGAAAACGCGAACGGTGCCCGGTTGGCCAAGTCAAACCGCCCAGATAAGCTCGGAAATATTGAGGAAGAAACTACACAATCAGAGGGAACGGACCCAACAAAGTCCCGGATTATTCTCCGTAAAGGCGGAGAGCAGAGAAAGAAGGAAAGACGGAGAGACCCGAAGCCAGGGTATTGCGAGAACTGCAGAGATAAGTTCGATGATTTTGATGAGGTAGGTTGATCGTTACGAAAAGAAGTGGGCAAAAATGCTAACCAACCCCAGCACGTAATGACAAGAAAGCACCGCAAATTCGCGGCGAACAACACGAACTGGGCAGAGTTGGACTCGCTGCTCTTTCAGCTCGAACGACCCCTCAAGGAAGAATACGATTATGTCTAGTATACCCGGATTTACCGAATATCACACGAATAGCGACCATATGTACAGCGTATCTCCAGGCTTTTCTAACATTTTTTATCTCAGCATATCTTTTGCTTCAGACCTTGCCACATATGGCAGCGTTGCGTCAAATCCGGGCTGCCTTGCTTTATACCACGCATTTCGTTGGAATGGTATATGCTCGAACAGAGCAGTGAGAGCTTTAATTGGTTTTGCATTTGTTCGCCTTCGCTTGTTGATCTTCGTTTTGACTTGTCTTCGTTTGCTTCCTTGATGCTTCCTTGATTTATTTCGTTCCCTTCTTACTGCGGTTGGTTTTCACCATATTCACGTTCTACGGAACAGTGTCATAGCACCGGTGTTCTTGGATTTGCTTACTCTTTTCATATCTTCCTGTGGCTCAATCACATAAAGCCGCCATAAAGTCTCATCAACGGCGGGCCTGACAATATCGATATGCCATAGGAGGTGGAGACCTAGGAAACAAGGACTGAGCTTTGGGAGGTCACACGGAACTCCCCAGGCTTCGAGGCATTGTATCGTGACACAAGCCATTCCTGGTTCAACCACCTCCACAGCCGTCGCATTATATCTTGCATTGGCATCATACCATTTGGGCGATTCCTCTCCACGTTCTCAGATTTTTGCCCTCCTTTCTTTTCTTTGCTTTCTTTGTCTCGGTCATGGGTGGGTGGATGTTTTATCGGGGGTTGCATCAACGGCCGACTACTTGGATCGGTGTAGGTGGGTGTTGTGTTTGATTTCAGAGGACTCTTCTTATCCGTCTCTATTTTTCACCTCCAAGGAGCCTATGTAGATGGGCCTCTTCTTTTTTTCTTAAGTGACTATTTTTCCTAGGTGTAGTATCTATCTTGCCTAGCTTATGCACTTTATTACCTAGAGTGGGGAGGTTCGCCTTACGTGACCCGTCCTTGCTTGCATGCCCTTAGCCATGTTGCTGGAGGTAGGATTAGAAGTTGTTTGAAATAATCTAACATGATTCTAATAATTATGATTATATCTTATTCCCCGTAGTGAGACGACTAAATGTAACATCAACATCTGACCTCGCATACTTGAATGAACACATCCCAACCCACTTGATACACCGGGCACTTATACCCATCGCTGCTCCAAAACACGATATTCCCCAATGCAGACCCTAATATCGCTTATGCCCTCAAACAATCCGTATAAAAAAACTTTCTCTAATGGATTTCCTGCCATTCGCACTTCGAGATCTCGAATACGACTTGACTCCGGTAGCGTCAGACCCGGCCCTACCGAGTTCATCGATGAAGAATGGTCAATGCCGCCAAAGTCATTATAAAAATCCCCTTCCTCGATCTCCACCACGCGTTTCGCGATGCACGCAGTTATCTTCCCATCCCAGAACCCCTCGCGGTGGGTTGTCGATTCGAGGAACCGCACTGCCTGGTGCCGGATATCCCGATTGCGACACTTAACAGCAACGTAGAAGAGTGGGATGAACCAGCCGAGATCGATGATTGTGTGGGCCATGTCGCAGCTCTGTATCGGCGCAGGGTTCCCCTCTATGCGGTGCTGAACGGCGGTAGAGAAGTTTGGGGTCGCTTTTAGGTATTCGAGACAGAGTTCGTAGGTTGTGGACAAATGGTTGATTAGTTCGGTGAAGTGGTGGATGTGGCTATCGAATATCATTTCGTTACTGCGGTAGATGCTTGTTTCCGTCATTACAGTGAGCATTATGTGATAGCTCATGACTAGGTGGTGGACCCTGGTCTTCCCGTTTGTGATGGAGTGGGGGATGAAAAGCTCGAGGGCTGGGAGGGAGCCGTTGTATGCTCTGAGCCAGTCCTTTAAAGCTTGTTTGAGGTGCGTTTGGTGGAGGTCGAGGTCGTCCTTATTAGTTGGTTGTTGGTGAGCGTGTGCAGAGAGGTGGAAAACGTCGTTGATCAGACGGCCTAGACTGCGCCAAACGGCTATGTATGAGGAGAACCGAGGCGTTGAATGAAGAGCTGGGTGTGAATGGGGTGCCAGAAGACAAGGACGTGGTCGATCCGGGCGTTGGAGAAGCTCTACTTGAATATTGAGACGGAGGAAGGCCTCGACTATTGAACTGTCTAGAGAGCCATTTGACAGTATTGGGGCATAGTTTGAGTTGCATGCTTTACTATGAAAGCTGCCCTGGGTCTCTGCCATGATATTTAGTCCGTTACGAAGATGGACCTGCGCTGAGGCGAAATGCCCGCGGAGTAGATCAAGAGTTATAAGCACGATACACGCAATAAGCACCACGGCCAAAGAAGTTTTATCCCTCGCACGGAAGTGTGGATGGAGATGTTGGACAGCTTTGCTCAAATGCTGCATCGTGTAGTGCTCTAGTTTGCCCGCCGGACGGGAACTGATGTCGACAAAGCCCACTCTATGAGTGCAACTTACAGCCAAAATGGCATGCCAGACAGCCTGCTCGTTGTGGCTGACTTGGAGGATAAATTGGGTCCAAAGGTCAGAAAAGTAGGAACCGGGTAGCTTGACGAGGGTTCGACGCCGAAACCAATCAAATAGGGCCTTCTCATCCATGCTAGCAACAAAGGTTGTCATCCCAGCCGGTGGAGGAGCGGTACATACGCCCTGTGGGCTCTTGGAAACTTGACGATGTCCGTAGTGATTTCCCCCGCCTCCCCATACACCGTAGCCATCGCATATACGGCCCGTGGAGAGACACTTCTGACAAACGGGGAAGGACTCGTCGCATTTCACTTTCCGTGTCCTTATTTGCCAGAGTAAGCTCATGTGCGACAGGTGCATGGTGACGGGATTTTCCTAAGACGACTCACTTGCAGGTCCGGCATCCGGTCTTAACTTTGGCCTTCGGCTTGGAACCGTTTCTCCGAAGTGCAATTTCAGCATTGGTCATGTCGATGGATAGAGGAGATGACTAGTTGGTTTAACTTCGTTATTCTTGTCATACTGCGAGGGAGGAACTCAATGATTTGCACAGTCGGATAAAACGATTGCTGATTTGAGGACCATGGCTTGGCTAGCAAACCGTCCCCGAGAAAATCAACTAAAAGAGCGTGCAGGATGATGATACCTCGCGGTTGAAGTATTGCAGGATAGTGGAGAGAGATGGGGATAAGCTGACGCTGGTGGAGGTTCTTTCAAGCCCCCTGGGTCGCTGGTTCGGAAACCCTGGACGGTGATTAGTTGAGGAGTCTGGCGCTTGTGTGGCGCCTCTGCAGTTCCCACAATATCTATAGTATTGTTGACTGGAGTTAAATCCCTGGATGAGCAGCCATCGACTTCAGATTGACGTTGTATCTCCATTAACACCGACGGTATCTCCAGAACGATGGCTATAAAGGGAACCAAGCAGTGCGGTACCGCCAGTCTCACCGGAATTAAAGATAGCAAAGGACCTCGAAGTTATACAGTATATTCAATCCACAGAACATTGTCAGAATGTCGACAACACAAGTACCTCTCCGTACTCTGGGCAAGGATGGCCCACGAGTTCCAGCCCTAGGCTTTGGTTTGATGGAGCTGTCGTACCAGACTTATGGAACGACCCCCGGCGAGGAACAGCAGTTTGCCATCCTCGACCGTGCCCTGGAGCTGGGTTCAACATTTTGGGATACATCCGAGTAAGGCCCTAGTCAAAATGTTCTCGTTGTATCGTATCCCAGCTAACGGAATCTACCAAGTCTCTACGGCGATAGCGAAAAGCTCCTGGGTAAATGGTTCCAACGCACCGGGAAGCGCGATCGAATTTTCCTTGCTAGCAAATTTGGTTTCGTTGGCGGGCCCGGAAATGTTGACAGTTCTGCGTCCTACTGCAAGAAGGCCTGCGAGGCGAGTCTAGAGCGCCTTGGTGTCGACTCAATTGACCTGTGTAGGCAACCCTCTTCCCAGTATCCAACAGGGAACTGACAACAGCACTCAAAAACCACTAGATTATATGCACATGGCGAACCCAGAGACCCCAATCGAGGAGACTATGCGAGCCTTGGTGGAGTTGAAAGAGTAAGGTCAACCCTAGGCGTGTCAGGTTCAACGAAGTTGCTAACACGATGCGCTCTCAAGACAAGGTAAAATCAAAAACATCGGACTGTCAATGGTTTCGTCTACCACCCTCCGCCGGGCGTGCAAGATTGCTCCAGTTACCGCTGTCCAGTCCGACTACTCGGTGGTGTCGCGTCAAATCGAGGGTGCCGCTGGAACCGATTTGTTGGCCACTTGCCGTGAGCTAGGAGTTGCTTTGGTCGCCGCTACACCATTAGGCAGGGGCTTATTGACTTCTACTTTCAGTCAGGGTAATGATGTGGGAGATGAACGCGACGTGCGCGTGAAAGTAATGCCTCGATTCCTGCCCGAGAATCGAGCACAAAACGTGAACGCGGTAGGTCAATTCAAAAAATTGGCGGACGAAAAGGGCTGCAGCGTAACTCAACTCGCTCTTGCCTGGATTCTGAAGCAGGGCGATGACATTTTCCCCATTCCTGGCACCAAAAGGCTCAAGTATCTGGAGGAGAACTGGAGAGCGCTGGATATCTGGCTCACGGACGAGGAAAATGCAAAGATCAAGGCTTTTGGAGACTCGATCAAGATAGCCGGGGCTGTTGTCCCCGATCAGTTTGCAGGCTATGTTTTCCGAGACACGAAGGAGGAGGTCGCATGAATGTCCATATTGACTGTGTTATGAGAGATGAATGCCGAGAAATCAGAATGTACACCGTATTTACTCCGTACTATTGGCCGACAAGATGAACCTCGGCCAATATTCCTCGGGCCGGAATAAGTGGGGGTCCGGCGGAACACCAATTCTGGCGGTGAAGAAATAGAACCAATGAAGGCAAGCGTGCGGAGAAGAAACGGCAGAATGGACAGAAGGAAAAAGAACCCCCACCCGCTTGTGTGAAAATGCTCCCGTCTACGCAGCATAAACCAGCACGCGGGACTGTTATATAGACGCCAGTGGTTTGGTGAGATTGAGTCAGATCTCATCCTGTTCGACTCGTTTCCAATCCCCTTATCCTATCGCAGGATCTGTGTATAAAATATCCAGTATTAGGAGTAGTCGTTCTCCAAGATCAGTGACGCCATAGCTCAGTAGCCAAAGCTCTTCTACTGGCCAGAGACTACCTCGCCCTCAACACACTCCCTCGCCCTTAATACTTCCACAAGATGGCTTCCTTACGAATTGCGGCTAGGCGAATGCTGCTTCCGCAGCGTTTTGCGTGTCGAGCTCTCCAAGTCCCTTCCACTACATCCCCTCTCTTATCTAGCACCAATATCACATCGCACTCACCAGCGCCATGCGCCATCCGCCATAGCTCTCACTCTCCATTGAGCGCCGCTACAACCAGCACGAGGAAGAAAGTCACAACGCAAACCCTACGCAATCTCTATAAAAAGGGCGAGCCAATCACTATGTTGACTGCCCACGATTTTCCAAGTGCACACGTTGCCGAGGTCGCCGGTATGGAGGTGGTTCTTGTCGGTGATAGCTTGGCTATGGTAGCCCTTGGCATGCAAGATACCAGCGAAGTGGTGCTTGAGGATATGTTGCTGCACTGTCGAAGTGTCGCGCGAGCAGCCCAGACTGCGTTCACGGTTCGTAAACCCCAATATAAAACCTACTGTGGGCCACTGTCCTAACCATCGTTCCCTTTTAGGTTGCGGATCTGCCTATGGGTTCGTATGAAATATCTCCAGAGCAAGCACTTCAATCGGCCATTCGGATCATCAAAGAGGGCCGTGTACAGGGCATCAAGCTCGAAGGTGGAGAGGAGATGGCTCCAACAATCAAGCGTATCACATCTGCCGGAATCCCCGTCGTTGGACATATCGGTCTCACACCCCAACGCCAAAATGCGCTTGGAGGCTTCCGCGTTCAAGGAAAGTCCACAGCAAGTGCTCTGAAGCTGCTACAGGATGCGCGCGCCGTGCAAGAAGCCGGTGCATTCATGATGGTAGTGGAGGCAGTGCCACCAGAGATTGCAAGCATCGTTACACAGAAGCTCAGCGTCCCCACTATTGGCATTGGCGCAGGTAACGGTTGTTCCGGTCAAGTCCTCGTCCAGATTGACATGACTGGAAACTTCCCACCTGGTCGTTTCTTACCTAAGTTTGTCAAGCAGTATGCCAATGTCTGGAATGAGGCGCTCAAAGGCATTGAGCAATACCGTGATGAAGTGAAGAGCCGAGCATACCCCGCAGAACAGCACACCTATCCCATTCCGAAGGAGGAACTAGCGGAGTTCGAGAAGGCCGTTGATGAGATACCCGAAAAGAAATGATTTAGAATGTTGCTCATACTTGTTTCTGGCACCCCGGCGTTCTACGTGGCATCCTGAGTTTTGATGCATCTGTGTTCTGAGTACTTGGCATGATATATGTTGGAGGTCTTGTAACAATAAACCTGGCAAACTTTCATCAGTCTTTGTGAATACGAATATGATTTATGACGAAGCCCGTGTGTATGGAGTGTTTGGTCTCCCTCATAGTTCTGGTGCCGAATGATGGCGCTGAAACGAGTTGATCTGCGTCAGTGTAGCAGATAATCAGTGTATATAAATGGAATATAATAGATAAAGTAGGGCCATCAATACGATAGACTCAGCATTTTCAAAAGGAAGAACACAAGGTGCGTTGTCAAGTTCAAGGTGTTGTTGGCAGATGGCGCAATGTCTGATTACATAACCGAGTCCTTATGATCACGTGGGATATCATGTGACATGGCAGGCTAACCACGCATGCCAACCCTCGCGTGCCGAATCCCCCCCAACACTCTTCACGCATCACTCGCTCCAGCAATAAGGAAGCTACCTTCGATAACTGGTGCTGATATCGAGTATGTGGGATAGTTTTACCTCACATCGCCACATATAAGCGCTATATTGCCTTGCGTCGTAGATCAAGAACTGGGTGGCGCGCGCAAGTCTAGCTCAGGAAGCAACCTGTTACCTACATCGCGCCGTAGAAATCTGAAATTTTCAAATCGCTATAACTATCACAATGGCTGGTAAGCTCAGTACAATTCAATACGCGTTCCTGCGCCCAACATGCAGAGCACGTTGTGGCGACTGGAACCAAACTCCAGGTACCCCGTACTCAGTGGATGATGAGCTAACTCCAGTGCCAGATGAACCGCGTCGCTCCGGTCGCTCGACCAAAGGACAACACAAAAACCTCGATATGGTCAACGAAACGCCCGGGAAGAAGTCGAAATTGAAAGCGCATGCGAAAGACAAGGGGTCGAAGGCCTCCGCAGAGCCCACCCCCGGGCCTAGCGAGGAGGAGGGGGAGGACGAAATCATCCGATGCATCTGTGGCGAATATGAGGAGGAAGAAGATATTGAGCGTGATATGATTTGCTGCGATGAGTGTTCGGCATGGCAACACAATGACTGTATGGGTCTGAAGTTTGCAAAGGGCCAGGAGCCGGATCAGTACTTCTGCGAGCAATGCAGGCCCGAGAACCACAAAGATCTCCTGGAGAGGATGGCGCGTGGCGAGAAGCCATGGGAAGAAGTTGCGGAAAGGAGGCGCAGAGAAGCTGAGGAGCTCAAGCAGTCAAAGCGCAAGGGACGCAAGAAGGGTGGCAAGCGAGGCAGACCAAGCGAGTCCAAGGCTGATGCAAGCACACCCGCTCGTGGATCGGCTTCCCGGCCGTCTGCTACCCCCTCAGAGACCCCAGCTGCCTCGACTGCTACGCCTGTTGCCGAGAAAAGCACTCATCCTCCTGACCAGCGGTCCGCAAGTTCCCAGAAGCGGAAGTTTAGTGAGCAGCAAGAAGTATCGACGCCTGAATCAGTATGTATACAGACCTTTATCATTTGGACACCCCCGCTAACCGGTATGAAGGGCCCTAAGTCAAAACAACAAAAGACGTCGCCTGCTGCTAGAGGGTCAACGCCTCAGACCAAATCAGCTCCCGTGAAGCGTGAGCCAGCTTCGCAGGACTCTCAGCAGCCATCTGTTACAGATACCGCTGCAACTCAAGGTGCGAAGTCTTTCGATGACATTTCTATCCCAGCTAGGAGGAATGCTGCTAGTGCGCTGGCGAAGGTCTTCGTAGATCAAATTTCTGATGCACTGGCGCGGGGATCTTTCAAACTGCCCCAAGGCAAGGCGGGGGAGGATGTTGGTCAGCAGCTGGGTCTCTCAGTCGAGAACGCTTTATATCAGAATCTATGTGGAGGATCTGGAGAGCCTACAGAAGCTTATAAGTTACAACTGCGGACGATTTTGTTCAACGTAAAGAAGAACCCTTCTCTACGGGACCGTCTGCTCGTAGGTAGTTTACTCCCTGAGGACCTCTCTAAAATGAGCTCCCAAGACATGGCAAGCGAGGAGCTGCAGCAGAAAGATGCAGAGATCAAGAGAGAAGCCGAGAGACAACACATCATTATCCAAGAACAAGGACCACGGATTAGGAGGACCCACAAGGGTGAGGAAATAGTCGAGGACGACCAACAAAACGTCGCCAGCGAGCCTGTCTTTTCAGCGGCACCGCCTCGGGCTGCCGCTGAAGATGGCAGTCCAGCTGCACACAGCCCAACAAGCCCAGTTGCTAAGCAGTCAGAGACTGCCGCACAGGACAAACCTCCTCAGACGCAGGAGGCTAAGCCGACGGAACGAACAAACCACGACGAGCACTTTCCACCTCGAAGCCACTCTCCCGGTACCGGCCACGAGCAAGTCTTCCCAGAAGTTGCAACAAATATTCGCGAACCAATACCTACTGGCAAGGTCCAGGCCGACGCAGAGATCGATCAACTGCTCAAGGACGATGACGAGCCTGACTCTCCACCTTATTCCCCCAAGGAACATCACGAAGAGGGCTCTATTTGGCATGGAAAAGTTGTCATGAACCCCGTCTCTGAGTTCATGTCATTCGCCAAGCATGTTGGAGGTGCAGATTTGAGTGGGAGGATACCTTGGAATGAACTTATCCCGCCTACTTTGCTGATTGACGGGAGAATCGACATCCAGTTGGCCACCAACTACCTCTGCGGTCTACGATTCAGCTCATCGACCGATGTATCGGTGATCTCCGTCAGCAGCCCGGAGTCTCCTAAGGAGAAGGCCGGATTCGACAAGCTTTTCAACTACTTCCAGGACCGCAAGAGATATGGTGTGATCGGCAAGCACCCTCTCCCAGCCGTCAAGGATACCTACCTTATTCCCATTGAGGCCGGGTCGAAGAAGAAGCCCGAGTTCATCGAGTTACTAGAAAACAATGCGCTCGAAGACCCAACACCAGAACGCATTCTTCTTGTCGTGTTTGCCGTCAAGATGGGCGAGTCGAACCCACCGTCCGTGCAACCTCCTTCTCACCATTCAAGTATGGAGCCCGCAGCTTCTGCAAGCCCGTTGACAGTCGCATCCGGTACCCCACAACAAGCCAATTTCGCGACTCCGGGCCCTCGAGCTGCAGCACAGTTCCCTCCAACACCCTCCCCAGCATTCCCGGGCGCTCCCCAAGGCCCGATTCCCTACAATCAACAAACGCAGCAACCAAACGCCGCGTACAACTCATTTCAGGCTCAACCACCAACAGACCAACCTTCCGTCACCGGTCTTGCCGCAGCAATCCAAGTGCTTGGGGGGCAGGCAAACACACCCGCTATCCAACAGCTCCTCCAGCAAGCACCAAACGCAAATATCACCCAATTGAATGTGGTTCGGGACATCCTTGTCCGACAGCCGCAGGCAGCCTCTGATTACCAGCTGTTGATGAACGAATTGTATCATGCTACGACGACAAACGGAAATGGTCATACCCCACAGCAGCCCGCCCAATAGAGGCTCGGATCTTGTTGTACAACACGTTTTCTCTCCGTTCTTCTTTTATATTTCCTAGCTGAATATCCTTTCCTGTTTTTGTTTTTTCTTGCTATTCCTCGGAGTCGGGTACTACGCGTTCGGTGTTGATATTATGGACCCTTTTTCGAGTGTGAAAATTATGTGAACTCTTGGCTGAATATGGGATCGTACATTTATTTATTAGCTATTAGTGAGGATTATTGATAACTTGCTGATGAACGCTTTATTCTATTCCTGCGTTGAAATGTTTTAACAATCGTTAATGAAGTCCACACGCATGTAATCAAATAGGTCCAAACCTCGCCTACATTTTTCAAGCTACAAGTAGTACAAACCAGTAAATAATCGAGGAAAAGGTTCACTATCCATAATTCGATGTAGATTGTAGAATCAGGTAGGTTATATTACCACAATTTTCGTCCCTAATATCCTAGGCAGAGCAGAAATAAAACGCCAGCGCTATGCATATTCACACCCAGTATAAAAGCGAAGGCGAAACCAACAACATCAAAGAAAACCAGCACTCTCGGAATGATCACCACCGGCCACCCCGCTTCTTATATCCTCCCCCGCCGCCATATCGAGGGCCTCTTCCACCACCGCGCGGACCACCCCATCCGCCACCCTCTTCCTCATCGTGGTGCCGAACAGGTGGAGGACGTCCCTTGAGCTCTTCACTCAGCTTCTTGTAGCCTTTGCGCATATCAGAGTATCCCATGTGCATTTTGCCGAAGAAATGATCCGCCAAACGGCGGTCGTTGTCGAGTCGACTAAGGTACGCGCCGCAGACGTCGCAGACTTGTAGCTTCTGGTGACCTGAGGGCCCAGATGTGTCTTGAAGGTTTTTCAATTCCCGTTCGCATGCTTCCTTTTGATGCTTTGCTGTGCGGGTCTTGTGTAGTTCGTTCAGAGCTTGCGCGACAGAGCCCGTTTCGCCAAGTACAGATATTTCGAGAAGGCCTGTGTTGATGGTTTTTGCTAGGTCGGAGATTTGTTTGAGCTATTTTACAGTCCATTTGTGTTAGCATTATCAATCACGACGTAATTCGGTGCAAGTTAAAAAGAAGCTACAAACCAGGTTATTCGTCTGCCGAATCTCATCGGGAGTCTTCTCCAGTCGGCGCTGCGCAGACTCGATCCGTCGGTCACAGTCATCGATGTACTTTTGCATATCGCGCATATAGTCGTAGTCGAATCCCCATTTTGCCTTCTCAGCCGCGGATGCGGTCTCGTACTCGGTCTTTAACCCTTCGCTGTGCACTTTCGGGCAAGGTCCAAGATCCTGCTTTGTATTGGTGAAGAGGTCGTGCGGACAGGTGCCAACAAGGTACGAGCGGCAGACCTTCGAGTCTGTGATGGAGAGTTGGGCATTACGGGAGGGTGCGCCAGTTCCTACGAGCTGGTCGGCTGCGATGAAGAAGTTTGTTAGCTTGCGGTTGGCGCTAGAAATCGCGCAATTGAGGTTGACTTACCTCCCATAAGCTGCTCGAGCAGCTTTCTCTGTTCGGCCGCCATGTCGAGGGTGAGCTAGTTCAGGGAGAAGCTTGAAAATGTGATTGAAGGCGTGCTGGAGGAGAGAGGATATCGAAACGGGCTGAATGGCGGCGGAAATGGAGATTGGCGCTAGTGGCGGTTCGCGCTTAGTGGCCCTTTCTGGGCGATGCCTGGGGAGCTTCAGGTCCTCTTGCGGCTCACTCCTCTCTTCCCCAGCGCTCTTTCAATAATAGTTCAATCCCAGTCTGGTGATTGCTATTGCGCCCAACCGGAAAGAAACAGGCTCCTGTTCGCGGGCGCAACGCACGGTCAATTCGGACTTCCGCCTCGATACTACTAAACTCTCCACCGTGTTCAAGCCTCCCCCCGTACATGGCTCATAACCTCTAAACGAAAGGCATTCGAGCTCGAAAGCATGCCGTGATGACCATCTTCTTCCTACTTGCGCTCGTTTTCGCCGCGTTGTCAGCTGGCTCCGCGGCGTCGAATTACCACGAGAACCTTCTCCTACAACCATTCCCGCCGTCATCTCTCCTCGCCTCGTTCAATTTTAAGAGCAATACAACACAAACCTCGTTCGAGCAACAGCATTTCCGATATTTCCCTCGTGCACTCGGTCAAATCCTACAGCACGCCAACACCCGCGAACTACACCTCCGATTTACTACTGGACGATGGGACTCTGAGAGCTGGGGCTCACGTCCATGGGATGGGGCAAAGGAGGGCGGCACTGGCGTAGAGCTGTGGGCATGGATCGAGGCTGCGGATGATGAGACGTGCGTTGTTTAATTATATACTGCAGGTGGTCTGGTACTGACATCTGGATACAGGGCTTTCTCGAAATGGATTACCTTGACGCAATCATTGTCCGGGTTATTTTGTGCCTCGCTGAACTTCATAGATTCAACAAGGACCACTAGGCCTGTTGTATCCTTTGAACCTTCTGGTGATCATCTGCCGTCCAAAAACCTGCATTTGCTTCATGGAACCCTGCCCGGTGAGGTTGTGTGCACTGAGAATTTGACGCCTTTCCTGAAGCTCCTGCCTTGTAAGGGCAAGGCGGGAGTAGCCAGTTTGCTCGACGGGCATAAGCTGTTTGACGCTGCTTGGCAAAGCATGGCGATTGATGTGCGCCCCATCTGCCCGCCGTCAGGGGAATGCCTGGTGCAAGTCGACCAAACTGTGGACATTGTGCTAGATATTGATCGGTCGAAACGTACGAGGGGTCAGTTTTGCAGTCCACTCTTTTTTTAAGAAAACAGGTCTAATTTTTTTCTAGGTAATCCTATCCCTCGACCTGTTCCCGCTGATCAGTTGGTTTGCGACACCTCAAAACCCTACCATGGAGACGACACCTGCTATCCTTTAGAGAAGACAGGTGGAAAAGGCTGGAGCATTTCAGAGCTCTTCGGACGCACTATCAGTGGCTCTTGTCCGTTAGCGGATAGTCAGAGCAGCAATGAGGGAACTGTGTGCCTACGCACATCGCCTGTGCGAGATGCTTATCTCTCATCGGGTTCAGGAGCAACGGAATCTGCCGATAAATTTACTCGCTGCTACACGCCGTCGTCGTCAGAGCCTTTTGACTTGAAGCTACTAGAACAAGATACGGCAGATCCTAAAACCGATGTCCCGTTAGATGAACCTGTTCTACACGCTGAGCGAACAATAGTCGGCCATGGACAGGAGCGAGGTGGAATGCGCATCATTTTGAATAACCCTTCGAGCGAGTCGGCTGTGGATTTCATCTACTTCGAAACCCTGCCTTGGTTCCTACGTCCTTATATACACACTATGCAGGCTACTATTACCGAGCGCAATGGTGTTCATCGACAAGTCCCCGCCTCCGACTTCATTAAAGACACCTTCTATCGCCCCGGAATTGACCGGGAACGCGGTACACAACTGGAACTTGCTTTATCTGTTCCCCCAGCATCAACGGTTACACTGACCTATGACTTCGAGAAAGCCATCTTGCGATATACCGAGTACCCGCCTGATGCAAACCGAGGCTTCAACGTTGCTCCTGCGGTTATCAAGATCGCGGCGGCTAAGCCAATTTATCTCCGTACAACCAGCCTTCTTCTCCCATTGCCCACTCCAGACTTTAGCATGCCATATAACGTGATCATCCTTACCAGCACTGTTATAGCACTAGCTTTTGGAAGCATTTTCAACCTTTTGGTGCGTCGTTTTGTAACTACCGAAGAAGCAGCTGCACTGAGAGCGCAAACCTTCAAGGGCCGTTTAGGTGGAAAGATAGTCGCTCTTCGCGATCGGATACGTGGGAAGGGTGCCAAGGTGGAATAGAAAATTATGTGTCAATATTATCAGATAAGAAACATAGTATCATAATTCATTGGATTAACTAAATATACACATCAAGACAATACCCTTTCTTCGTCCTACTCGGATTTTCTACAACCCCACCATTTATGTTAGCTCACGCGCAACCCTACAGCCAAGGATATGTCACTTACCCAGTAAAAATCCCCTTCATCGTATCCCACCCAGGCAATGTCTCACCACCGCCAGGCTTGTGGTTCATAAAACTCGTGTCCTCTTTCTGCGCCGGCGGCTCTTCGCCCGCAGACGCAGCAGCCCTGGCCATGTATTTATCTTCGGCAGCATGCTTCTGTTCTTTCAGCGAGTTGAAGCTGTAGATTGTATCTGCAGGGGCATCCGTCTATGATTCAAGTCAGAGATATTGAGCTTGGTGGGGAAAGTGATCCGTCGGCTAATGGGGAGGCATACAGGGACGTGGCCGGGCCCTTCGTTTCCACCTTGGGTCGCGGCGGGGTTGTTGGTTGTTTGGTTTTCCGACATGTTGGTCTTTGAGTATTGAATTTCTGGATAGTTTGGGTATAAGGAGGAGCGATGAAGGGATGAGGGGATGTAAAACTTGCTTTATAGAGAGAGTTGGAGCTGTGATGTAGCTCTGGATGCGATGACATCATCGCATCTTTGGCACGATCTCTGCCATGAAATGAAAACGCTATTTCTAGAAACATCTTATCAAGATAACTTGCATACACGGAAGGTATGTTAAGGGGCTGTTTGGGATATTATTGATTTAGCGTACAGCAGAGAAACATACCATGCTGTGTTGACTTCACCAAACGATATATACTTAGGACACACGAAGGTATTTATTAACGAAGTGCCCTGTTTTAACCTTCAAGACCAACAAACAAGGCACGATAATCATACACTACAGTGGCAAGAGTTTCTCCCTTTCATACCCGAGAACAGCGTCTCATCCTTAATACATAGTTGAAGGGGTATTGTATACATTGTATATTGGTTACCTAAACGATGCGCATAGGAATGGACAGCGGTTGAAATAAAGCACTGCTATATATATACTTTGATACCTCCAAAGTGCAATCACTTCTGCTTTCTCCTAACATAACCAGCTTTCGTGATAGTCACAACCGGCTTTCCCTTCTCCTCCTCTTCCGGACAAGCCATCGCAAACCACTGAAGCCGATGCAGACTGGCGTGCCCCGAAGCGTCCGGATGCACTATCCTCCCAACGGGATAGATATCCCCACAGGCCCTCGTCACAACCTGCTCAAAGTCGCCCTTGCTCGCCACCGTCGTCGTAAAGTCCACGAGGATCTTGATTTCCCGTGCCGTCCCAACACGGTCCTGCCACACCTGTCGCTTCTCAGGGAACTGCTCCAGCACCTGCTCTGGGTCAAGCAAGCCGATTAGACGAGGCGCGCGCTTGAGCGCCTTGCTCGCTTTGTACGCAGCCCCATTGCTCCCTGTGAAATCGTGCCATTTTCCCGGTGGGTTCCTGCCCACGGGGGCGCGACGGGCAGCGATGCGGATGGGGCCTGCTGTGGTGCCTCGGAGGGCGGATTGGAGACGGTTAGTCAACTCCATGAGCTGGTCCTTTGTGCCTTTGCCTTGGCATTCAATTATGAGAGGGTAGATGCCTGGTCCGCAGATGAGGTCGGAGATGGGGACCGAGGCGGACACTCTTGATGCCATTGTGCGGCATGCGTCGCACCTTTGGCTCTTCCTCGAGCAGTCGTATTGTGTTGCCATTTCTATTTTAGTTGAATTGCTGCTGGATGTGGTACTTTCTTCAGAGGTCGGTTTGCTAGCTATTACAGAGATATGTGAGTATTCTTATCTGTATATATAACGAGTACAGACAAAGACCTGAAACATAAAGGTACAACCCTTTGTAGAGCATACAACGCTCTGCAACAATTATCATTATTGCCATCGTTTGTCCTGCATTGTTCCTTTGTTAGGGCTTGAGTAGATGTATAGATACTGAACATCACTGTCAAAGAGATATTGTATCGTACAATGGACTGTCCGGTAATCTCTGGTGAAATAGTGAAACCATGGGATTTTGGTGCTCTTTATGAAGCATACAATTATCTGCGACAGATACCATAATTGCCATTGTTTGTCCGGCATTATTCTTTATTAGGGCTTATGCGGATTTTCCCCAGCGCGGGGAAACTTGTTTCGAAAGCCCAAGGAAGCCGTTTACTGCCTATTACTGGAAGTGTAATCTTGTTGAGACCACAGGTACCCGTATCACAGAAAACTCAGTGTACAATCCAATCCCCTTGCTGGGGAGCTATCTGTGAAACCGTGTGTGAGAAACAGTTGGCCACCGACTAGCCCTACATGGTTTTAGTGTAGTGGTCTAGCACCAAGAAACCTCACCGTTGTCAGAGTATTCTGAGCTGATGTGCTTAGTTTGGCTCACTCTGTCTATCAAGAGAATTGTCTATACGAGCTGCTTATCCTGTGGCTACAGCTGGTGCAGGAACCAGTCGGCAGATTGGGGCTATTCTGGTTTGTGCAAGCGCAGCACACCCACCATCCAACCATAGGTAGTTGCTAGTTTACAATAACACCAACAATTGAAGCTACTATTTTGCGCAAAGGTTGCCGAGGAGTAAGAATAGATGGATTTATAGCAAGTAGGAGAAGTGTATATCTTTTGGGGGGAATCAACAAGGAGAACCATGCAGTGCGTCAATCATAAACGTAAATAATAAGGGGTATCCAAATCTGGATGCAAAACAAAATATGTATAAAAGGTTTTCCAAGGTTCCGGTATAATCTGGCCTCCAGCTACTCCCGGTAGGCCTCGACTTGGTCGGCCCATGTCGCGCCAGAAACTGGTGATAAGGGCTTGGAACTGTTATCGGAGGCCGGCGTGGGTTCAGTCGTGGTGGGATCTTTCTTCTCTCCACCGGGGAGGGAAGGAAACTCTGTCTCGTTGGTGATCACCGGTGTAGGTGCCGCAGCCTTCTCTTGAGATGGTGTTTCGGATGTGGGATCCTGAGAAACACGGCGGCCGCCACGACCGCGTCCACCTCTTCCACCACGACCACGACCACGGTGACTCTGGGGTTGAGAAGCATTGTCGTCCGGTGATTCCTCAGCCCACCGGGACCCTTCAAGGCCCTTTCTGGATACACCGGAAACACCACCGTGCATACCCCGTCGGAACTGGCCTCCTCCACCGCGCGAGCTGAACTGTTCTTCCGGCTTATCAGCATCCCATTCTCTCCCGTTCAAGGCCTCAAGCTTCCGCAGTCGGTTTCGCTCTCTATCGGCGTCCATTACTCGTCGGTTGGCTCGTTCCTCGCGTCGCTTCTTCTCTGCCACCTTCTCGCGCTCCATAAATGAAGCTTGGTCTGCCTCAGCACGCGCGTGTGCAGCGGCTACTTTAGCGGCGTTCTCGCGCGCAGCAGCAATGCGTTGGGATAGTTCTTCTTCTGTAAGTTTCGGCTAGACAAGTGTCAGTGCTGGCTTCCTTGCTTAAATAATACCAGGCATAGGTAGGCATACCTTCTTCACTCCCCCGGTCGCACTCCTATCCCCACGAACAGCCGGCACGCGCGGTGCCTCTGCTGCGCCAGAATCCTCTTGACCCGGCTCCTCTACCTTCTCAGCAGGCGTCTCAGCGGCATTTTCTTCTCCATCCCGAGCCTCAGATTCCGCAGACCCCTCGTCAGGTTTGTTCTTCGGCCCTTCTGACCGCTTCGGCCCAGACTCGCGCGCTCCTCGCCCACCGCGCCCTCCTCTCCCTCTCCCACGTCCCCGCCGTTCACCTCCCCGCGATCGCGGCGCGTTATCATTATAAGCGGACGTCGTTTCAGGCACCCGATCCACGACCGGAGCAGCAGCAGGAGTAGTCTCCGGCTCTGCAGCTACAGCCTGAGGCTCCGGCTGGGGCTGTTGTTCCTCCGGCTCGACGGGGATGATCTCATCGTCGAAGAGATCGTCAGCGCCTCGCGTTTGCGCGAACTCGTCCAGGCCGGGGATGTCGGCCATATTTAATATCGATACGGTGGTTTCGCTCGTTTGAGGTTCTTTGTTTTTTTTCCTCCGCTGCACAACGTGTCGTGGCGGGCGTTTGTTGGATGACTGGCAATTGTTTCCAGTCGCGGTTTCCGCTTGACTCGCTCCGCGGTCCTTGCGCTGCGGAGCGACAGAAACCAATGAGAGCGGTCTGTGGGTGCTTGTGGGTGGGTCCGGGTGAGTCTTGGCTCTATCCGAAGTTTGTACAACTGCAAGGCTGCTCGGTGAATAACTGATACAAGGTTCAATGTTTTGAGTTTCGGATGTTTCATGGCATCGAATAGAAATCGGGTTGAGCTGTTAGATATTAAAATGTAATTGGAGGATGATGACGCCTTGAGAATCGTAAATGTCCGAGCTACGTATAAAGATGATATATATAACCCAAATTCCCTTAATGGGAGGGTTATATGCAGCATTAAGTATAGTATAACTAAATAATCGATACCGAAACCGCGAAGAAGTTCGGTAAATTGGCATGTTCATTTATTCACTGTTTGTATACCTATTTACTTGTTGGGTGGTATATACAATTAATTATCCCTTCACGATCAAATGCACTCCCAAGCATTCTCATCGGTGTAGTTACCGGGTCCCTTGAACACATTCTTGCGAGGGTATCGGCAGTGCTTGCGGTGATATTTCACTGGAGATCCAACCCCATTGGTAAATTTGGCTCCCCGGACCGTCTCTGGCGGGACACCCTCTTCAACCCATTGCACAATGGCCATGAGCACATTGTCCTCGGGGTCACTGCTACCTGAATAACCTTGATCCTCGTTCCCAATGGCATACGCACCCTCACCATCAGTGCAATGCGCCATCCCACTGATAGGGAAGAACCGATAGAACTCATCCAGCTGGTTTGGCTTCAGCCCCATGGTCTCCTGAAGACGGTAGTAGTACAGCTTTGAGTTATCTGAGCTAATCAACTGGTCTTGGAGTCCATGGTAGGTGAGAAGCTTGGTACCCGCGTCGCGAAGAGCAGAGAGATCTGCGTTCCACGTCGCAATGTTGTATGGGTTCTGCTTCAGGGCTGCCTCGGCGTCCTTGACGTTCCATGTTGTTGCGTCCCAGTTGGGGTCACTGTAGACAACATATTTCCACCAGTCACTACTGTATATGAATGGCTCGCCAGTGTACACAATGGGTGCCGCAAAATTTTCAGAGCCCGGTTGCATCCGTGGGTAAATAAGCGATCCATTCGTGCTCAACAGCGGAGAGAGAATTTGGTGGACTGTGTTGACCTGGGCAGCAGTAAGGCACTTGTCTGAGGCTGATCCAGACTTGCACAGAATTGTGGTAACGTTTGGATGGCAGGCATCGGTGTCCTCAATGATACCGTCCTTCGCTCCGTCTAGACCATCGCACTGACGGATGATTTCGTCGTGGACTAAACTCCACTTATCAACTGATAGAAAGGTGGCTGACCCTTCGGGACCCGTAATCGGATATAGTTGCCCACTAAAAGACAGCAGGCCGTTCCAATTGAACGCAGGTGCACCCGCAACAATTCCATCTAGCTCATCTGGAAAATCCTGTGCAAGCTTCATACCCTGTCTTCCTCCTGTCGAGCAACCCAGGTAGTACGACGTGTCGAACCCTTCGTCATAGAAGAGTTTTGTAAGCTGTTTTCCAACAACAATCCCCGTGTGGACCGAGCGGTATACAAAGTCCTCCAACACCTCAGGTGCTTTGTAGAATGGCTCTCCAGAGGTTCCATTGTGGCCATTATTCGCACCGACGGTTGCAAATCCCAGGCCCGTAGTATACGCAAGGTCATTGTACTGAATGCCTACAATGAGTCAGTCGAGAGCTTTACGATGAGATGCACAATTCAAACCCACAGCCACCAAGTCCTCCATTCCCAGTACTTAAGAAGCGCCCAGTATAGTCCCTGGGGAACCAAGCCTCGAGCGTGATTTCGCTAGCATTGGATGTCGCAACAGCCATTGCAACTCGACAAATATCCCCCGAGACTGGTTGTGATTTTGGGTCGCAAGATTGAACATTGTCGGCCAACGATACATTCGTGCCCCCGGCAACATAGTTGACTAGGTTCACCTTGACGTTTGGGATGTCGACCTTGGCCGCGAAGCCCTCGCACCGAGATTGGAATTGGTCCTGTGCGAGGGCTGCCGAGCCCAGGGTCAATATGGGTAGCAGAAGGCGACCGGGTCCCATGTTGAAAGGTTGTATAATTTTCCTTAGAAGGTTCGCTAACCCTTATTATTATAAAAGCTGGGCGAATTATTTGGGTGGGGGGCGGGCGGATCTCCTGATTTATGTACGATGCCTCCGCGGATACAAGGATATCCAGATACCGATATACAGCGTACATCATTCCTCATTAGTATTATGAAGCGGCATTGTTGGAGGGTTCGACATCCGAAGAGGCATTTATCCGAAGTAAGACCGTCAGTATTATTGGCAGTGGATCAAGACTTTCAAGAGCATGGAACAGTGACGCAGCAGTGGGAACGGATAGCATTCGGATGCCAGAACAGGAAAGATCTGGAAAATCCGGCTGGGACGGGGGATCGCCATTCCGTTTACTTTGGATGGCTGAGCTGGAGCTTCTGCAATGATAATGATGATGCCTGTAGATAACCCGTGAAGTTGTGAGGATTTGACATTCGTAGCTGACGAGGGCATCTCGGGATCGCCGTGTTCATTCTCCGCATTTGTACTCCGCGTTAATTTATCAGGGTGGAGAATATTTGGAGCAAACGACTTGCAGCTGCCAGCCGGGCATCTGGAGTCGGCAGTTAACAAAAAGCTTCTTGAGCTGGATAAGCATAATTAAACTCGTCAATCATCGGGCAGATGGGAAGCGAGCCACCGAAATCGCCAGTCGCCGGAGTTATTTGCAGGTCTGTTGGAGTGTCGAAGTATGTTGGTAGAGGTATAGATACAGAGTGGCGTAAATACCAAAGGAAAGCAAGTGATGATGCCTGGAAAGGGGTGAAGAACGCACACCGAGGCTCACCCCCAGGGCCGAGGGCTCCTCTGCCGATTTCTCGTCCCGGAGTGTTTCTGGGTTGCAGACAGCCCACTAGCGAGTATGGGTAAGCGCTAACGCTTTGACAAAATGTTGATCAAGCAGCAGGAGGAATCGAGACCCGAGATTAATGTAATAACAAAGTGGATTCAAATCTGATTACCCCAGATTGGCAGATAATGACGCTAGTTAGCTATAAATAAGAGGATTAGGGCAAGAGCCTGAGCACCCGACGGCCGGGTTGAAGTATAATACGATAGTCGCTGGCAATACGGAATACGGGGGAAAAAAAAAAAAAAAGGGACAAACTAAAAACAATTTCAATCACGCACGGAGTGATTCACGTAAGGGAAACCAATTCTAGTATCAGATGTGGACGAAATGACGAAGCAGGTACTGTTCGCGTAAAGCCATCAAAGTATTCCGTTGACCGCATGACGAAATATGTTAGCAGGTTTCAGATGACTGAACCGGATGGCGGGCTTGCCATACAAACAAAAATAAGCACTAGCATAGCAGCTGTAGCTGAGGGAATGCTGTGGCTTCGCTGTGAAGCGATGGCCCATATAGCTCCAGTGATTATCCAGGCAGTGTGATGCCCAAGGATTCCGTCGAATATCGATGTTTCTCGCCATTTCATTGCCGCCTCAAGAGTTGTTTGCAAGTTTGCTGCTGTTGATGCTGTCTGGTCGAGAATTCCTTTGGAGATTCGAATGTCGGTTTGTAAATCCTCTTGCGCTTGGGCTTGTGCCGCGGCAATTTCGTACTGCCGCTCCTGGATTTTGCTCAAGCTGTCAACTCTGAGCTGGAATTCTTCAAGAGATAATCCGATGCTACTAAGGCGCTTCTCAAATTAGCGTCGGTAATTTCAATAATGAAGGAGGAGAGCGAACCTCGGAGAAACCTTCTTCTTGTTCTATTATGTCTCCCATCCTCATATATAGCCATTCCTAGTACAGATGTCAACAGTGGCTAGCTATCTGCTAAGAAAATGGACTTACCAGGGAAGAATCAAGGGCTCCCATACTTTGACTGAGTCTACTCATATCATCCGTCGCAATGGCTTGAAGTTTCGACTTCAGGGATAATGCAAGCTCCTCTTGAGTATCTGCATTCCGCCGCTGGGTCATGGCAACTTGCTCGCTCCGTAGGAGCGATTCGCCATGAATGTACTGTAGCATTTGTCGCAGGGACATAGCCTCATTTGACGAGTTCTGAAGGTCCTTCACTCACGTTAGTCCTACGTCCGCTAGGTGGGAAGGGGTTCATCTAACCGACTGGATTTCTGAGAAGCCAATGTGGACGGCGCTCAGAGCTGAAGATATAGACTCCATAAACGAGGTAAAATGTGTCTCAATTTTGTGAGACATCCTTATCACTGATGATGATGTTGATTCCTCCATCTCTCGTAGCGCCTCATTTCTCAGAAGCTCAGTTGATCGCATAAAAGCCCTACCCTTGGCGGACTCTTCGACAGCAACTCGTAACGCTTCCAGAATACCGTCACTCAGCTTGGTAGAACTCTGAAGAATAGTATTGTATGTCGCCAGGATGTCCTCCTTCTCGATCTCACTTCTCGAGGCATGGCAGATGACCATCGCATTCTGCTTACTATTGCTATATGATGTCCACCACTGAGGGCGTGATTCTAATGACTTGAGACACGATTCTAACCTTTCTTTTCGCATAGGGTCATCGTCGATAATTACTGGATTGTTCTTGGTATAGAAGCTGAAACGTGCTTTTTTGGGTGCCGGCGAAACGTTCATCGGCTGGCACGGTAAAGGAATGGATATCCCTGCCCCGCTAATCTCGCATATCGCCAGCCTCGCTGCGTACAGCGATCGGACATATTCCAGAGCCAGGTATGTATCAGAATCGGTCGGGGTTTGAGAGTTGCGTCCTATAGATTTGCAGGATGTAACGAGCTTTGTAGCAGCGAGTTTGTTACAGGATGAGGATGAGTTGATAGATTCGAGTAGTTTGAGCGCCTCGCTAAATATGCCATCATGTTTCAGAGTTTTAGATTCGAGGAATGAGGCTAAGTCGAGGTCTTCATTGAGATCGTGAATCTGCGCCGGGACCACTGGTCCATTGTGAGTAGTTTACTAGCAAGTTGGGCCTATGGGCAACTCACCGTCAACTCCAGTATCTGCACACGCAAAGCCTGGGACAAAGGGAATATATAGGAGCAGCGTCGACAAGCCCAGCATCTTCATTGTGACAAGTCGAAGTCTTCGGTAGTATAAGCGAAGCCACGTACAGTGATGAATAATGACAGTACCAGTGAATGAAGAAAGCAATTTAGGATGAAATGTGATGAAATTTCAATTGAAACAAATACCAGATATGATAACGAGAAACAATTATGAGGATGAGAGAAAGTGTCAAGTGGTCATTGTGCTCAAAGTGAGCACTGGAGCTTTAGCCAGGAAATGTAATGAGAGAAACAGAAGGACCCGAAAGAAATCATGTCCAACAAGGCCCTCCAGACACAAATTGAACAAATGAAGTAATTAAACCTGTATACCCTGGACAGACATTTATTTTTCATTATTACTTTTTCCTTCTAGGCAGGTTACTTGTCAAAATTTCAACATCTCTCGTGGATCTATACAGAGACAAGTCACGTGTGTAGGCGACGCTAACCGTGTTTGGATCGGGGTTGCTGCTGGACAAAATCCCGTTCGCATCGGAGATCAAAAGTGCTTCTCCAACAAAAGACCACAACACTTCCTCACCATGACGAGTTTACTCCCACAAAGCTGCTTCAGGCAGCTAGCACGGAGCCCTTTCACGAAAAGGACACCACTTTACCCTTCCTCCTTGCTCCGCTCCCAACCAACACACTGCTTTTCGACCACCCCCCGGGTCCAATCTCGAGTCGGCGGTGCTCCAGTCTCAGTACCCCCAGAAGTCTCCCTAAAGTTCATCGACCTACCTCAGACTACAGCTCGGGGGACATCTCAGGACCATGCGAAAACCGCAATTGAAGTCACCGGACCGTTAGGTGAGTTCCGTCGCACATGCTTTTTTTTCCCTTTTTCATTCCTTTGGCGGAGACAAGTCTAACATTGCTGTCGTGTGACAGGTCAATTAACGCTGAACATCCCTCCTTTCCTCAAAGTTGCTCACGATGAAAGTCTCCAAAAGGCTACGGTAGAAGTCGAAGACAGGGAAGTTACGCATCAGCGTGCTATGTGGGGTGTGTATTCTCCCTCTGGTCGAAGTGAAATGAACGCTTTTCTGACAGCCCTGGCGGCTTATAGGAACCACGCGAGCCCATTTACAAAACTGCATCCTCGGGGTCTCGGAAGGCCATATCTGCATTCTGAGTCTGGTTGGTGTCGGCTACAGAGCCACCATCGAATCAACGGCGACCACCGTTCAGACACAGTACCCCGGCCAACAGTTCGTTTCTCTCAAGGCTGGATACTCACACCCAATTGAGCTGGGAATCCCACAAGGCGTTAAGGCAAGCACTCCCCAGCCGACACGTATTCTTCTGCAGGGCAGTGACAAGCAAGTTGTAACGCAATTTGCGGCGGAGATCCGAGAGTGGCGCAGGCCAGAGCCTTACAAGGGCAAGGGTATCTTCATCAACGGAGAGACAGTCAAACTGAAGGCGAAGAAGATTCGGTAAACACATCTACGTATTTGGAGCGGAGTGTCGGCTATGGTTTCTGTGTATTTATATCCAAGCGCCTTTCTTTGTGTTGGCGAAGGTTGCTATATCCATGTACTTTTATAGAAGATTCGATTCCATGCATCCTCCAGACATTTCATTATTTTCGTTACATTTTCATTGATTGGCCTGCGTTCAGAGCTTCAAAACCTTCTTGACGGTGCTGATGACTTCGTCTTGGATGGCCTTAGGAGCAGCCACAACTCCCTTGTTGGCGGCTAAGGTTCTGCCCTTGCTGAAGTCCAGCGTCTGACCGTAGATATCAGTCACTTGACCACCGGCCTCTCTGACAATGAGGTCACCAGCAGCGTGATCCCAAATCTTCTCCTGGTAGTCCTTCTTGACAGGTAGTCGGAGGTAGATATCACCTGCTCCACGTGCAATCGAGCAATACTTGGCCTGCGAATCTAGTCGCACGCTAGGGGAAGTAATCCCGAGAAGCTGGGCGACAGCGGCATTGTCACCCTGAGCAGAGTGTCCAGCCTCTACCCCCTCGCAGAAGACAGCCTGAGAAATATCAGGAACAGGGCGCATGGAGATAGACTTGCTTTCAGCAAGAGCGCCATCCTTCAGGGGTCTGCTGATCGATCCCAGACCTTTGATGGCTGAGAAGAGCACCCCGTTGCCTGCCCCACTGTTCTGGTCGACACCAATCGAAGCGGAAATGGTAGCAGCGTCATCCACTGGAAGATTGGGGCAACCGATAGCGCCAACCTTGACATCGCCATCCTCTAGCAAACCCAGGCAGACAGCGTATTGACCGCCTCTGAGGAACCCCTTGGTACCGTCAATGGGATCCAGAGCCCAGATACGACCCTTGGGACCACCAGCACTCTTTCCCTGATCGATAATGTCCAGCATACTCTCTTCACTGGATAGGGTACCACCAAGAATCTCATTGCTTTCTGCGTCCTCCAACTTTACATCCTTGACCAGTCTCCAGATCTCGGTGCTCAAGGCCTTATCTTCACGGAGGCTGCTGGCTTCCTCCTCAGCGACAATTTCATCGTTGGGGAAATTCTTGCGAATTGCCTGGATAATCAGGGCCTGGGCTCCGAAATCGCCAATAGTAACAGGTGACTTGTCGTCTTTTGATACAGTGCCCTTGGCCTTTTCGTTGAAGACCTTCTGTGTGAGGATAGTTGCACGCTGGACGGCGAGCTCCGCGATGTAGCGTTCACGTTCGTATGACATGGTTGCGAGGTGGGATGATGGCTGTGGTGAGACAGTGAATCGAGGGGTAAGAAGGAAGTTGCAGGTGAAACGTGGACGATATTTTAAGAGCACACCAACGCCCAATACAAGAGTGGAGCAGAGTACGAGTCGGGAGAAGAATGGGAGACGGGACTTGCAAGTGGAGGAAGGATCGGCCTGCTTTGAAGACCAAAGACGCATTGGATGCCACACGGGGGCGCACTGAATAATGTATTGCCGGGGGTCGAATCGCGGAAGCACCTTCGTCTGCTAATTGAACCTTCCAATATCGTCCAGGTACCTTGAGCCTTGGGGAAGAGTCCAAAGAGGAGAGGGCCAAGTAGCATAAGTTGATGTGGTTAGTATAATCTCCCCGCACTAAGCCTCTTTGGGTAGGGAGTCGAGGGGCAACGGTCACGAGCCATGACGTGGGAGGCAGACACCGAACACACAAGTCTGTTACTCTTCGGCTGCCGTGGCTGCTCGTCGCTGCCCTACGGATAAACAATCTACTTCCTTTCCTCAGTCTGTCTGTCGCAAGATAACATCACCTCGTCATCTCGACAGGGCGCAATATACTCCAGATCTGCAGGGAAACTCACCACGGCAGTGCCACCTGCTGTGATACAAAGAGCCTTTCATTTCCGGGGCAAGGTACAAGGCACCGGCAGGTATTTTAACTCCGGCTGCACCGAACGACTTGGCCTCTCTCAATACTCCAGAAATCTGTGATTTTTGTATGGATTTGTGACCAGCATACTATGCGCATGAGCATCCAACCACTGCCTTTGGGTCAACATCGGAAATAGTCCCCGCAGCGGAGGAATACCATCATGTTCCACTCAACGGTGAGTTCATTGAAATTCTGCATGGAGCTGCATGTGTCCATTGTGTACCAGAATGGTACATGAAACTTTCATGTCTATTCGCCCGGCTGGATTCCAGGCATGCTGACTCGCACTCCCTAGAAACCATACTCGGCCGTTACGGTACAGATAGAGGTACTTACCAGCGAACAATATGAGGTGGAAGACTCGAGCGGTATTGTCGATCTTATTGAGGCCATTCGTATACAAGCAAGCGGCCCTACAGAGGCTTCCCGCGCTCTGCGCAAGAAGCTGTCAGTCCTTCCCCCCTCCCACCAGACACTCGCTAAATCGCTAACATTTGCCTAGGAAATATGGCAATATTCACCGTCAGTTACGATCCCTTACGATCCTTGATTTCTTAATTCAAAACGCGGGTGATCGCTTTCACCGAGAATTCGCAGACGAGCCGTTACTGGAGCGATTGCGAATTGCCGCCACGGACTCGATTTCCGATCCCTTGGTTAAAGAGAAATGCAAGCAGTTGTTTGGACAATGGGCAGTCTCATATAAGGGTACCCCTGGGATGGAACGGATTGCTGGGTTATACAGGCAGCTTCCGAAACGGAAACAACCAGCGAATCAAGCGAAGGCCAAGGTTCTACGCGACTCGGATAAGTCTTCTGAGCCTCAAATCGGACACTCGGTATCAGTTTCTGCTGGAAACGGACCTGCTACCGTACTCAGTAGCCCGAAACACAAACATTCATCCAGTAAAGCACTGAAGAAAGAGAAAAAGGAAAAGAAGCTACACAGCCGTTCGTTCAACTTCGAAAAAGAGAAACCGGAAATGCTTCAAACTTTAGCTTCCTCCTCAGTTGCTAGTACAAATCTTCTTAACGCTCTCAAGCGCGTGAATCGAGAGACACACCGCGTGAGTGAAGATGCCGAGGTACTGAACAGATTTGAGACGTGCAAGCAATTACGGCGCCAAATTCTACGATACATTCAACATGTTGAGAGTGAGGAATACCTGGGCAGTCTGATTCATTCCAACGAGGAGTTGGTTTCAGCATTGATGGCATTCGAGGTTCTGGACAAGAGCTTGGACTACGACAGTGATAGCGACCAAGATGTTCTCGAGAGCGGTTGGACGCCTGATCATGAAGTCAATGAGTCCTTTGCTGGGCTGGCCATCAACCCTCCAAAACCCCCTCGCCCTACCCGACCATTGAGTGTCGCAGTACCTTCATCCTCCACACACGGACCGATATATTCCAGCGAGAGTGAATCAGACTTCGAACCTGATGACGATGACGAGGACAATCCGTTTGGGGACAGGAATGCAATTTTGACGCCAGCGGTGGACACCTTTGGTCGAACTGTGTAAGGGAAACCCTGAAGCCTGAACCTGAACTTTTTTCAGTCTAACGATTTTCTAGGAAGGAGGTTTAGAGCATTCGATTCTCTAGTCCCATATCCTGTCGTCCCTATCATTGATACGTTCTGTATTTCGGCAGCAGCCTAGTATGGATGACACGCACATGATGCCCAGTGCATTGTCTGATCTTTCCAATTTATAACAGGCCAATATACGCACACCTCCACAGCCCCATGTTATTCCCTTATATGGAGTACATAGTATACTACCTCATCCAAGACCCCCCATCGTTTCTTTTTACGATACTATGAATCTGACGGAACTATGATCTTTATACACTTGAGGCCGGACCCCTGTACCCTCAAGCGAACCCTGAAAAAGGGAATAATATAATAAATCCGTTCTATCACTCTCCAAATTCCCTCATCATAATGCAGCCCAAAAGCATAGATATTCCAAATAAATCCCCTCTAAATACACTAACCGTATTTGGCAATAAGCTCGCTGGAGGTTCGGGTGCCTGAGGCTCATAAATTAGTCAGCACAGCATCATCACCAAGACTCTTCCAGACGAAGCTCCCCTACAGCAACAAGCACAACAACAACCATTAACCACGATATGACCTTCCCGCTTTAGTATAACACTAATAACCCCGTACTATCTCCTGTACACTACACCACCCGGACCACAGGGGCTCCTCAGCGTACCATGCCCGACTCTCCCCGCGAGGAGCGCCGGCGCTCACGCTCACGCTCGCCGCCTCGCCGCCCAAAGGCTCACGGAGGCTTTCGCTGGAAAGACAAGCGCAGCGCAAACAACGACACTCAGAATGACGGCGATGCACGACTAGATCGGGGCTATCGGAATCGCTCCCCCCGAAGACCGTACGATCGAGACGGTGATCGTGATCGAGGTAACGACCGGTACAGAGGCGACTATCGAGACCGAGAACGAGGTGGAGATCGGGACCGGAGCGATTACCGCGACAGAGATAGGGACAGACCTCAAGAGAGGAGTCATGACCGTGACCGCGACCAGCGCCCCAAGGAAAAGAAAGAGAAGAAGGAGAAAAAGCCCAAGCCCGCGCCCGTCGGCGGCGGCGAAGCAATGATAATCGTGCACGTCAACGACCGTCTAGGAACGAAGGCTGCGATCCCTTGTCTGCCCTCCGACACGGTCGGGAACTTCAAGGCCCTTGTCGCTGCGCATATTGGACGTGAACCGCATGAAATTTTGCTTAAGAGGCAGGGGGAGCGGCCGTTTAAGGATTTTATTTCGTTGGCGGATTATAGTATTGGGAATGGGGTGCAATTGGATTTGGAGGTCGGAACTGGGGATTAAGGGTCTTGGCCTTCTGGCTGAATCTGGTTTTTGGGGAAAGAGTAGCGGGGAGAGATCCTGGTTCATTCGCGACCTACTTTCGGGGACCAAGGTTATCTATGTTCAAATGAAGTATGGGAAAATACATTGCTTTCCACTACGATGTGACACTGCATTTCTCGGTTTGAGCGACTGCCTGGGTAGCTTATGGGCTCTGGTCAGGTTGCTGCTGATATCAATGGATCGTGCCCAGTATCATATCTACGATGAAGACGCCATGATGCAATATGTTGAGTTTGATTCAATGTGTTCGTGTATAATATATACCCAATGGAAAAAGTACCCTCGACTCCGTTTCTGTAAATATAGAAAGTAGAAAAGAACCTTGAATATACCAACGCCAGCAAGGTGGGTATTATATGTAAGCATAGCCAGTCATCTCATATCATTATCTAGGGGAAAGGCAGAAAAGAAAACTCAGAAAAAGAAGAGAAAAAAGTGAGAACCAGACCAAATCCTATCTCTATAGCACTTTCGTCTTCATCCATTCACTCGTTCCAACGCCGAGGTTAAGCCCGTTGCGAGCCCACCATTTCCGAACTCGTTCTTCGGCGCCTGACACAGGGTCCGCATCTTCAAGGGCTTCCTCGATGTCACAGGTCTTGAACTCGACTCGGAGACCGCTTTGACGCCACCATTCTAAAACGTTATCATGGCCGTTCTTAGTCGGCCCGACGAGCACCTGACAGTCGAAAATCATCTTGGCGCCTTTCAACTTATACCAGAAATCAAGGACGTGGACGTGCCCATGAGTGCTAGCGATTCGTGCAACCGACTCCGCATGCGTATATGGAATACCTGACGCATCCCACCAGGCAAGCGAGGCCGTTCTTCCAGACTGCGCAGCCAGGAGAACCGACTTGCCGACCTTAAGCGGCAATGAACGGGCACGAGGAGCGGCTTCTGCTGTCTTTTTCCACCAGTTGAGAACATCGACACGGCCCTCGGCACTGGCAGACTCGAGTGCCCTCTCAGTATACCGTAATTCAAGACCTGAGGTCCACCACCACTCAAGGACATCAATAAAGCCTGCACGAGAAGCCCCATCCATAGAATCTGCAATGTATTCTTTGTTAGGGAGTGCGGGCGCGTCTCGCCACCACGTCAATATTTTGGGATTGCCGTATATTGCTGATGCACGGTAGGGGATGTTGGTGAGACGTGAAGTCGTCCAAAGGAGATCAAGATGATTTTCGGTGAGGTGGGACAAGATATCGGTTCGTGAAAATTTGAAAATTAGATGGCATGCTAGATCCGATAAAGGTTTCCAACGGGGCAGGTTATCAATTCGCTTCTTAATTGCGGCAACTGAACCGCGAAGGATAGTATACTCCAAGGAAGCGGGCGCTGACATTTTCAGAAGATGGCTTTGCCATTCCTTAGGAACCAAGAGTTTCGTAGGGATGCCCACTGCTTTGGCAATTTCCCAATCATGGAGCTGATCTTCAAATACGTTCAACCACAACTCTAGAGGCAGCGAGGGGGTGTCTTTTTTCTCGGCAATATTAGATCTGAGTAATGACGTTTGAGATGGGAGCGACGAGTTATTTTCCGGTAGCGATTTCTCTAAAGTGCCATCATCTTGAGGTGCCGTGGACTCAATGGGTTCAACAGTAATCGGGTGCGATAATGAGAGCGTAAGCGTTTTCTCAATAGTTTCGTGGAGCTCTTTCAGCCCATGCCATGGCAACTGTATCAGCTCTTCAGGTGCGTTATATTTCCATAAAACGGGGGATACAAGGTCGACCCAAGGCCAGAACCGATGAACTTCCCGGAGCTGTCTCTCGGTCAGCGGATGCTCCCATTCCGATATTGTCATTCCCGGGATCAGAATGACAGGTTTTGTAGACATCCAACCCCGCAACAATGCTAACGTCAGAGTGTTGGTCAGGCCTGATAACATAGAACCCAGTGTCCCCGCATCCACAGGGGCGACGAGCAGCAGATCCGCCCATTCACAAAGTTCCGCTGCTTTTGCCTTCAGCCACCTTCGAGCGCCAATTTCCTTTTCGAAAGTTTTCCCATCCACCGTATCCATATAATGGGGGACTTTGTTGGTACCTGAAAGCAGGGCAAATGGCTCGTCCGTTATGAATCTTACTTCGATCCCGGGGTGCTGAACTAAGGAGGGGAGAACATTGTCGACGAACTCGCTGTCCGTCGAGATCAATAACCGTTTGCGACGGGTGGCCAAGGAGACACTGTCAAGCTTTGGCACCTCTTCCGCGGAAATATTGGCATAATTCAAGGTTTCAAGCACCTCTCCCCCCGGATCTCCATCGATGTCCATCTCACTAACCTCAGCACTTTTCGACTCGGTGTCGCTGATCCCACTCGGAGGTACAGTGTTTTGCATTTGGAAACCAACAGCCATCAACGAAGTATTTTATCTTTTTCGTGAAGGGTAGGACGAAGGATAACGGCGGCGGCAAGGTCAATAGTCGTATCTTCGTAGGGAGGTTTGAGGTGTGGCGTGAGACGTAATCTGTACAGGCAAACAAGATCTCGTCCAAATTATAAAAGAATAAGACAAAAAAACCTGCAGCCAGTGCTATATGATAATTCAAAAAAGCAACAAGCAAAAGAGGAAAGGAGAAAAGGGCAAAGGTGAGTTTATTTAAGACAATGCGCAAGAGCAGTCCAGATTGTCGCCCAAGTACCAGCTAGCCACAAAATACCATGCAATAATCCATCGAAGAGGCCGTGGCACAGATCGACAGGCTCTCTTTGGCACGTTGCGCACTCCACTGCAGCTCGTGTCAAGGATCTGGTGGTCCGACCAGGTTTACAAGCGGTGAAGTGACTTGTCTTTGGTCTCGATCCTCGGTTTCGCAGGCGAGATCCACTAACCCCGCAGCTTTGCAGGTGTCCAGATGATTGCAGGATTGCTGGACGTTCTCGGAGTGTTATGCCGTCTGTCGGGAATGTTGCAGGGTTGATTGACAAGAAGTTGCAAGAACAAGCGGCGTTGAGATCACGGTTAGCAGCGGCGAGGTCGTTCGATGGGATTTGTGGTGGCCTTAAGGCGCCAAAGTGAATACCGTGGCGCTGATTGGCGGGATGATGGGGCAGATGAATCATGGACGCTAGTCCCAAAAGGAGAATTAAGTATAAGCATGGGCCAATCAGGGACGTTCATCAATGCACGGAACACTCAACTGTCACACTTAACTATCCAGCACGGAAGGAGTGATCCTCGCGGACAGGGGAGGGTTCTTTCCTTGTGATCTCTTTGTGAATTGGGAAGGTGCTGGGTATTGGGCAGAATATACACTAATATGGAACACACTCGTGTAATATGATATAACATTGTTTTGATGGGATTCAGTAGTTACTACTCTATATTTAGCTTCTAATGTATGATGTATTCTATTGTCTCGGCTAGATACTGTAGTCTACGTGACCTCTATGCCCCTTCCTTCCAGCTAAAATACCTTCAATTGTGAATCATGGAATAGGGGGCGATCCCTGTCTACTCCTCCGTTCGTGCCAAGTTCGAATGCAACCTATGCTCCCGCATGCCAATGCTGACCAATGCTGCAAGGATAGCAAGAGCAAGCAATGTGATAAATGTAGCGCGCAGCGAGTCCATATATGCATCCACAACACCAGGTATCCAGTCTGCTGGTGCTTTTTGGATCTCTCCAAGGCTGTCACGGAGGCGACCAATCACCTCTCGGGCATTCTCACGGTCACCGAAGCGCGACCAGAGTCCAGTTTTGAGGACATTCTGGAAGACAGAAGATGCAATGGTGATACCGATTGAGCTGCCAGTGCTACGGAATGCGTAGGAAGCGGAGGTGATAACTGCATGATGGTCATGGTCGACTGCTGAGATAAGCGCAACTAGGGTTATGGTGAGAATCCCTCCGTAAGCTGTCCCAGATAGCAAAAAGTAAAGAAAAGGAAGAGCGCTTGGGGTGCTGAGCCGTAAGGTACAGATCAAGGCCGAGGCAGCCACCAGAAGTAGCATAGTGACGTGACTATACATTTTATAGCGGCCACTTAAACGCATGAGCGTGCCTGTTCCTAGCGACCCGATGGAGATGCCGATAGATTGAGGGACCAACCTCGCTCCTGCGGCAGTTGTAGACATGCCTTGGACCTGGAAGAATATCGGAACGTAGAAAAGAAGCCCAAAAACATTCATCGTAGTGAACCAATTGGTCAGGCATGCCGATAACACAGTGCGATCAAGCAATAGACGGACCGGGATGACGGGTTCGGATGCGACGTTCGCTTCGATATAGACGAATATGCCCAGCGCGACAGCAGAAAGTGGAAGCGTCGTGAGAACAAGAGGGTGTGCCCAGGGTAATTGGTTTCCTCCTGTATTGAGACCGAGAAGCAGCAAAACAAGGGTAATGACTAGGGTGATAGCACCAAGGAAATCAACGCGCTTGAGCTTGTCCTTTTGTGTGTCTTTTACAGGGACTTTGACGGTCAAGGCCACCAAGATAGCGGACACCACAACAAAAGGAACCTGGATCAAAAAAGCCCACCGCCATCCTAGCGTGTCGTTAATCCAACCGCCAAATACGCCGCCTAGTCCGCTGCCGACGCCGAAGCAGATGTTGCCGATGCCCTGCCAGACCCCACGTTTTCGTAATGGAATCAAATCTGAGGTGACAAACGTGGCTATCACCGTTAGACCCCCACCTCCAATACCAGCGATAACCCGTCCCAATATAATAGTCCATTGGGCTTGGGCAAGACCGCAGATAATATTACCCGCCGCGAAGATCACATTAGAGAATATCAACCCAGACTTCCGCGAAAATATGTCTGTCAGTCGCCCAGCTAGGGGCTGGCAAGCCGCATTGGAAATCAAATATGCTGTTGCGAGCCACGATAGCAGGGACAGGGATTTGAACGAGGATGAAATCGGTCCCGTCAAAGTAGCAACAACAGTAATGTCTATACCATGAGGTCAGGTCGAAATTTTCACTCAAAGTAGGGTCAAACTATACCAAGTGCTGCAAGAAAGACTCCCACCCATACGCTACACAAAACTAAGAGCAATCGCTTTGTGCTTGGCTCCGCATCCTCAACCGCCGGCTGGGGTTGATCAGCCAGGAGAGGCGTCTGCTCCGATACCGGTTCTCGTCCATCATTTCCCGCCGGTGCGGGCGGCGTAGACTGATCGAAGCGCATACTCGAAAAGATGTGTCCCTAAATATGTGTCGGATGCAGTGTCAATAAATGCTGGCAGTGGGCGTGGAAGCACGACTGTGGAGACCCCGCTGATTACTCAGCCAGTTTGGGGTGAACTCGCTTTAACTACGTTAGTATTCCAGACTAACTTTAACTATGATTCTACCGGGCAGTAAAATCATACTTGTCCCTTCCTACCGAAGCATAACAGCTTCTTTTTGCTTCATATGCTGGGGATTAAGAATTGACGATGTTGTCTTCTGCGGAGCACTGTTGTTGCTTATCTAACACCGCTAACTTAAAGTTAACTAACCCGCTATCCTGTATCTGTAACTGGAGGACGTGCTCCGTAATTGAAGGGAGTTAACTACCAAAGTAAGTTAGGCTAAGTAACTAAGTCAGCCGTTAGCTTGTTAGCTCGTACCGTCTGTAGAGCACAGCCACCCCCATCTCGCATTCAACTGACAGACTGACATTTAGTTTGACTTCCCTCTCCTCTTTCCTGTCATTAGTATTGCCCTTGTACATTCCCGTTGAGTGTCCTGCCGCGCTCTATACATTGAAACACTCCTCTATTTTCCCTCTTCCACAATTTCCACTGCCAGAGCAAGATGCCTGGTGTTCGTGAGTTATTACCCTACCCCTCTCTACTGCAGCTTGTCCCATGCCACCTACCGCTGTTGCACAGGTCAGTGTAGCTGACCATGTCTTGCGTCAAAGCGCCCGATGCGCTTGAACAGCTAAAGAAGGGCTTCAAGGCTATCTTCCGGAAAAAGAAGGCGGAATTTACGGGCTCTGCGACCGACAAGCCAGAGGATAAGCCCGCCGAGGATCCCACTCAAGCTGCTCCTGCCACTGAAGCCAAGCCTGCAGAGCCGACTACGGCTGCAGAGCCTCAGCCTGGTACGTTTGTTTGCACTCCAAACTCGACGCTAGAGTGCCCAATAGCCGTCGTGCTTACAATCAGCAACAGCAGAGGCTCCTGCTACCGTCAAGCCCACCGAAGCTAAACCCGAGACCGCTGAGGCTGCGCCTGCTACAGCCACCGCTCCCGCTCCGGAGCCAAAGACTGAAGAAGCCCCGACTGAGGCTAAGGCTGAAGCTCCTGCCGAGACTAAGACTGAATCCCCGGCCCCCGCTGAGACTCCGGCCCCTGTTGCAGCTCCTATTGAGAACGTCAACTCGGAGCCTTCTATACCTCCTGAGTCCACTGTTCCCGAGACCCCGTTTGAGACACCGGCCGAGAAGTCCGCTCAGTTGGGTGAACCCGCAAAGCCTGCCGAGCCTGCTGAGAAACCCGCTGAGAAGCCTGCCGAGCCTACTGAGCCTGCCAAACCTGCTGAAGCAGAGAAGCCTGCTGAGAGCCCCGCTGAGAAGCCTGCTGAACCTGCCGAAGCCGCCGCTGAACCTGCGAAGAGTAAGTCTATTGTCTGATTAGTCCACACAGTTACTGATTGTACAAAGCTGAAGCCAAGTAGATGTCTTGCCGCTTAACTAGCTGCGTTCTGGTTTTTATCAAAGATCTTGGCGTCCAGCGTGGCCTGCATTCGTAATCGCAGATACACTACGTCGTTCTTGTTCTGTGCTAACCTCATACCCCAGCGCGTAACTGTTGGCCCATTTTTGTTATTATTTTGTAGTACCCTGTCCTCTCCTTTAGCAAGTTGTTGCCTCACTCAGCTCATCATTTCTTAGCGACAATTGGCTATGGTGGCTGAGTGCTTGATACCCGTCGGCCGTGTTGTACAAATGATAAAATAGTGAATGAATACATACAGCCTACAGAAAATGGATGTCATTTATCTCATATCCTACTGAAGGGGCTATGGCTCTTAGTCTTCAATCACTCTCTTGCCCTGAATCATGTTCGTCAAGCCCCGTTACGGGGCCATCACCTCCAGTAGATGTAGCCGCCGCCTTTTGATCTCTCGCTTTTTGCCTTCGCTTCATTTTTTTCTCCCGATTTTTCCGGTTGCGTTTCTCTGCCTCTGTCTCTTTCGCCCTCTCCGCCACGGAAGCTCGTTTCCGTAACTGAATACGTCGCTTCTTCCCAGGCTTCTTACGGGACAAGGGCTCCCTTTCCGGTGCGCCTGCGGTATATGCCATAGCACTAGACGCCGCCCCCTTCTCCTCCTTCGGAAGTTTCGTATGCTCTCGTTTTAGATGAATCACCCGCCAAGGCAAGTGACAGCCAGGCTGTAACCAGTTAGTTAGTGCCCGATCAACAGACTGCTTCTTCCCTTTGAACCTATTACTCACCCAAGACACCCCCGCAAATTTGACCATATCCTCGCCGCTCACGGCCACATCCTCGAATTGCTTCCTCTTCTGCAACACACCCGCATCCTCGTCCCCTGTTTCACTCTTATTTTCACCGGATAACAACCCCGGCGCAGAGAAATAGTAGCTCCACCCTCTGAACGGATTTACGAAGCGTCCCTCCCCGCTCCCCACAGCCGTGGGTGTCGGAGACCGTAGTCGGATTCGTAACTTTTGCGCACCGCCAAACTCGTTTGTACTCGTAGTTGTAGTCGGCGCTGTTGTGTCACCACCAGCCTTCTTTTGGTAATCCTTCCCATCGCCGCTAATTCCAGGTTTTTGCGGAGCAGATACCGGCGCAGAAAATAGCCGGAACTCAAACTCCTGTTCCTCGTCTTCGTCATCTTTCGTCGGCTCTTGCGGCTCGGCTGTGGTCGTGGTTGTCGTTGAGAGACCGATGTCGAAGTTCAGCAGTGCGCTGAGGCGTTTTTGCGCGTCGGGGAATTCGGATTCTGGGGGCGGAGAGGGGGATGAGGAGGATTCACGGGTGAGGAGGTCATCTCGACGGACGCTGTGATTGAGTTATAAGTCAATATTGGGGGATTTTTGTTTGATTTTGAGGTTCAGTAAGATCTCCTACCGTTTTGCGTCCGGGAGGCCGAACATGATTTGTTTTTTTTTTTTTTTTTTGTATACTTAAGCTCGTAATATATTGCGCCTCTCTATGATATTGCCAGTGTTTCGTAGGATGCGGCTGTTCGAAATGTTTGGTGGGATATAAGTTCTTCTTCGAAGAGTGATGTGCGGAGATGCGTGTTGAAATTCCAAGTCTCATGCTGTGAGGTTTCCACACTATTTCCACCTGTCTTCTCCGGTTGCGGCCACGACCCGGAGCTTTGTTTTACTATAGAGCAACTTTAATTTCTAACTATGCGCGAACAAGATGTACTTCTTGCCAGTTTCAATAATTGAAGCCATGGTATTCATTCTGTTGACTATCGTGTCCATGACGCACTAAGCTCAAAACAATTATGCACCCATACTACGACGGCCATGGAGAGATTCAGACACAGCGGCCACCATCAACCTAAGGCAATATTAGCAGGTTTAAAACAAAAGACTAGGGTGCAATCCATACCTCAAGTTCGACACCTGTGATGAAATCTGCTTCATCGCTAGCCAGGAAGCTACACGTATTCGCGACATCTGCAGGCGTGGAAGGGCGCCCTAGAGGTATAGTCGATACGAACGCCGCCCTATTTTCCTCGGTGTCTGGCTTTCCGAGAAAGAGATGGGTCCTAAACAAGAAGCAAATAAGTGAGACATACGAAGGCATGGGATAAGCGAGGGTCCTTACATTGCTGTGCTTCCAACAACGGGACACACGCTGTTAAACCTTATCTTCTTCGGGCCGTATTCAACAGCCATCGTTTTGGTGGCGTTGCTAACAGCGGCTTTGGACGCATTGTACCATGTCAGACCTGGACGAGGGCGAAGGGCAGCAGTGGACGATATTTGGAGGAAACATCCGGGGCTATTATTCTGTACAAAGTACGGAATGATAACGCTGGTGGAGAGGAAGATTGATTTAACATTGACTTCCATGCACAGACCGAAGTCGGCATCCGTAACTTCGGTGGTGGGTTTGTTGTGGTAAGTTGCACCAGCATTGTTAACAACGATGTCGAGCTTTCCATATTCATCCAGAGTGGCTTGAAGAAGTGCCTGCCAGCTGTCTCGGCTTGTCACATCTGCGTAGACGAACTTGCTATTCAGTTCTGCTGCGACCTTCTGGCCATTGTCCTCTGATATATCGGCGACAATCACCTTTGCTCCTTCGTGAACGAACTTTTTTGCGATGCCGTGACCGAAGCCTGAGCCTGCGCCGGTTACGATGGCAACTTTGCCTTGCAAGCGTCCGGGAGGTGTAGTCGTGGCCATGATAATAGCAGCTATAACGCAGAATAAAGATATATGCACACTTTCAGGGGCTGGAAGGAAATATAGGGGATGAGTGAGTGATTTAAACTTTAGTGACAGCTGTCAAAGTATGTATACTTAGTGCGGGGTGAACACAGCGGAGAAGGGTTGCCAACATAAGCGTCAATGATCTTCTACAATAATTGGCTGGCGCCAATTGACCCTGATGTTAACCTCGGTAAGTAATCCTCTTGGCTCTGGGCTGGTAATTGGGAAAATGAAGAAGATTGCAGTTACAATAATACCGACGGGTTTGATATTGAATGAGACAAGTAACTATAGGGGCGGGGCTGAGTGCCTCAGGCATAAAACATTAATTCCTATATCCTGGCCTGTTAGCCGTATCGATTCAGTTCTATTACACAAAAGAAGCGTGTCACTAAGACACCTTAGTATACACGCGAAAACCATGTTATTGGTAAAAAGGCACATGAAAGCATGTGGCTAATGCGGATGGAACGGAGCAAGCCTTACCTCACCTTGAGGCCTGCAACACACTTACCAGACCCATCAAACCTTACATCACTTGAGCTAATCGAACTGTCAAATGGGCTATAGCTAACATATGTACATCATTGTCCATTAAACTAGTTCTTGATGATCAATGGCTCAGCACAATAGACTTTGCTTATAACGTAGACCTAAGCTTCACCTAGGAAACTGAGACCGAACGATAAACATAGATAAAGAGAGAAACTATCGAGATCCAAACAGTCAGCAATATCAAACTGTTATCCAAGCAGACTATAATCTGAGTTTATATTTGAGCACCGAAGGGTTGCAGTGGACGAGGCAGATGTCATTATCTCTGCACGGACCACATTCATTGTCCGACTCTGCCCGTCCGCTCCTGTGGCTGGGCTTTGGAATTCACTGCGTACAGACTCGATTTTTCCCTCAGAAACTACCATCCAGACTTTTCTATCCGCATCACTGGCTGGTGCCCTGCTTTTTAAACCATAAACCACGCTACTACCAGTCCCTTCCCCGTATTCGAACCGTCGGACCGAACATTCCTTCGTTTTCCAGCCCCTCGGGTTCCTGTAACCTTGGATGTCTCGTACGCCTTCTCCCTAACAACCAACCGGGTCTACACGTCTATAAATGGGGATCTGTTCTTCGTGCCTTGGGTCTGGTCGTCGAGACAACACCGACGTGAGTATTCCGCTTTGTTCTTGGGCTACGTGGTCTGTCGCTTGGTCGTGGATGACTTCTCGGATACGATGCCCCAACCGGATTATACCATGGAGCTAACTAGGCACGCTCTGATTTCTAGCCCGAATCCTCTCGGTTACTCGACGATGACATTTATCAGCCCGGATATGGCTATGGGGCGCTCAACAACAACCAGCAGGGCAATCAACCCGACCCCAGCTACGGAAGGCGGGAGCGCGAGGCCCTTGAAGCGATCTGCCAACGAACGTCAGAGTGAGTTGTTCTCGCTCTCTTCAGCTCGCTCAACTCAGAGAGAATAAAAAGCTAACCAAGACGCTGTGAAAAAGCTCTGTAATCGATATATGGTCTCTCCAACCACAACCCCATCTTCAGCCGCAAGCCACACTCCACAACTCCGTCTCCTCCTCATCCTCGAAAGTCCGCGAACACTCAGTCGTAGTAACAACAGTCGAATCCGACACACCCGCCGATTCGGCATCAACGAAACCGGGCGCCGTTCCGAAACACTGGGGCGAGGTGGTGATCAACCCGCGGAAGGGCAGGCGATCAAGACCAGGATCAAGCGGCGACGAGGACGACCCTGCCAAAGATGTCTTCGGTGTCTTGAAGGTCACTTGAAATGGATGAACAGGGCCCCAGCCGGGCCTTCTGGTCAGAAACCAGCCAGCCAGCTCCGTCATGGTGATCGGTACGACACGGAAACGAACGAGTTGACGAACGACCGAATTCGAATTTCGAATTCTAAATTCAGCAAGCAAACCCGAGATAGCATACACTCACTTCCTTTGTTTCCTTGTTTCCTTGTTTTTATTTATTTATTTTTTCCTTTTTTTTTTTTTTTTGCTCTGGTGTCGCCGGTCGAGACCGGTTTGTCTATTGTTCTCTAATCCGTTCCGCCCTACTGTCAATTCCTCTCGCTTCTCGCACTTTCTTTTTTGATTTGTTAGGCATCATTCAGTTCTGAATACCCCTGTTTTTATCTTGTTTCGTTTCGAAATGTTCAGAGCCTGTTTCGTTATGCAATTCGCATGTCGTGTGATGTCTGCTGCTTTAATTTCCCAGGTACTATGCATAGAATGATGGATACTGTATTACCTTAATGTACTATACCGGAGCTAATTGTAACGATATGCTCACGACTATTGTTCCCGTAGTACACGGTTCCGAAGATGTAGTGCAAAAGCCGGGAAGATTAAATCGCAAAGAGACAAGATTACTGAAGGGAGCGAGCAAACGAATTGAGTGCGATCTAAGCAGGGGCTTCCAGATAGACTAAGGTAGCACTGTACCCATTAGATCGCCAAATAATGATATGAATAGAGAGTATAAAGATATTCAAAAACTAAGAGATAGGAACTAGAAAATCAAATGATATAAAACATGATGTAGTTAAACGCATTCACGAAACATGGGCCCCAACTCGCAAATTGCACCATAGCTTTGGCTTAACGTATAATTGACTCTGGCTGTCAGAACTCCGTCGCAATAACGCCATAAATACTAAACCCCGCGAATTCCATGAAACTGTTAGGTGAGACTGGAGACGTGATTAAAAAGGTCGGACCCGCGATTATTCCGGGAGATAAACAAGTGAAAAAGATGTTGAGATAGTTCAAACATCATCCAATCTCCCCGCTGGCTCCTCTCCGTCCGACTCATAGCTACCGGCTGAGCTCAACTCGTCTTCAGACTCTGTGTCTTCCCCGGCATCGTCCACAGCATCTTTGCTAGCGTATTTTGCGACGTACTCTGCAGGGTCATTAATATCACGGATGTAGCTGTTGCAATGACGAAAAGGACTCCTACCTTTCACTTTAATTTCGTAGCTCTTGGGTTCCCGCATCAACATAGCAGCGGCTTCGCCATTCAAGGGGTCTGAAGGGTTGGGGTAACGTAGGAGCTGTGGGAGGAAAACTTCGAAAATGTTTATCATGTCGTACATAGGAGACCAGGTTTGGTTGATGACGTCTAAGCAAACGGACCCGGATCTGAGAAAGAAAGCCATTAGTGGCATAATCTAGAACGGTTTCGGGCTCGACTCACAACTCGTCAATGTTAGGATGAAAGATTCGGTTAATGAACCCGATGCTTGGACTCTTGTATGGGTACTGATCTGGTAGCTCGACGTGGATCTTCCAATGGCCGCCTTGGAAGGGTGCTAAACAGTCGCTTTTGTCAGTTTTGCGCTATGGTCTCTGTTGGGTACGGATAAAACGCACTCTCCTCTGGGCCCTTGAAGCGCACGTAGAACTCTTGCCTAAGAAAAACATAACGCGTTAGATCAAGCCTTCACTGGGCAACCCGTATGCAAAGCGGCGGTGAATCATACACTATACGGGGTCAGTATTGGAGTAGAAAATAGAAGTTCGAAATAGCTCACTATTATCGTTGACTAATGTAACTTCGTAGTCACTCATCAACCTATAGATAACCCATCAGCATCGCGTTGTTCTCATATCCGTCCCTAAGCGCTATCCAGAATCCAACTCTCTAGGGCAGGTCGGTAAGGTGTTGGGTGAGGAACGGAGATCATACATCCTGCAAAATGGTTAGCTATAGTTTGAGACAGTGATTCGAATAGTGGGGTATCGTACTTCATAACCTGTACAGATTGGATCGAACGTTAGTCAAATTGCCAACTCATCGGTCGATCCGTAGCTGGAGGGATACTCACATCTGTCTCAATTCTGCGCTTGGGGCTACTCATTTTGAACGTATCTGTGCGATTTGTATTTCACGGGAAATAGGATAAACGGAGTCTCAGATAAAATGCTGTAGCTGGTGGATGTCCAGAAGATCGGCTCTGTAGTTGAGTTCTCAAGCAGCAGATCTCCAAGTCGGAGGCGGGGAAGTAGCGCAGCGGCGAGGTGGGCGACAAGCGGGCCGATAAGGCGAAAACGGGGGTACGGTCGGGAAGTTTAGAGCGATAGGAGTTTGATGACGAGCAGACGACAGAGAAAGTGGGTGATCTGGAGGTTAAAAGGAGGTTGAAGAAGAATAAAAGGGAGGAAGTGGAGTGGGGGAAGTGAAAGAGGAGGATAAGACGCTGGACGCTGCGGGACGCCCAGAGGGAGGGTGCTCCTGTCTGGCCGATAACGCCCCCGAACGGGCACCCAAAGTCACGCCAGGCCTCAGGCAGTGCGTCAGGTGTCACAGACAACTCATGATCTCTACTCTCACAAGGCCCTGTAAAGGTTTGCCTGAAGTAAATTTACATTGCCTCGTACTTTTGGCGTTACTTTTGCATCCTGGCCCTTGAACGGCTCTACCAGCGAGTTAATTAAATGCATCGCTGTTCTTCAGATTAAATGATCGTCATCCGCGGAGGCGAGAAGACTGAGGTAGACTGGAAGGCACCTTAGCACCGCGGAATGGCACGACTTCAGAACTACAAGCACTTGTCTAGCCAATTCCGGAGTTCTGTGAAGGTCCAGAGTGGGTTCATGATCGTCAGCGGCTTCAAGATGGATTCTTCAAGATTCAATCTTCATATTCTGGACAGTTTCTTGAAATGATGTCATCTGCCGTCGTTCTCGTGCAGTTCTAGGCCCGTGATTCGAGAGCCGTGCTGCTGGGTGGGCAATTAGGAGGACGGATTTGGGCGTCCAAACATACCGGATCTTGTCCTGGAAGTAGATTGTCCGTACCCGACAGACAGGTGTATTTGTCAGAGGACCTTGTAAGTTTGTAGCCGTGTTGGGTTCCAAAACTTGGGGCAAAGGTTCCGCAAAAGATGGTTGGTGAAAATGGTGCCTCAGGCCATTATCAGGCTGCATCTAACCTCAACAACATAACTAAGCTTCATCCATCACTGCCTCTTCAGCTCCCGTAGGCCTTCCCAGACAATCTTGTGAACTCCTACAGCCGGTTTCATCCACTTGGGCGCTTACTCTGGCAATATGAGCTCCCCATCGTCTCGGATCCCCTCGACTGGCAACTCTCCGAACCCAAACCAGCGCCGACCATCAAGCCGGAAAGAACCCGCAGAGCAAGCCTCTAACACCAAAAATGCACCTATCCCCGATGATGAGCATGGCGCAAACCTACCAATGACCATGTCTGCATCGGTGGTTCTCACTAGTTTACCACGCGATGCTCACCAAGCTTTGGCGGACGCCGAAGCCGTCGACACTGGTAAAGGTATCGCGCAGTTTGACCCTATGTCATCCTAAGTTGCTTTTTCAGTTAACTTGGTTTTTACAGTCACCGTACGGTTTCAACCCCTACCTTCTGCGCCTATTCTCAAGAACAGGGTGTTTAAGATTAGCGCCTCGCAGAAGTTTGAGACCGTCGTCAAGTTTCTGAGAAAGAAGCTTGATTGCAAGGACACAGACTCGGTATTCTGTTACGTGAATAGTGTCTTTGCCCCGGGCCTGGATGAAGGTGTAGGGGGACTATGGAGAGTAAGTGCATCTAATTATTTTTTTATCACTTCTGATTGAAAGGAGAATATATGTCTAATGGCCGGGAATACAGTGTTTTAAAACCGATGACCAGCTGATTGTGGCTTATTCGATGACACCAGCATTTGGTTGAAGCGTGAAAAGACATTACTTTCAACTGAACTCTACTGACACGATCCATCTTGCTTACGAGATCATACTGCCACTCAGCGCTGTTATACAAAGAGCTGCAACGAGACGCCTCTTTATTATAGGCGATACCAAAATCACTAGAACAGTAGTGGGTTTGTCTTGGTAGAAGGCTGCGCCGTCGCAATCTAGAAGCCCAGGATTGGCCCTTGGATTAAGGGGCCGAAGCGGCAGTATTGCCGAGCACGCCTGATGAATGGAAGGAACTTCAGAAATTTTGCATTCTATCATTTGTTTGATAGCCATCGGGTTGGCTATCTCTCGATAAGATCCTGGGAATATCTAAGTCAACATGCATCTATACTACAACTCGAGAGCTAGTTAAGGATAGGCCATCGGCAAAGCTTAATGCACAACTAAGGAGTCTGCCGGCCTCCAACCCATGCTCCTCCGAATGCGAAGTGTGATTAATCATTCTCTCCTTCCTGCCTCCTCGTTCAATGCTCTGCGCGTTTCTCCGTTGGAATGTAGATCATGTTTAATCAGGCCGGCGAGGACTCTGATCTACTACGTAATGCGGTGTACTACAGTAGTATCTCCGATTAGCTTGTCTTGATGCATGTCTCTTGCCGTAACTATATTGTATTGATTATAATTCTCTACATCTTGGGAATGTAAGTGCGCGTTGGCTATATCAACACGCTTTGGCGAGTCTTATGCGGCAAAGTACAGTGCCAATGTACGCGCTCCATGAGGCTGGTACCAAGTAGCGCTAGGGCGAATTCTCAAGGGACGTGAAGGGTCGACAACCCTATCAAGTCATGGCATCAGATGCTGCGCGGTTTCACAAGTGCACCGTTTATTTTCTAGGCACGCAGATTCATTCAAGATTGTCAGCACTGTGGTGTCTTCTGTTTCGGGTCGTTTCATAAACGGTGAAGCTGCAGGTGCCTAACTTTAACGGCCTCGTCCTCGTACCAGAAACACTTTCCGATAGTTCCAAGCAGGTATGTAAGTTGTTCGAGAAGGGTTTCGATTTTTGACCTAGTGGGTAGCAAGTGGGGAGATAAAAGGGGGATTGTGGATTTGGTTTTGGGAGAAGCAGGTTAGGCCAATCCATGTATTCAAATGCCTAACCTTAATATGGGGAGGAGTACGGAGTAGTCGTTGGCCTTCAGGTTTTACCATTGTCAGCCTGTAGCAGTGAAGACGGTCACATTCTCGCCATCATCGGCTGTGTATGATCATCTTCATTAGACAATTAGACAATTAATTTAGTCCTCAATTACTCCTTAGCAGTTCTCCTTGATTCACGTTCACGTGATGAGGTTCGGCAATGCTTGGCAGACGCCAGCGACGCTTTTATTGCCTCCCCGTCGCGTTATTTTTTCGGCGCCTTCGATCAGCTTCTCCATATCCCCGCAATCGAATTCCTCACCAACCTAGCCACAAATTTCCCTAAAGTCTATTTGAACGAGTCGCCTTACCCGCCGTGTGTATCATATCCTGTCAGATCTAGTCAACCGCCATGGCAGACGTCCGATCACTGCTCCGGAGCGAGCTTGCTTCCCGCAAGGGCACAACGCAGACAGGGAGCAACACACCAAACCGTGTCACAAAGAAAAGAAAAGTAGATCCGTCGGACTCGTTGACGCGCAAGCGAGTGAAGCAAACTGATGCCGATCAACTTCTCGCAAACGCCCAAGTTCGCCCGCCGAGCGCCCAGGTCATCGCCGACGCGGATGACGTCGAACCCTCGTCCGACGATGTTATGAAAACGGACACCCCAACTCAGCCCGAGTTTTCAGAGGAAACCGTTGAGACTACTGCACAGAACTTCGAATCTCCGTCCACACCACCTGCCGAGACGACTGCTGAACCTCAGCCCCAAAATATCGACGAGGATGAATGGGCCGCTTTTGAGCGGGAGGTAGCTGCGCCGAGTCGGGCCCCACAGAAGCCTGCCGCGGTTGCGGCTGCCGCAACGATATCAGCTGCGCCTGTGTCTGCCGAGGAGCTTGTCGCGCTACAGGAGAGCGAGAAGGAGTCTCTTCGACGAAATCGGGAAGCCGAGGCAGAGGGTGAGCGCGAAGATGCCGCTCGGTTCCTGGAGGAAGAGTTTGATGAGATGGAACAATTAGAAGAACGAGTGAGGCGGTTGAAGCATATGCGAGAGCAACTGAGAGTGAAACGAGCCACGGAGAGCGCAGAGATGGACGAGGCTATGGTTGCCGGTGCCGCCCCTTCAGAGCCAGCCGCGAACGCCCCGGAGACCACGGCAGATGGTGAAAATAACGAGGACGACGACGATGACGATGATGCTGATGACGACTGGGATAACTGGAGGTTTAGGTAATGCTAATACTGGTTGCGATGTCAACCGACGATAGGGACCGGAACGGCGTCTATTATATCTTATTTTTTTGACCTTTACAGGGCGGTCATGGGCTCTTTTTATTTACACTGATACCCCATACTATATTTTGAAACCCACGAAATGCTTCAGTATCTCATCGCGAGTCGAATAGCTGGCAACAACTGGGAGAATGGTAATCTTTCACTGCATTTGATTTGCGACGGTGGAACCAGATAATTGTCAAAACTAACACCTGAACACTTGATGAACGACTCAAAGAATGTACTCTAGTTATGACAAATCATGTACTCTATAGAACACAAACTGAGCCCACGCTTACTTGGGCATGGACTGGAAATTTAGACTAATTGCTGCACAATGGCCTCCATGTTATGATATATGAGTAGACTGGATAAGTATCAAATCAGCTATTCCGTATCCATCGGTTGCCTCTGTTCTGCAGGCAGTGGTTCTATATGACTGCGTAGTCCACTCTTTCCCACCTTCATAGCCTCTTGAATCTCTACCTTCCCCTCCTCTAATAGATGCCTACCGCGAAGGAGATCGCCCTTCCGTCTTCGTTCTTCTTCCTGCACTTGTCTTTGTCGCTCCGCAAGAGCCTTCTCACGCTTCTCACGCTCTACTCTTCTTTTCTCTAATTCCTCCCTTTGCTCGGGCGTGATGTCTTCTTCCGGTGGACCAGGCAAAGTGGAAATGAACGCCTCTATTAAGGGGTCGCGCACTTTGGGAGACAGTGCGACGTATCTAATGTCGGTCATGATGGCTGGTGTAAGAGCTTCGACGTTAGACGAGCGGTTCAGGTCATGTAACGGTACTGATTTGAGCAGTGCAGAGAGATCAGATTTCCGAGTGCTCTCGGGCATTTTCATTCGAGACACGAGGTCGCGGTATGACTTCTCCCGATCCTTATCCGAGAGCTGGGGGTCTTTCATCTCAGACTCTTTCCTGTACTTCCGCTTGAACTCCGGCCAGTATAGCTTGGGTGTCGCATGATCTTGAAGAAAGGCGAGATACTTGATGCGGGGGTCCTTTTTCTCTTGCTTTGCCTTGCGCTCTCTGATTTCATGCATGCGATCTCGGCTCCAGTTAGAGAATGCTTCACGGCGTGATTTCATGTTTGAGAGCACGGTGTAACGGGTATCCTCTATTATGCGACCTTCTTCAACAATATTCTCCCATGTCGAGAATGGATTTACGTTGAGATCATCCAGGAGGTCACGGAATAACGCTGCGGCGTCCTCATCTGTGAGCGGAAGCCCTTCAGCGCCCTCCTCCCAACCTTCCTCTCCGGGCTCGCCGTATTCCCCAGGATCAAGGCCATATTCTTCACCCATGGCCGCTAATTGGTATTCGATATCCTCCTCTGTAAACTCGACAGGCTGTTGATTATCTTCGCTGGCAGTTCTTTGCCGTTTGAAGGGATGGCTTTCGTCTTCTCCCTCGCTGTCCGTGACCTCGACTTCTTCATACTCGTCGCTTTCTTCGCCCGCGCCCTCCGCAGCTGCGGTTCCAGCCGGTTCACGTTTCAAATTATCATCTTCGGCAGTCGCTGGGGCTTTCTCGGTTTCATCGACTGTTTCGCCGCGTTCGCGTCGCTCCTTCGCCTCCCGCTCAAGACGGTCGAATTCGACAACTCCCTTCAATACTTCTTGCGGAAACTTCCAAAAGCTCTCGTTTGTATCCGGGTTATGGACAAATCGTCTTCCCAACTTGGTCTTCACAAGTGCCCAGGGTTCGCATCCAGGAATGTTATGTTTCGATTTCGGCCTGTCTTCAGGTCCTCGGCGGCGGTCATGATAGGATTTCCCGCCGCGGAATCCACCCCGAGGTTGGTTGTAGCCCGGGGCGCCGAATGATGAGGTACCGTACCCCTGAGGCGCATACGGTGTAGATGAAAATGGTGGTAGCGTATCTGGAGTGAGAAACGGGGCATTGATAACGGGGTCCGGTGCTGACGCTGGGGTGAAAGTTTCTGTGTTAATCGGTTGCGGCCTGGTATATGTAGATTGCTTGGTCTGCGAGTTGTAGTAGTATGTGTGGCCTATCAATTGTCAGGTAAACGCAGTTGATTCGACCGTCGTATAAAGACAAACCTGTGGGAGCTTTATGCTCAGTCCAGCCGGGCGGCAGGGGAGGAGGAGGGATATATGTGGACTTTAGCATTGTAGCTTATACAAATAGCGAGGAAATTAGAAAAGCGACGGGATCATGCAGACTCTGGATCGTCCTAAAAGTCGTTTTGCGGCGGAGGATGAAGCTTTCCGGTTGGGCTTAGAAAAGGTGGTCCGAGCTTGGCGGACGCGCCAGGACGAGAGTTGCCTGCTAATTGAGAGCTCACCCCAACTGTCCTGCAGCTTGTTCCGTCACAGCACCCACCCATCTCCCTGCTTTCCACCACCCTCCTCTCTCGCATCCGTCTGTTTTTCTCGCAAGTAAAGAAATCACATAACGCCGTTTATTTCGCTGCCTCTGCATTTGATTCAAAATGTCACGACGCTACGATTCCAGGGTATGCTAACTCCGACGCTCTTCCCAGCTGACAGCTCCAACTGACCGAATGTCGCTCATTTCAGACCACCATTTTCTCCCCTGAAGGTCGGCTCTATCAGGTTGAGTACGCCCTTGAAGCCATCTCACATGCTGGTACCGCTTTGGGGATCCTCGCAAAGGACGGCATTGTTCTCGCTGCGGAGAAGAAGGTGACGAGCAAGCTGCTTGAGCAAGACACATCTGCCGAGAAGCTTTATACATTGAACGAGTACGCACTCTCTTCCGAGGAGTCTTTATGTGGTGTATTACATAGAGGGCTAATCGTATGGCAGTAACATGATCTGTGCTGTTGCTGGTATGACCGCCGATGCGAACATCCTCATCAACTACGCCCGACAAGCCGCCCAACGCTACCTCATTACCTACGGCGAGGAAATTCCTTGCGAACAACTCGTCCGCCGTCTCTGCGATTTGAAGCAAGGCTACACCCAGCACGGTGGTCTCCGTCCGTTCGGTGTATCATTCATCTATGCAGGCTACGACCCCCTCCGAGAGTTCCAGTTGTACCAGAGCAATCCCAGTGGTAACTACGGTGGATGGAAGGCGACCAGTGTTGGGGCGAACAATGCGAGTGCCCAGAGTCTTCTTAAACAGGACTATAAAGAGGAGTGCGACTTGAAGGAGGCATGTGCCATGGCCGTGAAGGTCCTGAGCAAGACCATGGACTCGACAAAACTGAGCAGTGAAAAAAGTGAGTGAACCCGGTTATCTGTCATGGTCAGCCCTGTTAATCATCTGCTTACCTCTGCTAGTCGAATTCGCAACTGTCGGCAAGACGAAGGAAGGAAAGATCTACCACCACCTATGGAATGCAGACGAGATCAATGCTTTGCTGAAGGAGCATGGGCTAGCCAAGGTCGACGACGAGCCCGAAGCTGGCGACATAAAATAATAGAGTCACTCATTGCCGCTCTTGCCTGACCTAGATAATGCCAGCTATTTCGTTGTTCTTCCACATCCAAACAAATATCGCCGAGACGATGTGCTTCTACATACTCTAGACACGTATATCCTTGATCTTTTAGCATCTTCCAGGAAACAAAGCCATTCAGGTTGTATATGTCGTCTGCTACGGCTGCATCTGAAGCACAACCAGCGTCGCCCACTGGTGACGTGGCAATCAGCGACATCAAGATGAGCGCCAAACAATATGATTCGCATGTTTGCTTCCATTTTCTACCTCTTGATTGATTAAACAACTCCCATCTCCTCAAATTAATGGTCCACGTAGCTTGTGCAGCCTGTTACGTAGAATCCGAATGAGCTTGAGGTGTTGAATAATTTAGGACATTGATGGGTGTCCACGACTATATATCCGATCAAGTGTCCGCCATCTTCTTCTCCAATTTCTGGTCTGAGATTACATGTCTCGCCGATATTATTCCACACGAATTCGCCCAACCCCAATTCAACAGTGAAGATGTACTCACGGATAATTCAGGTTGAGCCCTTTCAATGTGGATGAGTCCGTTCTCGAATGGGTCAAAATATATGTTGAGCACTAGGTGCTTCCAACGACTTGGCTATCCTACCAGCCTTGCCTCTCTTCAATAGCCATTAGAGTTTCTCCATGCCTGCAAGTAATTCACCAGAGACCCTGAATCATTCCACTAACGACTTGACATGCAGATGAGGCCCTGAAAGTCGAATGCAATGCCAAGCAGCTTACTAACGATGGGGTACCGGATCATGTGATCGTCCGATGTTTTGGCATGCGGGGTTGACCGACGACAACAAGGCAACAACAACCTCTCAGCTCCCTGGAATGTGTCATGGAAGAGGACGGTCAAAATGGATGCCGCCGTGAACAATTTTCACTGTGACGCTGGTCTTTCAGCAAACTCCTTTCGCTTTTTGCCTCTTAGGTTCAGACCGCCATAGCTGGCGGTTCTGTCCTGGGGACCATCTGCTCGTTCAGGAATACAGGCGCTTACGGAGTTCCACCTTCACCCAATATGTTAGGGAATCACCAAAAATAGAAGAATTCATTGGATTATATGATCTCGTTAACAGTGTCAAACCGAACTTTTCCTCCAACCATCGTCGGATGTGTTTGGCTTGAAACCAGCTGGAGATGACTCTGTGGCTGATGAGCTTCAGAGCAAGGTAACACATGGTATGGGACACACTAACAAACAGGGGCGCCATTGAACGATTGAAAGCGAAAACAAATGAGCATTACAAAAGAGGGAATCAACAGAAATGAAACGACAGGAATCATCGATATTAAACCCGAAATTTGGGAGAGCTCCTCGGCCACCGATTAGCCAAAAAGCTCACAACCTCATGACAGGGCCCTCTGTTTCTCCTCTCGCTCCCGCTGCAGCTGTTTGATCTCCCTATCAAGATCCATGACCATTTTCTGAGACTTGTCCATGGACGCCACAAGGGTGCTCCCCTCGCGCTTCCACCGGTTCAGCCGTTCAATCTCAACGCCACGTCGACGGTACTTGGTTTCGATTTTCTCGCAGAGACGGCACTTGGATGGGTCGATCTCCGTGGTATTGACCAGCCTCATTCCGCACGTCTCGCCAGTGCGGTATTCGTAGTTGCATCGCTGGGCAAAACTGGTCCAACTCCAGTCTCCGCAGGTGAATCTCTTCTGGTTGTAGAAACACATTTCTACAGGACTTGTCAGCGGTGGTCCGCTCAGATGGGTCTTGATCAGGACCTACTTGTTGGGTACAGTCGTCGTTTCACCTTTGTTCTCGGTTCTGATTGGCTGACTTCGGGTTTCCTACCGCCCAAGGAAATTTGATAGGCTAGGCTTGCACAAGAATTCTTGAAGAATGTTGCAGGTCCAAAGTTGAAACGACTTCTTTCGGAAGGGAAGCAGTTATTGCTTGTTGTTTCTTACGGAGATGTGTGGTCTGAAACAATTAATGATCCATCTCATCAATCTCTGGGAACGGATGGGCCTATTTATGTCTTGTGAGGAGCTCCTATGTCACAGTTCACGGCTTCTTCGTTCTACCACCATTCGCCGTCGATCGAGTCCCTTAGCATGCGACGGCTTATCGTCTACGGCATGCTCTTTCATCACATTCACATCACGCCTGTCGAATGTTTCCCCTGAGAGCCTAGTGGAGACACGAAATATCCACAACATTCCCTTTCTGGGTCAGTCGTAATCGGCGGACGCTTCACGAATGCATGCATCCTGCTGTCGTGGCAGCATGGTTTCTTCTCAGCTAGCCCGGGCATCTGAAAATCCCTCAGCCCGAGTCAATGATTCTCGCTTTAGGATGGTGTTTTGGAACGGTGGCCATAGATTTTCTATCGATCATCCCCGTTTCGTCTACGCATCTGCGTTCCGCATGAAGCCGCTTTTCGAGAACCAAACATCCTTCACACCTGATGGATCAAAGCTCCTGCATGGTTAGGCTGTTACCTTGTGCCAGCTGTCAAGCTGTCTTACATTGGAGCCTTCTTTACCCCCTGGTCAAAGTTAACCTTGCATTCAATTGGAAGTGAAAAATCAAAACAAAACGGAACTAGAAAAAGACTGACAAGAGCAAATGAGGAGACCACCAATCAAGATAAACGAGGAAATGAATTATGAGAAGCGGGGCTCATCAAAAGATGAAATTCAGAAACAATGAACAATTTTACAAATTGTTTATTCCTTTCGGCGTGAGCGTGATCAGCATGCTATCCCGGCCCAACCTTTCAGGTACCCTACCAACCTAACTAGGTTATCTGAATCTTCACTCACAGCCAATTGGTTTGGAAGGGCCTGTCCTTGCTGCTAGCAATGATACGGATCACTTTACTGGGATCAACCTACGGCCTGACTCTGCCCATACAGCTCGTCATACATTGGCCGAAAAGGGTAATAGGACCTGCCGTCCTTGACCTTTGGAAAAAAAAAAAAAAAGAAAGAAAGAAAGAAAGAAAGAAGATTTCTTGTGCTTTGGTATCCATTTCCCGTCTCCAATTTTGTCAGCCTAGGGGTTTGCATTGACCTTTTCCATGGCGATGGCTGTACATGTCCGCATGGTCCCGTTTGGACATCGTTGCCCAAAAATTTCTGCCCTTCGTGGCGAACTATGCGTCACTAGCACCTGTCGATTGGTGTCCGTTGCATCCGTCGCTATCGGCCTTGGAATTCGCTATTCCTCGAATTGGCATGATGGGCTTGGTTTCCATGAAAAGTCGATTCATTCAGCTGATCTCTTACATCTGCAGACAAGTAATCCCGCATCCACCCCCGCTCAGGTGCAGGGTTCAGTTCGGTTCCATACGACCCGCGGTCACGATGATAGGATGTTGCTTTTGCGCTTCGGCCATAGTTGATACGGACTGTGGTACGGTAGACCTACACTCAACCCATGCAGCTGCACTAGAGCTCGGAGACTCTGACGTGGCATTCTTCGTCTGGTCAATTGCGTTCAAATTTCATCTTCTGCTGATGGGGTCTTTCGAGGAAGAAGGCTGTCGACATACGTCGCATGGAAATGAGCCCAGGAGGCTGTTTCGTTCGCTCTCTCTGTTATTGGCGAATAATCGGGCAATCCTCTCGTCCCCGCTTGGCCGGGCGTTCTGGGAGTCATAGCGGTTCCGTGAATCCATCGTTTTGCTGTTATCCTGGTGTGATGGCGAAGGATCGTCGGAGTATCCCATTTGACTGGATGTGCTCTAAACAACGGAATGAACGGAACCATGGTAGCGGTTGATTGCCAGCTCAGACAGATTTTCGAGTCACAAAACAACAACGTTTGATGTCAACCCCGTCTCCGTTCACGAGCCGATCCATTCTCCTTTCGCCACTGCTTCTCCTTCTCTCGGGTTGTCTTACGTCGAGCACGTCTTGTTTATCCCTGACAGTGGCAATTATACTTTCAACAACAAGGATCTCGCCGAAAAACATGGGAAACAATATACGCCAATCAGTCAAGGTCTTCTTACCCTTCGTGGACTGAGAAAAAGTAATGTTAACTCGTTTCTATCCATGGGCCCTCTCCCATCAATTTCCTAGTTATCAAATTCCACTTTTGATGACGTTGAATTTGGATTCGAGAGACCCACATACGCGCTCCGGTACGCCGGGTTGTTTTGATCCCGTGATTGTAAAGCAAGTGTACCTTCTGCGGATTCCGCATATGCCCGTGTTTCCAGGTAACAAATGGAAAAGGTCGATTCCGCGTTCGCGGTTTTAAGGTAAGAGTACTTCTTTGGTGTATCCTTGTTACGTGTTTGGATTGGTTCTTCCGGAGACGCACGCTAATAACTATCAGCAAACCATGGCCAGTAAATTGACCGACATGCTAATGCGCTTATGCATCTAAACGGGATCCCTGCTAGGTGCATTCGAATGCTCTCGGGTCCTCGACAAGGGTCCCGCTCACCGTTCCATGGTGATTTGGGGGCGGATCCGTGCATCTGCAAGTTGGCAGCTGCACCGCTCTGCGAATTCTAAGTTCAGGTTCGTGGTCTCGCTTCCTGGGTCATTCGAGGCCCAGCCGCTAGCTAGAGCGAGCCTCGGTACTACTAATAGTCCAGGTGTGATGTCGATCTAGCCTTGTCAATTATTCAGTGCAGCCTAAAAGATGCCCTGCAACAGAGATCATCGTACCGTACGATGCATCTACGCCTTTCTTTTGGTTTTGCCCGCCGACAACTTTCCTTCGTCTCGATTGATGTATGGGAATTGTCGGTATGGTTTAGACCTCTACATTTCCCCATGCCCATGTATGCCCCGAACCTGCAGGGATATCACAGTGGCGCTCATGGCTCAGTTCAAGAGCCCTTGGTCTGTATAGCCCCATTGACGTGGCATGTCAGAGTTTACTGCCCTCAAGTACTCCAAGGTTACGTGTCGGTTCCTATCGTTTGGTTTTTTGTACCATTCCCTTGCACGAGCTAACTTCGCGACCAACGCTCTGACTTATTATCTGAGTACGGATGTTTTGCTTTTCGAGACGTGTCTCGAGTTATGGTTATCCCGTTTGCCACGTAGTAGGGTGGTCTGAGCCCTCTGAGCCCTCCTCCCTGTAATACCGTGTCTAATGGAAATGAAATTTTGAGAAACTAGAAACTCTCTACAACTGCAATAGTGCTGTGCCGCAATACATATTGGCTTTTCATAATATATGTACTTTGCTTCTCGAACTAGGTCACGTGTAGATATTTTCATTTGGGGTTATGACGTCAATATGACTGGTTGAACAGAGTCCTGTTCTTCCAGGAGCCAGCTCGAAGTTGATTCATCTTGCTTTCTCTTCTCTGGACCCCTATCTACCTCAGAATTGAATTGAAACCTCATAATCGTACGGTACGTTGTGCTTCATTCGAGAGTCCGTTCGAGATGCGCCTAACCAATGATAATCTAGGACCACGAGACCTTATACTTCAACGGAAGTACATTTCAAAACTTTCTTCATATTACTTCTATATTTCTAATTCACAAATCTGAGATAATATCTCGGCGATGTGGAAAGGAATCTCAACAGTTGGCCAATTGGGCCGGGTTGCTAGCCTGCAACCCCAAGGCACGCTCGCCTCAGCCGTGCAGGCCCGTAGGACCTTTACAACCATCCTGCCCCGTCAAGCAGCCCAGCCGCAAGACGAGGAGGACCACTACCACGACCGCAACAAACTAAACCCACAGCGTACGGAAAGCTCTCAATCAGGTACGACGGATGAGGTCGCGAGCCGGGATGAGGCATTTGATCCAACCAGGACCTCGCCTGAGAGCGAAATAGGTGCGTCGAGGGAAGAGACTAGGAGGAAGGGCGATGTTCGCGACCCATTGGATGTTAGTGGTGCGGATAAAGATGTTGGTGGTGCCAGAGATCCGATGGAGGGGGGTGCGCAGAAGAATGTTGATAAGGCGGGTCATAGTGCTAAGGGATGGCCAAGGAAGAATAGGGAGACGAAGGCTGGGAAGCGATAAGTCAATTAATTTGATTTGGAAATGTCCATTTGTTTGGGAGGTTACAGGCTGTGGATAGTCTGTATGGTCGAGTTTATGTTGGACATTGGAAAAATATATTTCTTACACTAGGGCATTATAGACAACACGAGGAGCTCAAAAGAAAGCAGCAAGTAGCACAAACTCATAAAACGTCCGGCTTTCAATATATACAGACTACCTCTACTGGAGAAGTTCATGCCTTCCCATTCTGGATGATGTCGTTGCCATGCAGATACCAGACCTTTTCACTGCCCTCGGGAACATTGCCATCAAGGGCCTTGATTCCAGCATTCACCGCAGCATTGCCAATAACATCGGCCTCCTGTGCCCATCCATCCTTCAAGCTGGAGTGCAGCTTACCAACAGTACCTGCGAAGAACCGAGCTACAGCTTCCATAGGCCGACTCTCATCCCGCTGGCCGGCGATTAAACCCGGTCGAAGAATTACAGTCCTATCGAAATCCAAGGCCCTTATGTCGTTTTCGATTTCTCCCTTCATCCTCATATACGCGAAATTGGACTTTGCGTCGGCGCCGTTGGACGAAATAAGGACGTACACCTTGGTTCCTGCATCACGAGCAGCCTTCGCCATTTCGATATTAAAGTCGTGCTCGATTTTATACTGTTCCTCGAAACCACCAGCAGCTCCTCGTGTGGTGGCGAAGGATGAAATGAAAATAGACGGTGTTGGAGTAAGAGAAGAGAGCTCGCTTGGCCATTTCGAAGTATCGGCGGACACGAATGTCGTTAGTTTTGCATTGGGCGCGGTTGCTGCGGCTTGGGGAGTGCGACGGGAGATTGTGTCAACTCGCGTGACAGCTGGGTTTGCAAGAAGGCTGGAGAGGATATGACCTCCCTAAGAATGTATGAGTTCTCAGGACCACGGATCAAGATTTGTGGTGCGCTTGTATTGATAGCATCTTCAAGGTTGGCCGTGATACAAATGCGCAGTTGAAAAACATACCACCATGCCTGTGGCTCCAATCAAAGCAACGTTTGCCATTTAAATGATTGTGAATGGGTTAGTTCTTTGCTGGCTAGAACAAGAGTTGGGGAATCCCTGGCGCTAAATTGCAAGGAAGCAGAGGCAGTGGACAATGACGTTGTCTTTCACAGCTCGAGTTCGTGGGCTAACTTAGATGGGACGACTTATGCCTGAGGCGGCAAATCAGAAAAATTGGAGAACCCGATTACTAATGCGGGGAAGAAATGTCGTCGGCCGAAAGCGGAGTGATTCTGCCAGGGTTTGCCGCCCTTATTTTGTCAGATAAGAAATTGCGTGATCGCCACTAGGCTGCTTTGGGTATAAACCCCTGGCATTTTTCCTGGGGGACTATAGAACATCCGCCTCCTCCCAGGCGCACTTTTTCTCTCTTTCTTCCCATTGCTTTTTGTCTTTTGTCTTTTGTTCCTGTTGTTGGGATAGTAGATATTTCTGTCTGGTATCTGGACAGCAAATTTTCACCATGGGCTCATCTTCACCAGCCCTCTCGGCCATCGGTGGTCCTACATATGTGACCGCTCAGACCCTAATTCAGCAGGTCGCCTACGCTCTCAGCGACAAGATTTTTTCCTACTCCCCGGAGTCTTTTGAGTTGGATATTGCTCTTCGTGAATGGGCTGCGAAGCAAGAAGTAAATGCCAATGGCGACTCTCCGGCTGTCCAGACCATGGAGACTCGCCAGGGTGCCGGAAACATCGCCCTCGGATACCTTTTCTCCCAAGATTTCGACCTGAAGAAGCGCCATGTCCCTCAGGGCATTGTTGCCTCTTCCGCTACTCTGCCGTACATGCGTGCCGCCCTGGAACAGCTTTCCCTCCTATACTCTGTCGCTAGCCCCGTTGCCGCCCATGTCGCCGCTGTTGACTATGCAGGAGAGGATGGACTAGTTTCTGATTATGCTTCTGCTCTCTCTCTTGCTGAGGAGCTCGGGCTTGGCCTTGTCTCGAGCGCTTCTGTCCATGAGTCTCAGCACATGGCTCTCCTCACCACATTGCTTGCGAATGTCTTGCCCTCCATCCACATCTACGACGGTGTCCGTGTTGGACGTGACAACACCCGTGTCATCGATACCCTTAGCCAGGCCGGTCTTGCAAGCACCTACGAGACTGTTCGCAAAACTTTGGAAGACCAGCGTAGCCGCCACCTCGATGACCAGGGCAAATTGCTCGAATTGATCCAGTCATTGAACGGTGAGCTTGGCACAGATTATGGTGCTTTTGAGTACCACGGTCACGCTGAACCCACATCTGTCCTGGTTGCTTTCGGTACTATAGAGGCCTCACTTACTGCGCAAGTTGCTCGCTCTTTGGCTAAGGATGGCGTACACGTTGGTGTGGTTAACGTTCGTGTGTATCGCCCGTTTGTCGAGGAGGAGTTCTTGAAGGTCCTGCCCAAGTCCGTGAAGACAGTTGGTGTTCTCGGACAGGTTGTCAATGAGCAGGCTGTGCAAGAACAGGGAATTCGTTCTACCCTTTACGAGGATGTCCTGGCTGCCCTGACATTCGCCACTGACCGGGAACAAGCGCCCACCTGCGTTGACATCAAGTATGCCCGCTCTCAACGCTGGGATTTAATCAGTATCGCTGCGTCCTTCCAACTCGTCTCAGAGAAGCCCATCGTTCAAACTGATAGCTCTGTCGAACCTCTCCAGCTCTTGGACCCTGCTACGGTGCAAGAATTTACCTTCTGGGACGTCGACACTTCCGCATCTAAGGATGCTGCAACCCTTCTGTCAGAAGCGCTGGCTGCTGATTCAACAACTAATGTCACCACCAGCCAGACGTTTGACAACCTGATCCAGGGTGGAGTTTTCCGGGTTGACATTCGCAAGAGCTCGAAGACTTTGGATGCTCCTTATGCTGTCAATGCGGCTGACACTGCTTATGTTGGAGACGTCAAGTTGCTGGGAGAAATAGATGTTCTTGCTTCACTCAAGAACAATGGAAAGCTTATCCTGAACGTTGGTGGTATCAAGGATGACGACCTGGAGAAGAAGTTGCCTTCGGCATTTAAGCAGGCCGTCGCCGAGCGCGGAATTGCCCTTCACTTTTTCGATTTGTCCGCCGTGGAAGAATCTGCCCTCGAGCCCCTTGTTGCTCAGCAGGTTGCTTTCCTACGCGTGGCTCTTCCCGACCTCGAGGAGTCTGGTGTTAAGAAGCTTGCTGCCATCTCCGGCGCTGGCGAGTCATTGGAGAAGGCTGGCAAGGAACTTGAAAAGGTTCTTCGCCAGGCTGAGATTCCTGAGGCCTGGAAAAATCCTGAGGAGGGTGCTGAGGCCCCTAAGCTCGTTAAGGATTTGAATGCCAACAGCTTCGCGCCATTCGACAAGGAGGATACCGAGCCTGCTACTTTCCTTCAGGACTGGCAGACTGTTGCTAAGGGTCTGGCATTCAAGGAAGCCTATGGTGCTCAGAGGTCTCTTCGTCCCGACCTGCCTACTAAGACGTTCACTGTTCATGTCCAGGAGAACAGGCGTTTGACCCCCGTCACCTACGATCGTAACATCTTCCACATCGAGTTCGATTTGGGTGACTCAGGTCTCACCTACGACATCGGTGAGGCTCTGGGCGTGCACTGTGAGAATGATCCTCAGGAAATTGTGGAGTTCATCGAATTCTACGGCTTGAACGCCGATGATATCGTTGAAGTCCCAAGCCGCGAGGACCCTGCCGTGTTAGAGAATCGCACTGTATACCAGGCTCTTATGCAGAACGTTGACATCTTCGGTCGCCCCCCTAAGCGCTTCTACGAGGCTCTCGCCGAGTTCGCCACCGACGAGAAGGAAAAGACAGACCTTCTCACTCTTGGTGGTCCCGATGGTGCCGTGGAATTCAAGCGCCGTGCTGAGGTCGACACTGTCACCTACGCCGACATCCTGCTCGAGTACCCCTCCGCTCACCCCGACTTCCACGACCTCATCCGTATCGTCAGCCCCATGAAGCGTCGTGAGTACTCTATCGCTTCGTGCCAGAAGGTCACCCCCACAAGCGTGGCTCTCATGATCGTTGTTGTCAACTGGACCGATCCCCGTGGCCGTGACCGCTTCGGTATCTCCACCCGCTACCTGAGCCGCCTCCAACCCGGCACTCCGGTCACCGTTAGCGTCAAGTCCAGTGTCATGAAGCTGCCTCCAAAGTCCACGCAGCCGCTCATCATGGCTGGTCTCGGAACCGGTCTTGCCCCCTTCCGTGCCTTTGTGCAGCACCGTGCTCTTGAGAAGGCCCAGGGCAAGGAGATCGGTTCAGTCCTCTTGTACATGGGATCTCGTCACCAGCGCGAAGAATACTGCTACGGCGAGGAATGGGAAGCCTACCAGGAAGCTGGTGTGATCACTCTTCTTGGCCGTGCGTTCTCTCGTGACCAACCCCAGAAGATCTACATCCAGGACCGCATGCGCCAGACACTCCCCGAAATCATGGAAGCTTACATTCGCGAGGAAGGATCATTCTATCTGTGCGGTCCTACCTGGCCTGTCCCTGATGTCACCGCTGTTCTCGAGGAAGCTATTGCTGCCGAGGCCAAGAACAACGGCAAGAAGATTGAGACCCGTAAGGAGATTGAGAAGCTGAAGGATGAGGAGAGATACGTTCTCGAAGTCTACTAAAAAGCTAGAACTTAATTTCGTTCTCGTGTGCATGAGTGACGCTCTCTTTTGTCTACACCACTTGTTTCAGCGCTTTTTGATGTTCTGACATGACAACGACTACCTCTTGATAGACATTATATACCGTGCATATTCTGCGATTCTCTTGGTTACGTTATCTTATGCCTTATGAATGACCAAAATATCCGAGTCTCTTCCAAATAACCTACAAAAAGCTCGCCTTCGTAATCAAGTAGTGCCTAGCAGTGTCTAGTAGGAATTGGCCCTAACATCTTTTCTTCAAAACCTTATTTTTATCATCCACCCGGGTATCTATTTTATATATACCTGTGAAGCCCCATGAATCCCTCTAAAATGCGTATTCTATCATTTAATGAGACGTCAAGAAATAATGACCAGAATTCCAAACAGCAAAAGCAGGTATCGCAAACATTTCACGCTCGCCCCATAGTCCCCAATTTCGTCTTACCGTACGCACCACCCTTTTCCTTCCTTAGTTCTAGCGCTCGTCGGTATGGAGGGGCCATGGGCGGTTGAACGGGGTCCAAGTTAACATAGTCGGGTGGTAGTGTGTATGAAGCGTCAGAATCCCAGGCAGACAGGTCACCGCAGGCAATGAACGAGGGTATCCACCTATTCTCAGCGGCGAATTTTTCTGGATTATTGAAGAGAGGTTCAGGTGTGGTCGAGTCGCCTGAGTCCTCGTGTAGCAGACGGGTTTGGGTGTTGCTATCTTTATCTTGAGGGGTTGATGTGACTGTTTTCACAGTTTTGGCTGTGCCCTGCTCCTCCGGTACCTCTGCGGCGATGTTACCGTCTTGTGATACCGCCTGCGGGATAGCTGCACCACCAAATAGAGGGGCTTTCAGAGAGTCTACGCCCAGAGAACTGTCGTGGATAGCTGGTGGGATAAATCCCTCGCAAACGATAAATGCCTCGAGACTGCTCGCACGACTACTCCTTGGCTTGGCAACGCTCACTCTTTCGAAGACTGTGCGGAGCTGGGAATAGAGAAGGTCCACATCACGCTCACGGAAGATTTTCGCAACAAACTTGCCGCCTGGGCGGAGGACGCCCAAGGCCAAATTCAGTGCAGAGAAGAGAAGCTGGGATTGAATATAGATGTCTAAATCGTGGAGACCTGTCACGTCCGGGGCACCATCCGAGATGACAAGGTCGACTGGGTGTGGTTGGCGGATAGCGTGAGGTGTAGAGGATGTCGTCGAGACATAATCTTCAGGGTCTAATGCCCGTAGTAGAAGAGGAATTGTGGAGGGATGCGTGATGTCGGCTTGTAGGGTTGTGATGCCTTGGAGAGGTGCCATGGGTTGAAGGTCAATGGAGACAATCTTGACATTCTCCCGTGGCTTCAAGGCAGTTGGGTCGGCCTCGTCTGTAGTGTTCTGTGCAGTCTCTTGGCTGCCCTTCTCGTCTGCATTGCCGTTGACTTTGGCTAATGCTGCTTGTTCCTTGCGCCTTTTCTCAACCCACGAGCGGCGTCCGAAACTCTCGCCCTTAATCAACACCCGGCTAAGTACTTGACTCCAGCTACCGGGGGCGGCGCAAAGATCAACGACTCTGGTCACTTTCTCGGGATTCTCATGCTCGAATAGATCAAATTGCTCGTCGATCTGGATCAATTTGAAGGCGGACCGTGCACGCCAGTTCTGTTCCTTGGCCAGGCGGTAGTAAGCATCGCGCTTGTCTTTCGAAGACTTTCCCATATTCGTTTGTGCTATCCTAATGCGCGACGAGGAAGTGAATAATGTAATCCCAATGGAGGGACGGTTTGCGATTTCTTTTGGTGCGTGGGGCTGCGATAAGATTTGACTCGGAACAGAAGGCGGTGCATAATTTCTGCCGCTTTTTTTCTTTCCCAAAAATCGAACTCTTCGGAAAAGACAACATTCTGCGACAAATAGCTCTATCATAAATCCGTGCTGATTCTTAATCCATCATGGGCCAGAAGCGCCAGAGAGAGCAAAAGGGTCCGAATTCACAGTTCAAAAAGCAAAAGAGGACCGCCAAGCCCAACGGCACGACGGAGAAAGAGCTGCAGCCGGAGGTTGCTGTCGGAATCGACGAGCTCAATTGGAAAGAGGTTGCGCTGCCTGATCGGCTCGATAGCTTCGAGGGATTTTTTGGGTTGGAAGAGATTGAGGGGGTGGATGTTGTCAAACCCCAAGGGAAAGGAGAGCTGCGATTCAAGGTACGATATTGAGATCCAATACCAACCAAACCATGACTGATGGTATTAGGCCGCAAAACCTGGAAAGTCTATTCTGAAGAAGTCTGAACCGAAGGCGGATGATACCAAGTTCGATGACGAATGGAGTGGGTTTAGTGACGGGGAACCTGCGGACCAGAACGGTGGCTCCGAAGCGAAGCAGGCATCCAAGCCAACGAAAGTGAACGAGAAGCAACCCGAGGCGACAAAAAAGAAGGATAAAAAGGAGACCAAAACCAAGGATTCTAAAAAGACACCCAAAGAACAGAAAGAGAAGGGAGGATCTAAGCCTGAAGACCGCAACATCAAACCGGGGCTTTCATTTGCTGCACTGGAAGACGAAGCAGATGATGACGGTGCTGATATTTCTGCGTGGGAGCCGCTAGGTCTCTCACCGGAGACACTTACCAGCTTATCGAAATTGAAGTTTAGCACCCCCACCGCAGTCCAAAAGTCGTGTATACCTTCAATTCTCGATGGACACGATGTTGTCGGCAAAGCATCTACAGGTTCAGGAAAGACCCTGGCGTTTGGTTTGCCCATCCTGGAACACTACCTTGAACAGGAGCGAAACCAAAAGAAGGATGACTCAGAAGAAGAAAAGAAGGAAAAGATCCCAATTGCTTTAATTCTCTCCCCTACTAGGGAGCTTGCGCATCAGCTGCAGAAGCATATATACAGCATCATTTCGAATGCCCCAGGAGCTAATGCTCGAACGGCACTTTTGACTGGTGGTCTCTCTGTACAGAAACAGCAGAGACTACTTGATACGGCTGACATTGTGATCGGTACCCCTGGTCGAGTTTGGGAAGTTCTTCGTACAGGGCAAGGCTTGATTCGAAGAATGCAAGGCATAAAATTCCTTGTCATTGACGAAGCTGATAGACTTCTGAGCGAAGGTCACTTTAAGGAAGTTGAGGACATTCTGGGTTCGCTTGACCGTGTTGAAGATGGAGACCCACCCGATGAAGAAGACAGTTTGTCCAGGGAGGAAGATGCTCACCCTAGCTCTCAAAGACAGACCTTGGTTTTCTCAGCTACCTTCCACCGCGACCTGCAGCAGAAGCTCGCGGGGAAAGCAAAATCGACCGGGGGAGATATAATGAGCAAAAAAGAATCCTTGGAATACCTTTTGCAGAAGCTCAATTTCAGGGAGGAGAAGCCTAAGTTTATCGATGCGAACCCTGTTTCGCAGATGGCTGAGGGTCTTAAGGAGGGCATTGTTGAATGTGCTGCAATGGAAAAGGTTGGTGATGCACCCATGGCCATCTCATGAGTTGTGCTAATTCGATTTTAGGATCTCTACCTATACACGCTGCTTTTATATCACCCTAAGCTCCGCACCCTAGTCTTCACAAACTCCATTTCTGCAGTTCGGCGGGTAACGCAGCTGCTTCAAAACCTACAGATACCAGCTTTAGCACTTCACTCGTCAATGGCTCAAAAGGCGCGTTTACGCTCTGTTGAGCGCTTCTCGTCACCAACGGCGGAACCTGGTACTGTACTCGTAGCAACTGATGTTGCGGCGCGTGGTCTCGATATTAAGGGCATTGACTTTGTTATCCACTACCACGCTCCACGTACCGCAGACGCATATGTCCACCGTTCTGGTCGTACAGCTCGAGCGGGCGCTTCAGGAAAGAGTGTTATCGTTTGTTCTCCCGAGGAGATGGTAGGCGTGGTTCGCCTGGCTGCCAAAGTGCACGCTAATATGGCAAATGGGAAACGAATGCCCCTCGAGTCTCTCGAACTCGACCGCCGGATCGTCTCGCGAATTCGCCAGCGGGTGGTTCTCGCGGCTCGAATCACAGATTCCAATATAGCTAAGGAGAAGATCACGTCCGAGGATAACTGGCTTCGGAACGCTGCCGAAGATCTTGGGGTGGAATACGATAGTGACGAATTCGACCAAGCTCAAGGCTGGGGTCGCGGACGTGGTCGCGGACGGCAGGAGCGAGATAGGCAAGTTGGCAGCACTTCCAAGGCTGAGCTAGCGGGGATTCGTGCCGAGTTAAAGGATCTCCTATCCCAGCGGATAAACCTTGGTGTGAGCGAGAAATACATCACGTCGGGACGTGTCGACATCGAGGCTCTACTACGCGGGGAAAATAGCGACAACTTCCTAGGCCAAGTTGACCCTCTCGGGTTCTAGATTTTGTACAACTCTTACGATACCACTTAGCGTATTCAATAATGTCGGTGTTATTTCACTATCTGATAACGTACATAATCATGACCCCTTATAGCGTAACCGTATCGACACTTGGTAGTTCCCTACCCTGACGGCTTAAAATCGATCGATATCGAACAAAAACTGACAGTGAATCATCTTATGCACCGCAGGCCTCAGCATATATGTCTTTCGACGGTAGCCAAATTTTATCAAAACTGCCACTTGATATAAATATGTGTTATAGCCGACAATGCATTTGACGAGGTACGTATAGATGGTGCCGTGAATCCCGACGGGAAATGATCTGCTGTCGGGATCGGACTTCGGCATGCCGACAGATCATCGCAAATTCGACTGACGTTCGCACGGCGCCGTTCAACCTGCAGCCTGCTGGGGCTCGTGCGTTTGATCTACGCCCAAATGTAAAGTTAAATATATTCTCGATGCAATTATAACGTTATAGAGGCTATGACACACATTCGGGCATCGAAACCTCATTTACCAGTATGTGCAGAGCCTACGGTAGCGTGGCTGAACTGTACAGCCTACATGGATAACCAGTCTTACAAAATGGCATAGAGTAGGACTGTTAGCTCTTACCTAATCCCAGCCAGTCCTGCCCCGGTCTGGACAAGCCGATTTCGTCATTCAACCCGAGTTCCTGGCGACACCGACAGCAAGAATGGTGCTGGTGTTGAGCTCCACTTGGTGCCGATTCTCGGGATGAGAATCGGAACTTTTTTTCCTTGCCCTTTCTAGTGTTGTCCTCGCACCGGATTTGAAAGCTTTTTGAGAGTCTTGCCATTGAAAGAGCTAAAAGGCCTCTCTGTCCCTAGGCCCAGGCCGTCTTGATACATTTAATTGCGGAAACGTTTTCCAGGCGTACTATACAACGACGTATAACTCTCTCGCTTCATGCTATATAAGACACCACCCAAAAATGTCTTCTATCCCACGCTCTCTATCTCGCCTATTGCGCAAACAAACACCAGCGACAGCAGCGCAGGTCTCCAGAATTACAACTGTCCCAATCCGCAGTGCACAAACCCAAGCCGCCCCATCAGCGCTCAAGAGCACACCACCACCATTCCAACATGCCCACCAACAGCCCCCATCCACATCCACACCTACTTCCAAAAGCCGCGACGCTAACGACGACATAATCGCCAACCACCCAATCCTGCACACCCTGCGCCAGGACCGCAGCCTAAAAGAAACCCGCCCCCACCTCTCAATGCCACCTACCCTGCGCCCGTCGCACTTCGTTGCAGGCACACTAGCCGGCGAGGGAAAGCTCACTAGTGCACCTTATATGTTCCTATCCCAACACTCCAAGCGTGACAAAAATGTCAATGCGGAACCGCGCCAGAGCCGTGGCGTGACGGTCTTCCACACAGGCAGGCATATGTGTGGACATCCGGGGTACGTGCACGGCGGGTTCCTATCCGTGATGTTCGACGAGGTATTTGCGCACACCGTTGCGCAGTCATTTCGGAGTGGGACGGGGATGACGGCGAATCTCAACGTGGATTTCCGGAAGCCGGCCCTACCGGGGCGTGTGTATGTGCTGCGGGCTGAGACGGTCAAAGTAGAGGGGAGGAAGGCGTGGGTTGAAGGGACGATGACGATGATGCCGGCAGGTTCGGGGGGCGAGGAGGAGGCTGTGCTTGTTGCGGAGGCTAGAGCGTTGTTTATCGAGCCGAAGTTTGCTGAGGTATGTCCATGTTGATTGTCGTACGATTCCCTTTTTGGTTGTTGATGATACTGATTCTGGATGTTAGTCAATGGTGCCGGTGTATCGGAACTAGGGCTTACCGTTTGATATTTTGCGTGCGGATAGAGCATAGAAAATAGACCATAGACCATAGACCTTACTTAATAACATAGATACGACTTACCAATACATGTTGAATCACTGTCATTTCTATCTAAGATACTATTAGAGATTCCCCTATTTTAGGCTCCTTCTCAAGCCGAAGACACAGCTGGTCGTCGAAAAAGAATGAATAGACAAGGCACCCGAATGCAAAAAACTCGCCAAAGTAAACAAATTTACCCATGCTCTCGTGAATACTTCCCTCGGTTCCGAGGGAAAAAAAAGTTTAAATATAACACTCATCGCTGTTCGTTCCGTGGTATTCCATTTTCCATCACGTCGCTTTATTTTGACTTCAAATTGCTTGTGTTTTTCTCCCTTTGCTGTTCCTTGATCAGGAGAGATGGAACGCTCCTTGTCCTTCCTTGATAGCAACGGATAGTCTATCCCGGAGGACATCCAGAGTGCTATAGTCGGGGAGCTTCAGGTAATTTACACATGTCATAACGCTGGGTAGGTAGTCGTCAGGCGTGTATCCAGGTTCGCTTGGGCGGCAGACAACAGTGAATATTGGCGTAAGACTCTTAAAGCCTATGGTATATATAATTAGTAAATTTTCTTCGCAACTTGTAGGGAAGAAAACGCTTACCTCCAATAGGCAGCTTGGGGCTACCCGTGACGAACTGAAGGAAGTCTCGACGTTGCTGTGTAGTCAGTTCACTCATCGTCTGCAGTAGATTTCGGACGCTGCGGCTGTCCATGTTGAACCCGTGATCGGCTTTGATGGAGTCCATCAACGCTAGAAAAGTAGAGTTAGCAAGCTCGGTTTAATTGGTATCTGAATCGGCGACTTACTCTCAATTGACCAGTCCTCCTCAGCTCTTCCGAACAACATTACAAGTTCGCTCGGCGTGAATGTTTGCAGGGCAGAGTGAGGGAAGACTTGCGAAAACCCGTTTCTGAAAGCTTCTACCTGGGCTTGAACCCCGCTACCCAGGGTCATATCCACAACTTTATCGAGATAGATATCAACGTTTGACATTGTCACCGGGGTGTTAGAGCCGTCTTTTATGAGCTCAATAGCAGGATATCCCGGGAGCGTGAAATCCAGACTCAAGTCTTCGACCTGGACTCCATCTACTTCCACCTCCTCCAGAGCCTGGGCTTTCTTGTCTTTCGAAACGTTCTTCGATTCAATTTCCTTTTTGGAATTTGCGAAGCGTTTTAACAATAACAGAGACTTGGCGAGATCATTATCGACGGCCTTGACTGTGCCAAGCGAAGGGGCCACGGTGGAGGAGGTGTCGGCAATCCGAAAGAAGGCGGGATTGAACGAGATATCAATGATTCTGGAATCCAACATTGATCGAGCGACAAATTTTCCCAGCGTTTTAAACAGCTGGAGTTGCTTCTTCCCGAATTCTGACGAGAGTTGTTCTTCGCTTAGTGGAGCAGGGAACAAACCACGGCTGCCAAATGCATATTCTCCAGCGTCACCGCAATCGTTCTCTCGCCACATCTTTAACTTCTTTTTGGAGAACTCCTTGGAAACTGTTGAGTAAAACTCGAGGGTTGGCCCTAAACCGGTGCCAACCTCTTCGAAATATTCAACCTCAAGCACACTAGGAGATGACCCGTAGAGTTCCATAACTTTCATGGCCGATTCCAGAATGCGGCTTCTTGATATACGTACTTTCTGTCGCTGCAGGCGGCCTAGCATTGGCCGATCATCGCGTCGATGATCGTGACGACCGTCGTCCCCGGGCTGTGAATTATTCCACCGCATCATTGCTCGTGAATATCCAAACGCAGTAGACTGGAGGAATAAGTGGCGCGTTTCAAATGGGAATAAAAAGGCGAAGGAGCGCGCAAGGTCTTCACTCCAGTCAGGAAGGCAGCTACTCGCAACAATCAATGGTTCTTCTAGTTGCCGATTGAGCTTGGCTGTAAGCTTAGTGTTGATAAACTGAGCCAAAGATTCGGGCTTGACGGCAATGAGATCTTTGGTCTCCGCAAGAATGTCATCGAGCGTTGTATTCATCCCATGCAAAACACGCAAAAGACTCAATATCGAAGCAGTGGTCGGGTCCTCGCTTAGAGAAGATGGTATTCCGGTACTGTTGTTCTGTGAACTGGAGTTGGAGGCATTGGACGTAAGTGTGGAGGACTCTGCCGGTGGCGGGCCTGGTACTCGTCTAAAAGTGACCGTGTGGATCGCAGACCACACGTTCCTTCCGTTTGGATCGAGGTGGCGACGGTTATGATGAACAGAGCGATAAATAGTAGTATCGCTGGAGACGGGCTGGCCATCAATACTGAACTGGATATGCCAGTCGGACGGGGGAGAAGCCATGGCCGCAGCATACGAGAACGGGCGACCAGACATCGCCAGCGAGCCATTACCTGCTGAGCTTAATGCAGAGCGAGGCCCAGATGATGACTTGGACACTGGTGTTGACTGGGATGGGGTGGATACACGTGTACCGTCTTCCTTGCGCGCAGTAACCTTTCCTGAAGACGCTATCTCCATGTTAACAGCCGAAGGGTCATGAACGTTCTCATCAGACATGTCATCGTCAAGATCGTCTACAATGGCGTTCAGCTCCTCGTCATCTCCATCGTCATCGTCGTCGTTTTCATCTTCGCTCAAATGGTGCTCATCGGCACATTCTAGTGGCTCATCGTCGTGGTCATCGCCCGTATCCACGGGTGGACCAGACCGCCTAGCTCTCGAGCGTGTCTCCGGACTGCTGGACGAGTTCTCTTTTGCAGTAGCCCTCGGGTCTGCGTTGGCAGATCTGTTGCTCCCGGAGGGTCGCGGAAGCTCACTACCGTTGGATCCGTTGTTTTCGGCTAGCTGATCTCGAAGGCGAGCTGCATTTGCGATTTGGGACAAGATGGTGTCCCGGCTGCGAGATGCCTTTGGACGATCCGACAAACTGATTCTAGGATGGAGAAAGTCGTCAAGGGCTTTAAAAGTCGCAATTGCGTGGATGGAAACCATGATATTCCTATAGGAGCGTGGAATATCGGAGTCCTCGTCAGCAACCAACTTGAGTCGAAGCTGTTTGCCGAGCATGTATGCCGCATTGCTTCGTGTGTTTTCCAGCGAATTATGACCAACGGTCATAACCTCGAAATGCTCTGTGCGACTAAGAAGATCTTGAAGTTTATTTATCAAGACGCCGAAGGGAGTCGTCGCTGTACTTTGACTCTGCGCTCTCTCTGAAATAGTACAGCCCATGAACGCCTGGAGGAAGGCGCTGCGGGCCTCACGCATGGATGTACCTATATCGTGAAGAAAGAAAAGTCAATCAGCGACAGCTTTGGGTTTTCGGGTGATAAGAATACTCACATTTTGAGTCGTCGAAAATATTGAGTAGAGCACTGATAATCCCGGAGTTAAGGAGCTCGGAGCTAGTGATACTTTCCAATGCATCTCCTTCAAAATAAGTTGCTAGTTTGCGGAAGAGAGCAAGCCCTTCATGGCTTTGATCTCCAAGACCTGCATAACAAGTCTCTATTTCTGTAGCAAGCTCCTGAAGCTCGTTCAAAGTCTCTAAAGCCTTTTCTCGCATTCCTCCACCTTGGTTAGTTTCATAAAGCTCCATGAAAGCGCGCGCATCCCGGACGACCAAATCATTCATTGCATTCTCCATCCTCGATGAGAATCCTGGGCCAGTGGAGGAAGAACTCTCAGAGTCCGACATATCCTCATTATCTTCATCCTCTTCATCCTCGTTATCCTCAGAATCGTCGGCACGATCATCATGGCTAACGCCACCACCATCTTCCTGGCTGTCGCCATCTTCCGCGTCCGTTTCGTCACCGTCGACGGGGCGTACGTTCGACTCTATACCTTGACGTGAATCCTCCGAAGTATCCATAACAGAAGCAGCAGGCGAATCCCGAGGTGGCTTTCCTTGCTTTTCGGTCGATAAAGTCTCTTTGGCAAGCCTCACGATCTCCGAAATGACACCTTCACGATGGAACTGATGTTGATACACGTGTTCCAGCCTTTGAAAGAGGAGTTCTGCGCAGCGAAGTGCTGATGAAACTAGAGATGGATGATCTTTCTGGGACAGTATAGCAGCCAGGAACGAAGCGTAGTGCACAGAGCGAAGAGCTTCCTCGATTAGTGCGGGATCGAGGTTCTGTAACATCTTGAGTTGCGCGATGAGAACTTTTTGCCGAACCTCTAAGTTGACTGTGCTTGAATATGCATCGGTAAGTGTTGGTAACAGGATCAAGGCAAATCGTCTCAGCTCCGCTTTGCAGCTCATTAATAGAGATCGTCGTTTCTCGGGTGATCCTTTTGGTGGAGATGACTTGAAACCAGACATCGCATCAATTTCGGGATAGGGCATCAAATCATCCCCATGAGATTCCGAACGGTTGGAAACACTGGGTAAAAGCTCGCAGATCACATTAAGAGTCTCGGAAACCTGCTCCTTGGGCCGGTGAATTAAAGCTTGCATTACAAGGACGCTGTCCATTTTGACGGCTTGATCTTCGAGGTTCTCTGGTGGCGAGACACCAGTCAGTATCTGATAGAGGGTGTCGACCACATCTGTCTTAAGCAACTCCACCGACAATCGTGGGCTTGCCTTAGATGTAAGCGCTAGGACTCGGAGGAATTGAGTATGGATATGTGGTCCGATAAGGTTTGTGGTGCCTGGCAGAAGCAAACGCAGAACAGCCTTCAGCATGTCAGGGCTGATCAACTCCTCAAGCTTCTCTGGCTTGTGTTTGAAGCTTTCCACTATTCGGGACACACAGAGACAGCCCTGCTCAACTACCTTGGGGTCGTTGCTAGAGAGAACGTTTAGGAGAATGGGCATGACATCTCGGACGACTGGAAACGAGTCGTGAGGTAAATTCCGGCAACAGTTGGCAGCCGTTGTAACTGCAGTACGCTGGGTACTCGTCGGGAAGAAGTCAAGATAGGTTAAGCATGCCGTTAGGCCCCCTTCTCGCACTATAGATGCTGGAAAGTCCACTGAAACCTTTGCTAGCGTCTATGATTCAGTTAGCATGAGTGCCAAAAACATCTTGAAAGAACCATAATGGATATGGTATACATGATGCCAGAAGCTGCAGGAACAAGGAAGGCGGGTTGGCTTACACTGAGTGCCTGCTCAGCCAGGTCGATGAATTGGATGTCCAGTAACTTCTGACACAGAATCGGCACGGCGCCCCCATAAACCACGTTGGCCACCGATCCTCGTAATGCCTCCATCAAGTAGGCCAAGCAACGGCAAGCAACCAACATAATTTCTGGATGCTCTTCCCCGAATTCATTAGGTTGCATGAGAGTCACCAACTCTTTTACGTAAGGGTCGGGAGAAAACTGGCCAGATAAATTGTCCTCGTTCGATATCAGTAATAATTCCGAGAGTTCCTGAAGAGCGATCAATTGAACGGATGGGTCTTCCTTCATTCTGAGATTCTGGAGAATATCCCGCAGGCGACTAGACATGCCTGTCATCATGCCAGTAAGTGCACGAAGCGTGTTTTGAAGTCCAAGAGAGCCCCGTGATCCAAACATGCCGTTATGAAAGATGTCTCCATCATCTTCCTCATCTTCCTCGCCATCTGGACCAGAAGGATTTGTACCATCATTACTATCGCTTGGTGGCGAAGGCTCGTGCTCTTCGCTCCTCTCTCGCCTTTCTAAATCATCATCCGCTTCTTTCATAATGACATCGGGCCGATTTCTTGAGGACCGCTTTTTCTGTCGATTGGGAGGAGGTGACTGGGTAGCTAGAGAGCGTTCTGCATTGTCCAGAGATTTAGTTCCTAAAAATTCCTAGAGCGGAAGAATGGGATATTTAGTGATGCCTTACCTTGGGACACTTTCCCATGCCGGCTCGACTTCCTCCTCTGTTGGGGGGGCGAGGCTGGCTTTTTCGAAGACTCCTCTGTGGGATGTGACGATGGACTGCGAGGGAAAATCAAGTTAGTGCACATTCTTTCTCGGTGTAGAAGAGGTTCAACGTACCCTGGGTGGGACATGGCCGGGCGGTTTCGTGTACCACGACGAGAGGCTGCAGGGAGATTCGTCGCTCGAGGTGAAGTTACACGCCGTTGTCGCTTGGATTTTCGATGGGGGGATTGAGGATTTGGCCGCTCCGAGGAGTCCGGTGATCGATCGCGGCGTGCGGGGGCTTTACGCTTTCGAGATGGAGCCGAGCCAGCGGCGGGGGATGAGGAAGAGGGACCGGATTCGACGGACGGAGGAGAATCTGCGGCTAGTCTCGCGGCCGAGCGAGTAATTCTGGAGGACATGAGAACCCAAACTTGCAAAGGACAATGGACGAATACGGCAAATTCAGCAGCGAGGGGACTCAAGTTATAACCGTGGGGAGATAATGTTGGGGGAGGGAGGTGCCGGGGATCAGCCACGAAGAGTAAGGGAGTGGTCAATGAATGTCGATATCAGCGATAGTCAAGGGCTCGGCGACTGACTCCCAAATACCAAAGCACATGGAAGCTCAATGACTATTTGCCGAACCTTTGCCAGCGGAATATTGAGCCTGGGGCACCAGTAGCGGGCAGAGAATAACGAGGCAGGGTATTCCGAAGGGCTGGGGCGCCAACGTGGGGTAGGAATATGAGAGGGAATTTGGTAAGTACCTGGCGGCAGTTGCGGAGGCACCAGCAGACGAAGGCAGTGCGCGAGAGTCCTCAAGAGGGTCCTGGCGGTGAATGTCGGGCCTTTGCCTGGCCATATGTTAATTGCTACCGAGAGCAGGGCAGGAAGGGCTCGCTCGTCATCCAGCGCCGATCAACCCGCCATCCGTTACTCTATGGAGGGCAACTCGGGGGAGCTGGTCGAAAGCGAGGCCGCTTCGGTCGTTCGCTTCGGGGGACAGGAGGGGCGGCTGATTGGGGTTGAGCGAATCGGGAGGAAATGAAGTACTAGTAGTAACAAACTGTAACAATAGAGATAATCAAAGGAGGGTCAAGCAGATGAATGCAGATGACAAAGTGACGAGATGTAGCTGGGAAGAAGCAGCTGCTGCGTCGAGAAGAGATGGAGGAGAGATGGAAGCGATGGCCCGTCAGTTGGCCTCGTTGACGTGGTTGGCTGCTCGGGCGGTGGTGACGGTGACGGCGACTGGCGACTGGCGCCCCGACTGGCGGCTGCCCGTGACTGACCACTGACCGACTCGTCGTTCACTACCTGTCACCCTCACCACTGGGTCCGGAGCGCAACACGCCTCCAAGGTGCAACCACCACGCCCACTACAACTCCCCGCCCTGCTCAAGGTTCCTTAGCTCTATTTATTGGCACCTTAAAATTCATTTGAATGGATGGATTTTCCGTTGTTCTCTGCCATGAAGCAACGCTTGACCCCGAGCTCCTCTGGCGACCGCTCCAAAAATGTTTCAATATGTCTCGGGTGCGATGACGACTGTTTGATTTGTCTATTCACTATCGGTCATTGATTCTCCTTTTGGCGGTCCGACTTCACAGACATCGGGGTCCTCGAGAATACGCTTGATCACCCCACAATAGCCTACGTGGAGGTCTAGACGCCCCAGCGTGAACTGGTAATAGCGTACACACACCGTGGGTTTCGAGTATGTGCTCGCAGTTCGCTGGAACCTGGGGAACGCTCACTCCCTCAGATACACTGGGCAGCAGTTGACAAGCTCACATCACCGTCTCACCCGTAAAATAAACCCAGCTCAAAAGTTATTGTCCATAACTGGAGAAGCTATTTACACTACGTCCAAAGAGAGGAGTGCGAACCCAAGCACATTATCCTATAACTTATAAACACATACTGAAGAGTGGTCTTTCGAGCGAACTTGGGATTGAACCAATTCATGCTATACCTCACTAAAGAAACACTAGTTCGATGCTTGGATATCACCAGTTGTTCCAACTCTGAATGTTCCCTTGAGCAACCCCAAACCAACCATTCATACTCACTTACTAAGTAGCTTAAGCTGTAGCTACATTCGTGGTGCTTCCTTTAAATAATTGAAACCCAAATATGAATCATTCAGTACCTAGCTAGTGGAGATACACTTCTAGTGGTAAAGGATACTGCTATAAGAATGCGAGAATCTGTCAACAACTACAGAGCACTCCGGGGCAAGTGTATAGTTCGACCAAACTACTCGAACACGGCCGAGTGGGGTAGTTCTGAATCGGCAGCCAACATAGGCAGCCTTACATTGGGGAAATAATGAATTCGGAGTATACTCCGACATCTCCGCGATGTAGGGATCACGTGCCCCACTCCTCGCGCATCTCAAGCCGCAGATAATTAGGATAAGATTCACGAAAGAGAGATATGGAGTAACCACAGTTGTATAGCGGGTATTGCTGAATAGTTAGGATGTTAAGTCAAGAGGAAGGGCAATTTACGGCCTCAGGCCGAAATGAGGTGATTCGAAAATTCCTCTCCGAGGGCCAGAATGGGCACAGGCCCGCTGTGGTCCGGCGAAAATTCCCCTCTTTCTGCCTCCCCCACACGGCGGCTGACTAACGGCTGCTTGCCCGCATCCGACCTTTATCGTTCTTGATTTCCGAACTCTTTCAAACAGTCATTGCCGTTTGCTCTAACTTGGTGCCGTGGCCCAAGTTAAATAGTGACTTACTCCCTTTACTTGCTCTCACCACAGACTTTCAACCCTTCTACCTTACTATCATGGCCGATGCCACCCAACCACAGGGCAACCATGCCCACCCGCCGCCTCCCGACCCCTCAACCCCAGCGGAGGAGTATGTTTTCCCGGAATATCGTTTGAAGCGTGTTATGGACGATGCAGAGAAGACGCCATTGCTGCTCGTGGCTTGTGGTTCATTCTCCCCTATCACGTTCTTACATTTGCGCATGTTCGAGATGGCGGCCGATTACGTCAAGCTGAGCACCGACTTCGAAATTGTTGGAGGATACCTTTCACCAGTCTCAGATGCCTATCGTAAGGCAGGTCTTGCAAGTGCTGAGCATAGGTGAGTTCTAATTTTTTTTTCCACTCCCACGTTTTTGGTTTGTTGGCATTTTATTGATTGCGCGCTACTTGGTAGGGTGTCGATGTGCCAGAGAGCCGTGGATGCGTCGGACTGGCTGATGGTGGACACATGGGAGCCGATGCACAAGGAGTACCAGCCAACTGCTATTGTATTGGACCATTTTGACTACGAGATCAACGCTATACGAAACGGAATTGACACTGGAAATGGCTCTCGGAAGCCGGTACAAGTTGTCTTGCTGGCTGGTGCTGATTTGGTGCACACCATGTCAACCCCTGGAGTATGGAGTGAAAAGGATCTTGATCATATTCTTGGACAGTATGGGGTATGTTTGGCAACAGCGGTCCGACCGAAATAGGATATGCGCTAACCCCTTGCTTAGACCTTCATCGTTGAGCGGAGCGGAACAGATATCGATGAGGCGCTCGCAGCATTGCAGCCTTGGAAAAAGAATATCCACGTCATTCAACAGCTCATCCAAAATGACGTTAGTAGCACGAAAATTCGCCTGTTCCTCAGGCGTGACATGAGCGTGCGCTATTTGATACCTGACCCCGTCATCGGGTACATTTATGAAAACAATCTATACATGGATGATGGCACAACGCAACCAGGTGCCGACAAGGGCAAGGCGAAAGAAGAATCGACGGCAGCGAATTAACGTTTTCCCAATCCATGCTGTTTAATTGTCCACTCACTCGACGGTTTGTCTGACGATTCATTTCGCGGATATTACGGAAACCGACTCCCGGGAAGTGCCACTCGTGTGGTATTATAAACACTCGCCGACTATACTGTTGTCTGCCTGTTGATTCCGAGATTATGTTCATGGGCTTGATTGTCTCATACAGTTTCTTTTTAACTGAGCAATTATGATAACGACACAATCCGGCTATGGTACCGGCCTCGTTCACTAATCCGCATGCGCGTGGCCAACAATTTTCTCCTGAGAACGAAGTTCAACTTGCCCATCCGGGTGCGCAAGGTGGATTTCAGGACAGTGCACTAAGACTACAAAGTTTTTGCTTCTCAAGAAATAGGCTTAAAGCTCACCCACCCCTCCTTTATTTCAATCACGGAGTTTTCACCGCTAATATACATCCGCCAACGACGGGTCATATATCACAACGGTTACTGGTACTTTTTGCTGGCGGTTATTTACTTATTTTGCGTTTCACTGAAGTTATACCCTTTTCAATGTTTATGTACCGACATTTAGAGCCCGGTAGAGCTAGACTTCGACCCGTCCGGCAAATGTATATACAGAGAGGGTCGGAATTTTGAATACAAGCTTGCCAAACAAGTACTATGTTTAATATTCAGCTTAGTCAATCCAACAGAATACAAATTGCATGACTACACGACTTTCACCAGGAATCTTAATTGAACTTTAATAAAAAAGAACCACAGATCTAACATTTGTCTTTATCATTCCACCTGAACATCTACGGTACAAGCTTGAACACTCTATCACAAAGCACAAAAGGTCAAATGTCATCCTCGGTTATAATGCATATTATGTAGCTGAAGTAGTTTGTTATTTGATATCACCATCTGCCGCACTTTTTATATCCTTTTGGTTTCAGTATACGGTGGAGCAAGGTTCCACCTGGCCCATATGGGCGAACTTGATGGAAGCATCCGCCAGAAGATCTTATCAAAGTAGCTATTCTAAAATCTGCCGGTCAGTAGATGGATAAACCTTAGATTATACTTACTGAAATCTGATGAGAAACAACTGTAAGGGATGCAGCTAAGTAAGTACTCATATAATGACTCCAGTAGTAGAAGGATTGGGGCCCCGGGCCGTCGGAATATACTTGTTAGGCATCGTTGCCAGTATGCAAATTCTCGGTTAGTTATTTCAGTTCTTAGTATAATTCCCTTTGCAAGCTTGGCTCAGTATTCTGGGGGTAGCTGTGTCTGAACTGTCCGGGTTTGTTCCGTGGTTTTGACCCATACAGCAATGCGTGATGGTATTCACCCAGAATAGCCTGTATATGATTTCGACCCATCCAGGGTCTATCCCGCCTATTTTGATCGTTTGCGCGATGTCTATGGGATGACACTTTTATAAAACCAGAGAACCAGAGTTCTGCGGCAGCTGTAACCAATTCCAGGGTGCGTCGGGTATAGCATCCGAATATATCTTCGCCTTTGTGAGAAATAACCCATATCTAAAGATGTTTCCTGAGTAAAAATGAACACCGACCATATATGAAATGAAAATTTCAGCCCTGGGGATGGTGCCACAGAAGTCCAACAAAAAGAACACCAGGGACGTAAGTGGACCTGCCCAAATGACAATGAATGAGAATATGTATATACACCGGATATCACACGCCCCATATTTTCGTCATCTAGAGGAAGAAGTCTAGACAACATCAGAGTTACCGCCAACGGTAGTTGTATAAGCAGATGAAGTTGTGAAACGAAACATGTAAAGAAGAAAGTATGTATAAACAGCATAACAAAGGTCATATACATCGTGACGCAAGAGGATAGATCGAGCTTATTAAGTAGACTGCACTCGCCCATCTTCCAGATAAAGTAAACCAGGCAGCTGGTAGAAACAGCACGACAGAACCAAACAAAAAGCAAAAGAGGCCAATGAATAATAAAACTGCAAGAGCACAATTCAGTTATTATCATCCCATAGATCTTGAACCTCCAACATGCCGAGAATGTCACTATGGTCCTGCCCTCGCACGACAGCGATTACTGGTCTGCCAACGTCGGGGGGAATAAGACCGCGTGCTTCCTGGACGGTACATTCATCCGATATCAGGTGCCAATGGTCGCTGGGTATCAGATCAGTAGAATCCAAATCGCTTAATGAGGTATCCATGTCGACATAGCCCCGGGAAAGAGAGCGAAGTTGCCGCGGAGGGATAATCACGGATGGGGAGACGAAGACCCACGACTTCGCATTCGGGTGTTGGATTGCTGTGAGGAGGATATCAAGGAGCTTGGTTTTCTGGGCTGCAGAGGAGACGGTGGGTATTTGATCGAAAGATGCGCTGATAAGACTGGAGATGGAGGGTGGCCTGGGTGACTCCGCTTGGTCTTCAGTAAAGGTGGGTATCTGCGGACGGACGGGGAGGAAGTCGGAAGGTGTGGAGTTGAATGAGCTTAATGAGACACTGGGCATGCTAATCGGGGTCGATGCGGTGGACGCGGCCCCGATTGAACCGCCGGGATGCAAACTTTTGAACACCTCCGCAGGGCCTCTTCCGGGGGAAGTATGTAGCCTGTTCGCGGTGGCTATAGCCAGGGCATCACCAAGCGAGAGGGCCACTGTTGTGGAGGATGTTGGAGCGGACACCCCCACTGAGGCCTCTTCGTCTTCATGGATGGGGGCTGGTAAAAGGATACCCATTTCGGAGGGCTGGAATGACAAGAGTGGGCATGTTGATGGGTGTAGGTGAGATGTGAGCGCAATGACCGTGACTGTCGAGGGTATATGAGGAAGTAGAAGGAGTAATTCTGGTGTTCGGCCGGAGAAGGAGATCAAGAGAAGAGTATCATTCTAGTCAGCTTGGTTAGCCGGGGTCAAATATCGTAGACCGGATGGCGGAGGTCTTACCGGTCGAACCATCCCCAGGTCACCGTGCAATGCCTCTGTTGGATGTAGAAACGTGCTGTAAATCCCCAAGCTGTTCATGGTAGCTTCCAGCTTCTGGGCAATTTTCCCACTTTTGCCCACCCCGCAACACACCAACTTGCCTCCATTGTGGACAGTACGAGCAATTTGATCTACTGCTCGGCTAAGATAATCCTGTGCTAGCTGATCTGTCTCATACAAACGCTCGAGATGCGCGAGAGCTGCACGCTCTGTAGATATCACATGGATGGCCGTGCTAACCGAAGCGGCATGCTTGGTAGGCGTCAAGACGCCGTCGGCAGGCTCAGGAGGGGTCATCGGGAGACATGCGAAGCCGTCCTGCATGGGGGCGCTGGAGGAGGGCATGGCGGCAGAGAGCGGAATTCGGTATCGCTGCTTGAGGTGCCCCATTGTCAAGATGACATTCTCCAAGACGGAGTGAAGAGGGAACCGTCAGCTCCCACGGGAGAAGACGTCAGAAAAGTCCTGAGATCTCGCGTCGGAGCGAAGACAGGAGTGGAGGAGGGGCAAAGGAGCTCCGAAAGACTATTCTAGGGAAGTGGAGAGATCAAACGGCGCGTTCGGATTCCTTGGGAGGCTTTCGGAGATAAAGAAATTTCCACGGCGCAACCACTGATTGATAATCGCAACAGGAAACACCAAAATAACTTTCAATGATCCTGCGAAGCATCTTTTCTCCCCAATCCGCGCGAATGGCCGATGCAGGTCAATGCAGGTGCATTCGGCTCAATGGAGGCAAATCACCTCATCGGAAGCGATTCTGATGAAGTCGATCGTTCTCGTCTCCCCCACTTCACGATAAATGACACGATCCGCGCGGGCCGGCGAGAACCCGGTGGGCAAGTAACATCGATAATGACAACCAGAAAATAATATACACTATCTATGCAAATACTAGTATACATGATCCCCCCGCATACGGCCCCGGCCTGGAGGGTCTATTAAGCCCGGGGTAGTGGTTTAATTCCCTTGTGGATAGCCGCAATTCCCCCTGTGAGGTTCTCGAAGCCTCGGCCGGGGATCATGAATCCAGCCTTCTGAATCATTCCCCGGAATTCTTCCTGGCTGGGAAACTGCTCAATACTCTCGACAAGATATTGGTAGCTCTCCCGGTCTCCCGCCACCAGCTGGCCGATCAAGGGGATGGCGCTGAAACTCCACTGCTTGTAAACCGTATTAAACAAGGCGTTGTCCACCTTGCTGAATTCCATGCACGCGAATACACCGCCCGGTTTCAACACACGATGTGCTTCCACAAGTGCTGCCTGCTTGTCGGTGAAGTTCCGGATGCCAAAAACCACAGTATACAAATCGACGGAGTTATCCGGTATTGAGGGCATATGCTCCGCATTACCCTGCATAAACGATAGCCGATTCGAGTTGTAGTACGGAGTCTGAATGCTGCGCTTTTTGCCCTCCGCCAGCATATCGGCGTTGATATCAGCGATTGTTACCCTCGTTTCGTTATCGTGGTTGATGTTTGTAGCGTGGTCTAGCATGCGGAACGCGATGTCGCCCGTACCGCCTGCAATGTCGAGGATGTTCCAACCTCGCCCGGCGGAATCGTTGTCGCGGGATGGAAGGGCAGATCCGGGGTTTAAAGAGCGAACGAAGTGGTCTTTCCATAGACGATGAATGCCCATTGACATGAGGTCGTTCATGGTATCGTATGATGAAGCAACAGAGCTAAACACAGCGCCAACTAAAGGAAGCACAAGCTCTAGTCAGCCGCGATTATACAGAAATAGATGCTTGGAATCTAGCAATTGAAACTTACCCATTGTCTCCTTCTTATCCTCTGGCACATTTGAGAAACCGAAGTGCGTCATTCGATCCTTCTCAGACTTGAACTCGGATTGGGTCCGTCGGGAGCAGGAGAAACAGCGGTATGAGGTTTCGCTCATGGCGAATCGTCGCCCGGTGGCGAGATTTAAACTCCTCCATAATGATCGGGAAGCCATAATGCTCTATTATGGGGGCAGCGAGTGGGAGGGATGGAGGGAAGCCTGTGACGGAGCGGAGGTCGAGACCGCAAGAATGTTCGCAGTTGCGGCGACGCGGTGGAAATTGTCTGCTGCCTCAGGCACACAAGATGCATCAGGCAACCATCCGCCCTGGCATAGTTCGCCAACACCATCAGCCACCGTGAATTGTCCCATTCTACGTTCATATGCCGTAAAGGGTTATTGAAGCTCCAGCCCGGTTATATTATGGTCTATACCCTCTTGAAGCAGCTTGACGCGGAGATCCGCCTACTTATCCCTGATACATATGCGGGGTTCTCCTGCTTTCGACTGTGATCGGCCTCCGCCAGCTCGGGGAATGGAGAAATAAATGCAACATTGAGCTGCACAAGCACAGTCATTCGTCACTCTTTTGTCCATCTTGATGCTCGGATCTGCCTGCAACCCCCTCACGTCTGTGGTCGGCTGGGTAAGTTCAGGCAATAAAACCCCTTTTTACCCCATATCCCTGGCGAAAGCTTGACACCCAGATGAAATTCCTGGAGTTTGGGACGCAAGCTGTTATTGCGTCTAGTGTAGCCTGGGACCGGCACATTATGGATTTGGGTACTGTAAACTGGAGTCTATCAGGCCCAGCCCTGAATACCACAGTGCCCGCCTCTATACCTTCCCATGTCCACTTGGACCTGTTTAATGCGGGAGTAATAGGTATGTGACCATTCAATCTGTTGAGACTTGGAATTCCTAACAATGAGTGCAGATGATCCGTAAGTGTTCCACATGTCGTGAGAATCAATTAGTTGCTCAACTATCTCCAAGCTATTATGGCTTGAATGAGATCAGCCTTCGCTGGATTGGCGAGTCAAACTGGACATACACAAGCGACCCTATATCTGATCTGTATGTACCCCCATTGTCATAAGTGCAAAGACCTAACAGTGATTAGATTGAGGGAATATGAGTCAACTTGGCTTGTATTTGACGGCCTAGACACGTTCGCAACCATCTCATTCTGTGGACATCATATCGCATCTACGAACAACCAGTTCCGCCAGTATGCGTTCGATGTTTCTTCGCCTCTGAAAGAGTGCAATGGGGACCCAATAATTAGCATAGATTTTGCGAGTGCACCGAAAACCGTCGACGCAATTGCCGCAGACCCAAGCTCACCGCAGTGGCCGGTCCAGCTAACATCTCAGTACCCGAACCGCTGGTTTATGCGCAAGCAGCAGTGCGATTTCGGTTGGGATTGGGGCCCAGCATTTGCTCCTGCTGGTCCTTGGAAACCGGCGTACTTGGTTCAACTCGAAAAGCCCGGTAATATTCACGTCCTAAATACAGACTTGGATATATACAGACAGGGCAGTATCAACCATCTCCCGCCTGATCAAAACAAGCCTTGGGTTGTGAACGCTAGTATCGATTTCATAGGCAATCCTCCAGCGGAGCCTCAATTATCCATCGAGATCAAAGATATTGAATCTGGTGAAGTACTAGCCAGTCAAACCGCTGAGGCTGTTAACGTTACCGAAACTTCGATAACAGGCGTAACAACTTTCGACGACCTTTCACCGAAACTCTGGTGGCCTTCAGGTCTCGGAGCTCAGAGTCTATATAATGTAACCATCACCGTCCACGACGGGTCGGAACAGACCGCACTTGTCAGCAAACGAACTGGTTTCCGGACAATATTCCTCAATCAGCGCAACATCACTGAGGGTCAACTGGCTCAAGGCATTGCTGATGGTGCGAATTGGCATTTTGAGATTAATGGGCAAGAATTCTATGCCAAAGGTTCTAATTTTATCCCGCCTGACACATTCTGGCCCCGGGTGACCAAAGAGAAGATGTCCCGGTTACTGGATGCCGCAGCTGCAGGTAACCAGAATATGCTCCGCATTTGGTCCTCTGGCGCATACCTCCCTGATTTCATTTATGACCTGGCAGATGAACGGGGGGTTTTGCTCTGGAGCGAATTCCAATTCAGCGACGCCATGTACCCGGTAGACGATGCCTTCCTCGATAACGTGGCCGAGGAAGTGGTTTATAACGTGCGACGAGTGAACCACCATCCATCCCTAGCCCTATGGGCCGGTGGAAATGAGATCGAGAGTCTGATGCTTCCACAAACCCAAGACGCAGACCCAGAGGGGTACCCTAAGTATGTCGCGGAGTACGAAAAACTATACATCAGTTTGATTCTGCCGCTGGTGTACCAAAATACCCGCTCCATCACGTACAGTCCCAGTAGCACCACAGAAGGATACATTAGTGTCAATCTTTCTGCTCCTGTACCCATGACCCAAAGATACGAGCAACTCGAACCCGGTTCCTACTACGGCGATACCGATTACTACAACTATGACACCAATGTCTCTTTCGACTACTCTATCTACCCTGTTGGGCGCTTTGCAAATGAGTTCGGATTCCATAGCATGCCCAGCTTACAGTCATGGCAGCAAGCTGTTGATCCTGACGACCTGCACTTCAACAGCACTACAGTCGTCACCCGGAACCGCCATTATCCCTCAGAAGGCTTCGGGGAGACGTACAATGCATCTCGCGGGATGGCCGAAATGACCCTGGGAGTGGAGCGCTACTACCCCATCCCAGAGAATGCAGACCCAGTTGCAAATTTCTCTGCTTGGTGTCACGCAACCCAGCTATTCCAAGCGGACTTCTATAAATCACAGATCCAGTTCTACCGAAGAGGAAGTGGGATGCCTGAAAGACAACTAGGATCTCTTTACTGGCAGCTAGAGGATATCTGGCAGGCACCTACGTGGGCCGGGATCGAATATGATGGTCGATGGAAGGTACTGCACTATGTTGCGCGTGATATATACAAACCAATCATTGTGTCTCCATTCTGGAATTACACCACGGGCAATTTCGAAGTTTATGTAACTTCCGATCTATGGGAATCTGCAACAGGAACTGTAAACCTTAACTGGTTGACTCTCTCTGGAGAACCGATTCCCAATAATGCCGGCACGCCGACAACCCTCGATTTTGCGGTTGGCGCCATCAATACAACCAGAGTCTACAGTACCAATATCAACGACCTGAACCTATCAAACCCGAAGGACTCCATCCTTGTCCTTTCCGTGTCCAGCGAAGCATCCCTCCCCAATTCCAACGAGCCAGCTTCACTAACCCACGAAAACCACTTCACCCCAGCGTTCCCGAAAGACCTGGCCCTGACCGACCCCGAGCTCGAACTTTCATACGATTCCGAGTCTGAGACATTCACGGTGGAGTCGAAATCAGGCGTGTCTCTCTATACCTGGCTCGACTACCCAGCCGGTTTGGTGGGATACTTCGACCACAACGCGTTTATCCTTGCCCCTGGTCAGAAGAAGGAAATCCGGTTTATAGTTCAGGAAGACCACTCGGATGGAGAATGGCAGCGGGAGGTTACTGTCCGCAGTCTCTGGGATCAAAAAGCTAGGGATTAGTTTAGTTTTATATGATTACCTAGCCAGCAGTTACATACGGTGGTGGCTAGCCCTAAATAGACGGGATCAGTGCCAATCAATCCCTGTTCGCTCGTTTATACTCAGCTCTTAATGGATAAGTTATTGCCAATAAGAGGATCCTAGGTAGTCATGCACAACAGTTTCATTTCCCGCTTAAGCATATTAGGTCATTGGGGCCATTTCCGAACCACGCAAACCAGGAGAAGGCCTAATGCTCGGGATCCACTCCGTATTAATGAAGATTAACCTAGATAGAGCATTGGTAAAAGGGAAATATTCGACGAATCTATTGTTGTTTGGGCTTGGCTTCTGGTTGGGGCTATTTCTCACTAACATTGCACGATAATAGAAGCAGTAATGAGAATTTGCTCTAGTCTAAATGCTTTGAACTATATTTCCTGCACCATAACCTACCTTTCCAGCAGCACAGGGTTTTGCACCACGGGGTAATTAGGAAAATTAGGCTTATAAACCCTCTGACACCGACCATTATACTCCCCCGTCGTACTCATCACAGTCTCCCCCTCACGCCGCGGCACACCAAACTGCGCCAGAGGCCCATCAACAGGCCTCGCCCTCTCCCAGCCAGGCCCAGCAGAAGGATCCCGAATCCACGCAACAAACCAGTCATTCATGTAATCCGCCAACCGCTGCTGCGCATCGGTCACGCCACTCAGCTGCGAGAAGCACTCATTACCGCCGTGGAAAAAGGGGACTTCGCTACCGTGGGATGGCCCGATGCCGGGCATACCCAGTACATTCGAGTAGTTTCCGAACCAGCGGTAGATCCAGGTGGGTTGGATCGCGGCGCGGAGGTCGAGGAGGGAGTCGGTGGCGCAGATGAAGCGGGCGTCGCCGTATGAAGCACCGCTCATTGAGGAGATGGATGTATAGTCGGCTTTGTTATACGCGGCTAGAAGCTCGGACTCCGACACGAATGCCAGGTCTGCATCAAAGGTGCGGATCCAGGAGGTGAAGTTCTTGTTTTCGGCGCTATAGACGTATCCAAAGATAGCGCCCTCCTGGTCTGAGTTGCCGACGATAAGGGGTAGGGATTTCGGATACTGCCCGTTGACGAAGCGGTCGGTGTAGTTGTTGAAGCGGGTGATGTTGTCAACTGTTGGCGCGAACCAAGTGTTGGAGGTTGAGTTGAAGTAGCTGGTTTGGAAGTCGTACATGTCTGCTGCGCGAAGGCAGTCCAGCGTGTAATTTTCGGCTGTGCAGTCTAGCGATACCCCAGAATCCAGCATGCCCTCTACTACCTGCTTCAGTGCGACGCCTGCAGGTGCGTAGGCGGGACCTGACTGCGCATTAGCGGACATCTCGATGGCGCCGGCCAGGAAAGTCTGCGGGTGAGTCCAGAGGTAGTGGTCGACATGCACTGCGCCGGAGGAGTGGCCACCCAGAACAATATGAGATTTGTTACCACCAAAGGCTGTCCCTTTGGTTAGCCATATTCGCCAGACTCGGAGGGATGCTTGCCTTCGATGTTATTGTAAACCCACTCCAGAGCCAACTCCACATCCAGGATCCCAAAATTCTGGGACTCGCCCTGCAGCTCAGGTGCATTAGGCGAGGCATAGATACTTTCGCGGTAATTGAAGTTGACATAGATCACGTCCTTGCGTGCGAAATTATAGCCTTGCCACTGGGCATTGCTACTTCCCCCAGTGACCATAGCACCGCCATAGATATAGACGAAGACCGGCAGATTAGCCTTGGTGTCACTAATTGGAGTCCAAATGTTCAGGCTCAGGCAATCTTCACTCTGGGCAGTGATTGTCGTGCCGGACATTACCTGGGCACAGGATGGGCCATAGGTCCCTGCATCGAATCCCCCTCCGTGAAATGCCTCGATCGGCTTGGGGGCCTTCCAGCGATTTTCTCCAGCAGTGCTCTGGGCAAATGGGAGGCCGAGGAATACGTTGGTATTATTCTGCACAAAACCATTGATGACACCCTGCTCAATGGCGACGTTTGGGGAAACATTGCCTGGATAGGATGCGCCAGCATCTGCAGCTAAGCTGGTTGCACCCAGCAGCACCACTGCCAGCTTGCGGTGAAAGAAGCGCATGGTGACGAATGGTGAGAAGGGATGAATATTAGATAACAGCGCACAGCACGCATTTATTTAAGAAACAGCTAAGGCACTAGGCCCAGTTCATCTCGGAAACACGCCGTTGTGGAGCAGATCCAGATCGTCCGGCAACGGGCTTCAGCTCCCGATAAATTGTGAAAATCTTTGACAGGTATAAACTGTAATATCACAGCAGACAATATCTGCCAGTTAATCCTCGAGTCTTGGGAGTCTGTACTGTACAATTGTTGGGGGACCATAATGTCGCTACACCACGTACAGAAAGGAATGATGGCTCTTAATTGCTGGAACTTTACTATCTTCTGCATACTTTCTCGTTGCCTTTCTATTCTTATCCCTGATAAAAAAAAAATCGAAGATCATTCCAAAGCCTCTGTGATTATCGTAATAAACAACCGATGATTCCCAGAATCTCACTCTATGTATAGTTCTAGTGTCTGAGGCCATTTGGACTCATTTGAGATTCTCACTTTGGTAACACAATTCTTTTATCTTGTCTTACTTTATAATGCTCCAGGATGATAAGCCGCTGCTCTGAATTACATCGCTGCAGGGTTTCAACGACCAACCACGAGCATTTATTCTGGGGGATATCAGAGCCACTCTTCCCGTTCTTATCCCTGCCGCTGTATAAATCAAGAAAGTCATTCTGAGCCTGGTAGTAAATCACCATCTTCGCCGTGATGTCGCGTGCTATCCCGGTGTTCACAGCTGATGCCATCCCCAGGTACTGGAGCATCATGGCCACAGGTAAGTAGTAGTATCCGGATGTCCCTAGGGAAACTGTACCCTACGCTTCCCCGACAGTGCTCGGACACGATCGTGTCGCAGCTCTGCATTAGCTGCAGCGCTACCAGCTCATCTGTCATGACTGCGAAAATGCCAGAATACGCGGGGTGGTCTGTAAAGTGCGCCTTGAGCAGAGAGAATCCAAGCAGGATGGCAAGGGAGGCGTCGAATACGGCCTCTCCTGCTGTACTTTGGATGGTATGCACCCTGGAACTAGGTGGAAACCAGGAGCAACCAGGTGAGGCGAGTCGCTCCTTCCAGTTGAAGTGGTCGTTCTTTCCTGGTACAGCGGTATAAGCTTTGATTTGTCGGGAAGGAACGACCGAAGGTAAACATGACAGATTTGGAAAGAGTGACTTTGAATGAATGGGGAAGGAACGATGCATCCCCGCCTCGTATTATGCCTCTGCCTGCTTGAAGCGCCGCCGGTTACTGTTACCTTTGGCCAGCCAAGCTAGAATATGAAGCAGGACAGCTTCATTTCGTATGCAACCATTCAGTCCAACGGCACACACTCATCAATCAGGCGCGAAACTGACTCATCATATGGGTCCCTTTGATACCGTGTATACCTCATGAACAACTCCTCTGGTCCCCTATTCCATTTGGAAGCATCATGTGGGCCAAGTAAGAATGGTTGATCGCGCGGTCGAAAGACGGCATAGTGATGGATTCGGGCTTCCTCGGGGATCTCTGTCACCTCGATCTCATCTCCCTTAGTGTCATCGTGTGATACAGTAGGGTTCTGTGCTCTTTGCCGAAGTATGCTCCTGCTCAGCGCCTCTTCCTGCTCGATGATCTTTCCCGCAAGCACCAGTCCAGTTGCGCACTTGTAGAATCCTTGCACTGGCGGCGACCGGCGCAGGAGTTCGAGCGCCCTTCGCCGCAGGGTAGAATCATGGCATTCAATGGCCGTCCAGAAGAGAGGTAACCCAACACCAAGTTCAAACGTGAAGGCAGGCTGGGTGCCATCTGTACTTGCCGAATTATCGAGTGCAATGGCCGCTTGTTCGACAACGAGGCGGAAGCTCGGAAGGTGAGCATCGTAAGCGGATTTACTGCGCTCCAGACAATTTGACGCTATCATAGACAACGTGGTGTGGTACATGATAAGCAAGGCATGGATTGAAGGATTCCAGTTCATCGCTGGTGGGCTTGTGCTCGGCAACATTTGTGTCAAGTCATTGTAAGCACAGTGCCAGCGCCTAAGGGCATCCTGGAGTCTACATTTCTTCGCTATGAGCTCAGGGGTGATTTGCGCTTCAAGGCCGATGAATGGGTTGCTTCCTGATTCCCTTTCCAGAATTTGGACCTGGGCCGACAGTGGTATGAGCGCATCTCGAGCGGAACCCAGCGATGTAAAATTGTACGCGTCTCCATTCTTGATATCGCTGAACAGGTCACATATCGATGTCCCTGAAATCGACAAAGCAGCTGACCCGAGGCGCATAAACAGAGGGACGAGAGTACTTTCAAGTAGAGTAGCCTGCAAACAGGAGGCCTTCGCACGTAAGTCGAGTATAAGCTTGATTCCCTGGTTATAGAGCTGCAGTGCCTCTTCCACATGGCCTTGCAGCGTCTCTATACATACAAATAGCGCACAGCTAATCAAAGCAACTTGGCCATCGACACTACCGCGGTCAATCTGGGACCGGACCTTCGACAGCGAGCGCGAGTACCAGCGCAGGGCCTCGCTCTGTTTTGCGTTGATCCCAGCAGATCTTTCATATCGCAGGCTTAGGAATGCGAAATCGAGACACATGTGGGGGTATTCAAACAGAGTACTGATTGCGTTCACAGCATCCCAGATGGCAGGCTCAGAACGACAGGCCCGGGGCACGACACAGACCCAAAAGTCCTGGTCAAGCCCTCCACCTAGGAACGGGGCAGCACGCTCAAAATAATAAGCGAAGGCACGACGCTCTCGCCATACGGTATTTGGAGATGTTGAGATGGGGAGATTGAGGATAGACCTGGTTGATGCGGCCGCGGCATAGGAATCGTTCGTAGAAGTGGCGTATTCGCATTTGTATTTGCTCGCGAGGCACCGGCGACAGCTAGGCTTTTCTTCTCCGCATTTTATTTTCCGAATCTTGCATGCTTTGCAGCCTCGTCGGGACTTGAGAGGGCCGATGTGGTCAGGGGAACGTAGTCGGGGTGAAAGCAACATGGCGATGTTATGGAACGTGGGGGGTCATTCTGGGTGCAAATGTGTGAGAATCAACCACTGGCGGGGTCAACAAGTAGCAATTCAATAAGCCCAGCAAAATTAAAAGTATCGCAGGTTGCAATCGACCTTGAGAAATACGGCTGAGGAACTAATGGAGAATGGAGACGGCGGCTCCACTTGGCCAACGGACCCTAACTGCTATTTATATTCCAGCCAATTTACCAGCTGAGCACAGGCAGAATTCCTAATTTCATCAATAATGCAAGCCCTAATTATCCCATGGTTCCTGTAAACGCCCACCGAAACTCCAGCCCATCCCATCCAAACAAAAGAAACCATAAATACATCGGCATGCAAAATACATAACAATTTTAATCGAATCCAAATACCCCATCCATCCCATCGAGTAGTAGAAGACACCCTAGTAATCCATCTTGGAGTAAACCCCCGATCCAACCGGCGTCTCAATATCTGGCCGTGACCGTGCATCTCGCGCCATCCAGCTTAACTGTTTCAGTCGGAACTCCCGCATATACCGTCTCTGGTCGTCGGTCATTTCCTTGGGTTCTCCCTGGCCGTTGAAGCCGTTTGTAGCGAGCGAGTGGATGGAGTAGCCGATGAGGACGCTGACGACGCAGCCGACAATGACGAGAAGGATTATGACTTCTTTTGCGAGGGCCATTGTTGTTTATATTGTTTCTATCGACGGGCGAGTGTTAATAAGGAGATTCAGAGGCCAAATCCGACAGCCGGGTAGGAAGGAAGTAGGGACATGGCACTCACTGTAGTTTAAACGAATGGACGACTTTACACAAGCCAAAAATGAGAGACAGGCAGAATAACCAAGGAGGAATACGGTAGATAGAAATATTTATGTAGAAGAAACAGTATTTGCAGAGATTGCAGAGGCCACCCTTATAAGAACCCAAGACCAGCCAAATCTAAATAAAGATCCTTCAAAATTAACCCATCCTACTGACAATTCCGAGTCTTCTTTCCTCTTCCTCTCACTCTATTTCTCTCCACCACCAGCTGAAACGGCGTTCTTGATGCATCCCCTGGAGAGGGTCCCCAGGGCTGTTTCCAGGGCCATATACTTCCCAAAGCGGGATAGCGCAGAATGGCATGACGTCATTTGCGAGCGGGCGAATCGCAACACGCGATAACTGAACAAAATCCGGCGCTAATTTTGAGTGTGGGCGAATCAGAGAAGGATCCGAGCTGGGGCTTGCGCTGTCGGTTCTGGCCATGCTTACTCTGACTATGGTAGGTTCATTCTTCCCACTCCGTAATTCCATTGCGAAGGTAGTTTCGGTTGCGCTGGGGATGCTGGCTGCTGAACCTGCAGCTGCGTGGTTTTGGATCGCGTGATTCGTGGCTTGGGCTTTTCCCCCTGAATTTGAATTTGGTTTGAATTCCTTGGGTTCCTGCTCTAGTTCCTGTCTTAGTTAATTGAGATTTTTCAGGAACCCACGTGTTTCTGCCTGTGCTCCAGGTGCTGTTAAAATGGATCTACGAGGCTGCACGGTTTGGGTTGTGTGGAAGTCATAAATCGTTCTCTATTTCAAGCTATCGTCTATGTCTGCGCTGTTATACTGACATCAAAGCTTTATTGAAAGTAACCGGGGAACAACCAGTTAATCCGCTCGCTCGCCTCGGGAGACCAGTGTGTCTGCGGGGTGCTGATGCCGAATTTGACGGATCCAGCATACTGCTTCGCCTGGACAAGGTCTGAGTTGTGCTCGGCTGCCAGCTCGTCAAGAACAGCGGTGACAAAGTGCTTCGCGTTCACGGCGTTGGCCTTCATGTTGCCCATCACCATCTCGACGGTGACGTCCTCGGTAGACTCGTGCCAGCAGTCATAGTCGGTGGACATGCAGATCATCTGGTATGCGATTTCAGCCTCGCGGGCGAGCTTGGCCTCGGGCAGGGCCGACATGTTGATTACAGAACCGCCCCATGAGCGGTAGAGCTTGCTCTCTGCGCGGGTGGAGAATTGAGGTCCCTCTAGACACAAAGGTTAGTAACATATAGGAGTGCTAGCAATAAGGACGCGTACCCATGCAGACAAGAGTGCCACGGTCGTGCAGCGTCACGCCCTCTCCCTCCAAGCTGTGACCGCAAGCCCGCACCACCTTAGCAACGCCCTCGTCAAAGGGATCACCGAAGGGGACGTGGCCGACGACACCTCCCTCGAAGAATGTGAAGGGTCGGATACCCTTGGTGCGGTCGATGACCTGGTCTGGGACGACGAAATCGCGGGGCTTGATCTCCTCCTGCAAGCTACCGACAGCAGAGAAAGCGATGATGGTGCGTACACCGATGGAGCGAAGGGCGGCAATGTTAGCGCGCGCGGGCACCTCATGAGGGGCGATCTGGTGGTGAGATCCGTGGCGGCTAAGGAACGCAACAGCAACGGTCTTGTCCTTGACAGTGTGGTGCAGGATGGTGATCGGAGAGGAGGGGTTGCCCCATGGTGTTGAGATGTTGAGCGAGGCAGCCTGGGTAAATCCGGGGAGTTCACGCAGACCTGTGCCACCGATGACGGCGATACGAACGGGCTCTATAGCATCCAACAGTGTCAGCTCGTTCTTAGAAGAGGGTCCCCGCGGAGGCTAACCGTCGTAGGTGTTGGGAAGATCAGCCATTCTTGCGGCGAGTTGTTTAGGCGATTCTATTCTTCTCAGGGGGCGTCGAGAAATAGAAGACAGATAACGAGAGGAAAAGGAGCGAAAGAAAGAGCGAAGCAGCATCCACCGAGGAGTCAATGCCAATTAACAGCGCGTGAAGTCGCAATTTCAGGCCAAGGAAGAAAATGTTCAGCGGCGGGGTCGACGGCCCCTCAGTCCCGATTGGGCCCAAAAGATCACCCACGTGCGTCCTCAGGCACCAGCCGGGCCTCGACCGTCAACAACTTCGAAGTCTTGAAGCCTGGTTACGCGACTTTGGATTTTAATTAAACTTCATTGTTCTGCTTATTGCACTCTATTCTGCTGGCCGCCACTCATAATGATGCGCCCCCTTGCCCACTGGCCCCGGGTCTTCCCCAGGCACTCCAGGCAGGTTGTACCCATGCGCTCCAAAGAAGTCCATCTGCGCTTCCATGAACTTGGTCGGCAAGGTTAGTCCTGCTTCGTACTTGACGTATTCTAAAGTCGCAGAGATAGCCGGGAGATAATGGTCTGAGTCGATGGCGGCAATGGTGATCTCTTTCAGCGAGCTGTATGTCCGCTGCAACTCCGCCGCTACCTTGTCGATATATTTCATATTCGTCAACTCCTTGTTGTTCGAAAGAATCGGCTGCAGGATATCTGCAATGCCCTCGGATCGGATAATGCATCCTGCACGCCATATTTGCAGGCACTTCCCAAGGTCGATATTCCAGCCCTCGTCTTCTGAGGCGCGAGCGATCATCTCGAGACCTTGACAAAAGCTTGCTAGAAATGAGGCATACACTGCACGACGCAGTTGCTCCCTGAACGCCTCAAAGTTCTTCATACCTCGAATAGGGGTGGGAGTTGGAATTTTGAGCTTCTTCGCCACTTCAAGTCTCTCCGCCCGGTTCCCGCTTGAGATTCGCATATAGTGTGCTGTAGCAAGCGTTGGTGCAGAGACATGTCGAGCAGCAGACTCCATAATCGACCAGTATGGCGTTCCCTCCGTGTTATCGTCGTCCTGCACCACCTTGTCCAAGACATCGTCAAGCACGTACCCATTGTCTCCCACTCCTTGACCTTTGCCGTCGCCTTTTGGTGTCTTCTTCACGCGCAGTAAGTCGGCTCCGATTTCGAGCAGAAAGTTGTTTCGCAGTTCTCCTTTGCTATTCCATTCGGCGAAGATGTCGGCAATTTCCTCGTATCCAATCTCTCTGCCATAGTAGAGAATAGACCACGCCTCGGCAACAGCTGAAAGCATCCCGCCTTCAATTCCATTATGGACCATTTTCACGAAATGCCCTGATCCACCAGGCCCAATTCTGGTCACACAAGGAAGGCCTGTCTTTGAATCCTTCGCAGAATAGAGCTCCAAAAGAGGCATGACAAGATCAAGCGCCTCTTTATCCCCGCCAGGCGATAGACTGGGACCCCGTCGAGCAGACTGATAACCACCAGACACACCCAAGCCAATCCAGCTAACCCCAATCTCCTGACACTCCTTCTGTCTCCTCTCCGTACGACGATAGTTCTCATTCCCACCGTCAAGGATAATATCGCCCTTTTGCAGATCGCCCTTGATCGTCTTCAGAACAGAATCCGCGGGATCACCATGCGTGATCGAGAAGAGGAATATCTTCCGCTCGCCCTGTCCTTCCAGGCTTTTCGTGAATTTGCCGATATCGTAGAAACCCTCGATCCTGCCCCCGTTCTTGAAGTTGGTGTGCTTGCTCGATTCAAGCAGTTGATCTACATTCTCGTGCTTCACGTCCCAGATGGAGACGTCGAGCCCAAGCTCCGAGAAGGCAAAGGCCATCATGGAGCCCATATTCCCGGAGCCGACGATCCCAATCCGCTTGAATTTCTGGACTATTTCTTGCTGCGACGGCATTTTGTGGAATATTCAGTTATTCGCGAAGAAGGTAACGTTGATGGTTTGCAGATGTAGCTTCAGGACCGTAGGATACTTCGGCAGCCTTAAAAAAAAAAAAGCTAGGTCCAAATTACATCATTCGCACGCAGCTAATCATTGCAAACAATTAGTAGCTAGAATTATATTGTTCTCACGTCAAGGTGAGGCGAACACAAGCTTCGACAAGACCTGTTGCTCAAGGTCATCGTTACATCATACCGCTGCGTCCGATCTATAAACACTACTTCCTTGCATACACCGTGTACACCGAATATCCCACTTTATAGTACAAATAACATAATAATAAACCAGCGATCCAACAAAAAAACCACTATCCAAAATGCCAAACCCAACCATCCCACTCTCCTACGCAACCTGCTCCCTCGGCAGCACAGACACGCCCCTCCCCTCCAAACTATCCGCCATCAGCAGCGCCGGCTTCACAGGAATCGAACTCGCCTTCCCAGACCTCCTCTCCTACACCTCAAGCCTCCCCAACAACAAAACCAAATCCATCTCACCCACATCCTACCCCGAGCTCAGAGCCGCCGCGTCAGAGCTCGCAACGCTATGCAAAGCCCACAACCTATCCATAATGATGCTCCAGCCCTTCTCTAATTTCGAGGGCTGGCCGCGCGGGTCGTCCGAGAGGGAGGACGCATTCTCACGCGCAAAGGGCTGGATTGGGATTATGGAGGCTGCGGGCACGGATATGTTGCAGGTGGGATCGACTGATACGCCGGTGGACAGGTTATCGGGTTCCGCGTCGCTGCGGGGGGATATTATAGAGGATCTGAGGGAGCTGGCGGGGTTGTTAGATGAGAAGGGTATGCGTCTTGCGTACGAGAACTGGTGCTGGTCTTCGCATGCACCGGGCTGGAGGGATGTTTGGGAGATTGTTCGTGAGGTGGATAGGGAGAATGTTGGGCTTTGTCTGGATACGTTCCAGTCTGGGGGTGGGGAGTGGGGGGATCCGACGACGGGTTCTGGACGGGTTGGGGGTGTGAGTCCGGGGTCTGTGGGGGAGAAGGAATTGAGTGCCCGGTTTGAGGAGAGTATGGCGGAGTTGGCGAGGACGGTGCCAAGGGAGAAGATCTATTTGCTGCAAGTGTCTGATGCGTATATGCCTGTTGCTCCGGGGTCTGAGTCTTCGACGAAGACGACGAAGCCGTTGGATGCGGGCGTTGTTGATGGGACGGCGCCGAGAGGGCGGTGGAGTCATGATTATAGACCTATGCCGTATGATGGGGGGTATTTGCCTATTGAGACTGTGGGGACCGCGGTGCTGAAGACGGGGTTTAGGGGGTGGTTTTCTATGGAGATTTTTGATGGTGGCGAGGATGGAAGTGGGAAAGAGTATGAGCTGGGGGAGTTTGCGGGGAGGGCAAGGGTTAGTATGGGGAAGTTTATTGAGAAGTGTGAGACAGAGGTTTAAATGATGTATAGATAGTATATTGATATAAGATACCTAATGCGATCATGACTTTTTCGTCAAGTAGTAGGAAAATACAAACGCCAGATTATATGCAATTTGAAGCCAAACATGACATACGTAACAAAGGGGGAATAGTAAACGACCTGCTAAAAGACGCCTGTAGCAACCTACTCGTTGCTGGGGTAGGTAACCTTGTACGTCGGGACGAACTCCTCCTTGATCGAGCGCAAGCTAACAAAGCGGGAGAGCAGGTTGCCGCTACCGGCCTTGTCGTTCGTACCACTGGCACGCGCACCACCGAAAGGCTGCTGGCCAACAACAGCACCGGTGCTCTTGCAGTTGATGTAGAAGTTACCAGCGGCGTTGCGGAGGGCTTCATTCGCCACGTCAAGGGCCTCGCGGTCCTGAGAGAACACGGAGCCAGTCAGGCCATATTCACCGGTCTGGTCGATCTTCTCGGCGATACGAGCGAAGTCAGCCTCGGTGGCATCGTTGTAGGTGTGGATGACGATGACGGGGCCGAAGAGCTCGCGAGTGAGAAGGGGGTGGTCGGCGTTGGACGTGCGGTAGACGGTGGGCTGGATGTACCAGCCCTTGGAAGAGTCATAGGTGCCTCCAGCAACCAGCTCAAGCTCGGGGTCGTTCTTGGCTTCGTCGATGACCTTGCTAAGCTTGTTGAAAGATGCCTCGTGGATAACGGGGCCGCAGAAGTTAGAGAACTCAGAAGGAGGGCCGACCTTCAAGTTCTTGGTCTCAGTAGCGACCTGCTCCACGAACTCATCGGCGATAGAGGCAGCCACGTATGCGCGCGAGGTGGCACTGCACTTCTGGCCCTGGAATTCGAATGCGCCACGAACAGTCTGGACAGCAGCGTTGCGCACGTCGGCCGACTTGTGAATAAGGTGGAAGTTCTTGCCGCCGGTTTCTCCAACAATGCGCGGGTAGCTGCGGTACTTGCCAGAGGCAACCCCATTGGAGATCTGGCCATACAGGCTGCGGAAAACGTTGGTGCTACCGGTGAAGTGGAGAGCCGCGAAGTCGGGGTGGTCAAGAACAGTCTTGGTCACCTCTTCGGCCTCACCAGGAACAAACTGGATAACGTTCTTGGGCAGACCTGCCTCGAGCAGGATCTGGTGGACGAGCCAGTTGGACGCAATGGCAGATGGGGAAGGCTTCCAGAGGACAACGTTACCCATCAGCGCAGGAGCACCAGCCAAATTACCACCAATGGCGGTAAAGTTGAACGGGCTGATAGCGTAAACGAAGCCCTCTAGAGGGCGGTATTCAACGCGGCTGTTCCTGTTAGCATTCACGTTCGTTTTTATCAAGTATTACGTCATGATAAACTTACTTCCAGACACCAGGCGCATTGTGCACGGGCTGCTGCGCATACAGATCTTCAGCATACTTGACACCAAAGCGGAAGAAGTCAATCAGCTCCGCTGCGGAGTCGATCTCTGCCTGCCAGGCATTCTTGCCCTGGCCGTGCATAGTGAGGGCCATCACATCGTAGCGGTACTTTGTGGAGATCAAGTCGGCCGCCTTGAGGAAAACGCTGGCGCGATCAGCGAACGGAGTGGAGGCCCATGACTTGCGAGCTTCGAGAGCAGACGCGATGGCCGCCTCAACGTCCTTGGCGCTTGCGTTGGAGTAAGTTGCCACCGGACCGTGAGAGGCGGGGTTCGATTGTGTGAATGATTCAGAAGCATTGACCTAGTGTCATTAGTTCTTGCTCCCTTTCAACATGACAGCTGTGGCGACATCGTTTCTTACCTCCTTTCCGGCGATAACTAGAGGAACGTTTAGAGGAGCATTTTGTTGCGAGCGAGCCAAAGCATCCTGGAGAGCTTTCCGGTCAGGAGAACCAGGAGCGTAGTGTTTCTGTCATCATGTAATTAGTAAAGTCGATTTAAAGCAGCCACGGATGTTCTCACGTTTGGTTCGTTGTCGATGCGAGGAACCTTGAAGGTGGCGTACGAGGCCGTCTTCGTACGGGACAAGGCGGAGGCGACAGTAGTTCTGGCGGCAGGGAGACCCCTCGCCCGGAGAAGCAGCGACGATTGCATTATGTATCTCTCTTTTCGTGGAATGACTGTGAGGTTGAAAGAGAAGAGGTTGAAAAGGTGAGGTGAGGAGAGCAAACACGACGGTATGCACGCATGCGGGGAAGCTCCCGTGATTTTAAAGCTGCCGGTTACCACCGGTGTCGCAGGGCCTGTTTTTGCACCAATCGCATATTTGGAGACGGTCAGAATATTCAGCCGTCTTTTCCATGGGAAACTTTGCCCCGCAACTGTAATACAACTCGTGAGTCGTCTTTGCCGGTGAGTCTCAGTCGGGAATCTGCAGTGCATACCGGGGTGCTCCCGGTGGGACTGACCGGGCCGGATCTCCAGTGACACTCGGGCCACCGCCACATTCTTTATTGTTTTGTATACAGTAATCCGGATGGGCATCCGATACAATTAATCCTTGGCTGCTGTCATGCCTGTCGATATCGGATTCTTCAAAAGGTCATCTTTGGTTTGTTTCGCGTTCCTGTACGGGTGAGACGAGATACAAGTGCATCCCATGTAAAGCGGGCAGACTCCAGATTGAGTAAACGGTCTAATTATCATTACACCATGAGATAAGGTTATATTTACTGATGGGATTGTTGTGCGACATGCTAATCCTATTGGCTTCCGGTGTTTTAAGCATTTCAGCGGCGATATGGGCCCGGGCTTCGCAGTGTCCAATTTGGGTAAACAGGCAGGACTGTATGCCCACCTGGGTGCATAGGGAGCCCGAGACTCAAAGAGAGTTCTCGCTTCGGGCCAGCGATCGGACGAGCTTCGGCGAAATCGCCAGCGATGATGTGATAATATGACAGAGTCGTAATATGATAAGGCTGACGCTGGGGACAGTACTGCGTCAAATTCGACGTAGGCACTTACTCGCAGCTGTCCTTGCACGGTGGCAAATAACAACAAATACTGAGGGGGCATTCGTGCTTCTGTACAACGCTTCCCATGATTCGGTATATATTGACTCTGGAATCCTCTCCGCAAAACTGATCGCAATGGAGATAAATGATCCCTACAACAATCTGCCACTAAACAAAAGCTTGGCATTTGATCAGTGTTCTGCGAAACTGATTGGATCAGGATGGGAGATCAGCCAGATAGCGTGCTTGTGTGGACTGCCGGTCGGAGATTCACCGACAAAAAGTCGACATGGAACTTTGAAGGAAGAAATCTGATCCCCACCGAGCAAGGCTATCAGCAAACCAGAGACAGGGGATAACTTAGATAAGACGGGGTGCAGGTCGCCTCCCACTCCAGCAACCGGCCCGGTCAGCAAACTCCATCCGGTGGAGTCTGAGGGCACCGGGCCGTGCGCCGGCGCTGCCTGCAATGCTCACATCAAACCAGCCTGCATCGAATCCAAGATCACAACTGCCGGTCCATGCTATGCAGAAAGCCCTGTTTTGATTGCTTTCCCTCTGGATGGGTCCCCAGGGAGGAAAAAAAAAAAATCTTTTACTCATAGAAACTCGACAATCATGGCCATTCCGGGAGAGCACGACCCATCTTCCCCATCGCGTGAAAGATTCTCCAGCTTAGCAAATCCGTAGATCTGGCACAGGCGCTCACCGGCTCCTTGCAGGGTTGGAAGGGCACGCGGACGGGATCTTGATTGTGTAACAGCTTGCCGGTTCACAGGGCGGCTTGTACCGGCTAATGTCACCTGAACCGTATCTACTTCCCACCTGTCGCCATAACACATATTACTCTTCACCACCTTCAATAGACTTCAAATATTCTTAGTTATATTCATCTTCCAGAGTTACCTCCCATATCTACACTTATTCTTTTCACAAAAACACCTACCCCTCCTTGCAGCCACAACCAAGATGAAGGCCGCCACCTCTCGCCCTTCGGTGCGGGCACTGTGCAGCTTCCCTCCGCCGTCTTCTTATCAGACTGCAAGATTCGTTAGTCGCACAAGCAATGCGAAGTCATCTATCGCAGCTGAGACCACCAACGGCCTCTGGCATCAGGATCCCCAGTCTCCCAAGAAGGCACCGGCCTCGCCACTCGCGAAGCTGCCACTTTCTTCCGTCCTCCGTTCACTACTGATTCTCTCCGTCTCCTCATCCTCTGTGCTTTTGAAGCCATGCATCTATACCCTTTCGGCTCTCGCGCATCCTAAGACGGCTCTCCTAGATGTTGCGAAGAACCCCTTCTTGAACTTGCTCGTCAAGCACACTCTATACAAGCAGTTCAACGCCGGCGAAAACAAGCTTGAAGTCCAGCGCTCTATCAACGCAATCAAGCACTTGGGATACCGCGGAGTACTCCTCGGTTACGCCCGTGAAGTCCTAGTGGGCGAGTCTAACGCCGACCCCCGCGATGAGAAGGCCAGCCGACAGGAGATCCAGATGTGGATGGACGGCACACTCCAGACCGTAGACATGGCTCAGGAAGGCGACTTTGTGGCCCTGAAGTGAGTTTCTGCCCCTCTATTCTCGAATAAAGACCTTAGCTAACCATAAAAAAAAAGGTTCACTGGAATGGGCGTTCAAGCACTCGAGTACCTCCAGAAGCAGGCCGCTCCCTCGGCTTTCATGGATGAATCCATCAAGCAAATTTGCGACCTCGCCATCTCACGCAATGTGCGGTTGCTCGTGGACGCAGAGGAGCAGGCCGTGCAGCCAGGAATTGAAGAGTGGACTATGAGATACCAGAAGTACTGCAACTCGCGCACTCCTGGCCGTGCTGTCTTCTACAACACTTACCAGGCATATCTGTGCTCCACCCCCGCCACGCTCGCCAGACATCTCGAAATGTCTCGCCAGGAAGGCTACACGTTGGGTGTCAAGCTCGTCCGTGGCGCTTACTTGAAGACCGAACCCCGACACCTGATCTGGGCTAAGAAAGAAGAAACCGATGAATGCTATGATGGCGTCGTTGAGGCTCTTCTTACCCGTCGCTACAATAACATGCTGAAGTCCGCTTCTGCTGAACACGCCACTGAGCTCCCACCTGTCAATGTCATCATCGCCACGCACAACCGGGATTCTGTCCGCAAGGCACACGCTCTTCGTCTCCAGCAGGCCAGCCAGGGCCAGAACTCCAATGTGGATCTCAGCTACGCTCAACTGCAGGGAATGGCCGACGAGATCAGCTGCGAGCTGCTACAGGGTTTCCAGAGCGCCGAGGTCGAAACCGCCAAGGCCCAGCCCACTGAATCCCCCAACGTGTATAAGCTTCTTACCTGGGGCTCCGTCAAGGAGTGCATGGGTTTCTTGCTCCGCCGGGCTGTGGAGAATACTGAGGCTGTTGGACGCACAAAGGAATCCCAGGAGGCGATGTTCAGCGAACTCAAGCGAAGGGCTCGTCTCGCCTTTCGTTCCAGCAACTAAGTTAAGAGAAATCGGTTTACTTTGTTTGATTTTGTCCTGGTATAGTTCAGGGCTTGAGCGGCGTCGGTGGTGATTCTCTAGATTTACGGAATGCATTAGATAGCGTCAGCATTGCAACTTATGATAATGACATGAACATTTTTTTACCTTCGCATAATCCTACTATCTTGGCTTCAGTCTGTCGTACTTATTTCGTTGATATGCTGTGCTTTGGCCTGGACCGATTGTAGCCGTTATCCTAACTCCGACATCGCTGTGATCTCCAACTCCCCCACCATCATCTCCAGGTCATATCATTGCAACCCCAGCCTCTACTTGCATAACAACCAGAGCCGACTATACAAGCAACCGTGTACAAACCCACCATGCATCTCCTCCCAGAACCCGCAGTCGCCCAAATCCTCCGCCAACTCACACATTCCCAATGTCTGTCCTTCCTGCAGACCCTAGACGAAGCCCTCGTCACGGTCTCAGCGCAGTCATCCACCCCAGAAAATGAGCGCCTCGTCCACCAACCCCTGCGCACAGCAATCACCTCCAAAACAGGCGATCTATCCCTCTTCATGCCCGTCTCCAATACTGCCAGCACAGGCGCCAAGATCGTTACAGTCTCCAAATCCCACGGCGTCCTAGGCGTCATCAACATCTTCTCCCCCAAAGGCGAGCTCCTCGGTCTTCTTAGCGCCGCCGAGATCACCGCTTTCCGGACAGCGCTCACGATCATGTCCCTATTTGTTCGAGCCTCTTCTCTAAAGCGGGAGAACATTGTTATTCTCGGCTCCGGACGCCAGGCGGAATGGCATGCGCGGCTGGCACTCCTCTTACTACCAAGCCAGATCCGCAGAATCACATTCATTAACCGCGGCCGTAAACGCCTTGAGGAATTAGAGCGTGATGTTATCGCTGAGCTGAGGCGCATGTATCCTGAAGTTGCGATGAGTACGCTATCGAAGGAGGGGATGGAGAACTACGATGAGCGTCTGCGGTCTGAATTAAGTCTCAGCGACGTGATATTCAGCTGCACGCCGTCGACGGAGCCGAACTTCCCTTATTCCTATTTACAGCAGTCTTCTAAGCAGAGATTTATCTCGCTTATCGGCTCGTATAGGCCGCATATGCAGGAGATTGATTCGCAGACGCTGCTTTCGGGCGGGGGGAAGGTTTATGTTGATTCGAGGGAGGCTTGTCTTGAGGAGTCTGGGGAGCTTATTCTTGCGGGCATGAAGGGGGAGCAGCTTATTGAACTTGGAGAAATGTATCAAGGTCAGGAGCTGGGTGGGAATGTCACGGAGCTGAAGCCCATTGAGGTGCCTGAGGGGTGCAATGTGGTGATTAAGGTTGTGGGAATGGGGATTATGGATTTGGTTACTGGGAAGAAGTTGCTGGATGTTGGGAGGGAAAGGGGGATTGGGATGGAGGTTGATGGGTTCTAGGCAGTATTATATTCATCGTGCGTTGTTATTCATTATTCGGAAGGTGTCCCGACCAGAAAAAGGAAGCCAACGCCGAAACGCATATATATATTAGACTGCCAACCTTAGAAGCAAGCCGAGTCTGGAAAACAAAAAACGACTTCAGTCGGCCTAAATATCATTATAGAAAAATTGTACTGAAACAATACCCATAAAGTAGAAGAAAACAAGCCGAGAAGAAGAGTGGTCTACTATAGTAGCGCGCATCCGTGTATGTGCAGAGCTGGATTTTGAAATTGGCGAGCGATAAAAACAGTCTACAACAACACGAATGTAGAGAAAGCTTAAACATAAAACCAACTACTTTCAGTAAGTCAAGTATTTAATACGCGCTAGGTTGGAGACTATAAGACGATGATCCTTCTGGAAGCCGGCAAGGAAGCGGTCATAGTTGGGCTGAGGGGAACCGCTTATCAGCGAGCGGAGTCGGATAAGAAATCCCTGGTTATTCTCGCTCTCAATTCCACCATCATTCTTCCCTCTCCACACTATTTCGCACGCTCCCACAACCCACCCCTGCTCGATTTACCCTACGATGATCCAAAGCACGCACCCCCCTTGATCCTCTACTATCATGGACGAGGCCCCATCTACACCAGCTGGTACGGGCCAGCAAAAACGACCCCGCGTTTCGGAGGAAAACCGCAAAAGGGCGGTACGAGCGTAAGTCGCCTCCCGCCGGCATGCGACCTCATCCCCGGTCTTCTGGTCTCGCGTTTACCACACATTTGTTCTTTCGACTAACTTATTTGTTGCGTTAGCTGTGATGGCTGTCGCCGCGTAAAAGAGAAATGTGAAGGGGGCGTTCCCTGCCGTCGGTGCCTTCGATATCGCCGCCAGTGTCTCTTCACGCACCCCGATCAAGCGGAGAAGCTCCCGCGCTCGTCATCCGTCTCGTAAGTCGACCAAATCATCAATGAGGAATATAGGCTTTGGACGGAAGCTTACCGAGGTGATTTAATTAACTATAGATTGCTGGAACGAACCGCCGCACGCAGCCGCCATGACATGCTTGAGGCCGAGCGAATCCGATGCATGGAACGGATATTACAGCATTATTTGCCGAATATTTCTTTCGATATCCAGTCTCTTCGCAAAACTGCGGAGGAGTTGAAGACTAAACATCGTGGCTCTGACTCGGAGGGAGGCCCGTCCGTCGGTCCGTCGGTCGTGTTGGAAAATGAGGAGCTTGATGAATTGGCGATCGATGATGAAGATTTTACCATCAAGGCTTTGCCGGATAATACAACGCGTATGTCGATTGGTTGTGGCTGAGATGACCTTTCACCGGGAGACATTGCCAGTGTTTTGCTGTGAACGACTTTCTAATTTCTTCGACAGAGTACTCCGGCGAATTCTCTTACCTGAACTTTTCTATGAAAATTAGAAAGAAGATCGACGAGTGGATGAAGGCTGAAACCCCAGAGGTATGGCCGTCGCCACCCTTACCGCAGATTATGCTGACCCGTCCAGGTGTCTACCGAAAGTGAACCCTTTGAAGAGCGGTGGCGAGCAACGCAATTGCAGTCTGGGGCAGTTGTATCTGCGTCTGTTACATGCCTACCGCCCCGGTTTGTGGCCGACTTCTTGGTGCAGATGTTCTTCAAATACGCCCAGACCAATAACTTCTACGTTGAAGAGGACTGGCTCAAAGATAAACTCAACTTATGCTATGTCAATCCTGGAAGTCTCTCGTGCAATGACGCCGGTGCAGTTTGCTCTATCTTGATGGTTCTTGCGATTGGAACACAATTCGCGCACATGGAATCAGCGACTCCAGTGAACCGCGTATCGTCCGGCTCTACTGATACCGATGACCACGGTTTCTCTGAGGATGAGGTTGGCTTGACATTTTATCAATTCGCCTCTAAACTTCTTCCTGATATTATTGCCTCGGCGTCGATTCGCAGTGTCCAGGCTTGCTTGTTGATTGGTACATACCTATTGCCCCTTGATACTTCGGGCCTTTGTTACACTTACTTTGGCCTTGCTCTCAAGATGGCGATTCAAAACGGCATGCACAGAAAATATAGTGGCGAAGGGCTTCCACCTCATATGATTGAACTCCGAAATAGGGTGTTTTGGACGGCTTACACTATTGAAAAGTGAGTTCCCTTTTGCCCTGAGTTTTGGATACATGTTAATGACCTATTCTCAGGCGAGTCAGTATTCTCCACGGGAGACCGGTCTCTCTATCAGATACGGATGTGGACGCTGCACTGCCTGTCGACTTTCCAGCACTAATGCCACGTGGACAAGCTTCCAACCATACCAATATGATAACCCTGATTACTTTGACACTGAAGCTTGGAGAGGTCTCGAACGAGATGTAAGAATTTTTTTAATCTTCCTTCCAATTCCAAGCTAACGAGTTGAAGATGTACACTCCGAAAATGTCGCAAGAACCAACAACAAGATTGCCTCGAAAGATTACTCAATCTACGCAAACACCTAGTCGACTGGTGGAACACTTTACCAGAGGAGATCAATTGTCGGGATTTAAATCCAACAGGTCCTCTGTTTCGATCGAATGTACACTTGAAATTGGATTACTGCCTCACTCGAGTCTTCTTGGGACGGCCGTTCCTATTCAGCAGCATGAAGGGATTTTCCTCAGCCGCGTTCCAAATTTCTCCCCTAAAAATGAATTCCGGCGTCTCCAAAAATCGGTCAACGCTGGTCACAGACTGTGTCGAAGCAGCTCTAGAAATCATCGATCTCTGCCGCCTACTTCGGGATGAAACGGGCCTTGCTCGTGCATCCTTCACAGAATTTAGCTCCTGTCGCGCTGCACTACTGGTCATTCTCGCGCAGAGCTTAACCAAACGCACAGAAAGACTCCGCGAAGCCTTACAGAAGGGCATGGGGCTCATCAAGATCATGTCTATGGGTGTCGGATCTGCTCGATCTGCCGTAAGCGTCATTGAGGCTCTAGAGAGAGCAATATCCCGTCTCGAAGAATATAGTTCGTCTCAAGGAGCCGGCCAGTCCGGGTCACATGAGTCCGCATACGACCGCTTTAAAAACTGGGAAATGCTCTGGAAAACCGGTCCACTTTCGCCAGATACCCATACCTTCCAAGAGCCGTACCCCCCTGATGGGAACGGCGTTCATCCTGGCCTGACGCCCGCCACAGGCTCCATCAGTCAAAGTGAGATCCAGGATCCAACCGTATCTCATCCTGATATCACCTCCCCCTCTGATTTCTTAACACCTCATGCGTTTTCCCAAATGCCGCATATTGGCCTCGATCATTTTGTGTCGAATCTGCCTCAGGAACTTGGTGAGTTTACAGCAATTCCGTGCTTCGAGACGGAGACACAGCAAGGACTTCCTGGGGAAATAAAACCGGATAATTGGATGCAATTTTGATTCAGGTTAAAAAAAGTTTAGATTTCCTGGACCCCTTGGCACTAGTCAAATCCCATGAAACCTTTCTAATCCGCAGGTTACTCTTCTGTATTAGCATGGAGGTGCTTACGATTTCTGATTTTTATATATGCCAGCTAAGATACCTAGAGTGTCCCTTATACGCTCCCGTTTACTTCAAGTAATGGAATATTTATTTGTCACATCAAACTTCATTATTATCAAATGGATATCACTATCAATCAAAAACGAGCTTCTTCCCCTGGAACGAAGCAGTAGACTTCTGTTCCTTTGCCTTCCTAGCTGCCTCCCAAGAAGGATGCAATGGTTTGTTATCGTCAGGTTTCTTCTTACTCGGTCCGGCCCGAGTCTCTTTACCATTACCACTCTGTCCGAACTTCTTCTCACCAACCACAGCCGTAGCATTAGACCCTGTGCCGAATTTGCGTCTCCCGCTGTCACCATCTCCAGTAGCACCCTTGCGGGGATCCCAGCCACTGTCTCTACCCTTCTTGCCGCTCTTCTGCTGGTTTTTGACGTGGTTCGCTGAAGCGCCATATTTCTTCTCCCAGAGTGCTCGTCGCGCTTGCTGGCCCATTCGGTTCTTCCGCTTCGGCGCCTCTTCGATTTCTTCTGGTTCGGATTCAGAGCCGGACCAGTACCCACCCATCATCAAGGAGGGGAGGAAGGTTGTGCTTGTTGCGGGAGCTTTTGTTTGGGACTTGGGCTTCTTCTGTGGTGGGGATTGTGAGGGTGAGGGTGATAGAGAAATAGACATATCGGAACGGGCAAGCTGTGCTCTTGACTCTGTGCGGAGTTGGCCGTCTTCAGAGGTGCCATCGTCATCATCATTATCCTCTGAGTCCGAAGCCAGCCGTGCGTCGAACCGCGAGAAGTCCTCCTCATCACTCCCTGCGTCCTCCATGTCCACATCCCGTCCTTCGTCTCCAGATTCAGGCTCGGACTCGGACCCAGAAACATCCAATGCTACCCGCTCGACATTCCCACTCTTCTTCGACACAGCGCCATCCTCCTTTGCTCCCTTCGTCGAACCGCCCTCTTTCCCTTTCTTCTTCCCTTGTGCCTCTTCCAACCCAAATAACCCCCTCAAACCATCCATAATCCCCGGAAGCACATTCTTCACCGGATTCGACTTGAATAGTCTGGCGGTAACATTGGCTTCCTCTGTACTCTTTGGCCCCTCAACGGCGAGTTTCTTTGACTGCTTAAACCGGTAGAAAATAGGCGCTTCGGCTATCCGTTTCGTTTTGGCGAGTTGCTTGAAGAGGTATTTTTCTGCTGTGGCTGTTGGGTCTAGAGTCTATCGTAGTAAAAGGTACAAGTTAGCCCAGGTTACCAAATGAAAAGAAATAAAAAGAGAATAGAATGCGTACCTTCAAAATCGCAATCTCCCTCTCAATCCTCTTCGCCGTCTCCTCCGGGTTCGCATTGGGCTTCGCATTTTCCGTCGGCGCCTTAGCTGTTTTCTGCCGTCGACCAAGTTTCTGCCGTTCGAACCCCCGCGCTGCCTTGAGTGCGCGCGAGAGTGCGGTAACGCCGAAATCGAACTTTTGCTTTAGCCGGGTTGTTTGGAGCTTGAGGTTCTGGTTCTGGTGTTGGGTTTGCGACGGGGCGGCGTCCGTGAAGTCGGAGAGTTTGCGTTTAGGCATTTTCGGAGTTTAGGTATATAACCTTGTGTACTTCTCCTCCCCGTCTGTTATTACTGGCTGAAGAGAAGAGAGAGGGTCGAGAGTACTGGTGGTTGTGGTGGTGGTAGAAAGTTGGCGGAGGCTTTTTTTTTTCTGGTTTGGCGCGCCAAGAGATTTTGATACTTTTTATGGGCGGGATTTTGACACAAGCAGGAGAGGAATGATATCGGGCTGCTCTACTGGATTAATACAGAAAAACAATCATCTACTATATAGTCTGTATGCAGGTATTTAAGAAATGCAGTGGATATGTTGTCCATGAGGAACACCATAAAATACCATCTAACATAGACACGGCGGTATGTACATACAGAACTGGGAAAGCAAACGAGAAAATACGGGTACATAAAGATTCTATTTCTTTTCTTCCTCCTTTGGTGGCTCAGGCTTGGGAGTGGCCAGTTTGAACTAGAGGCTACGGTTAGTAACAGGATTTCCGGAACCTATTATAGTTAGAGTACGTACCGATTCAGGTGTCTTGTCGTTGCCTGGCCCAACAGGCTCCCAGGCCGTAGAACCTCCCTCGAAGTTGCGGAATGCCTGGGTAAGTTCGAGAGGCTCAATGACGATGCGCTTCTTCTCCTCGTCGTATCGGAGCTCGGTGTATCCAGTCAAGGGGAAGTCCTTGCGCAGCGGGTGACCATCGAAACCGTAATCGGTCATGATACGGCGCAGATCAGGGTGTCCTGAGAAGAACACGCCGAACATGTCGTAGACTTCACGCTCGTACCACAGAGCACCTTCAAACAGACCGGTGACACTGGGCACGGGGCTGGCCTCATCGGCGTAGGTCTTGACTCGGATGCGGGAGTTGTAACGGACGCTAAGAAGGTTGTAGACGACCTCAAACCGCTGATCACGGGTTGGATAGTCGACGGCGGTGATATCGGAGATTGTCGTGAATTCAGCCGAGGTATGGTATTTGAGAAAGTTCATGACCGGGATGATACCGGACGGAGGAACGTAGACGCAAAGCTCGTCCTTCCAAACGGAGAACTGCTGGATATGCTTGGGCAGGCAGGACATGACGTACTGGCCGTAGTTGTGCAGGCTCTCGGCCTTGTCCTGGTACTTGTCGGCCTGGTTTACGACGGGAGCGCGAAGAGGGCCCGAGGCTGCACGAAAATAGTCAGTGAATTGAAGTCACTCACGCAGAACTACTAAAATTCCACGCTGAATTAGGTCATTAACATACGAGGGCGCTCTGCCTGACGCATGTTTGGAGTATCCGTGCCAGCTGTAGTGGCCTTTGCTACCTGCTGCAGAGGGGTTGACGAGAAGGCACGGCAATTGCGGGATGACCGGGCGGCCAACCCCAAAGAGCGGCCAGTGCCCAGCCGCATCAAAGAGCGAGAAGCGGCCATTGTTATTGCAACAACTGCAGCACAAGGGGCGAGGCAATTGGAGGGCTGATCGAAGCGCGGGAGGATAGACGTTCATCATCATCCGAAGGGAGCTTTTGCGGAACGCCACGTGATCTATATCACGTGAACACTGACTAAGGTATTATGCAAACCACGCAAACACATGCAAACCCAACTCCAACACATCAAAGCTTCAACTTTGATTCTCTCTTTACCTCCACGCATTTCTGCTCCCCGTTCGTGTCTTTTGTCCTTTACGCCGACACCCCTCAACCCTCCATTTCGCTCTCCCGACCTTTCCTCTAAATTCTCCTTTTGATCGACTTCCTACACTGTTGTTTTCCTCGGTGTCTGTCATTTCTGCCCCTTCCGCTGGTTAGGTAGATGGGCTTTTACCGACAAGCTACAACTACTTTCTCTTATTCACTCCTGTGACTGCATCCCAGAATCTCAGAATCATGTCAAGTCGCCAACAGATCGACTCCGTCATTGACGATGACGATGAGTTTTGGTACGTCTGGCGTGACATTTTCAAGCAATTAAACTCCTTTTCGATCAACTAACACCCATGGTCTCCTCTAGCCCCCTTTGTATCGAAGAATTCGACTTGTCGGATAAAAACTTCAAACCATGTCCGTGCGGGTATCAGGTACGTCGCATTTCGCGGTTCTCATGATTTTATCGCGACAATTCTCGCGTACGTGTGGCGTCCGGATTACGTCTAACGTCGAAATTTAGATCTGTCAATTCTGTTACAACAATATAAAGACGCACAGCGAAGAAGGGCGATGCCCAAATTGCCGGCGATCTTACGATGACAGCACCATTCAATATAAGGTGCCTGATGCGGATGAGTATGTTCCTTGCAAACGATGGTCCGACGTTTTCCTGATCTTGGCGCTAATCTATCTTGTTCTACCTTAGGTTCAAAGCAGACCTTGCACTTAAACACCGCAAAGCAGCTGCCGCGAAAAAGAAGGAAACTGAAAAGCGAGAAATCGAAGCCTCCAGCCGAAAGAATCTTGCAGGTGTTCGTGTTGTACAGAAGAACCTCGTTTACGTGATCGGTCTCAACCCTACAATACGCGACGAAAGCCAACTTCTTCAAACTCTGCGCGGGAGAGATTATTTTGGCCAGTATGGGGATATCGAAAAGATTGTCGTCAGCAAGGCAAAGCCTGGTGGCAACCCAAACCAGGGCATTGGCGTCTACGTCACCTATGCCCGGAAAGCAGATGCTGCAACTTGCATCAGCGCGGTGGATGGCTCTCCAAATGGGGACCGGGTTCTAAGGTAATTGTTTCGTACGCATCTGATGAGGGTGTTAGTATGCTAACGGCAACAGGGCACAATATGGAACCACGAAGTACTGCTCGTCATTCTTGCGGAATGAGCAATGTCACAATCGGAACTGCACTTTCTTACATGAGACCGGGGAAGACAGTGACAGCTACAGTCGCCAAGATTTGTCGTCAATGAACACCTTGTCCAGTCAACGCTCAAATGGTGTTCCCGGCCCCAGCTCTGCTACCCCGCCATACGTTGCCCGATCCTCCGCACAACCGATCTCCCAAACATTACGACGTCAACCTAGCAAAGATGATGCCACTAGCAATCGATCTATCGACGGCCCTGCTCTTCCATCCTCAGCTAGCTGGGCGAACAAGGATTCAGCGATCAACCGAACCAGACGGGCCAGCCTCACAGGCAGCCAAGCATCACAAAGCCCACGACCAGCCATTGCCACAGTTGCGACACTTTCGGACGATACCAAGCGCAATGAGAAGCCACCACAAAGTCAACAAGAGCGCCAGCAGACCCCGTCACCATCAGACGCGTCATCCTCAATACCTCAACCCCCTCCATCTCAACCGCCAGCAGACCAAGTAGCTCCCTTGTTAGATGGCTTGGTAAAGGCTGTCAACTCCCCCTGCTTCAAATTCGTCTTCTCGGCGGCTGGTCTGCCACCAGACGAGCTTGCTCTCATCGATAACCACCCCTCATTCATTGATCCATACGGTGGCGTTAAGCGTCGCGCGATGCGAGAGAAAGCGGAACAAGAACGCGTCAAAAGGGAACAAGAGCTTCTGCAATCTGTTCCGGTGGAAGATGAGGGCCGTGAGAGTGGAAGTCTCCAACTCGGCGGTGAACCAGACGATGCCAATCCTCCGAGAGGCCGGACAGGTCGCGATTCTCATGGTGCAATTCAACCCCCATCCCAGCAAGGCACAACCGCAAGCTCAGCCGTCGGTTCTCCTGTGTCTGCTACTAGCCATCAATTCCAGGGCATCAATTTAAACAACCGCAGCCTGACCCCGTTGCAGCAACAGCAACTTATGCTACTCAAGTCAGCTGGCAATCAACAGGCAGGCCTTGTCGATCCCTTGCAGTCTGGAATGAACTCAACTGCATTTGACCATGTCGCGCAAACCCGGCAAGGTCTCCTACAAAACCAGGTTGCGCAGCTTAATGCACTCCAGGCGCAGAGTCGTCAGAACTCCCGATTCTCTTTCACAAATGACACTAGCTCTAAGAATCTTGCGAACTCTCGGATGCTGAACCAACCAACGTCCTTGATGCAGTCGGGTACACCTAACCCGCTCGCTGCACCCAGCCCACAGCACACTCTTGCAAGCAGCTACTATACTAGTGGCGTCCAAGGCCCTCCTCCAGGTCTGAAAACAGCAGGCACTCCACCTGTTAGTGGAGGCGGGATGTTCGCTCAAGGTCATGGCTTCACATCCAACGCGAGTCTCGGATTGGGTGGAAAGCAGGAAGCCAACCCGGAATTAATGCGCGAGCTGCTGCGCAGCCGCAGTGGCACCAATGCAGGTGGTTTACCGGGGCCCGACAATAAGCGTGAGTTAATGTTTCCTTTCCTCCATCAGCACCAAACTCCCCCTCCCCTGACTCCTGTCAATGGCCTTCTCAGCTCTGTCTATGGCTCTCAGACGGGGAACACCTCCGACTCTGGGGCACAGAAACAGAGGAAGAAGGGGAAGAAGCACAGACATGCTAACACTTCCTCCGGTGGAGGCGGTGTAGTAGATCTTGCGGACCCGAGTATCCTGCAGGCGAGGATGCACCAGGTCGGTGCGAATGCTGGTCAAGGATTGTATGGGAGTCAGGGCCAAGGTGGGTACGCCATGATGTATGGCAGCGGCTTCAACCGCTGGTAATTGACATCTTCCTTTTCACCTCATTGGATCACAATACCGCCGTTTGTACCTTCTGTTCTTGTCTGTTTTATGATGACTACCCTTTTTTCGTTTTTTCTTTTCTTTTTTTTTTTTTTTTTTGCATCTTTTTCACGAGAATTCTGGTCTCCTATTCTTTTCTTCATTACGACATGATATCAAACTCTTTCTAGACGGGTATGGAATTTGTGTTCTCCTCATGGCCCGCATTTAATTCGATTTTCACTTTTTTTCGATGGTTTTCTGCACTACAACGAAGCATTTAGCAACGGCTCTCAAAACACCAGAGACTTGGGTGGCGCGTGCCTTTGGCGTTTCTTTCTATGGATCAGCTACGATTGTTTTGTCTTCTCTTGTTCGTTTTACACCCCCTCTATGGTCCATGGCGACAACGAGTTCATTGCATCTATGGACACGTCGTTCCGGCTCATCGTCCCTGTGGTGGCCGTTACGTTTGTTTGCCCATTACGCATCCGAACTGGTTTGAGCTATCAGCGTCTTTGGGGCCGTTCGATCTGATAATGGTTTTATGTACGTTAACCTCCCTGGCCCGGCTTTGATAAACCGAAGCAGGGTTCTATATGAAACCAATTTCTCACACATATTGTTCATATAGACATCGCCTCGTGTCCATCAGTTTAAACCGACCACGGCCTATCCTGTAATTATGTGCCTGTCCTTTCGTATCTCGAAGCCGTTGAATATTTCGTCATAGCCTCGTTTCGTGTTCGGACAACCTGTCCTGGTTTCCTTTGTCTTGTTTCTTTGCGATGACCCCTCCCCTTAATCCGTTGCGAAACCTGTCGTCGTGCACTCTTGACCTTCTCTTCTCGGATGCTAACGTCCTATTTGATTAGTTGACGAAGAATTCCCGCCTCTTGGTGCCGCATCAAAAGACAAGCGCTCGGTTGATAGCTTCGGATCGTTCATGCGATCACAGTTGATGAGTGACTCTCAGCCTTTAGGTCGTTCCGGTACACCAAGTCTCCCACCAGGCCTACCCCTTCCACAAGGACACTCCGTGTCAGCGTTGTTCCATGATCACTTCAAGCCTTCAAGCCCCGGATCATCCGTTTCTGGCCCGCCTCCTGGGTTGGAGCCGGAATCTCCTTCCGTAGCCGGCATTTCTCGGGGCTCCGAGGATGATGCAATGGGAGTAGAATCGAAGGAAGATCCCGAAAGCAAGTCATCCTCTAAAAGGGCTAAGAATGTGGCAGAGGTATCTCTGGGGTCCCCTGTGGCAAAGGCAACTGCTAGAGTTCGTTCCCAACCAAAGGAAGAACCAGTCACTGCAGAGAATAAAACCGCTCAACCAAAAATTAACGATGCTAAGGCGTCCACATCCTCTTCTAACAAGGCCAAGCCGACAAAATTGGATATGAGCTTTAACACCCAAGGCCCAGAACAGCTTTCGAAGGCGGAACCACCATACCATATCCCGTCTGCTCATGCTGCCCCGGCATCCACCGTTAATTCACGGCCCAATACGCCGTTGACCGCGGCTTCGCGGGTATCTGAGTCCCCAGCACCTCGCCAACCTAGAGTCCTTCGTGTTGTCGATACTCCAAAGACAGAGACTCCACCACCTATGTCCGCTACTCAGTCCATTGCGTCCCTTCCGATTGGAGGGAAAGCCCGCTCGAGGCGGCCTAGTGTTTCGTCTCAGAGCCGTTCCGATACGCCTGGTGACCTTGGGTCAGAGGCAGACCTCTATGCCTCCACATCGGCTTCTCGTGCTAACTCTCCCCCTGCATCCTCCAGAATTGGCTCTGCACCAGTACGGGCTGTCACGAAGAGCCAAATGAAAAAGGAGCGGAAGCAGAAAGCCAAGGAGGCAGAGGCGAAGAAGCAGGAGACCACCTCGGTGTCTGAAGAACCGGTGCAAGCCCCTATAGTTGGCAGGAAACGAAAGACCAAGAAGGCTCCGGCTGAGTCGACCAATTCAGCATCGGAGAATACTACCAGTACTATCAAGCCTGTTCCCCAAGTCAGCAACGAGGATAACGAGAAACCTGAGCCCATTAAGAAACCAAAGCCAGCTGAGGCAGCCCCCAAGGAGCCTAAGCCCACGCCTCCCGAGGTGAAGGCACCTGCAGAACAGAAGCAGCCCGAAGCTTGGCGATCCAGGAACACTGTTGAGCAACTGCTCAAGGACGCAGAATCCACCGGTGCTTCGCTGAAGGAGCTTTTCTCCGAACGCACTTCTCCTTTACAGGCGTTGCTATCTCAGCTTCACAAGTCGGGTGCTCTGGATCTCAACAACCATCCTCTATTTAATCCTTCTAACCTCAACCAACGCTCCGATATGAAATGCACTTCGGACGATTACGAGGATCTGAAGCAACCTATCGAGCTCACTGAACAGCACCGTAAAGCGCTGCTGCGCGGGGAACCCATCCGGATGGGCACAGATTCTATGTCGTTGAAGGATAGGTGTCTTATCAGCCCCCGCGGGTCCATTCTCCACCACCTATCCTCCGAAGAGGAAGAAAGGTACCTTGCCCTAGAAAAGAGCATTTCCTGGGCTATCGATACCTTTCAAGAATACCCCGGTATTCCAATCACTGAGCCAGATGCCACAAACCGCGGCGGCGGTCTAGACGCTCTATTCGCCACGCCCGAGAATTTCAACGTCTGTTGGGTTGACGAAACATCCGCGGGGGTCTCAGCTTCGTCCCCCACCTCCGGTCAATCCACAGCTGAAGGGCCTGTTTCTTCCATCCCGCCGAATGTTCTCTCCGCGATGGAGGCGGACAGTACCCGAACCCACAATTGGGCTATCGACAATACTGCAGAGCTCATGAACGCGACACCTACCTCGGTACGCTCTTTTGCTGCCGCTACAGCTAAGCATATGCTCGGTGCAGCGGGAGTTGTCATGGGTAACTTGCCCGACCTCGACGATGTCGTGGGAATGACGGATGAAGAGCTGCGTTCGTTTGCAGTCAAGTCGCAGAAAGAACTTGAGACGTCGCGAAAGGACCTCGATGCTATTGATAAGAAGCTTGGTGCGTTGGTGAAGAGAAACAAAAAGCTCGCACAGCAGGCTCTGGCTATTTAGTCGAGTCGAGTGCTTCGCTATGTACCATCAATTTTCTGTACCTTAATGTTTTTCAGCGTGCATATGGAAGGGCCTAGTTGTACATTATGTTTGAGTTCTTTTAGCTATAAGCAACCCCAATTTCATGGTCGAATGGAAGTCCGATTATAATTATATACCACTGTAATTCTTCGATCTATTTCAAAATTGGCCTGCTTCAGGTCCATCATTCCATATTGATGTCCACGGCTACCCATCAGAGGGCGAAGTGTACTGTTGTACGAGGATCCAAAGATTGCTTTATCAATGATTGAACTGACAATTGGGAATATATCTGATAATATGTCTAGGATGGTCCTAGCAGTAGTACTTCCTAATCCCAAACAGAGCACAACCAGACCGCCAGGTGTAAGTCTATATCAGCACGCTGCGTAAATACATCCCGCATTAAAGTCTATTCCTTTTCCAAACCCTTGATCCCGCCTTCAAACTGTCTCAAATCATATTCCTCGGGATAAGTCTCCAAGATTCTCTTCAACTCTGCCATCTGCTCCTTGGCCTCATCCGTAAGCTCATCATAGACATCTTCAAACGCATACCGAATAGCCGGCTTCTTCTCCCTCTCTGCAGCCCCAAACTCCTGCAAAACTTCCTTTCGAATATTCACCCTTGCCTCCTGCTCCATATCCTCATTCCACAACCCCTCGTTCTCAAGCCACTTCCGCAGTCGGATAATCGGGTTATCGCGCCTCTTCCAGTCCTCAACTTCAATACGCGCCCGGTACGCAAAACTATCATCGGAAGTACTGTGGTGCGAAACCCGGTAACTCATCGCCTCAATAAGCACGGGCTTCCCGCCATCAGAGAGGGCCAGTTTCCGCGCATCGCGCATAGCCTCGTAAACGGCGAAAATATCATTGCCGTCGACGCGGATCGTGTCGATCCCATACCCGATGCCGCGGCTGGCGATTCCATCGCCCCGGTACTGCTCTAGGGTTGGCGTTGAGATGGCATAGCCGTTGTTGCGGCAGATGAAGACGACAGGAGACGAGCGGGTTGCGGCGATGTTAAGACCGGCGTGGAAGTCGCCTTCGCTGGCAGCTCCTTCGCCGAAATAACAGGTGACGATGCGCGGCGGGGTGTCGGGGTTTTGCAGAGATTGGAGTTTCAATGCGTAGGCGGCGCCGGAGGCGTGTGGGATTTGGGTTGCGAGTGTTGAGGAGATTGTGTGCTGTAGTCCACTGTTAGTATCGGATCAATCTACTACCAATTCCTGGGGGTCCGCCGTACCGTGCGAGGGTATTTACATCCATAGTGGACGGGCATGTTTCTCCCCCGTCCGTTATCGTTGGCATTTGCGAAGAGCTGGCTCATAAAGTTTTTTAACGTGAAGCCTCGTTGTTGGAAGACGCCTGTTTCGCGGTACTGCGCGAAGACCACGTCGTCGGGGGTTAGGGCTGCGGCGGAGCCCACGCTGATTCCTTCTTCACCTGCTGATACCTGTCCGGAGCATATCAGTACATATTTCCTGGGGGATTTGGATATGAAAGATGTGGCATACCATGTAAAAGCTCAACCGACCCTGCCTTTGCGCCTCAAACATGATCACGTCCATGATGCTCACTATAGACAAACCCTGATTAGCCTGGTGAACGACGAATTGTAGCAATAGACGTAACCCACCGGTAAGCATATTCTTGTACCACGTCAATATCTCCTCATTTGAAACATCCAGCTTCTTCCGTCCCGCATCCACCAGCACACCATCGGAATCCATAACTCGGTATGTAGGAATGCCCGCCCCATCCTGTGGGTTGATGAACGCCATCTCCGTTGTAAATTTGCTATTGACTGCACCGGGGAATCGGACCCTAATCGATACCAGTCAGTTAGCTTCTATCTATCCTAAGGTTTTCTCAAGAAACGGCGAAGAAAGACTGTGAACGTACCGATCCGAGCCCGGACGCTGAGATATGGAAGTACTCCATCGCTTTGAGAGCGTGGATCGGCACAGCGGCCGCGCAATGGGCGGTATCCGACGTGATAGTGGCAGTATGGGGGTCATTTCTGTCGTTAATTGAGAGTAGATGGGGAGAGGAGGGGAATGGAGGTGAGATCTTTTGTATTTCCCCAGACTTGAATCCCTTGGGGGGGGTGTTGCGGAGAAGCGGTTGGCGTCGGAGGGGCTAGACGTCACGGGCGCCCGCGGGTAACCGAGCGGATCTCTTCCCCCAAAATCACCGCCCAATCGGATTGTTTTATTTGTGAATAATCCATACAAATAAACGTTTAGAGTATCATCAATGGCGAGGATTGAGGGCGTGGCAGAATATCAAGGCTGTATGTATGTGCGTATTATGGTCGGATCTGGCAGCTTAAGGATGATGCTGGACAGGGGGTTGAATATATATATATATATCTACATATCTACATATATCATTGTCATCGATTCAAGGCTGTCACCTTGAGTACCAATATTAGGAAAACTACTGTTCTAGAGGCCCCTGGTTGCTTTCCACTGGAATCCTCAGTATACACAGCCTTCCCCATCGATATTAGTATATAGAGAAGGCATACTGGTAAATGACGTAGGTGGTTCGCCGTCTCTGTTTATCCTCCGAGGGTCTGCAGAGTTGATATTTGATTTCGTTTGTTTATACTACTCTCATTTAGTTTAGCTGTGGTGGCAGCAGGGCCTTGAAGGAAAGAATACAATACCCACGGGCACCTTACTGAGATTCCGATTAATTCAGGTGTAGTTCCACGTCTATATCGATGCCGGTGGTTGTGCAGTAGGAACAGCAGTACTAAATCCCATGTTGTTAACAAGGCTCCTTGAGTAATTGAACCTATAGAGTATAACTATAGTATACTCTATAGTACTGACCACTAGTCTTGGAAGCAGGTACTGCACCTCAGTAAGCTATCGGCTTGTTGGTAAGGAAAGGATAGGCAAAGAAGTTTAGTACAGAGGAATAAGAAAGTAACTTTGCTATAGGTAAGCTGGTAAGAAGTATTACGATATACATGAAGAGCCACCTGGGTAACTATTTAAAGTCGCTTACTTATATACGTTTATTTCTGCTCTCTGCACTGTTCCTTGTGACTTTGGTTTGCTATTTATGTTTTGATTGCTTTGGACTAAATTATCTTCTCTGCTCGGACAGAATCCTCGAGACCTTTAGACTCTGAAGGACTAGCCACCAATAGTTTGGCTATAATTAATCATTCTGCTGCCTCAATTATATTTATGTTAAATATGATTAGTTATGTCCAATGTTATACATTAAAGTGATCCAGCACGATTCACGGACATTTCCCAACATGTACCAGATCAATCTTTGAATCCCTAGATAGCTCCCCGGTTATTGACATTATCTTTCAGAAAAAAAAAAAAAAAATTCAAGAACAGGAACATACATTGGGAGTCCCCTGTTGAATATGCCGTCGTTCATCATCGAGAAGAACAGGCGGCAGGTTTGGGTTATCACCTCCTGGCTTGGGGATCGGGAAGCCGTTCAAGAGGCCTGATTCCAGCATCTCGCAGACGCTAGGATGGATCGTCGCTCCACAGGGAATATCTCGAGAAGCCCCGAAGTTGGGTGGGAAGCGACGCGGGATCCATTTCCCTTTCTCGAGCTCTAGACGAGTAGCGATCGGAAGGACCTCTGTGTTGTATTAGAGCTGCTCGTAAGTAAGTAGCGTGGGAAAGACGACGAACCTAGAATCCACCATAGCATAACGGAGAAGCTGCCCGCACCGTGACCAAATCGTAGCGTATCATGTGGTCTATTCACCTGCTGCTGGATATGGTACCCTTCTGTTCCTGGCTGGTCGTCGCGGCAAAGGGATTTCCCCGCCGCTCTGGTCATATGGTCCACGTTTGTTGTCATAAAATCGAGCTTGCTCTCCGACTCCTCTAAGTTCAGCACTTCCTGGATCATCCAGTGCAGTGTGATATCCGACAACAGGTGCTTTTGCTTCCGTTGTAGGGGGTATCCACCACCGATATCGCTGTGATTTCCAGCGAACCAGACTTCCTTGAGGTCCACAGAATCTTTGTCCTTCTCGGCAATGTGAAATAACGCAGGCTTGAATTTCAGTCGGCGTTCGTGTATTGACACAGCGTGGCGGATGTGCCTTGCTGCAGGGCTGGCAATGTACCGGTACGATTTGCGGAAGAAGGGAATCTCAAACTGGCCAACGCTGTTGACGCAATCGAAGAGGCCGAGGAAATGAACGCCAACGTCAGGTCGACAGAAAGTTGTCTTGAACTTCTGCATGTACCGCTCTAGCTCGCGATCGTCTTCTGATTGAGGAACATTTCCTCGTGAATTCTGATAGCGGCTGAACGTGGACCAGGCAAAGGGAACCATTTCCTCGTTTCCGCGAGAAAGAAGGCCGATGTTGTGGATCATTTCGGCGAGGAACCGTGCCGTGTATGCGCCCCGTGAAAAGCCGAAGATATAGATGTGGTCGCCCGTGGAATAGTATCGCATGATAAATTTGTAGCCCGCGACAAGATGCTTTGAGAAAGATGTACCGACTCCCTTGTCCAAGAGGGAGCTCACTCGCGCTTTGAATTTGGTCCAGAGGCTGATGCCGCCGGAGGACTTTGATGAGCCAGTAACATAAGTCAAAGTTCCAATTCCAGCTATTTTCGAACAGTGTCAGCCTCCGTAGATCGATGTGGTAACGTTTCAGCTCACGTTGATAGTAGGCGTATTGCCCGGGCTTATGTCTCTCGAGTGCCTCATAGATCTTGACTATGTTTGTATCCTCCTCCGTTCCCATGTACTGGTTCCCGGTTCCATCGAAGCAGAGGACAAGCCTACGTGGCTGCCCTGATCCGGTGGGAGGCCGATGGTCGTGAAGCGGGCTATGATGGGTTGGCCCCGGCATTGTGGTTGAACCAGAAGCTGCTTGGGCTGAGGATTCCTTCAGGGAGAAGAAAGCGGAGCGAGCTTATAACTTTAAGTCAAAGTCGCGGTGACAGGTGGAGACCGCAGAGGACCACAGCCTGCGAGCTGAGCGCACCGCTATTGCTTTCTTTTTATGCATGCAGGCTCCGTGGCGTCCCGTTTTGGATGACGATCGTAACACGCCCAGACCACCCGTTCCTTCGCGTGATGGTTACTGGAGGACGTGAGTGGACGCGACATCCTCTTCATGGTATGAGGCATCTGCCAAGGGAAGTTAATACTGTTCTCATCGGAGCTGCTTCAGCAAATTGGACCATCGATGTGGGCTTGATTCGTCAGAACTGAAGATGGCTGGTTCATGGCGCTGAGACCCTTTTTGTTTGTGGGTGTCTGCCGAAAAGATCTTCATTTGAATTCTCCAGTTTTACGAGCAATAGTGCAATGACATGCGAGAACGGTGGCCGCCTGAGTCCTGACAAGAAAACCATCAGCATTAGCATGTTGTTCGATGAAGGCGCACTGCCCCCTTACTTCAGCTCCAGAGAAGAGGAACAGCTCCAGCGATCCTTGCCATGCTCAACCGACGCGCAAGCCATGTTTTCAATGAGATGTTACTCTGCATCCGACACCACCATCCTAACTGATTGAATGCATATTTTCATGCAAAGGGGTGTCATGAGGCTGACAAGGTTTGACAAGGCTGAGCCTGGGAGAGACAACAGACGGGAGAGTCCGTCATTGTGGCCGCCTGAGGCCGCCACTCATTCTCCAGCTGAGCAAGTTCTCATCTTTTTTGCAACAATCTCGAATCACAAAACATTGATGAACATTGATGATCTAATGTCGTCTCAAGGCTCTGTTTGTCAAGTTGAGTCATTCGAGAATGATCCACTGTCGTCCCAGGCTCTGTTCTTAAGGGCTCTAGACTCGGAAACATGTTTCCAGCGTCGCAACAAGTCTTCATGGCAGCGACGACAAAAGAGGGATGACAAAAGCAGCCCAGGTTGGAGACGACGCTCTGATAAGTCGGAGACGTCAAGACGGCCTTGTTTCCGTGACTGCGCAATTAAAGCCGATTCAGCATTTTGATATGTAAGCACACAGTCACTTGGCTTGACTTACGTCCTTGTTCCAGCGGGGCATCTTATCAAGTCCTCTCAACTACTCATCCAAGTCCTGAGTTCAACCCAGAAATTATGGCCTTAGTTCCTACAATACATCACGGCCTCAGCCTTCAGGAGCTGAAGGCGCCCGAGATATCAGCTACCACAAACCCATTTGCATCGAACCAGGCCACCCCTCGTGGTTCTACAGTAGATACAAGGAATGATGCTCAGGATCATGTACAGGACTCACCTCCACCTTCTGCAGAGCCGGAACCGGAGCCAGCCCAGCAGATCTTTGAACGGGCGCCGATGCCAGAGACTAGCCGAGTTCGCCAGTTGACTGTAACTACATTGATAGTCATATCGAATCTTGTTCAGGTAGGCCAGATCACTTTCCTGTGTTGGATGAAATACTGACTACGCTAGATGATTGTGAACTTCGCCGGCGTTGCCGGTGGCAGGAGTTTTAGCGAGTCTATGCACGTCAAACAAACATACGCAACCTGGATAGCAGCAAGTTACGGGTATCATCTACACAAACATCAAAGCGGAAAGCACGAAGCTAAGAAAGTAACAGGCTGACACAGGGCACATTCGTCCTCATGAGCGGTCGGCTCGGCGACGTCTACGGACACCGTAGGATGCTGCTGGGCGGCGGCGCCTGGCTTGTCGTATGCAGTTTCATTAGTGCATTCTGCCATACTAACTTCTTCGCCTTTGTTACGATGCGTGCCCTCGCCGGTCTTGGGGGTGCCAGTGTTATGCCAAATGCAGTGGCCATGATAACAATCACTAATCCACCAGGGCGTGTTAGGAATCTAAGTTTGGGGTTCTTCGCAGCGTCTGCTCCTCTAGGAGGATATGCCTCTGCGCTTTTCCTCGGGGCGTTCATGGAGCGTACCCATTGGCGGTGGTTCTTCGTTTTCGTGTAAGTGTCAGGATTGACTACCACTTTGCTTCTCGCTGACAGAACGACAGAGCGTGTCTTGGGGCAGTGGTATTCATTCCTCTCTGGCTTCTGAGCCGAACCGAAATGACATCCAGTCGAAATGAGAGTATCGATTGGATAGGCGCAGCCTTAGGAACAAGCTCTTTGATTCTATTCAACTTTGTCTGGAAGTAAGTCTACCAACCCTGGTAAATAAACCAGCAACTTACCATCACCAGCCAAGCACCAAGTGTAGGTTGGTCAACCCCCTACGAAATCGGCCTCTTAATCACCTCCCTCATCCTTTTCGCCCTTTTTATAATCTGGGAACATAAAACCCCGCACCCCATGATGCCCCCAGATATCTTCAAAGCACCCTCGTTCGCCGTCCTCGTTCTCGTCATCCTCCTCAACTACATGGCCGTCGGCACAGTCCTCTGGTACCAGCTCCTCTGGCTCCAAGACGTCTGGCACTGGTCAACCCTGCAATTCGCCATCGGCTGGACCCCCTTCGTCATCTGCGGCACGGGCGCCGCCTGTCTCGCCGCATGGCTGATCCCCCGTCTAGCCGCGCAGTGGATCCTCGCCCTCGGAACCATAACAATCATGGTCTCCACCGCGCTCATGGCAACAGTCCGCGAGGAACAGAGCTACTGGGCCCAGGTTTTCCCATCTGTAATACTCTTCGCGTTCTGCCCGGACCTCGTCTACGCCGCTGGGCAGATTATCGCGAGTAACTCGGTGCGCAGAAACCAGCAGGGCGTGGCTGGATCGATTATCGGTACCCTGAACTTGTACGGGAATAGTCTAGGTCTGGGCTTTGCGTCGACAGTTGAGGTGCAGATTGCTGCGAAGACGGGAGATGCGATTCGTGGGTATCGCGCTGCGTTGTACTTCGGGGTTGCAATTAGTGCGGTGGCTCTTCTGCTGGATGTTGCGTTTGTGAGAAGGGTCAAGGATGAGCGCGAGGGGTGGGCCGAGGGAGATCAAGATCAAGATGAGAACCCAGCGATTGAGCTAGAGGTTTTGCGGGATCAAGCTGCTACAGCTACGGGTGCCCAGGTCTCATCTAGGCTTGAATCAGGACAGGCTGTATCCGTTGTCCAGCGAGTTGATTGATTTGCTACGGAGTATATACATTCCAGGCACCGCACAAGTACCCGATCTCCCGCTAGGCCACCAACAACATGCATTCCAACACCCGTAGACTAGTCGAAATCTACTCGAATCTAGCAAGAAACAAAGTTGTTTCCACTGGCGCCAGTGTGGGTGATAACGCCAGCAAGCTCTCCACCCTCGTTGAAGACGACACGGTCCGCGCCAGGCGAACCGCCGCTGTACACACTGCCGGAGCTCAAGATCGGGAACTCATAGTAGGTGGGGTCGACGGGGAAGTCGAAGTCCTCGTAGTTGTTGTAGACATGGGGGTAGTCGTTGACGTCGTCGCCAGAGGATTGGAGGCTGTAGCCCTCATCGACGGCGGCGGAGACCGCGGAGGACGAGTAGCAGACGCTGCCGCAGGTGTAGGCGCACGACTGGCGGGCCTCGATCTCGGTAGGGAGGGCGAGGGTCACCGAGCTGGTGAGCAGGAGAGCGACGAGGGTCTTTTTGTTCATCTGTTAGTATACACAACATCAACAGAGAAAGAGATTCCGATCGTACCTTGACTTGGAGCATCTTGCTGTTGTTGGAAGGCCTGGATGTGGATGTACCAGAGTAAGAGGAGAGACAGACAGACAGCTATTTAACGCTCGAGATAGCCAAAACAGTAGATAAAACAGCACGCCCACCCCGAGGTTACATCGCAGCAGCAAGAAGATAAAACAGTCTTGGCACGTTGTCTCCTTTTCCCCCATGAATGGTTCACATGGGACGGATCGGCACGCACAGCTCGCAGCCCTGAGGAATCGAGTCAGGGGATGGCTTGGACGGCCCAATCAGGAGACACTGGCCCTCCATGCAGAATAATGATAGGGAGGAGGTGCAGATCTTGGTTTCATGGCAGATCAATCTATTTGCCGTTCTGCGTTGTATCGAGAATCCGGATTGCTGGCGGGGGGCTGATTATAACAGCACGTGTTATCCGTGCAGGGCGTTATAGGCGGTTATCAAGAAAAAGAAAAGAGTCATGGTCGTTGAAGCCATATTGACACTATCCAGATCGAGCATATTGTCCGGACAAGCCGGAGCTGTGGGTGATACAGTCGATAGTGCGATTCAAGGGCGATAAAGGAGAGATCCATCGCCGATCAGTCGAATTCCCGTTGATCTGTGAATCGTTGATCATCGCCCGCCGACCCAATTGTCTCGAGCAGGACAGTGTTATAGATGCACATCTATATGCAGATATTAACTGTAAATTCTTGGAAAATATAGAACAGATGTCATTCAATTGGATAGTTTATAACAAGAACATGTCGATTCTCTTGCGTACCCCGCTATAAGTCAGGCTGTCTCGAACGTTGAGGGTCGCATTAGTAAAGTTTTCGCTTTTGCTGCTGAAAAAGGTAACAAATTACATGTAAAAGTCTATTCCATCGAACGCTTGACTCAGTCGATTTTGTATTGGCGCTGTTCACTTAGCAATTCGTGGTGTGCATAAATATAGCCTTGCAACGAACGGCCGGAGTTAGGGCTATTGCAACTTGAGGATTCCGCCATGCCTCCTGCATTTGGGTTGGGTGCATCCACGATTACTTGGTAGAATCATAAAAGTAGCCGGAGCTGAATAAGGTTTGCTAATCTGCTCTGCAAAAAGGCCATAAATTTGGTGTCAAGGACAACATATATATGTACATCTAGTCAAATCAAGGAAAGAAAACTCATGCATATACCACCATGCAAAACGCCATCCCTTGCCGAAAACAGTTTAATACAGGCTGAGAAGAGAAGTAAGGTCCTCACTATGCCGTGAGCCCAGGCCTAGACAACAGGGCTTGACCGACTGGGGCTCTGGTCGATGGCTTTCGTAGAAGCGACCTCTTCGTAGTATACATAATCGTCATCTTCGTCTTCGATCGGCTGGCCAAAGAGGTTCCCCCAAACACCGTCCCAGAGGCCCTTCTTCGTCACGAGGCCACCAACGAGAAGGATTGGTAGCTGCCAAATACTAGCCCAGAAAAGACCTCTCGCGGTACCGTTGGCGCCTTGTTGCTTCCAGAACCCATATGCCTCTTTCGTCAGCCAGCCGTTAGCAACGGTGCTGCTAACTAAGAAACCATGCCCCACAACGCCAATCCACCAGAGACCAATGGAAAGTGGAAACATGAGAACGGAATACCGCAAGGCAACGCGGGCGTTTCGAGCCGGATTTGTCCAGCACATCATCCGGTATCCTGCTCCTTTGTATTCCTCACGAATGGTGTGTGATAGCGCATTGAAATGAGGGAATTGCCAGGCAAACAGAATACCTGCAAGAAGCCATCCCCCAAGGCTGTTTTCGCCAAAGAGCATGTCTCGCCACGTGTCATGCCCTGTCGTTGCTGCTTGCCCTGCAGCTGCAACCCAACCCATTAGCGGGGGAATACCTCCCACCACAGCGCCCACCCAGGTATTAATTACGTGTATACGCTTTAGTGGCGTGTACACGAATGCGTAGAGCGCGATATTTGCTGCAGATAGTCCCGTTACTGTGGGGTTAGTTCCCACGTATAGCAAACCCAACCCTACGGCGGCCGTCGCAATAGCAAAAAGAACGGCCGCGCGCCGGGAGACGAGGCCGCGGACTAGAGGCCTATTGCGTGTTCGCGACATCTGAGCGTCGTACTTTGGTTCAAAGACCATGTTCAACGTGTTTGCGCTGCAGGATGACAGGAACGTCCCGGACGTCAAGTAGAGAAATGTCAGGGTCGATGTCGAGAGCGTAGGAAGAGGCGCAATGGATGGATCAAGAGCAAGCAGAGACGATATAGGGTATATGCCATAAGCGGAAGTCGTCGATAGGAGGATCAAGAATGAGAGACGGGGTTTAGTGAGAGCCAAAAAGGCGGCCAACTTGCGGCGGAGGGAGGTCTGGGGGAGCGTTGAAGAGAAATTCGATAATTGGGCAGATGCATCGGGCGGAATGACCGGCTCAGCGCCATTGTTCTGAGCTGCAGCCTCCTTTAATCGTTTTCTTCGCCGATGGGGCAGCTCCGGTGCGGCCTCCGTAGGTGGTGTGCTAGGAATTGATTCTTCGCGGTTCGGCTGATTGGGTGAATTCTTCGGGGAGAGAGAGGTAAACAGCCCCGGTTGTGGTGTCAAGTGGCCTTCGCCTTTATGTGATGAGAAGTACGTCTTATTGACCGCTGCTGAGGGCGATTGTCCGGCAATGCTGGATTGTAATCGCGAGATCGGAGCGAGTTTGCTGACTGCGGGGAGCAGTGGGTGACTGCGATTGACGCATCTTGAACATAGGACAGATGAATCCCGAACCGTTCCCAGCCTCCGCAGAGACGAGCGGAGGAGGATCATGACGGCAAAGGGTACACAGCCTGCAGGTTGGCGGCAGGATGAAGTGTCAAGGGCCGTTGACGATCATGAAGCCAAAGCCGGGAGTCGGGAGAAAATTGTCGGAGCAGCGGCAGAGACCAAAACCGCAACAACTTTTGGCAGGAGCCACTCAGGGCCGCTCCATGGTCATCGTTCGACTTCACCCTCAGCCCTCCTCCTCTTCCCTCGCTACAGTTCTGGCCCCCATCAGTCGCCATCAATCATGGACGCGATTCAAAAGACCCTTGTCGACCCCCTCCAGCCCTACCTCCGCCCTGTCGTCTCGGCGGTCCCGCAACCTGTCCACGATGCGATTGTTTCTCTAGTTGGCTCAGACTGCCACAACACGCTCCTCGTCAACCTTGACCTCGCGCAGAACCCCGAGTGCACTTCGTTGGCTATCTCCAAAGCCCTGGGAATAGGTATTGTTGGTGCCAGTGGGATCGTCAAGGTTCCCCAGATTCTGAAGCTGATCCGATCCGGATCCTCCTCCGGCGTGTCCTTTGTGTCCTACGCCCTCGAGACCGCCAGCCTGCTCATTACCCTTTCCTACGGAGTGCGAAACGAATTTCCGTTCAGCACCTACGGTGAATCCGCCTTCATTGCGGCACAAGATGTGATTGTGGGGGTGTTAGTCCTGACATATGCGGGCCGCTCCGCTGCGGCAGCTGCGTTCATTGCGGTCGTGGCCGCAAGTATCTACGCTTTATTGGGTGATACTTCTATCGTCGACGCCCAGTCCATGGCGTATCTCCAGGCAGGCGCCGGAGCTTTGGGCGTGGCCAGCAAGGTTCCCCAGATCTTGACCATATGGCAAGAAGGAGGAACTGGTCAGCTTAGTGCTTTCGCGGTATGACTACGGATCTCAACCAAACATGAGAAATGTGTGCTAATTGATACTAGGTCTTCAACTACCTTGCCGGCTCTTTGTCGCGCATTTTCACCACCCTCCAGGAAGTCGACGACAAACTCATCCTGTACGGATTCCTTGCCGGTTTCTCCCTGAACCTCATCCTCGCTTCGCAAATGCTGTACTATTGGAACAGCCCCGCGCAGTCCAAGAAGCAAAAGGCAGCACAGCCGAAACAAAAGCAGGCTCAGCCCAAGCCCGAGGCGACACCCGCCACCAGAAGAACAGCGGCCTCTCCATCCCCGAAGCCGTCCAACAAGACGCCCACTACTCGCCGACGCGGTTAGATGTGGCCTGGGTCTTTTTTGTCTTCTCAGTTCCACGTTAAATATATATATGTTTAATCCAATCAGACGAGTTTGAAGAATGAATTGTTAGGATTCCGTCTCCTTTCCGTGTCAGGTTACCGCAGTGCTGGCAGTACACCCGTAGTCATATACCGTAGAATCTCATCCATGGGCACCAATGGCGAAGTAGGCGCCTGCTCTCCCATCGCGACAGCCGCATTATCACCCCCAGCATCTTCCGATTTTCCAAACCCACCAAGGTCCATCTCGTCCTCTTCCTCCTCGCTCTCCTCATCATCCTCCAAGACTCTCCGCAAGCCTAACTCCGCCGCAACATCCTGCACCCCGCGCTCCCTCTCCTCCAAGGTAAAATTCCCTCCCCAATTCCTCCTCCTCGCCTCCGAGTTCGCCTCAACAGGCGCCCACTCCCACAACGCCGCCAAATCACCCTCGCTCAGTCCACCCCCGCCCCCATTATTCTTGCTATCAATCATACCCGTACCCATCCCAGCAGTTCCGGGAATGAAGGGAGGGGAAACAATATCCGCTTTTCGGCCGCGCGCAACCCAATCCTCAACTCTGGGATCAAGTTTCGTGCGCAATAGCTGCTCGAGGATATTCCCTTGCGTGCGGGTCGGGAAGTCGGGCGATGGGTACGCGGATATACTTCGTAGCAGGTCATGGTTTTCGGAAAGTTGGGTCGATAGGGATTGAAGGTTCGAGGAAATGATACTGGCCTGGGATTGGAGGGAGGTCCTGTTTTCATGTCATTAGCGATTATCATGTGTTGTAGCTTGCCTGGTTGGTGGAAGAGTGAGAGAGAGATAAAGGGTGGTGATTTGGATTGGACAGGACTGGACCGCGATTGGTTTGGTCTGCGCACCATGAAGGTAATGGGTCGGACTGGTTTAGACTTGTGATGAGGGAGCCCAGCGAGTGGGTGAGTTGGACGAGGCGTTGGCGGGATTGTTCGAGGATTTTGATTTGGTCGGGGGATGGGGTTGTCATTTTTCCTTCCTTCCTTTCCTTCCTGGTTTTCTTCGGTGGGTTAATGTGTTGATATAACGTGAGAGGAGATTGGATGTCGTGGAGAGGAAAGAGGTGAAAACAGCTGCGGGAGCTCAAGCCCGCAGCGCCGAGATCTCCAGGTTGGATCGACTCCGCACACACCAGTAAACAGTCTGTACCACCAGGAGTGACGGGAACTGGGCTTTCATGGTGGTCACGACCATCCACACGGCGATATATTTAGATCGCACATTTCTTGGTCCGACTCTCCTGAAGGCCTTGGTATGCTATTAATATCCTCTACTGGCTTGGTATGCAGTAGGCTGAAACGGGTGGGCGCGTAGCCGTTGGGCGGGTGGGTATATAAAGAGTCACCCCATAAGGGGGATGTTTACCTCCTCTTTTTATTTTATTATATTACATGTCATTGTTTGCTTACTCTTCTAGCGGAATGCGGCATGAACAACTTGAAAGAGATATTGCGTATTAACTAATTAGTCTTCGAGGGGTATCTATTCAACAACCGGTTCAACAACATGATATGACATAGTTATACGCCAGTGTGACTGGGACACAAACACAGACACAAGGATATGGTGGCGACGCATCAGCACCAGCATCAAGAAACGCAACTGCAGCGCCGCATACGCAGAAAACACACAAGTCGAGGCGCTAACAAACAGTGGATAGAGGGGATTTCAGGCTTCAACAAGACAGACAGCGGCGTTGTGGAGATCATTTTTCAATGGGAGTTTGAGAGGAGAGGAGCCGAGATTGATTGATCAATATTCCGGCTGCTTCATCTTCCCACTACCCGACATCGACGGCGGCGGCGGGAAATAGGTTTGCTGCGTCTGCGGCACCTTCTCCTCAGGCGAATACACTGTCGACGGCGACGTAATCACCGGCTCTACGACTTTCGAGTATCCCACGTTTTGACTGCGCCCATCGTTGTCGACGAAGTCGAATCCGTACCCGGAGCCGTAGGGTTTTGGAGAGTATACCGCGGGCCCATACGCACCCTGCGCCTGCGCGGGGTATTCGGTAGCCCATTGCGGGGTGCTGATGCCTGTGTCATTCCAGCGAGCGTGGAGGTGATTTGGCTGGCGGAGGCGGCGGACCTTCTTGCGGCGGGAGCGGATGAAAAAGAAGCATCCAAGGGCGAGGAGGCAGAGGAATATGACGAATCCGAGGATTGGCATGGCGATTACAATGGCGAGGCGCTCCTTTGACATACCAGAGGAGATTAGGTCGGCGGTTGAGGAGGGAAGCATTGTCTCGGCGAAAATTCTATCCGGTGTGATGGGGAATTCTACTTCGGTGGGTGTTTGGAAGTGACAGTTATAGCGAATGGACTCGAGGACTGGGGTTTTGTGAGTAAGTAGATTGGGGATGGAGATGGTGAGTGAGAAGACGTACAATTTGCAATGTACATTTGGCTGCCCGAATCCGACGTCAGGTTATAGCACACCTCACAGGCGGTGATCTCATTGTCGGCAAACGTGGCGGTATTGCACCAGGACTCCAAGTTTTCACCAGTGGGGTTGTCCAGGTCGTATGTGGCTGGGCCTTCTACTTCCTCGCATGCGACTGGGCAAGGGTTCGAGATGTTGGCAACTTTTTCCGGAATACCATAAACGCACGACGAAAAGGCGTATCGAAGATTGTCTAGATGTCCACCTGTTAGTTCGACAACGGTCACGATATTTTCCAAAAGGCAGAACGTACAGAGACCCCATTCAACATCTGATTGTTTCGAGACATCGTCGAAGAAAGTGCTTTCCAGTTGACACCCGACACAATCCTTAAACTTCCTCCCTTTCGCGGTAGTGGAATATTCATGATCCAGACAGACAATCTCCGACCCCAGTGTATCGTTGGACGGGCTGCAACTGCTCTCGCATGGAGAACCTGGTGTTGTTCGCAGTCCTGAAGAAAGCTGGGCGAGGAGGAGGAGGGCCGCCCATCTTGAGACAGACCTCAAACGGAAACCCGACCAAACCATCTTGACGCCGCCAGAGGACAGCAAGATTCAGGGTTGCAGAGAAATGACTATACGCCGCTTGGCAAACGATGGCTTATTTTCTATCATCGAACCTCGTCCTCTCTATAGAGAAGAAAAGCGAGCGAAGAGCGAGGAAAATAAAAGCACACAACAACGTAGCGTAGAGTAAGAGCGAGATAAGGAAGACGAGAGTCTGAACCCTTAAGGTGCGGAGAAACTCGAGTCGCACGGTCAGCGCCCGACAGGCATCTCGAACTCGAACTCGAGGACCCGGGATACCCTGGTACAAATGGAATTGATAAAAGGGCGAGTGGTGCGATCGAATCCAAGCTCAACCAAGACCTGACCGGTCAGTGGCCGTGGTTTGATCACAGATGAACGCTGGAGAGGATAAACAAGCGCTGCGAGGACGCTAGCGCAGGCTCGAGGCCCCTCACCGGGCAGGCCACCCAGCCAACCGATCGTCGAGACATCGCCAGGAGCGAGCCGACAGCGACGAGGGTCGAACTGTGACGGCGTGATGGGCGATTGGGCGTTGGCGGGGGGTGTGATGTGACAGAGGGTGCAGGACGATTGGCGCTTGTCATTCGTAGATGGAGACCAGCTCGAGTCCCCTCCTTGCGCTGCGGTGCTCCTGCGCACTGCTATTGGCGGAGGCGCAAATTCCCCCTCGTGCAGCAGTCCGTGATGATCGAGGACGCTCCGGAGCCCGGAATCCGTCTCATTGCCAGCCTTGGGATTTCATATCGAGCGATACTAGTGGGACGGTTGGAAGGCAGTGGTCGAGGTCTTGGTGGCGGAACTGTCACTCCAGGGCTTGCCAACTGCCATCTAGTCTGCTGCTGGCACGGATAAGAAGATCCCCCAACGGCAAACGACCGAGAACGGCCCCTGGAGTGGGTTTTGGTTATCCCAGAGTGGACTAGCTTATAGGAAGCAAGATTTGAAATTCAACGGTAGGGGTTATTTGCTTAAAATCTGGCCGGTACATGCTCCGTCTTGCCGCGGGTGTATCACGATATCCAAAAGTACAGAGTCACAAACAAACAGCCACCTAATAAACCAAAAACGCCACTATGCAGGTTGTATCTTCGCTGGCGGCCCAAGGAAAGCAATATCGGGAAAATAAAGTAAAAGCAAATAATAACTGAACAAAGACGGCCCATTTCGGTCATGGCTCTGATCATCCCTCGTACCACCACAAGCGGTGTTGAACAGCACAACTCAAACAAGCAAATAGACAAAGAAACAAACCGCTTACATCTCAATATTCATCCATACAGATCGTCGTACGAAGGGACCAGTTCCTGCGCTGCAGGGGTCGGCCCCGCGTCGCCGGCCCTCGTGCTTTGGGGTGGCTTCTTCTCGTGTTGCGGTGTATGTCGTGCGAGTCGAGGATCGTCGACACTGAAACTAGTTCGCTGGGAGCTCGCTGTCCCTGGCACCGAGAATATCGCATCAGTCGATGTACTTTGGCCGCTGTAGCGGCGCATCCGAGAGGTAACTGATAATGGAGGTGATTTCGAACCACGAGAATTGGCATCTTCTGCTCCTCGCTTCTCAGACCCGAGCGCTGGGATATAGTCTTCAGCTTCGTCCGCCGAACTGTCACCATGTCGGTTCTCCTCCCAGGACTTTGGCAGGGTGATATGCTTGGGCTGGACGTGCCGTGTTTTGGGGGAGCGGGTCTTCCCCTTCGCTTGACGTCGTACTTTCGCATCATAGTAGCCCGTAGGCATAGTTATGGAGGAGCTCTTGAAGGCATCTTTTCGAGTCGCGAGACCACCTCCGTTGACGGGGACTGCTGGTTGAGAGGGCGCTTTCAAGATTTCCTTCGGTTGACCGTGGGCATGATCGGTTGAGCGTGGGGATACTGGACCGGTGGCCTTTGCGGCGGCTCTCTCATACTGGTTCCACGAGCCTTCGTTGGGGGAGGAAATAGCCACATCGCCCCATCGCGAGTCGAGTTCCGACGAGACTCTGCGCTTCCTCCGAATTTTCTCAATGATTGCTGTCATGATTTTCAACGGGTTTTTCATGTGGCGGAAGCCTGAAACGAGGGAGGACTTGGTCAACATGGGAACACATAAGAACACCTGGAGATGAAGGGTCTATGTAGGCCGATAATGGCCGGGAGGCATGCCATGTAAGAACAGGGATGAAGTAGGGCCACATGCACCTTCACCCACGCAAGTTATGTACAATCGTATCCCAGGCTGTTAACAGCCTCTGCGGGGATAAAGAGGGCCAAAAGAACGGAGTTGGAAGCACAGAGGCAGGCAGTTGTCGAAAGGTGCCGCAAAGCCAAACCCTCTGCATGGGACGATGCGCTTCTATTGAAGCATAGTCCAGAGATAACCGCAAAAGCAACGGAAAGAGTCCTTGTCGATGGGTCGAGTGGCAGTTGCACATCGAGATCTCCGCGATGACAGCTCGAACGGGCAGAGACGAGCGGACATTCTAGGGACGATGAGTCGACGGCGGGACAGGGGAGACGCGTACCGGGCCCGACAGTCTGGTTCACCACCCTCCTTGAGTCTCCTCGCCCTGGCAAGAATTTGGAATTGGAGAGGCCAACAGTGCCACTGGAGGATCACCCGGGGGTGGGGGGGGGGTATAGTACGCTGACCTTGGACATCGCGGCGGGATGCAGGCGCCCCAAGGAGCGGTAAGCTTGACTCTCATGCCGGATTGAGAAGGAGAGGACTGCGGCGCCGGAGAGAACAATGAGACATTATTCGGGGTAGAAGACGGGATTCTGCGCCTGGGCTGGTTTGACCCTCAAGGCACACAGCAAAAGAGGGGTTCACGACGTGCGGCGCAGTCATCTTGCTGGAGAGATGTCCATCATAATGGAGGCGCTGCTGCAGGCAGACTGACGGTCATCTTGGCACGGCGCTTGGTCGCATTCTGGCCAGGGGTTGGAGGGGAGGCGCCGCAGCAGAGACCCAGTGTGATCAAAGACATCCCCTGCAATGCAACCTGGAAATGAGGCCATGAGGCCGCTGTGATGACGAGGGAGGATGGAGGGGACGAGGCCGGGATGTGAATGGAGAAGCAATTCCACTTGCTTTGAGACCTGACAGGGGCCCGAATGGAGAGACGAGAGCGCACGAGACGGTCGCGACCAGGATGATCTGCCAGTGAAAAGAGTCCAGATCCAGATGTGTTAGAACGGGCGGAACCAACAGCGCGCAGCGACTCCGACTGGCCCGCAGGTGAAGCCGGAAGAACAAGCACCGGGTGATCGTCAGTCACAGACTCTCGCCTCTGAACTTTGGACCTTTAATGATCCCGTTGTAAATAGCCGAACTCTGAAGCTCTTGCCAAAACTAGCAAGACGCGGCAAGGTGTCTTTGTCGGCTCGAGCCGCTGTATTTGTTGCCGCTGTCTCTGTTGTTGGTGTTGTGTTGGTTGACAACCGTTATGCAAACTTTGTACAAACTGTGTGCATAGTCACAACACCCGTTTATGCACAGCCCGCTTGCTGTCAAGAACTCTCCAACTTCTCACCAGCTCAGAACTGACAGAAACTCCATCTCCTTGCAGAACTTCCTATCAATGTATTCACCCATTCGTTGGGACAATGGCCAGCGGGCACTGTCTTTACTTGGCGAGCTAGTTCGACTTGTTTACGATCACGAATGAATAATAGATACCATCACAGGCCATCAGCCTCTGACAGTGTTCGAAGTGCAATATATCCAACACCAGCGAGGTTCCAGCAGATAAAGAATACACCATAGACTACGCTACGCCAACGAATTCCTCTCACTCTTGAAGTCTGCCAAATCGAGTTTCACTTATGAAGTCTGATACTAGACCTTCTATGCTGCAAGCATTACACGAAGACAAGCACAGTGATATATTCATGAAAAGGTCTTCTACATTTCACGGCGCAAATGCCGTCCATCGCTGGAAGAAGATAAAAACACCGAATCCCCAAGCCTGGAGTATGCCCCCCACGGCCTCTCCACAGCGAGCTCGCTTTGTCGTCTTCGGGTTAGGCCCAGGCGCGGGGTGTCATTGAGTTGATTAACTCACTAAATACTGTAGGCTGGGAAAGAGAAGAGGGGGATCGTGATGATGAAGTGAAGATGGCAGGGCCGAGCCAGTTTATCCCAAATAACAGACAGGACTGATCTTATTCCTTCAGGTAAGACTAGATGTTATTCACAGAACTGGCACGTCCCAGTCAACCCAGGCATCACGGTCAAACCCCAAGCTGGGATAATCCTTCTCAACATCCGTCTCAACCTCCTCACCCAGCAAAAACCTGCGAAGAAAGACATCCAAATCACCACTCTGCTCCTCTGGAAACTGGCAATGGCTATGGTCACTCGCCAACGAATAGCCCATCCGATCCCCGACGCCCAGTGCCTCCCACACGCTCCTCGCAGCCTGCATACACCCCAGCGACGACCAAGGCCCTAGCCACTCATAACCGACATTATCAAGCGAGAGCAACGCCCGCGGGGCGATCAATCCAGCCAGCATATGGTGGTCAAACGGCAGGGAATTCACATCGTCAACATACGCCTCGAACGAGGTCGAGAACCATACATTCTCCGTCACGATCTGGCTTGCCGTCTGCACAGACCCAGCCCCGGCCTCTGCATCTTCGGCGTCTGCAAGCCGCCAGCATCCTGTCCCGCCTGTGCCAGATTCCTGCGGAATCGTCAGGGCAATCCGATCGTCGAATGCGCCGGCGATGAGCGCGCCTTTGCCGTTTCGCGAACAGCCTGTGACGGCCAGTCTGGTCGTGTCGATATCGGCAGTGGAATCAGACTGTTCCAAGGCATCAATGAGAACGGATACACCCCAGGCCCATGCCGTCATGGCAGAGGCCGAATGATCCGATCCATAGAGGTCGTAGAATAGACCTTTCCCACGACTGGATGTGTCAGTTTGTTCGGCGATTAGGTCGTTGGGGAAGGTGATTGTTGCGATGCCTTCGGGGAGAGGGAGACTAAGAGCGCCGTAGGCGATTATAGCCGAGAACGGTCCGTTACCTGATGCAGGGTACGATATGTCCACATCGAAAGATATGCTGTTTCCAGACTCAGTTGCCGTGATTGAGAGGGTGTTGCTGGATAGGGTTGCGGTGACTGAGGACGGGGTGGGTGGTTTCTCGCCGAGCTCGAGCTGCTGCAGGAGCGTGGTAATGTGCGAGCGCCGGCAGGTCCAGTCTTCTGCACTGGAGATGCGGCCCTCTTGGGCAGGGTACCAGGAGAATGGGTCAGGGAGGGTTGAGATTGTTTGTAGAGACGGGGAAGATGGGAGGGTAGGGCACTGGGCTTGGACTTGGAGGAAGTCCAAAGCCAGAGCGAGGATGAGTTTTCGAATAGGAGCCATTATTAACGGTGATTCAGTTGTATACGGCATCAACAGCCCGCCTCTTTAATAGACAGCTGTTCCATTTGGCCGAGACACTGTTGAGGTTCATTGCATCTAAGCTTCTGGTACATTAGGCTGAATGGGCGTCAGGACCGGCTGAAACAGTCAAGGCTGCACAGTCCGGTTCCCAGACAGCAAATCTGCAGGGACCTCGACTCATTCTGCCGAGAACCAGGATAAGTAGGATAAGTACTCTGGTGAAACAGTCCGCTCCCCAAAGGGCAGTTCCTCTCATCCTTACCGATAGCCCTGATTCCAATCCTCATCATCCACTGCCACGCCTCTCCCCAATCGCCTTCTTCACCCTACTCGCAAACAAAGCCCACGGACAAGTACATTTCCAAAGCCCACAAACATTCACCCCATGCGCCTCATGCTCATGCCCATGCCCATGCTGGTCCTGCGCACCTGGACCATCGCCATATTCCGGCCCCGACGAATGACTCGACCGCCTTGCCACATCCACCAGCCGATTCAGGATATTAAACTCCAGCTTCAGTTTCACGCTATAGATCAGCCCCTTGGCGGCCGTCTGCGACGCATAGCGGCCCGTGAATTCCAGGACCAGAATACACACATCCAGGCCCAAGACAGCAAGGTTCATGTATATCAGATGGATCATGAGACGGCGCCCAGCCTGTCCGTGGGCTTCGCTCAGTGTGCCCCCCATGTAGAAGAGCTTGGACATGTAGTAGAGATATAAAAGAGAGATGATGGACTCTTGGACGAAGAAGAGCGTCACCTGGATGCGCTCGAAGACTGCGTACGGGTAAACGAAGTGCGGGTAGGACGTTGAGTTTGCGCCGTAGCAGAGCACGATGGCGGGGATGTGCAGGACGATTGCATTCACGATGATCATGGTTAGGACGGAGCGTAGGATTATGCGCCTGCGTACGATGAGGTGTAGGCGCGAGTACAGCACCATCGACTGGCCTGTGACCATGGCGCACCAGCCGAAGACGATCAGGGAGGCGTAGAAGGCGGGGATGTTGTCTGCGACGTGGAAGTCCTTTAGGATGAGGCCGACTGAGTAGACGGCGACGCCCCAGGAGGAGAAGAGGAAGCTCCAGAAGTAGAGGCCCGCGCGGCGCTTGAAGGTGAAGAAGAGCAGGAAGGTGAGCTCGATGACATTGTAGAGGGCGATGGAGAGGACGGAGGTGACGACGTATGTGACCGGGGTTGGGATTTGCGAGTTGAGGTTGTTGCCGACATCGATCAAGGACATTCTTCTTTTGTCTCTAGATCTGGACGAAGCCGTTGGTGTCTATCAACGGGGTTGATAGAGACCGCTTCGATGTCTATCGTGGCCCTACGCAGGCGACTACCTGGATGTACGTATAGTCTAAGCTACATGTTCTTTCCCTGGCCAACGATCGTCATTGCGCCGACCGTATTTATCAGGGACAGCGAACTCATGACATCTATATCTAATAAGCATCTACCACGGTACAATTAGCCAGCCAACGTGGCGGAGTCAGTCTATGACGCATGGTCCACACGAGCTCTGACGAGCGTTGAGCTCGTTCCATGGTATACCAGACCCACTAGTCTAGATATGCCGTTTTCAGCCTCTCTTGGGCATTTCTAGCGAGCTTAGAATATATTATGGATTTTTGATCGAGCTACTACCGTTCGTCGTTAGTATTCAAACATTCAAATACTCGTGGATGGAACGTGTAAAAGAGGGCCTGGGATCGCTGAGCCTTATATAAGTTTCCAGGGTGGAGAGACAAACGGAGCCATGCGCAGGACCCATTTCATCGGACTGAGCAGCTAGAAGAGCACACATACCATAGGATACCTTCAGATATCATCACGACTTGGCAAGACGCAGGTTATGCCGTCGCCAGGCGAGTGCGACGCCAAACACTTGGGCCACGGCAAATGCTCCGGCAAGTTTCATCTGCAAGCTGTATCCAGCACACGCCTGATACCACGAGCATGCTGATAACGAATCCCGACTGCCACGAGTGGCCACAGCTACCCTCCTGCAGCGCAGCAATGGCCAGTGACGAGGCCGCCAGGAGAATGACGGCCCCAATCAGGTCAACTCGCCGGAGCATTGCGACTGTTTTAGCCCAGAACTTCCTGGACCTTGGAGTATCTTCCCTTGGGGCAGGGGGGTTCGGAAATCCAGCCGGTATGGCAAACAGGACTACGAACCAGGCAGCAACACCATACACTTTTCTTGTGCATTCCAAGATGCCAACCAATTTTGGCAAACAGACAATGGCCCAGGGCTTTCGCTGGACTTTCCGGGCGAGTCGACAACCCCCGAGGCATTCTGGAACCTAATTCTGGATGGCAGACCAACGGCCAAGGAAGTCCCCAAGGACCGATACGATATCGATGCCTGGTATCACCCTGATGCTAAGCAACCAGACGGCCTTTCACACAGGCGTGCCAATTTTGTAGAGCGAGATTTGGGGCGGTTTGACGCCGCATTCTTTTCCATTACTGCGGTCGAGGCGGAGGCGATGGACCCTCAGCAACGACTGATCCTGGAGACGTCGTATCGTGCACTTGAAAATTCCGGAGTCCCCATGGAAAGTCTCTCGGCGTCGAAGACATGTGTGTATACAAGGAGCTTTGGCCATGACTACCAACTCCTTCAGGCAAAGGACCTAATGACTCTGCCCAAATTCCATGGCACCGGCACATCAGCCAATATGCTTGCCAACCGGGTCAGCTGGTTCTTTAACTTGGAGGGGCCGAGCGCAAATGTTGACACTGCTTGCTCTAGTAGCTTGATGTCTATTCATCTGGTATGCCAGTCAATCCGGAATGGCGAGTCATCCATGGTACGTATCGATCCTGGGGCCTAGCAGACCGTGCGCAACTCACGCATTCTTAGGGATTGGCATTGGGCTGCAATACTATTCTGTCGCTGGACTTTGGACTAGCACTCGACAACCTAGGCCTTTTTATCGAAGGATGGGCGCTCTTTCAGTTTTGACGAGCGAGCGAATGGCTACGGCCGTGGGGAGGGAGTTGCGGGCCTGGTCATACGGCCGCTCAAGGATGCGATTCAAAATGGAGACACAATCAGGGCTGTCATTTGGTCGTCTGGCTGCAACAAAGATGGAAAGACACCCGGCGTTATGCAGCCCAGTGGTGCGCGCCAGGAGCAGCTGATTAGGGACACGTATGCTCGGGCAGGGCTCGATATGGGGACGACTCGATACGTCGAGGCACACGGAACAGGCAAGTTCTGCTCATTGAACTATATGGATAGGGCTAAAGGCTCAGGCAGGTACTTCGGTGGGAGACCCAATTGAAGCTCGAGCTATCGAAAACCTCTTTCGACAGACTCACGGTCCAGGCAACCCCTTATACCTGTAAGTAGTCTGCATCAAGAAATACCATCCTTCTAATATTGCTTAGAGGGTCTGTTAAGTCGACTGTCGTCGGATGCCGAGCGGCTTGTATGGATGTGAGAGGTGGTGTTGTTTTCAACTTGACGTTATAACCAGAATGAGATAATACTTTGTCAGCCATCAATCCTGACAATCACGTTTCAACTATAACCCCCATTTTCATTTGCTTTATGACCATTACTTCGGTGTGCATGAAAAATACTGACTCATGTTGACAAAGGTTACTTATGATTCTATAGGTTATTGACGTATGCTTGTGTGTAGGTATGACGTTGAATGTTCTATGTGGAATCCATTATCATTATCCTTAACTTCATACCGTGACTGTAGCCATAACGGCTCTTTAGACAAGCAGGTCCATAGCATCCCCGAAACCATAGGATATATTAAACCCATAACGCCAAATCCAGACCGACCGACCGGTCTCCAGTCCCATGCTCCAAACTCCAAATCGCTAGCCAAAAACAATAAATAAAACACAATAATCTTTCCTCCAAATAGCCTTCCCAAACGGCTAACATATTGCAAGGTTTTAGCCGAGCTCATCAAAGATTCGTTATCAGACGAGACAAAACCGGTCGTGGACGGCGAGGCCCTCGCTCCTCAGACGTTGATCCTCTCACAGAAGTGTTATTTGAATTGGACGACACTGTCGTTGTTGCTATCCCCGATGATGACGTCCAAGTTGGTGCCGACCCAACAGCAGGCCCAGGCTGATATTGATGCTGCTGCTGCTGCTGCTGCTGAAACCACGACGAAGACTCAGGCGTGGTCGGCAGCATCCCAGAGACCGTATAGCCTCGAGTATTTCGATTCTGATTCCCAACCGTACCCGTGCTAGACTGAGCCCCCTCAAACGAAGACGAGAACCGCGCGCTGACCTGCGAGTAGCGCGAGGGGTCGTAGCGGGCGTGCAGGGTTTGATATGCCGGGGGTGGAGATTCGGGGCCAACAACCTGACCCCTGGGCTGGGACTGGCCTGGAGCCAATGTCGACAAAGTCGTTGAGGCTGGCGCAGACATCCCTCTCGTCCGATATCCTAGGGCAGGTCTGTCTTGTTGCCCTCCTGTCTGTGCTTGTGTTTGTGTTTGTGCGTGTGGGTTATATGGGTACGCCGCTGGTGCTGTTGCAGCCGTGGTAGATGTAGGCGGCGGCGGCGAGGCCATTGGGTAATAAACCTGGTAATCCTCTGGGGTGACGGAGCGGGAATTCAGCTTCGAGGGACAGCCCGTGCTTGATGTGAGCTGGTAGTCGATCAGGCGTTCCTCGCACTGCTTGAGGCGGTCCCATTTGCGCTTTTTGATGAGGAAGAAGATGATTCCTGCGGTGACTGGAGGGGGCAGGATATCGTTAGCATGGCTCTGATTTATTTATTTCTTATTTATTGATGGACGTACTGGCAATAGCGGCAACACCACCGACCACGACCCCGATGATGATCTGGGTTGTTTTGTCGCTGGGCCCATGGTCTTCGTCTGATGATGGCGAGTACGAGTCGGCGCGGGGGCGGAGGAACATGTTGAAGAGACCAACACAGAGTACAGGAGGGACAAGAATGAGCCAGTCAAGGACAAGCAGACAGCTAAGTTCTGAGCTGTGCCTGAAGCTGACTGAAGCTGACTGCAGCAGTCTTCAAGCAATGACCAGAGCGATGCAGGGCCCCCGCCTTATGAAGAAGTCAAGGACCCTGCCATTGTTTGAGAACTGAGGCTAACAGCGAGAACGCCTATCAGAGTTGGCCCGAGTTACTCTATTTTCGTCGGCAGATGCAGTTAAAATCTGAAACGAAGCAAAATGGCCGATTCTGCCAAAAATAGCGGCATTTGGAGCATCGAGGTGCAGGCAAGTTGCTTTTTTTGGGCTTCACGATGGGAACAATTGGCTGCGAGTGCAAGTTGGAGAGCACGCTAGTCAGATCGCAAGCGCTGGGATGTGTGAAGGATCGGGCCCTTAAAATAGTCGACTAATTAACTGTCTTTGTGTTGGCGCCGTTGGTTGGTGGATTCCACGACTCCAGTAAATGGTGACTGAGTTACGACGAGTATACGATGGGAGTAACGGAGTCCTACGAGTAAGTGGTAACTGTATAGCTCCATGTATTCCTACTCGGCATACGGTCGAAACACCTGCATCCCCGACTGCGTGAGAAATTCTAGGTTCACCCCCTCGCCCACGAAGAACACTGCGCCCTCATGGAGATCCACCTTCTTCTCCCCCATTACCACCAACTCACCACTACCCTTGGTCACTACAACTATACTCGGTCCTCCGATCGCTTTATGGCTTTCGCTCTCGCCAGGCCCGAGCACAGTCGCCAGCACATTGAACTCTGAAAACGGCGGCGCGTACTCGATCGTGCGTCCCGACTCGCCCTTGTCCGACTTTTTATGTCCCAACTGAGCCTGCTCGGGGCTGTGCGGTTTGAACGAGAGCGCGCGCGCGAATTGCTCGACGCTGTTCCTGTCGGCTCGCGGGCAGAATCCTGTCGCTAAGACATTGTCCGACCGCGCCATGCACTCGAGGATGTCGCCATTGAGATAGGCGTGGATACTGTCCGCGGGGACGCAGACTGCCTCGCCGGGTTCTAGCACCATGTAGTTCATTAGCAGCACTGCCACGAGCGCTCCGGGGTCTGACTCTGGATACTGCTTGCTCAGCCGATCGAGTTGGTCCGGGACGTAGTGTTGGTTCCCACGGAACTCGGATGCGGGCAGTGCAAGCAGCTGCGTGACCGTCTCTGAAACAGTCTGCGGCGGTAGTTGGAGTAGTTTCTTGCAGATCTGGCGGAGGAGCTCGTCGTCGAAGGTCGCGTGCGGTGGGACGAATTGGTCCAGCGGTTTGATGGTCATTAGCTCCTTGATATCCTTGAGTGGCTTGAAGCCCGCGAAAAGCTCGAACTTGGAGAGCGCAACGGCAATCTCGGGCTTGTGGTTTGGGTCGCCAAAGTGCTCGGGGTCTGTGAGGTTGAGGTGCTCGGCGAGGCGCTTGTCTGGGTGCACTTGCAGTGGGAGAGCCTTGTCGAATGAAAGGACCTGGTCTGGTTAACATCGCGGACAACATATTGGGGTCACGGGTATCTTGCTCACCTTCGGCAGGAAGGGAAGACCAGCCCCAAACCGTGTCTTTACTGACTGTCCAACCAGCTCGGGCTTTCGTTTTAAATAATGATCCAATGTCTCCCCGGTGCAGAGAAGTCGCGATGGAACGGTGGGATATGTGCCCATCCACATCTACCAAACCGCGTCAGCCATGCCCCCAGCATCAGTTGAAGCTCAACCCACCTCAGAATAATGATCGCTATCATCCAAGTCTGTGGAGCCAGCCGTTCGATTCCAAAGCTGCCCAGCGAGGGACTCTTTTCCTTTCTTCCCCCATGGATCGTGCTATCGTAGAAACCAGTTAGACGGCGTACGAGACTAGCCACCCGGGTAAAATAAGTATAAAGCCTACCTTGATACCGCACTTAAGCTGAACTACGTGTTCTATCATGATGGCCAAGTCTTCAGCTTGATATTTGCTTGCAATGGCGACATGCGACGTTGGAGGATGAGGTTATATACTAGCCAGAATAAAAAAAACTAGGCCAGGCCCCTGTCGTCATGATCCAGACCAAAAGTCCGGACCATCCAATGGGTCCGCTCCCCTGGGGCATCTGTCAAGGGAATCGCAGCTTCTCAGTCGTTGCTCTGGATCTGGATGTGGTTCTGCCACTTGATACAAGTTGATCGCGCGTCAGACTGACGTCAGCGCCACCCAGAAACGAATAGAGTCAAACTGGGAAAATGTAGTATTAAATCATCAAATATCCGCCCGCTAATAACATAATTATATCGCTAAGAAACAAGAGAAATAATTTTGTATCAAGTAAAGTCGTATCCGTAGCTCATCCATAAATATCCTCCGCATCAGGAACCATCACGGTCGTTAACCGCCGTGCCGCCCGGCGCTTCTTCTCTGCTGCACTATACATTGACTTGTCTGTATAGCCGTGCTCTGTTCGCCCCCTCGGGACAACAATGTCCAGGTCGTTATATAAGTCAGAGTCTCGTCGGCCGTCAAGCTGAGCTTGAGCTTGAGCCCGCGATCGCGACTGCGACTGCGGCGCTGGGCCAGCGGGGAGCCCTGCATGCCCCCATGTCCCTGCTGCCAGATGCGGGCTTCTGTTCGGTGAGATATAGTTGTATTGGTATTGCGGGCGAGACCGCTGGCTCTGGCTCTGGCTCTGGTTCTGGCTTTGTGATGTGACAGTCTCGGCGACATAGTCTGTTCGTCGGATGGGTTTGTATATGAATTCTGCGCGGGTGTTGCCCCCTCCTGTTGATACAGATGCGGCAGCTGGGTTGGGTGATGGCAAGGGCTCGATATGTGGCCGGTAGACAGGAGAAGTATGGGTATAGTTTGTTTCGTAGGGGGCTGGAGAGGGCGAGGGCGAGAGAGCATGGGATTTGCCCGAGCGGTTCTTGAGGCGGATGGAAAGACTGCGCGGGTTGAGGGACTTCATTGCGAAGGAGTTGTTGCGGGAGACGGGGGTTGATTTTGAGTCTGTGAGGGGCACGATGTCGTCCTCGAGGCGGGATGGTTTAGAGGTTTGGAGGCGGAATCGGGGGAAAGACATGTTATTAGATATGTAAAGGTGCTGAGTATAAGCCCTAATGCGGCAGTAATGCCCAGAAGTGTCACAAAAGCCAAGCTGTTTGATCGCCCACCACAGACCGGGTGGGGGGCGGGCTGATATAGCTTGTCGCGGGCAGCCATGTTTCTAATTTGGACAACTGCTGAATTACTCCGTGGTGCATTGCGAGTTACAAGGGTGCATGAAAGCCCTGGTAGGATTAATCAAAAAAACCCTCTCCAAGCTGTGCTGATCCTCGCTGCTGTCCCCGTAGCAGAGCGCGGAATAGCCGCCCAGGCAGACTCGCCGCAGTGCGCGAGCGGGGAGCTGCATTAGCCCCGTTTAGGAGCTGTCTAGTGCTTGTTGATCCTGTTCTTTTTCCATTAATAGCTGGATCTATCTATATTAGGTCTGTTGAGGTGGTGGTGCGCGGGCTAATTAGCACAGATTAATGCAGGTTAATTGTGGTCAATTTTAGAACTGCCCTAACTCCAAATCGTCTGGATGCATGCTAGTCGGTGTGATGAGCCTACATTATCACCTGTCACTCGCTATAATTAGTCTTAATTTATCCTCTCTTGTTTGTGACAGCGTCTCGCAGGATAAGCGAGTCACTCTAGCCATTTCATCTAATACGTGGTAATCGTAGTCTATGCGACAAGCATCCCAGTCCGCGCTTGAGCGAGTCAACGCGTAATCCGTCCTGAATATATCCAATAATAACACCATCATGCAAATACCCCGCGGAGGAGTGTCCCAAAAAAAAAAAAAAAAAAAAAAAAAAAAAAAAAAAAATAAAAAAAAAATCTATGCAGATGCAAACCAAACCAAAAACAAAATGACCAGACGCCAGCTGCCTCGTGCAAGGATATCAAATATAGAAGAAACCTTTCGTGAATCACGTAAACATGCACCCTGAATCGTCTCAGAAGTTGTGCAAGCACCAGTCAGAGCCTTGTGTATATAATGCTCGGTGTCCCGATGAAGCGCTGATCATGCAGCAGCGGAACATCATACACTGCGTGTCGCAGCTTGACAAGCACCGCAGAAAGATCAACATTTCGATGCAGCAGGTGTCATTCTGGGAACTAAGCGAGATGGAGACATTGATCTTGTCGGTAACGTATGGCGCCTGGATGTTGGAGAAAGAGAGCCACGGCGGAGCGCGTAAGAACCACCATTTTTGGTGGGGTCTTCAGAAGATGGTGCCGGCGACGAAGTCGTCGACGACGACGATGTGTATGAGGAGAGTTTCGAACACTCAATACTGCATTCGGGATCGGGCGAGAAGAAGTTATGCTCAGGCACAGAGAAATCAAAAGACGGTCCCGCGTTTGTGCCTCGTTCGCTGCTAGAGACAAGCTCCAAACTCCTAGGTTCAAAGGCAGATTCGTGCATCCAGGCCCAATCCATCATTTCCAGATCGGCTTTCGAATGGCTTGATTCAAAGCTATGAGATAACGATCTTCCGACTTTCGCTAGACCAGGCTTTCTCAATCGGCTTACAACGCGCTTCCTTTGCTCGATTTCATGATTGTAGGATCCCCTCCTCCTGCGTCCACGGTCTGCACTGCCATCAGTTGAGTGGTAAAGCGCATTCACCATCAGATTTGCGTGGCTGTGAGCTAAAGCTACTCGTGCACGCATTTTCTGGATGGCAGAGTCCAGGGCTAGCTCAATAGCGCAGTGATTGCGGATACGCGCAAGCTTCGGCCATGTCGCTCGCTCCCCACAAAGACATGCTTTGAGCATAAAGTCGGTGGTCGGGTTTTTCAGTATCCGAGGAAGGTGTGTATAAAGAATCTCTGGGTAGATATTGATGTCTCCAGAGTATTTCTGGTTCATGATTGAGATAGTCTTCGTAAATGAATTCGGGAAAACGCCAAGTTCCGTCAATACTGCCATTCGATGCATAATCTCGTCCTTCGCAAGATGCGAAACGGTATGGAAGAGTCGAGAGACCTTTGACGTTGGTGTAGCCACACTCTTTGGCTCATCATCCTTTGGGAGGAATGGCACGATATGTGGGTTTACCTGGGAGACGATGAAATGATTGACGTTGAATATTTCTGACAGACGGTTCATGGGCAGGTCGCCGTCCACAGACCCATCTATATATTGTGTGTAGAGGTCATTCCATGGAACAGGCTGGCCCGTCATTGGATCCTTAGCCATGAGCTTAAACGGAGAAAAGACTACCGGGACTGAACATGATACAGCACTAGTGAGTGTTCGTTAGTACAACATCCCGCTAAGAAGAGTCTGCCAGTAACTTACACAGCAGACCAAATCATGACGTTGGGCGCCGTGATATAGTTTAAAAGCTTCGGCAGCTCGTACACACCGGCGCTGGAAACACATATGTTGAGAATCCTGCGTGTCCGGTTATATGCCTCTTGGAAGGTAATGTCTCCGAGCCAGTTCCTCATGGCATTAGCCAGATGGTTAATATCTAAAAATGCTCCGTGTTTGAGAAATCGCGCGGTCTTTTGGAAGATATTTTCCTCGGAGTTTTCCTCATCAAACACGGAGAAATCACCGTAAGGGAAAGAAGCTAGCAAGGCAGGGAGTTCGTCCTCGGTGCGAGTGCAGAATACTGCGCAGACAATACTGCCGGCAGATGCGCCTGAGATAATGCGCGGAAGAAGATTGGACATCCAAAGCGATTTCATGACACCGATATGATTCATCCCAAAGGTAGCTCCACCCGAGAAGAGAAGCGCACTCCGCCCAAAGGCCTGTCTCGCAGCTAAAAGCTGGTCAAGGATATACCTCGACTCCGCCGCATCACAGCGGTTGCCGTCAGACACTTCCACCAGAGACGAGATCGTCTGAACCGCCGACGTAATATATTGGTCGATCAGGTTCTTGGTACCAAAATGGGCGTGCTTGTAAAGGGAGGCATTGCTCATGCCAGCCAGGTCACGACTTAGCGAGGTGCGAATCAGGTGCAGCATGCGACTGACATCGCAACTTAGGCGAGCGGCTTCTAGCTGTTCGAGGCGCTCCTGAACAAGAACCGGGTCGTACTCGTCGCACTCAAACGTCTCCTTCCACGCATTGTTATTTTCCAGCTTATCCAGTTCGCAGGCGCATTCTTTCCATTCCTCGGCGGAAACAGCCTAAAAGTAAGCCAGACGGATTAGCATGTTTTGCCCAGAACCCCCAATAGGCAATGCGACTCCTCCGCAGGCAACAAGGGCGACTCACATTACGCATCCGCAGGTACAAGACTTGCTTGGAATTTTCTGTCTCAGAGTGCGGTTCCTCCTCGAACCTGTGCTCGCTCGATATAGTATCACCGGAGTTCCATACGCTGCCAGCCCACGAGAGCGAACCTCGCACGACCGAAGCCAGCGACGGCACGGTATCCAAATTCAGGTGCGGACGGTAGCCATTCCGGGTGAAGTCTCGTGAGGAGGCATGGTTGGCGGGGCGTTTGCTCTTGCCATGCCACGTTGAGGATATCAATGGATCGGGGACAGGCGACATGACAAGTTGGGCAGCGAGGGCTGGATATCCATTCGGCAAGAAAAGCAGCGACGTCTTCGATATTTAATGCCGGGGGATCGTCGCAGTCAGCGGAGGAAAGGAGGGCTGAAACCTGGCGATCGCGACCGAAAACCGGGGAGAGACTGGAGAGTTGGGGAAGACGGCGGGAAAATCACCAAATCATCTGGGGGGGTCAGGCGTGAAGGCAACGAGTCACGAGGGCCCTTCAGGCTTCAGCTGGTTCTACCAGTCTGGGGAACAAAACTCATCGGCCCAACTGGTTCGTTCCTCGAAAATTCGCCTTCTTTCCCCACATTCCGGCAATCATCCGCTCCAAATGCGCTCACTCGGTCACTCCGTATACGAATCACGTGGATTGAACAGCTGTATGGGATTCTGCCCAAGTCGTTATAAAGCAATGGAATGCAAAGTAGCATTTATAGAAGGATATAATTTCATATGCTTCTGCAGGATTTGCACAGTATACCTAGCCACGGTAAGAAATACAACGGCTGCTGCAACTAAGCGCGTTACATTTAGACTATATATAGTGGTTCGACTAACTTTATATAAACACAACCATTTTTACCAAACCCAGCACGCGATGGCGCGATTGCGGCTCTGAAAAGTCTATATATATAGAACTGCGGTGTAGGACCTGAATACAACAGCCAAGTAGCCCGCCCGATACAGAGCAGTATCTGGATACACTAGCAAATACTGGTAATCGCAAGGTTGCAGCAATATGGGTCTAACCGGTAGGCCATTATTAACTGTTCAAAAGGGCCACGGCCGCCTTCCGCCGCAACGGATTGCCTGACGTCGACTGGGGAAGGAGACCCCTGCACTAAGTCCTGGTGGTATCCAGCTGTATATTACGGCTAGAAGAGCAGGTGCCCTGCTGTCTCGGCGTAGACTGGACAGACTTACAGGGCAGCCGATATATAAATACTATTACCTACTTAGATCCTGAATACTGCGCCCCTCGCCTACTCCTCTTCAATCGGTCTCTCAAGCACCTCGACCATGGCACCAGCCCATCCTGCCCCTCAGAGCACCCCGCCGCCGCTCCCCGAAGGCTGGATCCAGGAGTGGGACGAAGACAACCAGCGCGCATACTTTGTCGAGACGAAAACGGGCGCCGTACAGTGGGAGTATCCGGGATATCCAGGGCAGAACGAAAAAGAAAGGGAGAGCGAAAGGGAGATGGACAGCGAGAGCGAGAAATACGACTTGCATCGTGAGTTCGGTTGCAGACTGACGACCTGTTCTTTCCTCCTTACTGTCAACTCGGCCACTAATGTTCCAAGATGTGTACCGAGAGTGTAACACAAATACTGCTAGTCGGCCCAAGGAGGATGCGTGGAGATACGATGCCACCAATACTAGCAGTAAGTGGCCTTTATGCCAAGTGTGCTTACAAGGGTTTTGCATCTGACAAGTTGACGGCTGAGAAGAGCCGAGCGAGATGTCTCTGCCCGAGACAGGGATATGGGCACCCCCAGATAGCGAGATTGACAGGGTGGATAGGATTATTTGATCTTTTGTTCTTGCTTTGTATGGTTTTCTGGTGCAATACCTCTTACCTGGGCGGGACCCGGCTATACAAAATCTCCCCACCACCCACCCCTTGCGGCTTTGCAAAGTTATTTCTCGCTTTAATGTATTACTTGATGATACCCTGTAGGAGGCCTTTGCCTTGGCACGAGGATCGGGTCCCTTGGCATGAACTGGATTAGAGTTGGATGCCCTACACAGATGTAGGAGTACCTCACCCTTAGACATTGCTCTTCATCTGCATTACTTTCGCATTACCTTCGGAACTCTGAGATTACCCAAGGATTCTCACCTCTGGTTGGGTCAGCTGGACATATGTACGTATTTTCCAGGATCCTGTGCATACAGATGCAGGGTGATAACCCGATTGCCATGGTAGGATAACCCTAACTTCATGACACATTATTAAGTAGTCTTAAAAACACCATCATCACAAGTGTAGTAGCAGTCAAGGCAGCCGATTCAACCACATTCGCAATGACTGTCTTGCCTCGTGCTCGACACCATCTTCCCTCCAGAAATGACCCGCCCCCTCAATCTCAGTTGACTCGTAGAGGCTTCGCGGAACAGCACTCAGCTCGCTCGACCATTTTCGTAACTTGCTGACAGAGGTAAAGGTATCCTCATCACCGTAAATTGCAAGAGTGCGATGTGCACAGAGCTGGTATGCCGGTTTGGGACAAGGAATATGTCTCCGTTGCCCTGATTCCCGAGTGTCCACTTCCAACGATAGGTCCAGGAATAAGGTCAGAAATAGGTTGATGGGAGGCAGGAGCGGGGAAACAAGAAGATATGAAATTGTCGTGCTAGAAGATTGCAGCAAATCCTTTACTTCTAGGCCTGCACTCTGGGCATCTGTACTCGGTGACGGCCGAGTTGATCGGGGGATCTCGTCTTTTGACAGTGCACAGACAGTCTGTGCTGTGACGAGAATTCCATGGGCCGGACTGCCTTGTATTCCGTCTTTAAAAAGATCCGCGACGACCTCATTTCCTGGCAGGTGAGATGCGAGTAATGATCCGTAAGAGTAACCACCAAGTATAAGGTGGATCCCATCCTCAGGACTCCGTTTATCTGATTGAGAGGCAAGCTCTAGATTCAAGCACCGCAAGTAAGACAGCATGAATCCGTAAAATGAAACATAATCTGCCAGTTCAGGCTTCGCGGTCCAGCTAGTCCGCCCTTGGGAACCACCAGCACCACTAGAACATAGTCAGCAAGTCCACCACTCAAAGACAGTATAATAAATGTAATAGTACCGAAAGTTGAATGTGCCAACCACGTAGCCCGCATCAAGCAGTTCTCCGCCGATAAAACTCACGACCGGATCGTCATAACAGCCCCCTAGTGAGGCGTAAGGATGCGCGACGACGGCTCCCCGAACGCGCCATTGCGAGGCATTTGCTGAATCTGAGACCAGTTGCTGTGGGAGATATATTCGACAAGAGAGCTGGATGCCGTCATAGATGGATGGGATGGTGAAGGAGTGGGTTGGAGAGGGGAGATGATTCACCATGACTTGACTGGAGTTGTTGCTTTAAGTAAATAATGCAAATGGGGGGTATCTTATGTCGTTGGATATCACTGGGGAGTATAAAGTAAATACTTAGTTTTCCGTGCACGTAGAGTTGGGCTCCATGGCGCTTTCTGTCGGTGAAGGTAGTGTTGATAGTGGTGGGGCCGCGGTCGTAACTCTTTGTCCAGGCGGTCTTGCAGGTTCTCGCCCAACCACCAGGTATAATAATTGATGCAGTCATGGACGAAGATCTACGAGTATACAGCCACGCTCTTAAAATTTGAAAGTTACAAGGCTATGATGGACACGGCAAATATGGGAATATACTCAATTACTGAGATCCCGTATGGGACACATAATGAGCTGTGCATGGCTTGTGACTGAAATATGCCACAATTTTTTTGAATACTATTTGCTAAACGTCTATCCTTGCATGTTGTCATCAATTCCAAGTTCGTCAAAGTCGTCCAGTAGCTCATCCATGTTGATTTTCGGTACCTCCTCGTCGTCATCATTCATCATGTCTGTGTCTGCAACACTCGCGGTGTCATCCTTCTTCTTGTTCTTGTATAACGCCAACGTCTGGCGAAGCTCTTGGTCCTCTTCTACATCACGCAAGAACATCTCAAAGTCATTCTCCACAGATTCCTTGGGGTTCGGTAGAAGGTAGGGATCGTGTTCCGTGTCCATACGCTTGAGCTTCCAGTTGCGCCTGCGGTGCTTCGAGCTTCTTGGGTAGTATTTCTTGACGAGAACTACGTCTGGAATTGTGGAGCTGTAGGTGTTGGATGCCTCGATCTCGTCAAACTGGGTGTTGTTGAAGTTTGACCCCGTCAACATGTAGCCGAGAACAGAATCACCGGGATGAATAATGCTGCCGAGATGCGTCCTCGTGAAAAATTGCTTGTCCCCACTGAAATCAGACGCCCGAGCGACAGTCACTTCGGACTGGAACCATTTGCCCTTGTTGTATCCGGTTGGCTCAACGTCCAGGACAATGAACTCAACGAGATCTTTGGCTTCTGCTAAAGATGTAAAAGGTGCTCGCCAGTATATCCGTGAACTGAGGTCCGTGGTTTGAAGGGTGTTGGTGTCAAGGAAGCTGATCGAGGTGCCGATTCGGGTGCAAAGCAACAGGGGCGAGATATTTCCGAGTTGTTTTGCGAGCTTGATCGGGAGAACCACCAGATCGTCCTTACAGACAGGCACGATCTTGGCAGAGTAAGTGAATTTGTAAGATTTCGTCGATGTGTGGACATCCTCGGAAATGATCTGCTGTGACTTGCTCACTTCTACCGGCACCGCAGAATGAAGGAAATCAAGGAACGCTTCCGCATGATTCCGCTGAGCAAAGAAGAAGTCGATTCCATTCCTGGCCTCCTTGATGTTGATGGTGTTTTGGTGTGCTCCGTGCTTGAGGATGAGCTGTTCGAGGTAAAGGAAGGTTCGCTTGTGGAGAACGTTTTGTCGCACTTGGACCGAAGCTCGCCATGTGTTGGGGGTAAATGACTTTTGACATTCCGGGCACTGCTGGTACATGACGATGTAGACGACCTCGAAAGTCTGCTGTAGAATCACGTCGTCGGACACCGAGTCTTGAATGGTGAGCTTGACCTTTACTCTGCGGGAATGCGGTTCAGTCCAAATAAATCCAGCGTCAATCACTCGGATTTTGTTCAGTCCTTTCAGTTTCTTCAAACACAACGCCAACAACTCTCGCGACTCGGGTGCAGCGACATGCCATGAGTTCGGTGGTAGGAGCCAGCGCTCGCAATCGCGACAAAGGTTAAGGACCGCCTCGCGTTGGATTCCCTGGGAGATATCGACCTGAAGTTTCATACAATCGGAACATATCGTCGTTCCAACTAAGGGTGCCCCGCAGTTATAGCAGAGCGTTCTGAAGTGATGTTAGATAACTGTATTCTTAGAGCGAAGGAGGGGATCCTTACGTCGGTGTCTCGCCTGCGTCATTGGGCTGTGGTGCCATCGGCACCGGGGTATCAATATCCATCTTGAATTTATTTTTTTATCCGTCAAGACTTAGTGTTTGTCTAAGTGAGTCAACGGGAGTGCGCTCTCAACTTTCATGGTCGAAAAAAAAGTTCGCCCCTCATCGGATTACTCAGCTGATTAGAATTGATAAGAAAATTGTGCCTCAGGCATTAGTTTACCCTGCTAAAGTTCTTGGCATTTTGCATGATCCAAAACCCAGCAAAACTACGGCCTGCCAAGGTGCATGAAAAACGTAATCAGAATGAAAAACTTGAAAAATGGAGAGTAAGAATTTTCTTCTTAAGGTAATGTACATAGCGTGGTAAATATATTCGGGAAGCGGGGTATTGATCTATTGTGACAGAAAAGCGCCTCGATTTACTTACAAATACAGACAGGGCCATATTGTATACCATATCTACAGTCGCTCTTGGAAAAGAATAGCATCACTCATCAATCAGACGAAGGTGATACGTCTCCAACGCCTCCTGGCCCACTGGGCTAGGGGCCTTGACCATCGGGTCTTCTCCAAGCTTCCCGGTCTTCGGGAAAGCAATGACGTCTCGTACTGACTCCTTACCTAGCATGACGGCTACCAAGCGATCAAACCCAAGAGCCAGGCCAGCATGTGGAGGACACCCAGCGCGAAGCGCCTCTAGCAAATGGGAGAACTCTGTCAGTCGCTCAGGGGGCATCTGAAGGACCTCACGAAGAATAAACTCTTGCACGGCGGCATCATGGATACGACGACTGCCGCCACCGAGTTCTACACCATTCACTACCAAGTCATAGTGATCAGCAACCACTTTGGTAGGGTTGGTAAGAAGTAGATCCACGTCGGCGGCGGATTTTGGGGCAGTGAATGGATGATGCGTAGAGGATATGCCAGCAGCACCGCCTTGACCGGGCTCTGACTCGCTCGATGGGGAAAACAGAGGGAAATCGACAATCCAAAGGAAGTCAAACCCTGTTGCAGCAGGTTTAAACCCTGTCTCAACTGAAGCGGAATACAGAGCCCGACGAAGGTCACCTATTGGGGTTGAACCACCTGTGAACGGTGCGGCTTCGCGAGCTTGTAATACGAGTAAATCGCCATGGTCAGGATCTAGAAGCTCCTCCACATACTCGGCAGCTTGGAAGCCAAACGGCTGAAGTCCGCATAACGGTTTCTTCGCGTCATAGACGAAGATACCTGGCCCGCCCTCGGGGTTATCATTGAAAGGTGTACCAGCGGGCGAGTCAAGAAATCTTGTAATGTACTCGGATGTAGCTGCGGGGTCATTTTCGTTACCCTCAAGCTTGAAAACTTCGACTATTGGGTTTGTCAAATGCGTGATCTTATTGATCAGGTCGACGGGGAGCAGATGTTCAACTCTATGGATTTCCATTCCATAGCGGGTGTCAGGTTTGTCTGAACCGTATCGGCTCATAGCATCATGATATGATAGTTTCCGAAATGATCCCGACGGGGCATCGGTGTCCATTAGAGATGACCACAATCGACGTACGACACCCTCCACAACTCGCATCACGTCCTCGCCCGTCGCGAATGACATCTCGAGGTCGAGCTAAGTCGCAATTTTATTAGCAATAATTTACAAGCACGAAAAGTATTGCACGTACCTGCGTGAACTCAGGTTGTCGATCTGCCCGAAGATCTTCGTCTCGGAAGCAGCGAGCAAACTGGTAATACCTTGGGATCCCGCTGGCCATCAGGATTTGTTTGTATTGCTGCGGGCTTTGTGGAAGTGCATATGCTAGACCGTGCTTCCGAGTTGGAACCAGGAATTCTCGAGCGCCCTCAGGCGTAGACTTGAAAAGCAGGGGGGTCTCGATCTCGACAAATGGTGGAATGCC